AGTTTGGTTGGAGTTTGGTTGGAGTTTGGTTGGAGTTTGGTTGGAGTTTGGTTCGAGTTTGGTTCGAGTTTGGTTCGAGTTTGGTTCGAGTTTGGTTCGGGTTTGGTTCGAGTTTGGGTCGAGTTTGGGTCGGGTTTGGTTCGGGTTTGGTTCGGGTTTGGTTCGGGTTTGGTTCGGGTTTGGTTCGGGTTTGGTTCGGGTTTGGTTCGGGTTTGGTTCGGGTTTGGGTTTCGTTTGGGTTTGGTTTGAGTTTGTTTGGTTCGAGTTTGGTTCGAGTTTGGTCGGAGTTTGGTTTGGTTTGGTTTGGTTTGGGTTTGAGTTTGGTTCGAGTTTGGTTGGAGTTTGGTTCGAGTTTCGTTGGAGTTTAGTGCGGGCCAGTTGCAGTCTGTTCCGCGTTTGGTTTCAGTGTGGTCGCGGGTTTCTTTGCGTCGTCTTGCTGAGTCCTCGCGAAACTCTTAAGCGAAACCGCTAGGGGACAGCGGTGCCTCTGAGCCATTTTCGACATTTTGCCGCTTTTCTTCACAGTTTGGCACGCCAGTCCCTATATCGCGGGGCCAGTTCGTCTCCATCCTTTTCCCATTTCCTTATCGGTTTCGCCTCCGTCTTTCCGGGCTCTGTTCAGATGCTTCCGCCATTCCCTTATCGGTTTCGCCGCTCGCTCGGCGTGCCCATCTCCTCTGCAATCTGGATTATGCGGCGCACACCGCGCGCCCCTCAGCGCCCAACAGCGCAGCGTGCCGCGTCGTCCCTCTGGCGGCCGTGCCCTTGCCCGGCGTTTAAAATTCTGGCCCTGCATAAGGAAAACCGCGCACAGCCTCCCAGGCTTTCCGAGGAGCTTGGAGGAGGCTCACCAATGAGCCTCGACCGGGCTGCCGCAAATGTGTCGGGGCGACTCCAGAGGGGCCCGCGGTCCAGAAGGAGTCCCTCGCCCGTTCTGGTTTTCTCTCTGTCCTGGCGGAAGTTTGGAGCCGTCTCGAAGTGTCTCCAAAATGACAGACGGACACGCCCCAGATGGGTCAAATTTGGACAATTTCGACCCATCCCCGGCAAGGCCCTCAGCGGCTTCATTTCGTTGAGGGGAGACGCCGCCCTTCCCTGCTTAACGAAATCGAAACCAACATCGGCCGCGTGTGGATTCTAGTCGCCAGAGCTCCCCGGCCCCGGGCGGGCTCCTGTGCTTGAAGCAGTCGAGCGCCGCGCTGGAGCGTTCTGAAAGACAAAGACGGGCAGCGCACTGCACTCGCCTCATAACCCACCGCCAGTCACCGCGCGGCGCCCTCGAATCTCGGGAGCGAACCAAGCACGAAGAAGACCGAGGCGGACACACTGCGCACGCAGTCCAGTGCAGCCCGCCACCAGCCACCGCCGCGCACCCTCGAATCTCCTGGAAGAGAGGGAAACGAGTGGGGAACAGAAGAGAAGACAAAGGCAACACAGGCGGGACCGCGTTGACCGTGTCAGCATTGAAGGACCACGCGCAGCCAAAGCCGCAGCACCCATCGCCATACCATGCCCCGCCCAAGTCCCTCCCTTTGCCTCTCTTGTTCTTCTCCCCGCTTCGTTCTCGCTCCTCGGGATTCGAGGGCGCGCTGCGGTGGCTGCTGGCCGCGGGCTCCCTGCGGTTTAGAAAACACAAGAAAAAGAAGAGAGAAGAGCCGAGAAGACGCACGCGCAGCGCGTCGCAGCCTGCCCGGCTCCGGCCCCAGACTCAGCCTGCCCGGCTCCGGCCCCAGACTCAGCGCAAGCGGCAGGCCTGGCCCGGGTTTCGAGCATGCTGCGGGCTTCGGCCTCGCTTCGGGCTCCGGGCGTGCTTTGGGCGCGTCTGTTTGGTTTGAAGGCCGGGCGGGCTCCCGTCGGGTTTGGTCGGTTTGTGTTTGGGTTTGGTTTAGGCAAGCGCCTGGGCCGAGGCCTGGCGAGCTGGGCCCGGCGTGGGTTTGGTCTACGCTTTGCCTGGGTTTGGTTGGAATAAGTTCGGCCCACGGCTAAGCCTGGCCCGGGTCTGGGTTCGGTTTGGCCTGAGCCTGCTTCGGGTTTGTCCCCGGTTTGGGTTCGGGTTTGGGTTTGGTATGGGTTTGGTTTGGGTCTGGCTTGGGCCTGGTTTTGGTCTGGTTTGGGTCTGGTTTGGGTTTGGTTTGGTTTGGGTTTGGGTTTGGGTTTGGTTTGGGTTTGGGTTTGGTTTGGGTTTGGTTTGGGTTTGGTTTGGGTTTGGTTTGGGTTTGGTTTGGGTTTGGTTTGCGTTTGGTTTGGGTGTCAGTTTGGGTGTCAGCTTGGCTCGTTTTTGGTTTGGGTTTGGTAGGTTTGGGCTTGGCTTGGGTTTGGTTCGAGTTTGGTTGGGGGGGGCTCGGATCAAACAGAGTCAAGGAGCAAGGGCAACCCTATTCACCTTCTGGCGACTTTGTAACTCGAAAGCAGCAGCCTGGGACTTGTTTAGGTTTGGGCCTGGTTTGGGTTTGGGTTTGGTTCGTGTTTCTTTCAGTTTGCTTCGTTATGTTTGGCCTGGGTTTGGTTGGTTTGGGTTTGGTTTCGGGTTTGGTTCGAGTTTGGTTCGAATTTGGTTCGCGTCTGGTTTGGGAGGGCTCGGATCAACATCAAGCAGAGACAAGGAGCAAGGGCGACCCTATTCAGCTTCTGGCGACTGTCTAACTTGAAAGCGGCAGCCTTGGACTTGTTGCCCGTGCTGGTTAGAAAAAGAGGGCAAAGACTTTGCAGCTTTTTGATAACTTTCCAACTTGAAATCAGCACCCTGCGGATTTTTAACCAGTTCGGATTAGAAAAAAAAAGTACCAACTTAGAAAATTTCTGGCATCTTCTTCACCGGAAATCAACCCCGTAGGGAATTTTTGCCCGTGCTGATTAAGAAAAAAAAAGTGACAAACTTGGCGATTTTGTATTTTTCTGGCCGCCTCCTTCAAAATAAAAAAGCGGCGAAAGCGGTCCCCTACCGCCAACCAAAAAAATTAGCAAGGTCCTCCGTTTTTTTCTGGGTGTTGCTGCACAGGGAAAAGAAATCACATCAGTGCGGATTGCTTTCAGCACCTTTTTTCTCCTTGGTGGCTAGGGTGGCTGGCCTCTTTCGGGAAATTTACAGTTTTGCCAATTTTTGGAAGGATGTGCTTAAAATTTGCGAAGATCGAATCGCCTCCAGTTGCAGCCTCTACGGCTCTAGAAATTCAAAGAATGTTAACAAATTAAAAAATTTAAAAAGCGGGAAAACAAATAAACCCGCGAACGAGTGGCCGCCAGCGGGACCGGCCGCCGGCGACAAGGGAGCAACGCGTGACCATCTCGCCCCCCCGCCCTCCTCGTACAAGGTTAAGCGTTTGCACGGCTGTCGACTGACATGGCGAGCCTGTTCCCGAAAGTGCGCCCGTGGACTTTGCCCAGCCCTGTAACCTTGTACAGGGGGGCCATCGGGCAAAAGGGGGGCAGAGGAATGCTCCACAGAGACGGTCGCGCAACTGCAGGGCTAGCCCGTGCCCCATCGTCCCTGGCGGCCTTCAGCCGCCACCAGGACGATGCGCCAGACACCCCGCGAAACTCTTAAGCGAAACCGTTAAGGGACGGCGGTGCTTCTGGGCCGTTTTCGATCTTTTGCCACTTTTCTGCTCAATTTTGCACGCCCGCACGTAGATCGCGGGGCCAGGCAGTTCGTCTCTCTCCTTTTCCCGTTTCCTTATCGGTTTCGCCTCCGTCTTTCCGGGCTCTGTTCAGATGCTTCCGCCGTTCCCTTATCGGTTTCGCCCAAGGGCTTAGCGCGCTGCAGGCTCCCCAAAAAAGCGCAAGGCCCTAGCTTAGGCCGAACGGGCTGAAGCCCTGCGAAAAAGCCCAAAACCCCACGACCGAACAGGCGGAAACCTCTCGACCAGGCCCCCGCATTGAGAGCCACCCGCGCCGCCGCCCATCGAAAAAGCCCCAAACCCTAGGGCAAAGCCGACCGCAGTCGCGACAGGTAAGGAGCTGAAGCTGGAAACGCCAAGGCCATAGCCAAGTCCCCCCGTCTCTGGGGCCGCGCAGGTTCGGAACGCATCCGCAGGCCCCTATGCCTGTCGCGGTGGGTTGGCCGCCTGCAACCTCCGCCAAAGCTTTCAAGCCGTGGGGCCGAGCATGGTCGAGCGCATTTGCAGCCCCCTATCTTGGAGACCTGGCACCCAAGACCCCCGCCCGAAGCCCCCAAGCCTTCGGGCCGCAAGTTTCCGCGAAACATCTGCAGCCCCCTGTCCTTTAGATTCCACCCAGCAAAACGCAGGCGCGACCCCCGAGACGTTAAAAGGAACCGCGCACGCCCCCCCCCCGCGTGGGGTGTCTTTGCCTGCGGGCAGCTTGCCGCACGCGCCCCGGAAGGTGTCTGCCTTGCTTCCCCGTTCCTCTCCTTCGTGTCGTCCCTTCCGGTCGTTCTTCGGGTCCCCGCGGGGTATTGGTTCCGCCTGTAGCTCTTCGGGGGTTCTTCCCTCCTTGTTGGTTTCGCCCTCCGCGTCTTCGCAATAATTGGAGACAGAAACCCGGCAGCGGACCAAGCCTTTGGCCGTCAAATCTTCCCCGAAACACACCGCAAGCGGACGCACAAAACGGGCCAAGAGTCTGAGGGTAATCCAAAAAGTGTTGAGTATATAATGAATTTTCTTTCGGATGGGCGCTCAAGGGTGCGGGCATTGATCAACTTAGCTGGCTTTTGGTAACGTTCTACAAATCAAATCTGAAAACCACTCGAAACCAATACCCGCGCGAAGTTCGATACTGTTGAGGGGCAGACTTCAAGCAAATCGAAACCGTTAAGGGACTCGCAAAGCCGCGGGAAATCATTCAGAGACTTTCCCGGCAAAAGTTTCCAAATAAAGTATTACATTTCTGAAAAATCTTCTGAATGACTAGACTGCTCCTGAAATAATATAGCAGATATGGTCTCAAAGCATCAACTTTCAAAGATTTGAAAAATTTTCCAAGATTCAAAGTTTTGATGATGGAGTCAAGACCTCTCAGCCGCCTCGCAATCGTTGGCGCCTGTAAATGCAGCGGCTGAGGAAGCGCAGCTGGCAGCGCCTCTGGCAGCGTCTCTCGAGGACGTTCCACCTGAAGATGCCACAGTGGCAGTGATGATTGGGGGAGCCAATGGCGAGGGGCCAATGCCTTACGGACCCCTTGCATTTCAAAGGCATGGCGATGTTCCGCGGCTTCCCGATGTGCCGACGACGGGACGGATTGCGGTTGACATCATGGCGGGTAAATTGCCTGAGACTGCCAAAAATGCAAGGAGGGCTCGCTTGAATGACCCAGCAAACGCGAGGAACGAAGATGTAGAGCAAATGCGGACACAAATCTGCATGTACAAGGCCCGCTTGCTCGCAGGTGCGAACCTAGGTGCATTGAGGAATAGTGACGGCTGGAATCGTTGCTACCATGCAGCGGTCTTGGCCTGGGACGATTACGTGCAAGCACACTACGGAAGTTACTTTTATCTTTGCGGTGGTGAACTAGAGGGTGCCGCCGAGGCCGCGCTCGGTTTTCCGGTACTTATCAGTCAGCATTTAATGCCGGATGCGGGAGATGGGTTCCACCGTTGGCTCGTTCGTGGATTGGCGTTTCAACGACATCTTTGGCCCACTGCGCACGGCTGACGAAGCCCCGGTCGTTAGGCCCGTGTTGAACCTTGTCGATGTGAGCGGACACTTCAAGGTCATGATCCCTGTAAAAACGGGGGCAATGGGATCATAAATGAATGTATCTTGGTGAGAACTTAAACTACGATACAGATCGCTGAGGGATGCGCCAGAGATGTGATGTTTGTTTGCGGTCGGAATATTTTGCCCCGATGGGCGTTTTACCTCGTTCTTCACTATTTGTTTTTGGCGTTTTGAAAACACGATAGTGGAAAGAATTGCATCCTGTGTAGGTATTTATTTTTGGGGTTTTGAAAACACGATAGTGGAAAGAAATGCATTCTGAGTAAGTATTTTTTAGTTTTGGCGCTTTGGAAGGACGCATTTAGCAGACAGGTTCCGTGATATTGTACACGGATACCTTTATGATTTTATACCAGTGAAGTCAGAGCCACAATGAGAGCAACAAGGAATTAAATCATATAAATGAACAAAACCACTGAACCTACGTCGGAAGTCGTATGAAGTAATAGAGATGTTTGCAAGAGAAGAAGCCGCGCGCTTATCTTCAAAGACTGTGCCGTGAAGACAAGACTGACTAAAGAAGAAGATCGATATAGGTAGCAGAATTTTTTTCATTATTTGTCTTGAAACAAAACTAAAAGTGCTCCGAAGTTCTCTCTTGATAATGAAGGACAGACTAACGAAACGGACGAGACACGGCAAGTAAAGGCGCAGGTTGTGCAATAAGAATTCTTGTTCTGCGTCACGTTTTGCGGAGTGCTTTCTCAAGCGACGTACATCCAGACAGATTTCACCGGCTGCGATCTCGGGTCGCGGGAGAAACCGTAGAGCTTTTTGAATGCCCGTGGGACGTTTACCCAGCGACCTGAGAGAAAATCCGTGAAAGCACTACAAGATGGTGGTCGGCAAAACGTGAAGGTGTCCTGAAGCCGAAACGTACAGAGCGGAGCATGAGTGGGATCAGGTTACTAAAAGAGGGCTCTTTTTACTGAAAGATGAGTTGGGATTAAGTTACTCAAACGCACCGAGCATCGTTCGAGTTATTGTCATTTAAAGAGCGTGAAGAAATACGAGTAAGTACGTTTATTATATCGTACACATTCAAGACCATGGCCATCGGTGAATCCTCTCTGATTTATGCGCGCCACCCTTGATTAATCCACCTTTTTGCGCTGTGACGCTGTACCTCTGGAATAGGCTAATCACCACTATTGCTACTACGACTAGTACGACCTGTAATAGAAGCATGTTGGACTAGTATCACATTGGAAAAAAAATCGACCATGGACAATGGAAAAGAAAATCGTATGATGGAAGCGGATGAAAGTGAGAAACTACTAGGTGGAACTTTTTCGAACAGTTTTACTTTTAGAGGCACTCTTGCGCCACCGATGCGGTAGCTAGTTCTTCGTGTTTGATTGATATCTTTTAGTCCTTAATACCCGATTTCAAGTCTTGGTGACATGAGCAACGGAGACAGGGCATGAGAAGTGCGGGGGCGGAGCACCACTATGCGTCAAAGCAGGGTTTTGTAGCAGTACGAGATAGCTGACTTGGAAAGGACGCGTGACGCAGTCTCGTTCGACATAGAGCAGCTGAACTCGAGATAAGCGCTTGCGGTGCGGCATACCAACGTCGACTGGTTTCGACCAAGGTCCAACGCAAGCGAGCTTCGAAGAGCACCGAGTCAACAGAACAACTTCGGTTGCGCTGGCAAAATGGGCGTGAATTTGTGGAGTTTGTCACTGCTTAGCTACTACGTTGGCATAGACACGGTCGTCATAGTCGCATCCAAGGTCTCCGCACAAAACGGGAAAATATCCTATAACACTTGTGTTGCTGTGCTCTGCGTGGAAATAGCGAAGCTCTGTGGGGCACTGGTCTTTCTTAAGCTTGGGCTCTTCACGGATTCCAATGCCGTGGCGAAAGACCACAAGGCGCAGGAGCTACGTGTCGTGGATCTAGAAATGGGCGGAGAATCGGGACTTGAGGATGAGGAGAAGGACACTAGAGAAACATCGATTATGGCCACGCCCTTCCCTTGGATAAAAATGCGGGCCGTATTACTCTTATAGTTGGCATCAAGCTTATATTCGTATTCCCAAAAGTGACAATCTTTTGTGCGAAGTTCATTGCTCTGTAAGTCATGCGAAGGCTACTTAACAAAGTCGAAATTATCCAGATGCAAGGAGCCTTCTCTTTATCATTTTTTGTCTTTCTTTTTGTAGTAGGTGCGCGCTGACTCAACCTTCTAGTTCTTGAAGTCTGTTTCCTCTAATTTGAAGATCGTCAATTCCGCAGCTGCTCCTGGGGGGAAGAAGCATGCGGACAGGAGAGACGATCAAGCTGCGCGAGCAACAACGTGGGGAAACTACTGTCGATACGGCGTGCCCAGTTTTGTTTACTTCCTGAATAACAATATCAACATTCACGCGATCTCGTACGTGGGTGTAGGCTCGTTTGCGCTCTTCAATTCGAGCAAGGTGCTCTTTGCTGCACTCTGCAATCGCGTCATCCTGAAACAGTCAGTGTCTCAGCTCCAGTGGCAAGGGCTAGGGCTGCTCTTTGTGTCTCTCGTCTGTGCGAAATTCGATGTGATCAAGGAAGTGATATCTGGTAGTGGTGAAAGTTCAGGTAGCCAGTCCGCGTGGGCCTTCACGTTTGGAATCTGCCTCGTGTTTCTCACATCTCTTCTCAGCGGTTAAGGTGAGTGGTAGTCTCCTGATGGCAGAAGATACTAGCAACTTCTGTCTCATTTCTGTCGAAGTGAAATTTCCAGGAACGCTCGCTTTTCCTCTGTAGCTACCACCTAAATCTCTAAGTGATAGAACAGCCTGTGTCTAGCTACCTAAGTTTGTTGTTGCTTCCAGCGACCTAAAAAATCTCTAAGTGAAGCTGTCAGGCACGCTGAGCGAGTTCCTGATTAAGGGGATGGATACGGACGTACCACCAATGCGCAAAAATACTTGGATGTACCAATGGGGCATCTTTCTTAATTTTTGCTCCTTCCTGTCGCTAGAGCTCTGGAACCGGGAGAACTACGACGATGGGAAAGCCGTCGCTGCTTTATGAACAAGGATGGAATGAAAATAGACCTCATGTTGATCTTGTACCTTGTTGAAGTGCAAGGTCTGTCTAATGTCTTCTGGAGATAAACTCTCTGTTTTCGTCTAAACAGATCTAGGAGTTTTTAACAAGTACAAGTGTAGGTGGAGTTCTTTTTCCTATGTATAATGATTAGACTCCGTACCCTTGTGGGGGAAAGTAGAATCTGGTAGTGTGCAGAAGGGATTAAGCGTACTACACAACCCTCTGGTAGAATCACACGAGAGAGATAACAACTGACCTGTAGCAGGTTTACGCTTATATGCCCCTGCCGACATTTTTAGAATGAGAATATGACGAAGATATGATTAGGCGCAACACAAAATAGCTGAATCCGCTAATTTTTTCTGAAGGCAGTGACGTGAACATGCCTTTTCACCCTTATCCACCGCTGGATACTTTGGTGCGGGTTCTCTCGCCCACGCACGTCTTTCGGGGATTCAATTAAGGCGTGGAATATTTCATTTGAACATGCTGCTTGGGATGAATGAAGGTTGATTTGGGTTTGGGTAGGATTTGGTTTTATGTGAATGAACAGGAATACGTTTCAACCTTTAATGAAACGCCGGAGCCTGTGTTTACATCTTCGCAATGGCAACTTTTGGACTGTCTGTGTCGCTGGTGTTACAGTACTTCGACAATGTCGTGCGCGCCATATCGGGGGTACTACCGATTCTGCTTTATGGCTGGTGAGTATACTAGCTAGGTCCATCAATCAATAAATGAATCGTGAATTATAGGTACATCTTGAGGGAGTCTAATCAAGTGCTGATGTTTGCAGCAGTGCCTCCATGTGCTGTCTTGACCGATTCGTCTATTGTACAGAAGATGGTATATGTCTCAATACAATGTTTTTGCCTGCTACGCAGAATGATCGAGAATGAGTATAATTGTCGTACGCACTTCTAACTTCTCGCAGTTGTAATTGGGGTCTTCTTTTTTGACGAGCCACTGAGTCCGCAATTTGTTGTCGGTCTTGTCCTTTTCATCTACGCTTGTTACCTCTACAACTTATGGCCTTCGTGGAATTCATAGGGAGATAAAAACATGAAGACCGCCGATATGGGATTTAAACTCGACCGATAACGGCTTTGGAGTCGTACTTTGTTGTAGTAGTTTTTAGAGCACTTTGAGATTCATCAGGCCGATGAACCAATACAAAAAGGTGTGTCACCATCGGATGATCAAATATTAGTACATCATTCGCATATAATGATGAATAGATACGAGCTTTTCGGTTTTGTCAGGTTGATGTTGAGTGAAGGAACAATATTTTTTTACACGTCTCATCTGAGCTGCTCTTGGTACTACAGGACCAAAGAAGGCAAGCAGATCACTCTAATGAAGAAGGGAAAGGCGCCTCCAGAGCCTGCAGCAAGTACAACTGGTGAGAAGTCTGGTTACGCTTTAGCTGGGAGAAATACTTCTGAAGGGGACGCACCAGTACGAGTGGAGATGAAGGGAATGCCAGCTGCGTATCCCGTTGGGGCTGCCATAAGCAGAATAGCGACGGAGGTTTGAGAGTGACAAAATATACTTTCATCTTTACCATTTTTTCTATAGTGGATTTTAGTGTCCGAAGAGACGACAACGCCGATAAATCTAGTTAATGCCTGTGAGGGTAGTCATGGAAGTATTTGGAGGACCATACATTTTCAATGTCTGTGCTACTGCTAGTGGTAGGGGAATTTTGGGAAGCTTATTCACAGGCTGCAAATTATCAGAATATATGTCAATTGAGTTGCCTTACTGAAATTTTAATGCAGCAGCCTGTAATCTGAGAAGCCTCATTAACAGAAATAGAAGCGCCTTCAATATCGAAATCGATACTATTAGCAGCTCTCAGAATTGGAGCAGTCGCTCTTTTCTGTAGGCCAGGAACATTAGGTTTAGCCATTCGACCTACAGTGAGAACTGTCTGCATCCCCTGGCAGGAACAGGGGGGCTCTAGTTTGCAGCAACGGGTGGCTGAGGTCATCTCGCATTTTCGCAATAAGTGCGAGTTAGGAATAAAAAGCATTCAAGAGAGAAAGAGAGAATAACGCAATGAGGTGGAGTTGGTGTCCAACGTCTGATGACGGCTCCAGATGGTGATGTTTTCAATCTTTGTTGGACCATACAATGTTCCTGATCAGACGAGAAGAAGGATCTGCGTCAACTAAAGATGATCTTAGAAGGCCTCCGAAACGGACCGGTTTGAAGAAGACTGTAAAACTGATTAAGTAGAAAGAAGAGGGCGGCAGATCGTGGCTTTTCGTCCTCAAGGCACGTTTTTGATCTGTTCCCTATGTCTAAGTAATGCCTGACTTTTGATATTGACGCAAAATATATTACAAAAGCAAAAAGATGTCGGGCGTTTATTCTTGGGGCCGTCACCTGCCAAATTATGGGCCAACGGCTAGGGAGAGATAGACACGAGATGCATGACTGTGGCCACCAACTTGCTGAATTGGTCGCGATCATCAAACTTCGGAGGACGTCACACTAATATGAGGTGGATCAGTGCAGATGTCCCAGTTTTGGCCATGATGCTGGTTTTGCTGCGCCTTCCTTTGCTGTTTAACCTAGTTTCATTCGTACCAACCGTGAGGGGCGGTGTCCTGGAGCCTTTGGCAAAGCCACCGCCTGGCGCAGAAAGCATTACCTTCTTTGTTACTCCTGGGTACTTGGCAGACAGCGAGACAGACTCAGACATAGTGGAGGACACCCCGGCAGATACCGGATCAGCCGACGTTAAAATCGCAGATGGAACAGAGGAAATTCCTGATGCTCCTGGAGCTGCGTTATCAAGTTTGTTGCAGACTGCGCAAGCATCAAGGGATGATGAGAAAATTGCTAAGGCTAGTTACTAGAAGATGCGCTGACACCTTGTTTATCTCGGCGACGACCTCAGTGTCAGTCGGCTGTCTCTGTAAGAAGGGACTCGAGAATAAAGAGGTCGTTGGCGAAGATCGCTATTTTTCATCTAAGTATCCCGAAGGCTTTTTGCGCATAAATTTTGTTACGTCTTCAGATGCGCCGCATCAACTCGTATCCGTTCGGATCGCACTGCCCCACTGCGCTGATGAAGGCCAAAATGGAGGTCATGCGCCGACCGATGCTGTGGTGGAATCGAGAACAGCATCCGGCGCGCCCTCGGCAGCGAAAGAGCCCTCAACAGCGAAGGAGGTTTCAACAGCAGCGAGCAATCCCTCTCCGGGTGGTTACACCGATACTGGAGCTTTACTTGCATCATCGTCCATTGAGCAGACGCCTTTCAATACGGACCGATCCGGGACTCGTGAAAAAATACCTGCAGAGACGACCACTCAGACGAGCTCAACCACCGAGACTGTCACCACTACACTAAGAAGATCAGGCGCGTGATGTAAAACAGTTGTTACTTGTTTCATGCCCGTATAGATGAATGTAGATGAAGTAGTACATCGAGATGGTAGATCATTGATAGGAGCCCTTCTGTTGAGTCTGTTTTCTGTTTATTTATTCGGTAGTATGGTTTTTCGTCTTCACTTTACAAGATGTAGCTGTAGAGCTCGAATAGTGACGGTGGTAACAACGCCTAAGGTCTTGGAGTCAACAAAGCAATGCCACGGATGGCAATTTGTTGATGTCGGGGGACAAAAGTGCCGAGTGTACCACTACGCTGGTGCAGAACTAGAGACGCCTTGTTCTATACACAGTGGCAAAAGTTCATCATCAACTGGTGTAGCATCAAATGGCGTGGAAGAAGAAGAGCCTGGACGCAATATGGCAGTATTGGTAATGAGCGGTGGCGATGAGGAGCAAAAAGTAGAATCCTTACAACCAACAAGCAGGCAGGATCAAGATGAAGGTGGCACGACAAGCGAGACGACACGCCCTTCCAGTGGCGACGCTGCACCTGATGGAGAACCATCTTCCCCAGGTGAGGGAGGTACGCAAGCAAGCCACGCTGATCTCGGAAATGCAGAAGGAGGTGAGCAAGGTGGAAAGATTACGAAAGATGCAAGCTCAACGTCTTTGCCGAACATCTACGTGCATGCGAAACGTTGGGACGACGTCGGGGCAAATGGCGGCTACTATCGTGTTCTGCTGATAGAAGGCGATCCTTCTCGTGTTAAATACGTGCACGAATCTAGAGGCTTTGCCATTCTCTTCGATGAAGACGCAAAACAGTGGAGACTCGCTTCAACTGGAGGTGGTGAAGGAGACACCGCGTCATCAGGCACTAGCGAAGAGAAAACATTGGAGCAAAAAGAGACTTCGGCGTCAAGTCCTCCCAAGTACGGAACTACAGTCCTCGCTCGCACCGAAGCACTCGAGGCTCAGGGGGCTGAGGAACTTGCTCTGCCGACAAGTGAGAACTGTAATTGGAACTACGAAGGGACTGAGCAGCAATATGGTGAGGCGAAGCCCTATTTTGGGAGAACGCGGCCGCGAGAGCTGACGTCACCAGCTGGAGGAGCAAGTTACGTCGAGGGGAATAGCACATCTTCAGACTCAGCGTTAGGATCCTTTTCCAACATTGAATAGAATCGAGGACAGTAATATTCTTGTTCTGTCGTATGAATTTTGATTTGTACTGCTTTTTTCTTTCATAGAGCTGTGGAAGAGTCGGGCAAAGATGTCGGTGAACAATCTGCAGATGAGGGAAAGAGTGGCTTAGCGGTCGGGGCGAATGGCGGTTCTCAGGAAAATCGACGGACTCGTCATGCTCGAGAGTCTTCTGATACAGGCGGCCACTTTTTCGCGTTGGCCTTGAAAGTTCGAATGTATGGAACATGCAGATTTGATTTTCCAAAGGAACGCAGTCACCTCCGACCTATTCACTTTCATCAATTTACAGTCGAATTTGTTTTCGTGTGGCCTTGATGTCCATAAGCGTAGCGGCATGAGTTTGTTTTTCATACATAGTTGTCCCATTCTCCCCTTTCCTCTGTCCCCCAATCAATTTCCTGCGACCGAAGAAGCGAGCACGCTGCCAAACGATAAGAAGACCGGCCCGGCAGTATACGCGCGGGCACTCGAGGAATTCACCCACTCATCGAAGTCAACGCAATTTGTACTTCGTTTAGAGTACGCTGACGGCCTTGAAGAGCATCTCGTCTACGATCCGCGAACAGCTGACGGCCGAACCGCGATAATGGCTGGTGGCGAGTCGAAGCCTCTAGGTCTAGGCCCAGACTTTGCTCCTGACCCTGCAGAAGTGGAGCTAAAAGCAGATCGCACATCTTATGCTGAAACAGGAAACGTGCATCATATTTATAAGATAATGTTGAGATGAATCAAATTTTAACAGAAGCCACCACCATTTTGCAGTCCTGTCGCGGCTATTGAATTTGTTGTCTTCAATATCAATCTTATTGAATTGGAGTAGGACTCGGAACTGGAGTAGGACACTCTCGTTCTAAGGTTCCTCTAAAGTCTTGCAGATTCGGCATTTGTTTTCGGATGTAAATACTCGGCGTGGCAGGAGCCCTCTCCACGTGTCTGCTCTGCGGTTTGTGGCGGCGGCGCAAGGCGGTTGATTCGGGAGGTTTTGTTAAGATTGGTCATTTCTGTCGACTCTGATCCATTTTAGATCTACTTCTCAGCCTTTCCAAATTGGGTGTGGGGATAGGTCCTCAGTAATTTTCGTAGTATTTCTTTGAGATGTGTAATCCCTCGTGATGTTACAGGTGGGCCTGCTAGTCTCTCTAATTTCAGCGGAGCCTTTGCATTTTGTAGGGGAAGACGATTTAATGCTCTGCAGCTCTCCTCTTGGTAGGTGGGACAACGGCGCTGAAGAGGGATCCGTTTGCAATCTATGTTGAAGGGTTCTTCTGTTTCCCAGCCTCACTTTAGGTTCGTCATATTTCTGCAGAGAGGACATGAGAAGATCAGCCAATTCTCTTTGTGAAGAAGGACTACGTTCTGACTATAAATAATTATCATGGATTCCTCTGCTGCGTAAGATATTACGAAACTTGCCTGATATTTTCTAAGAAATTCACAAGCCTGTAGCGGTGCGCAGAGCGGTTGCATCCTCAGCGACTGGGTAAAAGAGAGACTGCCATGCTCGGCTCCGTGTGGTGGGGGCTTTCAGATGGAGCGACGCATCTTACTAGCAGGCAACGAAGACGAGTGTCCTAGTGTATGGCGTTGCAGTCATTTAGTACCTCGTTTAATAAAGAACAAATTGTATAATTACTGAGCTTCGCAGTTCTGTATCGATTAAAATGAATCTGAGTAGTCACTTCTGTCAACACAGTGCTCGTTCTTGATTGCGCTGTCGGCTCTTCATATCTGGTCCACGACTCGTCGCGATTGCGGTACACGGTCTGCAACACTTAAGGCTGGCACAGTAGAACTCAAGGTGATTATCACGTCAAATTTTGACCTCTCATACTACAAGAGTGGTGATGTTCACTTTCGTAGACGACATCTGAAGACAAGCGAAGAGCTTGTTTCGTTACTTATGAAAAATTTTTATCTAAGGTGTGGAACCATGCGCACCTATCTGCAAAGTGGCGCGGGATACAGTGGCTCTACGTGAAGTAGGATTGCCGACGCAGCCGGGTGCTATGATGTAGGTGGCTAATCAAATTATTTTTGCGGTTTCATCATCTTAGACTGGTGAGAAGAGGTGGGTTACTTCACACTGTAGCTATAATATGACGCGTATGTTGTAGTGACTTTTGTTTTCTGCCGTTTCGAGAAAGCGGAAGCATGGCGCTAAGATTGCGAAAATGTGGCACCTATCTTGGTTACCCAAAGAGTATCGAAGTAAGATGGGTCGTGAGAAGCCACAGGTTGCTGAGAATCAGCAAATACATACGGAAACCGATGGAAGTGGGCATGACTCGGATGCTGGTAGTGAAGTTAGCGACGGGGATTCTTCATTTGTAGAAGAGACAGTCAACAACATCAGGAGAAGAAAATCGAAAGAACGCGTCGATTTCACAAAGGTACATGAGCAGATTCCTCCGGTCGACGCGGCACTCGATCCTAGCGCACCGGCTCCAGGCGACACAGGAGCAGGCAGCCAGAATGACGAGAAAGCTGAGAATGCAGCTGCGGATGTTGTTGATCCTGACATGGAAACCTCGCTTGATCAAGGGTATGAAGCATTTCTTCCGGTCTAGAATTTCGTAAAAGAGTAAGCCGAAGTTTTACGCCTTGAATGATTGAATAAGCTGACGTGGGAGTTGCACTAAGTATCTTCTTGCAGCGTTCCTATTTGTAAGTGCACAGTCATTTTCACTGACTGGACTTCTGAACAAGGATTTTTTCGTTTTCCTACTTTAGCTCTACGACCTTATCCTATTAAACAGCCTTTCCGCTAATATAGAAAGGTTGATGGTGCTGATAAGAGGTTCTTTTCGGGTGAGAGGCTCAAAGAGATGATTCCGTGGACCGATTGTACGGAGTACTGCATGGCTGACACGCATTCCCCACCGACTCAATATTAAGGCTACAATGTTGCTCATCAAGGTTTGTGATTATGGATTTGTGTGATCATATGAGTTTAGTGGCAAGAAACTCTCTCTCTCTGGGAAATGCTCTAAGAACGTTGGTATTTTCCTATGGTACAAAAAGACTTCACCAGTTTCGAAGGTCGAAATATCATGCGAGGGGAACAGTTGCTTCCGACGAAAGAAAACGATTTGCGACTCACAGAGGCAGAAGCTCTACAATTCATGACACGTAACTCCTTTTTGAAAATTCTAGACAGACTTTAGTTCGTCATGTAGTACTATCTGTATGTTTGTGTTGTTCTAGCGTTGCAGATGGAAGCACGCAAGCGCAGCGCTTTGTCTCTGTAGCAGAATATTAGACACACACACTCACAGCATCCGGCCCCTTCAATGGTATGGATGTCAATAGTGGCAAATTTTGTCCGATTTGGTGGCAAAAGCGGCTGTGCAATCTCCACAGATGTGGTGACTTTAGAGTTTTTCCTCATGACCAGCGTTTCGCACCTTTCTCGCGCCTCCGCTTTCCACGCGAAGCAGATTGGCTCGAATCTGTTTTGATATTTTTATGTACCTAGTGTTAGTCCCAAATTAAATGGAGTAGGTCTTTACAGCAAGCTCATGTTGATTTCTATACTGAGCCGAGTTAAGTACTATTTTTTCCAAAGCTACCGACATGGAGATGTGAATCCGGAACCAGATAGACATCAAATTTTCTAAGAAATTCGGTTCGAAATCCGCAGACATCAAAAATTTTAGTCCAGGCACCGAAAGGCTTCAACTTCGCTCATTCTAGCTGGGGTGAGCACGACTGTGTCTTTTCTCTCGATGCCTGGCGTGCCTTAGGGCATCACCATACATCGTCGACCGCGAGCAACGTACCCTGTGAAGTCCTTTGTCCGTCGCGAAGAGTGGACAAGAACGGTCAACAGAAAGGATGTAGACAGTTTCGCGTCTCCCTTGAACGACCGCTAATTATGGTTGAGGTGTTGGCCAATCTTTCTACTTGACCTGTTATTCGTAAATTCTATTGGTCCTATGTGACTTTGTCAAGTAGAGAAAAAATAACGCGCGGATATACTAGTTAGTAAAAATAGGCGCATCCTGGTACTACTAACAAACGGCCTAACTGAAACAAGTACGTCTTTTTGGGACATTGTGTCAAGCCATGTCTAAGTTACGCACAGCCTCGAGCTACAAGTGGCAGACGAGGTATACATTACGAATCTGGGTGCAATTTCCACAGAATTTAGAGAAGACACGTGATAATACGTGGACCCTGGTGCTGTCGGACGTGAGCAATAGGCAAGTTCAGAGAATCGAGACGCCGGGAATTCCTTACAATTACGCCAGCTGTACAAAATGTTTTCAGTTTTCCTACTGTAGAAAGAGTTGAGCACTTAGAGTTTTGCTAGGAGTAAGTTACAATCATATTTGAGAATCCAAACACGATAGAACCGTGGTTCTCTCCTTCGATGTTCGCTTTTTCTGAGGAAAATCTAGTTGCGCTTGGTCAGTTGGTGTGACATTGATCAACTCTTTCTTCTAATACAACAAAGAAACATTGAAACCATTCCGAGCTCATGGCCCGCTCGCAGTGATTCCGCATGGTGGCCCGGCTGATAACGAGGTTCGGCGGGAATTTCGGCAGAGCAAAGACGAAGGCCGCATCACTATGGAGGGAAGTCGTGCGGAACTGTAGGTTGCGACTACTTGACAGGAAACGGAGAAGATCAAAGAATCCTGTGTGTGATAGAATGTGACACAGTTTCGTTGGATTGTCATAGGTACGAATAATGCAAGAACGAATCTTCTGATTAACAATCAACTACAAGAAAAAGTTTAAGAAAATGCCGGCTAGATTTCGCAAGAATTAAAGATTGTCACTTGTTCACCAATTTGTAAGAACATCAAGGCAGATACATAGCTAGCGTTCTGCGACACAGGGTCTTCGGACAAAAGCCTTTGGTGCACAATAGCAACGTGACTCCGAAGATGGTATTCAGTCGAATAAGAAGTAAGATTGGTATGACTCGCGAATGCCTCCGTTGTCCGCATCGACCTCGAGGCATGTAACTGTGTCGACAAACTCTTTCGTTTGTGATCTGGCCATATGAGAGGCCGTCGGTTGTATCTGATCTTGTAGCGCGTTAGACAAGGATAACTCATCTGTTGCTTGCTCGTCTGCGTCTTTGCACGTCGGTCTTAGTCGGTCGCTCTTCTTGGTTTTCGCAACAAAATAATGTCTGACTTTGAAATATTCAAGGAATCTGTCACAACATCAATGGCGGCTTCGCTTCGGTTGTGGAGATAGATTGTAGTCTCATTTACAGTAGCACTATCCCTCATGATTATTTCCTCAAATGCAGGAGCCAAAATTTGTTCAGATAGAATGTCAGCGGCGATAACGATCTAGTTTGTCTTATTCCTTAAAGTAGATCAAATTGGTAATTCTTACATGTACTAGAACCGGTTGCTGGTCATGGTCGTGTTGGTTCCAAGCGAGATCTTAGTGGCACATCTCTTGGCCCATCCACCGACACCTTCTTGCAGCAGCACGAGCGGCGGCGGTAGCACATGCAGTGGCGCTGTGTTTTGGAATAGGTACCACGAAGGGTTCGGACACCACAAGAAGCTCTTTTCGATAGAGTCCCGGAGGACTTTTTTCATAGATAGCGCTACGTCTCCGGTAAGGCGCTTTGCTCACCGGATACGTTCACCGAGTAGGAACGCGCTGGGTCCGGCCGCGCTAGGAGGTCGGGCGTTGGATTCAGGTGGAGGCGAATGCTTCTCGAGTGTCCAGAATACGAAATGGGCCAGATCGAAAATAGCGAGTCCTCGTAGACCAGGTCGGGTCGGAGCAAAGACGGCCTTTGTTGATGAAGGCCCCGGAAATCTGGACGGCGCTAAGCAGATGTCAGGCGAATCATCTGGAGCTGAGAAGAGCGACAGCAGATCTCCTCCAGCACCACAAGATGGTTCAGCAGCTGCTCCTCACGCCGGTTCTGCTCCAACTAATGTTCCAGGAGACGCGACTTCACCACATAAGGCGGAGGAGGCCGATGATGGATCGAACACAGACCGTCCAAAAGCGAAGTTGCCACCTCCACCTCCGCTTCCTTCAGACAAGAAGCATAAAGGCAAGATAGGAGTCGTGTTATCCAAGGAAGAAAAGGACATTCTCAGCATCCTCGGAGCACCGAATTGCAGCTTGAATTATGACTGTTCGTTGTAGCATCAACATGATTTTAATATTTCTGGTTCTTCTTTTACGTTTTATGACAGATATCTTGGTTGTCGATAAAAATTCATTAGGGACATGATGCGATGTCGGTGATAGACCGTAACCTTCGCGTAGCAAAGGTGTTTGTAGAGACTTAAGTAGAATTCCAACCAAGGACATCACAGATCTTGAAAAGCGCTAATACGCAGACCAAGACGATGGGAGTGGGATGACTGCGCCAATTACGCGTCCTGTCGAGCAGGGAATGAACGACAAGCATCGCTACATGATAATGGCCTATACCGCACAAAAAGCGCACCTCCTACGATTGCTCTACCAGTTCCAGAGTTACTTGCTGCATCTAGTTATGCAATCAAATGTTGCAAATGTAGATTCAGATGCTAGCGGTCGTGTTGTAATAGGTCCTAGTACGACCACTTCCTGCGTCGAGAAATTTTTTGATACGAGATTGAATTCTTCATGTGATGATTGCCTCGACTAGAGAAAGACCTAAACGTAAACTATGACTGCTCTTTGTTTGAAGAGATAGATTATATTTTTGGGTCGGCTCCTCGTCTGTAACGTAGAAGTTTGTATTTTTGGTCTAATCCCAATACTTCTCCTGTTTCGGATCCCGAAGAACGTAGCACAGCAGTGCACGGTGCCCATGCGTTTGTTTTGCGGTATGCGCGTGCGGTGGACCAACTGGGCGCTCTAGTTGATGAGGAATTTTTAGAGGTGGAACGAAAGGCGCGCAAGGTGATGAAAGGCATCATTGCTTCTGAGCAAGAGAAAGAGAAACTGAAAACCACGTTGCAAGGAGCCGCAAACGACGCTTCTGCAGGGCCTGCCACGACAGGCATTCGCGACCTGATGGAGTACAATCACATGGTGAAGTGCTACGCGTTTGGAGCCGAAGGCATAAGGGATTACCCATCGGACATGGCAGAAGCATCTGGAGATGGGGCGGTGACGAATTCGAGTACAACACTGACAGTTGAAGCACCTTCAGCAGATGCAAAGACGTCTCCTGCAACTGAGACGACATTACCGCCATCTCGTGAAGAATTCTGGCACCATCAAGATGCGCGAAAAAATGCAGAGAAAAAAGACGGCGAGAAGGAGCTCGATGTCGGGCAAAGGGTATAACTTTTTCTTTGGAGACTGGTGCTTACTTCCTTGTATCAAAGGGTGATACTACTCGCCAAGGCTTGGCACATCATTACATCTTTTAATTAAGGTAAGTTCATGATTGGTATTTTTCTACTTATGCGTCTCTTGTGTTTGTTGAGATCTGTTCTATCTTTTCTTTATCCTTCCGTACTGAATACGAAAGCAGCTAGTCTGAGACATCCATAATTTGACACATCTTTAGTTTTATATTATCATCTTTATAGTGTTTACTTTCTAGTCGATTTGATGCGTTTCTGTGTGGATTGTGTGATGCCAAGTTCCAAGCTTTTCTTTTAGTTTCCAGGGGCCTCAGAAGCGCATGCCGCTCATTGCGCATGGATCGTTACTACCAATCCGCTGCTTGAAATAGATTTTTCCTTTGATTGAAAACCAAAACAAGTCTGTTTCTCTTCTTTTTGTATCAATCTAGATATTGCGATTTCGCAAAGAGTGGATTGAAGGGCTTGGCAGTGACTGGGAAACGACGAAAGAGTATGAAGACACCGTTGCCAGTACTGGAAAGGCCCCGGAAGGCCATGTGGACGAAGGAAAAAAAGAAAAGCTGGAGACTCTCCTGTGGAACTGGCCTGAAATGTTTAACCCGTGGATGCCTCCTGTGAATCACAAGTCCGCAGAGCAGCAGCAGTGCGCGCTAGGGCACCTTGCTCCTCGAAATTTTTACGATCCGGCGCACGAATTCTACAACTATGTTTCGAATTTAGTGAAGTCGGTAGCCACACACGCAGATGAGCAGGTGGTGAAGAACAAGGAACCAGAAGGAGGTAAAGGCGCGAGGAGCGGTATGGCATCTTCAGATCTGGCTGGAGGGTGCCCGAAGGACTGTCTGCCTAACATGTGGACGAAGATCATGATGAGACGCCGGGCCCTAGGTCACGAAGAAAAGTATGAAGGTACCTACTTTCCTGCAGGCTTTCGCGTTGCGCTATTTTTAAATGCTTTGGCGGGAAGTCAACTAAGCAGTGCACAAAAACGGCCGGCACTGCCTCCATACTGTCGCGGGAGTGCGCTGCTTAGCGATGTGCCCCTGCCTTTTTTCAGGTTCGCCTTTCTCTTGTTTTTGTTTTCTGTGTTTCCCCGCGCCTCTCCAGAATCCACCCCACAGGGCGGCGGGCATGTGTCGGGAGATTCTGGAGGGGCGCGGGGGTTCTAGTCATGCCCAAGGTATTTTGCTGGCTTGTGGGAAGGCTTTCGCTGAGAGAGTAGAATAGACGGCGGGGGTTTTTGAGATTCTCACCATGTACGGCAAGGTTGAATATTGTTCGAATTTTGGTAGTGCTTGGCTGACTTTTCCTAGTTGCGTTTTGCTTGTGTGTTTGGTGGAGACAAAATCTTCGTTCTTCAGATAGCGTGCATCTACGTACTGCGCTTTTCCTCCTTTGAGTTCAAATCTGTTATGCCTTAAAGGACAGTGAAAAATGTCACAAAGAATAAATGTATCATTTTCCAAAAAGAAACGATGAAACTGTTCTTTGATTGTATCGCAGATGCTAAGCCGGACTACGTGATTCACGATTTGCATGCTGTGCGGAAGATCAAACTGAATCAAGTGTGCAACGCTACGAAAGGCTTCCGCTCTGGTTGGGACGCTTTGTTTGACGAGGATGGCAATGTGCGAAAAGCTGCGGGGGACAGTGCTACATGGAAACTGGCTGCCTGCACTCGTTGCCCCCTTTATCAAGATTCAGTCGAGCAAGCCAAATTGCTATCCCTGAGGTATCCTTCAGCAAAAGGCGGCAAAGGTAAAGAAGAAAAGAACATGGAGCGATATACCCAATTGGATTCCGAACTGCAACGAGCAGAGAATCGATTTGAGGACAAGGACGGAGGGAAGGGCTCCTCGAAAACGGTTTCGTTAAGGCACAGATTAGTTATTACAAAGTAATTTTATCTCAGATGTAATGGACTCAGGGTGAGCATCGCTATTCCCCATCCAGCCAGGTGGGGCATGGAGATCCTCGCTTGCCACTACGACGTGAAAAAAGACAGTGAAAAAACATTGATAAGAACTAGATGAGATGGACAACCAAGACCAGTCCAGCGGGACCAGAGTTTTTTAGCTCTAATGATACACCAAGTGCAGTCGCTAGTCGAAGACGATTTTTCCGATGCAAGTGACAAAGCTTTACCGTACGAATTCACGCGCGCTTTGGGAATGTCGTGCGGTCGGCCGGACATTGCGTACTCACTTTCGCCTGCTGGTTTTCCGTTGATGACCCCATCTGGAGGTGTCCTGCCGCTGGGGTCAAAGCTAATTGAGGTCCCGACTGCGCACATGACTCGCCCTCTGGAGTCCTTGCATAAGTATGGCATAATCTAGTGGATGAAGGTGACACGAAAGATATTTTGTTCTTTGAAGAGGGATGTGCAGGTTTTTTACCTCTAGATGTAGAGTAGATCCCATAGCAGCACTGTTCTCTCCGCTTCTAAGCATGTTTTCATTTATTTCGGAGAGGTGAGTACTCTCAATATTGAAAAAAGTCGATCATGTGGAATCCTCTCCACCCGTCTATGCGTGAGTCGTTTTGCTGAGGGAATTGATGCTCGAATCAAAATCCCTCATTATATATGCGAGTAAGTACTTAGTCAACATGGCATGAATGGGTACTCCTTTCGCGACTTCCACTTCTAATCCGTTGACATTTGCCTCGTTTCGGCTGCGCCCATGCGCAATCGACCACGGTCTATCGCGGCAGGAGACGAGGAGAAGCATGTACGACCCGAAGAGCGTGCCTTTCGAGATGTCTATGACAAGTGGTTTACGCTTGATGACAGAATGAAGCGTGTTCTCGGCATTCCTACGGACAAGGACTGGGAGAATGCCGAGAAGCAAGCCGTCGAGGAAGTTCTCGCGCAGGACAATCGCACTGAGAAAGGTATCTTGCGGCCAGACCTCAGGAAAGTGCCACCGCCTGTGCCTCGTGATGCTAAGGAGGTTCAAGAAGAGCTCGGTGATGTCAAGTCTGCGCTGAAGGCCCTGCGTGGGGGCGACGGCATTCCGGACTTCGATGAGAATCTGAATTTTGTTGCGAAATCTATGGAGGAGAGTTTGAGCGACATGGACGACTATCTGAAACAGGTAACGAAACGAGCAGACTATGCGTGGCAACCATCTACTGGGGTGGAAGAAGATGATACTCATGCATTTGGAGGTTCAGGCGATCCTGTCGAAGCAGTCAGGCGAATAGGCGATAGCATGTCAGAGAAACTGGACAAGATAGGACCGGCGTTGGAAGAAGCGCATCGAAACATTATAGGTTGGGGAAACGCGACAAGGAGGAAGATGATGCGTAAGGTTGGCGACGAATCAAATCATGGTGCGGTGAACTACTCAACGGCACGCCGCGCAGCGGACAAAGTTGCAAAAAGGCTTGTAACCAGGCCACTCTTATCCGATGTCGGAGACGTGGAGGAGACGGAGATGGATGGGAACACTCAAGCGAAGAAGACCCCCCCGCCGAGGAGCTTTGTGGAGCTTAGGGGAAGCGAAGAAGCAGGTGGCGAGGACACTTCTCCAACCTCAGCGCCAGGAAGCGAGGAACTAACAGGCGGAAACGCTGAGGGCGCGAAAAGCGCGGCTAGGGCTGGCACAACAGATCATGGGGTTGATGACTCTGGTAAATATGGCGGCACTGAGATAGCGCCAAACGAAGTTGGTTCTGTCGCGTACCCGGATGCCGCGCTCGGCAGGAAAAGTCAAGGCGATGCTGGTAGGGCAGCTGACGAAGAATCAGGACCACATCTCTCTGAAGAAACTCCGGGTCCGAGTAAGAAGTCGATGTCAGAACTGCTTCTAGGGGCTCCTACCACGATGCTCCGTGCCTTCTGTGGAAGCAAGGTCGGCGAACCCGAGAAGGACGCAAGGGATCGGAGATTTGCGGATGCATGTGCGCGAAGTGTTCCTGCCTATACGTTAAATTTTCTGTAAATCTGTGCCACCGGCGAACATTGAGTCGTGTGCTCCAAAAATGACTTTTGCGTATTCCGTTTCGTTATTATGATTCCGAGGCGCATGAGATTCAATGATTTCTTTTGATTCATTCTGAGTTCTGCCTTCCGGAGCACAAGGATAATACTCAATTTCCAAGAACTGACTCTTTTATTTACAAGTGGATAGTGTAGGCTGTAGTACCAGCAAATACCACGTTGAGGTGCCACGAGTGTTCTTGTGCTGTGAAAAAGAGATACTTCTTCGGGTTCCAGGAAGTGTTAATAGTAGCAGCTGCGTGCGCGCGCAAAACCTTTCTTGTTGTGCCATGACCCGATCGGACGTGCATGGCGCAGTGCAGCGCAACACCAGATCTTGAATTCACTATCAACGATCCTTTTGTAGCATTTTGCACTTGGACAGTTGGTTTCGGATCACGTTGTCGAGGGAACTGCGTATAGATACATCATCTTTCATACATGGAGGGAGGAACAAGATTCTCTCCTTAAAGAATCATGGCAGAGCTTGTAACATCGTCGTCTTCTTCTTCATCTCCCCCGCTTGATCCTTCTCTGCCGCCCGCTGGTGGCGTGGTGCCGCTTCCCGCTGAAAAGCAGTGCTTCACCCGTGTGGAGTGGCCAGAAAATTTCGTTGATGAAGGACAAATGTCCTCGGGGGGCCGAGCGAGCGTGAGAAAAAGTAGTAGATTCTCAAACAGCTCAACCGAGACAATTCAGGAAAACGGACAAAGGCGGTCGAGATCTTTATCAGGACAGGTAGGAGCGTCAGGGCATGGAGAAGTGGCTGTGAAGTCAGCAGAAGGAGCAGGCGGAAGAGGACACGATGGGGTGAAGTCCGCGGCAAGCCAAGGAGCAGGCGGAAGAGGACACGATGGACGGTAATATTTTTGTTGATTTGCTGCATACTCTGTATTTACTGTTTCTTGTTCTACTGGTGTAGTTTTGCATCCGCTAATTGGTTTGCTCTGGATTTTTGAATAAGTCCATCGTAAGACGTGCAGTTGTTATTCTTGTCGCGATCTTGATTACCCATAATTTCCCCCGTAAATGATTATAAGATCACAAAAATGTTGCAACCATCACTCTTTTCACTTTCAGGACATTTGCAACAGCAGATAACGAGATTGCTGTCATTGTGTCAAACGAAGAGACATCTCCACTCCTTCCTGAAAAAAATACGTCTGCTGCTCGGCCTCCGAAGAGCGACGTTGTTCCAAGATCCACTCCACGACCACTACCATCAACAAAGAACAACAGTAATAGTCCAAGGAGACCAGCTATGCCTGCAGCAAGAGCAGAAAACAGGGTAGCAAGCAACGGGAGACAATCACCCAGACTAATGGGACCGGCCAATATAACGAATCCTGTAAGTGCTGGCCGACCACTGTTGAAGCGCGGTGGTGACGAGGATAAGGTTAAATCGTTGAAAATCAGAATTGGAAAGACCCCTGAGAACAATCCAGCAGCGTCGCAGGTCGCGCGGTGCTACAGCCGCATCGAATGGGGCGTGGTCGCAATGTGGTCAGGACTAGTTTTGCTTCTCTTTACGGCTTCCTGCTCTAAGTTATTCGTTGTTTCTTCTTTCATCTTGTACTTCCGATAAGTCATTTCATAAATCTCGATATTCTACTGCTCCTCGTCTGTTGTAGTATACGCAAGTATAGCTTTCTCACAGTTGAGCCCATAGATACCACTTTTCGTTTCTCGTAGTTGGACGTTTGCATTCTTTCGGAGGGCTTTGAGTTTAATAGCGATTTCAACTCTTTACAGCACTCCGCTGTGCTACTTTGATTAGTATACAGAACTAGCTAACTGTCATTGTCCCACTTCACACCACAGTAAAGAGACTAGTCGCTAATTCATCTGCAGTGGCTATCTTGTCTATCCAAGCGTACATATCGCAAAGAGACCAGGCGCAGGTGAGTGCTCACTTCCGTAGAACCCTGGCTCTCCACTCTGCGGCTGCGGAAAATTTGAAGCAAGATTTTTATGATGAGGATTATTGAAGGAACACTTGGACTTATATTTTGTCGTAGATTGACTTGCTTAATCAGAATCCCGCAAAAAGAACTTGCATTCACTCAATTCTATAACTTCTGACACTCTACTTCCCAAGCTGATCAAGATCGTATCGTGGATTTTGCACTTTTTTTAGATACTGCACAATCTGCTCAAGGTTGTTCTTCTTTTCGTCCGGCATGGACGTCGATCTTCTTTCTAAGTATTTATTTCCCCCAATTATATCAGTCTACTTTGATCTACTATGGTCTTGGGAGGAATGAATGTAGTTTGGATGCTCGAGACGGACATAAAAGTCCCCTCGAAGAAGATCTTCTTGTAAAATGATTAGATAAAAGGACCATCTTCATGTTGCGATGGCGGTTAGTCAGCAGGCGGAAATTCTGCAGAGAAACGCTGATGAAATGACAGCACACATAGACCAGTTGGAGAAAAACACAGAGCGGCAACTGCGTGAAAGCACGCAGGAAATCACTGCGCGTGTAGACCTGTCAGAGAAACACACAGAGCGGCAGCTACGTGAAAGCACGCAGGAAATCACTGCGCGTGTAGACGTGTCAGAAAAGAAAACAGAGCGGCAACTACGTGAAAGCACCCAGGAAATCACTGCGCGTGTAGACCTGTCAGAGAAGAACACAGAGCGGAAACTACGTGAAAGCACCCAGGAAATAACTGGACGCGTAGATGGGTTGGAGGCTACAACGAGGGCTACTGCAGAAAATGCAGAGCGGCAACTACGTGCAAGCACCCAGGAATTAACTGGGCGCGTGGATCAGTTGCAGGCTTCAACGAGGGCGTCTGCAGAAAATACAGAGCGGCAACTGCGTGAAAGTACCCAGGAATTAACTGCGCGTGTAGACCAGGCGGGGAAGAACACTGAGCGACAATTACGTGATAGCATGCAGGAAATAACTGCGCGTGTAGACCAGGCGGGGAAGAACACTGAGCGACAATTACGTGAAAGCACGCAGGAAATAACTGCGCGTGTAGACCAGGCGGAGAAGAACACTGAGCGGCAAATACGTGAAAGCGCGGAGGAAATAACTGCACGTGTAGACCAGGCGGAGAAGAACACTGAGCGGCAAGTACGGGAAGGCACGGAGGAAATAGCTGCACGTGTAGACCAGGCGGAGAAGAACACTGAGCGGCAAGTACGTGAAGGCACGGAGGAAATCACTGCACGTGTAGACCAGGCGGAGAAGAACACTGAGCGGCAAGTACGTGAAGGCACTGCTGCACTGGATACCAAATTGGAGAAGATCCTTGCAGGACAGGCAGAAGCCCGAGAGAAAGACTTATGTGATGAACTATTCAACTTTTTCCACTTCCCAATAGCCTGGGCTAAGGACCACTACTTCCTTCTCTTTTAGTTCTGAAAGAGTGTCATCTTGTCATCTTACGCTTTTGTTCTGGAATGTCGAAATTTCTGTTCGTGGGTTCTAATGAGGCAAGCCGAACGAGCAGAAGAGAAGAAACGCCAAGAGGAGCAACACCAACGAATTATTGATCTTCTGCAAAATCGGCCCTAAACCTAACCGCCGCCCCACTGAGCAAGGGCAACTTGAAAGAGGAGTCGACGGTCAAAAGAGGCTGGTTACATTTTGAAGAAAGTTCGACGTCAAAGTGCATCGCTTGTACACCAACGACTCAAAAAATTGCAGTCTTAAATACCGAGAATCTAGCGTTGGAGTCGTGCTTGTGAAATATGATGACGGCATATAGTGATTCGATTTGTTTTAAAGATGGGTATTGCAAAAGGTACTGCAGTATTTTGAATTTCAATTAAAACTGGTATGCAGATTACTGGAAGATGAAGAAAATTCATGATATACGTACTAGAGGGCTGTTCTGCTTGTTCGAACAATGGATTCTGGATATTCATTTGAATTTGTTTTCTTTGTTTTTTACATCGCAGAAACGCAGACGCCAATAAATACACGTGACTGTCGTAAGAAAAATATACAAACCAAATGACGATCATGAAAATTCATGTGCTATTACCTATCGACTTTTGTTGACCATTTGCATTTTCATCAGTACTGAAAACTGTCTTATGTCCGGATCGATGCATAGTCAAAAAGCCCTCAGTTGTTGCTCTTTGGGTGTCCTGATGCGACGAAGAACGAACCTGAAGATATTGATTGATAGCATGAAGAAACGGAAGATGGATTCGTGTAGCTGGTGCACATTTTCAGAAGAGATTTTTCTATCAATCTGTGACGACTTGTCCTCTGAATAATAGTCAAATGCGTAACTGCTTCTGGTGCTGGCCGCCGTGTTCGTCTAGGAGGCATTGGTCTTGAATTGGGCGAGACATTCGTTGGATGCTCTGTCCAGCAGATTGACTACAGTTATGCGGGATATTTGTTGGATGCTCTAGAACGGCAAATGTGTATGATGATGATCCCTCTCTGCAGAGTGCGAAAAGTAGGATCGAGAACAAGAAGCTGAGTGGAGGTAATGAGCGTAGGATTGCATTTCTAGTCTTGATTTGGACAAAGTTGAAATGACATTGCATTACTAGTAGGCGCAGCTGCTCATCCGAGAAATCAACCCCGGTGTACTAAGTGAAATAAGACGAGTATTGAAAGTATCAATCGTCAAGCTCTTTCTAGGATTCTATCATGCGGCACGTTCAAGATTTTATCCTGAGCCATGTTGTAGAAAAACAAACTAGGGAATGCTGAAGTGGTTTCTTTTTTCATGTCGTGTTAATAAAAAGAGTTTGCATGCTGGACTTACAACTGTTGTTCCGATTACTACGCAGATTTACGATGATCAACATCTCTTCAATCGTAATTGCACAACATTTCTGCACTTTTAAGCATTAACTTCTTTCTCATAAAAAATACCAAAAATAAAATGGACGAGAACAACCATCCGTCGTCGTCCTCTGCGTCGTCACGCAGAGATCGACCAGCGGACGACGGCAACCCCTATGGTTTGGGTGTTCCCCGGAGAGCGAGTGGCGAGCCAGATCTCAAACGCTCGCGGGTCGAGGGCGTCGCTGCCGCTGCGGTTGATCATTGTAGAGGACTGGCCGCTGAGGCTTTTCGAAGGGGGAAGACCCCTGACGAGGTGATCAAGCAGCTATCGCGGATGTATGCCAGTGATCGACTGGGAAATCTGACAACCACCGAGTTTCGGCAAGTGCTCGACGAAGTGGCCCAGCACGAGCATATCAGCAACCAGCAGACTGCAGGGGCGACATCTCCGGCCACAATCTTCGATGACACCGCAGGAGTGCCTGCCCCACTGGGATTCGTGTCTGTTTCCGACGAACCTATGCCAAACGCAGTCGACAGTCAGAGCCCGCTTGGCCTTCATGATGGAAGCGCGAGCGCCGGCGCGATGCTCCAACTTAAGGCGCGACATTTGATAAGTTACTTAGTCGCTCCACCACACTCATTCGCTCCGTCAAAGCAATCGTGTTATTCTTTTTGCCCTGGCTCCTCGAGCAGGTGTTGCCTGCACGAAGGGCGCCAGAGTACCTACTATTTTTCCAGTGTGATTCAAAGAGCCATAAGGGTACTGCTTCCAGCGGAGTACTACTGTACTACCAGAGTTGATAGTATGTTATTGTATGATCAAGCGCTAATCAGCAGGGAGCGGAATCGCAACAATCCTCCATGTCGCAGGGATCGGCAAGCCAGCCGTCGGCCGTTTCTTCCGTTCCCCTCAGCATCTCCGATTACGACGAGGTGCCTGACCTTCCGAGGTTCTACGAGAACAGCGAAAACGAGGCGGAGAAGATGAAAGTCCTTAGAGCAGGCGGGGAGCTGATTCAGCATCTTGCCGGGCGGGCGAAGAAAAGCGGGGTGTGGTATACTTTTCTTCACAACTATACGAGGACCAAGAATAACGAAACGGGCGACAGAGAATGCAAATACAAGGTTATGGCCTACTCTCTTACGCAGCATCAAACGCATTTCGGCCGTCCACTTAGACACTAAATTCTGCTGTCAATTTTATTTCGTCGTCTTCTTTTCCCTTTGATTCAGACAGAAGTTGCATGTTCGTGGCGACACAGCATGGCCATGCGTCGCATCGTAAGCTTGCGTCGGATTAAAAAGGTTATCTCCTACGCTCGCTGACGATTCCGAGGATAGCTGTTGATTTTTTAGTGGGTCACCGAGGAGGCCGACGGAATCTGATCTCTCACCTTTCTGGGGCTTCTAATGATAACTGGCGAACGACGATGCCCGCAGTGCTTGCCGGTGTCGCTGAGAGCGCACCTTCCGAAGATGACGACGGAAAGGAGCGCACACACTTTCTCTACGAGGCAGATTTCTACGGGCTGCTTCAGCTATTGCATAACGCTTGCAAGCATGTGGACGACACTGAAAAACGGACTGGCGGCGTTGTGGCATATGTCCACGAGAATGCGCGCAACTGGCTACGGGACTACGCGCGTGCGGCAAAACCAGCTTGGCGAGAAACAGAAGAGGACAAAGTCATCCGCTCCCCGAATTTGATCTTTTGGGTTGTTATGAATATGAACATTTCAGAGAAAAGACACACCTTCCCTTGTAAGTAAAATAATCCATTGTTTGGCATCCGCACTTTCTGTCAGAAGTAGGTCAGCCGTATCCCGTATGGATTGTTTTCTAAAATTCTTCGGGGTAGCCCTTGTGTCGGATTAGAAGTATGCAAGCATGTCGAGCAGAAGTTTGGTTTTTTATGTAGGTGGACATTGGCCATAGGCAGAGCTGTAATGGAAGTAGCACGGCTAGGAGTTGTAGTCTAGTACTGCTCCGCTCTCCCTTTCATTCGGTTCCGCGAGATGCCTGACGTTTTACGTGATGCGCACGCAATAAGAAAGCGCTGTAGCGAGATTTCAGCGAGGGAGAGAGCTCTCCAGTGTGGCTCTGTGAGCAAGGAGCGGCAGCTTTACGGGCGTCTGCGGGTTATGTCGTTCGCACATGGAGACCAGGCCTTCGCATTCGGGGGGAGTGCACTACACAAAGCAGTGGAGGGCGGTGCCGTCGAGGATGTGCGGAAACACGTGCAGCACGGTTATGGCTTCCCCTCTTGAAGCGGTTCGTTCGTTAGTGTTTCGGTAGTGGGCATATAGCTTGGCTGTCTGCTTTTGCGGATAGTGTACTTTCGGAATTCAACTACATCACATTGCAGCTCGGGCTTCGGCTCTTTTCGTTTAGAATCCCTGATGGAAGTTGCGCTTGCGCTCTGAGTGTCTGTTGTGTGGTGCCTCTCTAAGACGCAATCGATTTGGAGTGGAGGAATACTTGGGGTGAAACCGCGCTGGAGTGTGCCGAATACTATGCGGGTAGGCTCTGGGAATCAACTGAAGAGACGGAAAAAGGACGAGCTTGGGCCAGTGCTACGCGGAAAATCGTGAAGGTTCTGAGGGACGCAAGCAGAACGCTTGAGGCGGCTCCCTCTTAAGGTTCGCCGCTCTTTGGGTAGCGTTATGCCATCATCTGCGACATCTGCGCGTCTCCTGACATTTTGGTACCACGAGAGTGATTTCTACCTGGACGGTGCTCCGTCTATTAGTGGAGTCCTCCGTCTATTAGTAGAGTGATCGCCACCCTATCGAGTATCTATCGATCTACTTCTCTCGTCCGATGAAGTACCTTATACACAAGATTTCTGGCTTATTTTTTGGGTTTACGCTCTAGAACGACTGAGAAGCGATAAGAAGAAGACACCTCAAAGTAGTGGAATTTTTCTCCTGCTGCGTCGTCTTCTTTTCCTTTCCATTCGGTACATCTTCGGTCCAAAAAACAACTAGCAACAGCAAGTAGAGAGAACGACATCCTCCATCTTCTTCGAGTACAAGCACAAACATGTAGCTCCAACTGGTTGAAAAGTTGTGCGCGAATAACAAGCTGCACTTGACTAGCTGTGCAATTTGTACTATTCCTCAATATAAAGATGCGAAGCCCATCGTCAATTTGGTAGTTATGCTTATGTGTCCACGACCCAGTTAAGTCAGTTCTTGAAGATACAATATCTCAGTCTATCTTTGGTCCCAATTCCACTGTACGCGTTCATCACTGTCCGAATCAATACTTGCTTTGTACCTCCTTCTCTCAGTTCTTGACTGCGTATCTAATATCATTTTTACATGCAATTACAGAGGTAAAATCGCTCGATCCTTTTCCAGACACAAGCAAAAAACAACGCATAGAAGTGAGTCAAATGATCTTGACGCGATTCCTACTAAATTCTGGCTTCAGTATCACCCCGCGGACTATTGCAGTACCACTTTTTGACTCTAAGCAAGCCAAGCTTCATTCCCTCCAATTGATTTCCGACGTCAAACGAAGTCAAATAGATATTATCTGAGAAATTCCTTTTCCAAGAATTCGCTTCACCAGGTGAAGGTGGCAATGTACCCCAAGCAGGCGGGAAAGGATTCTTCATGGACTCTGACGGGTGGTAGGGTAAGCCTCTGTTAAAGATGCAAAACACCATATAAAGCAAGAAGCCCAATATGAACCTTTGCTGACCAGTCTGTTAGGAACAAGATGTTATCATCGGTGGATGGTTGCTGAGGAAGAGAGGGAGAGAGAGATGGAGTCGAGGCCGTTGTTGTTGTTGTTGTCGTTAGGGAATCTGTATTAATTTATCGGAGTCAGTCAGTATTCTTGCTTTCATTTCTGATGAGGTGATCCACGATGTTTCGATAGACGTCACCAGAAAGATTAGTTCCTTCGGGAGTACTTGATCAAAAGTGCTAAAGGACACTACTGTAAGTCAGAACTGATCTCGACTTGGATCTAAATCTTATAGAGTTTTTGCTCTCTTTGATACTTGCTGGCGCGAATAACAGTATGTCCTCTATCACGAAGGTGTCTGTTGGTCCAGACGATGCTGGGCAGGGCGGTGTTGGAAAACTACCACCTTCCAACAAGAACTTGCCTGATTTCGTGCTGCACAACACGTGGCCAGAGGGAGAGGCGTATAGCGTGATAGAAGAAGTGAAAGCGGTCATCGAGAGGGTCGAATCGAGCACGTCTTGGAATCATGGGATGTTATCAGGTCAAAACCTTCATTACAGAAGCTAGCCAGAAGATTCCGATGCCGAACAATTTGGTCGGCTATCATGATGGAGAGGAACAGAATCTTCAAAACGGTGATGCTGCTTTGTTCGCTGCTGGGACCTCCTCCCTCAAACGCTGAGCAGATAGCCTCGAATTTTGAAAAAAACGGCATAGGGTTGGACTTTGGTAAACATGGATGCAGCGGGGTTCGCGGAGCGGGGAGTCACCTCTGCGGTAGCGAGAGCCAGAATATCTGGCTTGATCGAGAAAACACAGTCCGATCTCTCTTCGGGAGTGAAAAATGCCGAAACTATGCGAAAGGTTGTAGAATGATCTCGTGGAGATATGGATTCTAAGGATCTTGAAAGAGAAGTACAGCAAATCGCGGTTGCAGGAAAAGAGACGAAAATTATCGTGTACTTAGTCGATATGAAAACTACTTCTACGCCAGACAACCCAGTTCCAGAGCCACAGGACGTTGAAACTGACAATCTAGCCAAATAATCCACAGCCAGACTGCATGCTGCATGGAAAGAAGTGACTGTTCGTGAAAATATGGTCACCTTTCGTCATGGCGGTGCCGCCGAGCACATGTCTTTCTGGCATAAGGGAGTTGCGCATGCAACCGGCAATGGTGCTCCTGCGAAACGGCATGTGCTCTCGTTCCTAGGAATGTACAATGTTTAAGACTCCAACTACTTTCAATTTAGAGCACGCAGCAGAAAAACTTCTTCAAAGATGATCCTATGAAGATACCAGACGACAGATACGGTGAATCTGCCGACGTCCCTTCTTATTATTTTCCCTGTTCAAAATGTATAATATGATCTAAGTATCTAAGATTTTGTTGCCTTGCTCATTTTCACGGTTTGCTTTGCGGAGCTCTCTCTCTTGGGCACCAAGCCTCCGCAGAACTACTTTGATGTCGTTTTATTCCTGCTTCACGGCTTTTCTGCGGCGATGTCACCTATGGGAATCAATGCGACCGCGATCGCCTTCAACGTCAGCAGTGCTTGCCACGAGAACAACGCGATACTGCTATTCAAGATGCCAGGCATGTGCGCGTATCTGAAGCAGTGCAATGACATGTGTCTATTGGGCTGCATGCCAGCGACACTTGCGATTTTCGTTCTGCTGGCAAAGATCGGTGTGGGCCCATTTGTGGACTGGTGCTCCAACGGTTTTGAAGCTGGGACCACTGCTAGAACGTCGGCTACCACAACCAAGAGGGATGATGGTCTGATCGTTACCACTTTTGTGTTGACAGTACTGCAGTTGTTGTTTGTTTTCCGGTTTGGTCCTCGAAACGAAGCTGCGGTTCCGTGTACATGTTGCGTCTTTTTCGGCGGGTTGATGCAGGACCAGCCGGTGGCCCCTGAAGACTGGATCCGAGACAATCCGACGTTGGACCCAGCGGTCTGGGCGCTGAACAAAGATGGCGTAGAAATCGAACAGTATATTTGCGGAAGAGCGATGGAAAAAATTATGAAGGAACAACACATGTTGTTGTTGTACTGAGCACCGTGCGCCGCCAAAAAGAAAAGAGCTGCTTGTTGCGTCTATTGTTGATTTGTAACTACTTAGACTTTCCGTGCTTAGCAGACGCAAGTTGTTGTGGGCATTGGTCATTTAATTTGGTCGTTTATTGAATACGAAAGGCATAACTTCTCTTTCTAAGAAAATGCGCATCTTGGATGAGGCTGACATGCTGTCGACCACGTACACGGAATACGCGAAGAATTCGTTGAAGTGGTTCTGGCGCCGGCGTGGGTGGTTAGGCTCGAGCGTGGCGGTGTCGCTGGCGGTTCCGCAGTTGCACAGGGGGGCGGACTTGTGAGACGAAAAGTTAGCAGAAAGATGTCAGGCATGCAAAGGTTTGAAACTTGAATGCTGTAGATCGGAAAATGCTTTAATACAGATTATGCTCCACGTACATTATGCTGATAGGATTGAGGACTTGATGATAATGAAATCTTCTACCAACTGCTCCGCTAGTAGCATGTATTCCGTTTCGGCTGCATGTGTTCGTTTCTGTTCCTTTGGGACTCGATTATCATGTTCACCTTGTATCTTGTGCGTTGCAACATTTGCGAAATCATTTGTACTAAATTTGGGAAGTACATGTGCTTCTCTGGTAAGTACAATAGAGAAATCATGGACGATGGTCTGCTGTAGGGGGCAATCATTTTCTCCTATCCAAAACATGAAGATGCCTCATTGCTTGTCAATCTCCCGCGGACACGAGCAGCATGCGCGCTGCAGCAGAAGGACATGGGTTGCTACCGTCCTATGTCATGTTTTGCGACGGAGTTGCTTGTTATTTGCGACACCAGCGCATGCATTGGAGCCGACACATAATGTAGCCGAGAGTGAGTCGCCATCACGGCAAGAGTGGGGGCTGAGCGATTATCGTTCTGCTCTGAAGGCCTTTGCTGCTCAGTCAATGCTGGACTTGCAGTCTGGGCGGTTCGTGCCACTGGAAATGAGGAGGAGAAATGCACCACAGATGAATATGGATGATGTTTATTCCCTGCGTACGACGATCGAGGCTCCCCCATAGGCTAGACGTTTTTGAGGGGAAAAGGGTAGCCGTGATGGTCTCGCTAGATGGAAAAAACGTCATCCATAATTACCGGCCCGATCATTTCCGCGAACAATGAAGAACTAGACCATCAAGACGACTATGAACGAATTTTATGGTCCGCTTATCCGCGCTCTGATATGGTGAAGTCGACTCTCAACGATAGTCGTGGAACAAAGAGGAGTGAGAATCGTCCAGAACAGTTGCCCTCTGCAACTCGTCTTCTAGAAGCAAGAACAGCTTCCTTACTGCAGACAGTCGCCTCATTCACTACTCCGAGTTCGAAAGTCTATGACGGCGGTTTGCGGTTTCTACCACTGCGCCGGACACTGAAGACTGCAGATGCGCCTGTTGGAGTGCTCATTGGCTTCGACGCCAGTTCCAAATCCTTCGATATTTTACATGGCGTGACACTAGAGCTTTTGGCTACTTTGGATACTACGAAACGCGTTAGCCCCCGTCGTAGAATACGAAAACAGGAGGCCGTTTACGGTTTTACCGAAACGACTTCTTTGACAGACGATGAAGGTAATGGAAAGGTGGACGAAATGACGAGCCAACATCTTCCTGACAGTGAAGAACCTGATTCACGGCCCACTAATTTGGCTGAGGAACAACAGGATAGGCTGGTGTCCACACCGATGGGCGCGGCAGAAGATGACCCTGATAATACTGACAGAGACAAGTGTTTGGAGCTGCTACGTGGCGACATGAATATAACTGTCTTACCCAGCCACTGCAAAGAAATTCATAATGACACGAGCGTGGTTAACAACGATGAAGAAATGACAAGTGAGGCTGAAGATGAGGAAGCAGAGGTGACACCTCTGCAACCCGAGTGTCATGGAACAGGAAGTTTCGATGTGGCCGTGCTCGGTCAGGAGAAATTCCTCATTTTTCAAACAAAAGGCGGCTTGCTGGCGCAGGTGAAAGTGTTGGCTTCAATAGTCAGACCGAGTGACCGCGTTGTCGTGCGTTTTGCGGAGACGCAGGTGAGCCCCGTATTTTCTTCAGGAGTCGAAGGTGATGATGTGCAACTACAACCTGACTCTCCTAGAACCCTGAAAGGAACCATACACTGGATGAACGTCACGGACGTTTGTAGGAAGGACACGGAGCTTGCGAACACGCGCAGCGAAGAAACAGAAACTGATCGTGAAGATGAAGGTAGCAGAAAAGTGAACAACAACAACGGAGCCCTAACTTTGTCGGACATCAAGCTAACGTTCGTGCCAGGTCGCTCTTCGGTGACACGGGACGCGCGTTTTGTCTTCGTTACTAGAGCAGAGGAAGACCACTCTGGAACGCTTTTGACTGTCAATCGTCGAGTCGGTAAGCGTGTGCGGACAGTAGCGTTGTTTCCTACAACAGCTCAAGAAACTCCTGGTAGTGATGATGAAGTAGGAAGCATCCAGTCGATCGCGAAGACTGTAAGCGCTGGAGCGCTGATACGCACAGAGCACGCGGTCGCTATGTATGGTGGATTCACCGGCGATTTCCAGGCCCTGCCTTGTCGTTTCCCTCACCGCCGCGTTGTAGCCGCTCTACCGCACTTCGACGGCGCAAGAGCGTACAACAGACTATTTTCATTGAATCAGTGATGTGCTACGTACTCGACATGATAGGATGTTTTAACTTTTAATACGAAGATGAAAAGGCACATATAATTTTTATTCCTCACTCAAGAACATCCGACCTTGAAATTAAGTTTAAGAATAGTCCGCCTTCCCTATGATTTTATGATTCATCGCTCAATTACACCAGTTATGTGGCTTTTCGCGATGGTGGCTTGGCTCTTGTTCACTTGAAAGAGCCCGATTCGATGGCTCAGTCGAAAAAACAAGAGGCTGCCATTAAGCAGAGTGCCCCTCCTCAGTGTACGATAGCGCGCAATTTTCCCATCGGTGGTGGCGACACCTTCTTTGCCTCGCTCGCTGCGATCGAAAATTACATCGTTGGGGCTGCGGTCGTGACCGGTAGTGGTGGAAGCAGCAAGCCGAAAATTGGAACCAATGATGCTATTTCAATCGAGGTTTCGTTTTTCTGCCTCTACGTGAATCGCCCACCACTTAGGGAACGTTTAGAGTTGACTCTCTCCTCCAACGAGCAGCTGCTAGAGGTAGAAGAGTGGGGATATCAAGTGGGCGGTGCTCATGTTGAAGACGACGTCAAGGTCGAGTTGCTAACACTGGAAGGCCCAGGTATAGCGCGAAGGAATACCAGGAGAATTCTGTGGCTGCACGTGTCATCCTCAATGTCTCGCACAAGCACGATACTGGCGTTAGAGATTCCTCACTTGCCTTCATGCATACCTGTAAAGGAGAATAGAGGCTCCTTCGGAAGGAGACGGGCACCTGGCTATACGTCGTGGCTCGAAATTTTCGCGAAACATCCTGGCCCAGCAGGGCTGTTTTGGGGAGGTGTTATATTTCTCGTCTATTTCAGTGCCACTTTCAAGAGGAAAAGGAAGAAGACAAAAGGACCCTGGCGGAATAAAGACGGCCTTCTTGATTCAGAAAGGTCTTCTGAGGCTTTTAAGGAGAGTGCGAGGAGAGCGGAACAAACCTCTAGTCCTAGCGCAGCACACCTCGATGGCGATGAGGACGAGGAGTATGTCAAACTGTTTTCTGGGCGTGAGAAAGATGATGATAGGGGAGATTATGGGCCAAGTTCTGGCGCAAGGAACAACAACAACAAGGACGATGGAAAAAGTTGCAGAAGTAAGAGCAGTGCATCGCAAGACCTGCGAGAACGATATGTTCGACATATTTTGCGAAAGAAGATGCGGGAAGATGCAACAGAATTACAGCGAAAGAGCCCTAAAAAAGGCTAGAGCTTCGGAAAACCGAAACACGGTGGCTTGGCTGTTCGAGCGCGTGTGTGCAGTGTCCGGTTACTTAATTCTTACTGCAGAGGGGAGTGCGCCACCAATTAGATACTGGCCATGACAAATTCGATGTTCAATGCAGTTGTCATTGTCAAAGCAACTCGTTCGGAATGCGTAACCAGGCATACAAATCGAGAGCAGTTGTAGGCTGTACAAATCGAGGGTAATCGGGAATCAGACATGCAGAAACAAAACGAATCGGTTAGCATGTAATCAGAATGGTTCGGTTGCTATGGTAATGTACGTGAATTGTGTAATCAGGTGGATCATATGGGAACATTCGTAAGTCAGACCTGAAGAGGAGTATACAGCTCAGAGAGTGTACATAAGTTCACGAAGGTCGGATTTCTGTTTGTGAATATACTCATTTTCGTCAAAGAAGCATCTTCCTCGTACAGTGGCGTTGAGATCATTATCATCCACATCTACATCCCCAGCGCTCTCATTATCAACCTCTTGATCCTACCCCAAGTCCCGGACCTCAATCTTCCCCGAATCGATCGACCCACCAAAAAAGAACCCAAAAGCCAATTTCTCATGGTCCAACTGCAAGTGATTTTCTTAGGGTAGTAGGAATTTAGGGTAGTATATTTAGGTATCCGAGCGCAGCAATGGTGTGGATCCTCATGATTGGCTTGGCTTCGAGCTTCGCGCGTGTGTGAGGCTGAAGGAGATACCCGAGATGCTGCGCAGCACTACCGGTCTTACGCTGAGAATTCAGATCGACCAGCTTCGCATCGCTCAGCCAGATGAATCATTCGAGAGAACAGCTGAATACAGATGCGACGCAAGATGCGCAAGATGATGCGCAGGATTCGCAGGAGCAAACGTGTTGCGATTTCGTGCTAATGCCTTCTGCACTTGATCTTGCTGGGACGAGCTCGTGAGGGGGCTGAAGGGTAGTCAAGATCCTTGTTCGTTCCGTCTTGTAAGTTCGTGTGATATAGAGATGCATGGGTCTGTCTGTTGGATCGCCTTTATCTTCCAACCAGATGCTTTTGGCCTTTCGTACGATGTAGGGCGTGCAACAGATACGAAGGGAAAACTTCCAGAAGGAATTGACCAGAGGACCTGCGAGAACGACGACGACATGTTTTGCAAAAGAAATGAGTGCGCTAAGGTGCAGAAAAACTACAGGGCAGCTACAGAGGACAGAACTCCGAAAAACCGCAATACGATGGTTCGGTTGTCCGCGCCCGTGTGCGATGTTCAATTGCTCATCGGGACTGGCAGTGTTGTACGTTTTTTCCGGAAAGAGCAAGGCAGGACAAAACATTGATACATCGGTCTGTATGAGTTGCAAGAATTTGTTTGAATTTTTTATCAGTGGTGCTACAGTACGATGTCTTTACAGCAGGAGGCATAGTTACCTTAGCCACAAGTGAGTTTTTAGTTGCTTTTGCAAATGAGCAGATTGCGTACGCAGGTTCTACAATTGAATTGATTAAGTCAGTAAGCTCCTGATCTCTTTTCTGTGGTGTCTTGTTCTCGGGTTTGTGTACTAGAACAAGTACTTAGTTGTTTTTATAGAGACGAGTATTACTTCCCATGAGGCTCTAGACTAGTAATATTGCTCCCTAGTCCTCCATTTCTATTCTTCAAGGAAGTTCGAAAATGCCGGCTTCGCCCTCTGTTGGTTCACGTTTTATCCCGTCTCCACGGGTGGGCGTTGCACAGTCTCCGCGGTTGCGACCTCCTCTGAGTCGAACTTTTTCCTCTGCCAATGGGCCACAAACCGGTTCCTCGATGCTCTTGGCTTCCTCGTCTTCTAGTACTATCGGAGGCAGATCATCTGGTGCTGCTATGCAACAGAAATCACCAAGGATGTCACCAAGAAGCGCGCCCCCGAAGGCTTTTGTGCCTAGCGCATACTCAAAGGACGCAACTGACAGCCCTAGATCGCCTTTGCAGAGTGCAAGAGCTCTGGACTACGAGATGCCGCATCTGCTCACACGAGCAGAAAACAAACTAGACCAACGGGAAGTTGTGCAGCTGGCGAAGGAAGGTATCGAATTATCATGGTGGATTCTTGTCGTAGATGAATGTTTTTTCCATTTACGATGTCTTGACCATTTTTCTCATCATCACTAAAAGTATATAATCAAATCTAAGCTTTATTACTCTCGCATGACACTCGGCAGCCAAGAAGGTGAAATGATCAAGAGTTCTTTGTGTAATTATAGAATCATCGAACTATTAATTTTATCAAGAATTGTTTCTGGACGACCTCGACATGCTTCTTTCTCCAAAGCTTTGTGTCCAAACAACAGTGACGGCACAGCTCGCTGTTGCGCGGAGACGGAAAGACACGTTGTCAAAACAGATTGCTGCCTTGAGGAAACGAGAGACTGCAGTTGCTCGAAAAGCCTACGATGTGAAAATCAAGTCTCAAGGAGACACGGTGAAGACAAAAGAAGAGAACGAAAAATTCAAGCTAAAGAGCAGCGACGTGAAGGTACTTAATACTTCATTGATCTGTGCGTGGTGTAGAAGCACCATATTTTGACTCTTGCGGTTCGACGTAGGCAATAAATTGTGACAGGTACTATGTATGATGAGAATTCCGATAGGTGCGCTGGATTTATTGTACACAAGTACATACAAGTCACCTCTTTCAACAAAGGTCCTCGAAAACACGCTAACCGGACTGCAAAGGGACAGTGGCAATTTATCCGCGGATATTGCACAGCTCAGACAAGACTACAAATCAGTAGAGGAAGCACTAAAAGCGGAAACGGCTGCCATTGCAGAAGCGCAGCAGGAGCTTCACAGGTCCTTATCAGTGCTACAACTTGATAGTTCGATGGAGTTGTAAAGACCAAGAAATGCGCTGCTACCCTTGAAGATAGAGATAACGGACAAATATGCTTCCAGTAAAGATGCATGATCTTCCAAAGATCAGAATTTTCATTTAGTCCATGGACGCAAAAGTAAAATCCTACACCTTCACACAGAAAGCGTGCCACCCTAGCGGCAGCTCAGCGCGAAAGTATCGAAATGCAAGCAAGACTCCGTGGTTCCCGAGTGGCAGCTCAGGTCGTTGCTGAGCGATTTCGTGACGTGGAGCGACGAAATAAGGCCGTCAGAAGCTGCATTACGGGCGTCACTGCGCCTCAGGTGTCGACTAAGACGATGGGGATTAAGGCAAATGGAACTCTCATTGGCGGGTCCCGGAGTCCGCGGTTACTGGGCTAGCCTTTCGAAGCGGTTTCATATGTGATTTAATAACTACGATAGTGCTGGCAGGCTCCGTCTTACGATAACGAGCTAGAAAATTAAGACTAGTGAAATAACTAACTCCGGTTGATTGTGTAGGCACTGGATTTCGATTTGAAAACGTACCATAGTCTACTGGAAATATGAAATGCATTTAACACCTCAGTAAGGTCTTCTACCATATCGATCCATTCATATGTACTAGAACCAAAGCTATTTTTATATATGAGAAATTCACTGTAGAGAAAGAACGCGTGTTTTGCCTCGATGCGTTGGGTTGCACAGAAGTTCCACTCGCCGATTATGCTAATGTCATGGACAATGAAAACAATGTGATTATCAATGTGTCACATCATGCTGATGAAAGAATAATGTCATGTACTATGCGGGGCTCGATGAGGAGGATGATCCCTAATGAATCTAGCCTTCGTCATGCAGCTATTAAGACGACAATCACTCCCGTTTCTCATTTAATCAATACGCCTAAAATCTCTTTTATTTCGTGGTAGCAGCAGTGCAAAACGCACGTGTGCTATGCTTAAGCCTATTTTTCCAACTATTTCAACCATATTCAAGCCGTCAGGAACCGGGGAGAACGGCTGCTCGCTTTCTTGTTTATTTCCGAACGATTACAAACCGGCGACCAGATACGTGTCGTGCCTTCGATCAATTTTTGCATGATTTTTTGTTGTACAGAATATTGCCATGATCTATTGTAACATGAAAGTGGATTCAACATAATGACCATGCACCAGCACATTTCCACATTCTCATGCACTCTTTGTACAAATTACACCACGACATGTGGAAAAACGGATGCGATGTAACAAGCTTACACAGTGTGACAGTAAAGTCCATGGGGATTCAAATTCAAATGCGCATGCGAGTATCCACCTTCGTCTTCATGATGGACAACTCGTCTGGGACGCGACACGCGATCTTAACGCTTGTAGCGGCTAAGAATTTCCTGCAACGATAGTATCTTGCCTCGATACTCAGGCTTTCAGGCGGTGATCAGAGAAACAGAAGTTGATACGAAATTTACCGACAAATCGTACGTTGTAGAGCGTCATTTCCACTAATCGGTATATGACGAGTTCCCTGAATTCTCAGAGAAACAGTCGTTGATACGAAATTTACTGAGAAATCGTACGTTGTAGAGCGTCATTCCCACTAATCGGTATATGACGAGTTCCCTGGGTTCCCTGAGTTCGGGTGTTGGGGGTTCGGGTGCTGGGGATTGGGGAGTGGATGAGTGAGAGTTCGGAGGGGTCGGCGTTGATTTTTTATTTAGCTCTTTAATATTGCGGATGACGAGCAGCAGTCGAACGGACTTGCTTTCGCCGTACCATCGACGCTGTCTGTAGGGCCGTCAGGATCACGTAAGGCACCTGCGGAGCCTCAGTTTCGGGCTGATGAGGGCAGTGCTGCTTCGATCGAGCGTTCGACTCGCGGAGGGGAGGCGGGCGCAGCCGAGTCATTGTCACGATAGTACACCAGACGCGTCGTCGTAGGTGACGGATGCGCCGCGGACCGGGATCTTCGGAAAACTATTATTATAATAGATATTGATATTGATATTTCGCTAGACTTTTTGTTCATTTTTATTGTAGCAACATGTGAAAGATCCAAGAGTTCTGTAAGATGAGTAGCACGCGTACAATATGCTTAGAGCGTATTCTTTTACACTAAGGATAAAAGGACTCAGAGTCACTGTTTAGAAATAGAAAGCTGAAATAGATTCGAAAGTGTTGTATAGAGCTGAAGTTTCGCTGTGGTTCCTTTCTCGGGCAGATGTTTCGTTCTGTCTTTTTTGTCATGTCCGTCAGGTAAACTTGTTATTCGTACTAAATTCCCCTATCTTCTTATGTAATACCTATATGCTATTGTATGTATATTCTTGTTGAACAACATCTGACATGGCACGGCCCACCCTGCAGTAGACCAGTATCCTTCCCGGGTATCTTCTGAAGACAATATTTGTGTTGTTGCGAAGTGAGGAATTTGCATTGTAGTACAGGAACATGTGCAGTTGCTATGATTTGGTGTGTACTTTCATTCTCTTTTCTCCTTGCTTACCTCGATTAGAGCTACAGGAACACGTTTCGACCGTGTTCTAGAAAGTCATGTGGTCTTTCTTGAGCGACCTGTATATGCATGTGCTATGACATTTGCAATGTTTAGGGATGAACGTAGTACGGACGAGTAACACGAAGCAAGATCAGTAGAAAACTTCAGCTTCAGCGGAAGGAAGGAGCGCCGATATTTCTCTCGATGAGTAGACTTGTGGTCTAAAGCTTGGGGAAAGCCTGTGGCTCTGCAAATAAATATTTATATGTTCCTTTATCATGTTAGATGGGCTCTCACCCGTTTCTATAAAACATTGAACTAGTTCAATAATTGGACTAGTTCAATAGTTCAACTCGAGGCGAGGGGATAGAAAAACTTCCGCCAGATCGAGGGGTGGCTGCCTTGCGATCTGTGCCCGGACTGAGTTGCATTCTCTTCGCTGCGCGAGTGAGTCGGCGCTGCGAGAGCGAGAGGAGAGCGAGGCAAGCCCGCGCTGCGCGAGCGAGTCCGACCCGCGCGAGCGCGTCCGCACGGGCCAGCGAGTCTGCGCGCGCTGCGTGAGAGAGTGAGTAGAGTCCCTCCGCGCGGCGTGGGCGAGTCTGCGTTGAGTGAACGAACGAGCAACGGGCGAGCGAGCGAGTCTGCCCGGCGTGCACGAGTCTGCGCCTCTGCGCGAACGAGTCTGCGCCAGCCTCTGCGCGAAGGAGTCTGCGCCGGGCAGCGCGAGCGAGTCTTCTTCTTTTGGGCGAGTGAGTCGACGGGTGTGGCGTGGGCTAGCCTGTCTGCGCTGCGTGAGCTTGTCTGCGCTGCGTGAGCTTGTCCGCGCTACGCGGGCGGGTCTGCGCTGCGCGTGTGAGTCTGCGCTGCGCGAGCAGTGAGTCCGCGCTGCGCGATCGAGTCTGCTCTGCGCGGATGAGTCTGGGCTGCGCGAGTGAGTCTGCTTGGGCCGCGCGAGCGAGGGAGTCCGCGCTGCGTGAGTCAGCGGGCCTGCGGCTGCGCTGCGCTGCGCGAGCGAGCGAGTCTGCGCGGGCGAGTCTGCGTTGCTGCTGCGTGGGTGAGTCTGTGCTTTCTGTGTGAGGGAGCGAGTTCGTTCGTTCCGCTTCTGCGTGAGAAAGTCTGCGCCGCGCGAGCGAGTCTGCGCGCGCTGCGCGAGCGAGTCTGCGCCGCGCGAGCGAGTCTGCGCTGCGCGAGCGAGTCTGCGCCGCGCGAGCGAGTCTGCGCTGCGCGAGCGAGTCTGCGCTGCGCGAGCGAGTCTGCGCTGCGCGAGCGAGTCTGCGCTGCGCGAGCGAGTCTGCGCTGCGCGAGCGAGTCTGCGCTGCGCGAGCGAGTCTGCGCTGCGCGAGCGAGTCTGCGCTGCGCGAGCGAGTCTGCGCTGCGCGAGCGAGTCTGCGCTGCGCGAGCGAGTCTGCGCTGCGCGAGCGAGTCTGCGCTGCGCGAGCGAGTCTGCGCTGCGCGAGCGAGTCTGCGCTGCGCGAGCGAGTCTGCGCTGCGCGAGCGAGTCTGCGCTGCGCGAGCGAGTCTGCGCTGCGCGAGCGAGTCTGCGCTGCGCGAGCGAGTCTGCGCTGCGCGAGCGAGTCTGCGCTGCGCGAGCGAGTCTGCGCTGCGCGAGCGAGTCTGCGCTGCGCGAGCGAGTCTGCGCTGCGCGAGCGAGTCTGCGCTGCGCGAGCGAGTCTGCGCTGCGCGAGCGAGTCTGCGCTGCGCGAGCGAGTCTGCGCTGCGCGAGCGAGTCTGCGCTGCGCGAGCGAGTCTGCGCTGCGCGAGCGAGTCTGCGCTGCGCGAGCGAGTCTGCGCTGCGCGAGCGAGTCTGCGCTGCGCGAGCGAGTCTGCGCTGCGCGAGCGAGTCTGCGCTGCGCGAGCGAGTCTGCGCTGCGCGAGCGAGTCTGCGCTGCGCGAGCGAGTCTGCGCTGCGCGAGCGAGTCTGCGCTGCGCGAGCGAGTCTGCGCTGCGCGAGCGAGTCTGCGCTGCGCGAGCGAGTCTGCGCTGCGCGAGCGAGTCTGCGCTGCGCGAGCGAGTCTGCGCTGCGCGAGCGAGTCTGCGCTGCGCGAGCGAGTCTGCGCTGCGCGAGCGAGTCTGCGCTGCGCGAGCGAGTCTGCGCTGCGCGAGCGAGTCTGCGCTGCGCGAGCGAGTCTGCGCTGCGCGAGCGAGTCTGCGCTGCGCGAGCGAGTCTGCGCTGCGCGAGCGAGTCTGCGCTGCGCGAGCGAGTCTGCGCTGCGCGAGCGAGTCTGCGCTGCGCGAGCGAGTCTGCGCTGCGCGAGCGAGTCTGCGCTGCGCGAGCGAGTCTGCGCTGCGCGAGCGAGTCTGCGCTGCGCGAGCGAGTCTGCGCTGCGCGAGCGAGTCTGCGCTGCGCGAGCGAGTCTGCGCTGCGCGAGCGAGTCTGCGCTGCGCGAGCGAGTCTGCGCTGCGCGAGCGAGTCTGCGCTGCGCGGGAGCGGGTGGGCCTGCGCTGCGCGAGCGATTCTGCGCTGCGCGAGCGAGTCGGGCGGCGCCGCGCCCGCGGGCGAGTCTGCGCGGCGCGAGCGCGTCGGCGCTGCGTTGCGTGCGTGACTGAGGCTGCGCTGCGCGAGCGAGTCTGCGCTGCGCGGGTGAGTCTGCGTTGCGCGGGTGGGTCTGCGCTGCGCGAGCGAGTCTGCGCCGCGGCTGGGAGCGGGTCCCAGCTGCGCGAGTGAGTCAGTCTGCCCTGCGAGAGCGGGTCTGCGCTGCGCGAGCGAGTATTTGCTGCGGCGCGAGCGAGTCTGCGCGTGTGAGCGAGTCTGCGCGTGTGGGTGAGTCTGTGCCGCGTGATCGAGTCGCCGCCGCGTGAGTGAGTCCGCGCTGCGTGGGCGCGTCTGCACTGCGTGGGCGCGTCTGGGCTGCGTGAGCGAGTCTGTCCGCGCGGCGCACGTGAGTCAAGTCTGCGCGAGTGGTGTGAGTCTGCGCTGCGTGAGCGAGTGGAGCCGGCGCGGCGTGAGCGAGTCGGCGCAGCGCGGGTGAGTCTGTCGGCTCTGTCTGCGGTCTTGAGTCTTGTCTTGTCTGCGCTGCGCGGGCGAGTCTGCGCTGCGCGAGCGACTCGGGTGCGTCTGGCGTGAGTGAGTCTGCGCCGCGCGGGCGAGCGGGTCTAAGTAAGTTGGCTGCGCTGCGCGAGCGAGTCTGCGCCGCGTGGGCGAGTCTGTCTGCGCTGCGCGAGCCAGCGAGCAGTCTGCGCTGCGCGAGGGGGCGGGGGTGGGTCTGCGCTGCGTGAGTGAGTCTGCGGCGCGCGCGTGAGTCTTCGCGGCGCGAGCGAGTCCGCGCTGCGAGCGCCCGCGAGTGAGTCTGCGCTGCGCGAGCGAGTTTACCTCTGCGCTGCGTGCTGGGAGGGTGAGTCTACCTCTGCGCGAGCAGCGAGCTTGTCTGCGCGGTGCGAGCGAGTCTGCGTTGTGCGCGTCGCGTGAGTTTGCGCTCCTTGCGCGGGTGGGTTCTTTTGCGGCTGCGCTGCTTGCGTGAGCTGGTTTGCGCTGTGGCGTAGGTTAGTGCTCTCTGCGTGAGGGATGTGCATTTGGGCGCTGTTCGAGCGAGTACTCTCTGCGTGGGTGATGTGTTTGCTTCGTTTGCGTGGGTGACTGGCTACAACGTACTCGAGCGAGGCGGGGAGCCTCGTCGGCCTCTGTCTGCGTTCGCTGCGCAGGTGGGTCTCGTCTGCGTTCGCCGCGCGATCGAGTCTCGTGCTCGTCTGCGCTCGCTGCTCGGTCGAGACTGCTCTGCGCGAGCGTGTGTGCGCTTGCTTTAAGTGGTTGAGCTTGGGCAGCGGGGTCTGCCTCTCTGTGTCGCGCCACGAGCGCGCGCAGACTTTGCTCTTGGTTGTTCGTTGGTAGTTGGTGCGTGTTCGTTTCGTTTTGTGTGTTGTTTGTAGCCCGCGGCGACGCGCGGGCCTTGGCTTGCGTGTCAGTGCTACGCGGCCGGACGGGTCCGGCGGGTCTGGTCTTTGTTTGTCTCGGGTCCTCCCGCCTGGGCAGCTGCAGCCAGTAGCGGCTGGGGCTCCCATGTAGCATCGCGCGCTGGCATGGCTGACCTCTTGCTTGGCTGCTCCCTCCCAGCACGGGGCGATAGATCTGCGACTGGCTTGCCCATTTTCGGGCGGGTGGGTGGGTCTACCTACATTGGCGCCTGGCCGATCTGTCGTTGGTTGTGTTGAACTATTAGGGCGTGACGGGTTGAACTATTAGGGCGTGACGGGTTGAACTATTAGGGCGTGACGGGTTGAACTTTTTGGCCGTGAGTTTTTCTATTGGGTTGCAAGTTTTTCTATTGGGTGGCAAGTTTTTCTATTAGATGGGTAGAGATTTCAACTGTTCGGGTTATTTCTTTCTTTTTTTGTTTTCTAGTTTTTCTGTCTTCTTTTTAGTTTTTCTATCTTATATCTAAGTTTTTCTATCCTTTCCTTAGTTTTTCTATGCCTCCTATAGAAAAACTTACTATTTACTTGGCGTGACGCCCTTGCTAGACAGAATAGATTCTATCTGTGCTATACGCAATTATAGATTCACTATGATAATGTCGGAGAGTGAACTTGTCGGAAAGACTAGTTCACATGATTGCTCCTACTGAGAAGAAACGGTCGTGAGTGCGCTCCGTCTTTATCTGTATCAAGTAGCACGTTTTTCTACGATTTTATATGAAGTGGATTGATGACCACTTCTTGAAGAATCTCTTCAGCATTGCATGGAGAGCGAAATGCTTTCTGATGAATTAGACTTAGAAGGTCTTTAGACGTAAAAAAAAGCCACCATTTTTGAAATCGTGAGCAAGAAAATGGTGCACTCGTTCTCGATTCTTATGCGAATAGGCCTGCTTTACAGGTTAATTGTGGGATTCGGAAATATCGTGACCCCTGCATCTGGAACCTCCGTTGCAGCCGACAGCCCAGTAGTGACGCTTTCGTCTAGCGAATTCGATGCGAAGGTAGGCAAGCGTGGTGGTGGTGGCTGGTTTGTAATGCTCCACGTTAATTGGTGTGGAATCTGTCGTCACGTGTTTCCGCTTTTTGAAGCGACTGCGCGACACAGCCGCGATTTGTTGCCACCATCCCATCCACTTTATCGCGCACCCGCTATTGAACAAGTGAAGCCCGGTGAAGGTAGTGACGATAAGACGAGGACTGCTACATCTGGAGCGCAAGTAGACTGGTCTCCATTGAACTCGACTAATGACACGGCTAAGTGGCAGGAGCATCAAATTCAGGTCTCTGAGGATGCTGTATTCGGAAGTGGAAGAAGCGCTACAGGCTTCACTTTTGCCCATGTAGATTGCACCGACGACAAAGTATTAGCCAAGCGCTTCCAGATTCCTGGCTATCCAGCATTACTGTATTGGGACGATCCTGCCGAAGCTACAACCATTGAACATACTAAAAAGTCGGATGGTGAAGGGAATAACGAAGATCAAGATTTGACAGGAGCTACAACAGCTTCATCTACTGGAGAGGAAGAAGATGTGCTATTTCGGACGCAGAAGAAGTATAAAGGAAGCCGTTCTATAGTGGGGTTTCGCCGATTTGCACGGCGCATGAGCGCGAGACCGGTGGTTCATCGCCTTACGGGTGACAAAGTGGAGTCAGGGTTGCGCCAACTCGTGGCAGCAGAGAAATCCTCTGGCTTCGTTTATCGTAGTGCTGCAGAGAAATCCCCTACGACAACTATGGATTCTGGACTCTACAAAGCATTTTCAGAATTGGCTTGGAAACATCGCGACGAACATCGATTTTACCATCTAGAAACTGATAGAAAAAATGTCGACGGACCGGAGATTTTGTCGAAGTTCGCACCAGGAACCATAAACGCGGTTGCGCTGAAGGGGTGGCACCTCGTTCAAACAGCGGAGGAGAGGGCAAATGTTGATGCTGCTAGCAAGCTGCGAAAAGACCCAAAAATGACAGACTCGCCATATCCAGATCAACAAAAGATTGCCACGAAAGGAGTTATCGACTCCGCTGCTTCAGACGCTGCTCTTGCGCATACGGAATTCGCTGCCTGGCGTTACAATTCAACAGCTAAAAAGCCGAAGGTATCACAATTAGAGGACTGGGTCACTGACCGTAAATACCCAGGCGTGTGGAACGTTAGCGGGCAAACCTTCGGCGATATCGTTCGAGGTGAGCGACCGGCGCTGCTTATTGTGACGCCTAATAGAACAGAGGAGACGGCAAAGGAACTCGACGACATGACGTACTTGTACTTCCATTTTGACTTCTAAGATGAACAAGATGAAGATGATTTCAACCAGCGAGATGGATTGAGTATCCACGCGTATTAAGTACATGATTTCGTAAATTGGGTTTTACTAGGACTAGAAGATGATCCTTTAGTCCAAGAACATTTGCATGAAACTTTGTTTTGAGACGCAAGGAGGTGATTGCACCTGGTTATAGATACTTGCATGATCTCTAAAAATAACCTCACAGTCGGAAGCTGGAGAAGTCATATGAGGGAAGCGGTGTCTACCTTGGCGTGCTGGAGGGCAGCGAGTATGCGGCAAGTTTAGAGGCCATGAGCATTTACAGCGATCAACTTCCGCGAGTGTGGTTTGTGCAGGATAACTTTCAGTCTTGGTACGAGGATCCCGATCTCCTCACGGTTAGGCACGTTCTTGAAGCAGCAAAAGGAGGGACGAACGCAACCGAGGTATGTCTTATTGATTTCCCTCTGTCCACCGGGTCTGCTGTATGGTTTGCTACAATGAATAATGAGAATTAAGATATATTTACGACCATGAAGTAATTATATGAGTTGATCTTGAAGAAAAGTAACTCGAATTGTTGTAATGGTTAAGAACCCTCCTTTCCTCCACGACTCCAGCAACTCCTCGAGTATATCTCGTCGCGATGGCCGATGCTCTTTCGACAGGACCGTGGACGTGTCACGGCCGTCCTGAACCATGTGCGGTCGTTTCTTCGTTTCATGGGTGCGTACCAGCATTTTGCGATGACAGGGGAGCTTCCTTACATGTCGCTCATTGTCGTTGCTGTCTGGGCCGTGGGGATGTTGATCTTCCTCTTGAGCGTTCTCGGCTACACCTTCAAAGCAGCAGTCGAAGCATTGAGCGAAGAAGAGGACGTTCCCCACCACGTGACTCAGAAAAAGGACAATTGAGTAGTAGAGGCTAATTTGAATTTCTTCTTTCCCAAAGGAGTCCCCAGAGTACTTTGTCCTCATCTCATTAATGAATAAGGTGTCTCCACCTGCTCCTGAAGGGTCTTGAACGAGGCATCTATGACAAACGTAAAGCACCTTGCTCTGAGACTATGTTCCTAATTCAGTTATCCTTACCCCCTGCATTAATTAGTGCGCAAACCTGCATCGCCGAGTGCGTACCAGATTTTGACTTTCTTTTGAGTTCAATTTTAGACAAGTGTCTTCTACACGCAACATAACAAGGCATAAAAACCTGGTTTGCGACAGGATGCCGGACCGCGGATTCCTATTTACTGATAATATACATAGGCACGCATTGGTGAGAGAAAGCGAGAGAGTTGAAATTTGGAGAACAGTTGCTGAGTGAAGGAGGAATGACATGCAGAGTGAGTTTATGGGTTTAACGAATGAAAAGATGGCAAAGGCGACATCGAAGAGAATCAATTGTAGTTTTTGAGAGTACCGAGAGGAGGGGATTTCCGACGAGCAATCTTAGAAAAGGAGAGGTGGTAAAAAGTTCCTTACAGCTATGGCTAAGCTCATTTATGCGTACTAACTTAATTATTTGTTTCTCTGACACTGACTCCGATGTTTTTTGCGACTTCTAATTGTGATTCCCGATGCAAATTTATTTCAAGCGCATCTCTCATGATTCTCTACGCTACCAACGAGAAGATTGCATGCTTGTCCGCCAAATCAACGTCAAGCATGATGCGCCTTGCATAGCGATTCGTCGAACGGGAATAGCGCAAGCAGTTGCCAGGTGAAGAGCGATCATTTGATGAGAAACCAGCGGAGTGGAGTGCGGCTGTTCGAAGAGTTTCTCCGCGGCTATTCGAATAGTAAATAGTTTTCTCCGCAGCGATAATTAACACTCGTTCATCGTGGATCACGATCGCGGATCTCCCAATCTCATAATCGGTGCTCTACGCCGTCCCCTGCAGGCTGCTTGGCCTCGTCTTTGTGTCTCTGTAGAGATTCCGCGGTACGATTGAAGCCACAGCACGTCGATGGACTGTTCCTGAATCACTCCTTGCTGCTCGCCGCCTAGATTTTCATCCGGATACAACTTGTTAGCCACAATTTTTGACGGCGTTCCTCTAGGCGACTTTGAAAAGGTGTATTGTGGAAGAGATCTTACCTGCTTCGCGACGACGTGCGCTTCGAGAAGCCCTAGGCCATGCCTGCTGCAGCCTCCTCGGTATCTAAAAGATCTTGTTCTTTTTAGTGTTGAACTTACTTGAAAAGTACACTATAATTTAGCAGAGTGTGCGTTGAATTTCCCCAGGAGGTACGAAAATACAGATCCACTGCCTCAATACTTCCAACAAACCTCATACTTCTTGTACACACGACTTCCAAACAGCACTCGTCCACTGCCATGGCGGAGTCAAGACAGCAGGATCAGTATGACTACCTTTTCAAGTTCATAGTCATCGGCGATGCAGGCGCGGGAAAGAGCTGTCTGCTACACCAATTTATCGAGGGGAAGTTCAAAAAGTCGTCAAGTCATACAATAGGTGTGGAATTCGGCTCAAAGATAATACAGGTATAATGAAGATTCGCGTTATGTTTAGATAGTGGAAGTGTTATCTCTTTTGTATTTGTACCCAGAGTTGCCAACGAGGTAGTTCGCATTGCAGGCGGCCGCCCGTAGAGTACTAAATAAAGATGGAGTATTGATTGATTATGCGTTCAACTTCTTTTTTTGTTTACAATAGTATCTTACACTTGCCCTGCTTTCGAGAAGGTACAAGTCGACTGAAAAGACCTCAACGCCATTTGATAGGATGGAGCATGAGGTAACATGACATGACATCCACTTCGTCTTCGCTAGCCCAATGTGCATCAGGTGGCAAACCGAACAATAAAATTGCAAATATGGGACACAGCAGGGCAAGAACGATATCGATCAGTCACGCGAAGTTATTACAGAGGAGCTGCAGGGGCGCTCATTGTACTGACTACCTCACAAATATAGCTGTAATGGCAAATGCGACGATGAAGCAAAAGCCGCGCCTTTTAAAGTCATTGACTTGAATAATTGCATCCTAATATCGCAATGCGCATTTTCGCAACGAAACTTTCACTTCAAACGCAGGTTTACGACATTACGAACAGGGAGACGTATCAGCATCTGATGAATTGGTTAGCAGATGCGCGAACGCTCGCAAGAGCAGATATATCAATAATTGCAGTGGGCAATAAGTGCGATATGAAAGACAGGCGGGCAGTCACTTGTATTGTTCTTTGTGTTGATAGCACTAGTTTGTAATATGTACTTCACTTTGATGGCTTCATCTTTCTCTTTGATCGCTTGATGAATCCCCATAAGGAGAAAGTGGAAGAGGAGTTTTCATTTCTACACAAGAAAGTGGAAGAACTTTCATATTGATTGGTCACCTATTTCTATCACACAAACCAGATCTTGAAGCGAGTAGGTGTGCGCAGGAGAACGATATCCTTTTCCTAGAAACGAGTGCGTTGACCGGCGAAGGAGTCGAGGACGTCTTTATCAAAGTATATATTCTATTTTATCACAAATTTTACCCCGCATACGAAGATAAATGGTGCGAACGACTGTCAAGTAGAACAGGCTTTTAGCGAGTGACGTGAAAGAATTCTATTTTTTGCTTTGCTTCGTTTTTCTTACCACACTTTTAGTTTGTTTTTCCGACTGAAACTTGAGGTCGCCAAGCAGATATTGAACAAAATTGAGGACGGATTGATTGATCCGAATACTATGGTGTCCGGAATCCACGCAGGGAAGAGTCTTAATTCCAGTGCGCCTGCCAACGGCGCACAGGCCGCCACCGGAGATGTCAGCACAAAATGTAGCTGCTAAGGAAATGTCCGCGGGACACACTTTGGGAGGAAAAAGCAGATGCAGGACTACATTCAGCAAAAGGAATCTCCTACAACAGACCAATTATAGTACTGCTTCATCTAGTTTTTACCAAATTTGTTGTTGACACGATTCGTCTCTCTTCACATTCGATCCTATTCCCCAATGAAAACTCCTCTCTCTGGTTTCCAAGGTGGACACCGCCAGGCTGAGATGCAGCGATTCGAGTTTTGTTGCTCCACTTGTTACCATGCCTGCTTAGGAATCAATGAACTGTTTGCAGTGGGCTCAGGGAGTGCACAGTCCCTTTTGATTCAATTAAAAAGCCCAAATTGCTGAAAAAAAAGATGCCAGCCAAATAATGCTTTAATCAGCACTATCACGAAGACGACTATGTCAAGGTTTTTTTCAACAAAGCTTTAATCTGCGGCATGGCAATAATTAATCCATGAGTCAGTGCTTGTTGCACGTTACCTATCATTTCATCGGGGGATTGTCAGACTTTCAAAAGTTTCTTTCGTTCACTTAAGTCACCAATTTTGCGTAATTTTCCGTATCAAAGAGCAAGTAATGAGTTTTCTCGAGATGGAGGTGGTGGTGGTGGTGGTCCCATGGAGGTCGAACTCCACGTGGATACAGAAATTTTACAGTAGCTTTCGAAGAAAATGCAAGAAGAAAACAAACGAAAGGAGACAAGCGTGGACAACTTACGCCTTCTGCCTGTCCTGTTTCTGACAGGGACTGCAAAGCAGAGAAGAGGTCGCGTTTATGTTTTGGCCTTTACAAAAACAAATCTTTGAGACAAAGAAAGGCATAAAAGAGGGCGCACAGCGAGGGCCGCTAATCCTCACCATGAGAAAGAAACGGCTCCATTTTCGATGCAGTCACTAAGACTACAGACTCATTCACTATATAAAACGGGGTTTAAATTAGATAGTTGACATTATGTAAAAACGACGTGCACTACTAGCTCAAGCAGTCAAAAATTCCCAGCCTGCCAGTGCTCGATCTGGTGCAGAATTTACGCAAACGGAATGGTGTCATCCTCTCTTGGTGCCCAGGTCGATTCCTTGAAGCGGTCTTTCTGCGGCTTCCGATTCGGTAATGGCACACAACACAGGTCGAAAGGAAGCCGAGATGAAGCACGGTTCGATGGGGGACAACTTTTAAGGCGCTTTAGAAGCGCAAGATTCAATCATTTCTTAGAAGAGGCTCGCGGCTGCTATTTCTAGAATTCACTATTTCTAATCCGAACGGACCAGATCGTCCCGGTGCAAGATCATGGTTTTTCCACGACCAGCATCGTGCCGAGCTACTCTTTCAGTAAAGCACAGCGATTCGGCGCAGAGATTGAGCGAGAGCCTTCATTCTCGTGGCTATTCGCAGCTCCCGCTAATTTGGTGAGATCTATGTATTCATCTCACATTTACATGAGGCTTCTCGAGTGCTAGAAAGGAGAAGGAAGACGAGACGCAGTGTGTTCCTGTTGGTGATGAATCTTCAACGAGATAGATTCTTTTATTTGCCTAGAAGTAACAAGAATTCGACCGCAAAGATGAACATTCCGTGTCCTGCAAACGACAGATGAACCCGAGCGACAGCCGGGCCACCGTATTTGGCACTGCAGCACGTCTCACGAACGAGCTTTCTTCAACTGACGCCAATCCAGGACCAGCTGCCTACAACTTGTCGCTGAGCAAGGATCACGGATGCAGAACGTCACCCGGTGTGACGACTCGCACTAGCATGAAACGTTCTCTCGCCACTCGGAAAAGGGGCGCCGCTAGTATTGTAGAGAAGGGCCGCATTCGCCGTCTGCAGGAAAGGATATCAGCGCTGAGCAGCGATGGATGGACGCCGCTCGGACCCGGAGTCAGCTTTCGTCGAAACTTATGACATGACAAGAAAGAGGGGTATTCGAAAAGCCTTTCAGAGAAAAAGTTTTTCTGTAGGATCATATGTCTGTACTAGGCCGCAAGAACAGAACCCTTCATTTTTCTCCTCCATAATGTAACGAATTGGTCTGTGATTTTTCACGAGGGATCTCCTTCCCGCTGGCGGAGCGAATGCCGGTGTGGGTACAATTTGATATTTTTAATTTTCTTGCACGTCAACATGGTGAACCGATTCAGATTCATCCGATAGAGTAAAGGTCATGAAAGGGTGCCACCTCACAAATTTTGCTAGACACCGAATGCGACCTCGGGAGTGGTTTCCGATGGCTATTCTGAGCTGTCTCGCCTACTACGATCCGGCAAAGCCGTGCCACCGAGTGCACCCTTTGGCTCCTGTACAAGGGCACACTATCGGGGAGTTTTTATTCCGGATCGAGCCGGACGAGCAGTCTATTCGTGTGCGCAGCAGCAGAAATTGAGTGGTCGAGATTCCGGAATGCTGCCGCATCCGGAGCTACCTCTGCGACAAGAGGTGGTGCGGTTCTCATGAGTTACAGATCTACATGGCATATTCACATCTTCTTGTGAAACACACAGGATTTCGCAGAGACACTTACATCCATATTGAAGAGCTCGCTTCTGATATTTTCTCACACGTCGTGATCCTTTGCAAGTACCTAGGAGAAACATAGTGACTGTCGTGCTAGTAGCATAAGCAATTCAAGTGAACAATTGCAAGACGTATGATCATGATGTCGTAAAAAATCCGATTCCTGTTGTCGTTTTGTTGTATACCATTGTTGTTGTGCACACCAGATTGTATAGGTGTTAAGTTAATGTCCTGTAAGTTGTGCTTAAACATGATTGCAAGTTGCATGAACTCCTGCTAGTCAGTTAATCGATTCATTTCTGACCTATTCCGCCCCACACCGATTTTTTTAGAAATCCAGTTTGTTTCGGTTCTGCACGTACCCTCCGCGTCATGGAGGAGGAAGTGTGTTGAACATTGCTCAGATGCAATCGGTCTTCGCCAGATGATTGTTGGTCCTTTTCTTGTACAACTCGGTGCTATATTTTTTTTTTGTGAAAGAGAGAGGCGGATATCGTCGTGGCAAAACTCGTCGGCCAATTAGTCTTTCAAAATTGCCTTTTTTTTATTGCGTGAGCGAAAGCAAACCGACCAGTATGAGGGCTGAGAAACAACGGACTACTTTGATTTGATTTATGCGCTTTTTTCACTCGTGACCGTGAGATACTCGGTTCAGTTGTAAGTCGTTGTCCAAAGTCGTGCGTGTCTTGCCTTTTGTTTTCTCAAGAATTCGTAACGATAAAGAAAAGCCACAGTAATAATGACGTGAAGAGCATCAATGCTTATTCAGTCTCACCATTGTTTATTCAATCTCACCATCCACAAAAATGTTTCCACAGCTTACGATTTTTTTCACCGACCCGGAAAATCTAAATACATTAAGTATCAACGAAACCGCAAGACAAACTAAAAGCTGACTCTCAAAACAAAGGATAATTTTGACTGACACTCATAGTTAGGGAATTGGGTAGGATCAGACTAGGGATAGTTTTTGACCAGAGTAAGTGATTTTGCGAGTGGTCAATTAACTGAGTGCTATGTTTGTTGTCCTCGTTTTGAAGTGCTATCAATCGTATTCAGGCTTCTCGCAGGGTAATTAAATGTTCGTATCGCGAGAAATTTAGACCCAGGCACCAAAAAAAAAAAATCGTATCGGTGGCCGCGTGAGCGAATGAATTGAAGTAACAAACATTATTAGAACTATTTTGGAGAAATAGAGAGAAAATCGGGACGCTCTTTCCATCTAGTCTAGACTTTCTTGATCACCACCAGCAACACCGATTAGTTCTTTCCCAGACGAACTTATCAACAACTAACTCACATACTTCTCGGGTCGGTCCTCTAATAGAATTCGAACTTCTTTTCATCTCCAGTTTTTAAAACAACTCTAGTTTATTCGTAAGAATTATATATTTTTCATGTCTGCCAGTTTTCCTGGGAGGCCCACACCTCACCTAACCTAATCTTCAAGATGGCGGATTTGCAGTCCGAATCGCTTCATGCCAGTGAAGCGATGCTTGAGCTACGACATTTCGAACCGCGACAAATCGATTGGAGCGTCTTGCCCGCTGACGTTTCTCCACCTTGGGGAGTTCTGTTGCGCGAGCTTCAAGAAGATGTGCTGCTCTTTGGAGATCTGGTGAGCACTCTGTTACTCCGACACATCGCTGCCGACCAAGAGTACCTGCTACAAGTCTTCTCAAACCTGCCGGCGACGCGCCGCCAAGACAAACTGCAAGTTTCCTATATGGAATGCTTGTGCTTTCGAAAGTACTACTTCTAAATTGACTTATTTTCAATTTCCAATAAGCTTTCCTTATGGTACTTATACAGCTCCAGATGTGTGATCAGGGAGACGTCGATGACATGAAAATCGACTTTCAAATCATCTGTCCTCAGCTTTGCTCTGCGTCATTGGAATGTGAGTAAGAATGATCCCGTGCGAGAAAAAAGCTTTCGTGACTGGTTGGAAGTGGCAGCCAAGCGTGAAGACTACACGGACATGGTCAGTGCGTGGACAGCTTTAGCATCCTGGGATGCCCTGTGCGATGCCGCTGTGAATCGCATCTGCTTCCCTGACGAAGATGCAGGCGAGGATGCCGGTATCAACTTGTGGGTTAATAGAATAGTCAACCTCAAGTCGTACATTTTGCCTCTGCTTGTTTGAAATGGTAAGAAATGCAAGGGGATTTTTCTGTTGGTGTTGTGGCTGTTCCTCCGACTTGTTTGGTCTCGCCAGGAAATGGGCATTAGACATACAAGATGAACATGGTTTATCCAATGAAACACACAAAATAGGTGGCGAAACTAAAGCGAATTTTCCGGCAGAATGGGACCGCACTTTGATCCGTTTCGACTGGCTGTCAGCTTGCGGCATTTGCGAAGCACCATGGAGCATTGCCCAGGTGACTGAGGATGAGTTTTTTGGTCATTTCTCTGAGCGACGTGCCGAGTCCTTTTGGTATCAGTCCCTCAAGGAATACTACTCGTTTCGGGAATGGTATTAGTCTTTTTTCTTTGGGGTGCTTTTTCTATTCCAATGAATGTTTTTAGGAACAAAAAATCCTTGGTCAGTACCTACTTGAACTTGTTTCAGTCAGGACGCTAATTGGCGCATAGTGCAATCGTTGCGCGCATAGTGCAATCGTTGCAGATAAATGATCAATAGATGCTCGTAGTATGACCTTTATTTTTATGCACTTATGCTGCGTGCAACTCTTATGATTTGATGCCTTGCCCAGGTACGTGACCGAGAAGGACTCCAGTGTCCAAGTTGGTCGTGCGTTGTTTCCCTTTTCGGTCAGCAGTCAGGGTTTTCCGCCTGTTCAGGAGGAAGCAGCTTTCGACTGTTTTCAGGAGATAGCCAAGGAGTTTCAAGAGAACGAATCGGAATTGCGAACCAAATATGCGGTTCCTGTGCTGTTCCCGGAAGACATGCAGCAGGAAACGCCACCTGGGGAACTCGAGCTTTTGTCGCAGGCCTCTGCCATATTCAAAGCTTCGCAAATGCCATTGTCACCGCAGCTGGTCGTGTCGCAGCAGCAAGTTTTGTCGCAACAGGTAATGTCTCAGCAGGGAGCAGTGTCGCAATATCCGCAGAGTCTAGAAGCGCTCTCGCAGAACAGTGTTGGCGCGTGTGGTGGAAGCAAGCGAAACCTTCTGCACAACATGGACTTTTTGGAGAGCCAGCGCAGTGCGGAGAGTCGCGAAAGCAGCATGCCGAGTGAGCTGCGTCGCGGACCCGTGGATTCGCGTAAGGTTCGGGCGTACATGCGCAAGAAACACGCGGGATCGAGGAGTGGAGGAAACAAGGCACCAGGTTCTCTTTTGAACAAAGGTGGAAATCAGGGTTCTCAGCAACTGGGCAGCTTGTCCTCTGGAGCTGATTCTCAGGAGCAAGCACGCTTTCGAGGCAGTCAATCTGCTATGGCTGGACAAGCGGAAGAGTCTCAAAAAGCTCTGATTGGCAAAGAGGAGTCGTCTCTCGCGGCTGTCGTGGAGGACCTGGAGGAGGAGGACAGAGCCGTTGCTGACGAACAAGTAGTCCCTGAGACGGGCAGCAGGAAAGGTGCTGAGGCGATTGAGGACGAGGCCGTGGTCTCTGGTGAGAACGCTGCAGAGGAAGGACCGAACGCGGGTGATCAGGAAGAAAAGGCCAGTGGAATTATAGTCGAAAAAGCGGACATGCCACTTGCAGTAGCCGGCACTGCAGCAGATGTGGAGCCCATCGTCGTTGACTCTGAGCCCGTTGTCCTGGATTCGGTTGAGCCAGAGTCTAGCGCTGAGGAGTCGGCACCTATGGTCGTGGATTCGAAGCCAGGTGATCCTGATTCGGCACCTGTTGTCGCGGACGTACCCGCCTCGCTTTCCGTGCGAGAATCGCAATGCGTGGACGCCGCGCTGGCTGCTGAGAGTCTCAACGAACTTGTCGTGCGTCTTACCCCGTCGCAAGCAGCGGAGTACGTTGATGCCGGAGCAGCTGCCGTTGACGTGGCCGCCTCGCTTTCCGTACGAGAATCGCAATGCGTGGACGCCGGCTCCGCACTGGCTGCTGAGAGTCTCAACGAACTCGTTGTGCGTCTTACGCCGTCGCAAGCAGCGGAGTACGTTGACGCTGGAGCAGTTGCTTCACTGCAGTCTGTCGCCGCTGCGTCGCTGGAGTCCGAGCTGCCGCCTGTCGCTCTTTCTGAGGAAAGCGCTGCGGCTGCCGGTGTCGATGCCGAGGAAGCGGTGGATGCGGAAGAGGCAGAAAACCAAACTGAGAACGTCAAGAACAATGATGTTTCGGGTGTTCCTGCTCTCGGTGAAAGCAAGACTGAGGTTCTTGCCGAAGCAGCGGATGTGGCGGCTCCTTCGCTTAAAGAGGATGCCGAGAAAGAGGTCGAAGACGTGGTAATGGAAGATGTGCCAAATAAGGAAGAAAATGTGGATGTCGACGGTGCGCGTGCGCCTCAAGCAGATGAAGATGCTCTTGCGTCGGACGCGAAGGCTCAACAAGCAAATGTCGTCGTGCCGGCTGCACAGCTGCGAACCACCCCGAAATGTGCTGATCCGACGAGTGCCGGCTTCAACAAGGCAGTTCCTTCTGCAGCAGCTCCACAATCGAAAGAAGATGTTGAGCAGGCAGAGCGAGTGGCCTCTCTGCGCGTTGGTCCGGACGCAAGCAAGCTTGAGGAGGATGAAGAACTTGACATGTCCCATCACACGATCAGTTCGCACAATGTGAGCGGCTTCACCGATCTTCTGCGTGGAGCGCCAGTGGACCAGCAGCCTGAACAGGAAAGGATATCCACCTCGTTCTCTGGCTCCTTGCGCATCCAAAAATCCACGACGCTGAACAGCCAGGTCCTGAACGTGGAAAACGTCAATGTTGTTTCGTTGGCTGATGTGGAGGATCATGGCATTCTTGCGAGGGCAACTCGCGTGCCGCGTCGAGCGTCAGCGTTCGAGAAACCACCAACTGTGCTGACCGCAGCGGAACTCACCACGGCAGAAGATGTGGCTATAGATAAGCGACAGAAATCTACTCGGGCAAAGCCAGACAGCGGTGCTCAGGATCAGAGCGAAGATAAAGATGACGGTGCACTAGAGACGAAGAACGAAGCGAAAACAAAGCAGCTGGACACGTCAGTCGCAGTTTCCTCTATCAGTGACAACAGCTCTGTGCACAACAAGAGCTTTGAACTGGACGTCTCGTTCAATTCGTTACCGCGGTCTTTCCGTCTCGTCTCGAAAAAGGGAGGACTTGCAAAAAAGAGCGGTGAACAGAGTACTGCTGCCGCTCGCACGACGAAACCAATGCTGCCACCAGGGCGCCGTCTCTTGTCCGCAAAAACGACCGGGACCGGAGAACTGGGTGGTGGTTTCGTTTCCGTGAATAAACTTGCCTCCTCAGAGAAGGCCAAAGTCGAGGAAGAGCCGAAATCCCAGAAGTCTGACATGGGTTCGTTGCTTCAGGGTCAAACGAGCATGGAGAGTGCGTCTTTGATGAAGAATGCGATGTCGCTGGAAGAAGGACTGAAATTATGTCAAGACAATGGAGTAGATTGAATCTAGTAGACCTTTTCTTCAACGAAATAAGTTATAGAGGGGAGTTGAAAGAAGTACATAATCTAGTTTCGATTTTTAGCATAAATTTATCCCGCGATTCTTGAGTATCTTTCCCTCTAATGCAAGTGAGTGCTTCTGCGGCCGAGCCGACGCCGAACAGCTATCCCATGTTGACACTCGAGGTTGCTGGCGCGGCGATCACACAGATGCCAACAGCGAGCTCTGCACAGGACTCCGCCAAACAGGAGAGTGCGCCGGCAGCAGTGGCCGCCGATAGCGCGGCGAAAGACGTAGAGGAGAAAGACAACGCCGATGCTCCGGCCCAGGAGGCGGTCCCGGATATGCAGGTGAATAGCGAGGACGATAGAGCAGTTGACGTCGTTGATGAAGGTATAATGCCAAGTCGTGAGGAGCAGCAGGACCTTCAAGAGCCGAATCAAGAAGCCGGCGCAGAGGCAGACGCTGTCGTCGAGGACGCAGAGAAGAAGGAATGGGCTTCGCCGGCAAAAGAAGCGCATCCCGAGTTAGATGCTTTTTTTGAAGACTTCGTTCCGTCCCCGGAGGCGGAGAAAGCCGCAGATGCCGAGAAAGCCGCGGACTCGGTTGTCCCAACGCCGAGCAAGAAGAAGCCAGCAGCTCCGAAGAAAACCGTGATGAAGAAAGACCCGAAGACCAAAGCAGCACCGAAAAAGCGCGGCGGGCGCGGAAAAAAGAACGCCAAGTCCGCATCTACAACGTCCGACGGCGATGAGAACGTTTCGGAGAACACGAATGATCAAACAGAGGGTACGGAGGAGCACGACCAGCAGTCGGAACAAGAGCACGACAACACAGAGCTACCTGTTCATCAATTGCGCAAAAACACCAAGCGTCGCGCGACCTTCCCTGATCTTCATATTAAAGCAGAACAAGATGCGCTGCCTCCGCAGAAGATGGCTCGGTTGGACATGGAGGGAATGAACGACCAGTACCCAGGAGCTCCCGGCATGCCGGAGGGAATGGCTATGGCTCGTCCACGTCGCTTGTCCGTTATTCCGGAGTGCAGTGAGGAGAACGTCTCGTCGAACAGCGAGGACAACGCGCAGCTGTTGAAGAACAACGGTACAGCAAAGACGGATAACGCTTCCAGTTCCGTTGCTGAAACACCGGCTTCTAAGAAAGTTGAGGGAGCGCCCGCAGAAGACAATCTCAACAAGACCGACGGCCAACTGGTGAAGCCACCACCAGCGCTTGCGAATGGAAAAATGTGGAATGTCAAGGATTTGCTTCCAGGAAACCGAATTACACCAGGGGAGGTGATGCCTCCGAGATTCACACGCGGTCCAGCCGACATCGATACAGACGGAATCGTGTGCATCAAATGCGGCTACGCGCACGGATGCGAGCCCGGAAACGCTCTAGTATATACTTTTTTATCTGCCTGAAATGGTTTTGTAAAGCGTTCAGCTAGAAGAAGCTTTAGGTAGTACTGAAGCCACAATTGTTTCTGCTGAAGAATGTTGCCTCCAAGACGATGTATGAGGTCAAAACGATTCAGGCCTTTTTTCTCTTTTCATTCTCTTTTACAAGAAGAGGAAGACCATGCTAGTCCATCAATTCTTATTTTGCAGCTCATTTGCGACAACCTGGATTGCCGTGGAGGTAACGGGAAGTTCAAAGGAAAGCCTGGTGCACGTGCCGCTTGCCATGTTCACTGTGCTGATCTGCGTGGTTTTGGTACGAAAGAGGAGAAGTGGTATTGCGGTGACTGCAATAGGACGATGGCTGTTCAGCGACGCTTGAAGTATTGGGAGAAAGACATTGTCTATGTGAAGAACATTCCACTTTTCCCGGCGCTTGTGGCTGCCGAGATCAAGCAAGTCGATTTCACCAAGCCCGATGACCCAACGCCATATCAGCTCAGGTAACATACCGATCCTACAAGACACAATCCAACGTGTACTCCCACTTCATGCACGGGGTTATAATAGTGAAGCTAGCATTTATTATTGTCTTTCGATATACTCGGGCTCATCAACCTATGCCAAGTCGACTTTTGTAATCAATGCCATATCGTTATCGAAGGAAATGGAAAATTTCTTCTCATTCTCAGAAATGATGATTCTAGCGAGAAATTTTCCTTTGATAATCGCTTTTTTGCGTCAATCATATATGTACCCACATTTGTAGGTACTTGCTTGGTAAGCGTCGCGCGCAAACACACGACCTTAAAACCGGACAACCGCTTGAAAAGCCTTTGCCGCAGCGCCAGCAAACCGAATGGATGATGGAGAAAAATTGCATCTCATATGAGAGGTACAACTTGCTTTGAAATTTGTCTTCCTAGTTTTCTTCTGATCAAAGAGATCCTGCTTTATTTAGTACTAGTAATTCATGAAGATGGTCTTCTTGAAATGCACTTTTAGCACTTGCATGTCTCTTCTACTTCATCAATCTTCACAGGGCCGCACCGGAGTGTCGCATCAATGGAGATCGCATGCTCAAGACTTTCTACCCAGAGGTTAAGCGGGTTTGGATGGTCAACCGAGAAAAGGCTGGAGAGCTGTGGATTGCAAACGAGGACCGAAAGGCTGAATTACAGGACTCTTCGGAACCTGCGTCGTGTTCTCGATCATAAAGGTTCGTGCTGCACAGGGTTTGGCTTTATTTAGAATATCCATGGTCGCTATGAAATTACTTGACCGAATTTCTATAGATCGATGCAGGTAAAATGATGATTCCAAGAACGAGCGCGCTCTCGCTCGGCCATCGTGTTAGCTGAATAGGAAGGAGACTTTTGAAGGAGTTTTAGTAGTTTGTCTAGACTGCATGTGATTGATGGCCAAAATGCTGAAATTATGACTACTTATACTATAGACCACCTAATGAAAAGACAGAAAAGCTACACTAGGTAACATTCTACGATTTTCAATATTCTCAAGCAAGAACAAAAGAACCTGTTGATATTACCATCGTCAATACACCATTTGGATCTGATGTGATTTTCTCTTTGGACACACTGAACGCGACTACTAGGAAGTCGTGATCCGTAGTATAGTACAGATGTTGGTCAAGTTCAAGAAACCGACTGATACCAATAGATCGTTGAACAGAACTATGTTTCAAGTCAGTATATCTTCTCTTAATATCCACATGATTTACGCTAGATTTTGGTTGCATATGTGGCAGTCATGGCGCTACGTGGGGGGGGGGGTAGCTTTCTGCTGATTTCTGCGGAGGACGGTTTGCATAGGTATGAAAAAAGATGTTACGGTTACACACGCATCTTGAGATAGGTTTTGTGCCGAACTAGCAATGGATCACGATGTCAGCAAATGTAGAACTTTATTTGGGAGTTGATTTTTCGTTGATGAACTTTTTTTTGCTCTGAAGCATAAAGTGCTCGTCGAGGAGTTCCTGGATGGCAACGGCAATAAGATAAGCGTTGAAAAAAATGAACTCTTTTTGCAAATCTTCAATCATTTGTGCTAGCATGGACGCCCTATCGGAGATTGGTTACGAATGTACTTCAGTAAATCAAAAAATGACAACTGAAAACGAAAAGCCTATTTACGGCTACAACATGGTGGTGGGTCAACAAAAATATTTTGATTTTCGATGTCATGAATCCGGGTTGGGTGTTAGTCCTCGTCATGATCATCAATATCATCATTTCTATCAGTCCTTTTATTCGTTAAGTCAGTATAAATGTTTGATTTCGATTTTACATATCGATCCCACTCTTGTCATGCGATTGTCACTGGTGTGCTCAGATTGCGATTTGTAAGATAGATTCTTTTACCAACTTTGTAGTCCTTTTCAATACTAGAAGTAACAATTTATAACAATCTAAGAAGCCACACAGAGACAGAACTTCCTTGGGAGGGAAAATATGGAACAAAGCCAATAAGGAGTAGCCTAGATTTCAAGCTTACGGCTTTCCTTCATTGCGAAAAACAGGTGCACAGACAGTTTGGGTGAAATACCTCTCCTTTAGAGGCTTTGTTTGATACATGATAGATTTTGAATTACTGCAGTGGGATTTGAAGGAGAGAACAGGTAGATGAATCTTAAAATTGCAGTGGAGATTTGCCAATGATCTGAACCCGAGAACGAGATTCGACCGCGAAGAGTTTCTCGTTTGTTTTCCGCTTTGCTCATTTTTCGGGGCATCGCAATGTTTGAGGGAATTGATTGAGAAGAAGAAAAGAGTATATCGGTTAGAGTTTCTAAGCGGCATGACTTCCATCGGTTGTGGCCTCAATTTTTTACTTTTTTTGAAAGTGTTTTTTCGGGATTTTGTTCGGTATCATACATTCTGGAATGGCACGCAGAGCGGCTTTGTTTTCATCCTGGTACCAACTCTCATGAATTGCCCCACGAGCCTACTGACATGGCTCCACTAATCCCCTTCGTAGAAGAAAGCCTTATTCACAAATCGATTGTCAATCCATCCCCCACTTTCCCACAGAACAATTATAGGGAGAGTCAGCAAAATAAGCAAGAGATCCATCTGCAGGCGAGTACAACTAGAGTCCTCAGACATTGAACTCTCATACATCTCTAGGAAATAGGAAAAGATGGCGCGCGTAGGTGTGGGAAACTACCGACACGCGTCGGAACACCGCAGCATGATGATGTGGGACGGTTTTTTCAAAGAGGGCATTGGCAGAGAGCAAGCCGATCACGTCTACCATCCGTGGAACATCAACCGAGTGCCGAAACCAACCTACATCGGAGCGCGAACAAGCGCAAATGTACTAACTCTTTTCTAGTATGCTGGCTTCTTCATAGCTCCTTATAATTCAAATGTAGTACTTGGTTTGCCCTGAATCAATCCTTCACTATCACTATCTAAGCATTTTTGCTATGACGCAGCTGACAGAAGTTCATGATTTTCACCGAATTAGAGTTGAGCAAAAGTAAAAAAACTCCTCACACACAGGACGCACAATTGTCATGTTGGAACTACAAGAAGAAGGGCATTGATCCACCATGGGCAGGGAAATCTGCGTGCCACTCGCCACGATTTCATGGGCATAGCGGCATGAGCGTCACAATGCTCAGTCTGAAGAAGTACTAGCCCTGGTTTTTTTAAGTTTACGTTTACTAGGTCTCTTTTCTGTTCAGTATGATGATACGACAGAAGGCATGACGACGAACCATGCTGAGTATAATTAATAGGACTGAAAAAAACACTATCGCACATAACAATAGGGCACGATCACAGCCCGACTTGCTTGCGCATGACGGAAGGCACATGCATGATCCGCAGCCAGTGCAGGAATATATCCACACGGGAAGAAGCACCATGAGCCAGCTCTCTAGTGCACGATCGACAGCCAGAGGCACGAAGCCTCCGCGGGTTGCGCTCGCGAGATAAGACTACGTTCAGTTCTGACTGGTTCAGCGAACTAAGGAATGGAACTCAGGGCTTGTGGTTTAGGAGCATGGAAAAAACCTTTTACGTTGCAATGCCTATATCTTCTTCTTGATTCTTGACATGCACGACTAGCTGTAAAGTAATTTGTTTGGGCGCCTCAGTCTCTGAGAATGCGTATCCAATGGGGTTCTGATTCTGATAATTACATACTTCTATCTAACAAAAATCAACACCGAGTTATCCAAACTAGTATTCATAACATCGACTCGATAACAATATACTTCTAAAAAATCGTTACGAAGATTGAACAGTATTGAACAGCCGAATTCAAAATGTGTTATAAACGAATACGCACTACATCTACATAGCTGAACTGTATCCATAGATCACATCTTTTCATTGTAGTATCTTTTGTCAATGTCGCCGAGGGAAGGGTTATCAACATTGTCGTCCAACATGCAAAATGTACATTTACGAACTCTGGGATAGCGTCCGCAGATGGGAAAAAACAAGAGCTTTGTTACAACCTGTAACGTTTAATTTGAAAATACCGCTGCTTAAAGAACGCATGAGCAAGATGCTCGTGGTGTTCAATCATCACAGACGCGTAAGCATGATGAACATGAGCAGAAACTTATTATCAGGCCTTGATGTTTCGCCAGGATGCGGCGTCCGTGAGCAAGCTAATAAGGGTACCCATACTTGCTCACTGATCGGCGCACTGAATAAGGAGTGGCTTTTAAACTATGGGTTTCCGATATCATTTCTTGCTCCTTCAATTCCCCGCCGTCCCTTCCGTGTATCGTAATCTCTTTTGTTTTTTAAGCAGAAAACTATATTCATAGTACTTGGTTACATCGCAACATACTCATTTTATTTGGCACAAGAAATACATAGTTGTACAAAAGCATAGCAAAAGCTACAACGACCACAATGACGGTTGTAAAGCTGGGGCAGCGTTTGCTGCCTCTTTGGTTTGTGCTCTTCGGCAGCCTCGCGTCGGGAGAAAAGTCGTTTTTCGGGTCTTGGACCAAAGCGATCCCTGGAAAGAATGCAGTCCAGAAGGCGACAGAAAAGTCGCTAGCTATGGAGCTTGGCCTTTCTAGAAAATAGATGTTGCTAGTTCTTGTTGAAACTAAGTAGTGGTTCTAGGAAGTAAATGTTCTTGTTGTATAAGGGAAAGCATCTGTTAGTTTGGTGATCAAATGATTGGAAATACTACCGCTTAATTTGAATAAAGTTAAAAGTGCACGTAGAAGTTATCGTCGCCATATCTTTAAGCCAAAGGAGCTATTTTCGGTGCTGACATCGAAATCGAGCGACACTGCGAAACAGATGATTCCAGAGTTTCGCTTGGTGAATTTGATGGAGGGCGTTGAGCAAAATCCGAAAGAAGGCAAGACCCCGATCGTTTTCATGCACGGAATGGGCGACTCAGGGAGCAACCCAGGCATGCAAAACTTGTGCAAGGTACTTGTAGTTAGAAGAAGAGCAATTTCTTTATCCAGAATTGCTAATCATGACGGTGTTGTTACGGCGGCATCGCAAGTAAGGAAAAAGCATGTGATATCTCACACTGACTAGCATAGATATCTAGTTGTAGTGTAAAAAACGACACTTATTTCTTGGATTTTTGTACCTACGCATCTCCTCCAACAACTTGAACTTCTTGATTTTCACCCTCTTTCAACCTCAACAACATAGACGACGGCAGCCACATATCAGACGTACGTCGTCTGTCTTGATGTCGCGGATGGCATGTCATCAATTTTTACGAAAATGGAGACGCAGTTGGAAGAGCTTGCGCGTGTCGTGAAATCTGATCCAAAATTGCGCGATGGCTTCAATATGATGGGCAATTCGCAAGGCGGTCTGATGTCACGCGCTTATATCGAAAGATACAATTATGAAGGGAGGATGGTTTTCAGATCGATGCTTTGTGGTTCTGATTGAGAATCTTTCATAGAAGAGCTGTTAGAGTCGTATCTTTTCTCCATCTTCAAAAAATGCACTTCTAATGCGACGATCCACCGGTGAAAGTCTTTGTGTCCAATAGCGGTCCCCAGAATGGGATTCAAACATGTCCCACAGGTCTCTCGTGGGCCTGTCCACTCCTATTGCGCTTCTTGAACCCGTATACGACGCCTCTGGTTTTTTCCGATTACTGGCGCGATTCCTCAGATCGCGATAAATTTTTGTGCGAGAGCAGATTTCTTTTATGCTGCGAAAGAAGGAAGAAGAGCGTATATATGCGTTTGACGATGACTTGTTGAGGTGTAAGTATACAAAAATGATCTGCAACAGCGTTTACCTCAGCCGACAGTGTTGTAAAGATAGTACTTAGAATCGAATTGGTCTAATGCGAGCGGACGTCGGAAACGAGCGGACCGAGAAGAACACGACCTACGCCGATAATATGAAGAAATTGAAAAGGTACATGCTGCTGGAAGCCAATGAAGACAGCATGGTTATCCCGCACGCTTCGGAGAGCCATGGATTCTACACTACGAAATGGTCGAGGAAGACTTATCTGTATAGAAGACGTAGAAGAAGAAGATGCAACAGACCGACGTAGAAGTAGAAGATGCAACAGACCGACGTAGAAGTAGAAGATACAACAGACCGACGTAGAAGTAGAAGATACAACAGACCAACTACTCCTTTCCTCTAAACTTGGTAGTAGGGATGGTCGAAGAAACTGACTTATTGTATGATGAGGGCGATTGATGAATATGCTGTCGTTAGTGTACGGAATGGCGCAGCGAGTTTGTTGGTCTAACCGAAGTGGAAGTTGTATGACGAGTCGATGGTTTCATCGATAGTCTTACTATTGCCTCGTATGGCGCAGTCGCTGCGTAGCCTTGTCCGTATGTACTGTCACCGAAAGCTAGAAGAAGTAGAAGTAGAACTAGAAGATGCAAGAGACCGACGTAGAAGAATCATTGGTGCTTATTTATACGTACAGGTAGATGAACATGAAGGCCTCCCCTTCTTGTGTTCCCCCTTGTTGTCCCATCGAACCAAACCCCACAATAGTCCTACCTTCATATTCTAGTGGGGGAGCACAACTGAACTCGAGGATTTCCACGATTCGGAGAGCTACAAAGGAGACTGGCTTGGCCTACGCACTCTCGACGAAGCGGGGAAACTGGAAGTCATAAGGTTCGAGGGTGATCATATGCGCATTCCACACGACGTGATGCACGAGAAGGTACTGCCCTTACTCGGTGGGAAAATACCAGTTGGAGACGTCAATGTGGCTGATGGAAGTGCTAGTACAATCGGAGCCGATGTGGAGGTCTTTGCATGAGATGAATGAAGACCTACCCCTTGTGTGAATCTTTAGAGACACTAAAGCTAGACTTTTGCCGCCATGAGACACGACTCCTTGAAAGTGTGTCACGTTTTCGTGGACGCCGAAACAATTTTGTAGACCCGTATACACGTGGGACACGAGTTTTTGAAGTTGGAGGTTCCGTCCATGTCAGGACGATTCCGCCTATGACGTATTAGCGTGCTAGTAGCGGTCATTATCTATATCTTAATTGACATGCATCAAGCATTGATATATCGAGGAGGTTTTGACTTGCGAGGACGCACATATATGACAAGGACTTTGAAGACAACAGAATGTTGGTATCGTTGCATGTTGACCTTCGAGGGGAAAGACAGGGTAAAAGTACCGACATGCAGTCTGGACGCAAAGCTCGTATCCGTTTTCATCTTCCAACTATTCTCTGCGATGTAGGTAAAAATGATAATCATCCCGCCACGATGAGAAGGATTTGTGACGTAGACAGTTGTAAACGCAAAGTAGAAGAGTCGCCTTTAATCGAGAGCAATGCCGTAAAGATTTGCGTGCATCGATTCCAAAATAGACTGACAGGAGTGTCAATATACGTGTTCACAACAGATCGGTTTGCTCTTGTCAGTTTTTGAAAATGTTGTTTTGCGATACAACATTACATGAGCGTTGCGACACGATTGTTGAGATAGTCGTAAAAATATTGTCGACGAGAACAGACGGGCTTTTTCATATCACATGGATCTCTGAGGCAACGCTCTTGTACAACAGGTGGTAGCTACAATCTCTACGCAGACCCCTCCAGCAAAGGCTAAACTCTTTTCTCGAACCAAACGCCATCTTGATCACTGTTGCTTGTCCTTTTCTGGTCGACTTCGACTCTTTTTACGCTCAAAGATTCGATAGGCAGGTAGAAAGACGATGATGTTCCAACATACAACTGAAATGATAATGCCTCGCTAATAACGCAGCAAACGGCGCATACTTTTGTTTTGTACGCGTCACTTTTGTTGAGGCTTGTGGCTTTGGCTTGAGTGAATAAAACAATAACATCTGTGCTGAAGCTTCTGGGAGTGTAAAGCCTAACTTTTGAGTAAATAGAGCATGACGAGGCGAGTAAAAAGTGGCTACTTTATAGGCGCTTTTCAAGAAACAAAAGACATCTGAAAAGTATACAATTAACCTCCTCCCATAACAGGAAGTGACGCATTTTTTTGCCCTCAGGATAAGAAAGAGGCCCGCTGAAAATCTTGATTGGCCTTCGCCTCTATAAAAAAAGGCGAGGGTTTAGCTCCAGCGACGCTTAAAGCACAAAAGTATAGCAGCCGGATAGTTTTCCGTCTATCCTTAGGCTTATCCCTTCGTGGAAAGAATTAGAAAAACTATGTATAATTATGTGTTCAAAGATTTATGGTCGGAAGTTTTTCATCGAGTATCCATGTGTTTATGTACATTAACCCTTCCGTTCGTTGAGTAGTCAACAGAAATAGATACATAAGCATAGTTGTTTTGTTGTTGTAGAAAAGCATATTAGCCCATTATTCTCGCTCGCTCATCTTGTTGTAGTCCTGCTTTGTGAATCGATTATAGATCTTGAGTACTTGTTCTTTTACTCAGAGTAATAAACCATATTCAGTCATCTTCACGCGAAATAAGAAAAGTATGGGGGCACAGGAGTCATCGTTGGGTGGCGGCCCACAGGGCAGTCGTGCCGCTTGGTTTCCAGAGGAGTGGAAAAGTGTTTTGAAGAGCCTTCGCATTAGCACGCTGAAGGAGGCTGTGGAGACGGTCAGAAACGAAAGCAGTGCTGGTAGCGAGCTCGTGTTTTGCACCAAGGACTACTTTGTTCAAAGCGTTTTGGGTCTCTCGATCTCCACAGGCGGGACGGGCCAGGCTCTAGGAGGCGCTGGAGGTGAGTCTCAGCAGCATAACAAGCCCCCCGCTCTGCATAATCTGGGTAAAGTAGGTAGCTTGGTTAATTTCTGCGTTCTGGATTTGGACAACACAGAGGCGGATGAAGAGGCAGAACAGGACTCGCCTGGACCATCAGTGCTGCGTACGCTAGGAGCAAGTGCTCACGAAATCAAAAGCGTGCTTCTGACCTCGAATGTGTTCATTTTCCAGATCACCTCTCCTGGGCAAGACGAGGATGCTACGGCTGGGTCGAAGCAAAAGGCACTGGGCCCGCTCGTTTTGCGTAACAAAAATGGCGGAAAGCTTTCGAAAAAGGGAAATATAGCAGTACTTCACGACTGCGGCTACCAGAAGTACTCAGATATGACACAATGCAAGTTTTTACAAAGATCGCGTGACTTATTTGGGGTAACTGGCTACTCTCTCAACGCGTAAGCTAGAATAACCCGACACCTGGAGCAGTTTGGAGTTATTTGAGATAGCTCTGATTTGCACTATTTATGTTACAAAGTATTTTGAAGTAAAAGGAAATAGCATTCGTGGCTACGTATACACAGTACTAACGTGTGGCTGTTCTAGTTGAAAAGATTTATATTTGCTTTCTAATTTAGACCGCTTGCAGTTTGTTCAGGGGGTCTCGGATCTGAGTTTCGACACTCAGTCTGCGTACGACAAAGTTCAGCGGGCGCTCGCTTACTTGCGTGAGCCAGGGTCTTTGCGTGGCTCAAACAGCCCCATAAAGAAAGCACTCGTCGATTTGGAAACCCCTTTGCTGCGGCCGATGAATCCCGGGGACGACTTTTTGCTCACCGATGGCCGTGTTTTCATAGTGGTCTACTCGAAAAAGCAACCCACTTACTACGACCTGAGTCTAGCTGGTGCGACCTCGAAGCTGAATTTAACGTACTGCAAAACGCGCTTTGAGGGAAGCTTAGCTTTTGGCAGCGGCGACCAAGTGGGGGCCGAATATGTGAATGGCGTTAAGAGGTGCGACATGCTGGTGCACGAATTCCAGTTTCGTCCGGAAGAACTGCGTGGTCCGCAGGCGCAAAGCGAAAACACTGGCTGTGTGCTATTTTCAGGCTACAACCGTACGAAATTGAAAGCGTGGTCGGAGGACCGCCCGATTGTGATGCTCATGCACGTGGATGCGAACGGCGTCAATACCCTGTACTACTGCCCGGCTCCCATGAACGAGCGAATCGGAAATAGCGTCACCTATGGCGCAATCAGTTTTCAAGTGTTTACTCCAGCAATGCTCGCGGCACAGCGAAGCAGCATTGCAAGCCGATGGGCAGGTCAGGGTGGAACAGCACAAGCAGCAGCTAGCTCGTCTTGGAAGTCTAAAATTCGGTTCTACCTTCACACTGCACAAGAGGGCTATTGTCCAGCGCATATAGACCAGTCGGCTCCGGTAAAAGCTGAGTGCTACAAGCATTACTATGACCTCGCGAAGTCCTACTTTGCCTCTGCGCCGTCTCTAGAAGAGATTGAGGGACGCAACGCTGTTGCTGCTGATGAACAGGGAGCAGACGACGCCGATGCAAGCGGCCAGGAAGCCACGGCTCTAGCGGCAGGAGCACAAGGGCAGATGACGGGAGCACTCGCGTCATCGGCAAAGAGCTCCGCGTCTGGGACCACGGTCGAGGAAAAAAGTGCCGCTCCTTCTGTTGCAATCGAGGATCCTTTTGCGAATTCTCCAGGCCCAGTCATCGTATCCAACTCGAAGACGGCGTCGTCGATTCTGCAAGCGCTTATAGGCCTAGGTTCGGCATCAGCGGCAACTTCGCCTGCACATGGAAAAGACAACAAACTAGATTCGTCTCAATATCTTTCGCTCTTGAACACTGCAAATTTCATCGAGTTTACCAATGGCTTTCGTCGCTGGAAGATGAAAGAACAAGATGAGACTACCAGTACCTCTGTGAAGATTAGTTCTCCGCCTACTAAGAAACAGCCAACCAAAGCGTTTTTAGGACAGGTGAGCAGCGCGAAGCAGACACGGCAACCAGCGTTGTTGATGATGGGCAAAGTGGACGAAAATTTGATGCGTTGGTGTCCGTCCAAAAATCCAACTTTGCTGCTTCTAGACGACACAAACCGCATCCCCTACGAGGTAATGGGTTTCGTGGACGGTCCCCGAAAAGCATTCGAAGAGTGTCTCTGTGTGATCTACACCAGTGTAAAAGTTCCTGAAGACCTGCACAATCAGGGAGCGATCAAGGTCTCGCCGGAGGCAATAGAGTCGGCTTTCGGCCAGATTGACATGAATCCGTTGATGCTTCTTGGACAGAAGTCTGTGGTTCTGGCTGTGGTGGTGAACGAGAACAAAAAGAGAGAAATTCTCGCCGCACGGGTGCTCCGCAAGGGCCCGAGCGGTTGCGGCTCCACCTTGATCGACGACGCCTTCGCGGACGTCACCGAGGCAGTCACGTTTTTGAACGTCGGGAACAGTCAGCACAAGGACAGCCAGAAGAAGAAGGATGGCTCGAAGGAGAAGAGTCTTACAGTATCTGAATTGCTGGAGCGAATTCGTAATTGGGCGTTTGCGAAGGTGTTCCCATCATCAAATGAATTTCAAGACGCGTCCCAGAATATTGCTCACCAGAATCAATCTGCACAACATCCAGAAAGGGCTTTTGTTGATTGCGCAGGCAAGATTCTGGTGCCACCTGGAAAGTATGTTGGCATTTCTGAATTCGCTGCGTTTGTGAAGAAGGAGATGTTTATTCCAGAGCTCTTTCACAGTTTCGCCAGCGAAATCGAAGCAAGGCTGAATGATCTTACCACAAATTTCCACGAGGAGAACCGAATCAACGATGCAGCAGCGGGAATCTCAGACTTACAACTTCAGAATGCCGACGAGCCTGAATTCGATGCGGCGACTGGAAGATCAAAGGAAGATGCTCAAAACACTTTAGCCACTCAACGCAAGAGGGAACTTCTATCGAAGTGCCATGCGGCTTTTGAGACTGAGCTGTCGAAACGACTGGAGAAAAACATCGGAGAAACCCTGAAATTGCTGTTGAGCCACCTCGAATGGGTCGCGAACGAAGCTCAAATCTCGACGGTGCGGGGCCAGCTGATGCAGGCATGGAGTGATGAGGTGGCGCCGAAGCTACTACAATTACACGAGCGACTGGTTTTGAGTGCTTCGAAGAGTGCAGGAGCGGCTCTTGCTGGGTCTTCGCCTGGAGCGCTGTCGAATGCGTCTGCGCTATCAATCCATACTGCGGTGAGCACGGATTTGTCGTCTGATGTGAAGATGGGGAATGCGGCGGTAGCCTTGGTACCAACAACTTCTCTCGAGAAGACAGCATCAACTCCGGCCGAGGCGCTAGCGCTTGCTTGGCAAACCAATGACTTGGACTTACTGCGCGCAGCACGGCAGTTGAAAAATATGGTCTCTTCGGTAAAGCGAAAGTGTGATTATCTCGCTCGTTTCTTTGATTTATCCAGTAAGCGTAAGCCGAATGCCACATATGCCATGATCGTGGATATCGCTGCGAAGAACAAGCGCGGCGTGCGCGCACAGCAAAAGGCCGACACCACGAAGGCGAACCTCTCCACACTGCACAACATGGACCGTGACGATTTCTTGAGTTACTACAGCCAACCGGAAGTTTGCCAAACGATTTTACACGCGGTGATCGATACCGTGAACATGCGCGAGTTCGAGAACCAGGTAGTAGCGATTTGTGGCCCAGAGAAGGACTTTCTGAGGCTCAAACCTGATGCAAAACTCCTAAAGGCGGTCGAAGAGCGCATGGCAGAACGGGAGCAAGAGCAAGAACGCAAGAAGGCAGAGGACGCTAGAAAAAGAGCAGCTATGAGTTCAAGGAGCACCACGAGTAGTGCGCCTCAGATGCTTGACAATGTTACAACGCCGCCTGGACCTGGAGAGATGGTTATAGCGACCGGCGCATTCTCGTCGTCCTCTGTTGTACAAAAACACGCAGCAGGTGGCGTCGCATCTACTAGCGACGAGGAGGAAAATAATTCCGCGATGCAAAAGCGCAGAAAGGTCGAAATCGATCCCACCAGTATTACTCCTTCAATTTGCGGCGTCTCTGACCGCATCATGACGGTCGAGCCAGAAGTTTACTCCGAGATTCTCAGCGTCGACATGGCCACAGAGGGCATTGCGGTCAATGACCAAGTAAGCAGTACAAGCGGCAACAACCAAAAGAAGAAGGAAGAGAAGACCACGCTGTGCTATCGTCCGACGATGAATTTAAGGGCCTTTTCGAACTAGATCAAATGAATCCCGCAGCTTAGTAATGGTAAAACTTCTTCAACCTTTCATCTATTTGGACTTTGTTAGGCTTCCTTAGGCAGTAGCTTCTTGATTTGATTCGTATGAAGAGATGTCTGGATTCGTATGAAGAGATGTCTTGATTCGTATGAAGTGATGTCTTCCTAAAGATGAACTATATAGGGATCGCCCATGGCTAGTAGGCACGAAGGCACTTGACGTCGTGTAACAAGAAGTAACACATAGAGACTTCTAGTCATTCTAATCTCTACTGCCCCGATGATTCCCATTCCGATTTTCTCGCGTTATGCATTGAAAGAACAAGGTGAAGCTGAGGAGATATTCATGGGAAAGTCAGTTTACATTCCATGGGATGAGGAGACTGCAAAACCAGATGTGCAGATGTGGCGCATGGCCGTCTCTAAAGTGATACAAAACTCCTCCACGTTGCAGCGCGCTGTCACAATGCACACCGGCGGAGGAGCTGGCGGCTCCTTGACGATTCCCAACGCTCAATGGGTCATAGTGAAGATTCTGTTAGACTTGGCACTCATAATGACTGACCGCGCAAAGAATCTGCCTGCAATTACGGAGGAGAACCGATTTGACACACTACCGAGTATGATTCGCAGTTTGGTACTGACGGCAGTGGGGATTACGCAAGCAGGGGATAAGCCACTTGGCAACGCCTGGGCTGTTTGCAAGAATGTCAACTTATGACGATAAAGGGTTTTTTCGATGAAGATAGCTTGGCAATGACTGTAGCACTTAAGTCTTGAATGAGTCGTAGCTCGGATGTTTCTACTTGTAATATATCGCCCTGTTTAATCGTTTGTCTGTGTCCGTAATTTTTTCAACTTCAACTAATTTTAGACAGAGAGATCTCTACTTTCGTTTGCTTCAGCCGACCACCTCCTCGTTCATACCACACCAGACCGGAACTACCGGAGGATAAGCGTGACTGGTTTATGCTTTTAGTCCTAGCAAAGGTGTATCCCAAAACCGGCATGGACGCGAAATGCTTCCGCGCAAATTTGAGGAAATTGTTGGTGCGCTTTTTCAACAAGATTTGCGAACCGTACATCCAAGAGTTGCACAAGGACTACGAGGCGCGCAAGAAGCAGTACGATAAGAAGGTCGCGGACAACTATATTCTGCAGCCGATATCCCGCAAAGAGCTGGCGCCGGTGATGGTCAACAAGCCGTCCAGATTCTGCGCTATCTGCTGGCTATTGAAGCCTGCGTACCAGTTCCCGAAAAATTCGTGTGCCACTCGCCGTGTAGACCGTGGGGAAAAGCACAGGCCGCAGGGAGGAGGTGAAAACTCTCCGTACACGAACTGGACCAGCACGGAGTGGAACCCACCTCAAACTCTCGAAGAGTTCAAGACCTCCTACGACACGAGAATGCAGATGCCGAAAGCGGACAAAAAAACCGGTGCAACAGCTCCGTATGGGAAAACCCTTTCAGAGTTGTACCATTCGAGCGACTTTACCAAAAATCAGACGGGATTCGAGCGCAAGACGAATGAAGCACTTCGCGCCGTGATTTTTTCATTCAAAGCGAACAAACATTACACGGCTTCTGTGGCGGCGAGTACCAGCAAGAAATCTAAGAAATACAAAAAGAACAACGGCAGCAAGAACCAGGATGATAAGTCCTCGCAAGGTGGATCAGAAAAAGGCCGCATTACCGAAGAATTGGAAAAGCACCCGGATTTCGAAACTTTCTGTGCGCGCGTCCGCCACGAAGTCTGCGCCACAACGGGGCACACGTGCGTCATGTGTCGCGTCCGTCTGAATCAGATTGGGAAGACCCAAGTCAATGTTGGCGGATTCATTAAGACGCCGAAGGACGCAAACTACGTAGTGCCCCTGCCAGATGCGATCGAGCCATTACCGGGAATCGCCATGCAAGTCATAGAGAACCACAATGCCGAAGTGGAACGAATGACGCAGGAGCGTGGTCAACAAGTAGAACAACAGGTTGTAGGGATGAAAAAAGAAGTACTAGAGCAGGTTTCATGGTCCACGAATGATGTTCCACCGATGGACGAACAAGAAAAGTCTAAGTCAACACAAGGACGAAAAGCACAGGAGAAGAAAGACCGCTTTCTTGGCGTGTGTGGCAAAGCTTTCGGTGCCAAATTGGTGAAAGAGGAGGGTGTTTTTCGGGAGTACCAGAAAGCAAAAAAAGAAGCCACGGAAGCCTACCAAAACAACATAGGCGAAGTCCAGGACGTCGGCGATGAAGATGACCCGCTGCCACCATGGCTGGCACCGAAAAAACTGTTGGTTGTCAGGGGTGGAGCGTCTGGGAGTATACAAGATGGGCCTAGCATGGCGGCATTGACTTATGGTGGTGGCCAGGCGTCGTCAAGCTCATCAGGGCCACAGCAAACTACATCTACAGCATTGGCCAGTTCGAGCAAAAAGCGACAGCGCGATGATGTGGACGACCTGGAAACGGTGCCAGCAAGCAGCGCCTTGCTCGCAAATGTGTTTGATGGTGAAAAAGCCACGACCGGAAGTGCGAAAAAACGAAGTAAAGCTAGTACTTCGGCACAGGAGGCTTCCTCTCTTTCCCTAAATAAGCTTCAGTCTCTGTTTGCTGCAAAAGAAGCGGAGTTTGAGAAAGAAGAGCAGTCAGTGAGTGTTCGATTCGCATCTCTGTGGGCATCGACACTCGTCGGCAACGAGATGGAAGCGATTGCAGCGGTTTGTGCCACTTACCGAGGCCCGGACTTTGACGTGCTTGTCGGATTGGTGCGAGCCGCGGGTCTCGTTCTCGGAGTAGTTAGTGCTGCGGTGGGTAATGAGGACAATGAAGATGATGCTGTGCTTGCTATCCAATCCATTTTACGTGGCCTGGTCCTAGATTTCAGATGTAAAGATGCAGTTGAACGAGAAAACAATTTCCTGGAAAAATTTTACTCGGCCAAGGGAAATAAATAAAATTGAAGTTAGTAAAATTCTACATAGGTTTTGACATAGTCATCGGCACACATATCATGACATTTGAGTTTGAGCTACTTCTCGGTTGGGAGCACATCTTTAGGCTCGTAGGGTTGAGGCCTGAGCGCGCTTTTGAGCCAGGGCTTAGAAGATAGTACTGCTCCACACATTCATGTGTTCCGTTATCTCAGATAATGAATATGATGATGAGCCTTTTCTTTCTTGTGCCTTATCCTTGTCGGTGTTCCACACTTAAACAGGTTGCCGCCCCAAGTGTTCTCTCTGGCCGTGTCGAATTTCTGTGTTATCTTTCTACTTGCGCGTCACTTTTGTTGAGGCTTGTGGCTTTGGTTTGAGTGAATAAAACAATAACATCTGTACTGAAGCTTCTGGGAGTGTAAAACCTAACTTTTGAGTAAAAAATGCATGATGAGGGGAGTAAAAAGTGGCTACTTTATGGCTTTTGAAGAAACAAAAAACATCTGAAAAGTATACAATTAACCTCCTCCCATAAAAAAAAGTAACACATTTTTTTCCCCTTGGGATAAGAAAGAGGTGCGCTGCAAATCTTGGTAGGCTATCGCCTTTTTAAAAAAAGGCGAAGGTTTAGGTCCAGCGACGCTTAAAGCACAAAAGTAAGGCAGCCGGTTAGTTTTCCGGCTAATATCCTTAGGCTTATCTCTTCATGACCAAAATTAGAAAAACTATATTTATGTGTTCAACGATTTATGGTCGGAAGTTTTTCATCGAGCATCCATGTGTTTATGTACATTAACCCTTCCGTTCGTTGAGTAGTCAACAGAAATAAATACATGAGCATAGGTGTTTTGTTGTTGTAGAGAAGCATATTAGCCCACTATTCTCGCTCGCTCATCTTGTTGTAGTCCTGCTTTGTGAATTGATTATAGATCTTGAGTACTTGTTCTTTTACTCAGAGTAATAAACCATATTCAGTCGTCTTCACGCGAAATAAGAAAAGTATGGGGGCACAGGAGTCATCGTTGGGTGGCGGCCCACAGGGCAGTCGGGCCGCTTGGTTTCCAGAGGAGTGGAAAAGTGTTTTGAAGAGCCTTCGCATTAGCACGCTGAAGGAGGCTGTGGAGACGGTTAGAAACGAAAGCAGTGCTGGTAACGAGCTCGTGTTTTGCACCAAGGACTACTTTGTTCAAAGCGTTTTGGGTCTCTCGGTCTCCACAGGCTGGACGGGCCAGGCTCTAGGAGGTGCTGGAGGTGAGTCTCAGCAGCATAACAAGCCGCCTGCTCTGCATAATCTGGGTAAAGTAGGTAGCTTGGTTAATTTCTGCGTTCTGGATTTGGACAACACAGAGGCGGATGAAGAGGCAGAGCAGGATACGCCTGGACCATCAGTGCTACGTACGCTAGGAGCAAGTGCTCACGAAATCAAAAGCGTGCTTTTGACCTCGAATGTGTTCATTTTCCAGATCACCTCTCCTGGGCAAGACGAGGACGCTACGGCTGGGTCTGAGCAAAAGGCATTGGGCCCGCTCGTTTTGCGGAACAAAAATGGCGGAAAGCTTTCGGATAAGGGAAATATAGCAGTACTTCACGACTGCGGCTACCGGAAGTACTCGGTTATGACACAATGCAAGTTTTTACAAAGATCGCGTGACTTGTTTGGGGTAACTGGCTACCCAAACGCGAAGCTAGAATAACCCGACACCTGGAGCAGTTTGGAGTTATTTGAGATATCTCTGATTTGCGCTATTTATGTTACAAAGGATTTTGAAGTAAGATGAAATAGCATTCGTGGCTACGTATACACAGCACTAACGTGTGGCTGTTCTAGTTGAAAAGATTTATATTTGCTTTCTAATTTAGACCGCTTGCAGTTTGTTCAGGGGGTCTCGGATCTGAGTTTCGACACTCAGTCTGCGTACGACAAAGTTCAGCGGGCGCTCGCTTACTTGCGTGAGCCAGGGTCTTTGCGTGACTCAAACAGCCCCATAAAGAAAGCACTCGTCGATTTGGAAACCCCTTTGCTGCGGCCGATGAATCCCGGGGACGACTTTTTGCTCACCGATGGCCGTGTTTTCATAGTGGTCTACTCGAAAAAGCAACCCACTTACTACGACCTGAGTCTAGCTGGTGCGACCTCGAAGCTGAATTTAACGTACTGCAAAACGCGCTTTGAGGGAAGCTTAGCTTTTGGCAGCGGCGACCAAGTGGGGGCCGAATATGTGAATGGCGTTAAGAGGTGCGACATGCTGGTGCACGAATTCCAGTTTCGTCCGGAAGAACTGCGTGGTCCGCAGGCGCAAAGCGAAAACACTGGCTGTGTGCTATTTTCAGGCTACAACCGTACGAAATTGAAAGCGTGGTCGGAGGACCGCCCGATTGTGATGCTCATGCACGTGGATGCGAACGGCGTCAATACCCTGTACTACTGCCCGGCTCCCATGAACGAGCGAATCGGAAATAGCGTCACCTATGGCGCAATCAGTTTTCAAGTGTTTACTCCAGCAATGCTCGCGGCACAGCGAAGCAGCATTGCAAGCCGATGGGCAGGTCAGGGTGGAACAGCACAAGCAGCAGCTAGCTCGTCTTGGAAGTCTAAAATTCGGTTCTACCTTCACACTGCACAAGAGGGCTATTGTCCAGCGCATATAGACCAGTCGGCTCCGGTAAAAGCTGAGTGCTACAAGCATTACTATGACCTCGCGAAGTCCTACTTTGCCTCTGCGCCGTCTCTAGAAGAGATTGAGGGACGCAACGCTGTTGCTGCTGATGAACAGGGAGCAGACGACGCCGATGCAAGCGGCCAGGAAGCCACGGCTCTAGCGGCAGGAGCACAAGGGCAGATGACGGGAGCACTCGCGTCATCGGCAAAGAGCTCCGCGTCTGGGACCACGGTCGAGGAAAAAAGTGCCGCTCCTTCTGTTGCAATCGAGGATCCTTTTGCGAATTCTCCAGGCCCAGTCATCGTATCCAACTCGAAGACGGCGTCGTCGATTCTGCAAGCGCTTATAGGCCTAGGTTCGGCATCAGCGGCAACTTCGCCTGCACATGGAAAAGACAACAAACTAGATTCGTCTCAATATCTTTCGCTCTTGAACACTGCAAATTTCATCGAGTTTACCAATGGCTTTCGTCGCTGGAAGATGAAAGAACAAGATGAGACTACCAGTACCTCTGTGAAGATTAGTTCTCCGCCTACTAAGAAACAGCCAACCAAAGCGTTTTTAGGACAGGTGAGCAGCGCGAAGCAGACACGGCAACCAGCGTTGTTGATGATGGGCAAAGTGGACGAAAATTTGATGCGTTGGTGTCCGTCCAAAAATCCAACTTTGCTGCTTCTAGACGACACAAACCGCATCCCCTACGAGGTAATGGGTTTCGTGGACGGTCCCCGAAAAGCATTCGAAGAGTGTCTCTGTGTGATCTACACCAGTGTAAAAGTTCCTGAAGACCTGCACAATCAGGGAGCGATCAAGGTCTCGCCGGAGGCAATAGAGTCGGCTTTCGGCCAGATTGACATGAATCCGTTGATGCTTCTTGGACAGAAGTCTGTGGTTCTGGCTGTGGTGGTGAACGAGAACAAAAAGAGAGAAATTCTCGCCGCACGGGTGCTCCGCAAGGGCCCGAGCGGTTGCGGCTCCACCTTGATCGACGACGCCTTCGCGGACGTCACCGAGGCAGTCACGTTTTTGAACGTCGGGAACAGTCAGCACAAGGACAGCCAGAAGAAGAAGGATGGCTCGAAGGAGAAGAGTCTTACAGTATCTGAATTGCTGGAGCGAATTCGTAATTGGGCGTTTGCGAAGGTGTTCCCATCATCAAATGAATTTCAAGACGCGTCCCAGAATATTGCTCACCAGAATCAATCTGCACAACATCCAGAAAGGGCTTTTGTTGATTGCGCAGGCAAGATTCTGGTGCCACCTGGAAAGTATGTTGGCATTTCTGAATTCGCTGCGTTTGTGAAGAAGGAGATGTTTATTCCAGAGCTCTTTCACAGTTTCGCCAGCGAAATCGAAGCAAGGCTGAATGATCTTACCACAAATTTCCACGAGGAGAACCGAATCAACGATGCAGCAGCGGGAATCTCAGACTTACAACTTCAGAATGCCGACGAGCCTGAATTCGATGCGGCGACTGGAAGATCAAAGGAAGATGCTCAAAACACTTTAGCCACTCAACGCAAGAGGGAACTTCTATCGAAGTGCCATGCGGCTTTTGAGACTGAGCTGTCGAAACGACTGGAGAAAAACATCGGAGAAACCCTGAAATTGCTGTTGAGCCACCTCGAATGGGTCGCGAACGAAGCTCAAATCTCGACGGTGCGGGGCCAGCTGATGCAGGCATGGAGTGATGAGGTGGCGCCGAAGCTACTACAATTACACGAGCGACTGGTTTTGAGTGCTTCGAAGAGTGCAGGAGCGGCTCTTGCTGGGTCTTCGCCTGGAGCGCTGTCGAATGCGTCTGCGCTATCAATCCATACTGCGGTGAGCACGGATTTGTCGTCTGATGTGAAGATGGGGAATGCGGCGGTAGCCTTGGTACCAACAACTTCTCTCGAGAAGACAGCATCAACTCCGGCCGAGGCGCTAGCGCTTGCTTGGCAAACCAATGACTTGGACTTACTGCGCGCAGCACGGCAGTTGAAAAATATGGTCTCTTCGGTAAAGCGAAAGTGTGATTATCTCGCTCGTTTCTTTGATTTATCCAGTAAGCGTAAGCCGAATGCCACATATGCCATGATCGTGGATATCGCTGCGAAGAACAAGCGCGGCGTGCGCGCACAGCAAAAGGCCGACACCACGAAGGCGAACCTCTCCACACTGCACAACATGGACCGTGACGATTTCTTGAGTTACTACAGCCAACCGGAAGTTTGCCAAACGATTTTACACGCGGTGATCGATACCGTGAACATGCGCGAGTTCGAGAACCAGGTAGTAGCGATTTGTGGCCCAGAGAAGGACTTTCTGAGGCTCAAACCTGATGCAAAACTCCTAAAGGCGGTCGAAGAGCGCATGGCAGAACGGGAGCAAGAGCAAGAACGCAAGAAGGCAGAGGACGCTAGAAAAAGAGCAGCTATGAGTTCAAGGAGCACCACGAGTAGTGCGCCTCAGATGCTTGACAATGTTACAACGCCGCCTGGACCTGGAGAGATGGTTATAGCGACCGGCGCATTCTCGTCGTCCTCTGTTGTACAAAAACACGCAGCAGGTGGCGTCGCATCTACTAGCGACGAGGAGGAAAATAATTCCGCGATGCAAAAGCGCAGAAAGGTCGAAATCGATCCCACCAGTATTACTCCTTCAATTTGCGGCGTCTCTGACCGCATCATGACGGTCGAGCCAGAAGTTTACTCCGAGATTCTCAGCGTCGACATGGCCACAGAGGGCATTGCGGTCAATGACCAAGTAAGCAGTACAAGCGGCAACAACCAAAAGAAGAAGGAAGAGAAGACCACGCTGTGCTATCGTCCGACGATGAATTTAAGGGCCTTTTCGAACTAGATCAAATGAATCCCGCAGCTTAGTAATGGTAAAACTTCTTCAACCTTTCATCTATTTGGACTTTGTTAGGCTTCCTTAGGCAGTAGCTTCTTGATTTGATTCGTATGAAGAGATGTCTGGATTCGTATGAAGAGATGTCTTGATTCGTATGAAGTGATGTCTTCCTAAAGATGAACTATATAGGGATCGCCCATGGCTAGTAGGCACGAAGGCACTTGACGTCGTGTAACAAGAAGTAACACATAGAGACTTCTAGTCATTCTAATCTCTACTGCCCCGATGATTCCCATTCCGATTTTCTCGCGTTATGCATTGAAAGAACAAGGTGAAGCTGAGGAGATATTCATGGGAAAGTCAGTTTACATTCCATGGGATGAGGAGACTGCAAAACCAGATGTGCAGATGTGGCGCATGGCCGTCTCTAAAGTGATACAAAACTCCTCCACGTTGCAGCGCGCTGTCACAATGCACACCGGCGGAGGAGCTGGCGGCTCCTTGACGATTCCCAACGCTCAATGGGTCATAGTGAAGATTCTGTTAGACTTGGCACTCATAATGACTGACCGCGCAAAGAATCTGCCTGCAATTACGGAGGAGAACCGATTTGACACACTACCGAGTATGATTCGCAGTTTGGTACTGACGGCAGTGGGGATTACGCAAGCAGGGGATAAGCCACTTGGCAACGCCTGGGCTGTTTGCAAGAATGTCAACTTATGACGATAAAGGGTTTTTTCGATGAAGATAGCTTGGCAATGACTGTAGCACTTAAGTCTTGAATGAGTCGTAGCTCGGATGTTTCTACTTGTAATATATCGCCCTGTTTAATCGTTTGTCTGTGTCCGTAATTTTTTCAACTTCAACTAATTTTAGACAGAGAGATCTCTACTTTCGTTTGCTTCAGCCGACCACCTCCTCGTTCATACCACACCAGACCGGAACTACCGGAGGATAAGCGTGACTGGTTTATGCTTTTAGTCCTAGCAAAGGTGTATCCCAAAACCGGCATGGACGCGAAATGCTTCCGCGCAAATTTGAGGAAATTGTTGGTGCGCTTTTTCAACAAGATTTGCGAACCGTACATCCAAGAGTTGCACAAGGACTACGAGGCGCGCAAGAAGCAGTACGATAAGAAGGTCGCGGACAACTATATTCTGCAGCCGATATCCCGCAAAGAGCTGGCGCCGGTGATGGTCAACAAGCCGTCCAGATTCTGCGCTATCTGCTGGCTATTGAAGCCTGCGTACCAGTTCCCGAAAAATTCGTGTGCCACTCGCCGTGTAGACCGTGGGGAAAAGCACAGGCCGCAGGGAGGAGGTGAAAACTCTCCGTACACGAACTGGACCAGCACGGAGTGGAACCCACCTCAAACTCTCGAAGAGTTCAAGACCTCCTACGACACGAGAATGCAGATGCCGAAAGCGGACAAAAAAACCGGTGCAACAGCTCCGTATGGGAAAACCCTTTCAGAGTTGTACCATTCGAGCGACTTTACCAAAAATCAGACGGGATTCGAGCGCAAGACGAATGAAGCACTTCGCGCCGTGATTTTTTCATTCAAAGCGAACAAACATTACACGGCTTCTGTGGCGGCGAGTACCAGCAAGAAATCTAAGAAATACAAAAAGAACAACGGCAGCAAGAACCAGGATGATAAGTCCTCGCAAGGTGGATCAGAAAAAGGCCGCATTACCGAAGAATTGGAAAAGCACCCGGATTTCGAAACTTTCTGTGCGCGCGTCCGCCACGAAGTCTGCGCCACAACGGGGCACACGTGCGTCATGTGTCGCGTCCGTCTGAATCAGATTGGGAAGACCCAAGTCAATGTTGGCGGATTCATTAAGACGCCGAAGGACGCAAACTACGTAGTGCCCCTGCCAGATGCGATCGAGCCATTACCGGGAATCGCCATGCAAGTCATAGAGAACCACAATGCCGAAGTGGAACGAATGACGCAGGAGCGTGGTCAACAAGTAGAACAACAGGTTGTAGGGATGAAAAAAGAAGTACTAGAGCAGGTTTCATGGTCCACGAATGATGTTCCACCGATGGACGAACAAGAAAAGTCTAAGTCAACACAAGGACGAAAAGCACAGGAGAAGAAAGACCGCTTTCTTGGCGTGTGTGGCAAAGCTTTCGGTGCCAAATTGGTGAAAGAGGAGGGTGTTTTTCGGGAGTACCAGAAAGCAAAAAAAGAAGCCACGGAAGCCTACCAAAACAACATAGGCGAAGTCCAGGACGTCGGCGATGAAGATGACCCGCTGCCACCATGGCTGGCACCGAAAAAACTGTTGGTTGTCAGGGGTGGAGCGTCTGGGAGTATACAAGATGGGCCTAGCATGGCGGCATTGACTTATGGTGGTGGCCAGGCGTCGTCAAGCTCATCAGGGCCACAGCAAACTACATCTACAGCATTGGCCAGTTCGAGCAAAAAGCGACAGCGCGATGATGTGGACGACCTGGAAACGGTGCCAGCAAGCAGCGCCTTGCTCGCAAATGTGTTTGATGGTGAAAAAGCCACGACCGGAAGTGCGAAAAAACGAAGTAAAGCTAGTACTTCGGCACAGGAGGCTTCCTCTCTTTCCCTAAATAAGCTTCAGTCTCTGTTTGCTGCAAAAGAAGCGGAGTTTGAGAAAGAAGAGCAGTCAGTGAGTGTTCGATTCGCATCTCTGTGGGCATCGACACTCGTCGGCAACGAGATGGAAGCGATTGCAGCGGTTTGTGCCACTTACCGAGGCCCGGACTTTGACGTGCTTGTCGGATTGGTGCGAGCCGCGGGTCTCGTTCTCGGAGTAGTTAGTGCTGCGGTGGGTAATGAGGACAATGAAGATGATGCTGTGCTTGCTATCCAATCCATTTTACGTGGCCTGGTCCTAGATTTCAGATGTAAAGATGCAGTTGAACGAGAAAACAATTTCCTGGAAAAATTTTACTCGGCCAAGGGAAATAAATAAAATTGAAGTTAGTAAAATTCTACATAGGTTTTGACATAGTCATCGGCACACATATCATGACATTTGAGTTTGAGCTACTTCTCGGTTGGGAGCACATCTTTAGGCTCGTAGGGTTGAGGCCTGAGCGCGCTTTTGAGCCAGGGCTTAGAAGATAGTACTGCTCCATACATCAATGTACAATACGGAAACACGCTTGTTTAGAACGCAATCCATGTGAGAAACATTACTTCCCAATAGTCTTCTTGAAGTCAAACAAAAACGGATAGTAACTGATCGCGCTTCGTTAGACGCAACAATAGTTGTTGAAATTGAGTAGAAGGAAAGTTCAACGGTGAAAATGCCCTTGCTACAGTGTGTATCCCACTTTGTTGGTTTCTCTCTGGTGTTCTTCACTGCCCGATCTGTTCCAGATGGAGGCCGAGGAGATGACGACAAAGCGACATTGTCACGCGGACCACGATCAACCTTCACCTTCGAAGTGGCCCTGACAGAACCAAGAAGATCATATCGCGGTCCTGTGATCTGAAAGGTCTGGTCCGATCATGTGGTGGAGATCCGTGTTAGAGAAGCTATTTCGAAAGAGATGGTCCTCTATTAAAGTCTAAGATTTACTGTCTACTGTGTGAACAAAGAGTGACTTCCATAACTCAACCTCAAAGTGGCCTTCAAATATCAAACAAGATGACATAAAAGATAAAGATAAAGTGAAGATTATATATAGGAAGTAGGATTATATGAGGAACATCTGACATATGACCTCCCCAGCTACAGTCCCTCTTGTGAAGCCGCGGGTTGTCGTCCGAGTACGGCCTCTCGCGAAAGAAGGCGACCACTTAGGTAACGGTAGGAGAGTGTACAAAAGACTCGCGAAATGGGACGAAGGAGCACTAGTTTTGGATAACAATGTCGATTTCGATCGACTGGATGGGGAACCCGTTCTTTAAGCTACGGGTCGCTCTAAACATGATGCTGGCGTCGGCAAAAAAGCGGAGGCGTCAACTGTTACTAAAAGTTCGGTTAGTAGAAGTTCTGCTTCTACCGGCTTTACAGTCGGAAAAGCTCCGGGGGCAGCTGCTGGTAAGAATTTTTTCAAAAACCTAGGAACTCCGAAAGCGAAGGCGAAGTCTAAAGTTGTTGAGCTCCCTCCCAACACCACTACAGCGACACCTCAAGAAAAGCCTCCTGAGGATCCTGCTATGTAAATATACCCGAATGAAGCTGCGGGTGGTCTCGATAAGACTTCTGAGGAGGGTAAGGACCAGGCTGTTGAGGAAGTGATCGAGTCTGCTACAACTTCTACAACGCCAGCTTCTGCTTCGAGTACTGGTGCCGCGACAAGCAGCAGTGGCTGGGCAGGCCCCAGTACGTCTAAGGTCGCGATGTCATCCCACCTTTGTCGTCCGCAGGTTTATATATATGTTTATGGAGGACATAAACATATTGGAAAGGTGGCTAGGACATAAACATATTGGAACGTAGCCATTTTGGCTCAAGAAGAAGGTGGCTAGGAATAGAGCAAGGAAAAGTGAATGACGAAAGCAGGGATTCGCAAGAGTCTCGGTCATCACATGCAGCTCGCGCATTTTTCGGTTCATCTGATGGCATATCTAGCCTATACGCTCACTCCGTCACAAGTGAGCCCACTCCTATCCTATCCTATTGGATACAGATGCGACGCAGAATTCCGTCTACGACTCTGCCGCCTCGGACTTGGTGGACAAGTTTTTGTGCGAGAGACTTTCTATTTGCCTATGGGCAAACAGGCACGGGGAAAACGCATACCATCTTCGGACCCGCGCACAGTCGGAGCGATATCAACCACGAGGATGCCGGAATTTTCCCGAGAGCAGTCTCGAAGGTGCTGGCGTTCATGAAGGGCAGGAAGGCGGTTCTTTGCGCGTCTGCGATGGAGTTCTACATGTGCCAGTGCACGGATCTGATGGACGACAATGCGCCTTGCGTGATCGACGAAAACCACATGCCTGTGGGCTTAAAAGCTGTCGAAATCAGCAGTAAAAAGGACTCCGTAGAGTTTATGGCGAATGCTCGGAACTTGCGGCATACCATGTCAACGTTGATGAACCAAGCGATTATCAAGAAGACCGGGGAAGCAGACCATGAGGGCAGTAGCAGGAGAAACTGCTCTCTCATATTACTTACACTTGCGACAAATGATCGTGGGGAGGTGGAAAAGAAAATGAAAACGAATCAAAAGAAGCTTCTTCCGGACCATCTTGCCAGAAGACAAGCCTGCATATTATGGATACGGCAGGCGCAGAGAGGAGGAGTTCAACAGGCAACGACCACGAACGCGGAGTTGCGGCTGTCATGGAATATTTCCGAGGGAAAGCTCCGGATTGATATCGCGACTGGTGGACAAGGATTTATTGTTAATTACGAGCTTTTCGGCCTCCGAGATTGTGTAGTCCAAGCTGCGGAAGCGCATCGGAAGAAGAGAAAGCTGGCGATTCCAAAAGCGAATACCGGGACCAGCTTTCAAGAGTACACGAGCGCCTGTTTTACCGGATCGATGTTACTAACCATGATTGTTAACTTGTCGCCGGCTCTTTCATGCGGTTGGAAAACTTGGTTCTCGTGCACCTATGGTGAAGATCTTTGTTGTCCGGTAAAACCACAGAGTGTGCATCTAGATTTGGGGAAGCTGTTGAAGGAGTTGATCTATCAGGCAGAAAAAAGTGCACACGAAGTGGCGAAAACACCAACTTCTGGTCCCGGAAACAAATACATGGCGCGACGAGTTATCAAAGTGAGACACGATACCCGAGAAGTGGAGCTCTGGCAGAAGTTAGAAGCATTTGTTTCTGCTTGATGAGAAGGATGTGTAATTTGAAGAATTTTTTCACTCCTTTAGGAATAACAAAAGCATCTACATTTTGTAACTTGCTTCAGACGTGTTCCACTGGAACAATTGCGATTAGCATTAGAGCGCAACTCTGATTGGGTAAGATCGTACTTGTCTCACGTAGGTGTGCTAGTCCTTTTGGTTTCTGTCGCTTGTGCAACGAACCGTGCACACCCACTTTGGTGGCAAGGATTGATCTACAAAAAAAGGCTCCTCGTCTGCAGTCGGTTTGCGGGCTGAAGAAAGGTCGGGCGATTCTTCCAATCACTTCTGGCACTACACGAAAGATATATCATTCCGAATCTCTAAATCTCGATCCAAATGATTGAAGCGGGTGGGTAGCGGAAATTTGATGACGTCTGTCTGTGATATTAGGTGGACCACATCCAATCGAATCCAAACTATCATAATTTTAGATGCTGTAACGTCTTGTAGGTTGTGATATCATACTTATCGATCATGGAGGAAAAAAATTCTCGACAGAGTGGAGCTCAGCGCCACCTAGAGCGGGGTGTATACTCCTAGAGGACGGCCGCCTCGCTCTCAGAGGAGCGCGTCAGGGGGACAATGTCGACGCGTGTCGTAGGAACGCGTGGATGGCCTTTATTGAATCTGTACACCGGGACGTCCTCGTCTTCGCAGAGCGTCAAATGGCACCGGACCGCAGCTTCCCAAGGCAGACGCTCGACTATACTAGATCCACAGAGCAGCAGTTCTTGCAGTTGCACCGATCGTCGGAAAAGTACAGTCCACCATAACGAGAGACATGGGGCAGCATCTTCAACGAGAAGGTTTTTCACAGGGCGACCCAAAGCGCAGGAGGACCAGGATTCACGAGCAAAAAGGCAAGACGACGATCACCAGGAGATTGTGTCTTGTGGGCACGGACTGTGGGGACCAGTTGTTGGATTAGGATCTCAACATGATTTTGCGGGAGAGGATAATCCTTCTGGCTCAGAAACAATGGGAAAAGCTGTTAGTGAGAGGCATTACGCCGCTCCGCATTTCCAGTCAGGAACCCAGCCACAAATGAATAACCGACAGAGCTTGTGGTCGCGCGATCGGTCGAATGCAGTCGGGAATTCGGGAAGCTCTCCAGGAAGCATCTTAGGATACAAGGATCCAGGCGTATTTCCCGCGAAAAATGATGGGACAATAGCGGCGGGTCACGCTCAAAATTTTATTGGAACTAGATGGCCGGAACAAAGAGACGCAACTGCAGGTGCTCATGTTCATCATAACATTGGGAATTCTGAGCGACAACATTCGCATCAATGTCAGGGTGTAGTTCTTGAGGATCGTCCTCTGTTGTCCGGTGCTGGAATTTTGAATCAATCTACGCGGCTCATCCTCGATGGGGATGGACTCCAGCTTTACGATGACCTGGATGCAAGCAAAGAGGATCAGATCCGTGAATCAGCAACATCAGAAGGAGGACTGTTCGGTGGTTCGCAGCAACAGAAACGCTCGGTAGAGCACTTGAGCATTCCCACGCTGCGCCAGTGGCTCGCCGAGCATGGGCCGGATGATGTCAAAATGTTGATAGACGCATACTTAAGGTGCAACTATCGTGTGGAGGCGCTAGAGAAAAGTGTGGTACCACGTCCCTTCGGCGAACAAGATCACACTGAAGCCAAGGAACTATTCGATGGCAAAGACAAAGAAACTTCAGTAGCAGCTCGCGATGATGATCACGCTTCATGTATAAAAGACAGAGTAGGTGTCGTCCTCGGACAAGATGAAAGGAATGAAGCAGCCCCGAGCACATGGAACTCGGATGATGGTGCGGGATCTTTCTATGCCGGACAAGGTCCGGTCCTAGATTCCATTAACAACTCAGCAGCTGCAGAAGTTTCTATACAAAATGAAGAAGCCCAGTGGAATACATTCGCCAGTACAACGCTCAGTCGGCGTTACGCAGTACCAAACGTATTTTTCGACGAGTTGCAACGTCTGGATGCGTTCTTGCTGGGTCATTTTTCATTGCTTCTCGAATTATGAATGTGAAAAATGCATTTCGAAAGGCATCTGGAAGACAAAAATCAGAATAGAAAGGCTTTCTTCCAGATGATTCCGGAGATGCATTCAGTACCCCGCTAATCGATGACGTGCCAGCAACTATGCTATCCTCAGTGCTGTATTCGGATACCCTTGAATCGACGCAGGTTGTCGGTGTGCCAGTCACCGGCGCGAACTTGCGAATAGCACTTGCTTTCGAAGAAGAAGGAACAAGTTCGTACTCCAAGGTTCCTTCTAGGAAAACTTCTATGCTCTTCGGCACCTTGCGTGCGCCACTAGCGTCTTGTGATTCGGATGGACGCCGGAATGTAATTCCTGCAGGATGCCGATTAGACAAGGTGGTGGCTGCTTCTGGCTATGGCCCCTCAGGACAGCCGCTGGCTGCAGAGGGCAACAAATCAAAAGGGAAACAAGCTAAGCCGCAGGAATGGACAGCGCGTGAATTTGAGATCGAACTGCAAGAACCCGATAAGACAGTCGATGGACGCAAATTGGTTGCCCTTTTTCGGACACGCATTCAGGAGGTGAGAAGCATACTCTATGCTGAAAGAGTGAATCCAATACTAGCTTCTGCGGCAAATGGAGGTCCAAGTTCTTTTTCACAGAATGGACATCATATTGCTATTCCGAGTGTTACAACCCGGCTGCTCAAAATGTTCAAAAACTCATCCCATGTTGCTTTTGATGCGTCTGAGCATGAGCTGGCTATGAACAAGCTATCTCGGCAGTTGAGTGGGGCTCGGAGGCAGTTTGTGATTGAGCGCTTGGCGCAACTGCAAGCGACGCGTGAGTTCCATGATATGCAAGAGCAGCTAGCGCGGTACGACACTCTAGCAGACGTTCGCGGTTGCCAAAAGTTGTGGCTCAGGTGGGTGTCCGAGCTGACGAACAAAATCGAGAAGATCCGATTTTCACCAGAGACACCGGAGCAAAAGAAGAGCATCCTTCACTCTCGCATCCCGCACTTCTTGCCGTCAGATTTGCTAGCAGTATCTGCGTGTCGTACTGCCTTCTCGTGTCTTTACCAGCCTGTGCGCGAACGGAACCGGGATAGTCGGGGCACGATAGCGCTTGGCGACACGCTTGCCGCCATCCCTGAGGCCGCGGAAGACGCCGAAGTAGTTGAAATCGGTACCAGCGATTCGCTTCCGAACACTGCAAAGTATGAAAAAAGGTGTACTATCTCTGTAGATGAGCTCCTGCGTACAAAGAAAATCGATCTAGGTAAGAGGTGGACTTTAGAATAACAATTGAATTCTATCATGAGGATCTTGAATGCAGTCTTTAAATTCCAAGTCCAACGTAAATAGAAGCTTTGACGCTCTTGTTTTCTGCCTTCATTGCAGCAAGAAAAAGGGGACAAGTTTGTCGACAAAGACGCTCTACAAGGATTTTGATGAGGAAAAAAATGCGAAGAATAAAGAGGGCAAAGTCTCAGGTTGCAAGGTGAAAGTAGTCACGGCATCGCGGGATATCCTCTCAGTGCCTTTTGCTGACGTTTGTTCCAAAGTAGGAGAAGCCATCAATTTTGAGTACAATTGCTATCGTGTAAACAGGAGTGGCGCGGCCAAAGACGCAGACCAAGCAGCAAGCAGCGACCCGAAGGACGGTGAAGATGCTGGTATGATGATGTTGCTAGATGCAAGTGGTTTTAGATTCAAAATGTGAAGACTCTAACATGAGAAATCGTTCCATTCATCACGTGAAAATACGCCACTCCTTGGTCCCCTCCTATATTGAACCACGCACAACCCCGGACGGCGATACAGTTGACCCATAAAATCAAAATCTTCTAAGTCATAGACCTCAGGCGGTGGTGTCGACGCGAGCGCTTCCTCAGGCACCCTTCTCGAAGACGATTTTCAGCCTGAAATGCAAGATAGCAAACAATTGCGGAAGCTACGGAACGCCGCAGCAGCGGAGAAGGCAAACCAGGAGCTTTTCGCGAGTGTTGAGGAGGCGGGCGCGAACGACAATGATGATTTATTTGTCGAGTCTTTGAAGATGTTGTTTTTGTACCTACTAGAAACGCTCCTCACGACGCTGTAAGTATAGGAATGACTCTTTATTTCTCACTCTTCAACTTCAATGTTCTTCTAATAAACGTCCGCGCGGCTGAGTTGTCGCGGGTGCAGCAAGCCTTTGCGGCAGAGACCAAGATAACGCAGCGGAAGACTCTTTTGGAGAGAATCAAGATGCTGGAAAGCCCCGTATGGGATAAGTACAGCGTCCGCGTTCCCCTTGGAGCAGAGTTGTGCAATTTGCTGCTTTCCTGCTGTCCGGTGCAGTGCGAGTATGAGGAGGCGAAGCACCTCCTGAGCGAAGAGCAAAAGCAAGAGTGGAAGCAGCAGAAGCAGGAAGCCTTGGTTAGAAACATGAGCTGTTTACCGGGAGAAGGAGAGCGCCTTCTTGGATTAAGGCTATCACGGGTTGTACGCATAGTATTGCATAGTTTTTGACTCGGATTCTATTCCAAGCAATGTAAGCGAAGGTGAAGTCATGTCAAGAATCACACTCATTATAAATACCTAAGGGTTGCACTTGCAATGCTGAGGTAGAAGCCTTTCTAATCCAAGACACCGACACTCAGCCTGTGCAACAGCCTCTTGCGGCGTCCGCGCGGTATCAAGAGATGCATCACAGTGAGGAGGATTTTAATAAGGTAGAGGTGAATGCGCTGTATCATCGGCTGGTGTGGACTAAAACAGGGAGCAAGATGCAAGGACAGCTGGTCATGCGAGAGGTTTGCAGAAAGCAACTTGAAGAGGAGAACTTCCCGCAAACAATTCGGCCTGTGAATCCACCGATGGTGACAAGGCCTCTGCCGTGGCTAGGCCCGAAAAAGGGATGCTATTTTTATGCACAACGTGGTGTCCGTGGCCTTATTTGGGTTGTCGTGTTCCTTTTATCATTGCATTGTTACATCAAACTAACATTGAAAATTCATGTTTGATTTTGACTTTCTAAGTCTGTAGGAAAAATTGTTAAATTTTTTCCTCCTTCATTCTCCTCTGCACTCGGTGCGTTTGATTCGGCACACGGGGAGTCGCAAAACGGTGGATGACGCGCAGATATACGACATGGGCACAGTTCAGAGGAGCCTAGACGCGTTGAATTCTGTCCCGTGGCGGGTGAATCGGCGCGTTTTCGACACTATGGAAGAGGTGTGGAGTCGAGATTTAGAGCTCGCAAAGGTGCCTCCGAGAGAGAATGTGTCGCTCAAGTCGCTTTTCAAGACGGAGAAAGAACTAACCGAGATGTCGCCGCAGGAGATAAAGCTCCACTTGTTGCATATTCAAAGCGTGAAGCGTCGCAATGCGCAGCTAATCAGCGAGCGGCCAACCTTTCTCTTGCGTCTTAACGCAGCAAGAGAATACTATCACATATGGCGACTTCTTGCTGTATCATTGATCAACAAAGGGAAAAGGTTACAAGTGTTTTTGCCCAACTAGGATCAGCCACACTTTTTTTATTCTGGGGTTTGTTGAGTCCTGCGATTGGGAGTCCCATGGTAGTTCTCGTATGCTCTAATGCTTGCGACGGAGGTGTATTTTCCGCACTCGATCGATTTTCGAGGACGCTCTTATCCGATTCCTCCGCATTGGAATCATCAGGGGCCCGACATCTGCCGTGGACTTCTCCAGTTTGCGCACGGAAAACGGCTAGGGCGTAGAGGCTATTACTGGTTGTTAGTGAGTCTTGCGAATCTCTACGGCAAGGACAAATTACCGTTGGAGGAACGAGTCAAGTGGACCCAGACGAACGCTGATCGCATCGTCGCATGCGCGAAGGACCCTCTCGGATCCCAAGAAAACATCGACTTTTGGAGTGTGGTACTATTTACTCTGTGAGCTATCGTGCTCTACGAAGAGCGATGGGATGGGGGGCAGCTGAGTGCCTGAGGCGTTTCGAGAGGCGGGCCGCCCCCTTTCCGCAAGGGGATGGCGCACGCGCGCTGCAGGTTCTTGTGAATGACTCAAAGCCGCGCGCTACTCGGGCGCGCGTTTCATGTCCCGAAATTCCAACAGAGGCGGCGCCACGTCCGGACACCTTCTACGAGTTGCAAGATGGTTGCCACTTAGTAGAACGGCGTCGCGCCTTTCCCCTGCCGCCGTGTTAGAATTTCAAACGGAGAACATCGAGGGGACCGGGCAAGGGACTGCGCGGGTGGTATTGCGCGGCTTTGGGCTGTTCGATGCGCTCCTCCTAAAGGTTGTCGAGCTACTCGATCGGGATGCGGTCGATTTGGGGTTTTTCGGCGATTTTAAGATGGGCAGGGCACTGCCCAACGGTCAGGCAAGAGGTAGATCCCTCCGCAGAGAAGCAATATGCTTCCCAGGGGTGACAGTTGCAGCGGAAGAGATGGAGGCGCGTGGGGCGGTGCGTTCTGGTTCGTGACTCAGTGCTTTTGGTGGGTGCAGTCGTATGACTTCACTACCGCCGCGGCTGGGATGTTGAGCATGTTGCACGGGCTGCTCGTCATTGCGTTGCCCCAGAGATGCATGGGAGGACCAGAGCGGGCGTGACTGGTTAGGATGGGCCTCCGCGTGATGGGTCCCCCCGGTGATGTGCTGCCAGCGTTCTCTGTTTGGGTCTGCGTTTGGTTCTGGTGTTTCTATCTCTCTGGATCCCTTTGGCTTTTGCTTTTGTTTCTTGCGTTGCTTCCTTAAATCGTACTCGGCGGCAGCTTCCGCTTTTTTTTGTGGGGTGTAGTTTGTTACTTCCCTCATACGTACATGCACTGGAGGGATGGATACACGGGCGCAAGCATAAGCTAAGGGTGTAAGCGCTTCGGAAAGGACGGCCTGCCCAGCTTCGGCCAAAAGCCCGCCTGGGCACCTACGTAGGTACAGGCGTGCCTGCGTAGACGCAGCGGCGGGCCAAGCTTAGACGCTGGCGCGCCCACGCTTGCTCTCACGCACCGACCGGCGCAGCCAATCAAGGGCCCGCGGGGAGCGATAGAGCGGGCATAGGAATTCGCGCGGGCGCGCGCGGTGGGGTCGGCTTCGTCTCAGACTAGGCGGGGGGTGATTCGCGCTGCTGTCTTCTTGAATGATGTACCCGATAGGTATCTGGTTCTGGTGTAATTTATATTGCGACTGGCTTGTCCCATGGCTGGGTTTGCTTCTTGCTTTCGTGCTCATATACACGCTCGCATATCAGATTTCTGCATATTTTATCAGGCTGGTGACGGTGCGTGGCAATTTCTTGGCCGATGTTTCGAGCTGGAGGAGGCTCTCGCGCACCCCGCCGGCCCTGAGGCGTATGTTTCGCACTGTCCAGTCTACCAAGATGGGAGCTGCAATGGGTTGCAACATTACGCTGCCTTGGGGCGTGATGCTCGTGGTGGAGCTGCTGTGAATCTACTCCCTAGTGACATACCACAGGATGTCTACGTAATCGTCTTGCATGAATGCATCTCCAGGGTCAAGAAAGATGCGGAGGCGGGAAGCCAGGCAGCTCGTTTAGCAGAATTGTGCTTAGAACACGACTGCCTAAAATTATGGAGGATGGTAGAAAGTCAGGAGGCTAAGTCTTTGAATTACATTGGCTCCCTGCTCTGGGAGTCGAGTGATCATCTCTTCTCCCTGCCCTGGGAATCGGTGAGCTGGGACATGCCAGTCCTGGGGTTATCTGTGATCGCTTAGAGGGTGGCGCCTCTGAGCGTGAGATGCCGGGTGGCCTGATCGCAGGGGGTGCTCATTATCAGGTCCCTGACCCTCCCTGCCCGTCGTGGGTAAGCTCATCGGTTGGCTCTCTTTCTATCAGTTACTACTTCTGATCATGACCCCTCCCCTTCCCCTCTATCCTCCTTCTCCTTCTTCCCATTTACCAAACTCTAGGAAGTGTTCGAGTGTATTAGATTAGTGTTAAGTTAAGGACCTAATAAAGATTAACTAATCCACTATCATCTAGAACAACTGCATTACATTGGCTCCGTCTTCATCAATAATGTCAGGAGAGTAGACTTGAACTAAAACATCAAAGCAGATATCAACCCCCCCTGATGTTCTAACGTGGCGTAGTACGGTAAAGCAGACGGTGATGACGATATGTTACGGCGTGACGATTCTGGGCGCGACCGAGCAAGTGAGAAACAAACTCAGAGACATGCTGGGTGCAAAAGTTGACGAAGGGACTGTCCGTCAGATGGCGCGGTACTTGGCGCAATCGATTCTCAATTCTGTAGATGAGGTATTTGACAGGGCGATGCGGATTAAGCGTTGGTTTGACGCAGTCTCTTAAGGCAATCCAATAAACTGGCGCAGCCTTAACACTATCCTTGGATTCCTTCCGAAGGGGAAAGGTGGTGCCAAGGACGCTACCAGGGATGCGCTTGAGGTAGCTCTAAGTTTGAGGCGTTTTTTCGCAAGTGAATATGCCATGCAGCTGGGTCACACCTTTTGGACTTGCCGTCTCGCAGCCGTACTTCTTTTATGCTCTTGGTTACCTGGTTCTGTTTGATTGAGTTGGTGAATTTGTGTTAGATTCGGGCCTTCATGTTCAAAGCTACTATAGTATCGCTACTAGAATCAATTTTTTATTACTATTAGTGAGTAATATCTTTCTTGCCTCAGAACCGAATGATCCCTGCTCCAGCAGGAGAGCCTCAGACGATGTTCGGGCCTGTAGGACCCTGCTCTCCTTATCTCTAAAAACCGCAAACCAGTGCGGTAGTAAAGACAGCGTTGCAGTCGGTCACATTAAAGAAGAACGACGGAAATGAAGTGGACGCGAGGCATCAGAAATGTGGCTTTCCGCCAAATTTTGTGCACAGTCTTGACGCCGCACATATGATGATGGTGGCTGAACGAATGATGCTAGAGCCGCCACATGAAGCTGTTCGAGAAAACAAGCAAGATGGCAGCCATGCTGTGAACCACGACCGGGCTAGGTCCTTCTATTCGGATCAACAATGTCCTCAAGTTGCGAGCTGGGGGAACAACGTGACTGCCCTAGGAGGTACCAGCTTCGAATCAGCATTCACTCCTGCGACTGCTTCTAACTCTACAACTACTTCCAGCAGCATCTTCGAAGAAGAACAGGCTTTAGTTACGAGAAAAAGATATTTTGCAATGGTGCACGATAGTTTCTGGTGTCACGCCGCAGATGTGGACTTCATGAATAAGGCCATCCGGGACACCTTCATAGAACTGCATTCGAGACCTTTACTGGAAGAGCTGGAGCGCGATTTCAAGCTTTTGCTGGGTGAAAAGTGGGATATGTTGCCCAAACTACCGCCAAGAACGCAGGATCTAGATCTGAACAGAGTGCGCGAGTCTCTCTACTTTTTTGACTGAATTTAATGATGCTGGAGCGGCCATTACCTAGGTACCACTAGTTCGGCATAAGAGAGACTAGAAGGAAGTTTACCTGGGCATTATGATAGTCAAAATACACTTGCTGTTCAATCGTCACTTTCATTAAAATAAGGTTTTGGTTTTCATTATTCACGACACAGATGCGTCAAGAAACACAATGCATACTAATTCAGACACGAGAGGCATCTCAAATCCAATTCTAAAATAGTGTGGAATATCTTTGTGACTAAACTTAGTGAGGGAGTAAAGCGATGGGAATGAGAGTTATCACGGAAATTGAGAGGAATGTTTCTTCGATGTTGTTAGTGTCAAAATCAGTTGCGAGCACGTTACAGTCTATAAAGAGCAACTATGTTCATAGCAGAACAGGCAGCTCGCTTTTGCCACACTCTACTTTTGAGAATTTAGGAGTGGAAGATTATTGAGGGAGGAAGAAACGCAACTTGCAATGAATTGTCTATCTCGATGTGGAAAAGGACGATGACAATCAGAGGCACCCTGGTCTCGGGGTCAGTGTTCACTGCGAGGTGACTACTAAATGTTGTCGTCTTCCATCGGTCTACACGTTTTGGATTTGGATCATTGTATATAAACTTTCTCTACTGTATCAACCATCCAAGAGTTGTGGAAAAGCGCGAGAGGAGGTGGTTCAGGTTGTGACAGAGGATGAGTATGAGTATGAGAGAGGCAATTGTCATAATTTGAGTGGGAGGATGAAATGGAAAATTCCCGATATTTATATGAATGAAGTTTGGCAGACTATTGGGGCATTTGTATTCTGTTGACTGATGTCAGGCAGTGAAATAGTCGAGCGTTTGTGCTGAAATTAGGATTTGAGTGCTTACCCCTTCTTCCTGCCACACACACACACATACACGCACACACACTTCTTTTCATTTGTTTTATCCTTCTCCACTTGTTGAAGTTGAACGACATCACTTCTTTCATGAAGAAAGAGTTAGTAGTTGTCTCTATCTGTCTACTTCTTCTCCACTTACTTTGTTTTCTAATGCCTTGGTGTTGGTGTCGAGGAAGGCGTTTATCCATAATCCTACTTGTTCAGGAGCATTGCCCAGGTTTGCTTCTTTTATACAGTAAGATCAATCGTGATGTATTCTACTTTCTCTATCAGAGTTGGTAAACCTGATATCGTAAATTGGCTTTCGAAATTGGCGTACAAGCGGAAATCCAAAGTTGAGTGCCATCTTGATAAAATATGTGATCTATAACTCTATCAGTGAAGGTAGATCAACTTTGAGTAGTTAAGTATAAAGAAGTCAGAGCAGTAGTTGGAGTACGAGTAGTTTGAGTTATCGGCAAGTTTCGTCACTTGGTCTACTTACATTTTCTTAGAATCATCATTCCAAAGTCAAAAGTTGACTCAACTCTCGGGTTCGAGTCCTTGATTGCATCATCCAGCAACAGTGTAGTGTCCATCCCTTGTTGTTGGTCACACAGTCTCTCAAATACAAATTTTAGTCCAGTGTCAAGCTAGATGGAGTCAGTCTTGCTATCTGAAGCAGGATCTTCATCTTCCCTGCCACCTATTCCTTTTTTCACTTTCCAAAATTAGGGGGGTAGTAATCGAGGTCTCTGATGAGTGGCTTCTATTGGTAGGTTGGTTCTGCGTATTTTCGTCATACAATTGAGCATGTTTTATTCAGAGTCTGTACTTATGATTACATATCCAAGCATATGAGGAGTGAATTCTCGTGTTATAATGGAAATACGAGTCATTTAATTTCTTCATCGTCGACGCTCCCTGCATCAATCCACTTTTTATCTTGTCATTGAAATATTTTACGACCGTCTATAGAATTTGCATAGGTATTCCAAGTTTTTCGTCGTGGATCCGGAGCGGGATTTCGGTTTCTTCTCAGGGTTGCGCGCCTTTAGCACAACAGCCGCAAGGCGATGAACGGCTATCATGCCAGTTCCGCATCGCAAGCATGAGAAGCGCTACTTATTTTCCTTAAGCACACCCGCCAACTTGAGCATCACCGGTTACTTCGTAAATCGAACCGCAGCGTCCGGCAATGAGCAGTCATGTTGAACTGTACGGGGAATCGCACGCGGTCTTTGCCACCTGTCGCAACGCAGGGGCCTGTAGGTGCAGAGCGAGCAAAACAAGGTGGCAAAACCACTTCACACGGCCTCGTAGAAGAGAGAAAAACACTTTCCCTCCAGTAGTTGTCGTAGGAGACAGTAGTTTTCGTAGAAATGAGCAGGAGAGTTGCACTTCTTGCAGCGGCCCCAAATCATCGTCGTCTTCAGTGGCAACAAGTGCAAGAACATCATGTTTTGGAAACAGTCCTGGTGGAATCCAATTGAGGAACGTCAGCGAATCTTCCGGGAGTAAGAAGTATTCTAGAATTAGAGCCAGTAGAAGTAGCTCGTCAGTCTGGCGACTCAGGTGGCATAAGCGACCTCTTCATTCTCCACGTTTTTCGGAGGGGGACTCTGCTGCCGGGTCATGTTGTGCATCGTCCAGTAGTACTAGTAGTACTGTGATAACATCATCTTCATCTTCATACAAAAACATCATAAAAAAGGGCTTATCCTGCTCGCATTCGAAAATGATTACGAAGTACACTTCTCCCCCTCCTTCGAGTGGTAGGGGAACATGCACAGCGAAAGTAGATGAGGAAGGCTCTTCTCTATTCGCGAAAGCGGGGACATCAGTAGATAAACACGAGTTACTAGTAGTCGGAAACAACATATCAGCACATCAAGTACGTAACGATGAGAAAAATATAGCACGACGGCATTGCCCTGCGGTGCGTTCTGCCGTGCCATTAACGACAGCACGCAAGACAAGTATTTCGAGAATTGAGCGTTTCTGTTCTTGCACGATCAGAGAAATCAGCATTGTTAGCTGTTGTTGTAGAAAGAGTTTGAGTAATAGCCGCTCCTGGCGCAAACGGATGAGTTTGGATTTGCTGCTCCGGATTGTGTCGACGATATCAGCCAGCAGCCTTGTGCTTTCAGCCAGTTCAGATTTGACACTTTCCGGAAGGACCACTCTATGGAGGGCTTTCCTGGTCCTTTTCCTTCTTATTGCCAGCTTTTTCAGCAGCCTTTACACCTCCCGACACGGGAGCACGTTATTCAAAGAACACCGAGAAAAAGCACCATCGAAGACGAAAGAAAGAACCTTTGGATTTTCTCTTGCGCTGTTGCTTTTTCTGGATCCAGCTGCGCTTTTTCCAGGACAAGTTTCTGCTGTAGTCTCGAGCTCATCATCAACTTCGTCTTCGACACCCTATCCAGGGTCGACGCCCCATCCAGGACCAGTCGCTTGTAACCACACCACAGCAGCGAAATGCGGAAAGTATAACGTGTACAGTAACTGCTGGGAGGAGCCCCATTCTCACCTGGGCTATCGCTGCGACTGTCATCAAGGATACTATTTTGATTCTAGCACGTCGCCCTCGTCCTTCTCTCCGGGCCGAACGCACGCCGATGAATCCCATGCCGTTGGGGTTTGCCGGCCATACGCAGAAACGCCGAATTATTACAGACCGGACGGAGGATATGTGCCCTATCTCTCGGGCACTCAATTCTTATGTGATGTTGCTTGTGTCCGTATTTTCTACCGTGCTTTCCGATGCTGCATCTCCCGCAGTCAGTGTTAGTTTCCCAACTTCTTTGCTTCGTTGTAGTTCTTTTTTATTGGGGTAGTTGTTAGTAAGTTCCTTCTGTTTTAGTTTTGCTCGTTTCTTTTAGTCTTCCTGTGGTGTTTCTAGTGGTGTGAGTGCTACCATGTGCATTATTGTATATGGAAAGCGCAGCACAGCTGTGCAGTCTTGGGATGCATCTTAATCGAAGTTGCATCTCTAAGCTTTGAAAAGCCACACGTGCCAGAGGCCTGGCTACCACGACCCATGAAGAGTTACAGTATTGACGAGCATGGGCATCTACTGCTTTTCGCCGGTGACAAATCGCGCGGCGAGCTTTTTCCGACGAGTCCGGAGGCCATGGTTTTCGACGAAGTTGGGGAAGCGCATACAGAGGTGAGCGCTCTGAGGACAGGCGTGATGCAGTTCCGCATGCTCCAGGATGATTTCCGGCAAACGTGCGCGCGGACAGACTACAGTCTTGCATACAGCGATATCAAACTCCTGTGGCGGCGACGGCGGACGCCGCTCTTCGGACGCCAGGGGGCAGCCGACGCAGGGCAAGGGGACGGATCGGACGATGACACGACATTATGGGAAATGACTTCGTGTCAATATTTGTTTAGCTGCTGTGAAGGTGAATTACTCGCTGAGCAGCTATCTAGACGGCTGATGAGACGGATAGTGACATTACCGAGCTAAGGTATCTGGTTCCATGTAAGGAGCATAATGTGGATGACTATGACTAGGCAGCTCTTCTTGCGTCCTTCTCCTTTTCTAAACTCCGATGATCCAGATATTGTCGGCATCCATTGTATGGACCTTACTGGACGATGGCGGATCAGCTCAGCTGATGCTGCGGTGGCGGAAGCGTTTGAATCTTTGGTGCAGCATCCGCGAACCTGCTTGGCGACGAACATGATTCAGCGAGTGTCCATCCGCACAGATTGGAGGTTTGATTATTTCAATTTCACCTCCAATTCCCTGATTCCGCCTTCGAATTCCACAAACTGGTTGTCAGTGGAGAAGATAGAGACCGGACGCATTACAGAGTGGTGGTTGCCACCAGGGAAGGCGGGTCAACAGGGAACGGTACAGGCGGAGAACGACTACGCGAACGACACAAATTTGATGCCGGATGTGGCCGAATTGAAAGAGTACGCGAAAAATCCGGTACATCGGCGTGCAGTGGAGTTATTAAGACTCCAAAACACCTGACCCCACGTGGGTCCCGTTAAAGTACTGCGCTGGTAGTTCCTAGCGGATTCTCGGCTGAACTAAGGCAGGTACTGGGGCGAATATTTTAACGGGATCCATCCACGAGACAGGTTAAGGGTAGCGCTAAAGTTACTCTTTGACAACGGCCACCGATGGCGACGCGAAGGACCGCCTCAGGGACCGGCGCCACAAGACCTGTACAATTTAGAGTTCCGCATCACCCAACCGGAATCAGAACATGACTTATTGCGGAGAGACTGCAGCATGTACGAGGAAGGCTGCCGCACTTGGAAAGAGGACCTCACGTTGGAAGTAGTCCATGTCACCAGTACAACGACAACAATTATGAGGAACAGAGTTTACTGTTTGTATTTTGTCATTGTTAGTCCTCTGCGTGGTGCTTGTAGCTTGTTTTTTTACAGTCCTGGTAGTTTCATCCATAGTCAATGGCGTGGTAGTATCTGTGTCTCTTTAATAGGGCCGCCCTATTTATAGTTGTACTTTCTTGATAGTGTGTACTGTAATTTCATTCTCGTGTTTACTAACTCATATTTGATGGTAATGAAAACGTGACTTTCTGTCTGCACGTAAGGCATTCTCGCAATGATGACATGTTTCTTTCATCACCTTAAAACAAAGTCTAATTTTCCAACCACGACCACGACAAGCACGTCGACGACGACCACGACCACGACAAGCACGTCCACTACAACCACGACTACAACCCGGACGTATATGTTTACAATTTCTATCCACGAAGGATACGCCCTAGGTACCCTCACCATGGTTATGGCTGCTATAGATACTGCAGAATCATCTTGAGAAGTGTCACCTTCAATAAAGGGCAAAGCGGGTGAAAATAAATATGTTTATCAAGAACGGAGTAATTTACTGGAACAACGAACTTCTTGTATTTTGAAGATTGATAGGTTTGTCCTTTGTCGTCGTAGTCGGTTTGAGCTTTTTTTGTGCAAAGCTCTAAAGCTGCTTGCCCTTCGGGATCCAAGGTGCTCGCCGGTCATTGTAACGCGCTAGAGGCTCCGTATAAGTTCTCATTCAACTATCCGGAGGGAGATGATGGCTGGTCTTGCGGTGGGTTTAGTGGCATGAAGTATTTGCAAATGTTCTGCTCTGCGGATTTCCCAATACGGATGGTTGGATTACGGCACCCCATGCTACAAATTTAAATTTTTTTATTCTATCATCTCCTATGTCTAATAAGCAATGTCCATGTTTCTTAATAGTAGGTGGTTACGTTGAACTGCGACAGGGAAACGAGCATGACCTTGAACGTTAACCCATTACTTGACTTGAAGAATTTGGGAAGATGCAGCGTGCGTTCCACTGCTATAATTTGGATTCTGTATACTTATGATCTTTGGTACTTGAATCGTGTTACAACTGCATCTTGTCATTTCATCTGGTTTGTCTTTGACAGTATCCGTATCATCTATTTGACTAGTCACCATCTGGTGCTCTCTAAGTTTTCTGGGGCCATTCGACGATTGGGGCCACGTGTATTGCCCGCCAGGTTACAGCCACCTCTTATCAGGCGGTTGCATTACTCGACTCGCAGAGGTGGGGTATCAAGCTAGTCGTCCATACTGTGGCGGTCTGGATATCTGCCAGCATGACGCTAGGATATCTACACTCGTCGAGTCCGTGAATCATAGTACTGCTATCTTTGTTTGACCCGGTGGAATCAGTTCATTGTGTCAAACCGATCAGATCATTACACTTTACAGGTCGGATATTACTAGACTTGAGCGCCCGGTAGCACTCCTCCCACTAGGATCCTCCAACCCCGGCACGCACTTCCTCGACCCCGGCGCGATTCCGCTTCCCCGGCTCCTCCCCCGCCCGCCAACCGTCTGGCGGCGTTGATCGTTTGAACAAGAGCCGGGCGGGGGACGGCGTGCGGCCATTGAAAAAAAAAAGGCACAGGCCGAAGACGTTGGCCTGTCGGTGTGCTCTTCGCTTCTTTTGGCAGGTTTGGCCTTCTTTGCGTGCAAGTTGCAGCGCTCGAGTTTGCAACTTGTCGAGATTCTTCTTCTTGTGATACAATCAAAAAGCTTGCAGTTGGATTTTTTTCCGTTTCGTTCTTCTTGGATATAGTCAAAAAGTTTGGGCTTCCAGCCTCAAGCTTGAGCGCCTTTTTCCAGCAACATCAAGAGATGGACCCCACCAGCCTAGAAACTTTGAGACATCGAGGCGCCGCCTTTAATCTTAAGCGCTCAGCTTTGGGCCCTTAGCCTGGAGCTTTCAGTTTTGGGCTTTGGGCTTTCTGCTTTCATTCTTGAGCCTTCGATACTCAGTTTTGAGCTTCCAGCTTTGGGCTTTCAGCTTTGGGCCTTCAGCTTTGCGCCCTCAGCTTTGGGCTTTCAGCTTTGGGCTTTCAGCTTTGGGCTTTCAGCTTTGGGCCTTCAGCTTCGGGCTTTCAGCTTTGGGCTTTCAGCTTTGGGCTTTCGGCTTTGGGCTTTCAGCTGTGGGCCTTCAGCTTTGGGCCTTCAGCTTTGGGCTTTGGGATTTCAGCTTTGGGATTTCAGCTTTGGGCCTTCAGCTTTGGGCTTTCAGCGTTGGGGTTTCAGCGTTGGGCCTTGGGCTTTCAGCTTTGGGCCTTCAGCTTTGGGCTTTCGGCTTTCAGCTTTGGGCCTTCAGCTTTCATCTTTGGGTTTTCGGCTTTCAGCTTTGGCCTTTCAGCTTTGGGCATTGGCTTTTCAGCTTTCATCTTTCAGCTTTGGGCTTTCAGCGTTGGGCTTTCGGCTTTGCGCTTTCAGCTTTGGGCCTTCAGCTTTGAGCCTTCAGCTTTGGGCTTTGGCATTTCAGCTTTGAGTTTTGGCCTTTCGGCTTTGGGCTTTGGCCTTTCAGCTTCGAGGCTTCAGCCTTGGGCTTTCAGCTTTCGGCGTTTGGGCTTTCAGCCTTGGGCTTTCAGCTTTGGGCCTTCGGCTTTGGATCTTCGGCTGTGGGCTTTCAGGTGTGGGCCATCAGCGTGACACCCTAAGGCTTAGGCTTACGCCCTCACTGGAATGCTTTAAAATTCTGAAGCTTCTGGGCATCGCCGTGAACTTTTGAAAAGTTTCAAACTTTTCGGGGCTCAAGTGGTAAAATAGCGTCGCGGCTGTATCGCGTAAGTTCAGAAAGCTTGGAAAATTTGGAAAGCTCGGAAATTTCGGAAAGTTTGGAAAATTTGGAAAGCTTGGGAAGCTTGGAAAGCTTGGAAAGCTTGGAAAGCTTAGAAAGCTTGGAAAGCTTGGAAAATTTGGAAAGCTTGGAAAATTTGGAAAGCTTGGAAAGCTTGCAAAGGCTGCAAAGGTTGCAAAGTTTGCAAAGCTTCAAAAGTTTGGAAAGCTGTGAAAGTTTGGAAAGTTTGGCAAGCTTCGCAGCTTTGGGAAAGTTGGGAGAGCTGGGAAATTTGGGAAAGCTGGGAAACTTGGGAAAGCTGGGGAAGTTGGGAAAGCTGGGAAACAAAGCTGGGAAACTTGGGAAAGCTGGGAAGGTTGGGAAAGTTCGGGAGTCAGAAGTGGAAGAGCCTTGGGCCCGGAAGTGGAAGGCTGAGATTTTCTTTGGCGGGGTTGTTGTTGTTTTTTACTTTAGCTCTTTAATGTTTTTGCATGCTTTTTCTGGTCGTGCAGAGACTGAGATAAATCATGTGTATCACACAGCCTATTTTCCTATCACACACAGTGCATTGGAATGCTTGGGAGTGCGGTGGAGGTGGCACCTCAAAAAGCATCTTCGCGCTGTGCACTAATGATGTTGGCGCTCAGCTGATTTCTAGACAATATGCGTTTCTACATGGAGACTGGAAAAGCACTGCGTGCCCAAGCAGCGACTTCATCTCAGTGGGTGTAGGGTGTCGAACGTCGGCTGACCAATTTCAGGTAGACCGAAGGACTTAGATAGTTGTGTCCTCCTAGTGAGGACGACGGCTCGTAATTTTGAAAGTTTAGAAATCTATAACGAGATTATTCAAGAAGGCGCTTCATTCCGTGGCAGTCTTTTGATCACTTCTATAACTGAAGCGAATTCGTCTCGCCGGTATTTAGATCTACTTACAATTACTACCAGAAATGCCACGATGATAAGGTAGCTTGAGTGAGATCATTCTACAATCGGTCTAGCGTTCGTACTTCTCAAAGTACATGATTTGAAGATCTGTAGTATCTTCGATCAATCTCGTTTCTCACACATGATTGTACTCGCGCTGTCAACCACCAATCAGGGCGCGCAGGCTGGTTATTCCGCGGAGGGGTATGGTCTGATTGATCTTTCTAAGAGGGATATATGGCAAATTTTTCATCATTCAAGAACGTGACTAGTTGTAGAATTGGTTGTCCGACCCGACTTCGCTTATAATCAGTTTCCTTTGACGAGGACGAGGAAGTCAAGAGAACAGGCGTCCTAAGGGAATGAAGTCAGGGAAGCGAAGGCAAGTGAACAAACATGAGCACTAGAAAAACGGCTGATTATTAGATGTCACTGATGCGAGGATGATGACGAAAGTATTTCTAAAAAATAGGGCGGCTTGCGTTGGCTGGGGCTGTGCTACGCCTTGGTGCTGGAAGGAGATTCATGCCATCTGCGTGAACCGGCTATGGCGTTTTATTCGATTTTTCTGCATTGATTCCTACTGATCGTAATTTGTTACGATCGTAGTTGTCTTATATATTTCTATGTAAACACTGAAAATCATTTACCTCAGCCACTTGGGATAGTTGATTATCCCTTCTCTCCGGATTCGAATCGATTCCTGATAAACCATCATTATACCGAGATGCAAGGAACAAAATTTAAATAACAAAACGAATATGCTTGTATAACACGTTTCTAAGATAAGCAACGGATGCGCCCGCGTATGGTGCAGTACGCGTACTGTATGAAATTAATGGGGATTATGTCGAGCAAGCAGAGTACGACTACTGGAAAGGCAGACTATTACAAGACTCTAGGAGTTCTTCAAGCGAGGTTAAGGCAAGTTAATAATGCTATTTCGTACCGTAGTACTAGTGCTTGTGATCATGATGTTGACATGAGAGAAAAAGTGTGGGTGTCGTACTACGAACTTTAAGTTTAGATCAATGTATCTAGAGTTGGCTATCAATGAAATTAGTTAGCAGCAGATGAATTTGCATTTGTCCTTCTCGTAATCGTTTGGATGTGAGATGCAGGTTCATTCAGCTTTTGACCACCATGCCGTTCTTCTGCTAATGAAACAGACGAAGAGAGGACGAACGAAGGCACAATACACTCTGCTGGCCGAACCTCAAATGTAGTGCGCGCAGCTCTATGGCGCGAGAAGTACTGGGCGCAGCAAGGACGAGATGAGCAAGATTCGGCTTCAAAGTCAGCAGACGCGACGTGGGGCCGTAGACTGCTTGGCGGCGCGGACAGCGCATTGTCTTCGGTCAGCAACCTGCTTCCTGGACGAAAGACAGACGACGAGGGCACTTTGGGGGTTTATCATAGAAGAGAAGGCTACGTGGATCCCTCCTCGGGTCTGGGCGCCGCGGCCAGTGTTCAGCGAGGTTTGTCATCAGAGGAGTCTGCAGATGATAAACGAATGGTGATCTCATCGTCTTCCACAACATCGTCGATAGCTGCCTCTGGATTGTCCGTGCATCAAAGTAGTAAGAGGCGCTTGACAGCTGTCGCTGGATTTCCTCCATTATCAGGCTACAATACGAGCCACTGGCGATACAACGGCTTCAAAGTGAACTGTCCAATAAACCAGTGTGTTTACATCAGGAGCGCACAACCCGCCTGGATGAGTGTCGATGGGATGGGGAACCTCTTTGCCAGTAACCCAGGACAGGATCCTAATTGGGATAGTGACTGCTGGTATCTCAAAATGGAAGTTATGAACCTCTACTCACTACTCCATCCTGCGAAGACGCATCTTAGTGGATATCATTCTTTTCAATTTCATCAAGGGGAGCAAAGTGGTGCTCAGAAGATTACTTAGATGCACTTATGGCTTAGGATGGGTCGATGTAGAAGAGGTCTAAGAAGGGAAGCATGGACAACGGTTCACCCTCTCCAGCCCAGGCCCCAGATATTTTCTTCCTGTACCATCCGATGCAGGGCAAATACATTTAAGTGTGGTTTTGTTTGACTGGAAGTCTGCATACTTACATAGTACGCATCTACACTAAAGGACTACTTCATACACCAGGCTTGTCCTGTAATCTAAGCTACACACGATTAGAAAAACGACTTCGCGTGACGTTTAAATAGGATCGTCTCTTGAGTAGTCAACGTAAACTCTCAAAAGTTGAAGAAGCGTCCAAGATAATATTGCTATACGTGTTCTAAGAGCGTTTCAAATTAATTTATTCAATCATAGACCGGGGATCGAACAGCTGTACCCCTCATCGTTCTAATTTCTTGGCGGGACTGAGAGCACACCAAATCCGATGGGCCATGGTTTAGGCGGCGAGCTGTATAGGATTAAGTACGAAGAAAAAGATTTCGCAGAACGGCTGACCGCGAGAAGTAAAGAGGACCACGGATCCGGTGAACCAAACATCCGGCACTTTCACGCAAACAGTCAGTGTTATGGCGCAAAAACTATACGCCAACGTTTGTTTTTGAATTTGTTGTCACCAGTTTAGCTTTGGGGTTACTGCCGACGGTCCAGCGACGCTTAAAGCAGATAAAGAAACGTATTCGGCTTACACAAGTTTGCCGCATCTTCTCTCCTTCATGAAATGCAAATAGAGCTCGTATGAGCCGCTAGTATGCCGCTCAACAAGGTAGAGATCATACTGGGAAATTCTGAATAAAGTTGTAGTTGAGTCTTGATAAAGAATAACCGCGAACGTACTTTCACGAGAGTAAGTATCAATTGGCAAGCAGAATGTGACCACGGACCTCGAACTGTGGTTCTATGGAGTACTAGTATTTAGACAGCTACTAGTTCTAAGAGCAGAATTTTGGGGGAAACGGCGCAGAAGAGATGTTCTATATAATGGACCGCCATGGACACGCAGCTTGCTACGAACCGACGGATTTATCGAAGACCTATACCGGATTTCACTGCGAGTTGGGAGGCCCCGTGAGGTTGCGTTCGAGCCATGGCAATTTCTTGGCGATGTCGGACCAAACCGATGTGGAGCAAATGGTTCAGGTCGTGGACTCTGCGATGGCCTACGGCGAATTTCATTTGATCAAATGCGGCTCCGACGCCCACTGTTATGTCACTTGTTGATGTTATAGTACTAACAGGAAGATGTCAACATCTATTTCCAGAATCAGATATTTCAGGAAAAACCATCTCGGGAAGTTCCGCAAAAAATGATTCGAGAACACAAAGTCTAATGTTGCTTTCGGAGTGTGTCGCACGGGACGTGGCTGCAGGCGCAGCCCGATGGCTCCTGGCGCTGGGCGGACGGTGGAGACGCTGCCACAGTGGGTCGTCGAGGCGCTTGGGAGCGTTTTGTGATCACACCGCACCCGAATGATGGCGGAAATAGGGCCTGCGTTGCCAGCAAAGCACATGCGAATAAGTACTACTTGCAGGATGACAATGACGGGGATATAGCGAAGCGCGATGGCTCCGGAGATGGATGCTACGGCTGGGAATCCTGGGATATCCTGACATCCGATTTTACGACCTAAATTTATCATCAACATGACTTTTTCGTCACGGTAGAGAGCGCCAAGCGATTCTGGGTCCCTCGCTGTGGCACGTACAGTATCTATTTTGTCTTATACCGCTTCGTTTTATTTGTTGGATTTGTAACAGCAGCAACTTCAACATGTTCGTCTTTATTGTTTGTGTCGAAAGAAAGTAGAGAAATAGATGCGAAAACATTCTCCTGAATAGCTCTAAAAGCGTGAACAACCATGCGTGCCGGTGGTTTACCACGACGACAACGCCGCCTCCGATGAGTGGCATCCCGTATCATTACTACAAAAACGATGAGACAGGGCAAGAGACGGAGTGTCCGCTTGGCACGTGTGTTTACATCATGTCCGCTAACAACAAGTGGCTGAGCGTAGACAGCAGTAATAACGATCCGAAAATGGTTGACGGTGATTCTCAGGGTAGTCCCACGGACGACGAATGCTGGAAATTTTTTCAAACGGGGTCGTACGACAGCAACAACGGTGGCAACTACAAGGCCACCGGAGCGACACAGTACTTTGTGCAGCATGTCGCCACCCAGCGCTACTTGTGGGGTACAGACAGCAACTCAGTTGGTACCCAGTCGTGGGCAATGCCAGGCGAAAAATGGGAACTTCATAAGGACGCAGATGGGGCTGGGGCACGTGAACGCTTTATCGTGGTGTCCAAGTTAAGTCACATTTTTTTCAAATGCAAAAAGTGTGAAGGAGTTAGTGCGTTTACCTCGCGTGTTGACTGGAAAATGGAAATAGGGAGCAGTCATTTTTCGGATCTACTTTTTTCGGGCAAGTAAGTAGGAAGTTGGGATCGATTGGGACATTCAAACTCTCGCGCAGAGTAAAATCCGGAGTAAAATCATTCTCATGGAATACTTACTTATAAAAAAAGAAAACTCATACCCATGAGGACCATCGATCTTGCTCTCTCTAAGAAAACGAGATAACAACATGTCTCCGTATGAGATGCGGGATCATGTAGAAGTTGATGACATGCAGTTCGGATCTGGAGGAGTGCAGGAGAGGTTCTGGGTCCGCGACCGACATGGGAACATGGCTTGCCACAAGACGCCTGACTTTTATGATGCGATGAAAGACTCAGACTCTCTTACTTAGTTAGAAGCGTCGTTTCTTGCAGTTCTAAGGCCGAAGAGATTGCTGGCCTAGATGACGGTGAGGGTATCCTGGTGATATCTTCTCATTTTGAAAATTGTTGTTGAAAAATGAACGTGTTATGCACGAAGCCTTTTGTTATCGTAACACACGACGTCATCTTCTATGTATAGCTGATGTCACGTGCTAGAAACACGTCATCAACATGACTGAGAAGCGGTTGAATATGGTCGCGGTCTTGATGTAGTATCATCGAATCGGAAGTGGTCTCTTTTTTTATGATTATACACTAGCCTCCACAAGCTTCGCCCGGCTTCAAGTTACTTTAGCACTTTCCTGCGGCCTCCCACGGGCTACAGCCGCTAGAGTATTCGAAAACTCAAAATAAGCGAGTTACTGACTGAAATAAGGGAGGTAGCTTTGACAGCGCTACTCTTCCTTGTTCAGTATCTCGCTTATTTTCAGCAGTTTTTACTCGCTTATTTCAGTTTTTCGAATAGAGACAGCCCGCGGGTGAGCTGTTGCACCCTACGAATTGACTACGACAAGAGCCGGGTGCCGGCGGTGGCCGACTCAGATGCGTCGACTCATGTGCAGGGGATTGCGCTGCCTTCGGTTTTTTTTTGAGATTGCCGGGGGGGTCATGCAAATTCTTAAGAATTTGCAAGACCCCCACGGCAGTCCAACAAAAAAACCAGAAGAGAGCCACCAGACACGCACAAGAATCCGCAAGCCCCAACGCACGCAAGCGCCTCGCGGTGGCGCCAGGCAAGAACGAGGGGCGACCTTGATGGGCCAAACAAGACAAAGCAACGCAGGGCCGCGCTGCTTGGGTCTCTCTACGCGCTTACACCTGGCGGGGCTTCTTTGTTTCGTCAGATGTCTCTCGTCAGAAACAGGCGGGCGCACTTCGCGGGGTCGTGCGGCGTCGCGCTTCGGGCTGTGGCTGAAGCCTCTCGGCTGGCTGACGTCTTTCACCAAGCTGGAGACTAAGGCCCTCCATCAGGCTGATGCCGTTCGTCAGCCCAACGCTCTGCGCCAGGCTGGCGGCGTTCGTCGGGCAGGCCGGCGCCCCTCGGCAGGCGTCTTGGGTCAGGCTGAGGCTTTTCGTCAGGGTCGGGCGACGTCTCTCGTCAGGCTGAAGCGCTTCGCCTGGCTGACATTCCTCGCCGGGCCGAGACTCACGCCTTTGGTCAGGTTGATGGCTTGCTTCAGCTCGGCGCCGTTCGTCAGGCTGATGCACTCGCCAGCCAGGTGAGGCCTCTCGCCAGGCCGGCGCAATGCTTCGCCAGGCGTCTGCCTTGCGTCGGAGGGAACAGGCTGAGCGGGGCCTTTCTTCGGGCTGCGGATGTCTTTCCTTCGTAAGATTGACCCCGTTCTTTCGTCGGACTGACGTGCTTCGCCAGATTGACCGCGTTCGCCGGACTGACGTCCTTCGCGAAAGGTCTTCGCTATCTTCAAGGGCCTCGCGCCACAGGGAGGCCTCGCGTCAGTTTTTCTGGCGGAGGTCGTTCGTCAGATGTCTGCTGTCGCGGGTCTCACTCTTGTCGTGTCGGAGGTCTTGGGCCCAAAGGTCGTCTTTGGTCCACGCACAGGTCGCCGGTGGTCCACAGGTCGCCTGTGGCCCAAAGGTCGTCTTCGGTCCAAAGGTCGGCTTTGGTCCAGAGGTCGTCTGTGGTCCAGAGGTCGCTTTTGGTCCAGCGGCCGTCTTTGGTCCAAAGGTCGCCTTACTTTGGTCCAAAGGTCGCCCTACTTTGGTCCAAAGGTCGCCCTACTTTGGTCCAGAGGTCGAAGGGTCGCCTTACTTTGGTCCAAAAGTCGCCCTACTTTGGTCCAGAGGTCGGCGCACTTTGGTCCAAAGGTCGGCTTACTTTGGTCCAAAGGTCGGCTTACTTTGGTCCAAAGGTCGCCTTACTTTGGTCCAAAGGTCGCCTTACTTTGGTCCAAAGGTCGCCCTACTTTGGTCCAGAGGTCGCCGGGTCGCCTTACTTTGGTCCAAAAGTCGCCCTACTTTGGTCCAGAGGTCGGCGCACTTTGGTCCAAAGGTCGGCTTACTTTGGTCCAAAGGTCGGCTTACTTTGGTCCAAAGGTCGCCTTACTTTGGTCCAAAGGTCGCCTTACTTTGGTCCAAAGGTCGCCCTACTTTGGTCCAGAGGTCGCCGCACTTTGGTCCAGAGGTCGCCTGTGGTCCCGCGGTCGTCTTCGGTCCCAAGGTCGTCTTTGGTTTCAAGGTCGTCTTTGGTCCCAGTGTCGTCTTAAGTCCCAAGGTCTCCTGTGGTCCAGAGGTCGCCTGTGGTCCAAAGGTCGCCCCTGGGTCAAAGATCGCCTTTGGGCCAAAGATCGTCTTTGGGTCAAAGATCGCCTGTGCTCCAAAGGTCGTCTTTGGTCCAAAGGTCGCCTTTAGTCCGAAGATCGCCCTTGGTCCAACGGTCGCCCTTCGTCCAAAGCTCGTCTTTGGTCCAAAGATCGGCTTTGGTCCATGTGTCTTTGGTCCAAGGTCTTTGCCCTTTCGGTGGGCGGTCTTTCGTTGGCTGTCTCTCTTTGGACTTTTCTCCCCAGCTTGCGCCCCCACCCCCGTCGGCCATTTTTCTGCCTTCTTTTCTGGTGGTCTGCCACGGGGCCGCAACGTAAATCCCAACAAGGAAACGGCCGGAGGCTATCGGGCTTGAGACTGAGGGGAAAGGGCAGGAGACTATGGGCAATAGCTTCGCGAAAGAAGCTGACTAATCTCCGGTGGGTTAGGCGGGGAGTTTTATGGCGGCGATCAATGGCGAGATTAATAATATAGATTAATAATATAGATTAATAATATAGATTAATAATATAGATTAATAATATAGATTTTTTTTTTGTTATGTTTTTTATCTATCAACTTATAAGAATTGTTTGCTCTTTTTTCTAATCTTCATCAACCGTCAATAGCGGATTCCATTGCGAGATTGGTGCGACAGTGCGATTGAAGAGTAATCGGGGTTTGTTTTTCGAAATGAATGATGCGGAGACAGACTGGGGAAAAGGACATCGCATGAACAACATGGAAACGCAGCAAGGTGAGTTTTATATCGTCAATTGCGGCGGTGGCGCTGTATGCTTGAGACAGAAAATTATGAAAATTAGATTTTTCTTTCTGTAAACATCCGAGATGATCTCAAAGGAATTACATTTAGAGCAAAGATTGATATACACCGACCTGAAGAAAGGTAGAAACGTATTAAGGAATGAAGGAAATACTTCATCGACGAGAGGGTCATCAACATGCAGCAACATGTTCCCATGATACATACTTGTAGTAGATACTAGTGTGGTTATGTTGGTACCATGCTGCCTACTCTCTCGCGCCGTGTACTCAACGGCTGCGTTCTGTAGGGAAAGGTAATAAGCTGAGTGTTAGATGGAATTCACTAGGCTCTAAGTCACAGAGTATGCGCTGGACGAAGACGCGGTTGTCTAGTGGGACGCGATACTGGGCTTCCACGACTCCGGCTTCGATTTGGCATGAACGAGGTTTGGGCATCGGGCCGGAGGAAGAACGCTTGTTATGACAGTGAAATGAATGTAAGTATAGAATGTAGGCCTTATATTTAGATTAAGTGCGGGAAAACTAAGAGTACTTGATGATTATCTATCCTTTGTCAAAAGTAGTTTTGTATCTAGCTTCTAGCGCTCAGTAGGAGGACAGAGCTTCTCGGCTCGCTTCACTATTGTTCATCATTTATCTTTGTGTCTGTGAAATGCTTGCTTTCTCTGCGCGCAACCAAGCTGGTGCGTCGAACCAAACTCGAAACACTTGCAATGAATGTGATTTGTGATCTTACACTGTTTCGTCTTGGCGGTAGCATATGGTGGCTACTTGAGACGCCATGATGAAGATGATGCTACTACTTAGTCGTTATTTCGATGTTGAAGACTCCGCGTAGTAGTACATGCAGATACATTACCCTCTTTCAATCCGAGTGAACAACATGTCCCTTCTAAGCTTGAACATAACGTCACATCCGTCTGTCGGTGGAAACTTCGCGTGCGTGAAAAGCCTGTACCATGGTGATCCGAATGATTAAGGGGCATCACATTACATTTTCCAATGATATGATCCTTTGTCTCTTTTCAAATAGAAAAGTTAGAAGCTGAAGAAAGTGGATGCAATGTCGCATTGGATCTCTAAGATAACTATTACCTGAGTGACGACCCAAAGCAGGGAGACTGGGACTACGCTGACACAGGAGTCAGCTCCTGCGGTACCAACGAAGCCTTCGAGATCCTAGACGCGTATGACTCCACACAACACAGGTGCCGCTGGTTCACCCCGCCGACAATTATGGCTTGTTGTAACAAGGACTCGTAGCTCTAAATCAACATGTAGTGGTAAGTACTCAGAAGCAAGAGATAACCATAACTTTCACCCAATCGCTTGGTGAGACAAAATTATTCATAAGGCAGATTCAGTACATGACGTGAGTCGGATAAGGAAGGTTTCTGCTTCCTATAAACCTGAAAGACAGGTCTTCGTCTCGAAAGTAATGAACCAAGTCAAGTACTTGATTTTTTTATATCGCATCCCGTTCCAATTTCCGTCGCGCATCCACATACTGAAAAAAATTATGATATTTTACACGAAATTGATTCCGATGCGCCTTCCTCTGTCTAACTTACCAACCACGGAAGCTCCTTCTACCATGCCGCCGAGGACCACATCAACATCGTCAACCACGACAGGGTCTACGACCACGACATCGATGCCTTACCATAAGATGCCGGGAGCGTCCGCAGTGTGCAGTTACGGGAGACCGCTTCTAACTGACAGCTGGTGCGAAGACGCTATTAAGTACCTTGGCGGAGTTATGCTCTCGATGTCTTTAACAATACTAGAGACTCAGATGAAACAAACAGTTTGCGTTTCGTCCTAGATAAAGGTAGACTTCCAGCATTACGTGACGTGTCTTTCGCTATCTATCAGTTGTCTTCATGTGTTTCGAGTCTATTGAGTATCAGTATTTTTTAGTAGGCGTGCTAGCTAGTACTGTAGTAGACTCCGTAGATTGTAAGCTCAGTTGATTTCTTGTGATGTAGTTGATTTCATCATCCCTAATCCACGCGGAGTGAACGTTCTTGGCACATCCAAACTCAAAGTCGGATATGATGGGTCGCTCGACCCTTTGCATTACACGTGTCCGCAACCCGCCAACTGGGGTGGCGTCCCCAACGGCTGCGTTCTCTACCAACAGGTAGTTTAAACTTAGGACATCTATGGAGAACTTTCAACCTATACACTTAGTGTACTTTTCATGTTTTGTCTATGTTTATGAATAACTTAACAAGTGACAACATTTTTGTTGCGTTCTCATCATACAAGTGAAGGGTCGTGGCAAAGGCGATCATTGTGAATGAAACAACATTAACAGACTGCTTCCACCTGGATTCCTCAGTATAGGACTGGTTCTGATAACGAGCGCATGAACAACCCGGCAGACGCGACGTGGCGGGGACAGAGAACCTTCACCACGCGATTGCCGAAGGGCAATGGCTGCATGCGCACAGACATCTATGAAAGAAATATATTGGAACCCCTCATTAGTCGGACTAGCAATATCCTCAACCATACTGTCACTACTACTTCGTTGTATTTTTTCCTTGTATTGTTCTACAACGAACGAGGAGACGATCTTCGTCCGACGTCCTATTTAGTTAGCAGAGGTTTATGCTACGGTCTTGTTGCTAATTTTTGGAGCTGATGTGTTCCGCCCACGATACGATTGGCGACATCGCTATTGGTCGTCAGGGCGCACCTCTTTGTGCGCCAGGCTTTGAGGGTGTCGACCTAGACCAATGTAAAATTACGAATGAGCGGCTGGCACTTCAGAGAGGCGCCAATGTCCAGGGTATTTACGATGCGAAATCTTTTTCCTATGAAATTACCAGCGAGTACTGGCTCGCTGTGATTGAAAACGGTAATAGTTTCGACTTCTACATCATGGAATCTCCAATAAGTATGAATCTGAATGTTAGAAATCTGAAAAAATACTCCAGATCGTTCGGTTGCCCTAACCGGCAATGATGCATCGACACAAACCGGTACCTGTAAGGATGCAGGATGGGGTAGGGTTCCCGGTGGTTGTAATATAGGCGTTTTCACACAAACCGACCCCTCAGGAACGTGGATACCACAGTATCGACATCTAGGTACTCAGTACAATATGAATATAATTGCTGCAGATGTTGATGATTATAATATAGTACAGAGCTATTTGAGACGACATGATGATGATTTCGCACCTTCAAAGTACTTCGAGGAAGCACTTTCTGCAGGTGAAAATCTTTTTAGGCTCAGAATGTTGATGCCTTTAGTGATCAAACCTGTACCAGGTGATGTACAAGTGGTATTGAGTCAATGATCTCCGATGACGTTGTTTAGTCCTGTAATGATCATGGGCAATAAGGTGTAATGGAGTAACTTGTTTCACGTGATATTTTCCAGGTTATGACTCGTACATGTTTGACGGCGGCGGAGAACCCTTGCCCGATAGGCAGTGCACCGGCGATGATATTATGGGCTATAAAGACATTAACACTGTCTGTCTGATAGACAGTACAGCTAATTAAGTAGCCCAGTTGTTCATCCATATAAAAAGAGAGCAGTACAACTAGCTACAGCCTTGGTATAGTTGTACAGAAATATTTTCAGTAAGTAGACCAATGTAATATCGGATTGGTACTCAGAATCTGTCTATCTGAAAATCTTCGTACTCTAAATCCTTATATCCGATGTGCAAAGCCCTCCCGTGGAGTAAGAGACTGACTATCAAAATCTGCAGTGACCTCGGAAGCGCTCCCAGTTCGGCCCCTTTCGTTCTGCGAGATCCGCTTACGCGGCAACGGCTGTGGATGTTATGGCTTTTATCCAAAGTAGAATGCATCGGGCTCGCCGTCCGTCATCAAACTCATGTGATTTCATTACTCTTCTATCTGTTTCGATACGAAACGCCGTTCCAGCATTGAAAATGCATCCTTATCTTCCATGTCGTGTTGATTCCAAAACTTATCTATGCTTTCTTGATGTTTCTGCATCCTGCTGACTGTCTCTGGGATGCACCACAGTCTAATACTCGACGGCGCCAATGCGATGAACAGTCCCGGAAAGTTCTTGGTCCACGAGTATCCAGCTGATGGAAGTACAAACTTAATGTTGACGACAATAAACACCGCCGACGGCCTTTGTATTGATTATGAGTCTTCTAGTTAAAAAAGTAGTAGTCCTTATTCTTGTTCTCTTCACTTCTTGTTTGTGATGTCGATGTTGCAATATTACTTTCCAAGGTGAATTCTTAATATTGCTAAGTAAAGCTAAAGGCGTGACTGAGGTAGTCCGGATTTTTGTCGTTCTGGATCTGGAAGCTCTAAAGTGAGTACGTCAAACTTGGTACGGAGTACCTGACCAAAGTTCCTTTCTGGCTTGACGATTATTGTCCGAGTGCAAGCGACGCCGCGCAACGCAAAGGCTACGCCTATCTTCCTTGCTATGTTAATTCCGCAAGTGTCAGCAGCGGTGGGCGGGTCTTCAAAATCCCACACAAAGGCGCTACTACGACGACGACATCGACCACCTACTATGTCCCTCGACGGATGCTGTTCGGAGAAGGGGAAGGAACTTCTGCTGTTCTAGACCTCACTATTAAGGCTTTTGCCAGTTCATTTCCACGATTTGGAAGGAGGTGAGTCTTAAGATTCCCGAAGAAAGAGGGAACAATCTCTTTGAAAACACGACGCACACCTAAGTAGATTAGGATATGAACTTCGGAAAGCTCGAAGGTACCGAAGGGGAGCGGTAAGAGCAGTGACGACCATGCCCTTGAAGGAGTGAGCAGTATGGTCGAAGGACACAGGCCTGATGATGGCTCCTTGGGACCTCCCAGTTGGCCTCCCGGTCTCGAAGAGGACGCGTCCTTGCGGCTGCTTGCTCATGGTGCTCATAGCGAGCCGTACAGATCCCCGCCCTCGATGGGATTCTCCGTGTCAGCGCAGCCAGGCACGGCTGGCACCGCTGTCCTATATCTGGAGGTATGCACAGCTGCGAATTCGGCAAGCACCGGCATACTCACGATTTCACGAGACAACAATTTATGGCTATCGACGTTAGTACCTACTAGAGCAATTATATTTATACCTAGGAGGTACAACTTCTTGTTCTTACTTAGCATTAATTTTCTGCTCCTGGCGTCCAAACGAAAAAAGCGTGGTGATTAATATCAATACGATCTATCGTGGGGTTACTCACCTTGCTAAGAAATTCTAATTCTCGAGTAGTTCATCTTTCATGAATACTATTTATTAATTATTTTCACAGTTTTTTTCTGAAGTTTTTCCTCCTGGTCTGGCCACATCATAGAAGAAGCTCTGGGGACAATTTTTGCTTCACATCCATGCACTGTATCATTTTTTAGAAGTAGTAGGCCTTGCCCTTGCGTCTGTCTTGCCACAAGCTTTTCGTTTGAGACACCACGGTCCTCTCTGTAGATGTGTGAAAACTAGGATATATATGAAATAGATGATTCCATTTTCATTTATGTATCCTAGTTTTCACACCTCTACATTACATATGGAATAATCTTCATCTATTAATTTGGTTTTGGTTCTTGCTCCAAAATTAGCGGAAAGTACGACCTTCAAAGGAAATACGGGAAATACCGACGAGTGGGATGATGCGTACCCGTTCTATTGGTCGTGGCAGATGATTAAGGCTCTTTGTTGACCTATTAATGGCAGATGATTAAGGCTATTCTACCTTTATATAAGGTATGGCGACGCTCAAAGCACATAAAGAAAGTAGCCGGCTAGTTTTTCCCCCATTCTTAGGTTTATCCCACCAAGCCGATTAAGGCTATATGTTGACCTAATGCTAATGTTATGGTCAGCTTTTATGAATCTTTCGGGGCATCTTGGTACGCTCTTACCCTGTATTCTCGATCTCGTGAAATATACGGCCAAGGGGGTCAACGTCAAGATGAGGGGACCGAGATGAGTACAAGCTGACTTTAATAGTGATCAAAGTAACAGGCTAGCCGAGTGATAGAAGAGCTGCCATTTAATGATGATGCCATGATGATGATGTTAACATCGGGAGAGGTCTTGCGCATCAGTTAACGTTGGAAAAGATGAGATGGTAGAAGATCAATGAACATTTATATTGCTGAACAATTTTTCTAAGACGACGGCCTATCCGCAGTCGATTACGTTTTCCCATTCTTCCAGTGACGGACTGTGTATTAAGGAAGTCCGCCTCGACAACCAGATACTGGCCGCGGCGCCATTTTGGATGGATAACATTATGACTTTGATACTTGTAGTTTTTCTTTTTCATTGACTTCTAAGGTCTGGCTCTTTAAATTCCTAAATTGTTTTACTAACTTTTCCAAGCTGAATGTCTTTCTCTATCATCATTCATAATTATTTCCAGTGCGAGAATGCATACGTGGACGATTTTTTTCATTCACTGTCACTACATACTCAGTATTGCGACGTTGACTTTGGTGGAGTCGTGTGCAGATAGGCTTGAACTCCATTTTCGTGGCAAACTTGTCCACATCTCTAACGAAGACAGTGGTACCGCTATCGGCTGCGGCGGATCTTATATGCAGTTTCCCTGCTACGGGAACACTCGAAGTTGGCCAAGAGAGGGCACGTCCGCACAGTTGACGGTGCGCACTTGCACTGACGCATTCGCCAGCAACGGACATACCTTCGACAAGTTCACTGTCCGAGTGACCCTTGAGGATGGCAGTGTGTACACGGACGATACGGAAAGCGGTTTGGATGATAGCGGACAACAGTGGTCAGCCTATTGGACCTTCGCAACCTCACCGGGGGCACCAAAGTTAAGATGATTTTTCCGAAAATGCAAAGCCGACTAATAACAGGAACAATGCCGAAGCAAGGCTTTAGTCTTTTTCAAGATGTATGATTCCTGAAGGAAGAAGATAGCGTCTCGTTTATACAGTTGTTCGATGTCATGATTATTAGAGCGGACGTGATATCTAATGATTCAGGTTTTTGAAAGGTTCATGTTTTTTAAATGTCTAAGAAGAACCATAGAGCTGGACCTTGCCGGCACCGATGGGTTGTGCATAGACGATATAAGGTTTGACCACTTTCAGGTCCTCAATGTGCCTTTTTGGATGGATAATCCGTGCAGCGGAGGTGGCCCAACCATTAATGGCCATACCTGCTACGGAGGGTCGCGTACCATCAATGTAAACTTATGGCTGCAGGAGCTTTTCAATTTCATAAAAATCTTGCATTTATAGATACATGTTTTGAGAATCATTTGCTTGCGGACGAGCTACCCTATGCTTGTGGGGGCAGTATGGCGGTCCACGATGGACTATCTCTCTCAAGCAGTAGAGAGAAAGATGGAGCAGCGTCTTTATGTTGAGAAGCCCTAAGACCTTCGGGCGGCCTCGTTGTCATGACGCCATGCGCAGAGTACACTTGGTCGGGGACTGGAGAAATGGAACTCATTGCCCAGGTGCTAAGCGTGCCGGGCGATCTCTACAGCTCGTTGCAGGAGGAAAAAATGCACTTTGCTTGGAATGAGGGGGACAATGGACGAGACCTGTATGCGGCCTTTTCGGGACAGCCGCACACCTTGGAAATTGTTAACCCAACAAGCAATGGCATCTGTATCTCGGATGTCGTTCTGCAAAATGTCGTGGATAATATTATGTGATCCTGTGACTGTAGTCAACGTTTGTGGATAATGCATGTCCAGAGTGAGTCATCACCTAGAAGCACTTACTAGACGGAGAAAGCAATAAAGGAAAGAGATGCCGTCTTGTCCTTCTCCTGTCCACATCTTGATTGATTCGTAAGGAGTAGATGCATCATAATCATTTTGCGCATGCGCATCATCCTCTAATGCATATCCATATGATAGATTGACATTGCGTAGATGCATAATTATAATCGTATCTCTAATAAGAGTGGACCTCGCGTTATAGTGGACGGAGAGCCCTTTACGGTGGAAAACCCCTGCGAAGAGGGAAAGGTTCCATGCTACTTGAACTCCCGTGTGTTGCTGGTGAGCCACATTCTGCAGGAGGAGAGAGGAAAAGAGTATGTAGCGGACGAGGAGGTGCAGAACTGGGAAGGAACCGGAATCACGATTGAGGCGATGGGCGACGTTTCTGGGGATAGGAAGTACTTGAGCACAAACAACGATGGGACCGCTATGGATCTCTGGTCGGCCGTAGGTCCCGAGGGAAGGCAACAGTGGAGCATTGTCAAAGGCGGGAGCGTTGAGTCGAATCCCGGATCCCGCAGGTACGAGACGTGGTATCATATCATGGTATACGGGGGCGTGACTGGCGACAACAAGTACCTGAGCTCAAACAACGACGGGAGCTTGGTGGACCTGTGGACGCAGGATGATGGGAGCGGACGGCAGAGATGGCGCATCTGGCAACCCGAGAGTTGTAATGAACCACGCTGCGTGCGCATTCGCGTTTTCGGTGGTGTGGAGAAACGCAAGAATCTTCTGAGCGCTAGTCCAGATGGCACTAATGTTGATCTGTGGTACGGGGACGAAACTATGCGGCAGAGGTGGCGGCTACATGCGGATTCGAACGCGGCAAGTCCGACGATGGAGCTCGCCACATTGAACGACTACTGCCCGGGGGGACAGGCGCCGGTGGCGACCGGGTGGCCGATGGACGTCTGGGCGCCCGTGCGCGGATTGAACGGGGCAGCCGGAACGCAGGAACACAACAGCTGGCTGTGGTTGAGCGGCGACTCGCGTGCTTGCCAGCTGTTCTACCCCAATTTCGTGGACTACAAACCGCCCTGGGGCTTGCAGAGCCGCAACGCTTACGGCAAAAACGCGGTCTGCTGCGTGCCTGGCGGCACTGGGGGCTGTCAATTGGAAACCAGCGTTGCAGGAAAGAGTTACGACGAATGGCTCGCTCATTGCAGTACCGCGACGACGACAACCACGTTCATGCCAACAACAACGACGGGGATGCCGACTACGCCGGGCGGGCCAAGCACTGGCACTGCCCCACCGACGACGACGCCCATCCCGTGTCGAGCAGGGGACAAACTATTCCCCGTCTACGACCATCACCTGACAGATAACGGCTGGACCCTGTTAGGCGGTATCGGCAGGGACCAGCACACTGGTAATGCTGAATTCGGAGATCACGCGAATGCTTGCAAAGACCGCAAACAGTGGTGGGGCTACGGCGACCCTGGAAGCGGGGCCGAGTTCGTTGCGCCTTTCGCGCTCACTTTGCGGGTGACTTTCGGGCAGTGTAACCAACAGGACGCTGCTACCAAGGCGAACGTAATTAAAGCCTACGTCCGGAGATCCGGCGAAGCGACGCCGGGTACTCTGGTGAGTCGAGTTTTCGGAGTTGGTGACAGTTCCGCCAACATTAGCCCGCAAGAAAGAGAAATCACAGTGTTTCTCCACCAGGGGGACGTACTCTTTCTTAAGGCTTCCCCTAGTCCATCTTCGGGAGCATCCTAGGGACGTTTTTGAGGGGAGAACGGTATCAGGATGGGCTTCGAGATGGATTAGGGTGGGCTCTAACTTTCTCGAGGAGAATCACTGGAGCATCATGTTTATCCGTAGAATTGAGACTGTCAGTTGTGGCACCAACATGACGACGGTGGACACGCTGATGCGGAACTGGACTGATCCCTTGTACGGCCCGACTATTTAAATTGTTGAGTGGTGTGTGCTTCCTTGCTAGACCAGTTTTACTCTGAATCTATCCGTGATTCTGATGAAGTAGATCTTCTATCTATCCACGATCCTCAAGAAGTGAAGGTAGAAGATCATAACCATGGATTCGATGTGGGTTTTGGGAATCCACAATGACTGGTTTTTTGCATTTTGATTTTGTATCTATGTAGATGTATGGCAGCATGATAGCTCCTCTAACCAGAGACACAGCAGCCAATCGAGAGCTGTGACAGCTTCTTGTTTTATCCAAGCTCCGCGTCGAGTTTGACCAGTCGTGGGTTTCAAATATTGAACGCGCCGTCCTACCAGGATGAAGTGGGTATGCCGCAGGATAGCTACGAGGATGGCTACAATTTAAGGCTGACGTTCATGATATTGACTAGTTTGACGCGTCTACTAATTTATTCTGGCATGATGACTTTTTAATCGTTTATGCTCATGACACGAGGTCGAGGAGGATACTATGACGACCCTTTGTAGTAGGTTATTTTTGAATGTTACAGATTTTCTAGCTTTCCGAATTAGTCTTCAATGAAAAATAGTCCTCAGTGAAAGAAACAGATTCTTTCACCAGTACGTTGACACAAGTTTTTCTTCGATGATGAATTTTTGAGATAACACAATGACTTTTCTGTTCTAAGGAATTCTTGTGGGTCTCCGAGTTGGTGGCTGAGGGAGCAAACCGGAACCGCACCGGTGACTCTCCGCTTCGGAAGTCGATTTGACGGTTCGCTGTACACTGGAATCGGACAGTGCACGAATTTTGGTTCTTTAAGAGGGTAACCTAATTTTGATGAGAGATTGCAAGTCATCTATGGTCTCTCCTATTTCTTCTTGTTTCGTTCGTAACTAGGTACAAACGATAACGACATAGATGTACATTTATTTTCTTAGATGAGCAAGATCAACAGCACATGGTTGGTCCGTGAGTCCGTGTGGGTAGCGCTAATCATCATTCGAGGCTGGGGGCTTTTCACGGTAGATACGAAAGCCGGCACCGAAAGCACTATAGCAACTTCAAGCGGAGTGACCGCCTCCAACTATCATTTCAGTGTTGGCATTGGTTACAACTTTTCCACTGTAATGGAATATAGGGCTACTAATTGGGACCTCTCGGACGGCACTCTTTTGCGTGCGTATCTCCAGAATTTCAACTGCTATCAAGCGAAATGCAAGCCGTTTCCGTTGCATGTCCCCGAATTTTCCCACAACTTTAAGATTTCTGGACTGCTTGTCTTCGACAGGATCATAGTTCCACGATCATGATTCCACTACCTGTGTTTTATTCTATAATAAGACATGTATCTTCTTCATAAGCATCATGTTCTTGGTCGGACTCGACTTAGAAGAATAAGAAGATAGATTATTAGAGGGACCATTTCTAGTTCGACACTCACTGAAGCTCAATTTTTAGCTCACTTCGCTAAGAAGTATCATGGTCAGAATAGCAGCTTCTACGATCGTCGTTTTTGGGCTGACCGGATCGACTGGTCACAAAACGGCAATCTCCTGAACTCGTTGAAGGCCCTAGGTCATGCGGGATGGGAGTCCGTGCAGGGCATGCAGGACATGAAGGATGATCCTGCTATGAATGATGTTTATTCCATCTGTAGGACCATCGAGGCTGACCCTTTTCCCCTTAAAACTGTATAGGTAAGGGGGGGCCTCGATGATCTCGCTAGATGGGAAAAACATCATTCATACCTGCCACAGCTGGCGCCGAGTGCACCGCTGGCCGCGAGAATCAGTTCGTTGGTGGCCTGCTAGGCGGTGCGAACTCGGGAGCGGGTTTATGGCTAACTCTACTTACTTCTTACCAATAGATTTCAGTTGAATTGAAGACGAGTTAGAATGTCCATATCACTGATCTCGCGAGAACAAGACGCAGAGACCAAATCTTTTGTGAATGAGGTGCCATATTTATATATTAGTCATGGTAGATTAGGAGTGGACTTCACAAGTCACGTTTTCACCTTCTAGAAGTCTGATAATAGCTTTGATGGTCTTGCGGTTGGTATTAAGTACTCTAAGTTATGGCAACGCCCTCCTCCGGTTCCGCATGAACGGTCGGGGTATCGTTCGCATCGTTTTCGGTACCTGCAAATCCTACGGGCACATCATAGCGCTGCACATGAACTGGATCTGGGGCCAGATTACCAAACACGCGTTTGAGGGTTCTGTCACGCAGAATGTTGACCAAGAGCTCTTTTTTCAGATGGACAACGGGCAGATTTTGGAGCTCCAAGTAGCACATGGAGCCGTGTTGTATCTGAAGAGCTTCGAGGTAGACTGCTCGCGCACCGCGATTGAGCCGCAGTACGATACAACGGGCGACTACCTCAGACAGCACGAGCAGAACTGTAAGAACCAGACCTACGCGCCGAGCACCTTGACGAGTATGCAAGCGCGAGGATGGCGCAATGTCAATTTGGATACGTATGACTTGTTCCGGATGGGCAACTACGGTAGGGTCTACGATAGCTATGCCGACTGCCGCCACAGTCCTAGTTTTATTGGTGCGGCGAGCGGAACACCTTGGGGTCAGATCGAGTTCAAGGCGCCCTACTTTGGCACTTATGGTACAGTTGCCTCTATGTATAGTTGTGCCGCGAGATGATCTTCTCGTAGAATGAGTACACAGAGCAAGCAAGAGAAAATGTTTAAGTATGTTTTGGAAGCACAGAAGGTTTACTAGTGGCTTCCTTTTCTTCTCCTGTTGTTGTTCTAACTTTCGATGCGTCTACGGGTGGGACAGTGCAACGGTATGTACGGATCGACTGCAGTGACGCGTTCGGGGCCTTTTGTAACTGGTCAGGACCCTGGCTACAGCGGTTTCTATAACAGTGGAAGTAATACGCTTGTACCTCATCCAGGGGTAGAGGTGGTAGTCGAGTTCGACGCGAACCAGGTGATCGTGGTCGAGGAGCGACTTGACTACGGGATTTTTACCATCAGTTCCGTCAATATGACTTGCCGGGACCCACCACGACCGCCTGTGTGCCACAACCAGACACTACATCGCCCTGATTTTAAGGCTCATTCAGCGAACTTATTTATTATATTTTCGGATGTAAAACCGCTAGAAATAGACTGTCAACTTAAATTTCGGTCGCCTCAGCGTCATTCAGCTACAACTTGGTCCTTCTTTTATTCAATTGAACTACTGCGTCGAGTAACGCCAAAAATTCAAATCAGGAAGCATGGTGGCGTGGAAGCAAAAACCGTTCAGGGGAGTTGCTATGTCGTTTAGTTTGGTTGTTTCAGTTGTCGGAATTGAATACAAACCAATCTTGGTTCTCCTATTCATTGAATAGCAGCAGATGATCCTATCGAATGGTCTCGATAAAGAAGTAGAAGGCTTACTTGAGTTTTATTTGGGTGCACCACCACTTCCACCACCACCACCGCCACCATGATAGTCATCATTATCGAGGATGTTGCACTTGTATTTAGAAATATTATGTAGGGTAGCAGCTCTAATGCATGGCCGCAGTTGCATAACCTGGGTGCCGCAATGAAGGAATCCTTCAGCCACGGCTTCAACTCTACGGATCCGGCGGTTTCGAATTTCCGTCAACAATGTCAGGCTGTCGCCAATTGGTACGCTTTCTCCAGTACCTACGCAAACGCACCACGGCGACTACAAGGAAAAGCCGGGGCCTTATCGACATCTACGGGTCAGGGTGTTGCAAGGCGAACAGGAGCGAGAAAAACGTCGGATGAAGAAGATGAGGTTGACGAGGAAGAAGGGGCGGTTGTGGAAAATCATGCGGGTGTGAAGGTGACGAAAAAACAGAGTCCTGTAGTACCACAGTTGTCGGCTTCTCTGCCTGTGGCGCGCCGTGGATTAAGTGCGATGGGTCGTCTCGAGATGGTCATGCCAGCGCCGGCTGGCGTCGCGCGCATCGTTTTCGGTAATTGCGGTGATTATAGTAGTGGAACCGTCCGAGCACGGCTAGAGAACCCTCACCAGATTCTCGGCGCCACCTTTGGCCGCGGATGGGGTCAGGAACTTTTTTTCGCGTTTCAACCTTGGCAGATATTCATCCTGGAGGACAACGACTTCGGTTCTGAAGGGGTCCTGTTTATCCAGGAGCTGACTTTCGTTTGCGAGGGGCCCGACAACAAACACCCTCTGGCAGTGGAGAACTTCGCGTTTAACTACCAGAGCGGCAAGCACAACCGAAGTGCGCACGACGTGTGCGATCCGGTTGACTTTGAGCCGACCACGGCGAGTATGATGCGCGCATACGGCTGGAACTTGAATGGAGCAAGTACGTCGGATCCGATGCTCTCGCTAGACAACAACTACGCTTACACAAAAAGTGCGTGGGAGGAATGTGGCAACGTGTACTGGTTTTCCTCGGGAGACATCACGTTCATGTTCACCGGTGTGGGTGAGATGGAGCTCACGGTTGGTGGGTGCTCGCAAACCGGATCGCACGCGCAAATCCAGATCCTCCTGAGCGGAGCGCCCCTGTACGACAACCTGCCGCATCGCCACCAGCATCGCATGCACCTTCAGGAGTTCATTGGATCGCAGTACCAGGTCGACACCGTGCAGCGCATCCGCTTCAATGCAAACCAGACCGTGATCATTCGCGAGTCTGGCGGTGGCCGCGCGTACGTGAAGCGCGTGCGCATTCGCTGCAAGGCGCAGCGAGATCTTGGGGGCTGCGAAAGTCATGCGAACAGGTCGCCGCCCGCCGCGATTGGTTCGCCGGATGCAAATGGAGTTCGATTGTACGATCAGACTGCGGCATCCAAATGGGAGTCAATGTCAGCCTGGCACTTCGGAGACGGCGTGGAAGTCATTGAGGTAAATCTGACAACAGGGGAGGCTCCGCTGCCGCCAGAACAAAATAGAACGAACGGATCGACGCACAGCAACGGTACAAACCACACGCATCAAGACGGAAACCACACGAATACGGACCATAACTGTTGGAACGGAACTCTCGGGAATCACACGAATCATAGCAATCATACGAATGGGGCGTGCGGCTCGTCGGGTCAGCCGCGTATTTACCACGCCGCGCAGCTGCAGGAACGTCTGTACATGAACAAGGAGTTCTCCAGGTCACAGTGGACCTACGAATTCTGGCTGAATTTCACCCAGAGCGGGGGCAGTCGCTACGAGATCTTTGGGTGCGGTTCAACGGACTGCAATCAGGAGGACGGGGTTTACTTGGTCTCAGGATTGCAACCGCAAGCCAGTTGCAAGAACTCCTACAACGGTCCTTCTGACCCGAACAAGATTTTCACGGACTTCACGCTGCACGTCGGCTCTTCCGGGACGTTCAGTCAGACGTGTCTCCACACTAATGTCTGGTACCATTTTGCTATCACCATGGACAGCATGAGCGACGTGCGATACTATGTCAACGGACAGCTGGATCGGACGGGGCACTGGAGCGGGGGAAGTACGGTCGCAAACAACAAACTGCATCCTGGATTCGGTGCCGGACTTGTGGGGGGAAACGGTGAGATTTTCAATGTGCGAATTTGGGAAGTCGTGCGAACTGAGCAACAGATCCGCGACCATCGCTATGCAATGGCGCCGGGGGAGATGGACTATACATCGGGTATCGTAGCGTGGTTTCCGTTTCATAACAATCTCGACGCTCCATCCGGTTTTACGTCGATGATCTACCTGAATCACCCAAGCATGCACCCGACGTACAGCAGCGTGAGCGAAACGGTGTTGAGAGAAAGTGACCCGCCAGAGCCCGAACCGCCAATGAACTTTTTTCAGCCTGCAAAGACATTTTATGCCGCAGACTTGCGGACCACTTTGGAGCTGTCGAAGAAATTCGAACCCAGAAACAGACCAAATGGAATATCTGGCTGGACTATGGAAGTCTGGATCTACATGAGGCATTCTCCCGGAGGAGCCATGCAGAAAGACATCTACGGGGCGAACGGGGCTACGCAGGGCTTCTTCCTCGCTGACCGCATCACTGCAGGCGCAGCGAGCCTACCCTGTACGGACATTTTCGGGTCAGACGCTCATGAGACTGAGAGGTATTTGACCAATGCCGCCGTCCATATCGGCTCCAGTGGGGTGTCGTCGGAGCACTGCTTGCGACGTAACACCTGGTATCACCTGGCGGCGACGCTCACGAATGAATACAAGCTTAGCTACTACATCAACGGGCGCCCGAGCGGGGTTAACCACACGTGGTCGGCAGGCATGGAGATGAACAACATGTTCGAGACCCAACTTTTAAGGCAATCATACGTTTAGTGCTCTAGTTGTCCGTCGTAAAGTGCATCCGGCGAGGACTTCATTTTTCGGAACGCCATCCTTCTTTTAGAGCCCGAGCTTCATATTGACTGCATCATGCGATAGAGTACCTATTTCCTACTTTTCAGCATCTTCTAAGACCCGGCAACGGTTTCACTTCTATGGACGAGTACATGATGAATTTCAGGATTTGGGACCACGCGAGGTCGCTAGAGGAGATCAAGCGGGACGCCTTTGCTACTCATGCCAGGAATCTGCGCAGCAACGCGTCAGGACTAGTCGCCTGGTTCCCTCTGCAGGAGAACCTGGACACTGCCATACCACGGGAGCTACTCCACGGCAACAATACAACGCACCGCATCGGATCCATGTATCTGAATCCCCAGCCGCACGTTGAATATCCGGTGATCAACTCGACGGTCCTCGAAAACGATACTCGGATGTCGATAGACGAGTATGGTGGAGGCCACAGTGTCTATCCCGAGAAAGGGACCCTCCGTTGCGGTGGAAAATTGCGAAACTTTGTGCCCTTTCACAGCCAAGAAGACTTCGTTCACTTCTCACACACTGGAGGAGACGCCTACACTGTAGATGGGGGCGAGCCAGGCAACGAAGATGATCACGATCACATCTACGGAGGCGACCGCAAATACGGAATCGCGACTTTTATGACCAAAGAAAGGAAAATATGTAGGCAGGTTCTTTACGGAATTCGCTCGCGATACAAATAAAAACAAAACTATTTGAATTGAGCCCGTCAGTTTGGCTTTCTTTTTGAGAGAACATCAACGAAGATCGATGAAATTTCTTATTTTCTTTCGTTTTCAGTGTGGCTGAGCAGCCGTTTGTACTGCACGGGGAGGAATCACGACGAGTCCGGGATTACTTAAAGAAACATTATGATAAGATATAAACGAATTTGCTTCTAAGATTTCCAGCACATCCGCGCCGCCTGGCGACGATCCGCCAGCCTGGACCGCCGCGCGATTTGTGGCTCACAGTCCTGGCAATAGCAGCGGACTCATTGAATTACCGCTGAATGGGTCTCACGGGGGATTTGTGCGGTTCATTTACGGCAATTGCTACCCCGAGATGTTGCGGCCGCACGATGAAGAGCAGCAGAAAGTCGAAGCTTACCTGATTCATGCCGATGGCTCCGGGACGTTGCTGGACAGCGTGTGGCAGCAGAATGAGGATCGCGAGATCACGACAAAGTTCGATCCAGGTGACTCTCTTGCGTTGCGCGATGCCCAAGGATCTCCATATGCTAGGGCCTACCTGAAAGCGGTGCAACTGTCGTGTCCACCAGGTAACATGACAACGAAAGACGTGGAAGAGAAGGCGGCCAGTGGCTACGTCCACGACGTGATGGAGCCCAACGCGATTCTGAATTTTCCACCGAATCCTGCTGGCTACAGCGTCTCAGAAGAGTTTTACTCCAAATGCGAGGCCATAGAGTACTATCCGACGTCTGGTAGTGCCATGCGCAGTCGCGGTTGGGATTTCACGCAGCTGACTAATCCCATGCAGATCTGGCAGCCCTATTTGTCGAAAGATATGAAGGATTTTAGCAGTTGCAACGACACCTGGTTCGGGAAAAGCGATGGAAGCTGGAACATGAATAATCAAGCGCGTTTGCGTATGCGCGGACACGGCCAGTTGCACATCACGTTCGGCGAATGCTACCACGACTGGCAGATGAACTACAACAACGGAGGTGGTATTGCCCTCTATCTGCAAGGGGAAGACAAGTGGGGCAAGTTCCGGGAAAAAGACGCAGATCCGGTCACGCGCGCTCGCGACTTCGGACAGGACACTACTGTGACCCTGGACTTCCACCCGAACCAAACTCTGAAAATCGAAGCGGGTGCCACCAGTGTGGCCTATGTGAAGCGTTTGGCGATTGAGTGTTTCACGGAGCCGACAAGTACGACAACGACGACTACCACAACGATCACAACCACGACGAACATGCGGCTGGCGGGCCTCCACTTTGGCATGGAGATTCCTCCATGGATTTATCGAGACATCAACGACCGGACCGACGGAAGAATGGTCGAAGAGGTAACCGTTCCGTACGAACAGAATCGGGACCCAGCCTCTCTGAGCGCAGACGAACTGCAGTTTGGCTCCGAATATGAGTCCATTGACGTCACGTCTATATTCCGAGGCTTTTGTCGTCGTTGGCACAACGACGGGCAACACGCAGACGTGCACGAGGGGCTTGAAAACGCGTACACCACACACAAGTCTCACTTCCCCGATGAGCAGTTTCCTTTTGTGAACTTCAACTTGGAGGTCCGGATTGCAGATGATTCGCCAACCCAAGACGCGATCGAGTTTGACGCAGGCTTGTTCAGGCATGAGAGCAAGTACCACGACCGCACGTTTCGTGGGGACTACGGTCCACTCCTGCGAACTGCGGGCCCCGGGCCGTGCGAGGTCTACAAAGGCCTTGTGACGGAGCGTCGAGACCTAGCGAACAATATTGGTGCTTGCGGAGGCGGAGAAGCGGTGACGAAGTGCACACCTCAGCTGAGCATCGGGCCCTCCATTCCTGGACCCCCCCAAGCGGCCATTGCGGCGGGCTTCAACACCTCAAGTAAGCCTCCGACGCTAGAAGAGTCGTTCGGTGTCGGATACACTTGCGACTGCGGCGACTACAACCTGTACCCGGACGAGACCAGTAAGTCGCTGGCGAAGTCCTTTTTCAAGGGTTGGGAGAGGATTATCGATGTGAAGCCGCGACCGTTTTGTGCGATCAAAAACCCGTGTCTGCGCGGTAACGCCTGGAACACCTGGCCAGAATTCGAGGGGTCTCTAAACCCTTGCGGCTCCGACGTGTACTCGAGCACGCAGCGGGGCTCGTTCTTTTGCTCAACCTACGACCCGGCGAATGGGACCTACGAGTGCGACTGCAGTTCCGATTGGAACTACGTTCCAGCGTTGTGGGACGCGAATGAGACTTCGATCTCGGCACGCGTGGGAAAGCCGACGTGCAAGTACGTGCGACCTTGCGAACAGGGAAATCCAGGTGGCTTTTTCCCGTGGGACGCACCGCATCCACCGTGCGGACCGCCGGACTTTTTCAATCACTGCCACAACCAGCACGGTCAGCAGTACACGTGCGACTGTGCCTCTGGCTTCATCTCGACGACCTATTCGCAAGCTTACCAGGTAAACCCACTGCTCCGAGGACGGCCCGTCTGCGCTGACCCGGGGTCCAAAAAGGCGTGCATGAAGGGACCTGCGGCGGACAGTTGTTTCGACTGGGAAGACGGACATTGGTTCGATTTCTGGCAACCTGGGATGAAAGTAACTCTGGGACCTTACGTACGCATGTTCCGCATGGACGGAGCCACGCCTGACATTCGACTGCCAGAGTGGCTGTTAGAAGTCGCGAGCTACGTTAAATCGAAGCAAGACCACGAAAGCACCGCCGGCAGCTTCGGGAAAGAAGACATGTTCTTACGAGAACTTTTTAACATATTCGAAGCTACAAGTGGAACTTCTATTCTCTCTCCACTTGCAGTGCTTATTTCGACATATTTTTATCGCAAAGGCAAACGCACAGCGGCACTGCGTGGAAGCAAGTAGCGAGTGTCATAGCTCTTCGTGCTTAGAATGACATAGGGGAAATACTTTGAGGAAGTACTACACACTTTTAGCACCTAAATTGAGATCAGGGAGTGTTCTGCTTCTGTTTCTAATGAAATCTGGAGTAGTTGAGGCTGTTACGCCCTTGGCCGAAACACAGAATCTTTCCCCGTTGGAGCAAGTGGTTAGATCGAATGTTGCGGTTCGCATGGACCACTTCGGAATCCTTGGATGGATCAGTGGACGCATGCTTCGGCCCTACCCTTTTCCGGTGGAACGCGAGGGCGCCGAAGTCTGTCTCGCCGCGCCGGACGGTGCGTCGTACGACTGTGCCTGCAACGACCGTTACTACGACCTACTCTCGGCCACTCACGTGAAAGCTGACGGCACGCAGGGCTCCGTTTGTAGGCTGAAGGCGCAATATCGCCCGCCTAAGGCGCAGCAGTGCTCAGAAGTGGAACTGAACGAGTGCGAGGTATTCACTGACGCGGCAAGTCGAAAACACACGGGAAACCGCTGTGTAAGGCAGGCAAGCAAATTTGGACATCACGAGACTTCTCACGGCACGATTTACGAAAACTCGGCATTTGAACACAGTTGCTTGTGTGAGGCCGCGGGCTTTGAGCTTAGTGGAGACGGCAAGAGATGCGTTCCTAGATCAGATGTCGAGTCGGAGTGCAGCATCGCCTGTCCGTCGCCTAATACCTGTCGAGCGACGTACTTCTGCGTCGGAAACGAGTGCCGACGGCGCCGCGAGTGCGTTTGCAGAACGGACGGATACAGTATGGGCGTGTATCACGAGCGCGCGCCGAGTGAAACGGTCTACAGCACAGAAACGGGCGCGGAGCTCGGCCGTTTCCGTCCTGGCGGCGTGTGCCGTACGGATTGTGGGAACCGTTGCTTCGTCACGGCGCTCGTGCAAAACTCTTTAGCGCACTTTGTGAAGCAGTATGGAGCCCAAAGCGAAATGCTCTCCATCGCCGGACGTGACTCGTCACAGAACACGTTCATCCAGCATGCTGACACTTTCCTGAGCGATTGCATTAGCAGAGCGCAATTGAGCCATCGAGATGGCCTCTCTGTCAAGGACCAAGCCTTTGAGCGTGTTTTCGAGCCGCATCCGCATGCATTCAACAAGGTCGCGGCGCACCGGGATGAGGTGGAAATCAAACGATGCTGCCGCACCTTTGAGGGCATCATCGGGTGTGGAATGAATCGTTGCAGCGGCCGAGGTGATACGCGGCCGATGGAACAGATTTGGCAACAGAGTTTTCCTAGCCTATACCAAACTAGGTGCATTGACGACATGCTTCCCGCATCGCTGCGGTCAACGAGTGGGAATCCACACGCACCGGCTGTCTTGATGGCACCCTGGATGTTGGAGCGCAAATTGGTTTTGTCGGGCAGCCTCTTCCTCGAATTCGATTCGCTTGCAGAGAAGCAGCGTTTCGTGAGCACGTATTTGGATTCAAATCGCGTGGCAACTGCGAGCTCGCAGGATTCGAGCGTGAGTAACTTCGTCGAGGTGCCGCTTTCTGCCGCACACACCTCGAGCACTGAGCCTGAATTTGGCCAATTTGATGTGCAAGCCAATCTGCTCGAGGAGCTGCGTACAGTGTTGCGCGCGAAGCTAATTGAGACGGTTCGAAACCCAAACTCAGCTTACGGCTTGGGGAACATGTTCCCAGTCGATTCCAGTGGAATCAACAGTGTCGACGTGCAGGAGCTGCGCGTGATCACAAGCCCGAACGGGGTTGTAGGCGACAGTTCGATCCGGTTGGACACCACGTCCTTTGGGAGTAGGACTAGCGACTACGCGGCTGTTGCAAAAGCAGCGGCTGGCTTAAATGCGACCATGCACAGCATGCGCAGTTTTGCTCACAGCTTCGCTGGGCGCCAAAACTTCGCTGAGTTCTACGATATCGGCTACAAGCGTTACAACGAGGGCGTGGGAGGGGAACACCGTATTCGTATTGATTTTTCGATCGGACCCTTCCGCGACGCCGATGCGTTGACAAGTGTTCCTCAGAGTTCCGCTTGCCACCCTAATCCGGTGCGCGGAGCAAGCGAGCACGAGACGACGTATCTGTACGCACACGAAGACATGGTTTCTGGCGCATCGGCCTACGGCGTGATTCCAGACTCTATTCAGGCAGACGTCACGTCAGGAACCTCATTGTCTATGCGCTGTAGCAGCGTTTGGGACCTGTTCACTGACGCGACGGTGAATATTGCTCTAGAGGCTGCGCGAGTGCGTGGCTTCATGACAGGCACTCTACCAGAAAGCGCGGTGCCAGACGTGTCAGGCGAGCCCCAAATCTCACCCATCATCGGCCCTTCCACAAAACAAGGGGGGTCGGCGACTTCGCCAGACCCGGGGAGCAGCCCAGGAGGTTCAAACCTGATATGTAATGAGGGCGCCGGTGAGCCGACGCGAATCCAGCATGGAATGGCAGGGGACTATTCACTATTGTATGAAACCCGTGACCCGAAAAACATGCCGCACGACCACATGCCCAGAATTATGCAACGGGCTGCGATCACAGGTGGAGAACTTGATCGCGTGCGCTTCGAGCTACAAGCGGGGGGCTCCAATGAGTACCAAATCTTTTTCGAGAGTTTGGAGAAGATGGTGCTAGCAGTGGATGGAACAGGCACACTCGTGGTGGCAAACGAACAAATGGGTGCTACCGGTGCGCCACCTGAGCAACGCTGGGTAGTGACGGACCACCCTGAATACACGGACCAGAGCGACTGCGGAATGCCGGTGCTTGTATGCATTCAAAATGTTGGCACAGCGTCCTTTTTGTCGTGGGATACAGCGATGATGCCGAGTTATCCGCACTTTTCGCCCAGTTGCGACACGATGGCCAAGTGGGAAACTAGGCGCTATCACTACGACAGCGAGAAGGCCTGCGGTCCTTGTAAAACTGTTGGCGGCCCGCCGCGACAGCTTTTATCTCCGAGTGACTACTATCGTCTGCCTCAGTATCGTGTCACCGCGCACAGTGCGTTCTACGTGTCGACGCAGTACGATGCGCCGCGTGGAGTCGCATTGCTCCACAACGAGACATCGGTGCACTTTGGACCTTTCCTGGAAATTTCTCCACCGCAGACGACCACCACGACGACACCGTCTCCTGGAGAGAATCCACTAGTAACGATTATGCCGGACAAGTTTCGCGCGGCGGAGTTTGCCTTCGCGAAGTTCGAGTTTGAGGCGGAGGAGTACGAAAAGATTTGTCGGAGCGAAGAAGTGCTTGGGCGGGTCCTGCTCGCTGACTTCGCGAATAACTGGCGCACAGAATGGCTCGGGGATGCGGAGATACACATTCCCAATGACTTTGTGGTTGAGTTAGAATTGCAGTTGCATGCGATGCGCCACATAGAGGACATGCATGGTCATATGCGCGAACATCACATGCCATCTGCCGCTACCGTGTGTGTGGACGTGGTTGAAGGCTTGGACAGTGCAGGTTCCGTCGGCTTCGACAAGGCGGCGGCGTCACTGGCGCCGCTCCTGTCCGGAGTGGAGCGCAAGCCAGGGGTCTACGGGCATCTGAAGGACAAGAACGACAATTACGGCTACAAGAAATCCATCTTCACATGCATGCATCCTGGTCCCGTTTTTGAAGGGAAAAGGGGCATGAGGATGCGGCTGAAAATAGATTTATGTTGGGTCTAAGACAAAGATGGAATGGGAACGGGAACGATAGCAGGCCCGATGGAAAAAGACAAGGCATTGTGCCGCTCAGTGCAGAGTGGTGCGGGTCTTCGCGCGATCGACATCAGCGCTTTGTTTATGCGGGAATGCACGAGGCGATGGCGCGAGTCCGACCACGATGGAGCCACGCCAGCTTTGAGCTCGCCAACAGTATTAGAGATTCCGTTCTCGGACCGGCATTGGATGCAGCAGGGTTCGAATGATTCTCCGGCGTTTAGAAACGGACTCCCGAGTCACATTTTCCCAGTCTCGGAGGACGTGGGTCGCAAGATCGAGTTCGCGGTTCGCATCGGCATTCCGGACGAGCCATCTTTCCCTAAAGTGCTGTTGCAGTTTGAAGCCGCGACGCAGGAATATGCGGGCTGGGTCCAGCCGCCGCTTTCGCCCGCTCGCTCGTACGTACCGCCCACTACGACTACTGGCCCGCCGATAAGTGGAGAAATGTGTCAGACGGCGCCCCTCCTGACCCTAGCCCACTGGGGTTCGAGCCATTTTCTGGTAAGCGAAAATGGGGCGAGCGGGTTGATGCGTGACGGTTCTGCGGCCGCTGAAAATCCCGCGTCTTCGATGCAAATCCAGTTTCAAGCGGACCCGAACAACCCGACCAGCCACGATTACCAGATCACGTGGCCTGGCTACCCAAACATGGCCCTCAGCGTTTCGGATGACGGAGAGGCCAAGTTGTCACTGTCTGCGATGACCCTCCCGGTGCCACAGTCGCACCAGTGGCGTTTGACGCTGCACCCAGATAACAGTGCAAAGCACCCAGGATGTGGCGGTATGACCGCTCAACTATGCGTGACAAATCTGATGACTGGCATGGCCCTGCTCAGTGACAGTGGCGCGAACGTCTACTTGTCTGGCACGGGTTGCATCGCCGGAGATCAGCGGTCCAGCTGGATGGTGCGCCATCATGCGGACGAGCAGACGAACGGCTGCGGCGAATGCAGTTTTCCAACGCCGCAGAATACGGGCACCACGACGCCGGCTCCCTTTTTGGAGTGCAATACGGGCGGAAGCGAGCCAATCCGCGTGCAGCACGTAACGCCCGGTGACTACTCCCTCATGTCCAAGGAGATGATGGGTGCTATGGGACCCAGCTTCGAGGTGCAGGTCATGATGCGCAGCATGATGAGCCCACCTGATGGCGACAAGCTGCGTTTCGAGCTGATACCAAAAACGACCTACGAATACCAATTGCTCTTCGAAAGCATGTCGAATAAAGTTCTCGCTGTGGAGGCTTCGCCGTACAATCTCGCAGTACAGGAACGAGATCCAAACTTCGGGAATCCGCCTCCAACACAGCGCTGGGCCGTTACGGATAATCCCAGCTATGCGGACCACGGTGACTGCGGAAAACCCATGTGGGTGTGCATCAAGAACCTGGAATCGAACCAATTTCTAGCCTGGGAGAAAGGCCACTCGCATCCCTACTTGAGTGGGACTTGCGACGGCTTTGGGCAGTGGGAGACCAGGCGTTACGACCATGACGCCGATAAAGCATGTGGCGGATGCCGTGTTACCGGCAAAGCCGCGGAAGCCAGCGGTTCGGGGCCAACGACTATTGTGCCTGGCGCGACTACCAGCTCGATGCCACCGACCACCGGCACGATGTCCACCACCAACATGTACGGGACCACCAGCTCGATGCCGCCGTCGGCGACAACCAGTATGTACGACGGGACTACCAGCGCGATGCCGCCGACTACCATGGCGCCGACTACCCAGGTGCCGACTACGCAGGTGCCGACTACGCAGGTGCCGACTACCCAGGTGCCGACTACCCAGGTACCGACTACCCAGGTGCCGACTACACTAACACCGACGACTACCCTGCCTCCGCCCACCGGGTGGATCTGCAGCACCTCAGATTCTTGGATTCTAATTTACGCATCGAGTAGCAAACAAAACAACCTAGCAATATCGAATAGTGGTACCGAACACCATTATTTAAAGGCGCGGACAGCGGTGTGGTTGAAGCCTAAATGGCGAAGATGGCGGTTGCGTAAGGTGAGCGGGCAGTATAACAACTATTACGTCCTCAAGGGGTATCCGGATAGCGGTGACTACTTTAACTTGAGAGTCAGGAGCACTGGTAATGTCGATATAAAGGCCTCGTCATCCACGGGAACCGGGATTAGCGAGGAGTGGTGGGAGATTACCGGGCACCCGAATGGAGGTGACTACCTCTGCGTGCGCAATGTGAGACGAGGCAGATATCTCGGGGACTCGGATCAGAAAACAGGCGTCTCTGGAACAGGAGAAGAGGCGGAATCCTTTAGCAGCTGCACTGCGAGTAAAACGCGAGTGCTAATCACCGACTACGAGGACAAAAACGAGAATCAGTGCTCTCCTTCGCGACGTGAACTCGACGAGAAGGAAAACAAAGACGAACTTGATGTGGAACAAAAGGGAGGCAAGAAACTTGTGTCGGCCGGGGGTTCTGCAGCACCACCTCCCGCCAGAAGAGAGAAGCGGCAACTTTCCGGAGAGGGCCAGATCGTAAGTTCCAATCCCACCGGCGACCTCTCTCCATCCTTTGTTTCTTCGTATGGTGAGCGAAGCGGAAATGTGCTGCGCAGTTATTCGTCTTTCTCGAGCGACCGGGGCCCGACCTCTTGGACGGCCGCGCACGTGCGGCCGAGCGCTGTGCGGCTCCGCATAGCTGGCGTGCGTGCACCGAGGAGGCACATGCAGAGGCAAACGAATCCGACGCTGCGCGCTTACCTGGAACAGCACCTTTCACAAGGTCAGCGCGCGCGACTATTTGCGACTGAAAGGTCGCCTGCCTCGTTCCGTGTGGCGAAGATGCGCAACCACGTGAGACACCAAGCCACTGAGGTCGCGGGATCCCAAAAGAGCCACGACATGTTTCAGGTACGCTATTCTGAGGTCGATTGCATCAATGTGCGGAGTCTCTGCACTTCGCCAATGTCACCGGCTACGGGCGTCGCGCCCTGTGTGAATGCTGTCAACGTGACCGTGAGCGTAACGTCGGATGGCAGCACTGAGCAGCAACGGATTTCTCTGTCTTCGGACCCGAGCACGGGGTTTTTGAATCCGGACCACTACTGCTTGTTGCGCGAGAACCGCGCGAGGGCTGGGTGGGCGGGGGATGCTACGGGGGTGAAAGCGTGCGTGCGCGACTTCTGTCAGCGACAAACGTACTGCGGCGGCTATGAGGTGCGGCTCCCGTCGCCACGCCGAAAGCTTTCCTACGGGCCGACCGACGAGGATAGCTTCGGCTTGTCTTTCCGACTCCTCCTCGCCGGCGGGTTCGAAGAGGATGGGGATGATCAGAGCCATAGCCTGCGTTCGTGCGGAACGCACATCTTAAGGCTGCTGCGATGCATTTCAATATAGTTAATCTTAATCAGAATACGTGTATGTTTTGGTGCAGCTCCTGCCTTACCATGACTGAGAGGACCTGCTTTTTACTGCAAACGCTTTTTCCTTTCTTAAATAACATTGTACATGTGATTTGTTCTGGATAGTAGTAAGTCGGTCCTTTAAGCATAGGATTGCCAAACTCCTGCCCGAGCCACACGCGCTGCTACCAACTGCTCCGCCCACGGTTTGCTCCTCGATCTCTCGATGTTTACCGCAAGCACGCGGACGCGCTTCGTCGAGGCACAAGCGTGCAGGATCTCGAGCGGCAATATCGGGACTATCAAAACAGCGGAGGCGGTTCATATCAGACGCCGAGCGCGCCGCAGCCCGGATCCACCTCGACAAGCGTTTCAGGCATGTTAGACTGGCACGAGCGAATCAACTACAGCCCGTTTTCGGACATCATTCTGCCTTCTTACGACGTTTCGAGGCATGTGGACCCGCTGATGATGCTAGACCAGGCGAATAACCAGATGAAAATTTTTGGCGTGGTGATGGCGGAGCGCACGTTCGCAAATGCTGTTCAGGATTCGTTGCGAGCCTATGTGAGCCGGTATCCTCCGGTTACAGCTTTCAGTACACCGATTTCGGTGTACACTGCGGGAGACATCGCTCTCTTCGACTTCCCGGAATACCATCTGCATGAGCTGAGCGGTGCGGAACCAAAGATGTGGAAGCACGACCCGAACCAGAGAGATCTTACTGGCTTTCACCTCTCCCACCTCTCGCTCGGGTATCGTCCGACTTATACGCTCCCGACCTGCGCTGCTCCGCTGCCACGCGGATACCTAGCTGGGCCAGGCCTTGTCGAAACCGCCACACGGTCGCCCAGCAGCGTTGTGCAGGCGAGCGACCTCGTCACGTTCTCGGGTGAGGCCTATGCCTCGTGGTCTTCAGCTCCAACATTGGACGGTCTGGCAGATTATATTCCCGGAATAATACGTGCCACCTTGCAAAATCCAGTGGAAACCAACGATGCCGCGTTTCACCAGTGCATGCAAGGCGGCTCCCTGGGAGGACACGGAGGTGCATTGCCAGGCACTGTGTGCGACCTTCGCTGCGTTGGGGATTACATTCCGCGTCTCTCGGCGGATTCAGGTTACCAGTTCGCCTCCATTCGCACCGCTCGTGGTCTTCAAGTGAGCCTCCAGCAGACGAAAAAGGAAGTGTCGTCAGCTTCCTCGGTTCGTAAGAGAGAGGATCAGGAGCTTGATAAACATCAAGAGAAAGACGCCAGAAGTACCGGTAAGAAGTGGCGGTCTTTGAGTTCCGACACATGTGCAGCAACGTCATCGATGATGCAAATGTTCGTGTCCACCGGACTGTCTGCGTTTGTGTGCGTCCCTCCTTCAAGCGTATATGATGTTCCAGTCAACGGGAACTGTCCCACGGCGGAAACCACACCGCGGCCACTGGTTCAACAGAGTTCCACAAGACAGCCCATGGGCTTCCATGGGCTGGGTTGTGGCCCAATGACCTGTCCGCATATCGATGACGACGAGCTATTGAATGCGTACGGAGCCCGCGTTGCCTCAACGTGGACGAGCGATACAATTTTCCAAATGCTCACTGCCGAATTACAGCAAGTGAATGGAGATGGGGGGGAGGAGGGCGAAGGAACGACCACGCCTAATCCAGACGGCAAGTCGAGTTCACTGCCGCCAGCTTTGGACCCTTTTGCATCCTCTTCACCTGCGCCAAGCCGGCGCACGTTGTACACACGGGAGACTCGTGGCGCAATGGCAGCTGTCAGGGCGATGATGGGAGACGCAGATACAGATGCCGTTGGACGAAACGGAAAGTTGAAACCAGCTGCAGGCGAAAGCCCACGTTGGAAGCGGTGGAAAAGTCGCACTGGTGCGCGAGAAGCCAAGCCTCGAGCGAAGGTTGAGAGCACTAGCACCAGCAAGAGCGCAGCTAGAAAACTTGATCACGAAGGCGATGGTGGCTCAGAGAACTACGGTTCAGGTATAAGTGCCGGAGGCAGCAGCAAGCCTTGGTTCCTCACCGGGCCGCCAAACACGTGGGTAGATGCCAACGCGGACGCATCTGTTATTGATCCTTTACTTGACGGCACCTCCCTCGTGAAGCCATTGCAGTTGCAGAACATTCGCTACCACTTCCCGAGTGTTTTTGGCAGTCAAAACCTGCCCCCAGTGAGTTCCTACGACGAGAGTGGAAACTTGATCGATAGTGCAACCATTCCTGGAAGCGGGGGTTACGACATGCCTTACGGGTCCTCACCCGCTTACAATTTCATCACGAATTCGTACACTTTGCCGTATAACCACCGAGCGTTGTCGGACGCCGCGGGCTCGCCGTGGCCGACTCTGCCCACGAGCACGAGCCTGGTCTACGACGAGGCTGTCGTGCCGTTGGGAAGCCAGGCGCCGTACCCCATGGGCACACTTCCGGGTCTGGGCGTGACGACACATGCTGCAATCATCGGGTGCGATCTTCCTAGCACCCAGCCTGCCAACGTCTTCGTGGAGGTGCGTTGCATCGACGGACGATGGTTTCCGCCGTGGGTGCGAGCACTGCAGTCGGGGGCCGATGGAATAGACGTCTCCCCAGAAACTCGTAGACTGCAGAAGGCATTCAGATTGAAGCGAGCATCAGTGGCATCTGCGCCGAGACGTGCCGGATCCGAAACCAAGACGATCTTCAAAATTGCTGATGATCATGCGGAAAGCAAAGCAGTCGTAAAGAATGCTGAACTTGCAACAAAAAGCACGAGCTTGAAGCAGGTCTCCGCAGCTAGGAAGGCTGTAGAAAAGAGTAGGACTACTTCGGGTGAGAGACGACTGAAGATGGAACAGCGCAAAAAAGTCTTGGCAAAGCAGAGAGTCTTGTATATGAACAAGATTCAGGAAAAGCTGCAAAGAACAAAGGGCAAGAGAAGGAGAACTACTTCGATGGTCGAGGGTGATATCCCGTATCCGCACACGTACAACGTTGATCAGGAGCCACAGTGCTTTGCTGCCTTGCCTTGTCCACTCGAGGCGATCACGAGCCAGCGGCTTGAAGTCTACCAGCAAGACCACGTGACGCGGTACGCTTCTACCGTGACCACCGTGCCTAGTGGAACCAGAGTGTCGGTCGGTTGCCCGACAGATGTCGAAACGACTAGCACCGATCCTGAGACCGGCAATGTGATAATGCGCGACTTCTTTATGCTGACAACGGACGCGGAGACGACCGCAGTCTTCAACCCGGAGCTGGCTGACAGCAATGACTTGGGTGTCCGTACCTCCATCACTACTACCACGACCACAGCAGCGCAAGCAGCGGCGGCGGTCGCGGCGCTTGAAGCTGCTGAGGCAGCGGCGCTGGCGGAAGGTGGGCAAACAACCACGACGACCCCGTGGCCTTATCCGGGCATGAAGATATCGAAGGTTACGCGCATTTGCTACAACGGCGATTGGCTGGACATGGCAATCGCAGGCACGCACTTAATTTCGCAGGGTGGTCTCTTCAAGCGAGCCATGAACGGCACCGAAGTGTATTCGGCCTTCTATGGTTCTGGTGCGCGTGCCGGTACTGCACCAGCAGGAGCATTAACGTCTACGGTGTATCCCGGGTATTATTATGGGTTTTCCATCCTCGGAGGAGAAGGTGGAGCTAAGGGTGAGAATGTCAATGTCGATATCAGCTTACCAAGTGAGGAAGCGCTGGAGGCTTTCGACGCGGCTGCAGCTGCAATGGCTGCGGCAACCGCAGCGGACGACGCTGTGGCCGATGGTGACGACGCGCAGGCGGTTGCGACGGCGGCGAATGAAGCTGCAGAGGTGAGCTCGATTGCCGCTGCAGCGGTCGCTTCCGCAGCATCCGGCGCAACAAGCGAAGGCCCGCAAGCTGTCGCAGACGCCGTGAATGCGGTCGCCACGCAACTCGAGAAAACTGCCATGTCTTACACTTCTGGTCTAGAGGGCCAATTTGGCGAAGGCTCGGGAGAGGATGGCGCAACGACCACAACCACGACGACTACTACTCCTGTCCTCTTCGTGGTGCGCGAGAAGAGCCAATTTCCAGCTTGCCGCAAGATCCCACTGCCGGGAGAGAACGAACCGCGTACGCAAACGATGTCGCGGGTGGCGCTGCAGGTCTCTTTAGCCGTGGACGCCGGCGCCTTGGCTAGCCAGGCGAAACGAGGGACTGCTGAGAACCCGGCACAGGCTGCAATCGCGTGTCCAGACGTTGACACACTTGAAGCAAGCGCCCGTCTGATCCAGGCAGCTAGAACAGCGACGGACGCCGAAAAGGAAACTTCTGTGTGGATCCTCAATAACGCAGATCAAGTAGCGGCTTCCCTTTTGACTTCCGTAGCCGGCTCGGAAACGTCGAGCGAAGAGAGTATCTTCATTTCAACCGTAAGCTTCGGGGCAGCGGCGGATGTGATTCTGTCGCTGAACTACGCTGGCGGCACAGGTTTAGCGATTCGCAGGAGGCTAGACGGATCGATCTATCGCCTTACAGAGGAGGAAATCGAGATGGAATTTGGCATTTCCCCATCCTCTTCGCGCAAGGAAAATCCGTTCTCGCACCTCCCAGGACTTCAAGAAGGAGACTTAAAAGCCGCAAATGACAATGCGCGTCTCCGGAGCTTGATGCAAACAACCGTGTCCTCATCCCAGGTGAGCGATGTTGCATCCTACAATCAGCCAAGATCAAGCAGAGGAGACACTGACGCGATAGGATCCGGTACAGCAAGTCGTGGAGAACTTCAATTGGCAGGCGGCGAACGAAAACTGCAATCTTCAGGCGTGTCGGGCTCGGTGACCGTTGCGTATGCCTTCCAGTACCGCGTGGTAACTGCGGACCCTAATACACTCGCTACCAAGATCGCTGCAGCAGAATCTTCGGTGACCAGCACTACATTCTCGCAGCGGTTGAGCGCGGCAACAACCTCTAGTTTCGGTTGTACCGTCTCATGTGTAACCTCCGCGCCGGTGGTTCAGAGTTACGCTATTCAGGAATCGGTACACTTCATTACAACAGTTGCTCGTATGCTCATTTTGATTTTTCAACAGAAACACAACATGAATAATCTTCTGTGCCTTTTCAACAAAACTTGAAGTTGAACCCCCCCATATTAGGTAGTGATCATGCCGGGTAAATTAAGAACAAAACTTACCCCTCAGGTAACAGTGGAGATCAATGAATGGAAGTATCGTCCTTGGAGCGTGTGTGACAATGGCTGTGGTCCTGGCGCGCAACTCCGTGAATTCTTTTGCGACCAGAGCGCAGAAGGTGGAAATCTAGAACCCTGTCCTGTCGAAGACATTGCGAAGCTGCTCTTGAAATTATGGATGGACAAAATCAAAATCATACCGATCATCGACCATTCTGTGTATACCAAGAAACAGGGGGCGACCTCGTTCATTTTTGTTTTCATTTTCATCTAATCTGCTACCTGTACATAATCTTGTAGATATCTTTCTTGAAGAGATTTACGTTAGATTTTTCGTACTTAGAATTTGATTCGTCGTTCTCCTCTTCTTCTAAGTTACCAGAGTTGTTTAGAGTGGGGGGCGTGCGCTGCGAGTATTTTGTGTCCGTTGACGGAAGAATACAATTGCGCTACGCAAAGCCTGATCATTTTGGGTGTGGTCGGGGTGTGCTCCCTTATGTTCCTCAACTACATGTACAGAGGTTGCCGTGTGCCGCGGGGTGGAAATGTGCGAGGCTTGGCGTTAGACAAGAAAGGCAAGATGCGATGGTCCAAAGCGAAGGACAAAGAAACAGGAAAGTTATGTTGCAACTCCAACTCACTCAGAGCAAAGCGTAGAGGTAGAATAATTTGAGTACTTGGGTGGAATAGGGTGGTTCGCGTGCACGTCGTGAATGACGCGCATACTTGATGTAATGCTTGTGGACTTTCGCATAGACTATACCACTACGAGAGGGAAAGCAATGACCAAACCTTTATTTTACTCAACAACCAAGTAATCAACCACCTCTAAGAAAGCAAAAGATTACATGGAATTCCGACGATATCGCTGCCTATCTTGCCTCGAAGGGCTCGGAAATCACAACCGGCGTTGTCGTAGATGACGACATGAAGAAGCCAAAAGGAGAAGGTGAAGCAGACGACTCGTCGTCGTCTTTCTCATCATTTAAGGCGTTTGTGCATCCACTATCCATGTAGAGATGTTGAAGCACCATTTTCTTTCTTGGAGTGAGGCTGTAAAACAGCGAATATGAAAATCATAGAATAGATTTTCAGGAGATCATGATGCTGGTCTTGAAACTCGATGGATGAGGTCCTCTTCTAAAAAATCAAGTGGCGATGAGGAGAACAAGGAGGACGGAGATGATGACGTGGAAAAAGCCGATTCGCCACGAAAGTCTCTAGGTTCGAAAGACGACAAACAAATAGTAGTCACTGGGGCACCAGTGGAGATCAACGACGTCGATCTAGTAGCGGATATGACAGCTCGGCGGAGCTCGAATCGTCCCGACATGGGGAAGTTCTTCCGGATGGCGTCCATGGCAAAAGTAGACTTCGACGATATGAGCGAAGTAGTGGAACTCTATCCAGCACCGCCACCGTGCTTTGCAATCTTATGCTGGATCTGAGTGCTAATGTCAAATGAGAGTATCTATGTATCAGGAGTTTTTTTCAACTTTGCTTTAATAGTAACGTTTTCCTGATAACTGATGTGCTATTTTCAATCTTTCTTTCTTACGTCGTAAATCGAGCTATTACATCAAATAAAACCGGTAAGCACAAGCGAGAATTAAGAAGCACAATTGTGACTCTCACTCTAATCATCGGAGAGCCCGTCGAATATTATTCGAGTACTTACTCGACTTTTCTGCCAGCAACGATGGCGGCCCATAACCGGTTCCTCAACACTTGCGCAGTGACTTTGAGCGCAAGGCTGTCAAAGCAAACCAGAAAGAATGTACTTTTACTTCTTGATGTTCGACACTTTTGCGACGCGGTTTTTATCCACGAGACAACCAGGAGTCTTCAAGTGCTTGATCCTTACTGATTGTGCTAAGTAGTCCACTTTGTAAATTGAGATTGTCAGAATCTCGCTCCAGTATATGCTTGTTCGAGTACCTCACCTCTCCCGGCTAGCAGTCATGAAAAACTCAGTAGGTGGAAAAACACCAATTAGAAAACAAGCAACTATTAACCTTCGCCATTATAACTTTCCCAGGTCCCCTACATCATGATTCGATGTGCCTTGCGGGAGCACGAAAGATGCGAGGTGTTTATTTCGGATGCTGTAGGATGGGTTGGACCCGTCTTCGTTGAGAAGCGCATCACCGTCAGAGGTCGCGGTGCTGAGTACGTAGTCGAAGCCGGAGAACTCCAAGGAAACTTCAAGCTTCGTACAAATAAAATGCGGGTGGAAATTGCGAAGGTATCTATCTATGCCTCTAATAATCTAAGATGAAACAAGTAGGTAAGTAGTCTGATATGGACGATACTATCTAAGGGACGAAGTAGATCATTGATTGGGCAACACTGTCATGCATGTTTGAAGATGGAAGAATCGACAAACCATTTTCGTCATTCCTCATCTTCCTGATTAATCAAACAGATTCGCCGGCAGTTTGCGGTAGACGACGACGTCGTTGTGTACTACGATGACCGATGGGTTGAGGCAAAGGTCCTTAGTGTGTACGCAGAGCAAGTGGGCCAGCACGCTGCGGAGGCTGCCGAGTGGCTGCAACGAAGGATCCAATTGAGAGCGGCGACCGCACACGGCCTTAGTTCAGGCAAGAAGAACGAGATTTATGAGAAAATATTATGTTCTCTCAACTTTTTAGCATGCGTCTTGGCCATTTGCTTAAATTACATGTGATTGAGAAATTGAAATTGAATATTAGGTATGATAGTCTACGTCGTGAATGGAGGTGAACTCACTCATGATTGGACACGCTCATAGATATTGACCGCGTCAGAATTTTGTACAAGTATATCTCTAAGCAGAACGTCGGAAAAAGGCCCGATTGTCGAGAGAAAACACGAATTTGTTCGGTTTCGGCGGTTTTAGTGGGGACGCTGGAGAAACACCTGCGCGGGAAGACGACGACGACTCGCCGTCGCAGATGCAGCCAGTCGGCGAGGGTGCGATTGTGCCGGTAGATAAGCCCGCGCCCCAAGATTCGGATAGTGGTAGTGAGCCAGCTATCTCGCGAGAAAACACGAAGGAGATCTCTAGAGAGAACAGTTTCGTGACGCCACGAAAGAAGAGCAAGCTGAGCCGGCGGGACAGTGTGGAGTTCCTGCGAGAAGAACAGAGTATGCTATCATCAAGGCAGAGTCAGCCCATGAAGACACCGCGTGCGAAGACCGAGGGGGAGAATGACTCACCCAGGCCAGGACTTATGGCTGGAGCTAAATAACAAGTGCTTGTCTACATACAAATTGAAATTTCCATGATAGGCTACAGGACGTACATCGTACGCCATTATTTTTTGCTAACTTCGTGTAAAAATTTTGTCAATTCGGAAAACTTTTGTTATTCCTCTCATCATGTCCACCAGTCGGATTCCAAACAGAGTCAGTGGCCTTATATATTCTGCGTTCTATACTATGTGATACTACTTAGAACTATTTTTCTATCGTCCATAGTCGGTCTGCGTCCTGCTCTAAATCTGGACAGTCCAAGAGTGTTTCGCCTCAGAAGGAGGGTGAGACGCCTAATCCTTTGCTGCACAGTGCGGCAAGCAGCCACTCCATAGGATCCGAAAAATGGAAGGCTGCGAGAGCAGTTCTCCAGAATATTCGAACTTTACGCGCAGAAGATGTTGTCCAGGAACAGAAATCTGCGCAAGCTCACGTCTTCGGTATCAGTATGCGAGCACGCATCACAGAAGAAACACACCCAATGTTTGGACAGGAAATAGATATTCTGCCCGAAAAGCACAAGGTAAATATATTTTTGTTTTTCAGATTTGTATTCGACTTGTTTTATTGAAGTTTATTTTATTTTTCTGCATGTAGGTTGTGGTGGTGGTTCGGGAGGTTTTGTTTTTTGAAGCGATGAGTGAAGATCGATTAGAATGCAGTGAAGGACGTTGTGGATCATGTCTTAGTATTTTCAATTCGGAATATACTTAAATCGCAAATTTCAGGTTCTGCCGATTTCAATCGTCTATGAGAAAGTTTCGGAGATTCGCTCACGAATGCGGCCGTCGTTCATGCCTGCGCTAGGAGACATCAAGGAAACGGAAAACTATGACTCAATGAGCCAATAAACTCGTTTGCTTGTGAAATCGAATGATTTTCACCTGAATTATATTTATGGTAAGCCTCTGAAAATCACTTTCGATTATATCCAAATTGGACTACTGTAACTGTTATCCCACATGATTGACTTCGTATACGAGACTACAATGAATTTCCACCTCGATTTTTCCAGTTCTAAGACCCTAGTGCGGAAGCCGTGCTTGGTGAAAGTCAGCCCGTTGGGGGTCAGGAATCAGCCAGCGAGAACAAGAAAGAGTTTCGAGCTGAGAATCGCATGGATTCGATGGTGTCCCTCATGGCTGATGTACCCGACGAGGGCGGAACCCAGGATCATGTGAACGTGATCGTGACAGCGTCGCCTGTAGGAGCATCGGGAGGACACCTGTCGCAGGATCAGGAGCATGAAGCTTGAATAAAAGGGTTCGCTGAAATGTTACAGCGGATCTGAGAGAAGGTGAACGTGTGCCGAAATAAGGTTGGTCATTAAAATAGACGTATTCTTCGTACACCTACACATAGCTTACTAGGACTGCTCGAACTCACTTTCGTATTTTGTTTCCTAAGACTAAATATCAGAGGAAAGGCTCAGGGTCGTGCCTCAACATTGATGACTCAATTACCAGAAAATAGACGTATTCTTCGTACACCTACACATAGCTTACTAGACTGCTCGAACTCACTTTCGTATTTTCCTAAGACTAAATATCAGAGGAAAGGCTCAGGGTCGTGCCTCAACATTGATGACTCAATTACCAGACAGAAATATCTCGTAGAAGTGCTCTAGACTAGAATTTATCACTCAAAAAGAAGAGACTAAGACTATGCGACTCATTTATTCCTGAAGATCTCGTAACACAAGCTGCTTACACGAGATACCCCCGAATTCCTCATGTTACACACCCGAAGTTCCAGCAGCCCACAAAACCCATTTCATTTTCTAGTTCACTTTATGCGGAGAAAGATAAACTCATGTTGGATATTTATTTTGATAGATCATTTGATAGTGCTCGAATGAAAGATAATGACAGTTGTTACGTGCACTGCACATCATTTTTTATATAAGCAGCGAAAAGTTTCCGAAGTGGTACACAACACGACGGGAAACGATCTGCGCACACATGAAGACACCTTGAGTACTAACCTCAGTCACGACAAGATAGATTTAGATATACATCGATCAGGAACTTATATATGAGATACGAGTGGAAACAGCGTAAAATTGGAAATTGCTACATAGTCCTGGTGCATTCCTAGCTGAAACAGTTTTTGATTCGATGAGTACAGCACATCATAGCGGGACGCATACCAAATGCAACAGTTTTTATGGGGTACCCTGTACAGCGAATACGATGACGGGCGAGAAAGTCAATGTGGTATTTACTCGAAATTAACGATTCTAATACAGTTCGTTGCTCTTGAGTTTATCGGCACGTAATGAATCCAAGATATAAAGTTTCAGCATTACTGTATCAACTCAACACGACAAATATTTTAAACGGTACCGCACTCTCTCGCTCTTGACGATTAAACCGCACTAGACTCTGTGACTTACTACTCTACTTCTAACACTCCTAATAATCGTTCGTGCTCTATTAACGCAAGTTTCGTTTGAATGATTTGTCACAATTCCACTAACATGTTAATGCGCCCATCTGGTATTTTCCTCAGAAGTTTAAGGTATAGTTGTAGCTAACAAAGGTATTAAGTTTATCCTTCCTGGTGCATGCAAAGAAAGAGAAACTCCAAGAGGACGGCCGCTCGGGGTCGTTCAGAGGTTTTCTACTTCATCACGCTTCTTCAATCGTGAATGACATTCAGTGAAGAAGAAGAGGACAATGGATGCTCTATTTCATGCTATCTATCAGCACCGATTCTTCGTGATGGGTCGAACTCAAATTCAGCATTGAGAGGTACACGTTCAGATAAGCATGGATGATTTAATGTCAAAGTACCACGTTAACAAATTTTTGAAAAATTCTAAATAAATTTTTCAACATTGAAATAAAGCATGGATGTAGGAACGTCAGTCACGCTTCTCGAGTGAACTAATATCGTGGCACGCTGACTGATATTAAGCGGTGATGTGACGGCAGTGCTTTCGTGTGCGCGGAACTGACGACAAGTGGTGAAAGAACACTACGATGGGAGGCTTGGCTTTTGCGCTTCAAAGTTAATATATAAATATCTATCTGATACTTTGCTTATCGATGAGTCAATCAAGGAAAACTATTATCTTCGTGATTTTTGTAAGAGACAGACGGGCTTACTTAATTATGCTTGCTCTGTTATATTTACACGGAGGGAAGTGCCTGTCTGACCTGGTAGGCTAACGAGGAGTCTGATGTAACTAAGACTGGTTTTTTACTTGTATTGATTGATTCTGCATTATGACACAAAGGCACTGGCTAAGCAGCGTGATAAAAGAGCAGAAGGAGGGAGGTCAACGGTGTCCACAGACCTCCTTGAAGCAGGTGGCGGACTCTGTCGTAGTTTTGCAAGAGAGCATCTCTATTGCGCGAAGCAACGCATTGGCACTGATGCATGCCTCAAGCAAAATAAAAGTGAATGGATGACATGGAATGAATCAGTTGCCTTTCTTAAAAATTCAAAGCTTTGGCGCGTCGATACATACCGAAGAGATGTCTTGATCTGTTTGATAGGTATTTTTAGAACTAAGACAGAGGAAGCAAAACTTGCGGCACAGCTTCTTCGTGTACGATGGGCGTACTTCCTCGTGTTCTCTTCGTGCGGAAATTCATTCTCAGCCTCAGCTATAGCTTTTTCGGAGAAACAAAGCCGATTATTTTCATTGAGTCAAACGCACGGGCAAAATAAAAGGTCAAAGAAACTCCAACCAAAGCAAAGACGAGCGTGAAAGCAATGCTGCTCCATCCATCGTGAATCATTCTAGTCCACACTCCTACTGCTCGTAGGCTGCTTTTTCTAGACGATGTTCTTTATCTTGTTTGGTCACCATTCTTATTGATGATCTAAGAAGGAGCATTCATGTCAGTGGTAACTATATCCATCGACTTCACGTTGGTAAACGTCTTTGTCTTGGACAACTGTGCTTGGCTTACTTTCTCGCTGTGATCAGTGCTTTCTTTTGAGCTTTCTACCGTGAAAGTGAAAGTGGACATATTTATAGTGCTTGAGGTTGAGGTAGAGAAGTTAATCTCCATAAACGGACTTGTTTCTGTTGATCAGTCTTCTTCTTTATCTGTAGTGCTATTCTTCCTTCTGATGTAAGATTCTCGATCTCTTAGTATTCCAGGGTAAAACAGAACCAAAAAAAAACGGTCGTCGTCTTCGGAGCATCTTCAAGAACAAACGGGTGCCACGCTACTACTCGAATAAATTAGAACTGTCAGTCTGCGAGTGCGACAGCAAGAAGATGCTTGCCGATGCTGATTGATGCGCTTTGATTGGGAAGCTATTGGATTCAATTTCAAGTAGTCTCTGGGACTGGATATCAATAGCTCGAGAACAGGATACAGCGAGGCGGAGTCGCGTACCAAGCAAGTGTGGCTTGTAGTTGTGGCTGTGCCTCAGATTTCGTCGATTACAAAGGGAAAGAAAAGCAGGCATTTTACTTTATGTAATCCATAGATACCCATACTTACGCATTCATGTTCGTACTCGTTACGCGACTCGCGGGGGATCAACTTCACGGAGCTACGGCTTCGGCAGTGGGCCGCATGGATTTCGATACCATTGCAGTGCCATCCCCCGTGGTTTTCAATATGCGGGCGGGGTGTTGTCTCTTCCATGTGGGCGGCGCATGTTGGTGCGCGTGAGTCCCGTGCAGCATGATCATGAGCATGCGTAGCGCCTGGCGAGATGTCACGGAAAGGGTGGACAGCATTGAAGGGGCGGGCCCTCTCTTTCGCGGCAGATCTGCGCGCGAATGTGCTGACTCTGCTAGAGCTGAATCGTCCACGGCTTTGGAGGACGAGCGCGAGCCCTGAGCGCCGCGTGGGGAGGGGTGGCGGCAAATCTACGCGCGGCGGTAAATTGTAGCGAGGCGCGTGGGTGAAATGGTGGCGGTGGCACAGGGGGCGGGCCCCGATCTCCGGGCGCGTGATGGGACGCCCAGCAGAGTGCCAACCTACTCGAGCTGCAAAGAAACACGGCGCAGCAGCTGCGCTACAGCGTCTTCCGCTGTTGTCAGCCCGCGGCAGCCCTTTCGTCCTTATTATTGTGGTAGCCCGCGGCAGCCAGGGGGGGACGGAATCGGGTGCCGGCGGTGATTTCACTGATGTCGTGCGGCGAGTGACAACGAGGGCGAAGGACTGCCCGCCAAGGAGACGAAGCGCGGCACAGGCGAAAGGGAAAGCGCCACCGAAGGCGAAGAGCAAGGGCGGAGGCTTTCTGTGTAATCTACGGCCCAGAGCTGCGCCAGAATAGTGCCCGCGAGGAGCAAAGTGCGGACACGCTGGGAAGCGTATGCAGCGGCTGGCTGATTGCGGGCGGACTGGGTGCGTGGTGACGCAGAAGCAAAACTGATGCACAGCGACAGATGAGTACCTTCCTGACGCCGCAGCTGGAGACTGCCACGCTACGACAGCGCGCCCGTTCCCGTTTCAAACGCTGAGACAACAAGGGGAGGCCGCAAACGTCGCCGATTCTGATAGCCACTACCCGCCGGGGCTTCGTCTGTCAGCTAAAGCGGGAAACATCTGGCGAACCTGAAGCGCAGCGGCGAACCTGAAGCGCAGCGGTCTGGCTTGTAAGACGCTAAGGGCAACGGAATGCGCGGCGCTACGTATATTCTGCGTTGGAGAGCTTGGGAACGAGGGGGCACCTGGTGAGCTCTTTGGCGTTGCTTTGTGCAGATTGTCGCGGCGCGGCTTGCCTCTTGGCGCCTTGTTGTTTCTGCTCTGACATCAGTGTGCGGAGGGAAAAGGCTCTGAGGCTGGGGCGTTTCCCTCTCTTTCTTTCTCTTTCTTTCTTCCTTTCTTTCTTTCATTCGGTGGGCACAGCCACAGATGGGCGGAGCGCTTTCTTTGTTCATAATCTAGCTTGCATCGCCTTGCGTTCTCGGGTCGCTTTCTGGGCTTCGCCAGTTTCTATGTCTTTCACTTGCTTCCTTTATCTAGTCGATGCATCAGAGTTAGTTAGTTTATTCAAGATGAAATAAAAGGGCTTGGCTCAGGTGTGAGGGTTAGTCGTGGTCATCTGATACTTTACAACCCAACTCAGGTTTTTTATTGCAGGACGCCGTCTTTATCTGCGAAAGCGAGAGAAATCTTCTGCAAAAAATCTTCATCGTCGAAAATTGCTGATCTTACAAAGCAGAAAGGATCAGGATTAGCAAAGAACCGCATTCCTGATGATGTTCTAGTACTAAAATCTTGAGGGGTTTCGCCGTGGCATAGGCAGACTGGATACATGTTCTTGCTGATACTAGTACTATACAAGCCTGAGTCTATTTGTAAGTATATGAGTCTTTTCATTATGGCTACCTGTTCGATCGAGATCGTAATGCTGAAAAATAATATAGGTATCATCTACCCCCACGGACCTCTGGGCAGAGACTTGGCTGCCGTCTTTTTCTCCTAAAACGCGCAAAAAAATTAACGAGCAAGTGAACGAATTTCGTTTATGGTGCGAAAAAGTCCGCACTGAGGCGGACGACGACTCCATTATTACCGTAAGGGTGCGGAGTCGGACTATGGAAACTGAAGATGAGGAAGCTGATCGACTGACTGCCATGCCGGGCTACAAAGAGCCAAGCCAAGAGGAACTGCTTGAGCGTGAACGGTTTCTATGTCGATTGGAAGAAGAGACAAGGGCTTTCGGGAAAATGAAGGTACTGCGTATTCCCTTAGTTGATTGCTCGCAAACCCAACCAAAGTTCACCAACATTATCTCAGTTTTTGGTTCTTCTTTCGGTCCACTAGTTTCAGGATGAAACTCATGCTTCTTCATCAACTTCGTTTCTAATCTTGATTATCTCAACTTCAAGCACTCCTTTTCTTCACCTCAGGAAATGTGGCAGGCTCCAATGGGCGAGTTTAGTGACAAAAGCGATAGCGGAGAGGCTTTCGAAAGTGAGGATGAGGAGCAGTTTGATTCTGAGGCCAAGGATGCTGCTTCAGCGTCTGCAGGTGCGTCGGCGCCCGCCATGAAAAAGAAAAAGAGTGTAGGTGGCGGTGGCAAGCAGGGAGTCAATTTCAAGCATCCCTTCCGCGCGGCAGATTGGTGGTTTTCGAATCAGAGCTTTTACGAGGTATCTATTGAGTCGCTTTGCGTGGTGGGTATACTCTCTAGGCACAGTAAAAGGGTTCAGGACAATTCTAGTTCTTTCTCTAGACAGTGCTAGATGATCACGAAAACGACTTCCCTTTCCTCAATCTATTTTGCAACACAGGAGCAGAAACCCTTGTCTTTCAATTTGATACTACAGGCGAGCATGAAAGTGGTCAAAACAGTAGAGGACGAAGGAGCGCTAGATGGCTTAGGAACAGGCAAACCGACGAAAGCTGGTAGAGAAACAATCAAAGTACTACAAGAAGCAACAGAACAGTACATGACGCAGTGGCACCAAGATTTCTCGAGTCTGCCGAAGGACGCGCAGAGACGACGCGTTCTTGAGTGGGAAGCCGCATATAAAGGTGTCAATAAGTATGATGCCTACTTGATTGAAGAAAAGGATGTGTACTTATATCGACATCACCAGCGGATTCTTTATCGACTGCGCAACGATATGACGAAAGAGTTGAAAAACTTCACATCTGAAACAGTTTGGCTAGCATTTATAGAGTCTCAATGTCGTGGCATTTTGAGGGGAGGAATGAGGGACTTGATTTGCACGAAGCACGTTGACACAGAAGACACAATCGAGTACGACGCTTATCCTCACACGTACGATGAATTGTGTAAAATTGGACAGAGTCAGAATGTACAGAGTTTTTACAATCGTAAAGTAGAGAGTCTCCCTCTTCCAGATGGAGAATTGAGTAGTGGTCTGTTTAGTTATCTCTTCACAGGTCAAATTGATGGGGTTCAGGCTAGGGCTCCATGGGCGTGCCGGCCGTACCTTACAGTACGGGAAAAAGTTAGTCCCTATTTTGCAGATGATGAACATGAAGGAACAAATGTAGCATACAACCTAGGTACAGAATCTCGCTCCAAAAAGCGACAATTAGCGAAGAAGGCCTTTGAGTTGACGTCTCTTGTTGTGCCGAAGCCATCCGCGTCATCGTCTTCTGGGGTACGGACTTCGTCGGGGGCTGCAGCTTCATCATCATCTTCGGGTGCGGCAGCAAGTCATAGCAAGTCAGCAACAACATCAGCGAAGAGGCCAGCAACAGCTACAACTACAAGCGCCACGTCTAGCTCTATGTCTATGCCTATGGTAACGAAGACAGACGGACCAAAGAAGAAGGTAGCAAAGGCGCGGGGCCAGGAGTTTTTGCGCTGAAAGGGCGTTGGTTGTTGTCAATAGTACTGTCATAAAAATGATTTCTAAGACTGAGCACACCAGACACAGGGCATAGCTATATCGTTATCGATAGCAGTAGCAGAGGCATTAATCTTTCTTGCGTGTATATGTATATGTATTGCTTGCAGGATACGCACCGGATTGTTGTTGTTCTAAGCAGAGCCATCCACATCAAGAATTATAGAGAGCAGCGCGGTCTTCTCGCTCTAGTCATTTTGGAACCAATGGAAGTACTTGCTTCGGAGTGTATAGGTATAAATAGGAACTATTTTGCAATCAATATGACAGCTGGGGTATTATAGTTAGAGAGACACCATGTCCATGTGGATGCGAGTTGGCTCCTCACACAGGGATATCAATTACATGAACAATCTTGATGAACAATCTTGAGGAGCAGGAGCGTCGGCATTCAGATTTCATTTGCAAATGCTTCTTGTTTTGCTGTGATTGTGAGCACTTAGTACTACGAAGAATACGGAACGTACGAAGAGTACAAGACCAGGGCCATCAGTTAGGTGTGCTACTTCTGGTTCATGAAAAACAAGGATAGACATGGACTTTTCTTCTGTCTGATAATTGCATTTGAAATTGAAAAGATTACAACTACAAGCCCAAGCGAAGACGAAGGCGAGCGAGTGCAAGCACAAGCTTGCTCAGTCTCAGTGAGCGAGAGCGAATACGATGAGAATGAAGAAAAAGCCGCGTGCTCAAAGTACGAAAGCAAAAGGGCTGAGAAATCAAATCACAAGAGAGAAGCTAAAAATGCTGCATTTGCAAATATGGTTATCTTAGGCTCGTGCGTGTTTCGATATATTTACGCAACATCATGAGCAAACGCTACTAGGCAGGCATGACAGGCAAATGCCTTGCATTACTTGACTCCCTCTCCAATTCGTCCTCGCTTCTACATACTACCACTCAGCTGTTGACTAGCATATATTTTAGAAGTGATTAATCCTTGGACGACGACGATATATTTTAGAAGTGACATTGAAAAATGGACGACGACGACGACATATATGCAGAAACGCTTCGTATTCTGGGGGTTGGCGCAGGACTTCGACCACCCGATTCGAAGACATCGTCGTCGTCTTCGAGTTCGGTGCTGAGTCGGGGCAAGGAAGTGGAACTATGTGAAACTGTTAGGAGGCATGGCGCTGCGGCAAATCATCGTGGGCCGTTCGATCGCATACCGCATGATAATACAGACTTGGAGCAGTTTTTTGAACTTTACGAAAACGATCCTGCGGGAAATAGTCAGGTTGCTGTAGATAAGAGGACTCTGCTATTTTTGAAGAAAACACTAAATGAATCCCTGGCGAAGTGCTTTCCGTCATCTCGTGTGAAGAAATGGAAAGATCCAGTAGTAGTGGTGCGATTGGAGCCCGACGGCACAACTCGCGGCGTCTTGGCAGTAGGACCTACAGGGCGGTTCGTCGACCGGTCAGCCAAATGGCTCGTCCAGTTCGGCGAATTGGCTATCATTCCAGACGCCAGTAGAGTGGGCATGGGATTTGACGATCCTGATGGTGATTTGCCAGAAACCGGCGAAAGTGATACGTCAGAGAAGTCAATTATTCGCGTTCCTCTCCTCATGAGCACCACAAACGTAACAGCGAGCGAGCCTCCGCAATATGATGAGGCTGGTGTTGACCATGACGCCGTAGAACCATCAGAGGAAGACCAAGACCCTAGGAAGCCGAGCACCAATGTTGCTTGGACGACCCTCGAACACCTTGACAACTTGATGGGGGAATGGCTGCGATCCATAGCAGCGGAAGGGGTAGAGACGCTCATAGATATTTGCTCGGATTCTGCCGCGGATGCAACGAGCGTAGCGTGCATCCTCGGAGAGCTTTGCGAAGTCAGGTTTTAATACCATTTGAAAAGAGAGACTTCTCCTTTGATTATACTAGCTTGGAGCGTCCGGTAACATCCCTCCCACTAGGATCCCCCTCCTCCCCAAAATAAGAAAGAAACTAAGCAAGGCAAAGATGTAATTGTAAGCGATATGCGTTTTCAAATTTCGAAAATTTTCCACGTTTTGCCATAGTTTGCGGATTGGGTCTCGTGCGTTTGAAGTCAAGGGCTAAGGTCCCAAAGCTTTTCGACTTTCAGCCCTTTCGCTGAAATTCAGTGTCTTGGATCTGCATTATTCAAATTTCGAAAATTCTCCGCGTTTTGTTGTCGTTTTGGGATTGAATTTTGTGCGTTTGGAGCGCTAAAGCCCATAAGTTTTTGACTTTCAGCCCTTTCCCTGAGATTCAGCCGCATGGATTTGCATTTTTCAAATTTCGAATATTTTCCCCATTTTGTCGCCGTTTTGGGATTGAATTCTGTGCGTTTGAAGTGCTAAAGTCCCAAAATTTTTGATTTTAAGCACTTTCCCTGAGATTCAATCTCTTGGCTTCGCGTTTTTCCAATTTCGAAAATTTTCCACGTTTTTCGTCGTTTTGGGAGTGAATCCCGTGAGTTTGAAAGGCTAAGATCCCAAAATTTTTGATTTTCAGCCCTTTCGCTGAAATTTAACGCCTTGGCTTCGCGTTTTTCAAATTTCGAAAACTTTCCACATTTTGCCGCCGTTTTCGGGTTGAGTTCCGTGCTTTTGAGGTGCTAAGATCCCAAAATTTTTGATTTTAGGCCCTTTCTCTCGAATTTAATTCCTTGGATTCGCCTTTTCAAATTTCGAAAATTTTCCACCTTTTTCGTTTTTTTGGGAGTGAGTCCCGTGAGTTTGGAGCGCTAAGATCCCAAAATTTTTGATTTTAAGCCCTTTCTGCCGAAATTCAATTCCATGGCTTCATGAGTTTGGAGCGCTAAGATCCCAAAATTTTTGATTTTAAGCCCTTTCTCCCGAAATTCAATTCCATGGCTTCACGGTTTCATGGTTTCATGGTTTCGCGGTTTCATGGTTTCGCGGTTTCATGGTTTCGCGGTTTCGTGGTTTCTTGGTTTCCTGGTTTCCTGGTTTCCTGGTTTCGTGGTTTCATGGTTTCATGGTTTCGTGGTTTCCTGGTTTCATGGTTTCGTGGTTTCATGGTTTCATGGTTTCATGGTTTCATGGTTTCATGGTTTCATGGTTTCGTGGTTTCATGGTTTCATGGTTTCATGGTTTCATGGTTTCATGGTTTCATGGTTTCATGGTTTCATGGTTTCATGGTTTCATGGTTTCATGGTTTCATGGTTTCATGGTTTCATGGTTTCATGGTTTCATGGTTTCATGGTTTCATGGTTTCATGGTTTCATGGTTTCATGGTTTCATGGTTTCATGGTTTCATGGTTTCATGGTTTCATGGTTTCATGGTTTCATGGTTTCATGGTTTCATGGTTTCATGGTTTCATGGTTTCATGGTTTCATGGTTTCATGGTTTCATGGTTTCATGGTTTCATGGTTTCATGGTTTCATGGTTTCATGGTTTCATGGTTTCATGGTTTCATGGTTTCATGGTTTCATGGTTTCATGGTTTCATGGTTTCATGGTTTCATGGGTTCATGGGTTCATGGGTTCATGGGTTCATGGGTTCATGGGTTCATGGGTTCATGGGTTCATGGGTTCATGGGTTCATGGGTTCATGGGTTCATGGGTTCATGGGTTCATGGGTTCATGGGTTCATGGGTTCATGGGTTCATGGGTTCATGGGTTCATGGGTTCATGGGTTCATGGGTTCATGGGTTCATGGGTTCATGGGTTCATGGGTTCATGGGTTCATGGGTTCATGGGTTCATGGGTTCATGGGTTCATGGGTTCATGGGTTCATGGGTTCATGGGTTTGGGGTTTGTTTGTTTTTGTGTTGGAGGTTTTGGGTTTGGGTGTTTTGGGTTTGGGTGTTGGAGGTTTTGGGTTTGGGTGTTGGAGGTTGAGGTTTCCGAAGGGATGTGTTTGCAAAGTTTTATTGCTCTTAATATTAATATTATAGTAGATCACAAACGTAGACTTATCCCGTGCAACAATATATTAATATTATAGTAGTAACGAAATTCTTCTTCTTTGTGGTATGAATTCTCGTTCTTGAAGATTGAATCTTTCAGCTTTGTTTAGGTTCCCCCGATCCACGATTTTCATTCGTCGCTGTGAGCAGCATCAGCTTGCTATAGCAGGCACACGGACAATCGAAGCGCTTGGGCAGTATTTAGGCGTGAAGATTCAAGCAGCGCACAAGAGAATGCTGCGTGAAGCGCGTGCAATGAGAACGCATCAGCATATTTGTCAGAGGGTAGCGTATGCACGTTGGCAGCGTGACACAATTTTGACGGCCGATATTGAAACATGGAAAAAGCACCAGAGCTTGTGGAGGCAATTCATGGAAGACCTCCGAGAAGATGTGGGTGCTTCTTCTTGTTCCTTCGTTTTCTTGTGATGACACGTGTGTAGCCATTTCGAAGTCGAGGCTTCTCAGTCTGAAGTTGAGCCCAAGTTCAAATATGTAAGTCTCATCGTTATCAATTTGAAGAAAATCAATCTCACCAACCAGGGCTGCAGCAGGCTTTGCAAGATACGGCGCTAGTTCCATCGGATGAGTTGCAATCGCTGACTGTTGAGCAAGAGACCCGAAGCCTTATCATTGGAGTGGGGGAAAAGGAGCCCATTGTTCAAGCGATGTGCCGCTTTTATCGAGCAATTCCAGAGCCAAAGGATCACAGGCACTATTTCGTCTGATGGTGCTCACCAAGTTGCACTAGGGGAGAGCACAACTATAAATCTATAACTGTGTGGTTGTGGTCCACTTGCAGTGGCACAGACACACTGCTGGACTTTCATGGTGAGGCTTTTTCTTTCTTCATGTAGTTACGATGCAAATTTATAATCAACGTGAACTCATAGTCGACGCAGCTGGGATTTTACTACACCAAAGGCTAGTCGGGTTCGAATCTGTTATCGTGGTTGTTTTACTTGTAGGAAGATGTTCTTGCTATTTTAGTTATTCGTATTGTTCTTTTTTGAAATCATCTCTATTCGTTCATTCTTGAGACGTCGGCCATTTGCTTGAAATCTCGTCTCCAGATGGCTTACGCGAGGCCCAGCAGCTGCTCGCCGAAGTCTTTTATTCGTCGCAGGGTCCCAGGATATCCTCAAACCTGGGTCGAAGTTCTATCTCGGTAGTGCGGAGGGAGACTATGTTGCTGAGGAGCTGGATGATGTTTATTCGCTTTTTGTGCTAGCCGAAGGCCTCATACTACAGCCGGTGAACAGCCTGGAACGAGGTGCGTTGAAGCAATTCGACGCACCTCGAACAGCGAAGAATGACATAGGTTCGCTGCTGTCCGAGCGTAAGTTCAAGGAGGAGATGGATAGAATAGGGGACATCGTAGATGGTCGCTTGCCGGCGTATTGCGGCTTGGTCACGTACCCTAGGACAGAGCTGCTGGAAATGATACCTGAAGTCCAGTCTGCTCTCGATTGGGCTAACGCTGTGCAGGGGGGCGAGGTAGCTTGGAGAAGTTGGCACAGTCCTCGTGATGATCATGTCGTTTGTGTTCGTTCGTTCATCAACGCCCTGAAGACTAACAACTCGGAAAAGCAGCAGGAGGTGGTGGGTAACATAATGGCGAGGCCTTATAAAGTGCCAGAGTCTGGCGATCCTTCTACATGGGTGTGCAATCACTTGCGGAGCCGGCTGGTTGGAACAGTTGACCCACATTCTCGCTTGAGGGCCATCGTTGTGGGTTTGTCAGTGAATAGCAACACGACGGCAACTGTTGAGCGGAGCATCGGCGCAAGAAAACACTTCCAGCAAACGTTGCAGAACGAGTGGAAGGCGCTTGAGACACTAGACTACATGTACTATCGAAGGCTCATAGTTCGTCTCATGGATTCCACACGAGACGCAGTGGAGGAGGAGAAGGCGGCTGCTTCTAGGAAAACAAGCACCACTGGTGGCGCAAGTGGTTCAAAACAAAGCACTCGCGTTCGGCGTACTACAGCATATCGTCAGGCTGTTTCAAGGACCAACAAAGCCAACCAAACTCAGGGGTGGCAAGCTCCTACCGAGATCACCTTCCAAGACCAAGAGGCGGCTAGAGCAATCAACAGGAAACTACAAGAGGAACGAGAGCGCACCCCTCTAGTCGAGCCGGATCCTGTAGTAGAATTGGAGCAGTTTCAGCGCAGATCACGCCAGCCTTTCTCTTCTTCTGTTTCTGCAACAAGTTGCTCTTCTGGCGGGCGAGGGCAAGTAGATTTAGAAGAAGAAGGAGATCAGGAGACGCCACTCGAAATGTTGTGGTCATTTCTGCAGACATGGAAGGCATGCACGCAGGCGGCATATGCACGGGACGCAAAAGGAAAGTGGAATGAGGAAAGTGCAGAAATGAAGAGCTTGCACTTGCTTGAGTATCCACCAAAGGCTTTGAGGCTGATACAGCGGCATCCAGTTAGTAAAACAGAACTGGAGTCGATGCTGCCCGCCATTGTGAAGGCTAGAGGTGCTCTGCTTGGTATGAAGAGCAAAGCTGATAGAACGGCTGGTGCTGGTTTTGTTGTACCTGAAGAAGAACAGGCGAAGGAAAAAGTGGAAGGACAAGCAGTCAAGAAGAAGAACAAGAAGAAAACGCTCGTGTCTTTAGTAGTTAACGGAGAGCCGCGCAGGCTTATTCCTGGGACACCACTTCCAGACACCTCGGACATCGAAGATTACTTGTTGTTGATTCTTCGGACGCCTCTAGCGGATTATCTCGTTACAACAATCATCGGAGGCGTTCATCCGAACTTCATTGCAGTGCTGCCAGTGCCTTTCAGTGGGAAGCCTCATAGGCTGGACAGATCGCAGTACTTCTTCAGTGAAAACTTTGCGAGTTTCTCCAATGAGGCGAAAAGAAGTGGTAATGTTAAAGTGTGCGCAGGTATGTGGTCACGGGAGTGCGGCGTTCAGGTGGGGCCAGAGTTAGACCTTGTCTACGAACAGCGCAACAAAGACGGCCAGCTGGTTCCAGTCGGGGATGCTTCACTCTCGTCGAAGAGCGGCGAAGGCAACGACAAGACGCTGAAGCAAGTGATACCAAATAAGTCACTACTCAAAGTCTTCGAGACTTCTAATGACATCTACGCGCAGACACTAGCTATTCTGGAGCATAACAAAGTAGCTGCAAACGCGTTAAAGCCTAAGATGAAGAGAAAAACGAGGAAAGGGATCAATGCACCTGTTGCGCGCAAGGGAGGGCTAGCGGATAAGGTAGTGTCGAAGCAGAGCAGTAAAGTGACAGCGTCATCGGTATCAGAAAGCGAGAACGGTCATGCAAGAAAACGTCGAAAGAAGCAACAGCCATCAAGTGCTACTATTGATGTCGCTGATGGAGACGATGCGTCTGCGCCGGCTGCTCGCAGTGATGGCTGTGCTGCTGCAGTACCAGTAGCAGTATCTTCAGCGTCAGCTTCGTCATCATCTGGTGGAAATAGGCACAACAATGAGGCTGCGTTAGTTGTGAATGAGACAGGTGATCTTTTTGATTCTGCCTCTGATGACGGTCAAGAAGATGCTGAAGGCGGCGACGCGTCATCTGATGACGCAGCTTTAAACAATCAAGAGCAGGCTGAGCATGATAATCCGGCTGTAGCTGATAAATCAAAGCAGGCCCCTCCTATCGGGTTTCTATCTGAGCCACTTATGCCTGCAGCTGCTGCGTCGAGTTCTAGTAGGAGTCGACCAAAGACTATGATGGAGGCGAAGTCTGCAGAAGAACTTGTAGAAGAGCGACGCTTGAGGGTTTTAGAACAACAAGAGACAGCGGACGCAGGGGCGGAGCACTTCAACATTCGCCAGAAAGGTTTCTGGTCCATGGACGCGGACGGACATGAAAACGTCACTATCCGCCCACTGAACAAGATGCTGCAAGAACGAATGAAAAAGACCTTGGAGCACAGTACTCACATCCAGGACATCTTTCATACTCAAGGAACGTCGGGGAAGCGCTTCTACAGTAAGCGCAAAGGCATTAAGCGCGAGGACAGGAATAGCGTCTTTCCCGTGATATTCTTGGAGACGTGGATGCGGCGCGCCATGTTTTTGATGTGCACGCCAAAGAGTATTACTCATACCGAATTTGTGAAGCGTTGGACGACACTCATTCAGGCCCGCTGGACAGAGGCCGCGAGGTGTACGGTGAGTGACGCACAGAAGAAAGACTTCAGAGCGTTGACGAGACTGAAGCTACAAGATGTGGTAGATGTGCAAACGGTCATGGAAGAGAAAGATATCTCATATGCTACAAGGCCGAAACAAATGCAATAGTTACGAATACAGTCCTCAGTTTTCTTTATTATGAGACACGTTGATCTTTATAGTATTGGCAAAGGGTGTGGTAGGTCCAGTGATAATGCATATTGATTCTGATACGATTGATGCGGTTCCTAAAACAAATATACACTTCTTAGAGGGCGTTTTGATTTCAATAAAACATTCTTTGAAAGCGTCAAGTATTGACTTCCCTCGTGAATATGGTTGCTGCCGTGTTTAAATGTTTGCAAAACAGCACGAGAAATTTTCAAAAAATATTCAAAAAATTTTCAAAAAATTTTCATTCTATTTGAAATGAAAATTTTTTGAAAATTTTTCAAACGGTGGTGCGAATTTTCACCCTGTTTTTTTGATTTAGGATTAAATTTCTGATTTTGAACCTGATGTGAAAATTTTTCGGGTACCCCAAAAAATTTTCAAAAAAAAACGCTTCAAGCGATCAGAATTGTGTAATTTCTTTTTGCTGATTTTTCGCGAGATCAATGCCAAAGCTTCACATGCAGGCGAATGCGCCCGGCAGCAACCTTTCGCTGGGGGGTCGTAGTATGTCTATCTTAATAGTTGGATCCCACTCAGACTCATGTGGCAGCCCTTTTCTTAATGATTTGATACAATCTGTCTTCAGTGAGTTACTTAGATGTGAAAGACTAATTGCGTTTAGACTCCAAGCGTTGGTTGCTGAAGTCATGAAGTGCGAGTGATCAAAATACTGCGACCTTAAATTGTGGCTGAGTGTGAAGCGTAAGTGTTCTGCTCGTGACTAAAAAGTTATTGCCAGCACTAACGCAGGGATATGAATTATGAACGTTCGAACAAAAGCGGATGGCAAATGCATACTACAAATTGCCCCACGAGTCTACAAATGCGCGCACTCGTAGAAGTAGTTTCTTTCTCATCGGCCTACCAATCAAGATCAATTGTTGCGTCTCTACCTGCCTAGCGTCACCAAGTCAAGAAAGAGCTGCGACACTGTCAAGTAAGTGCGCAAGCTTTTGCTCTTACCGTGACAAACTTGAGCTGTAAGCCTTGGCATCTATGTCCCCTCCTCCACGCTTACATATCTATGGTGCCTTGACTCGTATAACTATGTGATGGCTGAGTAAGCATGTGCATCGAGATGATGCTATGTCCTTTGATATCGATTTATTTTGGTTGTGAGTGTGATAGTGATACTTCCCTTCCCACCACGCATAGGAAAAAGATCAAGAAGACTTGTCTTCCTAAAGATCATTTTTTTACATTCTTTTCTTTCAAAATGAAAACTTGCTAATTGGTATGAGGGAAAGTAGTACTTAAGACTAAGAGCATTCTTCACGCAGTCTGACTATTGAAGCATCATCTTCATCAAGTATGCCAGCGGGAGGCAATCGCAGGAAGGTGAAGCTTGTGGAGCCTCCTCAGGAGTGGTCTCTGCACGGTCACCTTGCCCCTGATGAAGAACAAATCAAGAAAGATTCGAGAAAAACACAAGACCAGGAGTACGTCCGACAAATGAAGGAGGGCGACACTTTTTTGGCGGAACGATTAGAAAAGATGAAGTTCCAATCTAACACGCCTGTGCGCGAGCATGTGAAAGAACAAATCAAAAATGCGACCAATCGCGCAAAAGTTGACCGCACTATTAAGAACGACACTGTCATGCAGGCGACTTATGCGCTCAAATTGGAAGCGTCAAGTACTTTCTGTTTTTGATTTTGAGTGTTTCACTTTCGCTTATGCCTTTATGCTCAGAAACAGACAGTTCATCTAGATGGGAATCAATACAGCCACTCTCAGTTATATTCTAACTCATGATTGAGACTACTCTTGATATAATTCACTCCATTTCATTCGTTTCAGCGTGGAAGGAGGAAATATGCAAAGAAGACGGCACTTGGCAACTACGAGTTTCAAAGTTGCTCAAGTCGTACAAGAAAATCCCTGCGGCAGAACTGCCGGACATTATGGTGCTTTTAGTGATGTATACACTAAGTAGCATCTTCAGAATCAAACTGCTTTTCCTGAGTAGTAGTTTCAGAATCAAACTGCTCTTCTTGTTGAGATAGCTCTTTCTTTATTCCTGTGCACGTGCACCCACACACACCATACAGACGACGCTAACGAACGACAGCAGAAAAGAGAACTTTATTTCATTGCCGAACTTACAAAGGGGCATTATCACAGTCCTAGAGGATTTTTGTGAGGCGAAGATCGATGCTCTGCTGCCCGAAGATGCTGACCATCCGCTCAACAACGCAGACGCAAATAAAAAACTCGCTAGACCCGCTACCACAGACGAACTGAACGATATCCATTGCGTGTTGATATTCTTCGCGCTTAAGAGAGGCCTCGAGTTGTGCGGGTCAGTGGGCGAGATCTTCAACTTGTATGGGATTTTAGATTTAGTTTGTGTAGACGCAACTGCAGAATCCTTATGCGAAGAAGTTTCAAATACAGACTGGACGAGCTTGTGAGTAAGATTATACGTGAGACGAAAAATGTGTCTTCCTCCTCATCTCAAATCTTTTCAGCGACGAGGAGATCTTTGTTAAGCAGGCACCTGAAGGACAAAAAGCAAAGTCGAAGGCGGCTATCGCTAAAAAGGGGGCTTTTGATCGAAATTGGGTCCCTGAGTATGAAGATGTTCTCAAGGCCTTGCGGCATGCTCACAGAGAGGAACAGAATCACATGAAACTCTCGGTAGAAAGGCGAAGAGAAGTGGTGGATCCTTGGACGCAGCTTTTTGCCAAAACTATGGCGAAGGTAGTAATATTACACACTTCCTACATACTTCTACTTACATACACACAGCAGCTCGCTAGATCTTGAATTGAAGATCACGACTCAGCCATGTTGTCTTGTCGATTCCCAACACGCAGTAGCTTCGTCCCTCTAACTCCTAATATCTATCCCTTGATCTCCTACAGGAAATGGCGGAGAAGAAAGCATACTTGAAGAGCAAGCTTAAGCAAGACCGTGCGAGTTCTCCTGAAAAACGACAGAAGCGAGATACTCTGGGAGCAGGGTCTTCTGCTGAGGAAAATATTGACATGATGGAGGCGGGTCTCACGAGTGACCTCGTGAAAGGTGACAAGGCCCGCCTTTTCAACATGATGGGCAAAGGAGAGGCAGTAGCAGGAGGTGAGGCATACGCCAAGAGCAAGAACAGCAACGCGTCTAAGCTTGGTCTGGATGAAGACGCACTAGGCGATGGCATGGACGTAGACGCACTAGGAGGGGCTTCGGTGGCGTCGTACGATGAAGCTGATTATGCACCAGAAGGATTGGAAGACTCGGAATTCGAAACGCCATACGAGGGCTTCGACGACGATGAGCTTCACACTCACGAAGTCATCTTCAGTACGGGAGAAAATCCACTATGGCAACCACATTGGCAGATGGGCATTTACGTCGGACTCGACGGGTACAAACTCAATGGTAATGGCAGTTTTGCAAATAACAACTACAAGGAGAACTATTTGATCAACATGCAGAAAGTCGAAAAGCTCAACAAAGAGCGCGAGATCAAAATGCGTGAGAAGAAAGAGAAGAAGATCTACGATCGCAAGGTCGCGCGTATGAAGCAGCAGCGCATGGGCATGCAGCAGAACACGACGATGACAACAACTACTACCACAACAACAACTACCACCACTTATTCCAAAGCGTTTGGGCTTGGTATGTCCAACACCGATATCGTGGAAGTTGGAACGGCTGGCGCAAGATACGAAAATGCGCTAGCTTTCGTGACGTCGAATAAGATCACTGTGAAGAACTTTGTACCCTCTGCAAGACTCCAAATGTTTAAGGCTGCTGCGGCTGCTATTCAGAAGAAGACAGCAGATTTCTCCCTCGAGGACGCTATTAATAGCTGTTACGAGAATAACACTCATGACGTCGTTTCGCACTTGATGGGCAACGTCTCGTGGGAGCAATTCTGCAAAGGGTTCTTTTTGCACAATGGGAATACGCCGTCGGATTGGGTAATGATATTGCTGCTTGAGTTCTTTCGTCTGAAATACAGTACGAGTATAATTTGTTTACATTGTTATAATTATAACTCTTATGGTTCATTGATTTTGTCCCCATTATACGACAGGCTGACGCCCACTCGAACATGGAAAGTATTGCAGAGGATTTAAGACTGCAAGCCACGGAAAACGCGGCGAACCCTGATAAGATCAACAAACTAGTGGACATCTTGGAGAAATTTGGGCAAGCGATTGGGTCGCCATTTCATTGCACGTTCATCGTAGACGCTTATCCAACGATCTTTGGTGGAGCCGGTAAAGCATCTTGCTTGCGACCGTACCTGGTGCAAGAATCCAAAGAAGAAATGACCATCTTCATTGATCGAGTGAAAGCATGGCGGCCCAGGACACCGTGGAACGCGACGGAGTACGTCGACCGATACAGTCCGAAAGACACGCAGGTAATTTCAATTGTAGCTCTGAGTCTGTTTCTACTAAGTACCACGTAGAGGCTCTGTCGCAGAGCGTATTATAAAGACTCTCGAGCTTATTTCCAATGCAATGTTATGGCTGTATGGGTGACAGTTATTTCTATCCTTGTTCCCCTCACCACAGATTATCAGTTCGATGCTATCCAAGTTGGCTGCTACGACTTTGAAAGCCAGCGCGGTTGCTGAGCGCAAGACCATTGTCCAACAGATTCAAACGGACGCGCTTATTAAAGATCCGTCGATACAGAAGTTGTTTAACGACAAGGTCCAGCAATGGCTTGCTTCGTTTCATGGGGTGCAAGCTATTGAGCAGTTCAAAGCAGCATGTGAAAAGAGTACTAATTTATTATCTAGCTTTTTCACTGCTGAGCCTGATCAAGGTATGTCGTCGTCAAGAGTACAAACGTAGAAACTTTTGCTCAAAGTTATTCTGAATTCCAGCAGTGATCGTGAATGCCCACTCAATTCCCACTCCAGATGACTACGCGACTGCTGACAAGCTGTACAAAAATGAATTGGGCATTTATGTCACCTACGGCCAAGTTGCTAATTACATCCTTCCGGGTCTTGCCGCCAATATCTTGGAACTACGCAAGCGCCGAGGACAGGAAACAGGCGAGTCAATCGGATGCGTTGAGGGCAACACCAGGATGCAGGCAGAGTATCAAGCACTGAAGAACGACCTCAAGAAATCGCGCGAAGGCCTTTTGCAGGGTGAAGACAATTTCGAAACAGCTGGCGTCTTGCGAGACTTACAGGAGGACATGCGATATCCGTCGAAGAAAATTGACCAAGTGGATGAGTTCCAAGAGGCTGTGGTCGCGAACATTGAGGATGAAGAGGTTGGTCCGCGGAAATTCGACCCGAAGAAGACTGTCACTACCGAATCGCTCCTCGAGAAAGAGAACTTTCTCAGTGCCATCAACGACCTCACCTTCGAAGAAGAAGATCGAATTAGGAAGGAAACAGAAAGGGAGATTCTTGATGGTCAGGTGCAGACCGAAGAGCAAAAGTTGGTCGCTCGCGTGAAAGGCACTAAGAGGAAAATGAAGAGTAAAGATGTGAACAATCAGACGAACTTTTCCTCTTCTTCTTCGAAGGCTGTAGCTGCAGGTGACGGAGATAAGAAGAACGACAAGAAAAGTAAGAAAGGTAAAAAGCGTCCGTCTATTCAACTCCACGCTGACGAAGACCTATTCGGAGATGATTCTGAGGTGAAGAAGATCAAGAAAACTGACAAAGAGAAGAAAAAAGTCCTCGATGAGAACCACGAACTTCTTCTCCGGCCTCCAACTCCGGGCGGTCTGAATGTTTCTCCAGTTGGTGGCACAGGCAAAGGCGCGCCTGCTTCTGATATGCAAGCGTCTGCTGCTGCAACAACTGGCGGTGCTCCGAGTGCAACAGCGGCGGATGATGCTGCTGGACAGAACGCTTCTAATTATCTGGTGCCTCCGGAGCAGCAGCCGCTTGCACCTGGTGCCACAGGAATCGGCTCTACTAATAATACTCCTCATCTTCACAGCATCGCGATCGAACCCAGCAAAGGCAAAGGGAAAAAAGATGGTCTTCTAGCTCCTGCAGCTCCTGTTCCTGCCGCAGTTGCTCCTGGTGGTACGGGTAAAGGAAGTTCTGGTCTTGCCGTTGCCGCTTCACCTGCTACTAATGTTCCAGCCCCTGTCCAGCACCAGCATGGTAAAGGTGGAGGTCTTGTTTCTGCAACAACTGGTGGGTCCGTTGGAGTTGGAGGTGGTGCTCCGAGTGCAACAGCGGCGGATGATACTGCTGGACAGAACGCTTCTAATCTGGTGCCTCCGGTACAGCAGCCGCTTGCACCTGGTGCCACAGGAATCGGCTCTACTAATAATACTCCTCATCTTCACAGCATCGCGATCGAACCCAGCAAAGGCAAAGGGAAAAAAGATGGTCTTCTAGCTCCTGCAGCTCCTGTTCCTGCCGCAGTTGCTCCTGGTGGTACGGGTAAAGGAAGTTCTGGTCTTGCCGTTGCCGCTTCACCTGCTACTAATGTTCCAGCCCCTGTCCAGCACCAGCATGGTAAAGGTGGAGGTCTTGTTTCTGCAACAACTGGTGGGTCCGTTGGAGTTGGAGGTGGTGCTCCGAGTGCAACAGCGGCGGATGATACTGCTGGACAGAACGCTTCTAATCTGGTGCCTCCGGTACAGCAGCCGCTTGCACCTGGTGCCACAGGAATCGGCTCTACTAATAATACTCCTCATCTTCACAGCATCGCGATCGAACCCAGCAAAGGCAAAGGGAAAAAAGATGGTCTTCTAGCTCCTGCAGCTCCTGTTCCTGCCGCAGTTGCTCCTGGTGGTACGGGTAAAGGAAGTTCTGGTCTTGCCGTTGCCGCTTCACCTGCTACTAATGTTCCAGCCCCTGTCCAGCACCAGCATGGTAAAGGTGGAGGTCTTGTTTCTGCAACAACTGGTGGGTCCGTTGGAGTTGGAGGTGGTGCTCCGAGTGCAACAGCGGCGGATGATACTGCTGGACAGAACGCTTCTAATCTGGTGCCTCCGGTACAGCAGCCGCTTGCACCTGGTGCCACAGGAATCGGCTCTACTAATAATACTCACCATCTTTACAACATCGCCGCCAGCAAAGGCAAAGGGAAAAAAGATGGTCTTCTAGCTCCTGCAGCTCCTGTTCCTGCCGCAGTTGCTCCTGGTGGTACGGGTAAAGGAAGTTCTGGTCTTGCCGTTGCTGCTCCGCCTGCTACTAATGTTCCAGCTCCTGTCCAGTACCAGCATGGTAAAGGTGGAGGTCTTGTTTCTGCAACAACTGGTGGGTCCGTTGGAGTTGTTGCTCATACAACTGAAAACGAGAATAAGAACGGCAATGCGTCACCCTCATCTTCTGCGAAACCGGCCCAGTCATCATCTTCTTCTTCAAGTCACAACATTCCTGCAACTACAACAGGCTCTGCTGGTGGCCGCTACCACTCGACCGCTCGAAGCAGTGGCTTCGACCGATCCCGTCATCACTCATCAACGCGTGGATATGATTATGATGGCCATCTCCGTCACTCCTCAACGCGAAACCAAACCAAGAGCCCCCCGCCCAAACGTGGCCGCGGCAGACCAAGAGGAAGACGCTAATGGCAGTGAGAACATATCACAGATTCTAAAACTGAAGACTTTCCCTCACGTTGTCTGAGGCAGTTGCAATTAGAAATCAGTAGTAGTGCTTCTATCCAATTGATTAGTGCTGATTATGGAGAACAGAACCCACGAGGAAATAGATGAACCAGCCTACTTGAAGCGCAATTGGTGGCGCCTTAGGGTATTCGGCGTTGACCTAAAGCTATCCTGTGCAGAAAGCATCCCAATAGTGCAGCGGCATCAGATTTCGTCGATCAATATCAAACTCGTGATATTATTATCGTAGTTCTCTTCGGTCTTTTCCTACCACCGGGATTCTACATTCTACTGACGGCAAGGGTCTAATCTTACTTCTCCAAGAAGTAAATGAATCAGAATAAGTAGGCTGTCGACTAAGTACAAGCTGCGTGCTTAGTGAAGAAGAGTTGGCTTGATCTTTCCACGACTAAAAAACTATAGTACTACAAAATAGCAATGCAAAACAAACTGGAGGGCTAAAGATGAAGAAACTAGCGTGTCTGTTGTGCTTTCTATCATGGCGTTGATTTCACTTTGAGGCTCAAACTTGATACTGTTAGCAAACTCGTTACGACTGAGGGGGGGCGTCATCTAAGACAAGACAGCGCGCGGCCTTCTCGTCGTTTTATTATAGAGCATTTCAAGAAGAAGGCGACTGAAAAATCGAACTTGCTTTGATAGATTGATGATCTCACTTATGTCTCAGTCGCATGCAATTTGAAGTATATGATTAAGATAATCAGATCGATGGCCATGCTTTTCACGATATTTACATGTAACAGGACAAGGAACGTCAAAGAAGATCCATTGTTTGAGAAGGTAGTAGGAAATTGCCACAAGCTATAGATACTGAGTGGTTCGTGACAGATTCAAGCGATAGGCATAGAACAAGATCAAAAGCAGTACATTCTTCTACTTGCATGCATCAGAAACCGGATGGCGTCTTTTTTAGAAGGGTTCGTAGCATCCATTGCTTGGCCCTCAAGAAACCACACATGAGATCGCTGATAGTGAGATCCACAACGAGCAAACACGAAGGTCGACAGATTCAGAGTGCGTTTCTGTATGTTTTGCGTTTAAGAATCTGGCTGAGATCAATTGGGGTGTTCTCCTTTGAGGTCAGTGGAGTGCTTTTGCAGTCTCTATTATGAAAATCGATCGAAATCGCAATCGAGATAGACAATCGAAATCGAAAACGCCAACAGGGATCTTCATCTTATCGTCAGACCCTTCCCGCGCCCGCCTTTTTGATTGTCTTATGTGTGAGGCAACCAGAACCACCGCGATAAAGTCGCTCTTGGTAGTCATTCCATTTGTTTCCATGCAATTGAAGTGCCCCTCATCTTTTCCATTTGTGACGATTTACTTCACGCGCAGGGCCAGACTTGTCGCTTTCATACATCGAAGACACGACTATACTGAAAAACTAGATCCAACACATTAGAGAGAGTAGCTTTAGGCTTTCAGCGTCAAAGAACTGGAACTCATCGAAAATGTGTCCCTGTGCTTGTTGGCTTTCGATTGTGGACGTCCGCGGGCGGAGGCGTAGACCTCGTTATCATTCTCGAGCCGAGCGCCCCGAATTATGGTAGGTGGTCGATGGCATGTGCGCCCATCGACCACTGTGTAGTATATTGATAATAGTCTTGATTTTCTTCCTTCGTAATCTTCGCAATCAGCGCTGAAGCCTCTACTTCTTGAGGCACAAGAAGAAAGACCTGCCATCTGTGTTCGTCTAAATCAATCTCACACGTGAGAAGCATGACGCGCCAGATCGCACGTAAGTGCCGCGTCGCTCGCGAAAATGAGAGAGCGGCGCCGACTTATGACTCTTCAGCCACAGCGTGCTGATGTGTAGGGCTGTCCTCTTTGCTTTACCTCAATTAGCGTCAGAGAGTCGCGCCCCCCTTTGCCCCTCCCGCCCCTTTACGCCTCAAGCGCTCGCCCCGTCACGCCTCCGAAGTATTCCCCTCTGACTCGGCTGCCATGGTTCCGCACCTTTTTTCCTTTTCTCTCATTAGATTCGTTGCTTATCTCTTTTCCCTCCTATTAGATGCAGGCGCGTGCTCTGGCTTCAGTGGCATGCTTTGCGCTTCTGTTGCTCTTAGATATTCGCTAGACCGTTGCGAGGCCAGAGCCTGGGCGGCGGATTATCTGTAGGCCCCTGCTTGACTAAAGGAAGCACAAAGGGCGCCAACCAATACCACCGACGCCGAGACTCGCGCGCGACTCGTGGCGACAGACGCCGAAGCAGAAGAGAAGGAGGAGCGCGCCCCGCTTGGGTTGTCTTCGGTCTTCGCTGGAGCGCGTGGGGGTGCGGATGTGCCTGCGTTTTGGTGCTGGCTTTCTCCGCACGTGGCTGCTAACCAGCGAAAGGAACCACCTGCGCCGGCTTCTCGTGTGTAGGTGTGTACTGGAAGGGCATCGCCGGGCGTGTTTTGGGATTGACGTCGGGCCTCACAAACGGGGGCAGCAGTCTACTCTACCCGCTTCAAGACTTAGAAGAGAATCGCCCCGCCGCGGCTGGTCGGCGTGTGGACGATGCAGCAAGACAGCAGCGCACAGACAGAACAAGCTGAGCTGGCCGCCTGCTTTGCTCCGTTTGTGTTGGTGTTTTGCCCACTGCAAACGCGTGGGCAGCACCAACGCGGCCGGGTGATATTGCCCCAAGCTGACAAAGAAGAAGACGACGCAGACGCCGGCACCCGCTGCCCCGGGACTTCCCTGGACGCTCTTGAAGTTTTCGGCTGATGAACAGAGACAGAAAGCAAAGCCATCGGCGGGACGCAGCTTTGTAGATTTTGAGCTGTTTCACTTCTTCAACCACCTCGATATCTGCAAAGTTTTATCGTGTTCGGATTCTGATAATGTAGAAGACATGGCGCCCCGCTTTGGGAGGTGCAAGATCTTGGAAGACGCAGCCTTGCAGAGTTTCGGCTGGTTTGTTCTTGGTTTCAGTAGAATCTCTGCAAACTTTTGTCCTCTTTGTGGTTTTTCTCCTTTGTTGTTCTTTGTCTGTTGTTTTGTCTCTGTCTCTGTGTTGGTGTCGGTTTGTGCTTTCTTGTGGTCGGTTTCTGCCGCTTGTCTTTCTACTTTTTGCCGCCACAAAGTCGCGGGCTTCAATTAATTTTGCAGAGTTTGCCTTTGTTGGATTTCTTGACCATATCGATCTTTGCGCTTTTTTCTTCTTTTCGCGGTTTTTTTCTTGGTTTGCCTTGTGTGTGTTGTCTGTGAGTTCTCAAAAAGACCAAAAAAGTACGGCAGATGATAAAAGTTTGGAGACTTTGCGCTTGTTCAACTTGGAAACCATACAAAACTCACAGGGTTTCCGGCTCTCTTCTTGTTTTTCGCCTCTTTTCTGTCTCTGTTTTGTCTTTGGGTTGTGCGGGTTGGAGTCAGTTGAGCACCAGCGGGAAGGCCTCGCCGCTGGTGTTTCGCGTTTTCGTCTCGCTTCCCGTCTCCAAGGATTCAGCAAAGAAACGCCAGGCGCGTACATCTGATTTTGTAGATATCGGCTTGATTTAGCATCGGAACCATCGCGATCTCTGTCACTTTCTGGGCTTTTCTCGGTTTTTGTTCTTCCTTTTTTCTCTTTTTGTTCTTAAGGTGTAAAAACTCCCGAGATCAATGAAGTCTGTAGACTTTCGCTTGTTTCATGTCAGCAAACAACTCAAAGTATGCAAAAGCTGTTGCTTTTTCTGTTTTTCTTTGTGTCTTCTTGTCTTTGTCTTTGTTGGTTCACATCAAAAGCCTGGCGCTTTTGATGTGAGTCGCGTGTGTGGTTCCACTGGCGGCAGCTATCTTATTTCTATCAAGAAGCTTTCAGGAAGGGGCGAGCGCTTTCTTATTTCTATGCATAAAACCAGCGAACAGAGGGTAAAGCAACAAGGACAACAGGGAATCACGCTGCGAGCTTATTTTAGTCCCAAAGTTTCTTTTTTCTTTCAATGTTGGAGAATTTATTTAGAATTTTTCAAACCACTGCTTAACGTGCTACTCCCACATCGAGATGATCATCATTTTCTTGTAAAAGAAGATAGACCTAATTACATGTTCAACAGATGAATCAAAAACGAAAAACAGCAGCTCAAGTTAGATAGATACGGATCAGCATGCATCGGCAATCTGTCGGCTCGCTTTCAGATTTTTTGAGATTGTTCCACTTCGCGAGTTCGATGACGGGACGAGCAGGTGTCGAGAAGTCGTATTCTTTGAGAAAAATTCGTCGCACACTTCTAGCCAGTAAGGCAATCGCGATATTTTAGTTCCACTACCTGTGTATGATTTTCAAGATCTCGATTACCTGCGTGGACCTGGAGCTTCTCCGACAACTACTTATGTATGCCACTACACAGTCACAGTCGAAAGGCGACCACAACGCGCGAGCGAGCAGAAAGAGCAGAGTTTTTTGCCAGCGTCGGTAACCTCTTTTGTGCATTGGGTGTTGCTGGACGATGATAACAACGTGACCTGTTGTTTCGAAGAAAAAGCACATCATAGTTATAGCCATGTCTTCGTTTGTCTTCGTTCCGACGCCGACATCTCTGCTTGCAAGAGTTGTTGCCTCACGACGTGCTGCCCGAGAAGCGGAACACGAAATTTTTGGTACAACTAGGCCAATGGCTCACGCGAAGGAGGTCTCATCTTCTTTTACAAGACACAGGGCGAACGTGATGCTGAAGATATGGGAGATCAATCGCAGCTTGTTAGCTTCTCGGACATCACAGTCACACCTTTCATCGAAACTCAAAGTTCCTCGGCAAAGGAGCAAGCTCGGCAGATCCTTCACTGTCCTGGGTGTTTTCTTGCTGTTACCACACCTAGACAACGTCATTGACGTCGAGGGCAAGTCGATCGAGCCAGATGACTGGTACCATGATGCTGGTGGCGCTGCTGTATCGGGAGCAGCACGAGCTTCCGATCTAGTGCTACATCACAACACCTGGACGCAACCGCCTGATACAGTGCTCCAAAAATCTTTGAACTTCCTATTACGGGAGACCATATCATAGGGCTACTTTTTTGCTGACTCTATTTTGAAATTGTGACCGTTTATAATATTTCCCTAGGAGTAGAAATAGAACAGGACAACGGGATGAACACATAGTCGGTATCGCGCTAATTCAGGAGAAGCGTAGAGGAGCAGTTGATCATGTGCTACTTCTACGATTGCCTCTCGCACAGGTTTTGGGTTGGCCCGATGAGGCTGCGGGCGAAGCAGGGATGTGGGTACTGCTCAGTGCCTAGTTCTTGTGAATGTGTTTAGTCTCGAGTTGAAGGTTTTTATTTCGCTGAATCGTAACGACGTGTGGCAGAAATTTCAGTGAACCATCAATGTAGATCTTGTCCTCGCCTTCTCGAATTCCCAGGTGAGCCTCTACACTGCTTTGGCGTACCTTGTGCTCGTGAGCGTCTTAACAATGTTTTATTTGGCCTCGAATCAGCATGCAGAAGACATGGACTTCTTGCCCAGGGACGGGCTTTCAGATGAAATCTACGACTGTTGCGATCATCCGAATGTCTGCCTAGCAAGTTTCGTACTACTTCACTTTTTTCTTCTCTGTGTAAAGTTGCCTAAACTAACAGAGCATTCTTGGATCTACATGTCACTCGTTTTCTTTTTAGCACAGTGTGGAAACGCCGACTACCACTTTAGGCAGGGTGGTGAAGCTCCCGACTTTAATAATCTAGTCCTCTTCTCATCTCGGTATCACGGAATTTACAAACTATGATCCATTCTCTCTTCTAGTGTTGTCCGTTCGCGCGATGGGCCGATACCATGGGCCAAGTTGGTCTCTTACACTTCTCAGTCGGCCTTTCGTTATGGGTAGCACTATATAGATGATTACCATCGAAAGTTTCTTCTATTCAGAATCAGAAGGTTTTCGATTTTGTTTTTCCCCAGATAATCTATCACGTTGAACATCAAAGATTGCCAGTACAACTAACTTCATCTCCTTTCATGAGAAATGTGGATTGCTGCCACGATGATCGACCTTTTCTATTTCTTCCCGCTGGGACTGATCATTCTCTCGGTCGTTGGCGGTATTCACCGGTTACGCCTACGCATGGCGCACAAATTAGGCGGCGGTGGATGGAGTGGCTTCCGTTTGACAAGGCAGTTGATCCTCGATATCTTTACGTGGTTCTGTTGCATGCCGTGTGCGATTGCGCAAGAGGCGAGGCACGTTGAGCGCAGTAAATCGATCTCGGATGCTGTTCAAGCTGGCCCAAGGGCATATTTCAATACCGTCATTCGGAACGACATCGCGCCAAAACAGCAGTAGAGCATGGACATGGATAACTCCAATCTATGCTGGCCTCTAACATCAATCATACGCGTATTTTGTGGTGCGCACACAGTTCGCTCAGCGACCCACAGAACGCGGAGCCTACTCGTTTTCGTTTTCCTCAGTCGTGCATAACATTAACAGTACGGTCCAGTTGTCGGAGCGGTTTCGAGGCGGGCATCGTAAGAAGAAAACTTGGGAAGTATCGGCTTCTTTTCCGCCTGGTAGGTTCGCAACGGCGTGACGCCTGGTGGTTGTGCATTATTTCCATATTTTTTATGACGTATATATACAAGTGTCTAGTATAGGATCAACGATCGATAAAGTTCAGTTTTTTCATTCCCGTTCAATGTGTGGATATCTATTTTTGGTAAGACGTTCTCGACTAGATTTGTTTGTCCGTGCGCCCACCATGCATTAAGTACAGTGCGCAGCATTCGCAGACCAGACGGCAGCGTACTTGGTCTTTAAAAACAAAATTCCCAAACGCACCCGCACGATGATACTTCCCACATAGAATTGCATATTCACTTTCCTCTTTCGATATGAAAGCGTAAGGTAGCACCACGATTAATTATGATACTAAAAAGTTTACTAGTAGCAGAACTGTTACTCATGGTTATACCCGTTAAGGCATTATGAATGCTGCTCAACATCGAAGATACTAGGCAGTGTCATGTATCAACCAGCTATCGAAGTAGGTAGTACTTGGGTCAAGTACGCGGGATTTTTCTGCTTATTTCGTGACGAGTATTTGCATAGAAAAAGGCGAGTCGCAAAATCACAATATGATCATACAAGAGGTAGGTTCTGCTTTGAGCGACACTCACATACATAATTGTTGGACAGACACACTACCAGAACAGGATGGGAAAATATCATAGTACTTGTAGGGCGAACAGAGGAATGGAAATACAAATACGCTGCCTGACTGATATTTTCGAAGTTGTAGCAGGAAGGCCAGCAATGGATAAAAAAGCCAGGGGGCAAAGATTTCACGAGGTTTTCTCAATCTGGGTGTTTTCCACCTTGTTGTTGCAAACGTTCACTGTCAATATGGAGAAGCTCAAGCTTCATAGCTCCAACTCCCTAGTTGTTTCCTGGGTCTGTTCAATTCGGTGCATATTTAAAGACAACAAATTGGAGCCTCCACATGTTGATTGCTGGCTGAACTTACCTGAGGCACGACAGGTAACTGTTCCTGCAACCATGCATCATGACTGTATTTCTATGAGATGTAGTGCCGTAGCATTACTTGCGTCCGTGTGTCCCCAGCCCAGTGGCCTGTAACGGGTACCTAGTTTCGTTTTTTTTGTGAAGAAAGATAATGCCTTTTAGGGCATGAGTTGCGATAGATGTTCATGTTCATTGCCACAGTGTCGTCCTCTCACACCCTTGCTATGGCTGAATGATTATTGATTTTGTTTTATGTCTCATCGTAGATATATAGTTCGAAGGTAGAACAAAGAACCGTCGCCAAAATGAATAGCGAACATCAATATATGCCGAGATTCAACGCCTTCGGGGCACTAGCGACTGTCAACTCTTTCCTTCCATCGGGCCTGGGACTCAATGGGACGATCGCTGAGAACGCTAGTGGATTCTCTTTCGCTTCTGGGGGGACAGCAACGTCATCAACGTCCAAAGGAGGCCCGGGACTGAGTCATGCCAAGAACATTCTTGGTTTTCCGCCGGTGGGTATTGTGGGGATGGGGAACAATGCTGCACCTGGACCTGGAGGCTCTTCATTAGAACGTGAGTGCGCGCCTGTCGTTTCGAGTGATCATTATGGTGGGAATGATCTCCAGTATGTCGCCCAAGATGATCGCGGGGACCGACACACGCGGGAGAGATCGCGGTCACGGGAGAGGGCAAACGATGAGCTTCGGGAGTGGGAAAAGCAAAAAAAACACGACAATAGGAAGCAGAATAAGTCGAACAAGCGGTCACAAGCATGTCAACAGCAGAACAGTAAGGGACAAAACAAATGTGGTTCTACCTATGGCAAAAAAGGCGGTGGCAAAAACCATAGCCAAGCCAACAAGCAGGGGCGGTCGAACGCTGATGCTACTCCAGGAAAATATCACAATTCCACGAACAACTACGAGGACAGCACCGCTCAAGAAGAGCATCACGACTTTCAGACGAAAGAGCACTCGAAGGCCCCAGCTTCAGTGTCATCCTCACACGATGAGCACAAGAAACGCAACGAGGGCGGTTCGAAGAAGCCTGACTTCAGTAATACTGCCAAACAAAAGCCAAATGGGGATAACAGATACATGTACATGACGATTCACGACATGGCTGCCTACGCCAAGCGTCAACTTGGACAGAACAAGAGCCAAATCAAGGCGGCGAAAAAGAAACTGAGGAAAGAGCAACAGGATCCGGTTCACCCCATGACGGTCCGCGAGGATGTTGCTTGTTATCACGGCTTCTCGCAAGCGGATCTGAAGCAGGAGCTCCTCGCTCTCATTGGCGCCCTCATCGATGACAAGGGGGGCGCCGTCAAAGCAACCGAGATGGTGCACCCGCGTCTGCAGGCAATCCAGAATTTGATTCAAGACGATGTCTGGCAGCAAAAGCTCCTTGGCATTTGTCAGCGACATCCGCAGTATTTCAGGGTATGCAAGGGCTGGATGGATCCGGAGGAGCGGCGCGAACTGGGTCAGTGGATCACGACTCGCTTAGGTCTAGCACGCCATATGGTCACGCCCCGCGATGAACAAGAGTTAGCCAAGGCTAACAAGCTGGAGCAAATGGTGAAAGCCGAAACCAGGTTAACCGCATCGTTCACAGCGGAAATGAACTTGATAGCTTCCGATCAACAGGCTATGGCAGGGTTAGCACACCAGCAGAATCATGACACGGGATCTTCACTTGGTATCGTGGTGAGTGAGCAGCATTATACCTCGAATGGCAACATCAAGAATGGTGCAAAAGGTTTCACAAGTACAACGACATTTTCGTCGTCGTTTGCAAAAGGGTCTTTTCCAGAAAGCGCCTCAAGCTTTCCAGTGCCTTCTGCAATATCAACAATGCTACCTCCTCCATCGGGCAAGAAGAAGAAGAACGCTGCTTTGAACGATGATGGTACAAAGCAACTGGGAGTTGGGGATGCTGTGCGCGTTGGAAAAAATGGCGTGGTATACACCGAGCCCGATGGACAACGGTACTTTATCAGTCAACAGTGGTACGGATGCCTCATGCCGGGTTGCAACTTATGACTTTTTCTAATCGATTTCTAGGAGTAGGAACAAGTTGCATCGTCTGCTACGTTTTGTATCACTCCTTTGTTTACTACGACTTTTTTCTCCAAATTTCAAGGACATTCACAGGCTTCACATGCAGTTCGCGTAACCTAAAAACTAGTACTAAAACGGACATCTTCTTCTTTATGGAAGATGCGACAATATAGTGGAAATCGCTCTAATCGCTTCTGTTTCCCACCAGATTCACCTAGCGTTGCACCATATGCTGGGAGACTCGAAGAGCGCATCAGTCGCTCTGAAAAAGAATAACCCGGCGAAGGTCAAGACGAATCCACCTACGGCAAAACAAGTGAGAAAGGCAGCTCGAAAGGCCGCACTTCTAGCCGAGACTTGTCCCGCTGCTACTGGGATGGAGCAGGACGACCCACAAGGAGACGACCAAGGAGGTAACGCCCCATCGCATGTTCGCTTTCAGCGAGTCCCGATTCCCTTCGTAAAAGAAAAAGCATGCGCGTGGTTCTCTGAAGCTGTTGTACAGGGTTGGAATGCAAGCGATAACCTAGTTATGAAAATCAGAAAATATGTAAAGAATCCACATCCACTTGAGTTATATTCTTCCCCTCTGTCGTCTCTCGTTTGCCACCGTTGTTCGTAAAGCTGTCTCTGCTTACAAGAGGCCCTTGCTACGAGAGTAAGTAACTTGATGTCAAACAAAGTAGGACAGTTACTTAGTTGGTTAACAGCACCTCTAAACTGATCGTAGTTCCTAGTCCCACTCGCTCGTTGTTTTCGAATTCTTGGACTATAGGGTTTTTAGTAGTAGTACTTCTTTGTGTCTAATTCTTGACGTGATATGATCGGCGCGTCCTGTGGTGCAGCTCGCAGGTCCGGGAAAATCGGCGCGAACAACCGCGTCCGCTTGCCGAACGAAGACGAAGTGAGATGTCTTGTTTGGGATTTTATTTCTGAAGAGATTACTAAGCCCGGCTTCACCTGGGCCAAAGAAGTGGCACTTCTGCGACATGTCCTCTCTTTCCAGCAAGGGAAAAGCGGCAAATTGCAGGCAAGCATGAGTAAGGCAATGAATCATGTTGATGTTTTTCAGGGGTTGTCAAGATATTGTTGAAGATTTTAGGTTTTTCCAAAGATGAAATGATCGTACTGCTACTGTGTCCTCGTGTCTCGTTTATAACGATGAAAAATAACACCAACACGGTCGGTTTCATCAACATATTGCGATTGCGCTATTGCCAGTTGTACGCAACTCCCCATCTAAGAAGCCGAAAATTCTTGGTGACGTCTGGTTGCGTGGCGATGTGGAGCCAGAGGATTTGCATCAAGTGCGAGATCAACAATCAATTGATACAAATGACACAAGAAGCACGTCGACAGTGGGTCTCGGGCTTGGTGCACATTGCACTGCGGAAGACGTTGCAGTGCCAGCTTGGGTAGCCAATATGTACCCTGAGTTGGAGCAACATCACAGCGAGAATGATGAGGAGCTTTTATCTGATTTCGGTGGTGACGACGACCTCGACGATCATGATTCTTTTTTCGATTGCGATGCGCAAAGTTTAGGAGGAGATGCGGTGGGGGGAAATACGAAAGATCCACCTGGAGCTGCTAGTGCGTCGTCAAGTTCTTTGGTTATCAACGACGCACCAGCGCAAGGAAGTGAAGGAGCATCAAAATCCGTATCTTTAGAAGAAGCAGCCCGTGAGTGGAGGCAGAAGAACATGACTTTTCGGGCTCGCCGATATCGCAAAGATCGCCACGGACGTGTCCATGATATCTCGAAGATGAACGCAAAGGCTATGAGACGAAAGAATATTCCAGTTTATCCAGAGGACAAGGAGCGGGATCAATTCATTATGATGGGCAATGGAAACTGCTATTATGATTATGCTTACATGTTTCAGTTTAAGTTGATTTGGACGTCGCAGTACGAGTTCAGTTTTATTGATTTATCAGGACAACTCAGCCTCATATTCGTTCAGTGTTGTGTAAATGTTTGTGCGAATGTTGAAGTTGCTCAACCATAAATGCTAGGACAAGGGCACCAGTGCCGTTGTTTCAATCTCTCTTTGCCACCTTCATGAGACTGCAAGAAGCGCGTCGGAAAGGGATGCAGTGTCTGTCGTTGTCGCTGTATAGGAGAACTGAAACACACGTGAGAGATCAGTGCTTCGGGCTGCCCCTGAATGTGGTTCTGAAGTCGGGGAAGACTTGGCTGCGCTATTGGGAAGAAAATGTACTCTCGCAATTTGCACCGGAATTGCTCTAGCTTCGGTAGAGGAGAACGTCGAGGTTTCCTTCTTGCTGTGCAGAGTTATCGTACATCGATAACCCCAAGCCCTGTCTTAGTTGTGGTCGTGTTGGTCTTCAACTTCACTCATATTCATTCTCGTATAACTTTTTTGATTTCTCTGTTATTGCTAACTTGAGAGACCAGTTTATTGTTCTTGTCCGTGACTACAAGTACAAGCTGGAGGTAGGTACTGGGAGCTGCATCCTACAGGTCCTCGGTAAGATTTGTTGTCCTCGGGTAGTAAGTACTCAAAACTGCAACAACATGCGTGAATGTTGATGCATGTGTCTTTAGTACCCCTCTGCTGTTTTGACAGATCAATCATCTGGTTTGATCATCCTTTAATGATTCATTATGCGTTGCCTATTCCTATTGTACGAAACGAGAGAATGAGGAATGCATGTAAGTACCATACTTCAAGAGACGAGTCTTGGACAAAAATTCTAGGGCAATCAAGGAGATGATGTGAATCTGTGGAGCGAAAATATCATGTGACCTTGGAGGATCACTTTGGACGAGATCGCCAGGATTACTGTACAGGTGTTCCGCATCTTGACGAGTGATACCAACGTCAAAGAGAGCACTTCAAGTCAACTTTGAAAGTCTGTTAGAGTGAGAGTAGAGCAGTGTTGCGAAAAGATCTGTCGCGAGCGTTTATAATCCCTCTAGTTGTAAAGTTCAAGTTGCTTCTTGATTGAGTCGGAGACAAAGTAAACTGGTGGATATCCTGTGTCATTTGTTTGAGCTTCGATCTGACGTGGAGAGCAGATACATTCTTGTGATGGAGAGTGAGGAGAGTGTATGATGAATCAAGGTCTGCTCTCTGTAGCTAGTGCGAGTGTCACCCGCGTGAAACTTATAGTCACGTTCCTCAATGCAGTTGCAGTATTTGATATGACTTCTTTTCCCCCTCATGCTCATGATTTTACGCATTGCCAATGTGCTGTCCAAGATGGGTATGACTTGATGGATGCCTGCACCCATAAATAACATGGAAGTACATCGTCAATGCTTTAAACATCATGTTGGTGAGTAGAAACTAGTACATGCGTTTCGTTACCTACACGACGACGATGTTGTATCGATGTGCTTACAGTATGTAAAATTAATCCTTTGAATGACCATATCTCTGTAGTACAAACGACCTTGCTGTAGAGATTATAAGCTCGTATTCCTCCCGGCGTAAAATAAAGTACTTAGAAAGTAGTAACATTTCTTAACGAGCCAACAAATATGGTACAACAAGGAGATGACCGTGTTGGGAAACAAGGTGCGCTTGGGGAGAGGCAGCCGAATCATGTAGCCGTGGAAGTGGAGATGGCGAGTTTTAGCGCCACCCCTTCGCAACGCGGTGGAACCGCGGAACTTCCGAGACTAGGTGAAAATTCGTTGGTGCAACTAGTGGAAGGTGAGCACAGAATGCCAATTCATAACGATCATTTTGGCATATATGCTGCGGGTAAGGGCGACGAGCACAGTGATCCGTCTGGGTTGCGCGACGAGGCTGACGCCGACCTGCCAGAACTTGCAGATGCAGTGGTAGTGATGGACGACGGCCATGGCCATAGGCACTCCGATCATTCTGAACTCAAAGCAGCGCGAGGATCGACAAAACTTGGAAAACCGAACTCGAAAAAGGATAAAGAGCAAGCGGATGCAGCACGCAAGCAACCCCAAAGTGAAAGACACCACGGTGCACACCCAGGACACCACTCATCACACCATTCGCCTCATCATGATTCACCACAAAAGTCGCCTGACCACTCGCCACATCACTCGCCGAGAGCGAACCACGACGATACAATGCAAGTGAAACTCGAAATTGACCAGGGCGGAGCAGGTGGGGAGAAGAGCGCCAGTGGAGCTGGTCCAGACGCAGCGAAGGCTGCACGTGACGAACGAAACGCTCCTGCTAAACAGGTAGTGATGTCCCGTGTTACCCATGTCGTAACAAAGCAGGCGCCTAGGTTTCTGGCCCGCATAACTAGAACAGCGCATACTGCCTACCAGCAGTTTCACAAGTACATGGTGAGTCCTCATATGACCCACTACCGCGAGGAGCACAAACATGATTCCATCAGAGATGCCAAGACCCGCAATAGTAAGCGTCGAGAGGTCCGAAAGAGCATCCATAGAGCGCACAAGGAGGGCCGGCTACACATTTCCCGCGAGCACCGAGTGAGGGACCGACACCAGCTGTACCTCGATATGTTGAGGGATGAACACCACGAGCACAGAAGACACGGCAAGGGCACTCACAAGGAGCGCTTGTTGAAGGAGCACGAGGATGAAGAAATCGATGTGGATTTTGGACACCATTACAACGCTTTTCTTACTTTCCTTTTCCCGGTGTTGCAAGTCATCCTTTATCACACCAGCTACGCGCGTGAGGGTTTTTCAACCGGCCCAGATGTTAAGGCTTCAACACATATAATATAACAAAGTTGATGTAATTGTATTTGTAACTAGTTGTTTTTTAGCGCTAGTACATTTAAAATTACACTACAATCAGTCCATCATGGTGAAAGCCTCATCTATCACAATGTGGGAATCCTCTAGCCTGTAGCGTCGCTAGAAACATTGTAAAGGAGCATGTTTATACCGGAGTATTTCTCTCTTTCGGGCTAGTATCTTAAATTTGAAACCGGAATGTTTTTTCGAATACGGGGAAACACTGAAAGAACAATCGGCTGAAACGCATAGAAGGATAGAACAACTACGATTTTACACGTTCCTCATACTAGGAGAAAATGAACTACGTACTAGCCATGTTGCACAGTTCTAATGTTGGGTCAACCGTGTGCGGAACGTCAGCGACACCAGCGTGTCCGTCAGAGCTGCAGGACTGGAGCTTGCACACGTGGGAGGACCAGAGTTGTCTTACGAACCCCCAGCGAGGGTGTCCGGCGCACAAAGACAGGCGTCATGAAGTTTGGCGGTGGATCATGTACTCCTTGTCCCACGTGGACTTCTATCACTGCTACATGAACGTCCTGTTCGAAATCCTGTTCGGCCCATCGATCGAAATGGCCCACGGCCACGCGAGAGCAGCCCTTTTGATGTTCGTCTGCGTCGTTGGAGGGGGAATAGCAGTCGCCGTCTTTGATCCGACACAGAAAGTTGTTGGAGCTTCTGGCTACGTCTACGGACTCATTCCGATTCACGTACCTACTACTAACTCTTTACACTTGAAATTGTAGAGCATGTGTTTGTTCAGCAACAACACGGTCATTTGTCTTTATCTACTTTGAGTATGATGAAAGTTGTATGATTATTTCGTGAGCAAGTGAGGGTTACTGCACCTCCAAACTTCGTGGAACAAGAAGCGGAACAAGAAGTCATAAGTAGTTTTCCTTTTCTTGAGTTCTTCTGATTTCTTATTACCACAGGTAGCTACGTACTAGTAATCGATTCTTTCTTCAGAATCGCAATCTTCTCCAACCTTATATCATCTCGAACAACTTACCAGATTTCGTTTGTAGTCCTGAATTGGGATGAGCTTGGGCACGAGAAGATGTTTGGGTTGATCCCGGACAACTGGTTTCGACTGGTCTTCATCCTATCGCTCTTTGCTTTCCTCTTCTTCGGAATGTTGTCGGACTTGAACAATCCTGAGTCCCGTGTTTCGCATGCCGCACACGCGGGAGGAGCGATTTTTGGCGGAACGTTTTCGCTCTTTTTCCTAAGGAACACAGTGCCATCGCACAAAATCCGCACGTGGCTGCAACGGGGAGGACTAGCCTTCGCGATCGGGTTCACCATTGTGTCGATCATCTGGATCTACGCACACGCTACGCCGACTCCGATGTTTGTGACCCACAGATATGCCTGCACAGCAGATCTCGAATGGGCGATGCAGCGGAATCCGGGGTCAACAGCCGATCAGCTCTGCGAAGGATCCAAGCCTCCATAAAGAACTCCATAGAAGATCAGAGAACGATGATCATATAGAGGATTAATGTGTTCATCTTTGTCAAGTCGCACTTGTTTTAGAGCGGCTCAGACGCGAGCGTCAGAGTCAGTGTTAATGAATTGTAATAATTGTTGTTGGAGTTGGTCGAGGTGTATTCTTGCCATGTTTTGACAAGTTGTTATCGATACATAAGTGAAGATAATGGAGTTTTATCCATTTTAGTCATACGCATACCCAAGAAACGCCAGGGAATTGTTAGAAAGGACATGCCAGTCCTCATAGTATTGATGCATCAGTAGAACCATATTTTTCGCATAGTATTTTGAATCGGGGTCAGATATCATAGAATTGCGTAGAGTTGTCATTGTTGAGTAAAGCATAATGAGAGTATTATTAATTTGAATGTTTGTAACTTCATACAGAATTACCATATGTCTTAGTCGGTCTGTGTATATCTTTTTCGCATCTTGTTGAATTTTTCGCATACAAACACATTTAATATCCATGTTGATTCGATGAACAGGATTATGACACATTGCGCCTGTGTCATGCTAATGAATACTTGAAACAGCAAAAAAGAATCCTTTTCATAGACTGTTTATCGCGCTGTGATTATTCCCCTTATCCCACGCCATTCGTTATTCAGATTTAGTAAATTCATTCGTTAGTTGTAATTTTTCACGAACTTATTCCCTGTTCATCTTTGACAGTACCCACCGAATTCTTCCAAGAAAATGATGATGATCATAGTCAAGAAACGACACTGACTCTTCTATGTACTTTAAAGATGAGTTACTGTTCATGTAAGCGCATTCTTAAGAAGGTTGTGAATGAGAAGAAAACGTTTCGGGACGCGATAATTAATCTTTTGCGTCTAGTTAGAGTGGAGGATCGTTGTGTTCATGATTCTCTGGATTGTTGCGTCGATAGATTTTGATACAGTTCGTTGACAACAAGAACCCGTGAGCAAAAGTTTAATTTAGTCGTCGCCCATATCGCCACGAACTTGATTTGAAACAGATTTTGTAGATGAAAAACATAAATATGATAGATTCTGTCCAAATTCTTTCACGGATCTCGTCTAGTTCGGGTAAGAAAGCCAGTGGTCTGAGCGAGGTGGTAGTCCGTCCCATTCTCATGTCTGATCCAGCGGAGGAGTTTCTACGGTCGCTAACACGCTTCCTGCCATGCCTTCATTGCCTCTTCGATACGCTGTCTAAGGTTTTTGGTTTTTTTGTTTTCGAGAAATTACTCCGACTATAGAATAAGCTTCAGGTTCTCGATGGTCTAGGTTTCTAATCTCACGGACTCGGATGAAACTGGTTCTGAAGCTGGATACAGTTTGGACAGTTTAACGCTGATATCACGGCGCCACGTCTTATCGCATGGACTGCCACTGCTATTGGATGAAGCTGCTGATGTTGGACCTGGAGGTAGAAGAACTACACGCACCGAGGAGAACCCAAGGATACGGGAGGCTGACGACCAACAAGAACTGGAAGGAGCACGGTCACGAGCTGGATCAGTATCTTCGGAGCAACCGCGTGCTTCTGGTGGAGAAGCAAGGCAGGACTTGGATGCAGAACTGCTAGAGCGTATCGAGAATACCTCGCAAGACGAACTGAGACGGTGGGGATCGCGGTGTGACTCAATGCCCGATCCAGTGCAGGCAGGGTTGCTACGACGCTTTCTCGCACCTCTCGCGTTGCGACTCCAGGCGCGTCACGACGAGTCTCTAGTTGCAGGCGGCGATCGAGCTCTCGGGGGAACCAGAATTAAGGGTAGGTGGTTCTAGTTGCACTATCGTGAAGATAAGTCATGCATGATCTTGCTGTAGTTTGGGTTGAGAGAGAAAGAATAGGTACTACGCTAAGCCAAGACGCGTTCCCACTTTTTATGTAGAACTGTATCTGCTGCAGCTGAGGGCTATTCTAAAGATATCAGAGCGGGGGACACGCCGACGATATCCGAAGCTTCAACTTCTGATGTTTTAGTGATCGATAGGACCACTGCAGAGGGGGTAGATGAGTGTCGAGCTTTGGATTTTGCTGCTAGTTTGCTGCATTCGGCGTCGACGAATCCTAGAATCCTGTGTCAGCGCGTGCGAAGGCGTGAAAGGCTAAGAGAAGATAGCCTTGTATTAGTTACGGTTTTGATGAAGTATGGTACCAGTTGTACATGGAAAATAGTATGCGGTTGCGGATGCGTAGTTTGATGAGAATAATTATGATTCTGTTTTGCTCTTAAACTCCGAGTTGTAGACGTCCATGGCTAAATTTGCGGTCATCTTACAGAACTGAACTTGTTAAGCTGACCTACTCAATACGACATTAAGGAACAGTGAGTTGATGCAAGTGGAACTGAAAAATGTATCATCCCGCCGATGGCCTAGCACGGTCGTTTGGGATGCAGAATGATGATGAACCGAGAGGGATTGCGCTAAGATCCTATTGGAGGAGTACCGCAATAAGCGTGTGCAGGTAGTTCCGGGTATCGTGGATGCAGGCATGATAAGACGGCGTGAGAAAACAGTGGTGCGCCTCTGCAGTGATGACTGGATCGCCGCACCAGAACGGTACGGAAACGAGTCTATTTACTTCATCTCCATAATAGAATAAAGTCGAGTTCGAGATGCTATGTATAGATACCATTATATATAGTACTAGCTCTTCTAGCTTCCTTGATGTTCATCTTGTTGATCCTTTCTTTTGCCTCCACTTTGATTTCGTGCAGTCAGTTAGAGGCATGACCCCTAGGAGAAGAATTAGTGTTGTATCCAAGAGTAGGTGGGTAAAATCCATTTTAGCTTCTGTTGTTTAAGTACTCTTGATTTCGTAACGCCATTGGGTCAAAAAAGGCAGACGATCCTACGAGTATTGTTAAGAGATGTTTTATGATTAACACGCTTACACTATTCAACTGAGTGTCTGTGTCACCCGTGTTCCGTCTTACGTGAAGCAAAGAGAGAGAGAGAAACGACAAAAATGCTGGGATGTTTTGTTCTTCTCTGTCTGTAGAAGTTGTGGAAAGCAAATCTGTTACACTGAGACCCAAAGAGCGAGTCTGTTTCTCGATCAGTACTGATATTATATTTTATAAGTATCATTTAGCTCCTCGGTGTGACTCATGATCTGATTCTTCTGGATTCCACCCTTGTCTCTAGATTCCCTCTACAGATTATCGTGATTCTTTGGAGGTTTTTGTATTCTCGTCTTCTTTATTTTTCTACATCCTCCCGGACGGAGACCCGACTCACCTGCAGTAGATCCATGATTAGCTGTAGATCATTGTTTGTAATAAAGTTCCAAGATGAAATTGAAACATCCGATTTATAGTGTAGAAGTAACCGTAGAAAGTTAGAAAGCTTTCCTTTGTTGGAAAAAGCCGTGCTAATTAGGCTGACTCAGATCTCATGACTCCCATTTGCAATCCAAATAAAAAGTAACAAAAAATATCAACCGTTAGAACAGTTTAACCCTACAACTACGAGTACAATGGCGTCGGTCCTTTTCGTTGGTGGCGCTGGCGACAATGCCCAGTTTCTGTCGCCTCCATCGGGCTTGGCGGCAGGTACGAAGCAAAAGAGCCTGGCGCACCGCTTTTGTAAGTTCATGCTGCAATTGATAAACCGAGATTTGGACTACCTATTCGAGGAGTTTTTGCCAGTCTTCGCGAACCAGAACGAGCATGAGCTCGCAAGCGGGCAGGGCGAGACGCTGGAGCAGTATGCCTGCTTCCAGAAGTATGTGGCGATCATTGAGAAGAAACTCGAAATATTCGCTTTGAACGAAGGCTATGTGACCACGATTGACGGGCGGCCCGTGCATGGGGAGGGCGGCGACGTTGAGCGGTTGCTCTTAGATCTCCAGCAGGCGATGGAAGTAGATCGGAAGCAGACCGAAGTCGATTTCGAGCAGTTTTTGTCGGATTACCGATCTCAGGTGCTGATGGAGTTCGGCTACGCCAATACCGATTGTGGAGATGTGCCGGACTGTTCCTCGAACGAGCTGGACAAGGAAGTTCAGCAAATGCGCATGCTTTTCAAGCCCACGAGTGTGGAAGATCTGTTCAATGCGGTCCTGAACATGACAGAGTACGCGTTCTTCTCGAATCTGATGCGAGAGCGCGTGCGACAGAAGCGGATGGAGGAACGCGCGAGCATGGCTTTAAAAAAAATCGAGCAACGGCGAAAAAACATGCTCGAAGGGGAATTTGGGCTGGCGTTTCGCTTTATCGAGTTTGCGGTCGAGCTGTTGCAGGATAAAATGGACGTGCACTACGCGAAATGGATACCACTGTTCGACCCTGATAGCCTCGGAGGCTCTGGGGCTCTGAACGGGGGACCGACCATGCACGGAGAGAGTTCTCACGCGCAGTTTTCCGCATTTAAGGAGTATGAGCGGTTGATTGAGACGGAGATGCGGGTGTTTCTTGTGCGCGAAGGTTTTGCTGAGGACGATGCTGGGGCAGCGGCGCTGCTTGCGGCTCTGGAAGCTCTGGTGGAGCAAGACAGTAAAGAGGTGCTAAATCAGCGCTTATTGCAGGAGCAAAAGCAGTACGAGAGGGGCGCGAGAAAGCGGGAGAGGCAGGCGCGCGGAACGGATGGCAATAGCAGTAGCGACGGAGAGCAGGAACGAACCCCTTGGAGGCAATTCCACCAGCTTCGCGAGCTCATCGCGCAAGTTCTAGAGAGCACAGAATTTTCCGCTTTTGCCGACCTCATGCTCGCCAAGGTCCAGGAGGACAAGCTGCTCAATATGCTCTTTGGTGATGGGATCAGTTTATCAGAGGATATGACCACGTCACCTCCGATGAGTGGAGGACAGGGAGGAGGAGAGGCCGCGTCGACCCTTACGAATACCATAGACAGCACTCCAGCAAGTATGGCGCTTCTTGTCCCCGAAGGTTGTGGAGGCGGATCGACGGTGAACTTCGCCACCCCAGACGGGCAAAATTTGAGCACTGTCGTGCCTGACGGTCTTGTACCCGGACAGGCCTTCGAAGTATCCTACACGCCGGTGAGTGTAGACGGTCAGTTACCTCCCGAAGTAGGAGGAAGCGCAGACGGACACGAACAAGTTGGACTTGGCGGTACTTCTGGGCCCACGATGAAAGAACTTGCGGTGCAAGTACCCGAAGGTTGCGCAGGTGGTTCAGAAGTGTTTGTCACCACACCAGAAGGCCAACAAATTCAAGTCATTGTGCCGGAGGGCCTGTCGCAAAGGATGACATTCAATGTTACATATTACAGCTAGAAGTGAAATTATAGCAGGGGGCAACAGCAAGAGTTGGGACATCACGTCGAGTTGTTTGTAAAATCGAATCTTGATAGCCGCAGACAGCAACAGCTGACCGTAATGGAAATATAGTAAGTAGGTGGTGCTGGTTGCGCCAGAACGATCCGGGTAGAAGAGTTTGCGACTTCAGAGGTGGCACGCGACTCCACAAGGAAGAGAAGAATCGCAATGAACCGTTGGATGATACTGCGGATATCCTCACGCTGCGAAAACGCAACCTTTGTCCTTTAATATTACTTAGTATCCCTGAGAAAGAAAAGTATGGCTGTCTTTCGTACGTTTCTTCGTCGGTGTTTGCGAGCTCGATTCATTGAAAATATGTTTTAGATGAGTCTGCTGCTCTGTCTGCGACATAGTATATAGACCTTGACGCATATATAATGGAAGATTTTAACAAGAACAAGACTTCTATCAGTGTCCTAACGTTGAGGTTACATGACACAGTTCCGCCAAGTGCTTGTGTACTTCTACCTGCACCCATCATGATGACTAGCAGGGGCATTAACTGAAGGTGGTCATGACTGAGGACTTTTCCGTAAAGGCGATGAACTCTTTTAATATCTTCTTTTTGTCGTGTAGACCATCTATGACGCCCTTAAGGCAGTCTGCGCTGAACTTTGTGCGAGATTGGCGGGCAACGTCCCGGGTGGCAGGTATTAGGTATGTAATTGTCCCTGCCTTCGCTCCTAGGGTTCAGCATTTTAAAATCGTGGGGGCAGTAGCGTAGTCTGTTAAGGAGATTAAGAACTCCCCCCTACGCCGGTAGCTACGCGGAAAGTACGCAGGTAGGTTTTGACTCATCGGAACTCGCTCGCGATACAAAAAAAAACTGCATTGAATTGAATTGTGTAGTACAGTGTGCGTCTTTCTTATCGCATATTGAGTTACTGCGTAGAGGAGTCGCAATGAGTGTGCGGGCTGTGCGGAAGATAGGGGTTTGACACCAACCATTCCCATTGTAAAAAAAGTCATCGAAAATAACAGGTGGGCGTCTCTTTCTAGACACTACGACTTGACGAGGAACCTTTCTAACTGTTCAGTGATTTTGTGATGCTTGTGTGACTTCAAGTTCCTCGGACGGCAGGAGATCAGCGTTTTTTGTGAGTGTCTTGGCGAGGCAACAAGTCAATGAATGTTGGAGGGCAACATGTTCCGATACAGGGTAAAGTTTTAGATTATCAGTAGATGACGGGTTTTTTAAGTGAATGAAATCGGTCCAACCTGCCTTTGCTGGTCGTCTTGTTCGTTGACAAGAGTTGAGGCTGAGTAATCCATCCAAATCAAAAAAACCATCATGTTTGCTTTCGTTCATCAAACGAGCCGTCGTTCCTTGCCCATTCTCGCAGGGCTCGTCACGTCTGGCAGCTTCGTCTGCGATGCGCGGCGATTCTTAGCTCAACAAGCACCAGAATCCGGAAGCGGAGCTACTCCTGCTGATCCTGTTCCAGAAACTTCTTCCGACGAGACGCCTAGCGACTTGCGTGGTGTCTTTGATGAGGTGGAGAGCAAATCGGCAGCCGGCTCGTCCTCTCGCTCACTGTTCGGCGGAAGTAAGGCACAAAAAGAGAAGAACGACGACAAAAAACGGAAGGAAACAGAATTATCGGCGCTGGCAGACCTGAGGGAGCAGCGGACAGAGTCGTTCTGGAAAGAGGTGGCGCGTACGTCTGGCATCAGCACTGCGAGTAGACCTGGTTCAAAGAAAGAACTTACAGCATGTTATGTCAATTGATTTATTTCCATAGTATTTGTAGCCTGCAATTATGCATCCCATACAAGAGTACCACAACCATATACTTTCAAGGAACTAGAACAAGGAGTCGAAAACACTAGACGAAGATTGTTAATAATGATTATGGCGTATGCTACATGGGATCTTCTGCTTCATGCGTGTCCTTCAGCCGGTCGTATTCCGCTGCCGCGACGAGAAGGGGCTGCGGCGGATGACGAGTACCTATGCATCCTTGACGGTCAAGCCCCAGAAGAAATGGAGGTGAAATATCGAAGCGACCGCGATCTTCATTAAGGAATACTAAAAAGCGTACCATTTTTGAATAATTTCAAATTGTTCACCGACGCGATTCTCGTGGTCCTCGTATTCTTAGTACATGGAATCTTCAATAGGTTTAGGTATAGGAGTGTGACTGCTGGCTGCTCTAATTGCAGGATAAGAGTCTCCAGCGCAGCGACAGCGAAAGCGGGGCCGAACAATCGGCGCAATCCGTCATCGATGACGACTTGACGTCTCAGCAGTCTGTCTTATGGAGAAAATATAAATATGTATTGATGCTTCCTCATGATGGACTTGAAGTTTTTCGCTAAGTAATCCGCGTCTTGCATTTGGCGTCATCAGCCTGTTCATATTTTTTCCCCACCTACCCTGCTTCTTCATCATGCGACGAGGATGACGAGGATGAGGACTCGGACATCGATCAAAGGACTGTGGCGGACCGTGTGCGTCACTTTGAGGATATTTTTGGGAAGTTGATGGCGAATCAGATTCCTTTCAAAGTGCAGAACAGCTATTCTAATCCGCCGGCGATCACGCCAAACGTCGACGCGCCTACCGAAGGTTTCTTCTTCATCGGTGACGATGAGGAACACGGCAGGAAGATTCTATCTGTGCACGGGGAAATGCAGAAAATGCTAAAAAGCGAGGCGAAAGCAATGAAGAAGAGTAGGAGCGTGGCAGCGAGACGAGGGATTGTTGACGCAGATGCTGCTGGAGAGGAAGAACAGCTCACACCGCGAACGCGAACCCAACGAAAGCGAGAGAGGCTTGAGCGGGAGGAGCAGGAAAGGCAAGCACGACTGGAACGAGAAGAGCAGGAGCGGGGCGAACGAGAGGAGCAGGCTAGACTGGAACGGGAGGAGCAAGAGCAGCGCGAACGTGAACGCCTTGCAGAAGAGGAGCGACAGCGCCTTCAACAGGAGAAAGAAGAGCAAGAGCGCCAGAAGGCAGAAGAAGAGCGCCTCATACGGGAACAGGCTGAGAAAGAGACCTATGAGCGGGTCGAGAAAGAGGAGTTAGAAAGACATACGAAGCAGGAGCAAGAACGCGTGACCAAGGAGGAACAAGAACGTTTGGTCAAAGAAGAGCGGGATCGTCTCGAACGGATTGCAAAAGAAGAGCAGGATCGTCTAGACATGGGAAAGCGTGCTGAAAAAGAGCGCATTCTTCAAGAGCAGAAACAGCGTGACGAGGAACAACAAGCACAAGCTGAGCGTGATCGCTTGGAGGAACGGCAAGTCGAGGAAAAAAGACGTGAGGAGGACCAGACGAAGAAATTGGAAGCGGAGAAACCTCCATCGAAGTCAGTGAAGGAGAACATCGAAATCGGAAACGAAACTACTTCGATGGAAGTGGATGATCAACAGGTGACTCTGCACACCACCAAACCTATCTCCTACGCTGCTGTGCTGGAAAGCGTTAAATCGGAGTCGTCTCCCGAACATCTGTCGGCAAGTCCTACTGACGAGAGCGATGCCGGTCTCCCGAGTCCGTCTCCGTTTTCGACGCCTTACCCGCCTTCATCGATTGGGTGCACACCCTCGTCAGACGGCGCACGAGAGCGTAAGTCCTCAGACGCAACACGATCTTCGTGGGAGTTCTACCCTTTTCTTTTAAGGCTAGTGACACTGAACGTGAAATAAACGGAGAATTGAAATGTCTAGTGTACTTCGTTTCATCCAAGCTTCGTGTAGTTGACGAGAACTGAGCGTTGTATGTTGTGCACCTCTTCCTATCTAAGCACTGGCGAATCGAATGCGGGTTCTCCTTTCGGGAACGATGGTGCGACTGGCGCAGATCGAAGTCCGAGTTCTGCGAGCAGGATTGCTGCTGGTCCGCCAGACAGCACCACTGTTGAAGATTGCGCCGGTTCTCCCTCTCATCCACCTAGTCGTGCGCTACCTGTCGAACAGCACCAGATCCACACAGTCGCAGACCTAGGGGCTATCGAGGGCTCTCCTTCTGTCTATGCGACTCCGAATGCCAGCGGCGGGACCGAATTCATGTCGCAAGTAGATTCGGACGCGGTCCTTGCGCGCGAGCTGGCAAGGCAGGAGGAGGAGGCGCTGCAGGCGCACCACAATTCTCGGGTCCTCGAAGCCCGGGGGCGCGAGGCAGAGAAACAGCGACAGAAGGCTGAGTACATCGCGAGAGACGCGGCTCTAGCTCAGAAATTTCACGCGCACGAGTGCTGGTTGGCGAAGCAAGACACAAAGGTGCCGAACAACGAAGTCTTTGGGGGTCCAGCTACCAGATCCACTGGAGATGGAGGACCATCGCAGCAATCCATTTTGTCGAGCAAATCGTCGCGCGCGGCTGGGTACGCTGCTAGCGCGTCTTCCGTCGCGGCATCGTCCGTACGCAGCGCAGTACCCGCGTCCCGAGAAGACCGAAAGGCAGCGTCCGTCAGCAGTTCTGCGTCTACGGCCGGTAAAAAAGAGCATGAAGACAGGAGCAGGAACGCAAGAGCCGCTCCTGCTGATAGTCCTCTGAACGCAGCAACTGCCGTCGTGGCACAAAGAAGTGAGTATCCCATCTACGATGCGATCACTTCGACGCCGAAAAAGTATGTGAGTGCCTTGGCAAGCGCCATGGTGCCCTCGGTCATACTAGAGGACACAGGATTGGCCGCTACGCACGATCCGACGCGACCTGCGTCCGTCGAATCCGTGGCTGCGCAGTCTCTCGCCGCAAAAGGACAAGGCAGAGGCGACGTGCAGTTCGTCGGTGCTTCCTCTGGGTCTTCGAGAGCCGGAGATAAGCAACATAGAGCGCTCGAGCAGAGGTTAGGCCGGTCATCTGCTGGGGCACCTTTGTACGAAGAGAAGCCGTTGGACGTGACAACGCCTTTTCCGGCATCCGCGCACTGCGCCATTGACTTTTCCAAGGGTTCGGTTGCGTCTTCAACTTCATCTGCTTATCCTGGTATGGCCGCTGCGTACTACGCATGTCATAGATTTAGATTCAAATAGGTAAGTCGTGCTGTCAGGTCATCATCATAGGTAAGTCGTGGAAGGGACTATTTCAAGTTTGGAGTTGCTACGAGCTCCCTACAGATTCCAAAATTTTTATGCCGGAGGTAAGAAACAGCCTGTACTTACTAGTCGAGAGTCACTTAGAACTACCACGCTCGTAGAAAAAGAAGATTGTGCTTGTCTAACAAGGATAGTTCTGCCCCTCCACCACGAGGTCCCAGGAACATCTACGATGCTTTTGCGACAGGGGTCACCGCCTCAGCGTCGGGAAGCAGCAAGGGTGTCGGTAAAGGAGGTCAACGCGCGGACTCGTCCGCGTCTAGTGCCTCATCTGCAAACGCGGAGCGAGAAGAAAAGTATCGAGGCGAGAAATCTTTTCGTCTTTCGTCAGAGACGTACCACAGGCCTAGCAGCTCAAGTGGTTCCTCCAAAACTGCATACAGCAGCACCGCAGCTGCCGCATGCCCCGCTCTTGTTGATTTGGCTGATCCCCATGATTGAGGCTCAAATGAATCTACTCCATTTCCACAGGTGTATATCTAGAGCATGTTCAAGCATTGAGTTCTGCGCTTCAAAGCTCATTTCCGCAGGTACGTAGTTCTTGGTTCTTTTTCTTAGTTTCTTTCTTAGGTTTCTCCTGAGAAAATGAATCCACCAAGCAACGAAACGGAAACATTCTGAGCTCTAACGTAGAGCGACCAAAGCGGGAGGAGACAAAAAGCAAAAGCTAAATCCTTCGCAGTGGTTCAAATTACAAGAGAACAAAAGTTATGGCTGAAAAGAACCCATCTCCACGTGAATCCCGTTAAAATACAGCGCTGGCAGTGACTTGAAGAGTCTCGGGCTGTACTGAGGCAAGTACTTGCGCGAGTATTTTCACGGGATGTATTCACGGGATGGGTTACGGGTAGCTCTAAAAAAGGCTCAAAAAGCTCTACGCAGATGTGCAGACACTCTTTCCGGCGGAAATGGATGATACTGAGAAAATGCGCCAAGTCTTTTTAAGGCCAAGGAACTAGGATTCTTATCATCTCATCAATCAAGATGAACAAGATTCTCTTATTAGTACAGGAATTGTAATAGTAATTGTTGTACTTGTTCATTTCATCTTATCTGCGCAAAAGGACAAGCAATCGCTAATCCTCGGTCATGACGACGAGGACGGACTAGCTGCGCTACAGACGCACCGGGATTGCATACAGCAACTGTTTCAAATTCCTCATTTGTCCCCTGAATACGCAGTAGCCGCACTTCGACGCATTGCTGAATGTTATGCTGGAGAATTTGAAGAAATAGCTTGACAGGTATTACAGTCGTGACGAGCTTCTAGGAGAAAGATGAATACTGGTAAAGAGATGAGCTTAGAAGACAGATATTGAGACCTTTTCTATTATATGATCATGTTGATGTTTATTTTTTGAAACTCATAACCTTTTAAGAAAAGCTTAGCGGAAAAGGGCTGTTGGTGCAGGAATTGCCTTTCTGGACACGGATTTTGGACATCGAGACAGCATTACACGATGAAAGACGGGGTGGTATATTGGATGTTGATTTACGGAAAGTGCTTGTGATTATGCTAGGAGATGATAAATAAAAAAGACAAAGATGTTGAAGAATACTAAGGGTAGAAGATTGAGATTTCGTTCTACTAGTTGATCGCGATTCTCCTGAACTGCAAAACAATCCCTCATGATCTCAATTACTGTTACTCTCTTTCTTAAGTGCTTCTGGCGGAATGGAAGGTGGCCTTGGACGAGCCGCCCGCTGAGGGGCACCGTGAGGACCCAGCGGACGTGGTCCAAAGGCGAATCGACGACTTAGATCGCGACTACGAAGCGAAGAAGCAGGTGCTGGAAGCGGAGCAGAATCGAATTTACGCGTATATCTCAGCGAATTTCGATGCCACGCGACCGGATGTCATATTCCAGAAAGCGAGTAGGAAGGCGCGCGAGAACGCGCGAAAGAGTCAGGAGCCGAAAAAGACTAGAACGTTCTTACTAGCATGACTGTGTATGAGTATGTGTGTCTGTCGTGTTGAGGACGATGAAGTTTAAGAAGTGAAAACTAGTACATGATCTACTTGGTACTACTTGTTGAGACATTCCATTGGAGGCTAAGTATCCATTCATGCAGGACTGATATGGAGTTTTTCTTGTCGGGAACGGGATCGTGTAAGTAGATACTATCGTCTTCTTCATATACGGCCTTTTCCTTTTCATCATGATCACCTCGAACTTGATGAAATAATTCTTACGCTGAGAATATGCAGGTGATAGCTCAACATGCCTTTAAGATGTTGATCATGAACTCATACATGAACAAGTGGTTGCATTTCGTGGCCCTTGATAAACCCTCTCTGCTGAGTAGGTAATTTTGATTTTCCGTATAGCACTACTAATTCATTGCTGGAGAGGGATACAGTCGCAAAGCCAGTTTATCAGGGAGACAGTATCGTGATTATTGTTGCTCTCTCAGGAGAACTAGAGCCGCTAATTACGAAACAAGTTTTGTCTTGATCGTGTAATACAGAGCTGGAATATGGTGCCCTCACAGGTACGATGGTACTTAAGTAGATAGATGGGAATCGAGAATACTAGATGTAACACATCATCTATTTTCACATATGAAACCTATTTCACGACGCATAGCACTTGACACCGTCTAAACATGACGCTTGTCACCAGCATGCTGCATGGTAAGCATCAACTTAAATCGAAACCTGATACAGAACCATCAAAAAAGGGTTCATGTTTCGTATTCGCGACTGTTGTAGTAGTGGTTTGGCGAATTCATTTTTTAACCTTAGCATGAGTCTTCTTCTCTCCTATTCATCCAAAGCGTGTCACATGCGATGCTTGACATGTAGAAATGAGCTTTTGCATTTTCTAGTAGTGATGCGGCGTTGTTGGGTGGGCGAAGAAGTCCGTTCAAGACTACCAGAGGCCGTTTTCGATTGGGCTGGAAGCCTGCAAAAGATAAATACTCTTGTAGATGACAAAAACAAAAAGGCCTGATAGATCCGGGCATATAATCCAGGAAAAAAATAAACAGGGATAAGTGCCTTGAAATGACAGTGGTTCAAGAGCGGTATGCCTTAATGCCTCGTGACCGCGTGTTGCAAAGCGCTTCCAAACAAAACTTGCAAAATAGGTAGGGCATAAAGCACATTTCTGAAACGGAGGAGTGACGTCACTATGTTAAAGCTTTTCATCGTGTACGGCGATGCCGCCCCCGAGAACGGAATCAGGGAGACACCGCACCAGGCCACCGACAAGGACAACTCCGCTAGCCAGGTGGTCGGCTCGTCTCACGCATCGTCTCACGCCAGCACGGCCACTGCGCCACCTACTGTCATATCGAGACGATTTCTTCTGCTGGCAGCACCCGAATGGAGCATACGGACGCTCAGGCACAAGATTTTTGATACGTTGCACTCGCTCTTTCCAGGCAAACAGAAGCCGAGTTACGATTTCAAGGTACAGCAGGGGGAATCGGGGTTCTTTGCGCCCGACAACGTACTCGTCTCGGACGCATTCGTTGACGGTGCATTGGTGCAGTGTGTGATAGGGAGTGATAGGCCTCCTCCTCAACCGGGGCTCCTGGCAGCAGCGCAGTTGTATTCGTCTGCCAATGCGGGAGGTTCGTCCTCTTCTACCGCTGCTGGTGGCCGCTCATTGGCGGTGAAGGATCCAGAAGCACTTCGTGGAGGCTTGCGTGCTTTGCATGCCTGGATGGATTACACGGCGTCTTCAGTGCTTCCGCAACTGGCTCATGAGGAAAGCATGGATGTCATTCGATACGGGCTTGGCCTAGCATTATTAAGGCTACTCCTGCAAGTGCAAATTATGCTGAAAAGTTCTTTTCAACTTCTACTCTCAGTGTTACTCAGTCACGTGTAGAACGTAGTCCCAGTCTGATTAGCTGATGCAGCGATGTCCGTCGTGCTCGTGGTTTGACGTTTGTCTAAATCCTGCGATCCTTCAGGCTGGGCGGCGTGATAGGACGCTTGTTCTTGCGCTGGGGTGTGTGAAAAACTGGGTGACTCTGTCGGCCACAGATGACGAGACCAAGCGGGCGGACGCAATAGCTTCACCCGTCCGAACAGGTGGAGTGCCAAAACCAGCACCAGGAGGTCTTTTAGAGCGCGCTGTTGCAGGAGGTTCTGCATCTGCAAGTAACAGCCAGAATGTTCCAGGAAAGCCGCTAACTTCGTCAATATCACCGCATTTCACACCTAGACCTTGGACGCCACGCACAAGACAGCGCCTTTTTCTCGACATAATGCTTGAAAACGGACTGATTTTTATCTTGGTCGGGATGCTATTCAACTCATGCAGTTATGCGGCGACTGGAAGGCCAGGATGTACAAACAATGCTGAGGAACAGGCTTCGGGTGCTGCTGGAGTAGCCGCGTTGGAAGTCAACAACAATGCCGAAAATCGAAACCTGCATTGCAAAGTAGTTCAGCTTGTGCTGGAAATACTTCGCGCAGTACGACAGGAGCTCAGACACAATCAAGCGACGACGGACACTGCTACGAAGATGAAACAAGGCCATCATGGTGGTCCGCCTGAAAAGGTAGAATACTGGAATGCTGTTCTTGTGGAGCCCTATCACGTTTTCTGGGATGCGCACCAGTACTACAGACGCAATATCGAGTATTTCAGGGGCAAAGAGGATATCGGACTTCAGCTGTACGACGAAGTGCGTGTGCGAAAGACGGTGCGCGATAATCCGGCACTAGGGAGTCTGCTACACCATTCCAAAGCAGCAGCGGGACTACAATTTTCTGAAGATCCGCATTGGCGCAGAACAGGAGAAGTGTCTCCGGGAAGTCCAGAGTCGGCGCTTTTGGTATGCTCTAGAATAACCGCTCTTTTTATTTTTCTCCTTTGCTTTATTTCTAGCTGGTGACTGTATCTATAATGATTTGATTTTTGACTCGATCAGGTTTAGGAAGGATCGATTTTGTTTTCAAAACTGTTACTTTTCTAATGCTCAAACGTAGAGAACGCGAGCATATTTGGAATCGAGATCAAGTGCTGCGTGGGAACGAAGATCCGCGTGAGCGCACAGCAACCTTCGGAAGTCTAGGTGGTGGAACTTTTTCTCAGAAGGACTTCATAATGCAGAGAAGTGGCGCACTTCCTCCTGATGAACAGCACTTGAACCACACATCGGCCAGTCCCCCAGTCAAAAGCGCTCATTTCGAAACTCGCTTGTTTGGAGGAAATTCGTCTGCCTTTGCCGCTTTTTCCGGCGGCGGGACGCCGGGAATAGACCGAGACCTGCAGCTCTTCAGAGCGGCATCCGAAACCAGTGGGCGTGGAGCGAGGGGCGCACCATTTTCTTCGGTTGGGGAGGAGGATACAGCGAACCCTCTGGTGTCGGAGCAGCAAGCCTTTGGCGTGATCAGAAACTTTCCTGTAGATGCCCGTGACCGAGATGAAGGTGGGATGATCGATCCAGAAGAGGATCCGGATGGCGAAGCCTTAGTATCTGCGCGCATTCGCGATCGGCAGATGACTGTTGACACGTTACGCGAGGACGTCGACTATCTTTTGATGCAGGGAAACTTGGATACTGGTCTAGCGGAAAGCAGCAAGGTGATTGGGCGCCAGAAGTTACTTCTCCGTCGGATTGTCCAATATCCAGCCCCTAGTGTTGTTGGATTAGGGCTTCGATTGTGGGACCTGGTCTTCTCGCGTCCGCGCTGCTTTCACGTCGTCGCGCCTTGGTTGGAGGCGCGGAACAATCTAGTAGTAAAAGCGTCCCCGTCTGCTCCAGAAGCAACGGGAACAGCCAAGAGAGAACTGCGAGACGTCGAACTCAGACCCACTTCTAGAAGTTCGTCTTTTTCAGACAAAGAGAAGGATCGTTTGGTCCGCTCTCTGAGTGCCTTTCTGAAACGCGAGTTGTGGAAGAAGGCTGAAGACGAACCGATCCGTGCAACTACAAGTGATGCGCCAGCCGAGGAAGATCTGATTATGGCTGTGAACGACAATTTCCCTGTAAATGAATGTAAGTTGATTCATTGAAGATGAAGCTAATCATGCGATGCTTTTCGCTCATCTTCCTGTTTGAAAAGGTTATTGCAAATGCTTGTTCTACTCACACGCTCCTCTTCTCGTGTTTCTAATGTCACCATGGATAGCATTTCTGCGAATGCGCCCACGCTGTTTTTGAAGCAGGTTGCTTTTTTGAATAGCGAAGGAACTACGGAAGACTTCCCACTTCTGCAGGAGCTTCTTCAGCGCTGCTTCATGGAGGACGAAGTGCTGCGAGGCAGAATGCTTCTCTTGCTGGGCAGCGTGTACGGACTCTTCTTCGCAAGGCCTTTTTATGGACACGTGATGCCTTTTTCTTGTTTTTTTCCGATTCCCGACAAAGATCATTGATTCTAGTTTTCTCGATCTTGTTGTTGCTCTTGCTTACACCGTTCCGCTCCTTTCTTTTTTTACTCTTTCTTTCACATCCTGTTGCTCGCCTTCCGCGCGCTAGTTCTCGGCCACTCGCTTCGCGATGAGTTAGAGGACGAACCGCAGTTGCGCCAAGAAATGCTGCAAACGCTATTGAGGCGCATGAGACTAGAACCGCAGTTTCACGTCATTTTGCTCGACGTCTTCTGCGAATTCACAAACCGGGACTCTTTCCGAGTCTACCTGTGCCGAAAAACAAGCTTCTTCGATTTTTTACTTGCCGTGTTGAACGGTCAAGTCGGCGGACCGGCGGATGGTCGAACCGAAATCGAAAAACTAGACGTGGTGGCAGACGTGGACGTACAGCGACGAGTGTGTAAATTACGTCAAAAGGATGTAATCAAATGGGTTTCCTTTTTCTACTTGTGTTCATTGAAACTGATCCGTATAGATAAGTAAGAAATAACAAGGACAAAAATTGACACACTCGTAACCCACTAGAGATCCTCTGGCCTCTCTTCATACAATTGCTTGGCGCATCTCGCAGCGGATAGACCAACGCGGGAGCGAGCAAAAAAGAGCAACTATCTGCAGAACATGCTTGCTACGGCACGGGATGGCGCAGTAGTTATATACCTGAGCATGGCGCTAGACAAATCAACGAGCGCGTTCGGGATTTGAAAAGCAATGAGTGATGCTCATCGTGGTAAGAAAACTGAATGAAAAATGCTACCATAAAGTGTCACGGCGACCAGGAAATATATTATCATCGCAAACACTACTGAAGATGCCTTTCACTAATTATGTACCAGTCCATTTGAATCTAACTGATGCAACGCGGACGCACTCTGGGTCGATTTTAGTTTTGTGTGTTCCATTGACGCCCTCTCACACCCTCGCGAGCGAGTTTCAGAACGTTTCAGTTTTTTTCAAAGTGTTTTCGGGTGCCTCGATCTTCTGTTAGAAGGGCTACCTCGAACTCGACGAAACTGTGATTGTGTTGCTTCATGATTATCGGATTCCATTAGCGTCCGAGAGAGAGAGCAAAGTAGAAATGTTGTGCTGCGACACAGTCCGAGTAAATAATGGTCACTGGTTGTAATGTTGTCAGACATATTCCTCAACCTTATCGTAATCGTTATTTCATCTTGCGCGGTCCAGACAACTTTTCATCTGTGAATTTTCTTCCCCCCCGATGCCCCCGTATCCCTCTAGTACTAGTTGTACAGTAGATCATCTTTCTTACAGCTGTTTTCTTGGCAGACAAAACCTCTTGTTCTTCGTCTCCCTGACCTAGCATCCTGTGTTTTTCGATGACAACGAGTAAACTAGTTTGTAAGCCGTTTCCTGTTACTAGGTACCAGTGGACTCATCTTCTAGAATCAAGAAGACAGATTTGAGATAGAAGGAAGTTGTAGAAGAAGCAGCTTGTCCGCCGTTTGAAACAACAACTGGTTTCGACACTAGTGCACGCAGATCATGTGGTCTGAGGAATTGGGGCGCACACAAAAGAGACACATCCAAGCTGGAAGCACGTTGGACGACTCAAAGGATAGCAGCAAAAGTATTTTTCGTTAATCAGGACTATTCGTCTGATTTTGTCATGCAAGAAAAGCAAATACACAAGTGTTGACTTCAAACCTTGCTATCATCTGCACCATTAGGTCGCGAGGTCATTAGTACAGCAAGTAACGAGACGACTTCGAGCAACGGCCACGGCAGTGGTCACCCTGCTCCAAATTTTTCTACTACATCGAGCAGGTCGTCAACGACTGAAGAGGTTCCAAAATCGAGGACACTACGCGCGGCGGCGCGTTGTAACAGACCGGCGATGTGGGACGCAGAACGATCAACCGGTCAGCTCGTGGGTAACGGCGAACTGACACAAACTTTACTCTTATGGCGTGGTTAAGTATTAATTAAATGTATGTGCTTCTTTGCTCTCTGGTGTCGTCCTGCAGCTCGGCTCGTTTTGAAAGACTGCATTTATTTTTTGCTGCATCTTGTTGGTAGCCTGATGTGCAGGAGGGCACTTATATTGGGTACTATGGATAAGTAGTGTGATTTGGACTACATCAGGCATTCATCTATTCTAATAACCGAAGCAGCGCAAGAACCTGCAGGCGGCGTGGCTGACAATCTTGCCACGTCTGGAAATTTGAAAAGTATTATAATTATGCAAGTTTTGAGTAGCTAAAGCTAAAACTACTACAACGACTAGTGTATGAAGATGAATGTAAAAACAATATTGACCTTGACGGAATTCGCATGGAAGATCAAAGCCAAACGTAGAGGTAGTGCTAGAATGATTTGGTAGACGATCTATCACGCCACCTTCCACCACAACCGCAACAGGTGATGCAGGTGAGGAAACAACAGCTTCCTCAAAGATGCGTCCGCTTCAGCTTAGTGGGCATCGAACTCCGCTTGATGATGGCTATCGAAGTGAGCCACCTCCGCTTGCTAGCCACCGAAGTGAGCAGAACCAGATTGTACGCGACCATAGTCCTGGAATCTGGTCATTACGAGCCGCCGACACCTCGTCCTCACCGTTATGATGGAATCATTTACAATTTGAATTTGCATTAAGAAGTGCTTTTAATAGAGCAATATGGGATGATAGACTAGTCTAAAACCAAACCTACATTTATCTACTGTGTGTTGGTTCAACATCGTTCCATTAAAAACGGGTAATTTTTCTCTGAGGAAGTAGAAAGAAACGATGTGGAACAACAAGATCATCAAGTAACAAGTAGGCATAGCGAGCACATTCATTTCCATCTAGAGAATGAAGACCGTGTAAGGAAAATATACACAAAATTTGTCTAAGTCCAGAAAGCGCGCGGCTAAGGGACCACATGGTCGCAGACGAGAATGAAGTTCCACTAGGAATGAGTGATACAGATTGGGGTGCCATGGAGTCTAGAAACGCCGCTGCTCGGAGGAGGAATCGCGGTGAGGGCGAGGACGAGGAAATGTATGCCGTTTTGCGAGGCTTTTTCAATCAATACGTCGCCATGAGTTGCCTGCAGCTAGTTTCGGTATTCGCGATAATCACGGTCGATGTGGGAACACTTGGGGGCCTGCTGCAGATTTCGCCACGGGGGGAACTCTGGTTTGCCCAGCTCGATTTTTTCACATTATGAAATGGCACTGAAGATAAATCTTCCACGACAACTAGCGATAGCAAAGGGCCTGAGGTAGAAGCAGTAGGACACCATCATTGAGTGATTTGCGTAAAATTAATAAGTAGAAGAACAAGCGTCGAGGGTAAAAGCTCGAATAGAAATCACCCGACACCCGAGCTGCATCCCACTTCTATCTTGATTACGATGTCTTCAGACGAAAGAAAACGGTCTCTAATGCATTTGGTGATGTTCACGATTGAGGTTTTGGTAAACATTTGGACCTACGGGAAGCGATTCTTTCATTCCGGGATACACAAGTTTGACTTGTTGGCTGTTACGCTATCGGACGTGTTCTACTTCGCAACCTACTGCACCGACATCTTCGGCACCAAGAGTAGCGTGGAGCGGGAAGAGGTGACGGTCGATATTCTCCGCTCGTTGCTTCGCATTGTGCGGCTAGCAGTGGTGGTTGTGCGGCTGAATGACGCGCTTCATGGGCCCATGGAAAATTTACACACGCGAATGCGCGCCGTGCACAGAGCTAATAGCAAATTAGGATTCTGAGAGACCTTCGCAAGAATTGGTTGCTTCTTTACGCGGCATTTTTGCGGAGGGCAGCCTGCCTGAAAGAAACGTGCTCTACTCTGTTCGCACTATTAATCTATGAGATGAATAGTACTCAGCGTTTTTATATATAGTATACAAGTACTTGTTACGAGACCTTTGTAGGACAAGGAGAGGTCTGGACCATTCCACATAGCTCGGGACAACTTGGCTTTTTTTCAACTACGAAATGAAGGGTGAGGTATTAGAAGTACTCGAGTTCCGTTCCCGGGAGAATGGTCGGTTCCTACTGCGCGGAGAGTCAGGGCGTTGCACGGCTACAATCACTACCCAGAATCATGTGAATTAGGCGCAAACTCATTGTTCGAGTAGACAATTCTAGATTTAGTACACTCGTTCTCTAGCATATTTCTCAATGAATTATATGATCTTGCCGACGTCCTCCTCCCTGCTACCTCGTACACGCAGCATTTACATAGTTAGTTCTTTAGTCGACCTTGTTGGTATGATCTGTGCGCCGCTTATAATGTCGTTAGTACCACGTGAATTCCATCGTCGAGGTTTTAAAATTTTTTGAGAATTAAGGTCAGCATTTACCATTACTTGGACTCCGATTAATAGTCTCTCGTATAATTCATTCAGCCTAAACAGAGTTTTATGATTCTTGATTTTCTGCGTCTCTGCAGATCAGTCTTAGTTGCAGCGAGTGGTCCACATGGTGCTGTAAGCAAGATAGCAGATATTCCTTGTCTTGTGTGTGAAGCGCTTGTATTGGTTTTCGCCAGGGAAATAATTGTCGTAACAAGTTTGAGTTTGCATCTTTCCGGTATACAACCTGGCAAAACTTCGGAACGATTCTGTTTTCAGTCTACCGCTGATATCCACCACGTCGGACCCGTTGGTGATTTCAAGGGTTCCATGAGCAAATGTGCCCCACTCTCTGGTTGGGGGTGCTTCGCCATGCCCTCTTTTTTGGCCAATGTAGCTGCTTTCCCCTGATTTATCCAATATCACCAGGTATGGCCCCTGGATAAACATAGGCTTTGGAAACCTCTAAAGATTCATCGGAGACAAAAAAGCGGCGTATTCACAATTAGACTTCTCCATTCATCGCGAGTGAAACCATCTTGAGAATATGAATAACCTTGCATTTAGACTTTGCCAATTATTTTTTCACTTTTTTTTTCATTTTGGGCGCGTGTTCCTCCTGCTTCAATGCGTAGTCTTTCTAATCCAACTAGAATGGCACCTACAATGTCGCCCTCTCTCTTCAATTAACGATAAGCGTTCGTAGGTCCAATCCGAACCGACTAACATCATCATCCTCATCAACAATCGTTCTCATATACAAGTTTCGTATGGTTGTGATTTTTATGAAAAACAAAAACTCGACTTCGACACATGAAGGAATCACTCATAGCAACCCCAAGTCAACTAGAAGATGTGAGCGAGCGCACTCCTGGGTGCGCCACGCACACATCTTCGGCACAAGGGTGATGTAGAGACCCGACAGATACGTGTATATCTATCGCAAATGCGCTAACTTTACAAAGATATAATTGAGACAGTTTCAGGCGGCATCAACGTCGTCCGCATTTGCAAGTCGATTTTCAAGGTAAGATGCATTGGTGAGAATGCAAGAACTGATAGAAGGAGGAGCTATTGCATCTTTCTCTGGACGCGTGTTGAGTGCATCAGTGATCATCGGTAGGTTCTGATACACCTACACGTCGGTGTTTGTGAGATGAAGCTGCTGGCCAGAAAGTCGAGTAGGAAACGAAGGAGTAGAAGGCAATTCGGGACCGACTTCTTTGAGATCTATGCGACTCATCTCATGCCGATGGATTGAGGAGAGAGATCAAGACGAATTCGGTGTTTTATGTGACTCTCTCTACCGTTGATGTTTCATCATATTCTCGTTCCGTGGTTTTCGAAATGTTGAAAAGTAAAAATATGGTTCTCATTCACTATGACTATGTTTCATCCCGTAAATGAATATTAATTTTTGACCTGTAACCGTAGTCCTAGAGAGTGAGAGTTGACGCGGCCTATCAAGCATCATTCGAAAACTCAGTCGGGTCCCATAACCAAAGGGTAAAGTTGATCGAGGCTCGACCATGAATGATGGTCTTCTCGAGAAATTTCTTGCATGCTAAGCCTTTGAGCATGCATCCTTGTTTTCCTCAACACTTAATCGCGAGGATCACCCACGCACCGTGTGATATAGAAATTTTACCATGAAATCGTACCGACATACGTGCATACACATGAAAAAATGGCCAATATCAACATGTTAATGAGAGAGGCTGGTTTTGGTTCCTCCTCCTCCTGGGAAGCCTCTGCTTGTCCGCAGATGAGCTCTGCTTCGTACCCCTACACGCGCCGTTTGTCTCGAGAGGATTCGGAGAAAAAACTGGGTTTTCAACGAACACGTGTTGGACCGATTACTACCCACGAAAATTCTAAGGAAGAGGGATCATGTAGCTTTGCGATCTCGCCGTCACTTTCACATGGAGCATTACGGAGTGGTAGCGTCGCGAGGCTTATCGCACCGCTTCTGCTGACGATTCTACTGGTGCTGAGTCTTGCCCTCGTGGACAATGATGCATCAGGGACTGCGACTAAAGAGACGGCAATATCTAGGAGGGGTAATCAGAAGGTACTCGAGACGGAAGGTCGGTCACTTGCGAGTCTTTATCTTCAGGGAGCTCGATCTACGACAAAGCGACCTTCGATTTCGTCTCAGCATCTCGACGCGGACAATGTCGTCGTTGTGAACGACTTGTATTCCATGATGCGAAGCAATGTATTGGAGGTGGAGGACCAGCTAGCGGAAGCGCATAACAAAGCCCAAGCGGAATCTTCACGACCGCGCTCACTCGCCGAGTTGTATGCGAGTGGGACGACTTCCAACGCAGTGGAGGATCAGGAAAATGAAGGTTACCCGAAAATAGAGAATTCGATGTCGTACGCAGCCACGCAGGTAGCAGATACTGATACTGTTGGTGCTGAAGACGGGAAAGGGATTGATGTTGAAAAAAGGATCGACGACACCATTGTCCAGACAAGTGGTACAACAACTGCTCCACGCAAGAAGAAGAACGACCCTGAAGTGTCGATGATCGCCGAAACCGTTTCTGTCGTTATCATCGCGCACGGGGAGCACGCGTACATCAATCGCACTGTTCTTTCTGTGGTGGAAAGGACGCCGGCAACCCTGCTCGCTGACATCATTGTCGTGGACGATTCGAGCGACCCACCACTCGATATACAAGCTCTGGAAGAAGCGACCACCGTGAAGAAGACAAAAGCGGCAGTGGATGAAAAAAGATCGTCGTGGAAACTGCAGGTGTTGCGCAATTCGTTCCGAGAGGGACTGACAAGAGCGAAAATACAAGGAGCAGCTGCAGCTTCTGGAGATGTCTTGTTTTTTCTAGATGCGCACGTGGCTATGGGAGAAAACTGGCATGCGCCTATTTTCGCTTATGACCACTTTTACCTGCGTTAGTACTTGGATCTGCATACTCGTTCTTGTTTATAATGGAGAAAATTCAACTAAGGACTGCAAAAATCCGGACAAAGTTCAATCCTTCCGGGCATGACGCGAATCCGCAGAACACTCGCCGCCCACTGCGCTCCCTCCTGGAAAACCCTCACCCAGTTGCGAGCCAAGAACCTCGGGCACCCTCCAAATCCCCGCGCCCCTCCAGAATCCCCCAGCACACATTTGCAGGCTGGAGCGGTGGACTCTAGAGGGGCGCGGGGAAACACATGAAACGAAACAAAAAGACAGAAAAACCAAGAGGAAGCAAGTGGCAAAAGCCGCTAAGCGGAGCACTTCCAGGACGAGGAGGCGGCAATAAAGGCCGTTTTTGTGCAGTTCTTAGTTGACTTAGCGCCAATGTAATTGCAAGCCGTCTTTTCACGCGGATACAGAGACGACTCCGAAGTGGAATGCACATCCATGAGCTTCGTGACGTGAGTCCCCTAGAAACACGGAATAGTAGCGCCACGTCTAAGCAAAGCACATTCGACAGAACTACAGGCGTGTGGTACAGCCTTTCGTTGCGCAGTTGCGGGAAGAGGACTGGACTATCGATTTCTCGGCGATCGGAGCTAAAATGATGTTCGACTGGCGTTTACATTCTGATTGGTTCGACGACTTTAAAATGGGTACAAGGACTGAGCAAGTATCTCACGAAGGAGAAGTGAACGAACATGAACAGAACACTAGTACATCTTCAAGTAGGATGAAAATGAGAAATTCACACTCACAGGGCGAAGAAAATATTGATATACTAGAACAACAAGTGGACGCTAACGCTATCGCTCTAGAAGGAGCTGAGCTGATTAACGATGATGAAGAGCAGGATTCCATTCCGATTTTGTCTGGTGGCATCTTTGGGATCTCTCGGGAGTGGTGGCACGAGAGCGGCGCCTACGATCCAGGCCTGCACTCATGGGGAAGCGAGCACATCGAACAGTCTCTGCGTCTTTGGCTCTGTGGGGGCGAAATTGTGCTCGCACGTAAAGCGGTTGTTATGATGTTTTATTCCTTTGCCACCTCTAGGAGTACAACGAAGGTTTGTGTCGTCGGTGGAATTTCTTGAAAGAATACATAGAAGTATGTAGTACCTGAAAGTACTACCATCTACGGCATGATCTTGTTTTCGAACATGATACTAGGAGTTTCTCTAACTTTTTTGGTCATCTGTTTCGTAGTAAGTGGCCTTACTTCGTGAACAAAACGGAGATGTTGTTGAATCGCGTCCGCGTAGTCGAGACGTGGTTTGGGGGCAGAAATAACGACTTCTTTCGTCGACTCTTTTATACCGTGAACAAGAACATTACGACGACTGGTAGTGATACCGATTCACAACATCCGCCGCAACATTCGTGGAGCAATCTTCGCAATCAGATTGGGGATCTCACGGACCGTTTGTTGCTGCAGGAGCGTCTCCAATGTGGTAGGTTCGACAGTTTTGTAGACCGCTTCCGTCCTATTTTGGAGCAGAAAGGGATGGTCCCGCGCCAGAGCTTTCTCATACGCCTAGTTGTTGGAGACGCCACTAGGACACTCGCACTGATAGCCCTGCTAAGCTCTAAACAACTCGAGAACACATCGCGCAGCAGAAGTGTGTGTCTTGCCCTTGCGGTTGTCCCACCGACCTCGTCCAGTAGCGATGATAAGGAGAGTGCGAACCGACTAGATTTTCAGTGGGACGCTCAGAAGAACGCTAGCTTTAGAACGTTGACGAGCAGCATTGCAAGAGCAGAACGATTTCAAGAACTCCAATTGTTAAGACCCAGTCTGAAAATTGTGTTTCTTTTTTTGATCTTGATGACCTCAATTTGCACTCGTAGGTATCCGTTCAACGATCAAGAGCAGAACCTGTATCAACATGACTAGGAGGACTCCTCTAAGAGAAGGCGTTCGCGTCTGTGACACCCAGGATGCAGAACAACGGTTCATGTGGCAGTACTGGGGAAATCACCTGGAGAGTCTTGGGGTCAAGGGTTATTGCCTAAGAGGCCATCCTCAATTATGGGGGGCTCGTCCCTGCTCAACAACAGTGCAATATTTACCGTGGAGGTGAAACCGCGGCGGTAGGTAATCGTGAGAGTCCGTACTGGCGGTTCATGTCAAACTAAGTATTGTCTCTATGATTTCACAGTAATGCGATATTAAAGTATATTTGTTGATGTTGAAGTTTAACCACTTAGATCTTACGTACAAATACATCTACAACTACAAATACATCAAGCATTCGCTAAAAAGATTCGACGAGGATGCTAATCGTCTGCCAATAGCCCCATGCGTGTGGAATCACGCTGAACAAAAATACGCAGTACGCTTGACGTCAAAGGGCCACATGCTCTTTGTTCACCGCAGTGACTCTTATGAGGGGCGATCATATATCAACGAATATGTTAGTCTTAGAACAAACTTCTAATTTTGGTATCGGTTCATTTGCTTTATTTTCCATTCTTTTCGTTTCGTGGTTGGAGGTATTGATCGTCATCTACGTTTCTTTTACTGGTGCCTATTCATTGAGTCCGACGTGATGAGCAGAGTGGAAAGTCTGAACATCATGTAGGAGCGAGCAACTGATGAACCACAGCACCACCACCGAATCAATCATGTTTCTATAACAAGGATGACAATTATTATTTCTAAGGCTCGTCTCCGGGAGCTTACCCTCACAGCAAAAATCTGCATCTGAGTCCGCCAGCAACTACGAGGACATGCCTCGACGCTTTCCGCGTCAATTTAATGCTCCCTGCGGCTAAGGAGGAGTGGCGATTGCGCGCATCGCAGACCCAATGTGCGAGTGTTGCGACGTTCGGATTTAGGGAGGAAATCTGAAGACTGACACATTCAAAGCATGGCCATGGGCTCCTTATTTTTCTTGGTGCTGTACCTGTATCAAAGAGGTAGAAAGACTGGTTTGCCACACTTGATATTGATGCCAAAGGCTCACTCGATTATGAAAACAGAGTAAGTATGATATTCATAACGTGGATTGCATGAAACGCTGCAGCTCTCTGTGTGTCTGTAAAAAACGCAACAATTATTCTGCAGCCAACTACAACACCCAAAAGGAAAGTAGAGACGAAAACCTCCTGCCCAGTGTCCTGCAATCAAGAGATATTGACACGAAGGTAAGAGACTGAGTCACAATGGATTTCGTTTGATGTGTTCTCTCGGACGCTCGCAGACATCTACACCTATTATATGATCTTTTCACGCAAGAGAAGTGATGAACATGAAGAACATCAATCTTTTAGCATTCAAGATGTTCAATCCAGCCGCGAGAGGATCGATTCAGTGCGCGCGCTTTACAACATGCTTTCTCCCGCAATATTTAATGGAAAGAAATGGAACAACGATTAGAGAGAAGCTACAAAGGCAAGTAGTATAAAAACTAAGACCGCTGTCGGCTTTTTTGTGAAGATCAAATTTTGCAATGTAAATGTTTCAATCTTCACTACTAGTATTACAATATAATTATATATATTTTCTTGTAGAAGAAAAAGAATCTCATGTATCTTGAAGAACGACACCTAAAAATGAATGTGATCAGGTCTTGCTCATTAATTTGAACAAAACGAGAACAAAATGCTCATCGTCTACTTGTCGACTGAAAGATCTAACTCGTTGTCGTCGTGCACCTGACCCTCCACACTTCAGGTACACTCCCCGGCATCTCCTTTGTTGAAGGTTAGACTTGGAGCTTGTTCTCGACATCATCTTCATGCGAATGGCTGCGTAATCAAATCAATTATTCTGGTCTCCTGACGTGCTCTGTGCTTGTCCAAATGAGGATCCAGCCTGCAATGGCGGGATGAAACCTGCTCCGCGTTGTGGTTGCGGGTAGCGCTACTCAATCTCACAACTAAGCAAGAAGGAACAAGGATATCGTCTTCTAAATTTCTACATAACTCATATCTTCTGACGGATGTTAGAGTTACATCCACGGTGATCGTGAGCCATCACGTTCGAGGCTAATATACATGTTGACAGTAGGGGACAGGGACTTACCTCGGAGGTCCTGACGTCACGTTCACGATACGCCTTGCTTATAGAAAGTTGAAATATTATGTTGATGTTCATCATGTGCGTGTTGATGATCGAGATTGATGTTGGAGAATCATTCTATTTCTTCTAAAAGGACTCACCGCAGGTTCTGAAGATTGGACACCATTCGCCAACAGCATCCATCCTGATCCAACATACAAAAACCAGTTTCCCAGGATATGCTCGACAGAGCTACATTGCCAGGTTTGGTAGCACTTAGGCAGCAGCTAAATCTCTGGCTCACTTTGTCACGGGTGTCTCTGTACACGTAAATTGACACCCGTCTAAATACAAATTCTTCTTATAAGTCGTTGCAGGAGTGCTGGTTGTGTTGTAGGCTCACTGTGGTATATTCTATATTACCTGTAGTTGGGATCTTCATGGCCTTGGTCTCGACATTACATTCATGGACTCGACACGGACACTATTACAACAATTATAGATACTTATTGTTATTTTTCCATCAAGAACTAGCTTCTGTCTCTGCAATCAACCTTCGTACAACTTACGGTCGTGATTGATTCATCTTCAGACACTCAAGCTAAAAGTACTGAACAAAATTGTTATTAATATTTTCACAGTAGAAGAGGAATACCAGAGGAGGCGTTAATATAGATACTTTCACTAGAAATTCATTAAGAGAAGCGAATAAGTGTAAAAACAGTGTGGAGCGTGACTTGCTATTCCAGTCAACAAATCTGTTAGTCTACAAGTAGAACTGAAGCATCGCGAACATCAATATTTACTCAGGAGGCAGCACTTCTTTGAGGTATAATCAAACAAGTACTTGTTTAGTAGATCCTCGATCAGGCTCAAGCAGACATATAAATATATTCATAGTATTAGCTGTTGTCTAGTACCGTTTACTACGGTAAAAAACAGAGTGTACATGTGCCATCAACAAACCAAATCAAATTTGTGTATCTTCTATATGATTGCTTGATTGCTGCAATCTAAATCTTTTTCGTTTCCTGTTGTCGCGGAGATTTGCCAAAAGACTCGCTTCAACAACTACCGCATACTTTCTTGCGGCTCGTCTGGCTTTGTTTGACTGAGACCACTGATAGAGTCCTCCTGGTAGTTTCCCATGAGTTTTGATGGTGTCGCCACTAGAGCTTGTTGCATTTCCGTGGTTGCTTCGCAAGTACTATACTTCTGATTTGTGCTTCTAACTCGATTATAGTGTTGTCACTATACGTATACGGACCATTTCTCACTAGAAGTCCAACACTCAAAACGTTTATCAATCAGGCACTAAGTGTGGTTCTACTGTCGTCTTGGGAAAGTTAGATAATAGCAAGCACATCGTTGTGGACTGACAAATTTTCCTTTTTATGCTCTACAATCCATCGTATAATTGCGTTGTCGCAAGCATACTATTGCAGAGTTGTTAGTAGTTAACTGGGAATACGTCGTACTGCAGCTCCTTCTCTTGTTGGGAAGACGAGCAGCCACATTGTTGAAGAAAGGGCCGAGGTTCAGCATCATATGTATTTCTACGTCTCCGAGTAGGAGATTTTTTTGTGAGACTGACCAACGAGAGGTCGTATGGGGTAATTACTTACGCCATGGATTTGGCTACTTTTTTTGGGAACTACTACCGCTCACGCTTTCATGACAAGATTATTTTTCACGATTATCGACGTGAATGCAAAACTCCTTCGCGGATTCCGTGACAATTTCTCCTACAACAAGTTTTGTTCCACTACCTCGATTTTCAGAACAACAACGAAGCCACCGTAGTATCAGTTGCCACGACTGCTCTCATAGGAGTAGGGTCTTGACGAGGTCTCGAACATTCAGATCCGCTGAAAAATAAGAATCACTCGCCTCCTCTATGAAGACGCAGAAACGCACTCAGGAGTCATTCCGGAACAATCACAAGCAGTAGTCGTGAACAATTTTCGTGGTCGCGGTGAGGAGCACACTTCAAGTTGATACACACAAGTGACAAGTAGTAGTCCAAGAGAAACAAGCGCACTTCTTTGGTTGTTTTTAGTACTACTAGGACGTGAATCATTATAACAAGAAAACCAAGTAAAGATACAGATCAGGCACGTCGTTTACTTCGGATTAGCGTGCATCTTTTTCTACTTCTTGTTTCGTAAAAATCTAGATGAGCAGCAAGGAGACAGAGGATACCCTGAGAGAAGATGCCGTCACTCCGTCATCCTCGCCCCATCGAGAGGGCACGACGGTCTCGGGCTCCGAAAGCGCACCTGATCTTACGGCTACTTCCTTATTCTTCAGATTTTTCTTATTCGAATACTTTCAGAAATACACCTACTTACAATTTGAATTTTTCATGTCCGATATTATACGCTGCCGCATATACTGCTGTCAGGTTTCAATCTGGGGGCCGATACATGCATCTACGTATTATTTCGATGTGCAGCTACTTCTGGTTCGATTCGAAGAGAAGTACTAGAAACACGACCATTCTGTGGATGCATGTAGTCGAGATAGCCTAGCTACAGATTGCAGATCTGACTCGGACCACTACCTCTAATCAGGAGATCCTGATGACCACCTGCTCATCGACTAAGACCGAAAATGAAGAACATGAAGATGTTGTTCCTGCTCTTAAGAACAATAGTGCAAAGAAGGAGGCGGTGTCGGTGGAGCAAACAAAAAACAAGGCTCATGCAGGCTCCGGATCCGAGTGGGAACTGGTTCCGGAAGAAGAAAATGAAGAAACCGATGGTGAAGAAGATGCCCGAGGAGTAGAGCACGAGGGTGATGATGAAGGATGTGTCGACTTTCCGCGGGTCGAAGGCGAGGCCGTTGATGGTGCAGAGCCCAGCTTGTCTCAAGAAATCTACAAAAGCCCTGAAGGTTCTCTTCTGGATGCCGATCTGAACGAAGAAGAAGGACCATCGGGGCCGCAGCTCGTATCGTACCTGCAGAACGTGCCAAAAAAATACGATGCATGCTGCACCATCAACATTCTTCTTGCGAACAATCGAGTCCTCGGAGACGCTGAATTTTAGGGCATCTATCCTCCAATTCCTTAACTATAACTAAGAGGCCCTGACCCGTCTCGCGGACAACAACTACAGTATCTACAACTCGTCCTGGTTTGCTACGTGGAAAAACCAGCTGAATAAGGACAAACATTTTTTGTAGAGGTCGTGTGACGTCTCTTCACGACACCCGTCCGCAAAGATGGGGATGTATATCATGTTCCTTATCAGAAGCTGCTAGTACTAGTGTTTCCTAAGACGAGAAGATTGGTAGTAGTTCCTGTTCTTCGTGATGGTTTATCATGTCTAAAATTCTGACCGATTGACGTGGGAAGCAGTTCGTGCCGAACCAGAGATTTTTCATAACTCAGCTGACACAGACGAGCAGGAGGTCGCGAATGCGTACAAGGAGTGGACCGATAATCTCGTGAAAGGCATAGCTGAGTTGAACGAGTACGAGATGTCGAAGACGCCCTCTCAACGCAAGAAAGTTCGCCGCTACTACTTCGACCGTAAGTTTCTAGAAATACCTGGCCTCAAGGAAGGCCTAGTCTTAGGAGCGTGGTCCATCCCGGCAAAAGAAGGCGAACAGGGAGGCGATATGTTGGTGCCCTACATTAAGGCCGACGTATCGCATTAGATACCTATGAGGATCCGAGCGAACAAGCCTCTGTTCCCTTTGTATGTCTTTGAGTAATTATTTTTCCTCTGTTGAAATTTCTTGGTCAAAGTCAATGACGTGTATTGTGCGACGAGGAAGTACCCGATGATCTGCAAAGCAGGTCTAACCGCAATCAAACACGAAGACGAGCCGTGAATTCCTAGAACTACACTTGCTACAGATACTGCATTGTTGTACTTGTAGTACATGTACTTCTTACACACGACTTCTTCGCCTTGTTCGAAGGTCGTCTTCTAATCCGGAGGTCATGTCGCCGAACCTGCACCCTTGCGTGCGGCGGTGCTTGAGCTTTTTCACGGTTCCTCGATCGAAAACGGCGACTCAGAATCTGGGTTATGCCTTTTTGTGCTTTCGAACTCCTGAGCTGCGCGAACGCTATGATGAAATTATGCGTGGATGCAGGCTGCTATGCACGTCGTCCAAAGTCCTGCAAATCTACGACGGACGGCTGCGGAACCTCGAGGACTTGAGGTCGTATTTTGCTCGAGATCACATGGCTGAGTATGAGGAGTGGTATTCCGCGAACGTTTTCTGGCTGAATCGTGACAAGGAGCAAATTTCGAGTATTCTCGACGCGAACGTAAGAACGTGGAGACGGGAGACCCATTCTGAGGAGGATCTGGAGGAGGCTATCTTAGGGCTGAAATATGTAGAGTGTGAGCTCACGACGTGAATCCCGTTAGAATACTGCGCTGGTAGCACCTCTACGAGTGTCACGAACTGGCCGGATTCCAGTACTGTCTCAGGTACTATTTGATTGGGATCATTACTCCGCAGGCGGTCAGATTAAGGGTAGAAGTTCTAAGTATGCGTGAAAGCGTTGTCAGCGAGAGCACCAGAAATGCCGGAGAGGGCTACGACAGCGCGGGAGGTAAACCAAGAGGTGGAGATGGACGGCGTGGAAATCAAGGTGGCAGAAGAAGCGGTGGACCACCCCCATATATGCGACGAGGTGACTTTCGTGGGCCACCACGTAGAGGACCTCACTTTTTCGACCACGGACCTCCATGGTTAAGGCTCCTGTTAACTACAATTCTAGTGCTGGTAGTCCATTGATTCTTTGCTGTAGTAGTGTCCTCTGTGGTGTTCATCTTCTTCTAGCTTGCTAATTGCACTTTTTCCAATGATTCCAGAAGGGCAAGTAAAAGTACATGACTTGTTTTTTATCTGCAGCGTTCGTTCTCTTCTGACAAGGTGGCTCATGAGGGACAACGACGTAATGCAAACGTGTAGATGATCATAGGTATTATCGTATGTATTTAAACGCTCTAGGTTTTTTTTTGGCGAGGTGGAGCCTTCTGTTAGAGTTACGTTGTCAGATACTAGACTTATAGATACAAATGCAAGGTTGGCCTCCGCCACTTTCTATTTCTCCAGCCGTAGAATCTCTCCAAGACCGTAGTTGTCCTCTAAGTTGGTCGCGCGACCTGGATGGGTACACGGACTACAGAGAAGAGGAACGGTGGCGAGACTTCGGACCACGTCGTTCGCCTATGAGTCGCGATCTTCGCTATCCGCGCATGCCGGCATATTTGAGAAACGAAGGTCAATCTCCTCCACCACGGGGAGGAGGCTATCCGCGCCGTGGTGACGATATGAGACCACACGGCCATCCTGATTTTGGTCCTCCTCGTGGTTATAACGACCATGACAACTACGGCCGTCCACCAGCTTATCGAAATCCGAACTCATACAGTGGCCCTCGCGAACGATTCATGTTAAGGGAAGAACTATTTTTTCTTCAAAAAATGTTGACAATTACTCCTTGTTCTTTTGAAGCGCAACAAACATGATACTTTTTATGATTCTTCTTGTTTCAAGAGCAAGGGAAAATAGAGCCATAAGTTAGTTGTAGTTCTTGAAAGTATGCACCAACACAATTTATTATCGAGAACCATAGCGCCTTCAGTACTTATACAACAAGAGTTGTAGTTGATTTACGTATGTCGATAATTTTTCGGAGGAAGACCTTCGTCTAATCCTTTCAGATGAGGACTATGCCCGAGAAGAGTTTTATCGCCATCGCGATCACTACGGCGATCGTGAGTTCGGCCCTGGCGAGGATGGGCCTCCACGCGGTGAGCGAAACTACGACTATCCGCCACATGAGATGCGGGATTTCCCCAGACATTACGAAGGTACTAGTAGTTGTAAAGGACAACTACAATCATAAATCATAATCTTGATCTTCCACTAGTAACACTTACCCGGTAGTTGAGTATTTTTTTTTTTTCTGATTTCGTCCTCCTCTAGGTCTAGAACAATTACAACAGGTCTAAAAATGTCGCTGAGTCAGTGAAGTCCCTACAAGCACTAAATACTGTAAGAGTTGTAGTTCCATATCCATAATACTTCTGATGAAAAAATGCTTCTGGAGGTTACAACATACGCGTCCCCTTCAGGTGATCGTTACATCATGGGCCCTAGAGGACCACCTCCGTCGAAAGGAAGCAGGTTTCGCGGATCGCATGAGGACATGCGTCGCTTTGGTCCGCCTGATCGCCGAGAATTTCATGGAGGAGATCCCCGTGACCGTCCCTTTCTCGAAGATTCTCGTAGAGGGCCTCCTCAAAGGGGATCGTCCTGGCAACAAGAACCAAACCCGCAATACAATCGCGGCCCGCATCATTATCCACATCGGTACTCGAAGTTAAGGATGCTATTTGGTGTAGTTCTACTTGATTGCTCCTCAGCATCATGCTTTTCTTGAAGGTTACTTGATTGTTCAGCATTGGTTGTTATGCTTAAGCAGGAGCTTTAAGTCTACTTTTTAATCGCCGTGGTACTCTAGTCTCTCCACATTTTTAGAAGTACACTTTGGAATGCTAATTTCTGGAGATCATCGCGATGGCTTTCGAGATGAACGTCCTAGAGGAGGGTACCGAGACGACCGCAACTACTCCCCTCCGCATGACCACAGACACGAGGAACGATGGGAACCCCCACGCGAAAAGCACGGGCACAGAGCAAATCCAGATCTGATTAAGGCATCCTCTAATGCATCTTTAATCGCATCCTTGAAAAGTATCAGGGAGCATTTCCCTGCGACATTTTTCAAGACTGCAGTCGAATAAAGATGAACTACGGAGAGTTCTAATTAGAAGGGCAAAAACAGATTATACACAGTTTTTTCCGATCCACGGGATGAAGATCTTAATGGACGCGGTAAAGGGAATCAACAGCGCCCGATGAATGGTAAAAAAGGTGCGGATAATCGACCGGCGAGGAACGGGAATTGGGATAATCAACAGCATGGCAATTACAACAACCACATGAACTCTACTCCTGCAAATAAAGGTCGTGGAAGGCCACTCGATAACGATAATTTTTCGTCACCGCAAATTCATGCTGTTGGCGGAAGCTATGGCGTGTGAAAATGAAATAGGTTTTTGACTATCAATCTAAGCCTAACAAGGATATTTTTGATCTCCCCGGTTATATGTGTGCAACACAGGAAGCAAAGCCAGCTTTTTGTGGTACAACAAGTACATGCTATTTCTATGCTACATAAAAGAAACTCATTCTCATATCAATTCAAATAGAAGTCTCCATCTCTAAGGAATTTATCAGCAAAAGCGTCGCAATGAGGCAAGCCTTGGAGCTGCGGAGCTTGCGCAATCAGTTTTTACAACTTTGACCACACCAATGAGTTATGGGAGGCGAAAGAAAATATATGACCAAAAAACTTTAACAATGTACAAATCTGACGAATTATCAGCATTACTAGTACTAGACTCAAGCGCCCGGTAGCACTCAGCCCACTAGAATCCTCCACCCTCTGCACGCACTTCCCCCGCCATTGCGTGGCCCCGCTTGCCCGGCCCCTTCCCTACGCGACAACTGTCTCGCGGAGTTGATCGGTGAAACAGCACAAGAGTCGGGCCCTTGGCGGCCTGCGGCTATTGCAAAGGCATGCCCGGAAATAGTAGACCCGGGAGCTTGCTGGTCTTCTGTTAGGTTTGGCATCTTTGCGGAAGGCTGAAGCGTTTAAGTTTCAAACTTTTAAAATTCGCCAACTTCGAAGGTACTTAACAACTTTGCGCCCAATTTTTTTCAACGTCTTTCTTCATCGATAAAGTCAAAAATTTTGCCATTCCCGCGCTTTCAGGTTTTGGCCTTCAATTTGAAACTTTTCAAAATCTCAGTTTTTAACTTTACCGCATAAAGAGCGAACTTGAGTGCCAGGGTGGCACGTTGTAGGTTTCAAGCAGAAGACTTGAAGCCGCAAGGCAGTGAAAGACTTTGCCTCCAATTTTTTGAAAGTTCGGGCTGGTCTTTGATAAAATTTGCCATTTTGCTCTTTTCCCATTCCCGCTTTTAGATTTGAGATATCGACTTCAAATTTTTCAAAATCCTAAAGCTTTTAACTTTATCGCCCAAAAAATTAACTTGAGTACCAGGGTGGCGCGTTGTAGGCTTGTTCAAGCTGAAGACTTGAAGCCTCAAGGCAATGAAAGCCTTTGCGCTCAATTTTTTTAGCGTTTACCTCTCTTTGATAAAATCAAAAACTTTGCTGTTTTCGCGCTTTCAAGTTTATAGCGCGTTGTAGGCTTCAAGCTAGCTGAAGACTTGGAGCCCCCAGGCTGTCGCTCATAAGTTCGGGGGTTGGGGGTTCGGCAGTGGAAGAGTGAGAGTTTGGAGGTCGGAAGTGAAAGATGGAGAGTTTGGGGCGCGGAAGTTGAAGAGTGAGAGTTTGGTGGGGTCGTTGTTGATTTTTTATCTAGCTCTTTAATATTACTTGGTTGTTATTAGAAGGATGCACATTTAGGTCGCATGTAGGTACTTGATTCAAGCACTGTTCTCTCCGCTTCAAAGCCTTTTATTTTATTACAAGCTCGCCTGGATTCTCGAGCTTGTTCTATGGAATATGGCTTCATAGGTAACTGAGTTAGAACTGACATGCCAAATGTTCTTGCTCAAGTGTTTAAGCAGTTCCTGTTCACGCGGTGATAGTTATATTGCCCTCCCGAGTTTTCGGGCAGGTTCTGTTTATGAATATAATCGCGACTTCTACTTGAACAAAAAACCCTAGCTCCTCATCTAAGCATATCAAGGTCAACTGGGAGGACAGTCGCTGAGCGGAACAACATTGGGAAAGGGGTACTGATGACAGCGGGGTCATTAAACATGATGCTTCGGAGCAGTCGTTTCGGATCGGCATCAGGATCGCGCCACGCCGAGAAGCGTAGATCACCTCAGGTGTAGTGAAACGCCACAAATGAGTGAAGAGAACTCCGTCGAAGCAGTCGAAAAGGAAGAAAGCTGCGTCGACGCTGTTGAATTGGCAAAGGGGCCCTACTACTTACAAATTATACCAACTACATACGTTCGAGTACTAGTAAATATTATATCTCCGTGGGCGGGTTGGTACAGCTTTGTTATTATCCAACTTGTAGTTGTAGTCTATAATGAAGAAGAACGCCTGTTGTGTGCGGAGGTAGCTAGTCTCCTAGGCTCTTCCATCTAGAGTTGTTTGGCATTTTACTCCTTATATATATATTTTTTGTTTATTGTCGAAGTACTGCTACAAGAACAGAAGTTCGCTCGTCGTCCTGACTCAGTAACCTTGTTTGGTTTGGGTCACTACAGGTAGCAGCGATCGAAGCGCACAACAATACTTACTTACTTAGGTGTTGCGTGGTCGTGGATGATCGATGTGAGAGAAGTAATATTAAACACTTCTGTGACCTACTGTTTTCGAGCGCAAACATCCCTTCTAGGCTTCGAACTTCAGGAGCCAAGCGGACGCGTTTGTAACCAGAGCACACACTGGCGCAGTACTCTATGTTTTTGTGGCGGTTTCTCAATGAAGTTCTTACTCTTTTTACCTAGAAGTAGAGGCCACCGGTTCTTCCGCGTTTTTTTAGATATACTTACGTATGACGGACTACTTAGATATACTGTACGAACAGAAAAGATAGTTGAGAACCGAGGCATTAGTCTACTTTCGCCCATTTTTGTACGCACGAACTACCCCGAACGTCCCCAGCTGGAACAGGCCACGATAGAGGACGTTCCCTACTTCTAATTTTTACCCCTCTTTTTTCCCTGTTGAGATATGTAAGAGGAAGTATTACTTAAGCGGCGATAACTTTCCCATTTTCGTCTTTTTGGTAAACAAAGCGTCTTCAAAGGCGATCAACCCAAAAAACACTTCGTCCTCCTTGGGGCGCTCCGCCGGCCTGTCTCTCTACACCTCGTGTGAAGGAGATAGAAAGGCAACCTATCCTATCCTATCCTATCCGACGAGCACTAGATATTTCAATTTTCTTTTTCGGTTTTTGTTTTTTCTAGTTAGGTCTGCTCCACCAATAATATTCCTCAATGTAATGTCAGTCAGGCGGTGACCACCCTCGTAATCGTAGTACAACAAGGCATGATTGCGCACGAAAGGATGAGTTACGGGGTTATCAAGCAATTTATCAGCTAAGTATCGCTGATGATTGTGTGCTGATGGGCTTGTTTTTTATCTCTCCATACGTGGTCGTCAGGGACATGCCCGGCGACGCAGTTGTGCGATTTATTGCCCTCATTTGCGGCGCGGCTCCGGTCCGTCGAGCATGAGGCACGCTGTTCCCACGTATCGCCTCAGGACGTGGTGGCGCAGTCACTGCAGCCGCGAGCCCGGTCTCCGTCGCTGATTCTTTTGTCTACCGCCCGCTCTTAGCAGAGAAGTGGCTGCCAGGCATAAGGTAGCCCCTTGGGTAGGAGTGAGACCCCCGGTTTCTGTTTTTCTTTGGTTATTCTTTGGTGATTGCGGAACGCAGTTGAGGATGCACGGCGCGAAGGAGGAAGCACGAGGCGGCGAAGATAAGAAAATCTAGGTTAGAGCTCCCTCAACAACGAAGAGTATGTTGCACTTAGGGCGTTAAGCCAGTAGAAACTTACTTTTAGTCTTTCACTTGTCAGTTGGTTGCGCATTAGTCAAGAGTAAGCAGGGTTGACGGCCCTGCCCTCGTGCCTTGTAGGCAGGCGTATAAGTGTGGGACGGTTGGCAGCTGGTGGCGGTTTATATAACACACCTAACCCACCTCCTTTACCCCTATTTTTCATCATTTTTATATCGGCGGGTTCGTAGGCAATTAGTGCCTCCGTAATATAAGGAGACTAATGTACTCCACCTGCCGCCGGTTTGCGAACTGGATAAAACTAGGATCACCCCTCCGGCGGTCTTGGCATACAAAAATAAAGCCTATTTTATCTCCCGCGAAAAAGATTATCGCGGCGGCCCCCTCAGTGAATGAATGATCGTACTGCTCCATAAGTCGTCCTCGGTTCGTCACTTTCTTGGAACCACATGTTGACGCAACAGTTTGTTCAGTTTGTTTATTTTTTCTACTCGATGCGTATGCTTTGTATTTGATTTTTATTGTCATGATAGGTTTGGTGATTGGATGCCCATGAAGGAAAAATCTCCGAGATGGATGTCTCAAAGGCTCTTGGTGGGAGAGCACTGTGTATCTAGAGTATTCAATTAAAACAAGTAAGAACGGTCCTGGTGGTGTATGCAGCCAGTAGCATTTTCCACTCGTTTTATCTTCTGATCAGTTCTCCTGTCTCTGTGCGCTTGGTTCTAATAAATAGTCAATTTTGCCAGAGTGAGTGTCTCTGCCTCTGCCAACAGAAATCAAGGGGTCTTGATGTTTGGCTGGTGCGCATAATGCCGTACTTGTGTATTACTTATAAAAATGAATTATGTTTTATAATCTGGTTGTCGACGATCGCTTTTCGATGAAAACCGGGAGCAACGATGTATGCCATTTCGGAGCTCCCTCTTTGCCCATTAATCCATAGGGTTTGTGATACTTCTAGGGGAGGCTAAGAATATAATTAAAAGATCGTTCTTGACGCAAAGAAGTTGTTGGCACAATGTTTCTTACCTACGCACTGCATGCAGCTTCTATAATATTGATAATATTAAATGTAAATCCATATCCTAGTCCGAACTACACATCTCGTCTTCCTTGCGGTTTATCGTTGACTTCTGTATTTGTACTTCTGATGCTAATGAGCGCGAAGATCACTTGGTTTTCGGCAAGTAGTATATTCTGGAACTCTAACTATTGAGTATCATAGACGACGATGATGCTTATGGTAGGTATGAGGGAAGTAGTGGTTTTGCGCTTATCGTTCCTTGATGTAAGTCTGACGTTCAACGAGCCGAAATCTAAATCATTTTCGCCTGATTCTGTTTGATGTGCGTCAAATGTACTGTGAACGCTAGTAGTAATATAATCTAAGCAATTGGAGTGGCCCTGTCTGTCCCGATACTTCTAGTCTCGTCGTTGTCTTTGCTCGTCCTCTAGTTGACAGGTTCTTGCACCTTGCTTATCTCATTTGATTATGCGTAGTAGTATCGATTAGTTTCTTCCTGTTCTTGGCCCTATTTTTTCCACACACACACACACTTACGCACACACTATACGTAGAGCAGTTCATTGGGTTGCCACATTGAGGACGGGATGGATAGGATGTAACGGATGGACTGCCGAGGATTCGAAGTAGGACCAGTGACTTCGCTGGGTCCATTCGATCCATTGTAGTACATCCGACATCCGTTCTGTAACCTGCGTACTCTAAAAATCGTACACAGTGACGAAGATCCCGCCAGAAGCGTTCGTTTTGATCCTTCGAGTTTTCATTCATCTTGCATGAATTAGACATTCCGATGGGTGGATTCAACATCTTTCGATTTCAGTTCTCTAACACTTGATATAGGTTATTCTTCGCCATAGGATATATTCTTTGCGCGTTGCGCCGCTGTAGTAGGAGTACTGGAGAGGGCGGCCCTGCGGAAGCCCCGTGATTGATTTGGACAAGAGTAAGTCGTTAGGGACGAAATCTTACGCCGCTTGTCGAGTGGATGTAGAGTGAAGTCGTCAAGAATTACCTCGTTCTAGCCTTCTTGAGTATATTTATTTTATTTTCTACTTGCCTGGAACCGTTGACAGCGAGCACCGTTTTCCAACAATTCATGTTACGGACTGCGTGGGCTGTAGGTCAGTCGTTGGCGCCTTGGTTTTGTTTGTGTCGTGCGTTTGGTTGGTTGTTCGTCGTGGCCATGTGCCTGTGTCTTTTCTCTCCAATTAAATCTGGGTTAGGAAGGGTTTGTGGGTATTTGATGGTTTATTCTCGATTTCGTCATCTAGTACAGAATGGAGTAGCGGCTGCGTCTGCGGTCAATACTTTCTACTTCGCGTAGTAACCCTGGACTTCATCACCACGTGGTCCCGTTGTATTAAGTGCGTCACAGCGGCGCCAATTCGTTGCCACTTCGTTGGCCCGATAAGGTGTTTGGCAAGGCGCAGTACTAGCTCTGTTTATGATGGCTAGGGCAGCTTCTAGCGTTCTACATTACATAACGCCAGGGGGGTTACTTATCCTTGTACTAGAGCATCAAAATATAAATAGTGTCCGTCGTCCACTATTCCGGGTTCGATGTTGTTGTAGGTGGGGAGTAGCCTGGCCATTGAGCTGCAGGTTTTGACAAGAGGAGAGTCGTAGTTGTACCACTACGAAAACAAACCCAAAGGGACAACTGGGAATCAAAAAACTGGATTTGTCTTGGTACCTCTGTTAAGTGAGTATGGATGTAAGCTTTTGGGTCTCCGTTCGAATTCTCGCGGAGGCGCTATGAGTGAGTGAGTGGGTGGGAGCTAGACTTCTTTCGCAAGGCATGAAAATTCGCAAGCATGGCTACTCGCTAGGCACGACAATGCTTATGCGTCGTGGCTAGTATTAACTGAGACGCACCGTCAAGTATTGACTGGGGCGTGGCTAGTATTCACTGTAGCCTGCCGTGTCGTTCTAGTATGTATACCATTGGAGCTTTAATAGCAGGGTTTCTTTCTAGCGAGAGATCTACTAGACACTATTAGAGCAAAATACTTGTTGATGCAGGAGTTGACGCTGATATGGTTATGGTAGGTTCACTGTCTCTTTAATATATAATTATTGCTTGTAATATGCATCAACCATCAATTATTAGAATTATTAGTCAAGAACAATTACAATACGAAAGAATTATGGAATCGCGATTCATAATGGACGGTGTCTGTGTGAGGATTTATCTGTCGTGTCTGTCATGACCTAATCCTAAAGTAAGATGAACTTCTCTTGCTTCAACAGCTCCACAGAATAAAGTTCATTTCAGGAGGACCACGATTGGAGGAGGGACCGTTCCGTCGTGTCTAGTTCCTTTACAAGACAAACGAGGATGCTCTTGTTCGATTCATTATTTCCATTGTTATTGTTCAATAAATTACAATGAATTACTACAGTAATAGTGGTGATGTTCCATGTCAAGAATTGATAGGTTCGTTGTATTAGTTTGATACGTAGTAGTAGTAGTTGTTGCTATACCGTTAATGAGGACTCATATTGTTCCTCATGTCGTACTTTCTTTGATACTTCTCCTATCCTTGTTCCTTGCATCTTGAAGAGGATCTATTTCGAACTTCCTTCCTTCCGAAGAGCCGTGTAGAAGTAGATCTTGCCATAGACTAGCAAACCACGACGTTTGGTCGTGTAGACTAAGATGTCTCGGCTTATGATCCTGTGACGTTACTAACTGATGTCGTGTGGCGCAGCTCCGCGCCGGTCACGGACAGACACAAAAACGCGGGTCGTAGCTGTGGCGGTGGAGGCAGTGAGGCTGAGTAAGTGCAGGAGGAAAGTCGTGCGGAGGTGCATCATCACGACTGAAGGCTCGGAGGAGCCACCCAGTGTAGTATCTAGATTCTCGTTGGCTTGAACAACAGGAAGTTGATCTATCATGAGCAGTTATGATCATACGAAAAGTATTCCTGCACATTTGCAACTACGCTTTTTCTTGAGTGTTATTCACTTGTTGCTGTTGAGGATCAACAAGGAGATGCACAACGCGGAGGGGGCGAGCAAGTAGACCCGGGTGGTACATTGGCTCTTTTAGTCAAACTCAAAATACTAATCAACCTACTTCTTCACCTGCTTCTTGAGTATATTGAAAAAGATTCTTTAAAGAACTACCAACACGGATAATGCTCGTCGTCGTCGTGTTGAAGTACTAACTTCAAAATTTATATTCCTTCTAATATGTTGACGCGAAGATTGACGACGTTGCCCCTTTGACATTGTGTTTTCTGAGCTTTGTTTTTTCCGAGAACGGGCTACATTTGCATCATTGTCTACATAGATAGTACTACAGTCTACTTCTCTTCATTGTTGTTCATGTGTATTTGTATTTATGATTTTGTTGAATCAATTGAAGATTCGCATCAAGTGAATTGATAATTGATTCAACGATTTTCTTCTTATTGTCTGTCTTCACGACGACGGCATGTTGAAAAATATTGTGATATTACCATGACATCGAATCATGTTCATGTTGTACATTTTTATCCATTTCATTTACGCGAAATCAAAAAACCTCCAGCTGTGACGACTTGTTGGAAAATTGATCTCTCATCGAAATATGAATCATCGATGGAGGATTGGTCCTCGCAGTTTGTTGTCGCACTTTGCATGCTTGTGCTCTCCTGAGGATCATTCACCGGAGGATGAAACTGGGTCGCCTATCTTGGGACGGGTCGAACCAAGCAGCGCACAGAGACAACATCGTCATCGTCGGACCACATATAATTGTAAAACTGAGGTCAGCGAAATTCAATCCATGATGATCACATTGATATACCAAAGAACTGGAAGAGAGGAAAATTAGAGCGATACGATCTGCGATCTGATCATTAACATGGAGAAGGAGCGCCAAGATCACGTGGTCAACGTCTCTCAGACTTCTGTCGCATGCGAATTGTAGAAAAGGCTGACTTTTGTATGCCTTTTCGAGTAGAGGAAGCGATCGAAGTCTGTCTGGACCTGGTGCGGAATACTTCTCCATTCCTCCTTGTATTTGTAACAAGTATATTTACAACTCAGTACTAGTAAACCCCCAGTAAAAATGCAATAAAGTTATTTTTCCCCCGTTCTCGCAATGGTTCTTGAGAAGATTTTCCGCTTATCCTTGGGCACTGCACTTATTTTTTTGTTGTTGTTAGAAGACAACTCCTCGTCCAAATCGCATTCTTGTTCTATTCCTAGTTTCGTCAATGAATACTGCAGATCCACCGTCTGACATCAGTCCATTGAAGGCACGACCAGTCCTTCTTGAAGGAACTAAAGTATTCACATCAACGCTTTATGACTTCTACGAAATGGACTCGGAGGACAAGTAGATTGAAATGATTCCTATGAAAATGAGAGTCGCCTAGTCGTCTGTGCCTGTAAATCGCAACAGGAGCTCACACAATATTACTTCTGAAACAGAAACAAATTGCTGCTCATGGAGACAACTACACAAGAAGCTGAGAAGTCGAAAGATGAAAAAGAATGGCTTCTCACTGTTCGTGCACTGCATCCTACAGACGGCCCAGAGGCACGAAAAATATGGCGGGCTGCGATGCTTGGGCACGACCTTGCTCCTCCAGCGAAAGAGTAAGGCCAAGTAGCATGACGGCAAAACATTCCAAGGCTAGATGCTCCTACCTCTCCCTGTTTTGGTTTAGAATTTGTTTACACAACTAACATGCATATACGGTCCTACTCACTTGTTAATCGGCCCGAACAGATGCTTATATTTTCCTTTTCACTGAAGATGTATTACGTTTATTGAACAATCCATCGAGAACAAGGAAGCGGTGATTCCACTTAATTATTGATTTCAATCATTGCCTGCATCCTTTTAATGGTTCACTTATAAAAAACAAAGAACTAATGGTTGTTCCTTATTGATTTCAATACCGCTACCAGCAACATGCTCATCATCTAAAGACCGATGATCTCGCATTTCGTTCAGTCGCGGATAGATGATGAGAATGATATGGGAGATCCGTACAGGAGCTTTGTGCGCCCATCTCAAGGTCGGAACTTTTGGGTGGTCGCAGCTGCAAGACGGGGAGACTCACATGCTGAAATTAAGACGTAAAGTTAATGTTAACCTATGAGCATCACCAGCATGATTCGTGAATTATATCATGTTGCAGATGTGAGTAGAAATCGTTACCTTGTTTGAATCTATGCTTCATTTATTTCTCAGCAATCAACATCAATCATCCTGAGAAGTACTACTTCATACAACAAGTGGTTGACCACATCCACACGGAATCGGAAGTTGTGGTTGGGTGTGTGGGAGCCTTGTTACGTACTGCGGATGACATGCAGAGAGTGACGCCAGTCGGAAAGGAATACCTAGAGCGTGTGGAGGGAGACAACTTTCCGTTATGTTAAGGCTAGATCATGATTCATAATGATCTAAATACCAGGGCAGCTGCAGCATGCGGAACACAAAAATGAGTGTGAGTAGAAGAAATATAGATCGTGGTAAGTAGTTCCTCTTCGGAATGTATTTATAACATCAAGCGTTGAGCGGCTTCAACCTCATCGTTGGCATACGACAATGTCAGAGGATCCACTAATGCGATAAGGATGTATAGTGCAAATGTGTCGAATTGTTTCCATTTCCTAGTCTTCAAAAAAACGAACAAGGCTAATCAGTTGTGGGGGTCTGATTTCTAGCACTAGAAAGACCCCTAATGTTAGAAACACCCTCTCGGAATCAACTCTGCTGCTGTCGAGTTGATCCGCATGGCCGTGCGTTCCGACTTTCGCGGGCACAAATTCTCGGGTATGTCAACATTAGATGCTCAGAATAGAAAATATGTTTCAAAGATTTTCATCTTTCGCGTGCAACGTTGGACAAATTCCACAATAAAAATGCAACCATACGATGATCAGTTAGCGGTGGGTCGCATCTTTTGCGTGTTTCTGAGCTGCTGACAGATACGGTTGCGAGATGGGCGCGCGAACAGGAGGCGGCCTTCGTGGTGCTGACTACCGGAAGAGCAATGCAAACTGCTGTTCGGGCGTACCAACGATTAGGCTTTCATGCTCGTGAGCTGCCTAGGAACGTCGCCTTCAGTGCAAAAACTGATGATATGCTTCGCCTCGAGCCCAAACCTAATAAATAATTAACGATTCGACTCTATCTGCCTGTATCTTTAAAATACGGCCCGATCTCGTCTCTCTTAAGGTCATCACGAACGATGATAACAGGGACCACAGCGCGCAATGAATGGTTACTGCCGGATCATCCCTGGCCCCGTCCGATGATTGATCCAGGACAATGATGATGATGCAATATACCCAGCACGGAGCCTCGTCGTTCACTTTGCCACTCGTCTATTTTTCGCAGATACTTATTTCCACAGATACTTAATGGCCTCGTGATCATTCATCCTGCTGCAGCTTAACAAACATCAAGGCAGTGACAGCGTCAAATTTTCGCTCATGGTGCTCGGACCAAGAATCCTCTTTGATTTTCTAGCCCGATTGACTCCATCGAGCTCCTCAGTATCTACGATGTTCTCTTTTGAGCACTTTTCGTTCAACAATGTTTACTGCAGAGTTTGCAAGTAGTGCTATGGAGCAAGAAAAGGCAATTGATGTAGTTGCGTGATTAAGAGACTCTCTTTCTTGCTTTGTCCTCTGAAATTGCCCCTGAGTTCTCTCGGTTCCCTTGACCGTAATATTAGACCACAGACAGACTACCCAAGGAGTAACGCCTTACTTAAGGTTCCGCTCCGGCATGAGCACTTACATGCAGCTTAACTAGTGCCCTAGCACCTGTATAGCTTAGTCGAATGCGCCTTGCATTTAATAATCTTAATATGCTTGTTTCAATCTTACTCTTACAGTTCCGAAAACCTGAAACCTAAAGCTTACGCTTGGGTTGGATATGAAGTGTCATCATGGCGATCCAGGGCGAGCGTCCGAGGAGCTGAGGCTCCATTTGCTCTTTCATCTTTGAGTGCAAATTTGCCAGTGGTCCACGACCATACGACTACTTCCCTTCTTGTTCTCTCGTCTCACCAAAGCCTTCCTACCTATGAACGAGCGACACGACTTACCACGCAACTTTTGCCATACGCCACCTCTGTCATGCTCGGTGTCGAAATTTGCCATCTTTATTTGTAGAAAAGTCATGTTGTAAATTCCTGGACGGTCGTCCTCGTATTCGTAGAAAGATCATCCATGCGAATCCGACTCTACAATGGGGTAACCATTAGAGGCGATCTAAAGATCTTCAATGCAAAGGCAATCGATTAACAATTAACCTTCTGCCATGAACACCCGCAAATTGTGTCAGATCAAGAATTTCACAAACGCGAAGGACTTACTGGGTTTTGATAGAGCGTGTACTATTAAGAGTTTTGGTGTTTTTCTTAGTCTTACGCTTCGGCTTCTACATAACGACAAATTCAGACTTGTAAATAAATATGTATTTTAGTGGAAATATCCCATGTGTAGTAGTTTTCATGCCTGGAACCGTCGACAGCGAGCACCGTAATCTAGCAATTCATGTTACGGACCGCATGGGCTGTAGGTCAGTCGTTGGCGCCTTTGATGTGTTTGTGTCATTTGTTTGTCTGGTTGTTCGTCGTGGCCTTTTGCCGGTGTTTCTTCTCTCCAATCAAAACTGGGCTCGGATGGGTTAGTGGGTATTCGACGGCTTAATTCTTGATTTCGTCATCTAGTACAGAATGGAGTAGCGGCTGCGTCTGCAGCAAACGAATCAATATTATAGTGGAGGGACTTCGACTTGCATTGATTGAGTGTTGACTTTCTATGCTGGTGTAGTCATCATCAAGTTTTTGTGATCACGAAAAGTTTGATTCGATTTCTTGAAGTCCTTAGCTACATAAAGTTGCTACAATACTTTTTACGTTCTAGGCGTACTACTTTTACTTGTACTAGTTTATCGCAGGCTTTATTTTGTGGTATGTGCTGCATGAAAATGAAACTCATACATCACCTTGGGGCGCTTCGCCCGCGCTTGTCTCGACACCTCGCGACGGCAATCTATCCTATCCTATCCTATCCTAAACTCATAAGTGCAATGACAAAAATGAAGTGTAAAAAAATCAAAATGTCGCGACGCAGTTTCTTCGTTTTCCTTCAGCTAGGGCTCGCCTTCACCGTGACACCCGTAGCAGCGTTTCTCAGCGGAGTAACACAAATATTCGGATACCTCCATGTTGACAACAGCGACGACTACATCCTTTATGGCTACAGCGAGAGAGCCGGAGGAGGACGTCACCATGGACATGGCCACGTCCGCTTGGAGAGTCTGTGGCATTTTAAGGGTAGAGCTTAGGTGTTCCTGTTACCGTTGGTTTCGCCTTTCTTAGGGGGGAAAGACACGCACATACTCACTCTTTTATGGCACTAGAGGACAACACACGGTAATCTAACACCAAGACCCTGCAACCTCTAAGCTAGGCGTGACGAATGACTTCTTCTCGAGCGGGCGGCTAAGAGAGACGCGCCCTCAGTCAATTTGTTAAGGCACCAAGCTGCTAGAACTAAAAGCCGTCCTTCGCAGCGATTGAGTGTAGTTTGGTCTTTCATCTGAAAAGGATGCCTAAGAAGTTATTCCATGTTTTTTTATTATCGTTATAGACTTTCTATTTCTTGTCAAGAACGTTCTTCTTGAATGAAAATGTGCATAAGTAGTACGTTTCAACACTTGGGGTTGTGCTGCAAACTTGTAGTAGCAGTAGTGGCTCTAAGCCAGGCGCACCCACACTCGATCGACCGGATATCGCGAAACAACGACCACCTATTATATCACCATGGATGCTGAGCTGGACCGGGACGTTGGGTAATCGAGCTTAAATCTTCTATATGCTCGGCTGAACTAGTTGTTTGTAGAACAAATACCTTCAGGGTGTTTGTTGTTGCTTTTTCTAGCTACAACATCGACAACGAACGAGCCAACAGAGCAATTTTGCCTTTCGCCACCAGGGAATACAAATTGGTGGTTGTAATAGAGTCCTTTCTTCAGAAAATTTTCATCATCATGTACTGACTGGCGCCTGTTACATACTAGCCTTTCACAACTACAAATGCCTCCTTTGATAATTTGCTCTCATCTTGTGCTCTTAGCTCGCTGACAATGCTCTCCGTAGGAGAGGACCTACGTAAAGCTACCCTAGTACTAAATAAAATAGGCCAGGTTCCTCACAGAAGGTAGTACATCCATGACATTTTTCTTTATAACTTTCCACGTTTCTTCACAGGGATCCTGATGGTACGAGCGAATCCCGTCTCCCTACGGGGCCGTATGAAAGAGATTGCACCGCAGAAGAATTAACTGAAGCCGCCGACAGGATAGCGAATGCGAAGTGGCGGGCAACCCGTGATGTGATTATTTTATGACTTCAAAATTGTTGAGTCTCGTAGTTATGTACATCAAGTTCTGCGGTCGGGGATCCATGTCATCTGGTTACTACATGGCTCTTTGCTATTTGATGATGTTGAAGGAACACTACCAATTTTTAGTGGTCGTTTCTTCGCTGTCGTGATTTTCTAATTCACTCTCTCTGCTTAGGCTTTGGCATCCTCGCTGTGGTATTTGGGAGTACCTGGATCGTTTCCTGTTGCAAAAAAAAGGGAAAGTGTGGCTATGGGTGCAATTTTTTATCCTCGAATATGTTTCGTGCAGCTTTTTGTTTTTGACTGCATGTGATCATGGACATAGTTAGATTCACGAGATGTGCCAGAAGCAGGGCAAAAGCTTGCATTCTTGCCAGTGCCGCAGCTAGGAATCTAAGTACGACTTGATTACGTTTTGCTATCGTTGCCTTGTCAAAAGCAAATAGCTCTTCTAATCAGAAGGACAAAAGGATACGGGAAAGTACGGCCTAGCTTCTGTGTCGTCCACAGAGGATGAAGACGAGGACCTCGAGAAAGGCGAGATAAACGGTTCAAATGAAGATTGTGATGAGACGGAGAAGCGTGCAATGCTTTTAAGAGAAAAGCAGAACCAAAAAGATCACATCACTGGTTCAGCGATCGCCAACGGTATGGAATACGGAACGCAAGATGGCCCTATGTTGGCATACATGAAGCAGTTCCGAGGAACCAAAGAACAAGAAGTTCCTGACCATCCTGGTCCTTATTCTACATCTACGGGCGAGCAGAATAATCAACACATCACTCACACCTTCGGACCGAAGTTTTGAAGTTTGACTGCGTATGTCTTCCGTACACCTACACGGAAGTTCTCGCCAGCATTAAGCTCAAGCTGCATATTTGACTAAGCAGACTACGACCGCAGCCGGACTACGGCAAATTTCAAGGCCGCTTGGCGAAACAATAATGGGTTCGGTGTGCTTTTTACTCATGAGTCTACATTGCTACGGTCCTCACATTGCTTTGAGGTCCTGTAAAAAATCTGGTGATGCTGGGGAACAACACGCTATCCAAAAAATACTGTCGAAATTGGTGTTTGATTGCTGTATTAAAGGAAGCAAAAAAATGCAAAAGAAGTTGGTAATTGATTAATGTACTTGTACAACCAGACCTGTACAACTTATCAATGAGTTGCAGATCAATACGAATTCGCTCTCTTTTCTATGATATTCAAGCTTTGTCTTTGGGCACTTGCTCATCCTTGTTGGAGACAAGGCAAAATGCAACGTAGACCAATATTATAATGGGAGTGATTCACAAATTGTAAACGCAAGAACTGCAAATTAATAAGACTACTTACTCCCCAAAATACTTACTAGCTGGAGCGAGAAGATATTATCTACCTACCAATGTTGTTTTCATTGAGATTCAGCTGCAACTACTTGCTGTAGTTGTGAAGTTGTTTCTGGCGACCAGACGCTCCACTTTCAGGATGTTTATCTCGCCAGTGGTAGAGAATGACTACCAGCAGAGACGCACAATGATAATGAAAGTCCTTAGGAGCAAGTGCCACTACGTTTGTCTTTATTATGCTCACGATGTGATGGCTCAAAGTATAATTCTTCGAGATCCTCTTTCTTGGTGAGGGATAATCCTCCGCGCAGTATTTTTCCACACGCATGAACTTGATGAGCTTCTCGATATTGAGGAACTTGTTGAGAAAAGTCATAGTTGTTTTCTTATCTTTTGCATCGACCACGTGCGAGCAGGTGCAAGACTGTGTGTCATTATTGGGAACAAGGTTGAAAAGCATTACGCACCGTGAAGATTTGGTCCTTCACCGCTACTTGCCGTGTTCAGCGTCGACGGCAGTTCTCTTGAGATTGCGGAGCTCCTTGGGAAAAGTGTTGAGCGAATACGACTCCCCGATATTCCAGAGTGGTGAGGAGAAAATGGAAGAAGAGAGGAACGAACTACTTAAGAAGTATTCGTAGAACGAACAAAGTGGACGTACCTGTGTCATGTTTTAGGAAAAATACCAAAAATCGATTTCAAAAGAGGAACAGAAAAAGAGGTGTTGCGAAGTGTCCTCACTAAATCTGACGGAGAAGTAAACTGAAACTGTTAAAGCCTGACCTAAAACCTGACCAGTGGCCATCATTCTGAAAAATAGGGAACAAGAACACCTCCACAGGTGGTAATCACACACACGAATAATTTGAAAATACGTCCCTTTGTGCAATCTATTTATTACATTCACATTATAAAGTTATCACTGTCGCTTTCGTGAATATTAGCAGTGCTTCCATGGATTATTTCTCGCAGTCATATTAGACTAGCACCTGTCTACAGTCTTCAACAGAAACTCCATCCACCCGCCCATCAGGTCCAGCATCTACGTCAACCAAGAATACCAGGAACTTGTATAACTACACCACTGCTCACCGAGACGAGAAGTTAGTCCATGTCTTCTCTAGAACGATGGCTCGTGAACCGAATCCAGAAGAAGGGGGTCGCCTCTTTGAGCCAGGAGGAAGTCATTATGAATATTGATACTATGCTCAAGAAATTATATTAAGAATAACACGGAGAATGAACAAGCTATCTTCGTGATCACAAGTACAGATGATGATGAAGTAGATGAGTTCTGATGGTTTTTTTTCTTGCAGCATTGAGCGACTCGCAAATGCAAACAGCAAGCTGACTACATTTACAACAGGAGCTGTCAGAAAATTACTTCTATTACACCATGGCTTCTACAAGAAAGCTCTAAGCTGAGTGTCGTCCATGCTGGCTTGGCAGCATTCGAAGAAGAATGGCAAGCGGCGACGAATAACAAACTGCCAGATGCCTTGAGGACACAGATTATAGATCGCGTCCAGAAAAAAGATGCGAGTTCCAAGTATCATTTTTTCCCTGCAATCTGAATTTTTTCCTTTTTCTAACGCGAAGAAAATACCTAGTGTGTATGTAAGATACTACTTAGCATTTCCATCCTCGTCCATCTGACCACCTCCTTTTACTTTCTAGGTTCTCTGAGGTGGAGCAGGTGCCTTTGTTCCAAAAAGCAGTGGTTTCAGGGGATGTGGCTCGCGTTCGGGGCCTTTTGGGGAAGAGTGGAACACCAGGGGTCCAGACGTTACTGGCCGCCACTGATAGCGTTAAGGCTGGGCTTTTCACTATTCCCTTTGGAATACTACGACGTCTAGAAGCAAGCGAGTGCGATTTGCTTCTGCTAGATGAATTATTACAGCAAAGCCGGATTGCTAAATGTGAATTACGACAAAGACCCGAAGGAACACTTGATTTAGTATGACAAAAACCAATGATTCTAAGCAAATAATTTTGACCACGATGTTCTTCTACAACCTTTGGAAGTCATCTAATATGAGAAAGAAAACCGTAGCTCACATGGCAGCAAAGGAAGGGTATGCAGACATTCTGCAGGTCCTCGCAGATCATAGCGCAGAGATGGGTTCGAAGGATCGCACTGGACGAAATCCACTGCACATTTATGCGGATCATGTTGTGTTGTCATGATATCATATCTAGTGCCCAGCGTACGAAATCTTGATACCTATGTATAATGTTATAAAGTATACTATAAGCATCCTGCGAATGCGATATTAAGGATATTAACCACGAATTACGAAGGGGAGTAGAGTAGTAGAGCAGTACCAGTAGATGTTGAACCAATCGCACTCATGCTTAGTTCGTTGGTACTCTTCTAATTTCGTGCTTGCGAATACGGTCAGCCAAAAGCAGTGCAATTGCTTCTGAAGTTAGACGTGCCAGCAGAGGCGGCTGATGGGTTGGGGCGAAACGCGTTTCATTTGGCCTGCTGTGGTGACTCGTTGCAGTCGCTCGAATATCTGTTAGCGCGAAAGCCGAAGCTGCTTAACTCCCCTGATCGACATCAAAGGACAGGGCTATTCTATGTTATGGTGCATGTGGACCGTGCCTGTCTTTTGCTGTAGTACACAAAAAATTTTCTACATCAACTAGAAAAAATTAGAGCTTAACATGGGCTAAAAAGTAGGTTTCGGAGTGCTGTCATAAGATATATGCGAAAAGTAAAAACCCCTCGTCCCTTCCCTACCTTCAAGTATGCCATCCTGAACACGCACCAGTCGGGCGCGGGTGAGCTGTTAGCGCAGAGATTGCTGGAGATGCACGCCGAGGTAAATTTTCGGGATGCTTATCGAAAAACAGCGCTCCACTACGCGTGCGAAGAAAATCGAAGGAAGTGCGCCATTCTACTGCTGAAGCATCGAGCGGACCCTGCTGTACAGGACGGAATCAATCGGATGACGCCTCTTCAGGTCTGTCAAAGCGAAAGCCTCAAACGTGAAATCAAGAAGTTCCTTGGTATTCCGCAAGATGCTGACGCGGCGGCAATAATGGGAGCAGGCGGGGGTACTTACTAATAACAGAGCAGTTTATAGCACGCATGGAGTGCATGGGGCGCAGATCCATAAGGGAAGCAGGAAACGCCCCCTTTAACTCCATGCGATCCATGCACTCCATGCCATGCGAGCTGGCAAGCCTTATATATAAACTCCTCGGTAATAATTGAAGAAAGAACGTGAAAGGGAGTTGTAAGTATTACATGCAGCGCACCTCTGGAAGATCATGGCAGCGAGGGGGTAGATGAAAAAATTTAGAGAAGAAGACTTTCCATCAATGTTAAGTAAGTCAACATTTGTTTCCCTCTCTCTTATTAGGAGGAGGCGATAGTTCCAATACTGGAGCAGCCTTGGCTAAGGCGAAGACTGGCAAAAGCGTAGAATTTGAGCCTGCAGCAAATATTATGGTTGAAGACAACACGACTCCACCGTCTCTGACTCAACAAAGTTAACATCAGAAGCTTGCGGCTTTTGATGTTTCAGCCAATAGAAAGCATCTAACTTGGAGACTTCTCCATCTTTTCCCGGATAATCATTCTAAGAGGGCGCATCAACAGGGATACGGCGATGGCGTGAAAGTTGAAGCCGCTGTTGCGAGAGCACCCGTTGCCCTCGGTCTGAGCTATGAAGAGGAGTTCGAAAACAATAAACCCTGACGGTCTCCTCGTTTTTCTGCACGACGGTTATCCTAGCTTCGTCAGCCTCGTCTAATTATAAAACTAAACAACTCAGTAAAATAATTGTCTCAGTCTTCGCACTTGCTTTTTCTAATTGTCTTTTGCGCAATTGCGGGATCGGTTCATTCGGCTTATGACGCGCGTTCAAGAAGGCGGCCTGCAACAGTATGAACACATTAAGCAGCCTCACCTGTTCACCGCTTCATGGATGCAGGATGTTAGCAGTCATCAGCAACTTTTAGGTACTTAATAAAGGTACGTGGTTCATCTCTCCTATATAATTTCTTTCAAGCTTTCAAGGATCTCGTGTTGCTTTCAGCATGCAGAACTTATGATTACTTAGGTCAACCAGCTTAAAGTTAAGTGTCTGGACATCACAAAAACTAGAAGAAAGGAAAAAGTCACACTGTCTGTCTTTATTGAACAACTACTTAAGTACATCAAAATCAAATATGAATCCGCCACCAGGCTTAACCCTATCTCGCATATCTGGTCCGGAAACTGCAATTCGAGTCTTCAATCTCCTGAGGCCTCCAAGTCATTTTCCTGCGGCGCGTGGAGATGAGCGTGATATACTAGCATACTACGCAACTTATGGATCCTCCGATGACTACTAATATTTTTTTTATTTTTCTTCATATTTATCATTTACAATTTCAAGATCAGTTTCAGTATTTCTTTTTACTGCTTCCAGTCCCATGGTAATCTTCAGAATGAGAACTGTGGTCTGTTTTCATCTTTACACTTTCATCTAAGTTTCAAACGGCGCCAACGAGGATCAGAACAAGTCTCAGGTATGGGACGGCGCAGACGACCCTTTTAACCTGCTGAATGCTACGGCCACCGAGCAAAAGGAGCACGAATTTTCTCAGGCGCGCAAACAGGAACTTATACGGGAAATCTTTGAGCTCCGTCAGCAAATGGAAAGTCGAGACTGCGCTAATGAAGAGCTGAAAAAGCGAAATTCCGAACTATCGCTTAAATGCGAAACTTATCTTTTTATGCCCACAGTATGGATGTTAAAAACAGAAGATATAAATTATCATGAATGTAGCGAAGAAATTGAAATCATTTTTTTAAGTAATTCGACAAAATCACAGCAATTATAATTCTTTATTTCTGTAGCCCTAGCCGCATGAGACCCTATTACAACGATGTGTTTTTTGCTTGACTCTTTTCGGTGGTCCGAGTTGTTTTCATTTTATCCCCCGAGGACGTCAAAGGCTACCGCAACGAGCTTGCGCGCCTTCGGGCTGAGAATACGGAGCTCGACCTGGGAAAGCAAGATGTAGGTCACAAGTTGCAGAAGGTGGAGAGCGAGGCGCGGATATTGCGCCAGGAGATGGAGCAACAAGCAGCCGCCGCAGGAAAGTTCAAGGCCGAACTAGCCGCAGCCAAAGCACAGCTAGAGAGGGAAATGACGCGGCAAGGTGAAGAGCTAGGCTGGAAAGCAGTCAAAGACCGCATAGAATTACAGTTGGACGAACTGGAAAGAGACAAAGGCCTTCTGCAGGCAAAAGTGAACGATCTGCAACGCAAATTGGAAGAGAAGGGTACTACTTACTTTGAACTCGAACAGCGACCACAGCACTGTAATGTACAAAATATTTTTAATCTGCTGTATTGAAATTGAGATTGACGTAATGAAATATAGTTGGCCAAACAACAAGCTCCACAACTGCAATTGTTGTTGTTCTCTCGACTACTCAGGAACGCAAAGTTCCGCGGAATTACAGGCGGAACAGCGCCGACTCGAGCGCAGGGCCCGTGCAGCGGAGGAGGTTGCGGAAAATGAGCGCCGCAAAGCCCACGCTGCTCAGGAACAGGCAGTTGGAGCGGAGATGGCAAGGTCCGAGGCCGTTGCTGAAGTCGAATATTTGAAATTAGGTTTCTTAAACATAGATGGCGCGTCACTGCTACTAAGTAAACGTAAACATCAGTAACTACACCTTATCTTCTCTACTAAGTACTTTCTACTCATCGACGAACAAAATCAGGAGAACGTCTGTGATCTTCTAATGAAAGCAACGAAAGCGGGACTAGAAAAAGCAGCATCAGACTGGGAAGCAAAGTATCGTGCCGTGATGGGACAACGGGCGCAAGAAAAATACGGCGAAGTAACGAAGCTGGTGGGACTCGAGCAAGATGCTTTAGCGAGTCGGGGTGTCACAGGTCAAGCGGTTCAAATCGGATACTTATGGCAAAGGGATGGAGATAGATATACAGAATACCGCATCATTAATCCAGATTTTGATTTTATTTGAAGTAGGAGTTGAGACGCAACGATGATGATGATGATGATGATGAAGTCGGCGACTGTATCACACGCTGTTCTCGGAAAATAGTCCCCTCTCCTCACAGGTCTGTCTCCATCTCCGTCTTTTTCTCCTCACCTTTTCATGCTTGAGCGCTGGGTCCCACAATGCAGCAGCCCCGATGGCCACAGTCATTGGTGGTCCCGTAGCTGGAGCCGCGGTGGCTCAGCCGGTTAGCCGTAGTTCATCGAACTCCGGTCCTGCAGGGGGTCGACCGGTAGCAGTGGCAGTCCCTTCTTCCCGGCCTCCTCCGTCTGGAGCCCCGCAGACCCCAGGATTGTCGACAGCGTCGGTTATGCTTGGAGATTTTTTTTCTGCTAGAAGAAATTCTGTTCCAGGATTCGTGATAGCAGCAGCTTCCCATCGATCTGAAGATCATACCTTGCTTCATAGACCATGGCTAGCTTTCAGTGTGCCCATGCCTTACTAAATCACTGTCCTCCACCTTCTGGAAATAGAAAAGCCTCTGTACTGGTCTCGACATCCACTAAGTCCCGCCAGGCCCCCGTCGGTCTGCAAAATACAGGCAAGAGCAACGAGAGTGGAACCATCGTTGGGTTGTCCCCGGCGGGCGCCATGAGCTCGCTAGGCGGAACCATCAGGGATCACGGACTGCAGACAGCAATGGACACGATTGATCGAAACCGTTTGGAGGATGACGAATTCGAGATCGAAGAAGACGACAGTCACAGTAGCAGCACCGAACAAATCAAGGGCACTAATATTACGGCCACTAGTAGTATGAAGATGAAGAACAGCTAACATGGAAGATCCTAAAAGACTACGCGAACATGAAGATCCTAAAAGACTACGGCATGTTCTTTTAGTCGTTTTCTACTTGAAAACAACTACACGATGTTCATCTGGAAGATGGGTCGTTGGTGGCTCCAACAAGACAGGTGCCGAGGCTTCGACAGCTGGAGGACGGGGCGGCTCCGTTGTGAATCCTCAAATCGAGCGAAAGGGTACAGACCTGAATCTCCACAAGCAACCAGGATACGTGGATGCTCCCGCTGCTACTTCCGGGAGCTCGGCAATGTATGAAAAAAGGTAGTCTCTTTACCATCACAGCTGAAAATAGCTGGACATGAGTGATTTGTTGATCCATTCTCTTCGTGGTCCTCCCTTCTCTTCTCTCTCTCTAATCGCAAAAATCCGCTGGAGCTCAGCCGCCATTAATTGATCTAGGCGACAAGAAAGGGGGTCGGAAGGTCGAGCGTATGGACACGATAGTGAATCCGAAGTATCGAGAAGGTGCACATGAGCAAGCACCGTCGATATCGGAAGACGTTTCCGCGGAGCTAACCGATATACGCGAGCCAGTAATGCCTGAGCCAGTGAAAATATTCCCTCCACCAGCTCCAGATACACAAGCGAACAATAAGACCAAAGCTTCCATTTCATCCCCCAGTTCTCCAGGTGAAACAAAGAAGGTTTTAACTGGCACGTCTGCATCCGCTTCATCTACCGCACCTACTAAGGTGGCTGCTGCAGTCGCGGCTAGCGGGTCAGGCGTCCCGTCGAAGATAGCGTTAAGGCTACTACAAATGTTGTTGTTCTTCCTTGTTTTTTTTTAGGTAAAAAGAGATAATTTCCACTTACAAATTGCTTCTACAACTACTCAATAACAATATCTTCTCCTAATGTAGTATGATTTCATTGCGTCTTGAGCTTGACATCTTCAATCCACCTCGTCTAAGCGACGATATTCGAGGAGAATTGTGTGTACGCGTTATTGGTGCGTCCAATTTAGCGAATGCTGACACTGCTGTTGGTTCATTGTCGGACCCCTTTGCAGTGGTCACAGTAGCAACTGGTCCGAGCGGCCGTGAGGCCAGGAAACCACTTGTATGGCGCAAAATATGTATCCATTTTTTTTTTCCAAGTTGATAGAAAGTATCATCTGGCTTGACTTGTTAGGAGGTTGCTGGGGTCCGTCGCGGAAATGAAAATGAAAACGCCTATGACGCGGTAACCAGCTTGAGCAACATCTTCAGAATGCCTTCTGTAGAGAAGTCGGTACTTCTCTAATGGCCACAGAAAGAACGATGCGGCATCTGAAATTCGAGAAGCGGACGACGCACACAATATCGGACTCTCAGTATCCGGTTTGGGTTGGAGGTGGGAAAAACAAACCATTCGAGTTCAAGTTTCCGATCGACTGGCCAGCAGCAGAACTCCCGGATGCGGTATAGAATCACTGTGATTTTCTTGTAGTGCAGTCGAGACCTACTTCTGTGAGTCTACTATGCAGTTCATTCCCATTTGATAATGATAACAGATCAACCAATCTCCGCGAATTTTCCACCTGCTGGATTACAAATCCTCTACATCTCCTCATCTACTTCAACACCCTCAACTAAACATGATTTATATGCCATTACTATTACAGTAATACTTCTCCTCCACGTCCGCTTCAGTCATTAGCCGAACTGTGCCGCGCTGTAGGATCGATACATGTGGAGATATACGATGGGGACCTCATAGGGAGCGAGTTCGTTGGCGGTGCTGCCATAGGTTTTTCCGGGAAAAAGGAATTCCCGTCTGCAGGATACACACAGAGGGTAATCGCTGACCTTTCCGATAACAACGGAAAAGCCAAGAGCCTCAGTAATTCAAATACAAATTTCCTTTTTCAGGAAATCTTCAACGATTCTATTGATAGCTTTTTACAATGGCGGGACATCGATGTTATATCTGTAAGCAATGTTGAGGTATTGTTAAATATTGCTGACAACTGAACTACGTAGTTAGAACAACTTCGTCAACTGATTATGATACCTTCAATACACGTTTCATTATATTTAGATCATGACAATCGCAATCCCATTTCCAAACAAAAACAATAAATTTCTTTGTATCTGATCTACAGAAATCACGGGTCAAGTAGTTCTGGAATGCACATGGAAGCCAGTGGGGTTGGCTACCTCACCACCGCTGCTCCGTTCGGTGGCACTGGACAGCGCAGGCCTATGTTGTCCAGCACTCCAGCAGCATAACGTTCTATGCGGAGAGCTCAAGGTATTTTTTCTCAGTGGACGAATGGACTGTGATATTAGCATTTTTGGAATTCCATGACCATGTTGAACATTATACGAATTCGCAGTTGTGCCCAGTTTTTGTTTTTCCAGCAGAAGTATGTTCTGTCTTGTTTTTACAAGTTGTACAACTTATCTTCAATCTACTAAATGAATCTTCAGTATCAATGAATCGCCCGCCAGCTTGGTCCCTTTTCCATCAGGTTTGGGTCAAGTCGGCAGCAAAATTGGAGAGCTTTCGGAAGATGTTTGGTGGCAGTAGCTGCGCGCCATTCGTCAAGGTGCACGTACCTTGTGTTCCGACCTCAATGTCAGCGGCCGGAAAGAGCTACCCCGACAAAGCTTCAACGTGGCAACTTCCGACAAAATCAGTTAAGGCTAACTTCATTTGTTCTGTGAACTACTATTATTACTGTACTAATTTTTGAATCTCGAACATGTTGCAGCGCTTTGCCCGCTTTTAGTTGTCGGTGTAGTACGAAATACTTTTTGTTGTTGTTCTTGACCTTGAAAAGGGTTTTTTTTCATCAATGGCTACAACATGAAGACTACGTCTTCGTCACACTTCTACCCTCTAACTCGCGAACTAGTGCAGCGTGGGATGCGGAGCACACTTTTTTTGTGATGTGGATCTCTTCAAGTGCTATTGCAGAGCATACCTGCACGATCGAAGTTTTCCACGAAGCGCAGTACTTTTTAGACCATTGATATTCTATATATCAAACAAAAAGCAATATTTTTGGATAGGTTGTCTAAAAGATTTGGTCGACGTAATATGCTATCCGTTTCCGCAGTGGACGATCATTTGAAGATGGTCGTAGCTAGAGATTTGTAGCAGCTGCGTGTAATATCATGGACATAGAGATACAGATAGAGATGGAGTGGCCACGGCTTGCCTCTCATCATGCGCAAGACCATTGGAAGATCACTTCTAACTATAACGCTCGCTAATATGTGATCAGCCTTGCCACTTTTCTTTTTCTCATATCAACTTGAACATCACCAGAATGAGCTCTACGTTTTTGGGTGAGTTAACATTTGCGCTGCCTACAGCGCGCAGTCCGCGGAAAGCTCTGGGAAACTCGACACTTCAGAAAAATGCCGCAAAGCGTGCGGAATCTGGAAAGCAGGGTGAATTAGCAGTTGATATCGCATTCGAGCCCTTCTTCATCTAGAAGACGCAAAACTATGTAATACAGATATACATAGCCTGCCACGAAATTTCTAGTTCGCGTTTCAAACCTCAATATCCATGTCTTCATCGAGCGAAGGAGACAGTTGTTTTTTTATCCCAGATGAATGACTAAGACTAGCATTAGACAATTATTTTGAATGTAAGTATTATCACAGTGATTATAGCTGATGCTGAACCTGAAGCCAGAGTACCCAGATTGTAGCCATCTGAAAGAGAATACCTACGAAAATCAAAAACGAGAATCTAGCTGTTGCTTTTTATACGGCTGTTAGAAATAAGCATTAAATTTCGAAAAAAGTGAATGTCTATGTCGTGAAAGGTTTTCGATTGTCGCAGTTGTTTTTGTCAATAAGCGCTGAGTCCTATGATAAAGATGTTCTTTTTTGATACACACAAAAAAGGATTATGAGATCCAACTTTGTGGTTTCCAATCAGCGGGACGGGAGGTCCAGGTCGAAGACTCGCATGCAAAAACCAAGTCACTGGATTGCGTCTATAATCCCGCAATTACGAAGACACAGCTGGTTATGGGTATGTTGGCCACCTGATTGTTCATCAGGTTGAATGATAATCGTACTGATCTAGCTTGTTATAAATATATGTTTGTAAATTCGTACAGTAGATGATGAAGATAGAGGTTCTTGGCTCCTTATTTTGAATAATCTATCACCAGAGGAGTTTCAGGCTTGGAATATTTATGTCACAGGTGAAGCTGATGCTAAAGCTTGATTGAAGTCAATTACTTACGCAAGCATGTTGGTATGTTGCAGTACTCCGCCAAAAAAATCTTTAAAATTGTCAGACTTGTTTGCGCTTGTGTCATTACGGATCAAATAGCATCAGCCTCCTCGGGCTGAGCCGCCTCGGCAACCGCTTATTATCTGAAAGTAAGGCTCCAATGCGATCCACCTAATGTTGGAAAGTCGCACGTGCTACGCGAGTCCGAACCGTTCGACAACAGGGCTGCACGAATCACCGAAAGAAGAAATTTCCATTTTTACGGTCTGTAAGGTGAATATGAGCGCATAGGTGTGAGTTGAGTAGGAAAGCTGATGCGAAAGTGTCTTTCTAGAAGTCTGTCGAGAACCAAATTGATGAGAGCGTAGTTTCTGTACGAGGCAAGAGGAGTGAGATACTTCGTACATGTGGCATGATCTTCTGTCAAAATACTGGCTTTCATCTGTATTAGAGTGGTTGAGAATAGAGAATCTGATGAACATGATTTTCGCAAATGAAGAGAGGTGTCATGACTTTGGCTTATCCGTCGTGCTGAATCTACTGTTGTGCGACTCTGTTGTCTGTGTCATTTGCCGAACCAATGTGATGAGAGCCTGCACGTTCGTATTATTTGATTCGTAACTCAATGAATAATATGAAACGCACGACCATGAGGCTTAGATTGTATTCATCATTTTTTCATGTGTCATCCAATCAGCACAGAACTTCTTCGTATAACTTCTCGTATATTATTTTCCCCTCTACTTCATGTTGTACTCCTGTACATTTTCATGTATGTACACCCCTGTGTGTCCCTCGGTGGAGCCTTTTCTCGTGCTTGTTTCCTGAATCCTAATCTTCATCTTTTCTAGTCTTCGGGCTGAATCAAATTCATTATGAATAAGTATCAGGAAAAGCATTAATCTGCTTGCTATTCTTTCACAGTACGGATAAGGATAACGTTTTCATATCAATCAATATCTCTTCTATTCAGCACCTCAGAAAAATGTCAGCGTGTACGTCAGAGCGTGTGATTTATCGTGAGGAAAACCCTGATCCAGGGCTGGTGGTCTTGGCAACCCTATTATGCACTGCGCTTGTCGTCGCGTCCTCTTATCTGGCCTACCTCTACTATGAACGTCAGATGGCCGCGAAACAAGAAGCGGGAGGGGCCGCTGAGGGTGATCTCGAACTATGGGGAAAAGGATTACAAGGCCAATGGCAAACGCAAGGAGACCAAGCTCGCGAGTGGGATGCAAATCCTTACCAAGCAGCGGGATATGGTAAAATCTATAATGATAAATTCAATTTGTTCATTTGGAATTTACCAGGAGACTTTATATTCATGATGATTCAACAAGTACAAGTTGTTAGTTTACTACAGACTAGAACTTCTGATGTTATTCACAACGCATTAGAATTATCAAGTTCTCGTAAAAAAAATTGAGATTTGCTTAGATCTGTCTTATTCTGGTCCCCTGCAGACACGATTGTACTGGAAGTGCAAGACGTAGTATCGTACTTCTTCTTCTTTCTCCTTCGTGGAAATTTCATTTTGCTATTCTCATCACAATTTCGAGGATCATGGACCAAATAATGAAAAATACATATACAATCAGCACTTCCATATTCTCCTCCTCTACACATGCGTCCTCATGAAATCAGCGCAAAAGGGTACCCCAGCTCGTCGGGCAGCCACTGCAGTCGCCGGAAAGGGTGGTGGTCCTGCTCCTCGCGCAAGTTCACCTGGTGGCAAGAGTGGCAGTCCTGGCCAGCAAGGTCAGTCCATGGTAGGAGCAGCAAACAAGATAAAAATGGCAATGTCAATGAATTCGCTTCCTCCTGGAAAAAAGGGTAAACCTTCACCGACTACATCAAGAGACGCTAGTCCTGCTAGTCGCAAAGGAAAAGGTGATCCTTTGGATACGAAAGGTGGTGGAAAATCTCCATCATTTTTTGGCAAGGACAGTGCCGCTATGGGTACGGCTGGAGGTCCTAGATCCTACGGAAAGATGCCAGGCAAAGGACCAATGAAGGAGGGCTCGCCAGAGCACGATAAGGTTAAGGGCCTAAAAAAAGGCGAAAAGGGTCTTGGAGTTGAAGCAGAAGGAAAAGGGATGAAAAAGGCTATGATGAAAAAGCCGTCGAAGCACTAGAAAGTCAACAAGAATAGTTCGTGATATAAATACCGATACCCTGCTGGAGAAGTGCGGGACCAGGAGGCGGCAGCAGAAGGACATTGAATGAAAAAGGCTATGATGAAAAAGCTGTCGAAGCACTAGAAAGTCAACAAGAACAGTTGGTAATACAGATACCGCGCTGGAGAAGTGCAGGACCAGGAGGAGTTCGTATTTCATCGTCATCCTGTAAAACGAAATGGGTTTTGGTTTTGCTCTTCAACATTCTACCCTAGGGGTCCTCGGTAGGAATTGTATGTCCAAATTTTCCTTATTTCATAGTCTTCATACCATCAATGGAGTTCTAGCGTTCCGATTTTCAGGTAGGCAAAGGAAAGTATTTATATAGTCTTTAGTCTAAAGACTATATAAATATGATGATCTGACCTTTCGCTTCTTCGAGCGTACGATGAAGATCATAGTCACCATCTTACTAAGTACGCTGTGGTGTTAATTGTTTGATTTGGTATGAATATCTTTGATTTTGAATTAGTCGAATGAAAACGAGTAATGGAACTGAGACGCCCACAGGGGTTGCGTAGACGACGAATTATTTCCTAGGCTTACTTTGGTATAATTGATGCTTCGATTATTATTGACGGCTTCAAGGCTCTTTTTCTGCATGTGGTTGGAAACTCTTCCTCATATTTATATTAGTGTGTTGATAACTTCGTAGCTGCTACCAAGAGGTCTGTCTCTCTTGCAGTAAGAGTGATGCTTCTTAAAAAAATCTGTACTAGGAGAGAGAGTAGAGAGAGTGAATCAATAGGCTTTTCGTCGTGAACGTAATGTCTGAATCTGTCCTTGTCTACGACATGAATTCTGGTAGAGAGTGAGGTTTTATTTGAAACAAGAGAGAAGATCTACTAGCAACCTTCATGATGATTGGCTCAGAGGCATGATAAGTCCAAATTTTGAGCAGAGGTTTACGAGCTCCTCTCTGTCTAACGCGGGTCGCGATGAAGTCTGTTATTGAGCTGAGGGATTACGGACGTATTACCGAGCTATAATCTGAAGATGATCATCTAGCTGGCATGTATGTTAGTTGTGCTCCACCTGGTGTCGGAATAAGAGACGTCGGGCACATCGTGATGTCGACGGCGTATTATCGCTGCATTTCGGAATCGGAGCAGGTTGAGCTGCGACGAGTGTAAATTTTTGTTCGTGGCATAAATGATGTACTCTCCATCTCCTCGACGTCAGGCATAGATGGTCTAATATTGCTTTTTATAGCCGTTTTTCACCCTCTCCCTCTGAACTCCTGCATCCTCCAGAAATATATCCCATTCTAATGCTGCAAAAATAAATCTTGTTCTGTAACTCTGCAATAAAACCACGGTAGATTTTATTTTGTGAACAAAAAATTAAACGTGAGTCATCATAATTTGTTCGAAGGATTAAGATGAAGTTTAGATCGCCTGCCTTGTAGTTTTTCTCCGGTTAATCGTGGAAGTACTGATCGAGGGCTGTTGTTGTTGCTTCCTCCTCCTCGCGCCAGCGGGTCCTCCGAGCTAGTCAGACCTGTTCGCCATTGCGAACCAGCCAAACATAACCGCGCGAAAATCGGCGTCCTTTACGTACAAACTTCATTCCAGAATGTACTACCGAAATATAATCAATTTGGAACATTGGTTGCAAGCAAAAACAAAATGTCTGACCCTGACGCGAGCAATGCGACCAACGCGACCAATGTGACCAATGCGACGAACGCGACCACTGCTGCAAACATAACCGTTCAAGTTGCTACCCCAGCACCTATAGTCGAAAGGGTCGTGATCGTCTACCGCGAGAGTGATGGAGGTCTAGATCCCGTAATCGTTGTTTTGATAACTTTGGGCGCCATACTGGTCGCCGCGGCAACGGGTTATTTGATCTATTGGATCTGCAACCGTAAGCGACACCCTGAAAAAGAAACTGAGGAAGAAAATTGGGAGGACATCTATGGTGCACTCTTTATTTTCAAACTACTAAACTAAAACTTGGTCAAGAAGGCGTAGAGGAACTCAAATTCTTGAATATTTTCATTTCAAGAACCATAACGATAACCTAGATATTTCCATGTAGTCTATGAAGTAGAATTTCCACGATTTCTTGGAAAATAGAAAACAGAGTTTACAAGAACTAGAGACTCGTCACTTCTTAGAAAACAGAGTTTGTCGGAATCAGAAAGTACGAGGTCCTCAGAATTAGATTGACGAGACAAAGTGCTAGGTCAAATTAATGCAACATGATTATGACCAGGTACCAGTGCTGGGAACGAAGAGGTGGACGACTGGAATGCGGAACCTGAACAGCCTGCTTGGATGCCTTCAAAGGGTAGCCGGTGGCATCCCCAGCATATCTCAGGTTAAGGCCATAGATAATTCATGATCTTTTTGTCTTTGTGCATCCTTGAAAGGCAAAGGTATGCGCGAGTATTCATTCTCGTGCTAGACTCTTCAAGGATGCAGTAGGAAGATGAATTCTGGAGAGCCCTAATTAGGAGCACTTCCCTTTGGAGGAAAAGAAGCACCAACAAATGGCGGCAAACGCAGAGGCAAGGATCCTCCACCTGGCGGTCGTATAAAAGGCAATACTATTTAAGGCAACAAGAAGATCAATGAAGATGAGAAATATGACATCTTGTACCTAAGTACATAGATTTGATAGGCGTCGGTTTCGGAGCACCTTGATGAAGACTTTTTCCACTTGATGAAACACTCAACATATGATCAAGGTGGTCATATTGCATTGTCTTTTTGCCAACCGACGCATTGACATTTACTTCTCCCCCCGACTCTATAGGTCGGCAGAAGTTCCTCTAATATACGCAAAAGGGCGGGAAAATGAAGAGTCGTGCTGCACCTCTCGGCGCTTCGAGCAAATCTGGAAACATGAAAAAACTCGGCAGTTCTGGAAGTAATTCAGCCTTATTCTCTCGCGAAAAAGGGAAGATAAAACAGGGAAAAGGAATAAATAGCCCGAGGGAGCAGGCGAAGAAAGGTTCGATACAACCAGGAAAAGCTGGAGGATCCTCGGATCAGGGATTCGTAACAAGAGCTTATTCTGCAAAAGGAATGCACAACAAGCTACTTGCGGCAGGTGGATTCTAAAAAGCATCAAATGTCTCTTATAAGGAAGTACTTATAATATATTATGATAAAAAAGCTCTTACTTGATTAAAGTGTTAGAGTTTTTAGGCTAGACGGAGGAGGAGTTGAGCAGGGGTCCTCTCAAACCTAAGAAAGTACTACATTCATGCTTCTGCCTAGTTATTGTTAACATAAGGAAGTTTCAATTTCTAGTTTTGACCGTGGAGACGTATAATTTGCTTCGAAGAAGCATGTCCCGGAGAGGCATGACAGCCAGTGTTAGCCTTTTTTTCGCACTGGGCAACGGGCTGGTTAGGGCGTTAGGGCTACTCTTTGAAAATTGTAGTTACAGACTCAAGAATGAGTACTTCCGCGGCCGTCATTTATTGTCACACTGCTGGAACTGTTTTGTCCCGCCGCTAGGCTAGTAGAACTAATTGGGACACCTCCATGACGATGACTTCCGTCACCGTCAGCACTACACTCCGGAGCTCGTCTGACGGGGTGCCGCAGTTGTATGGAACCCAGATTGAAAGATCCATTTGTAGTGGTTTGCCTATTTACTGCTGAGGATTCACTTCTTGCTTATTACCACAACTACTTCTTCTACGGTTCTCGGAGGTCTGGTTTGTCATCGGTTGATAGCATTAGCAATGACGAAGAATCTCTCTACGTCACAGCGTTGCCTATTGCTCGGGGACACTTGGCGGATCAGCAACATCGAATGTGGCTGAGAATAGACGAACAACAGTTCCTTTCGGGTGGCGAGACGAGGTCAAGAGATGACACGATGTCGCAGCTTACAACAAAAGTGAGCGAATAACAACCAGGGATGGAGGTTTTTTTATTTGCGGTGGATCACTATGTATTGACGCTGGCAACGACAAGGTGTTCTACGTTCGAGTGCAAAACTCGTGTGAGGTCTCTTGAAAAATCAGGTTTCATCTGTCCTGCCCTGAGAGCAAAAAAAGATACGATGTGCTTCGTCAGTTTTTTGGCTATTTTTCTGAAACAAGTTCTTCCTTGCTGGTTTGTTTACTCCAATAATTCATGTTTTTGCTATGTCTTCTTGGTTTTCAAAGCGACAAAGCTGGAGGACGAATACTGACTATCACATCAGCATCTGTTTCTTGGACTGCTATACAGGCACTTTCTGTTACTTAGGGCGAGAGCGAGGTCAACGCTAAAAGGCGAAAATCGGTATCATGAGTCCTAGGCACAGTTCTGTCAGCATGATGAGAGTGCCAAATCATTTGTTGTTGGAGGGATAATGTATTTCTGAACCTGAAAGGCCTTAGTCATTCTTGCGAGTTTTGTTGACGGCTTCGTTATCTTTTCACATTTTCTGTCCAGGCTTGTTTCGTCTTCTTTTTTTGGCAATCACATTGTCGTAGCGTCATCATTTATGCACCCACGAGCTATCGCAATATTTAACCTCCTACAACATTTGCACCCACCTGCGCACCTACAAGTTGTTCCAAACATCGCAAGTATTAACGGACGACCATTATAATTATATTATGATTCTCTGTTTTATGCCCTCCCTCGGTTAAGTCATGTCGTGGTGCTCCTTTTCCTCAGTTTTCTATGGCCTCATTGTTGTAGCAACATGACAATGACAACAAATAATTTATTTTTGAGGATGCTTCTCCTCTCAGGGGGGCGTGGAAACAATCATGGTAAGAAAAAGCGTAGTCGTATTTTATCTCGCTCTTTTCTAGTACTAGTCCGATGTTGCTTAATCAGTTGTCCCTTTCTTAGCGATTTGCTTGGGGAGGAGGCATTGTTTAATTTTTCTGGAAGCAGTACGAGTAGTACGGTAGATTATGATCATGATGATAATATCTCTTCAGAAGGAGGGGTTAAAATAACTTCATCTCAATGCCATGGTCGCTCACGTTTGTCTGGAATCGTGTTTGTGCATGCAGGTCGTTTTGGATCTACGACGAGGAGGTTCTCTTCGGACAACTCCAAGGCTGAAGAAGAGGATGGGTTGGAAGCTTGGGTGCCCGACGAAAACCACGTCATCAAAAGCACGAAAAGGCGGCTTGTCTCAGGGCAGAGGCCGACGTTGGATAGTCACGCGGGACCATCGGCAGCCGAGGACGGTGATGAACCGACTAGCCAAATAATTTCTAGATCGTCTCGTTCTCGTCCGGCACGGAGGCGTTATTTGACAGCGTCCTCTACGTCAAACAATGGCACAGCTGTCGATCCTTGCAGTCTCATTGCGAACAGAACCGTAAATGCGTCGAACAGCACAACTAGTAGTACTGCAACAACGTTGGACAACAGCAGTAACGCGAGTAATTATACGACGGGTTGCATAGTATTCAACGCTACTGGCAATGCGGCACGCGTCATCCTCGACGGGGAAGAATTTTTCCTCGTCAATGGTGATCAGATTCTCACAGGCGAAGAATATCAGGCGCAGCAAGATGCGCTCACTACGTCGACCACCACGACGACCACCACAACGACAACGACGACTACCACGACGACGACTACCACGCCAGAAATCTTGATTAACACCACAACAACTCTGCCTTGTGTGAATTACACAATCACGCAATGCGAACCGATTATAGCCAAGGTGTGCATGTGGAGTGCGACGACAACGTCGACGACAACTACAACTGCGGCGGGCAACAGCACTTCACGCCGGCTGTTGGCGAGCTCTACTGCTGGCCGCGGTTTCATCCACGAGGGGCAGAGTAGTACAGCGGCGACGACCCGAAGTCTTCTAGAAGCTTCGCCCGAAGCACGACCTCGCCGCAGTCACGGTCAACAAGATGAAGAGCCTCTGTTTGTAGTTGGTCGCCATCAGGAGGATCCACCTGTTGTTGCAGCAGGCAGATCTTCGAGTTTTCCACGGCAAAGCATTTACGTGGACATCACATCGAGCCGACGAGTCGGTCTTACGATTGGAGAAACCCCACGCCTACACGAGAGTCGTTTACTGGAGCAGAGTACAGCTAGCGGTAATGTTCCAGTGCATGGGAAGAACGTGTTGACACTATGGGAAGACGCTCAAGTCGTACAAAATTACGTGTTGCGAGATGACGATTCGACTATGACCTGTCCGACTGAAATACAGGGCAAAACGATCGCTTTGGATAGCGGAAGCATGCAAGCAGCTACAACCTCTTCTGATAATCTGTGTCCTGCGCATGCCACGTTGAAGTTTGAACAGTTGGAGCTGTCTATGAGAGAAACGTGGCGAATTGCCGGCACACCTGAAGTTGCAGAAGACTTGTTTGGCGTCAGGCTCTTGGGTGGAATACCCGAGCACAGAATGTATGCACTAGATGGTGCGACTGAAGCGGCGCTGAAAGGAGAACAAGATCGGTAGCGCGTTAACATTAATACGCACCCCTGATATCGACATGCATGGATAATTAAGATAAAGATTTTGAAACGATCTGGAGCAGTACGACCTACTTTATCATCGTCTGTTGCCTGTGCCGAAAGATCGATAACTTAAAATCCCTACTCTGAGAATATTCAGTTTCAGTATCTGCCAGTCATCTCAGGAGAGAGTTTATTGAATGAATCAAAAATTTCAACATCACTCAGGTCGCCCTCAGCATCTCTGGAGGCGAGTCGCATTTTGCTTCCGGCGGTTCCGCGCGCTGGAAGGGAAGGTGACTACGAAGGTGAGGGCCGGGTAAGGGATGTGGAAGGTTTTCCGATATATGTGAATCCCTTCTTTGATGATTGGGTGTTTGAACCTGTGTCAGACTTGTTCTTTGAAGGCGCCACAGGCCTATTAATGTCGTGGTTTTCGGCACGGAACGAACAATACAAACCTCGAGATGTGACGCCATCACTGAATGAGGATTTTACTGCTAGTAGTAGTGATGTTGTAGCGCATCGTCGACTACTCGAACAAGATGGGACTGTATTGACAACTACAAGTTCCTCTGGAGATTTATGGTCATCTACCGCTCTCCTGCGGCAGCTTGCTGCTGGGAATGCAACAAGCAATAGTAGTCGTGCTTCTTCGTCGTCAAGCAATAGTACTAACAACTCTGCTGCGAATATTACAGCTGGACCTGCTAACCTTACGAACACTGCTTCCTCGGTGGGTTCCTCAAATATCACCGGCCAGCAGAACGTGACTATGTACTACGTTTGTATGAATGTCACGGTGGGGCATGTATGCCAGAATGTTACGGGCTGTTTTCCGCCGACGACGAGCACAACCACGACTACTCGTGCTTATTACAAGGTCGTCTTTCCGACACCGGTACCGCCGACAACAACAACCACGACGACGACGTTGCTTACTACGACCACGACAACAACAACGACGACCGTTGACGCATCAGGAAACTTGCTAGTCGCCACCACTACCACAGCTCCTCCACTGACCGTGGCTTCGATAACGACGCCCCCTGTTACCGTCGCTGCTGCGACGACCACATCGACCACCACCACCACAACCTCGACAACGACGACCACACCCGCGAATCGTGTGGAGCTGCTTTCAGAATACGGCTCCGTGGAGTATTTCCCAGATATGGTACCAGCAAGCGCCATCTTCCGCTCGCAGGCCTACCTCGACGCGAAAAGGGACGGTATCGCGGCGGGTCTGGGTCTTTTGCCCTATATGATCGAGGTCCTCCAGTGCCGGGTCGATCTGAGCACCAGGGCATTGGGTGGAGCTTTGGAGTCATGGAGAGAAGCTCCTGCTGAGCAGGATGAAGATGATTATGTTCATCCAACGACGGTACACCGAGTAGAGCATGAGGACAAACTAACGAAAGTCGTTTCATCAACGGCAGCAGAGCAGCGTAACATCATAGAAAATCCAAATACTTTGCTTTCAGAATCTTCAATGGATTTGGATATCCTCCTCATGGAGGGCGAACAACAACGAGAATCAAAAGCGAATCCAGCTAAACGACGACTTGCGTATCAAGAACGAGTGGTCACGGAATTTCGGATTCTCATATCCGAAGATCTGTTATCGCATGCACTGGTGGCGAGCCACGTCAATTCGACGCTGCGTGCGGCAATTGCTGGAAGCAATCCACATGTCGCCGCATTGCTTACCGGAGCGACGGTACCAACAGCAGAGGCTGGCGAAACAGCAGCGCAGGCGCTTCAGAGAGAGATCGCATCGTCGTTAGTCGTTAACGACCTCTTTGCAGGGGTCGCTACTATAACCGAGGAACTGCCCAGTTCCAGTGCGGCCATCCAACAAGCAACCGCGACAGCCTTGCAAGCAGCGCCACTTGATCCGACATTGTTCACGGAAGGAGCGCCGACACTCAGCGTGAATGCGGTATTCCTACTTCTGAGAGATAATTGTCATTGCAAGTTTGATGGGATGTTTCATTTTTACAGCTGCGGGGTTAATTGAAACATAGACTAATCTCGCATAGAGACATTGTCCCTGACTTAGTTATTTTTGTGCTATGTATNCGCCACTTGATCCGACATTGTTCACGGAAGGAGCGCCGACACTCAGCGTGAATGCGGTATTCCTACTTCTGAGAGATAATTGTCATTGCAAGTTTGATGGGATGTTTCATTTTTACAGCTGCGGGGTTAATTGAAACATAGACTAATCTCGCATAGAGACATTGTCCCTGACTTAGTTATTTTTGTGCTATGTATATATAGAGTAAGTAAAATATCGGGTTTCGAGTTACTCGAGTTGCAACGAGTTGCTCGAGTTGCCGAAGCGAAGGGCTTCAATTCTTGAACGAGTTGCCACGAGTTACCGGAAGCCATCCGCTTCACCGGAATGCGGCGCAGCAGGGCGGTATGGACACGGTTGCGGCTGCGCGAAGTGAAGAAGTGGCTGCTTTTGTTGTTGCTCTCTCATGAGAGGGGCGGCCGGTTGTGAAGGGCTCCCCAGCGAGTCCTTCCGGCTTTTTTTCTTGTACGTAGCGCGTGGGCGCGCGTTCGAAGCACAGCCAGGCACTAAGGGGCCGACGGCTTCGCCTCGTTGTTGTTTTTGTTTGAGGGGAGAGGGTGTCGCTGTGGCTTGTCGTTGGGTCGGTGCCAATCTCTCCCTTTTTTCTTCGGATGTGTTCGTGGCCAGTGAGTCTCTCACTCTTTTGGGACTGGGAGTGGGTTCCCGCCTGCTTTGGCGAACGGCTCACTCAGCCGAGGAAGCAAGTAGAGAAGAGTACGTGGCGGATGCCTTGCGTGTTTGATCAAGTGGCTGGGAGGGGTTCCCGAGCTGAGGGCGGTCGCTCCCTCACTCTCGTCGCTGGTGCGCATTAAGAAGAAAACCAGGGATCCGGGGCATGTCGTGGAGTGTCATACGCTCCTGCTAAGGTATCCCAGAGTCTCACAAAGCTGCGCCCGAAGGGCGCCGCGCAAAAAATTACGGCGAGCAACTCGAGCAACCCGAGCAACCCGAGAAACTCGACCCGTGACGGGCCAAAAAATTCCTGCCTCTAGTATAAATATCTTTCTGCCCTGTAAATTTAATGTTCTTTTCGTTTTGCGATCTTCCTGGTCATGTTGTTATCTGCCAGGTTGCGTCTGCGAGCCTTAATGCTTTTGGGGATTTTTCCACCACGGCCGCACCGACGACCACAACCACAACGACTACTACGGTCACTGAGACGACCACGAGCACCACGACGATGCCGCCTGTCGTCGAAGATGACGAGCTAATGATTTTCGGCGTCCCGGCGACTACATTCTTTTCTACAGTGCTAATCTTCACTGTTGTCATGCTGATCATCGTACTGTATTGTTACCGACTGCGTGTGCTAAGGCTGCGAAGGGAAGCAGAGGAAGCGGAGCGGCAACGCTTGGAAGAAGAGCGGCTGCGGCGCATGGCGTCGATGGTATTGAAGTCATTTTTCTGCTGAAGAAGACAATAACCTAATCCTTCAGTACCTTCGCGACATTGTACTTTTAGAATTTCTTACAGCAAAGAACTATCACTGTTTTTCATCTTTTTGGCTCTGGAGTCATTTTCATCGACTTCTACGAGTACTTACTTAAGTTTAGTTCATGTTGCCTAGTATTCTTTTTTGATGAAGTTTCTAAAAATTCTGCAATCATCTATCAGCTTGAGACGACGGAGTCCTCGGTGGATACGTTTATTGCCGTGATCGAGCAAGAGCGAAAGGAGGCCGCGGATGATGGACGCATTCCACCCCCTAGTCTGCCGTATAAATTCAAAATGGCGAAGATTCGAGGTGACTGGGCTGCGGTCGGGTTCCCAAAGTTTAGCGATCCGAAGAGTGTCTACTACAACAGAATCCACACACGTGATACCCTCCGACGCGAGACGGAAAAGCGCTACGGGTTTGCGCTGACAACAAACATGTTGAAAGTAGATGACCTGCCGAAAGAGCTCTTTGAGGTACTGCTTCACTGATTATCGTTTTTGGTGTTGATTTAGTTTTTGTGCGCCTGTGCTCGGTAGATCTAGAGGTTCATATTATAGAAAAATTTATAGAACGGATGTAGGATCATGGACTTGGATGGATCAGATGAACCCCCCTAAATCTTCCGATCCTACTTGAAATGGCGGGAAGTCCATCCGTTCCATCCCATCCCGGATCTGGCGCCCCTATATTATAAATTGCTCTCAATTATTAGAAAAACCAGTAGGGCCACTAGTACTAGGCGACGTAAGAAAATCGGTGCTCAGAGTCTCCGTCTCCCTGTTGAATTGTGTATGTGTGGTCCTGCTGTCTCGCCGATGGAGGGTATCACATCCTTCCCTAACCCATAAAACAACCCTTTATCCCAGATCGCGCCGACGAAGGAAGAGAGAAAGGACCCGCATATTTGGGACCTTCCGGAGTGGGCCAAGCGTGCGGGGCCGGTGATGGGAGAGTTCTGGAACTGGCGGAGAAGCTATGCGCGTCATGTGACACCAGACGACTGGAGCATATCCTGGAGTGAGAGCGTCTTAACCACGTCAGAACGCGCAAAGCGAAGGTCGTCGTCTCTACCACCAACGCTCTTGACTCATGAAGGTTTCGACTTCGATTTCGGGGAGGGTCATAGTCAGGGTAGCAGCTCGAGTGCCGGATTTAAAGACGGGGAAGGCAAGACGGTAATAACTTCCAATAGACCGGGTGCAGTTAGGAAAGCCTGGTCTCCGCGCAAGATGAATCTAGAGCAAGAAGGCGGAACTCCAGCAAAACTTAGTCCAGCGGAGCAAGCGCGCAAGGCAAGCGAGTCACTGAGACGTCGTGATCAGTACAGCACGGTAGACTCACCGATACGGAGCAGTGACCAAGAGCTTATTCTTGAAACAGTAGGCGGAAAGGCTGTAGCAGACGACGCAGTTACACCAAAAAGATTGCGGAAAAAACATTCAAAGATAGTCGAGTACTAGCGTGGAGCAGTTTTTTTGTTCACGACTTTATATTTGAATGCGAAGTGAAATAGCGAGCGATACGCCCCCTGCTCATAATTTATACACATAACAAATTTCCCCTGATCGACATGTAAATGTACCATTAGTTACAGAGTGGTCTAGAGAATAGATGTGTCCAAGAACAGTATTGAAAACAAATTCGAATTGTTCTTAATGTACTTACCGTCGCGGTCGCATATGCAGCTTTCCTGATCAGCACTTTAGTCTTCAGCCTTATCCCTCCTGCTGGGAGCAGAGGGATTCTCTACAGGCATATCTGCGCGAATAACCTCATACCTGTGCTTACATATGGCGACCTAAGGTTTACGAATGAATACTTACCTCTGGTGAGGTGGACTTTGTCTCTGCGGACGAATGTGCGGACGCTCATTATGCTCGACTGAAAGTTGAAGATGAATGACTACCTACGGATTTATTTTCCGGAAAATTCTCCATGCCTGTTCATTTACCTTTACGGTGGCAAAACGCCAGGTGTTCATTTGCAGCAACATGGTATCTTCTCCATAGTACTAGGTAAGGCAAGCTAATGGCTCACGTGAACTTCAGTTTGATGTAGGCTTGCCGAATAGCACCAGACTACGTCGACCTTGCGCAGCCGGAACCCGTAAGACGTCTGCGACTTGGTCGGCGAGTTTGCATTCGACTTCCTCTCCCTGCAGCACAGCAACTGGAGGAATGCAGCATCGAATAATCGTGGTCATCAGGACGAAATGAAAAGAAAAGTCGGTGTTGCCTATCAAAAGACTATCTTCACTGTGTCGGTTCTGTGAGGCTGAGGTGCTGTCGCGTCTACTTCTGGCACTTGAGAAAAGCAGGTTATGCAAGCAGTATTACGTTCAGAAAGAACGAAATCTGATTGAAAGCCGCGTGTACGTTTAACGCGCGTATGTTCTAGACAGTACTAGAGAGGGAGAGGTTCAAATGAGAGTCTTGTTTTCATTGTTGTGCATTACAGTTCTGTTACTGAGGAGCGTGAGAGCAGATCAGCACATTACAGAGCTTATAGGCCTGATTCTGTAATAAGTGAAGAGAACCGCCTAAGGGCCACGGTTGTGAGCCATATCATTTGTTGTTCTGAGGAGAGAGAGGTCATTACAATTTTTCTACGGTCGATTTCTTTGCATATCTCAACTCATTTATATTTATTTCACCACTCAGGGCACACGCGCACGTCCCACCCCACACCCTCTCCCGAACCATATTTAGACAGTAAAAGTCGAATCGCTTTCCATTTGAAGCTCTGCAGGTGTCGTGTGTGCGAAAATTAGGAGAAGTTTAGTTAGACAGGTTGGCTCTAGATGAGACTGGTTGTACCTGTACTATTTTAATTTTTTTCACGCTGCATTAATATCGTCATTGCTTATCGCACTGGACCGATTCCTATGATTCCTCGGTCACCAGTTAGTTAGCAAAGACGAAATATCCGAGAATAGACTTTCGAGATAAATAATTACCTGTTGGACTACTTCTTGATGCATAGATTAGGCATTGAATAGTCCCGAGTCGTCATTAATATGAAATCCGTTTTTTTGTTTAGATAGTTAAATCTTAGTCAGAACCCACAGCAAAACCAAAAGCAAAACCGATATGGCGCGGAATTTTCTACAGCCATTCCTTGAGTTACATTGTGATCGTGTTTTTCGGTGACGTGGAATACTAGTAATACACCGCTCGTTCTTGCAGTGCTGCACGCCCGACTCGCATATAATACGGCATCAGTGGGTATTTTAGTATTAACTCCGCTCAGTTGGGTCTCTGCTTTTCTTCTATGGACTGGCATTATCTCTATATTCCTCGAGTGGACCTCGATCTTCAACGGGAAGCCTGGTAGAGTAGCTGTCGCTTCACTCATTTTACTGCTCTTTTGTGACAGGATAGGCGCGGGCGAAAGCCGCTGTCTTGGCGAGTTGGTCGAGAAAAAAATTTTTGGTCCCAAAGGGAGAAGACGTTGGAATTGAATCGCGCGATAGTATCAGAAAACGCTTGTTCTGAGGATTACCGGGAGAACTGTAAGTATATTCTTTTGTACTCGGTGAGCCGGAGCTGACGCTTGCTTTCTAGCAGAAGACGGAAACGTTATATTCTCATCAAGCTTCCTGGTTGCGCAACAGGGCAACAGGTCCCGTCTGAGCTAGACGATCTGACATCTTCGCCACTATGCCGGCTTCTTCCAGTTCTGGCTCGGGTTCCGGAGCCCATGGCGGAGAATACCCGAAAAAGATGGCTGGAGGGAAGCGTCCCACGCTTGACGTTCGTGGAATACGGATGCGACAAGGAGATGCGCCGTTTCCGAGTGACGCCAGGGATCTGCAGGAGCTCTTTGACGCCTACGATCGCGATGGGAGTGGAGCTCTCAGCCTCGATGAATTCCAAGACTTGATCAATCAATGTTATGGAAAAATATTTCTCCGCACATTCTTCGTAAAAATTTAATGAATGACGAGAATATGTCGCGATACCGTCCGTCACTAGTTTCCGACGGAAATAGGGTTTAGTTACAAGCAATCTTTAGCTGTGATTTATAATCGATGATGCTATCTTCATGATCTAGTACATGCCCGAGGTTCTTATGATGTAGCTCTAATCCATGCGTGGCGGGAGGCAAGCCCGTTCAAGGCCGATCACGAGGCGACAAATTGCTGGCTTCATGGACTGGGTTGATTCGGATGAGAGCAAAGAGATTGACAAGAAGGAGTTCTTGTATTGCCTTCTGATCGACTTACTTTGTTGTATCGAATCGTTTTCAAGCTGTATCGGCGGTGGGCGTGACTTCCCCATATTATAGGAAGATCTTCATCTAAATCTCTTCGGTTTCCATTGCCTGACCACGTAGTTTATCTTAATGAACAGTAGCATTTTATGGGGCCGCATTCTTACCTGACCTTTCTGCAATGTCATCCAACATCTCTCTTCAAGAAGCATTACCGTACAGACAAAAAACCGAAACACCACTATTCACTGTCAGCCAATTCTTCAACGAGGCGGCGATGGTTCACCAGATGACGGAGGAGATGGCAGCGTCACAGCAGAAGCTCTCAGCGCAACGGTCTACGATGCTGTGTTACTTCGTTGGAATGTTCGCCCTATGGGCGTTCTTCCTCTTCTCGTTTATGACAAGCCAGGAAGTACTCGTCTTTTATACACGATTCTGATTTCCTTTTTTAGTACTTACTCTCCGCTGCTTCCTCGGTTCTTTTCTAAGTGTACCGTCCAGCTGATCATGAATTGTATTCGTTTTGGCCCAGCGCTCGGACGAGATCCCAGCGTTTGAAATTATAATAGATCATTCTCTCGTACTAGAGATCTTTCCATAGAAACAACTACAAGTGGTAACTCAACTTGAAGGTCTTTAAAGATGATACAATCATGCAATAATGGGATCCGCAACTACCGTATCGTAGTATTGAGTCATGATCAGCCCAAACCCAATGGTTTCCGCGGATGAGAACTTCATCTTGGCTGTGGTTCTGATTAGACCACGTGTCATGGAGAATCATTTTTGGAATCTCGTTAAACTGAGGATATCCATTGGGCAATGAGCTACTGTTACAGAAGATCAAGCGGTTCTCGTTACTGAAAATCAGAACTACAATGAACAAGATGTTCATTCAGCTCATCTGTACAATTTGTTGTCATCAGGATGAAAAACTTTCTTGGCTGTGGTTCCGTAGCGACTCAGTCGACACGTGAGGACAGAAGGAATATTGACAATCAAATTCTGACCTACTGTTTTGTACTCCCACTATCCACCACAGTCTAGCAGCAGTGGCGTCGGCTTTGCCTCTTTGGGATTGATTCTGACGAGCATATTTCTGAGCTTCGGCGTGATTGGGTTACTAGTGGTACCCATCATCTCTATGAAGAGGGAGCAGCTCGAAGGACTGTCACGCGGAGGAGGTAGCGCACTTCGGCGATTGCAGGGACAGAAGCAGATGCTGAGTAACGCGAGAGCAGGCCTTGCAGCGCACGCTCGGGGCGTTACCGGCGAGTCGTCAATGAGGAAAGGTCCTCCGGGTACCCGCGATCGCGCAGGTCTCGACACATCTTTTGCGTCAGCCTCCGGAAGGGGCGCGAATCTCCGGCCACAGAGTCCGTCTGCGCAGAGTGCGGGCGATGTTCAATTGATGATGCTGGAGAACGGCGGGTCTCCGTCGAGACCAGGATCAAGGCCAGGCACGAGCGGGCATCAATTGGCGAGAGAGAGCGAAGGATTCGCAGAGCAAATGGCCGACGCATTGGCTGCGGAGTACAGAGTAACGCCTGACTTTCGTGGACCCGAGCTGGAATCGGCAAAGAGCAAGCTGCACTTCTCGTATTTCCACTTAAGTACTTTTTTCACACTGTCTTTGCACTCCCACGCGGACCACATGGTGGGGCAAGTATTGCAGCTGTTCTTGTATCTTTTTCGTAGTTCACCTACGGCCTTCTCCCTGTGACCCCGCGCTCTGTACTGTCCTCTTGCAGAGACACTTGCAAGTTGGAAATAAAGACCGCGTATAACAAAGTCCGGTAAAAAGCTCCTTTGCTGGTGCGCCCAGGCGTGTTTGATACCACGGAGGTCGTCAATCCTGCGACAATTTTGATGCTACTAACTTATATATAACAATGAGCAAGATCACGGCGCCAGCAGCTCGCAAAGGTGCGCTACAACGAGAAAGATCATCCTCCTTTATCGACACCTTTACTGACTCATCATCACAGCGTCCACCAGTATCACTTTTCTGGACGCGATGCTCTGCGACCCCTCGTCGCACAGCGATATCTTTCTCGACGCACTGCTGAAATCATCTTCATCAGCCTTGGTGTTGCTCGACTAGATAGCGTCCTAGAACAAGCGGCGCTTGGTTGAGCTTCGGCTCCCTCGGGCTGCATCTTCCATATTCCTTGTCGCAGTGGGACTACTTCACGTAGAAGGTCGCTTTGTGGCCAAACCACTGGGTCAAACCATGGAATGAACAGAAACCCTCCTTCATCAGGCGTATCTTCATTGCTCATCTTACGTATCATCACCTGAGTTCATCCTCGGTAGTAGCATGCCGCAAATTCGTGCTCACTCTATCATGCTACGAAATTGTACACTCGAGGCCTACCAGGTAGCTTGCACCACCGAATCAGGTACCGGCTAACGAAGATCCAGAAGCAGCCAAAGATAGATATCCGGGACGCCATAGACGAGTATTATGTGAACCATCCAGAGGAGACTGCGCCAACAACGGTGCCGATTGAGCATCCTGAGGGATCTTTTCCTGGTAATGCCAACTCGCACTATGCGATAGAGTACCAAGAACGGGCGAGACCGCAGACCGCGCCAGGGGGTAAGACTTCTGATCCTTGGTGTTTTCAAGGCGGCTCTTCCATGTAACCCGTATGCTCGTTTCTAGCCACTTGTACTGTCACTGTTCCACTTGCTATATAGCAAAGGAGTCTGTACAAAGTGCACGTCTTTCACCTCTAGGTCGTCCTCGCAGCCGCCCTAGCACGCCTGGCGGATCGTCTCGGAACGGACGGCCTCGGCCCATCGATCCTTCTGCTGTGCGCGGCGGCTTACTTTCGGGTAGGGGCACTCCAGGATCCGGTCGTAACACGCCGACGCCGAGAAGCCAGTCCGGTATCCACTCTTCGCCGGGTGGACGGCCGGCTACGGCTCCTCACCGACCAGTGTTCGAGGGTCACTCTCCGCTGGGAGACAGTCATGGCGGAGGGAGCCTCTATGACCTTGAAGGATCGCGGCGCTTTGGGTCGGGAACACGAATCGCACCGGTGCCAGAAGAAGGGCTGTGGAACGACATTCCTGGATATGACCTTGCGCACGAAGAGTATTTGCGCGTGACGCCGGCAGGGAGGCCGATATCAGCTCAAAGCAACCGAGAAATGTACCTTTCACATCATCACTTTTCTGCATAAAACTTTCACAGGAAGTACAACCTACAGGACCTCGATACTGATGGACACCGAAATTTTCATGATGACCCTATGGTATTCTGACACCTCTATTCGGAGTAGTGTCACGCTACAATGCGAAAGAAAAACCTTCTAGTTATCCCTGTCTGATCATTTCGGTGTCCATGCAGTTGCTCTGCAGATCTGTGAAGACTTGTTTACCTTCTAACAATTATATTTCTCTTATTCCACGATCCAGATATACAACCGATCTCTACGTTGATGCAAAGCGAAGCCAGGTCGGAACGCCAAATAGTGACTACTTTAATCCTATGGTGGTCGGAGACCGATGGTATTGATCTTTGTTGCTCCTTACTCATACTGATCCTTATTGTTCCTTATTCGAGTCTTCTTACTCAGGCGTCTTACTCCTTATTCGAGTTTTTCTCCGCCCCTTCGTGATGAACACACAATTCTTGGTGATGCCACCGTTCGCGGTCACGCTGATCCTTAAGAAACAGGTTACAACTCTCTGATCACAGCTGTCTCTCTCTCCCTCGTCAACTCTCTTTTCCCTCTCATGATGATTTTCATTTATTATCAAGCTCAACAGGACTGACCCTGTGTGAGGATAATCGAACTTTTCTTCTTTCCCCGGCTGAAGATTTCTTAGCCGATCGTTTTGTGATCGCTTCGCTATTGTTTGCGTGTGCCTCACTCTCTGCTCTGCGTACTCGCTTACGTCCCTTTCGTCTACACGTGCTGCGCTCTTCAGTTCTTTCCCTGCGCATTTCCCGAATTCCCGCCCCGCCCCGCACCTCTAACTCCCGGAAACTTCGCGATCAACAGGATGATTTTCATCAATTATCAAGCTCAACAGGACTGATTCTGTGTGAGGATAATCGAATTTTTCTTCTTTCCCCGGCTGATCTTCGTGACTTACCAACCTCCTACACCGGTTGTATCTTCAAATGATGACACTCTTGAGATACGAATTTCACCGTTTCTCAAACATTCGCAGTAAATGTCCGATATTGCGATGCAAGTCGCACATGAAGGACAAATTTTCCTTAGATGTCTGATCACACCAACGCGGCTCTTGCCGTCGTAAAAAATTCGCCATTTCTTGTTCCTTTCTAAGAACCCAGGAATCCCAATCACAGGAAATCGGAGTGGAATGTCGCTGCCAAGCAAAAAGTAGGGAAGATTTGAGCCTGACGCTACTCTCCATGCGACTGATATCCAGCGAGCTTGTTTTTCCCGAGGTGTGCACGCGTTCGCGCGTTGCGTTTATGGTATGGACGCGGGTGCCTCGGTGTATGAAAATTGCATCTGGAAGCTCAGTCTTCCGTTTCCCTGTCGAAGACATGAAACCTTCCGAGCAGTCTCCTGCTCTATTCATGGGCCGTCAACATTCTCAGAGAAATTTAGTATATACTATTTCTAGTTAGGTCGGCTCCACCACAATTATATACTATCTACACCTCGCGAGTAGAGGTGCTCTCCCAGCACTCTGATTGAGCCTTCGTACGTGTGTGCGTCGTGTTCCCTATGATTCTGCGGACCTACCGACGGCGTTCATGAGACTGGAGTGACTTGGACTGGAAACACCATCGGACAGAAGTGTCTATGTGAGATGAGCGATGCAGAGCTTGCAGTTTACCATTCTTGATGTTTCTGTCACTTCCACAAATCTACGTATCCACCCAGGTCATCGACACCGGGGAGGTCTTAGGATCCAACTCTGCACATTCTGATGAAGACCAACTTTAGATGTATCAGGATTCGTATTTCGCATTTATGCGATGACGAAAAACCTGTTGTTGCCTTCCTTCTGACGTGTTGACAATGATCCGAAGATCGTAGTGTTGTGCGGTCCATCTGCGAGAAAAAATCATGATCGTGAAAAGCGAGAGGCCTAGTTGATTCCTTCGACAGAACGTTTAGGCTATCAATACAAAACAGAAATAAACGCAGCAACAGATGGTTGGAATCTCGTGGTGATGCCACTCTGACGCGGTTGCTTATCGATCATGCGAGGCTGTCGTCGCGGCGACGACCGGAAAAAGCGGATACTTGAGTCGATGTGGGACATGCTTGAGCCATTGCGGCAAGTCAAGCGCGCCAGCCGTGACGGAGCTAGCTTTGGGAGAGCGCGAGTCCTCTGGGGGGCGAACATACTTTCGGGATTTGGCCTCGTGGCCGTGCGTGTCCTCATGAGGGCGGACATGCTGTTGGGATTTGTCCTAGTGGTCGTAGGAGAATGGGCGCGCGCAGCTGTCACCAGCTCCCCTTCCGGCGCGCTCCTGCAGCAAGAGATCGCGCTCCTGCAGGAAGACCTCAGACTCACATTAAGGCTCTCTCCTGTTCATCGTCGGCAACGACTTTGTAGGCGTATATTTCGTACTATGAGCAAGGGGCAGCGAGCCTCATTCGGGCCCTCTGACTTGAGCAAATGTATCTCACGAATGGAGTGTCTAAGAATGGAGTCGCGAATCGAAGAGCTGGTGCAGCTGCGCGAGAACCTCCCGGACGACTCACCGCTCCTGGCGCAAATCAATGTCGACGTAGAAGAGCTGTTGGACCCGTATGTTAAGGCTGGTGGAAGATGGCTGATGATACACGCGCCCAGTTGTGGCAGTCGTGCTTGATGTGATATTGCCTGAGAAGCGTCAGCCGCTTCTCAGGTCTAAGAACTTCGCGCATCTCCCAACGGACATCCCGGAGGATTGGCTGTTTCTTCGTTAAGGCCGAGTGCAAATGATGATAGCTTTAACACCGAGTTAGGTGATATTTCGTTTTTCTATTCCGTCCTCTTCCGCACTTTGCTCGTGCTGGTGCGAGAGTAAAGGCAAGACGTGTTCGGCAAGATTGCGCCTCTAATTTTCGTGGCGCAGCGCGAAAAGCCTTGGCAGGAAAGCCCTGGGAGATATAGCTGATGCTGAAAAACCAAAGGCATCAGCTGGTGTAGCTACTCCAGGTGTGCAGACCGTGCTTTTACCCGTGGCAATGGGCCAAACGCCAAGAAATAGCCTAGCGATATTGGAGTACAATTCACACGACGGAAGTGGGACTCTCTTTTCAGCTGAAGGTGAGCAGCTACTGTCATTCGCAGCGCAAGAGCAGAGTCCAGCTGAGCAAGAGCAGACGGTGATGGACAAGTCACAACTGACCAGAAGTGAGCAGCCCCTTCTTGCTGGTGGGATCGTCACGGGTATGACGAATTTGGGGTTGTTGCAGTGGGCAGTGATTACGGATCCGTGAAGAAGATGGTCCTGGTGTTTTCACATATAATAAGCCAAAGCGCTTCATCTTTTCCATTGACCTCTAACTCGAACCGAGGGGACTTGACACATGGAAGTTTGAGAAGCGGTGAGACTAGTTTTGTAGTGCGCCGCGGACGGGAGTACCAGGTAGTGGCCTTACGTATACAACCCACAAGACGACGAAGCAGCGCGGTGGCGGCCAAGAGTTCTAGAAAAGGCAATAGCAAGGACACATCCTTCAATATCTCAACCTCTTCTGGTCTGGGCGCAGGAGGTGAAGCCGGTTTCTCCGCAACAGCTGCTAGCGCTTCTCCGTCAGAACAACAGAACGAGAAGAAAAGTGTGTATTTTGGAGTTGGCTCTTTTACGGTATCTCCCTGGGATGAGATGTTTGCTGATACGGGTCTTGACGTAGCAAAGTATACTCAGTCTGGCCACGCGTCAGTTTCAAGTGCGAATTTCCGATTAGCCGCGCCGTTTCTAACAGTCGCGCGACCAACACTGAAAAGTAGTAGTCTCCGGAACGATACTAGTCAGTCGAGTAAGATATGTTCGAAATCTACGGATGAAAGTGTTTTAAACGATCCACATGCAGGTGCCGAAGAAGTTAGTTCAGCATCGACCTCGGCGCATGATGCCGCCTCTGCTGCTGATCATTCGCCCTCTGACCAGCAGGAGCAGGTGAGTGACGACGAAATAGAGAGACGTGAAACTCCCTTGGTTCAAGACGTGGTAATGCGCGGCAACCAGTTGTATATTACGGAAACCAGCGGCGCTTTCGGAGTGGGAAGGATGAACGGGGACGTTCTTTTTCGAGAGGGAAAGCTTTGCAAGTCTGGCGGGCCGGCGAGAATCACAGAAGAGAGTTTTCACCGATCTCAAACTCGAATCCTGGTTACATGTCCCAAGGAGAATCGAATATATTATGGCACGACCAGAAGAGCAAGCCTTCTCGATCTGGATCTGCAGTAGTTGTAAACAGATCAGCATCAGTGACTGAACATGAACGCAACACTAGTGAACGTGAAGCAATCTCATGGCCAGGATGAACACGTCTTTTGAGGTGTTTAAATCTAGACCACCCTCCTTCCTAGCATCTGGCTCAGCTTCATACTCGTCTTTTTCTGGAGAACAAGAGGGCGATCCGGGACATTACACCTTTAGGGGTAACACAGCAGCTAGCTGACACGCCTGCAATATTCGACCAGAAATCCGGAGGACCTGGCGAGACGCGTGTCATTGCAGCGTATTGAATTTGTTTTCAGCTTGCTGTGCTTGTGATCTCTGGGTGATGATGATATTGACTTCTGGTAAAAATTTTGTTTATCAGGCACGGCAGTGAAGCAATTGTAGCCCATAACGATACGGAAACGTCGTAGGTCGGACATACACACTATTTGACATAAGTTTTTCAGTCAGGAACAGGTATGCAGACATGGTTGTTTCGTATTTGTTGACGACCGGGGAGAAAATTTGGGGTATCCGCCATACCGGGCTGAGCTCCCTTTCGATGTTGCGACGCTACTTGCTTGTAAGGAGACATGAACTTTCCTAAAATTTCTTGGTTCGTTTTCAGGAGACTTGAAACTACAACAATTTAACTTGAACCTCTGGGTCTTGCAACATCTATCTTGATTGAGATCTTGTCTCGCACTTGTTCTAATTTTTGCCCATAAGGCGGGGGAAAAAAAGTTGCTGCTGTTCAATGTGACATCGGACGTTAGACAGCCGCTTTTGTGGACGAAGAGGGGCGTCCAAAGCTACGCCATCGGTAAAACTGTATCTGAGAAGCAAACGCTGTTGCTGACAAGATCACGGGATGAAGCACGACTACCGAGGATGACGACGGAGGTTTCTGAAGTGGTCTGGCCAGGAGCACTGCCTGCGGAGACTGACAGTGCAGACGGAGCCTGGGGCTGGAACATATTCTGTATCTGTTCTTAATTTTGCTGGCCTCTCGTCTCAACAACTTGTACAATACTGGTCGCTAATAGTTTTGACTGTTCCTGTTGTTGATGACACGACACCATTGAAAAAGAAATACCAATAAAGTAGCCGCGAGAATTGATGACCTGGGGATACTTTTACTACTTACATGAATTTCAGCCGGAACACGCGTTCCTGGGTTGCTTCTGATTTTTGGTGCTGTGCTCTTTTATCAAGCGAAGTTTGGCAAGCTAAGCCACTTGTCGATATCCGGCATGTTCGGCGGTAAGAGTGCCACTCAAGCGACTCGCTTCGGAGGAGATTTTAGATTAAGGCTGGCGACATTGATTTAATTACTCGCCCTAGAAAGAAAGAAGTAGACGAGTTCCTTCGTTCGTAGTTGGGGAGGAAACTGCGACTGCTCAATTCGCTTTTTCTTTGATGAAGGTATCATTTCTAATTCAAAACAACGGCATGGGCATGTCTAGTAATTTCAACCCTGGAGCGGGACGTCCTCCGGGTGGTCTGCATCCTTCTACCATGTTCAACCAACGACCAGGCGGTTTCGGAGCTTCCCCATTGGGAGGTGGCCGAAGAGGCGCAGATCCCAAAACAGCGGAAGTCATGCGATCGCTCGGTGAAATGAAAGGCGAGTTGGACGGCCTTCGGCAGCGGATCGGACATGTCGGCACCATTATGGCCACCACTAAGAACATGTTATCTTGATGATCTAAAATTGTGGTCACTAGTATACCGCACCTCCAGTACATCTACTGATCAGGACGTCAATTTATCATGTGCTAGCGCATTGAGTAAACGATGAGAGTTCGATCGCGCTAAGTCATGCGTACATGCGGCTGCGGAGGAAATGGACGAGGGTGGAGCCGACATGGACGATGTTGAGGGTTTGCTGGACTGAGGGTAGACGCCATAAAGAAAAACAGTTTTAAGTAGAGCGTCCCTCTATGGAAGCAACACACACGCTCGAGCTCCAGCACTGTCCTAGTACGGACGATCCGATCAATTTGAAAAGTATTTTCAACTTCTTCCAGTAGTATCATCAACGACACGAAGAACGTGCGAACGACGAGGGAAATGAGACAGAATGTAATTTTTTCAATAATCAATTTTAAAAATGCGGTCTTGCTCGATAAGTGACTGGACACTTGTGCCAGTGTAGTGAGCAAAAGCTTGAAGTTCGCTACGGTGAAAACGAGTGTCATGAAGGAAGATAGTGTTCAACAAGCAGGCAACTCACTGCCAACATTTCAATTGTCATTTTTTCAGAATAGTTTGTAGCACGCATGGCGCATGGAGTAGCATGGAGCACATGGAGCATGCGCAGCATCGCCACGCATGGAGTGCGTGGGGCACGAACAAGCCCCCGGCCCACCCGGGGGTGGGTGGGTCGGGTGCTGTAGAAGTCGGGGTCGGTTGATCGGCTAGACTGACGCCGCGGGAGCGCTGCCTTGTGCGTAATGCGGAGGCGTGACGTAGCTGGCGGCGCTGCAACAAGCTGATTTGTTGCGCGCCCCAAGGCCCCGACCCGCGAGTGAGTGGGCTCGGAGATTTAGCAGATGGCTGGGGGGCTGGCGGTCTGGATGCTTGAAGCTTCCGCTTCGGGTGTGGAGCTGTAGGCGGGTGGGCTCTGACGAAGTGGCGCCCGAAGGGCGCACCGCAAAAATTTTCACGCATGGAAGTGCTCCATGCGATCCATGCACTCCATGCCATCCGAGCTGCCAAACCTTATAAATTATTCTGTATTTTTGAGTATGCCAAATTAGTGAACGAGTGATGCAGCGAGGAACGCTTGATAGGAGGAGGAGTTCCAAGATTCTAGGCCTACCTAGACTCTTTATTTCGAGGAGGGGAAAGCAGACGCGCGAGAAGGCTTTTATTGTACAGTTTCTTTCTCGATGCAAACAGAGAAACGCAGGTTCGCTGAAGGTATCAAAGCAAGCGACAAAGATATCAACATCCATTTTTATCTGAGGACGTTTTCCGATCGCCTTTTCTTAGTTTCAAAACAACGCCTACCAAAGTTGGTAAAAAGTTGAATTTACAATTTTTCCATTCTGATACAACCATACACAGAAATATTCACTGACTGTTCATTTAAATTCAATTCCGAGAATTTTTTTTTTGTATCGCGAGCGAGTTCCGTGAAGAACCTGCCTAGAAAATAGAAACGTAAAAGATATACTACTACAATCAGCCTGCTCACTCCTCGTCTTTGACACCTCCATCTTCCACAAGAGAGTAGTTGAAAAAATGCCGTGCGTAATCCCAGATCGCGCGATTCCTCAGAGTGAGGTCGCACAGCACAACAGCAAAGGCGATTGCTGGCTGATTATCCATGGTGCTGTCTGCGACGTAACTGAGTGGATCCCGGACCATCCAGGAGGTGGAGAAATGCTGATCAAGAAAGCCGGTAAAGACGCCACAATGCAGTTCAAACTGTCGCATCCCGCTTACGTTCTGTTATGAAGACTGGTTGTGACAACTTCTAGTTCTTCCAATAATATGCTGTAGGTACTACTACTAATGATTATACTGAAGTGATGAATTACATCTTCCATGTTGACTGAGTGTGCTCGAGGACCACACTGAAGATGATTCTTCACTACACAAAATTTTTCAAAGTAGTCAATTCCTTGCGTACTATAGCCACCACGTTTTTTGCCTCTAATCGCGCAAGACCAAGTACAACAATGGGCTATCGGGTACGTCGAAGGTGCAAAGTTAGGCGATGGGATTGTGGTCAAAGGCAAAGGCGATGTCGTCGAAGCTGCGCCTCGTGCAGCGGAGAGCACCCCTGGTTGCTTCGCCAAAATCATGGGTGCTATTTGCGGTTGATCCCATTTACTTTTACCGCTGACTACTAAATTCAAGGACAGTGATGCTCATATTCTTGTAGAGAACGAATTTCATATTCACCAAAGATTCATGTATCTCTTAGTCCTCGTAAAGTAGCGTACAGGAAAAAGGGCGCCCTCATGCACGTGTGAAGCTGCAAACACAACGACTACTATCTATGATAGTTTTTTGCTGTCGACTATGATTATTTTAAGTGTGCAGTTGGCATAAACGGGCAACAAAAACGTTTGACTGAATGCGCAGACGCAGAGACATGTCTAGACTTCTTCTATCTAAATTTCTTTCCGAATTCCGCTGTAGTCTGACACTATTCACAAAAAGTTGTAATGAACAAATCAATGGACAATATACGGAAGATCATCTTCAAACATCGTATAGGTGTAGTTTGTGACCATATTTGTTGGTGCTGTTAGATTGCTTGCAGCGCAATCCGAAGCGATGGAAACGTCGTCATTCTAGGTGACCGAGAAGATCATTCTAGACCCGAGCACCGCTACTACCCGGATGAATCACAATCATATGTTGAACTTCAAACGAGAATGAAAAACAAGCCTTAGCTCAACATTGTCGATCTTTTTCTGGATCGACGCGGCCTTCAAAAACTCCAACAACGAACAGTGTTTGTTCTTGGACGCAAGCGAACGTCACGATTCGATGTTTTTTCAAGGTACTGAAAGACACCGAGAAGAAGCTTCACCACCAGCATAATCACAGCGGATGATTAATCACACTAAAATAGTCTATTGAACACGGTGGATTATCTCATGTCATTATTTTTGAACTGAATGCGTTGCAGGATTCTTGGTTTGATGGTTTTGCCGTTAAATGGACAGTATCATGAGGAGACTTTTGGATTAAGATGAAGTTTTATGTAAGTATTAGACGGTGCTTTTGGCTGCGATGGATAGATCCTTTTCGTCACCTTGTTCACCTTGTTTCTCCAAAGAAGTTCAAGTTTTCACTTCACTAGGTGGACTAGTTTACGTACTAGAAGAACCTCGAAGTAGTGGCATTCCTTGGAGACGATTATTTTCATTTACTTGGCAGATAAGACAGGATACCAGGAGCATTAGCGCGTTAAGCGTGCTCGGTTTACAACTCAGTTGAGTTTGTGCTCCGCATGCGGCATGATTTCCATATATTATATATTATAAGATCCAAAGCACCTTTTCCGAATAAGAATAAAAGCCGAGGCCTTTGGTCTAAAACTGATAGAGGAGATCTTCAAACCATAACCATGAGGGCCCCACCCGTATCTCCAGGCGCAGAGATTTTCGTGTGTCAGGCGGGCAGCTGTAGTCAAGCCGGTTCAGCAGCTACGTTGGTTGAAATCGAGGAGTTGGTAAGCGCGTCACGGTCAGTGTGTGCATTGAATCAGGGTGGAAGCAGCAAAAGCAACAAGGCAAACTCGCCACCAGGAGGTCTTCCGTCAGTGTGTGAAGGTACGACAGCAGCTTCCTCTTCGTCCACGTCGCCTTCCTCCTTGGACGCAGCGTCGTTTGGTGGAGACAATGTCGGAAGTGAAGATACGGTAGTACGGCCAAGCGGTTGTTTAGGGTTGTGTCGGCAAGCGCCGGGAGTGATGGTGCTGCGAGAGAACCGGCGTGAATCGGCGTTCATGCGCGTGCGGGATGTCGAAAGCAGTGCCCGGGTAGTGGAATACGCCACGGGCGTTCCGGCAACGTCGCTGCTGAAGGCGCAGGCGCCCGGTGCGAAACAGCGACTGATGGATGTGCGGTTAGCACGGGCGCGACAACACGCCACGAAAGTGTTTAAGTGGAATGCAGCGTTAAAGGGCATGGGGGAACAGTTTGAGACGACCGGCAAAAATGCTCACCAAGACCCGAAGAAATTTGGCCAGCTAGCCATGGAATACGGCATTATCCTTTCAAATGCAGGCCTGTGGGAAGAATCTGCGACAGTTCTCAGTCGAGCAGCTGAAAGACTCGCTTCGGATGAGGAAAAGAAAGCTGCTCCACCGACTTCTAGCATTAATCACTCCCATAAATCTTCAACATCGGATAAAAATAATACTACAGGCACAGAAAGTTCTGAGCAAGACGGAGACGATGACACCACCGAATCGTCTGATAGTTCGCCTTCGAACATGCTTTTTAGGAGTAGAAGGAATTTTGTGCTCCCAAACAACAGTCCCGGAACCCGGAATGCATTCGCCCAACTAGCGGCTCCGGGTCGATTTCCCGGTATGCTGAACATGAGCTCGCGTACGAAAGCGGCACGAGACGACGGGTTTGCGATTCGACAGTACGCAGCAAATTTGAGGGAACGCTTCGAGCAAGTTCAAAATCTTTTGCTGAAAAAAGTTGCAGTGCTTTGCAAGCACGACCAGCGAACTGCTCTAGAAGCAATGCAAGCGGAACTAGAGAAAGCTTTAGGACTTGACGACACGACTGACGACGAGGAGGGATTTTCATCTGCTGAGGAGGAAGCTCCTGGTCCTGGCTGTGGTGAAAAAGCTAACAAAGCAAGGAGACCTACTAGCACAAAGACTGGAGATAGGAAAGGCGGTGGTGAAGGTGCGCAAGTTGCCGCACCACAAAAGGCGGCAAAACAACAGCAAAAATGTGCCGAAGAAGTGAAAGAGGATTCTTTGAGAAATTCTGTGAAGGGCGTCATGGCCACTCCGGCAGCCATAGGAATGTTGGGAGAGCGGGAGAATCGCGTAGTCTTGGCTGTGATCACCGGAAGCATAGCAAAAGTCCCACTGCCGCCAACAGATGAGGTAAACAAAAAAGCTGACACCTCCAGTTCAACAACTTTGTCATTGCGGAGACAGCTTTTCCCTTTCCCGGAGGCAATAGATAAGTACACGAAGTGGAAGCTGACGAGCGTACGACCAGTTTCCGCACACAGCGCAGTGTTTCGTTTCGTGTCGAGCGATCGTCTACGCGGAACTCCGCATCCACGAGGAAGGGGCAAAACTGCGGTCCCGAACACGTGGCATGTCACTCTCATCGCTCCGGCAGCTTGGTCACCGACATCAGAAGGAGGATTTGTTTCATCTGTGGAAGATAGAAAAGCATCGTCTACCTCCACGGATGAAAACGAGGATGGAGTTGATGAGGGTCCATTGCCCTGGGTAGAGCGGGACTATACACCTGTGAGCACGGCAGGTGAGTGGGAGCGTGGTGTCTGCGAGATGCTAATCAAGGTTTACAAAGACGGGCGAGGGACATCATGGCTGCACACGATATCACACGCGCAGTCAGTGGAACAAAAGGCATGTGCGGAAGATCGTGTACCCCATCTTCAGCAATTCTTGTTTCAACAAAATCGCATCAGCAAGTCAGAAAACGGTCTTCATCACGATGATAAGAATCAGTTTTCAACCGAGCGATTCCGAGACGCTTTCGCAGCAGAAGTTCCGATTGAAGTGTGGCTGTCGCACCCCGTTCCGACTCTCCAAGTACCACAGCTCGTCACTCCAGGCAACGAAGATTCATCCGGCAACGGTAAGCCTCCTGCGAGTGTGCTTCTAGTTCTCGGTGGGACGGGCGTTGTCGCGGCACCACAGATTTTGGCATTCCGTGATCCTACGACGAAACTATGCATTGCAACTCGGAAAGTGGACCAGCTGCGAGTACCTGTGGACCTGGTGTTGTCCTGCAGAAAGGATGACATTCTGATGCTTCCGGAGGTTATAGCATGGTGTCGGGAAGGAGCAGGATTACCCGATCCAGAAGCGAGTTCTTCAACCAGTAACAATCGGCGAGCGAATGATGAACCGGTTGGCACACGGGGACTTCGTAGCTGTGTCCTGCATATCACCAAGGAAGCGGCTTCGGCTCCGACTTGTGTGAATACCAATACGGAAGGAACCGAGAACACTAACTCCACAACCATCAACTACAGCAGGCCTTTTTCGCGATCAGAAAGCGATGCCGAAGAAGTAGAACGGCAATTGTCTGTCTTTCAGGAGCTTCCGAACGCACGTGTGGTGGAGTGGCGACTTGACCAAAAAACAATCAAGCAGGCTGTCAAACGGATGCCTCAGCCGTGTCGAGTGGTTGTCTCCGGACCCACAGAATTCAACGCCGCAGCGCGGAGAATGCTTTTAGATACAGGCATGCTGAAGGAGGACGCGCTCACTATCCTCACAGCATGAGTTTTTGTTGTGGGTGCGTAACTGGGAGTTGTTGACTCGTTGACAGCTTGACATAATTTAACATATCATGAGTGGTAGGCTATGACTCCGTGTCACTGTTGCCTTGTCGTTGATGCCAGACTCTAGTTATTTTCAGGTGGACGAAAGCATCCAGCACTGGCGTCGACGAAATCGTGAGTGGTGTGCAAATGAAACATTCTATTTTACCTGAGTGGTATGTTACTTGAACGTAGGGCTATCCTTATACTATAGATACATAGTAAATAATCCTATCCATCGACGATTTCTCGAAATGCTATCGCGGTACTTTGACGTTTCAACTTGAGTGGTAGTTTCATAGGAAATGAACCCCGCTAGTAGACCTCGACGACATGAAAAACAAAAATGCCGACGACACTTAACACACTTATAATATATATTCTTGATTATAGGAATTTTCAGTATAATCGACCAGTACACAGGCCAAGTTGATCGTAGTGAGTCATGAGCCAAGGATGTTTTGTCTCTGGTGTCTCAGTTTCGAACTTCTCCAGGCTATTTAATGAAGAACAAAACTTAAACTAGTCGCCGACGTTTCTCTGGCACAGTGAAATAACAATTCGACACCCCTTTCCAACTTCGCCCGATCTAGCAGTTTTTTGGATCCTAAATCGCTGAAAACAAAGTGGAAAGAAAATAGATTTCAACACACTGGTCGACATCGCTGTCGAAGATGATAGGAGTGTAGATGTGTTTCCGTTTTCTGCTTCTCGTGTTTGCAGAACTCTTTGATGGGCAGATTCTCCGAGATCTGTCTCCTATACGTCATCAAGGTTTTGTATCATCAGGTTCGAGATAACATCACGTTCGTCTGTCATATTGATGTGCTTGTTAATAGGACTAACATTATACTGATCATCGGGTCTTACTAAAACTAATTTTTGCACTTATCATAGTTAAGTTTGTTCGAGTGCTGGCTTCGAGTTCGACAAAAATCGCGCGCAATAAGTAGATAAATCGGGAAACTGGTGGAAACCCCTGTTGTGCGCTAACGTTGATCAAAAAAAAGTCTGTCGTATTAAGTAAGTTTGTGAATGCATAGAGTCGTTTTGAGAATCTGTTGCATAATTTCGTGGCTGGTCTCGAGATCCGCTTAATATCCACACGTTCCAAAGAGTGGCCAGTACTTGTTTTTTCAAAAATCTTCAAAACCAAAGTACGAAAATGAGTAACGATGTCATCAATCTCGTCGATGCCAGTCAGGCAGACGAAGCGATGGCACCAACAGGCATTATCAATCTCGACTCATCGCAGTCGCAGCCCATTGGTAACTTCGAAGATCGGGATGCGGATGCTGCAACGCCGCATGTTCAGCCGCGTTGGGATTTGCGACACGACGGCTTGCTTCAGGGCTTCCAACAACACGGTGAAGATGTTCGAGATGAAGCTGACGAGGATCGGCCCTCCGAATCAAAAAAACGACGACTAAACGATCATAGCAACGACCACTCTGTTTTTCACGGGCTGGATGAGCATTGTCCGATGGGGGATGCCGTAGAAGAAGGAGATGAAGACGGAAGCGCTGAAGTCGATGTGCATCCGTACAGGGCTACCGTTCTTCAAATAGGCGGGACTGGAGATGGACTGAAGCAGCTCCTTCCACCAGGAAATTCGGTGTCAGGAAACGGAGCAGGACCTGGAGCATCATCTTCCTCATCAGCTTCTGCTTTTGGGAATAATAGAAGTGGAGGTGCTCGTGCTGCCGCCGCAGGGCAACATGGTTTTAGCAGAGACGGCGACGACCAGGAAGGAAACGAAAAGGAGGATGCGTTCAATATGGAGAAATTGAAGAAAATGATCGGCGAAATGGCTGAGCGAGAGAATGAGCAGCGAGAAAAGAGTCGGCGCCAACGTGGTTTACCTCCGATTGGAGAGGTCATGCGCCAGTTGTTGAGATTGAAAAAAGAACAAGAGGAAGAAGAAGATGAACATCGAAGATCGCCTAACACGAATATCTCCAGAAAGACAAATAAGAAGGACGCAACGTCATTGCCATTGGATGTTGATGAAAGTGGTGTTGGACGGTTAGTAGAATCCGGAATCTATTCGAGCAGTTGGCTGCAAAGGGAGCCGTGTGAAATGGACGATTCGAAGACACAGAGCACGTTTGTGGTCAAAAGAGTTCCGCCGCCGCAGCCGCTCCGTCTATCGCCGCATGCATCGCCTACGGCAAAGGTCGATAAATACCGGAACCAGCAGGAAAGTGCAAATGCTAGTGCAGCACAACACCGGCAGGAAGCTGACAAAATTGGTTCTTCATTCGTGCTTCGCGCGTACCCGCAAGGGCAACAGGTCAAAGAAGAGGAGCCGCAAGATTCAAATAGCATGATGATTGTGGCAGCAGATTTGCCACCTGTGCCGTCGCCGCTAGCATCTTCCCTCTCATCCTCCGATGTGGTCGTCAAGTTTCATTTCCCACGTATGTTGGAGCCTCAGCAATTAGTGGCGACTGCGGTTGTGCAGGCTTTCTTGTGCGGCAAACATGCAGTTTTAGAATCTCCGACGGGGACGGGAAAAACAGCAGCGCTGCTGACGGCCGTGCTTGCTGCGCAACGAGACATGCAGACAAGATTCGGGTGCGCACCGCAGATCATCTACGGTACAAGAACGCACGGCCAGGTAAAGCAGGTGGTGAAAGAATTGCGCGCTTCGCCCTATCGACCGAACGTCGTTTGCTTAGTTATGGTTCGTTTTCATGGTCTTTGTCATTTATTACACCGGGGCCCACGTCGGCTATTCCAGCTAAAGTACTTATTCTCTAAGAGTTGCCACATATTAAGCACCATCTTCATGGCCTAGTCTTGAAGTAGACCATATGTAAGTATGATTCTAATGTCGGCAGTCGGGATAAGGGCTACTGCGTCAACGAAGATGTCCTGAAAACACGCGGAGAGAAACGGCAACTGTGCCAGCAAGCAAGGCAATATCACCGGCACCCGCCGGAACCTGATGGGAAGCCGCCTCCTCCCAAGTGCGGGCGCTTCGACGCCTTAGAGCATGATGTTGTCGTAGAAGCCATTCGCAAGGAGGTCCAGGCGCCGCCCACAACCACAAACATCGGGAATAAAGCCACAAAATTTCCAATACCGCAGCAGAGTGGAGCGCAAAAAGCTGGCCGTTGTGGTATCAAAATGGAACAAGGAGATCAGGGTGGAGGTTGCGGTTGTGGATCTGTAGTTGGTCAAGAAGAACCTCAACATCAAGCAGGTCAAGCAGGTCGCGGATCAGCGGCAGCTACAGACTTGGTTGCAGTGGATCCGCGAGCACCAACGACAACGTTTGGCAAGATGATGAAGAAGAAACTAGCTACAATGTTGAAGACGCACAACGCCACCCCTGCGACGTACTTGCAGGATGTCGAAGACCTGGCGACGACGGTTAGAGAACAGGGTGGGTGCCCGTATTTCATGTCTTTAGCACTTTTGCCAGAAGCCAGCATCGTCGTTTGTCCATACAATTACGTCCTCGATCCGCAGATACGAGCGGCCGTTAAATTGCCGATCACGGGCAGTTTCGTGCTTCTCGACGAAGGGCACAACATAGAGTCTGTCTGCAAGGACGGCGGAAGCTGTAACGAGATCAAAGCAGAGAGACTCAACATCGATTTGCCAATTTTAAGGGACAAGCTGCCGCTGTTTTTCCTGGAGAAACCTGGACCGACAGCGCAGATAGCCAGAGTCTGCAGATTTTTCGAGCATTTGCTCGACAAATTGAACGAGTGGCGCGCCATCATGTATGAGAAGGCGCACAAACTTGCGACTCAAAGAGAGCATAGATGGTTCAAAGACCTTGAGCAAAATCCTTTTAAGGAGATGACTAGGTATTGGTTTTGGGCGGAGGCTAGCTATTCTGCAGACATGCTCAGTGGTTCCCGCACTGGAAAACTAGAACGCTTCAAGATCCAGGAGTTCTTGGACGAACTGTGTATCGGAGGTCCTCCTGGCGCAAGAAAACGTCCTCAACCTAGTGTCAGTGTGACGCCTGGTAGAACGTTAGGTCCACCATCCGCTGATGATCAATTACCGCACGGGCACAACAATGCTGTAGACACAACGCCGTCCCGCACTACTGAAGCATGTGAGGCGGAAGCGCGACAGTGCTTCGATTTGAAGGGTGTTTACGGTGCAATTAACGACGACCAAACCGGGCTGATTGCGAGAATGGGGAAGGAAATCGATCAACAGCGCCGAAAGCAGGTGTACGGCATGTACAACCTCAAGAACCCTGTTACCGGTTACCTCAATGTTGCAGTTAAACCCGAGCACCTTTCGCAGTGTAGTCGGGCACTGCAGAACATGGCGCAGATCGCGCGGGTGCTCCTGTTGCTCTGCGATCACCCGCGTGACTATGCGGTCCACTTTGACCCCGTTTCGAATTCGAAGCCTGAGTGGACTCCAGGGGGTCCTCCGCAAGGTTTCTGGCAGCCAGGCCGTGGCTACCAGCGCGCTTTGTCGGAGTTTGGCCAACTCTCGATACAGCTTCTCCGACCAGCTGTGACGTTCAAGGAAGTAGCCCGCGACGCACATGCTGTTGTGCTAGCAAGCGGCACGCTGTGTCCAATCACAGGCCTGTTTGCCGAATTGGGCGAGGAGTTTGCAGATCGCCAGCTCATCAAGCGTCATTGCCCTGGTGAACACGAGCAACAGCAGCTGAGTGCTTTTTCATCTTCTCGCGGAGGTGGTTCAGGCAGTGTCGTAGATGCGATGAGCCTGACGAGGGCTGCGCTAAATACAAATGTAACTGGACAGAGAAATCAATCCCCGGCAGCATCACTGGGGCAGTCTCCGAAGAGTTACAATTTGTCGCCGCTGGATGCTTCGCATGTGATCGACAAGAGGCAGCTGTTGGTGCAAAAGGTAGGAACGACCTGGGACGGCATGAAATTTGCGTGCACGCAAAATGAGCTGAAGTCCTGGAACGCTACGAAAAAGGAACAAGAGTGGAACACGAAGCTGCTTTTTAAGTTAGGTCGGTCCATCTTGAAGCTTGTTGAGGCTGTTCCAGGAGGCTTCTTGATCTTCTTTCCGACGTACGACATGTTGAAGATCTGTGATGAGGTCTGGAGAGAATTGGAGCCAGATGATCTGCTGGTGGAGCTGGCTCAACAAGGCCAACAAGAGACAGGAAATGGAAGCGCACAGCAGACGAGGATGAATAACAATTATACTGCAGCAAAGGGAAGGAGTCTCAATCATGGAATGGGTGGTGGCGACGCTAGTGGAGCGAATGTAACTACACATAACGCGCGCGGAACGGGCGCGCCAAATCAACCGTTTCAATCGCTGCGGTCAGCATCAAATGCAGCAGCTGGTCCGCGACGTCGACTCCCAAACAACAAAACACTCATGGCAAAAAATAAGGGAAAAACTATGTACCAGCAGAACGCTGTTGTGGGGAACCAGAGGCAGCGGAGTCGTAGCGCATCTTCTAGCGGGCGGAGCTCCGAAGAGCATCTACGGCCGCACCAGTACGGAGCAAACCGCGCTCAGGATGGTTTCACAACAGAAACTATCATGCAGGCACTCCACCGATTGAAGAAGGGCGTGCTCATTGAGACCAAAGAGACGGACATAAAGGAAATGCACGAGCAGTACACAGCGCTGATTGAGGAGCACAAGTGTGGTCTGCTACTTGGAGTGATGCGCGGAAAATGCAGCGAGGGCATATCGTTTAACGACTACCACGCACGAGGCGTCGCCGTCATCGGGATTTGTCTCCCTGCGCTCGGCGAGCCAGAAATCGTGCACAAAAGAGCGTATAACGAGTTCATGAGCAAGGGTGGCATTTCGAAGGAGCAAAGGGAAGAAGAAAGAGTTGCAAGAATTCGTGAACGTACACTAGCAAGACTGAAGAGCGAAGCCGAAGCAGCAGAACGAGCAGGAAAGAAGGCCTCGCCCGAGCAGCGTCCGGCCTGCTCCCCAGGCGCAGTCGCCGACAACAAGGCTAGTAATGCGTCTGGAGTTCTGCCTATTCAGCAGTCACAATTTGCGACAGGGCCTGTGCAGCAATCACAATTCGCTACCTGCATTCCGACACCGATTGCATCAAAAGGTTCGGTCATTCCTGGTGCCAGTGCAGCAGCTTCGTCAACGGGTGGCTCTGGTCACTCGCGAACTGTGGGATTTGCGAATATCAACGCAAACACCCAATTGATCTCGGCAACACTCAGTGCTCCAACTGCAACACCAACTACAACTGTTCCTGGCTTAGGACTTGGGTTAGGATCTACTCCGTCTGCGCCTTCTGGTACGCAACCGCATCAAACCGGCTGTTTTGGGAATGGAATTGCGCAAGGTTTTGGAGGGGCGACAGGTGGAAGTCAACAAGACGGTTTTAGTGGGTTTGGAGGTCAGAGTGGGTTTGGAGGACAGCCAAATCAGGCACGGAGCAGCGGCTTTGGAGGTACGACCCCCGTTGTTGGTGGCTTTAGTGGATTCACCGGTTTTGGCGGCTTCGGCCCCCAGATAGGCAACAACAGTACCACAGTATTTGGTGGTAGCTTTGGAAATGTTAACTTCGGTGGTGGTCTGATAAACGCTGGAGTGTTGAATCCTGCTGCTCCTGCGGCAAGACCCCAAAACACACCGGCACCTCCAGGCTTTGGAGCACCCTCAACAACGCCTGCAGGGTTTGGACCAGCAGCAGCTGCACAACGACCTCAACAGAAAGTCGGGTTGCGTCAGCCCGTTGCTGCTCAGAATCAACAACCTCAAATGTCGGGCTTTAACAATGTTGGTCAGACACAACGAGCGCAGGGACGAGTTGGATTCGCTGGTAACAGCGCTGGGGTGGCCAACAACGCTGCTGCCACGACCGCAGGCCAACAGCTTTCATCGTCGCCCCCCAAGACGACTACAGGGACTATCGTTGCACAGGTGGCGCCGAGTGCGAAAAAGTTTAGCAGCGGGGACGAGTGGTACGATCAGCAGGCGATGCGGCCAACTAATCAGGCATTGGGGCGTTGTATTCGACATCCGCACGACTTCGGTGCGCTCTTCCTTTATGATTGGGTTCTAGTTTGTGTTTATTTAGATAAATTTCTATGTAAACAAACTAAGATCCTTTTCTTTGTAAACAAACTAAGATCCTTCACACGACGAGGACCACGGGATCAGGATCCACAAATAGAAATATGCACTGCAATCATGATGAAGACCAACTTTAGATGTATCAGGATTCGTATTTCGCTTCTGCGATGACGAAAAACCTGTTGTTGCCTTCCTTCTGACGTGCTTTCTGTCTTTTACAAATAAAAGATCTCGATCATTCAAAGTAAGTAGGAGTAACATAATCCTTTTCTTGTCGTGCAGTCGCTGTGCTGAAAAATGATGAGACACTCGAGATAACGAATTCACCGTTTCTCAAACATTCGCAGTAAATGTCCAATTTTGGGTCTGTTTCGCAGACCTTCATGATGGACAAACTTTCCTTAGATGTCTGACTTTCACACAGCGGCTGAACACTAAGTGATCTTCAGATCCCGAGCTTTTAAGTATCCTGCTCATTGACCTGCTTAAAACAACATTTTTTCTGGTGCTTTGACTAATACAAGTGAGAACCTACTTAATATGAACATCAACATACGTCGTCATCGTCTACGTCTTTTACTGCCTGAGAAATCTGCCGCAGTCGCCCTCGCGTAGTTCCAAGCAGTAAGTAAATTTCTTCCCCTTCTAATTCCCGTTCGACCAGCGGTGGAATCAGGCAAAATACTCGGGGAAACTAGCGAAATGGATGCGCGAGGACATAGGTGTGAAACCCCCCTGTACTAACTACGACGAACTACAGCGTGTAATACGGGAACATTTTGAGTATAACGACGAGAAGTGGGCGGCGCATTTGGCCGAGACGGGAGGTGAGCAGCAATACAGCTGCAAGCATGAAATGAGTCCTGAAGGAGATGACGCTGCAGAAGATACTAGCTGGTGACGATCATCTTCGTACAAGTTGCAAGTCTACAAATTATACATAGATTTATCCTTGCATTCTGTGATTTTTTTTCACAAAAACTGAACTGGGCAAACGCAAAATGAGCCCTATGCATAAGTCGATCCCGTGTATATTCCGGCTGTAAGTAATGAACACTTCGCTGAAATAATGCGGACGCTGAGATGATCGCAGAGTTTGAGTTTCAGCTCGTTTAAGGAAAAAACGGCTAGTGCATTTGACTGCGTTTTTGATTTAGCTGAGGAGGCAAGGACAAGACCACGAACAGGGGAGAAAGACCAAACTTGGAGATCTTTTTTTCAGGTTACCTTTGTTTGCACAAAGGGGAGGCCATTTTTATTGCGCTTCTATCGGCAAGACCAAGTGGAGCTGCGAAAGCAAATTGCTCCAGCTTTAATGTTTTTGGCTTTCTGAAGAAAAACAAGGTCCTTGCACAACATACGATCAAGCTTCAGAGCGATCATGTAACACGTTGAGATCCCTGTGGATGAAGAATGTACACTGGAATCATGGAAATATGACCGATCGTTTGTAATAAGTGCTCGTGAAGATGCATTTACATTTAATTAAAGAGCACGAATTAAAGGATCGCCACGTTCCTTTTTTCTCTTCGTCCAGAAAGATCCTCAGTATCAGCCACTACGTATAGTCCGAGAGAATAGGTCGAAGTAGTTCCCGACTCGAACAGACCGCACACCGAGAAAACTTCCATAGTTTGTGATCGTGATTGTACTTTCATGAAACAGGAGGAGGGGAGATGAGAGGCGGAGTTGGTATTAGTAAATATGAGCCCGTAGAAGATGATGATCTTCATTACCAAAACAGTTTAGATAGGAAAAGAAGAAGAAGAGCTATGGTGGATGATCCTGCTGTCGTCGGCGTTTCCGAACGCGCTGTAGTCGCTGAGACAGATGCGGCGTTTCGATATCTGCTGCATTACAAGCCGCGCCTCGTTCTCACCTCAAGGCCGCCTCGAAAGAAAAATATACCGACGTCGTTAGTGGAAGGAGGACCACGACATGATGCAGAAAATGGACGTGGCAAGGCGTTTGATCGTTCTACTTCTAACAGCGACCCATACCGGTTCTTTCCGAAGGCCGGTAAATATTTTGCTGGAGGTAATGAAGACTCCAATGGTGGAAGAAGTGAAGAATCCGGCTCTGGAGTGCCGCTCATTTCCGACTTGCTCCAAGCGGCTGCGAAAGAACAACTACATCTGAGATCCAGCGGCAAGAACGATTTGGATTCGGTCGCACCTGTGGGGCGTCTCGACCTGGACTCTGAAGGTCTGATCCTTCTAACCGATGATAGACGACTAAGCACAGTGGTCACATCGCCAAGCTACGGACACAGTAAAGTCTACAGGGTTATGGGTAAAGCCAAACGATGCGTTAACCACTCCCCATTGAATCGAGATGCGATAGATGGAGGATCAGATAATCTCGCGGTTGGTAGTGTCGTTGCCAAAAAAAGGGCTCGAGAGGCGGTTGCGAAACTTGATCGAGCATTGTCTCTCTCAGAAGATGAGCAGCCTGCTTGCCTTATAACACAGCGAGAGTCGTCGAGTTTTTGCGCTGTGCGAAGACCCATCGTTCGTGTCATGGACGCTGAGTACGTACCTGCGAATATATTCGTGCGACGGTTTTTCAACGAAAAAAGTGCATCGCAGACTCGCTGTTCGACGACACCTGATATTTCTCGCGGCGAGCCCAATGCCTTAACGCCTAGTAGCACCTTGAACTGTAAAGTTCTTGAACACCAGCCTGAGACCACGACTAGACTGGACTCGCCGACGCACGACACAGCTACCTTCTTGTCAACGCCGTCAACTACGTGTTCCTCATCGCAATCAACATCGCCGGTTGTAGAGGGGGAGCGCCAACGGGAAACTTCCTGTCCAAAAGACGTGCTGGTGGCGGTTTTTGAGGTGACTTTGTTCAGTGGCAAGAAGCACGAGGTGCGCCGGTTGCTAAGAGATTGCGGATTTCAGACCCTGACGCTCCAGCGCGTTGAGGTCTGTGGTATAGGCCGCGACGCAATTGCACAGATCGAAACGGTGCAAGACGCCTTGACGCGGTATCGTGAAGACACGCAGGGCGTACAGAATGCGCCGTGGTGTAGAGCATTGCGATACAATGACTATGAACGTCTCACTACAAAGATATTACCAGAAGGCTTCGATCGTAGTATCAGCTGCAGTAGTTTGAAGTCAAGGGAAGATTACCGTTGGTTCACTTCAACACCGCGACGGCCGAACCAAACAGAAGAGACGAACCCCACAGTGCTCGAACCCGGTCAGTTCCGGCACCTGGAATCATGGGAGGTCGCGCGCATCTTAGAACACTGTCATCCGGTTGTATCTCGAGGGAAGTAGCCTCTACATTCCGCGTAGCTTCTTATTTCTATCCTCCTAAAAACTTAAACGGGCACTGCAGTTTCTTCACAAATCACGTGCGCAGTTTGTACGGCGATTGAACAGCAGCAAACGTATTTTGTGCACTGTCGAAGACTTCTTCCCCATTCACATCAACAAATCAACCGATCCCACACCCAAGCGCAAATCGTGCATGCTTTTTTCCTGACCCTTGTAAATGTAAGTAAAAAGTGGTAGAAGAAGATGCTGGTAACAATGCTAGCGAAGAAAAGTAGAAAAACAAACTGATGAAAGTTGTGTTCGAATTGTTCACTATTCTTGAGGGCTACCATGAGTTGTGAGGAGCAAGGGCGCCAAACAGAAATGCACACTGAGGGATAGCGATAGAAGTAGGATCCTGCGTGACCGCCTGGAGTTGAGACGAAAGACGACAGTCCCGAATTTTTGACTCCTTGGAAGTTGGAATGGTCCATAAGTTGGCCGATTGAAAAAACGAAGCACAACTAGCCAAAAGCACAAAGAAAGCGCTAGAGTACGGCTAACTACTTTGTCTCAGGTATTGTCTTTCGACATACTTGTTTCAGGATGAGGCCTAGATCCTCTACTTCTGTCGTGAGAAGCGTGGTGACTCCTATTTCGATCGTGATGGTAGCGCTCACAACTGTGGCACTTTTAGTTGATGCTGTATTCATTCTCGTGTACACTGCCCCTGTAATAGGGATAGGCTTATTCGCACAGGGTGCAGAATTAGAAAATGAGACCATCCCCGTTGTCGAAAACACAGTTCCTCCTCCATCGTCATCTGGACCTGCGGACAAAAGCATCGCCCTACCTTCTCGTTCGTGCTGGCCGCAGTGTCACCGCGACGATGATGGTGGGACGAGTACCATTGGCACGCCGCGCATGTTCGCACACGTGTGGCTCTTCGACCACCGGATTGAGGACAATGCTACGGACAGATCTGCGACCACCTGTCCCGCAAATGTGGCAAGTACATTGAGCTTTCTTTCGCAGTTTCTACATCTCGATGTCTACGGCCCATGCGCGCAAACCCCCGCCTTAGGATGGAATACGTTCTATGCACGAGAACGAGAGCAAGAGGTGGATCTGCGAGAGTATCTCTTCGTCCTTACTTGGCATGCTGGCATCGTCTGGGAAGCCGTGTCGCGGATGACTCTTCCGGTTTTCTTCGGGCAGCGGGAAGACCTGTATGTCGTCGTAGACGATGAAGACGATACGCACGCTAAGGAAGTAGTGAACTTGTCAGAATTCCCAGTCATTTTCGCCCAGGACTTCGCGACTCCGCATCATCTCACGTTTCTTCTGCAGAAGTTGACACAGCATCCGGCACTCTACAATAACTACTTTTCGCACTGGGCGAAGTACAAGAAGTTGGGGCCGCGCTTGATTGCATATCCAGACTACTTTCGACAAGGAGGAACAGTTGCAGCTGTCGAAAACAACCACGATAAGCTAGAGCACAAAACCACTTGCAGCAAGCGCCGGAACAGCGATTACCAAGTCGTGTCATCGCTGTTTATTGACGGCAACTTGTCATCTTCTCAGAAGACGTATCAAATAAATGCAACGCAAGACTTTCATGCTACGACAGTACCACGCAAGTACGCCGAAGTTTCTCGATTGCGTGTTGCCTTTACAGATGCCTCTGCTGCGTTCGTGGCAAGTGTCTTCGAGTATCTGGGTCCGGACTTGGTGGCCCAGAAAAGCGTTCTCATTATCGACGCACCCAGCGACGCGAAAGCACTACTGCAGAGCAACGCGCGGCACGCGCTACAGCTACCATTGTACACTTTTGGATTTGGCAGCGTCGTGGAGGACACCAGCGAACGCGATGAAACGAGGAAGCACCACCTTGAGCATGACCTTGAACAGCAGGACGATGTGTCATCTGCTGAAGATGTCGGCCTGCTTGATTTCCGACACGCGTGGCAGACGCAGGACCTCAATTTGGAAGCCGCGCGTAACGAATTTCTGCCGCAAGATGTGGTCGTTGCGGAGATCTCGAAAATTTTCCGCTGTGACAAACTTGGACAGCTAGACTCGACATTTGAGCTATTGAACTACGTCGCGAAAGAGGCTCTTGTGGTGAAGCTTACAATTACGAGTCTACTGCAGATGGCAAACGCAATGTTTGTGGGCGGTCAGGAGGTAACGACGCGGCGTGCACAATTTGCGGGTGCCAGGATGCATGGCGAAGGACTATTTTCTTTTTCTTCAGAAGACCGCAAAGAAAATTTGGCAGATCTGTGGGCAGAGGCGGGGATAAATTCGGATGAGGTAGATACCGATACGTCTTTGCCTTCCGCTTCCCCCAGCACAGGTCTCCGACCACTGTTGCCTCGACAGAGCGCTCACACAAAAAAAACAGGTCCAGATCATGCACTAAGAAAGATCCGCGATTTGGTTGTAAGTCGCATTCTAAATCGTGTTGTGCATCGCCTGCGCCAGAACTTCGCTCAAGTTCAGCTTGCCTTTGATATACGACCAGAGGAGCATCAAAGCTCTCGTCCTGTGGACGACAATAAGGCTACTGCAGTGGAGGGCATAGTTGTTACACTCGGAGAAGCACTTTTCCCGAAAGAAAGAAAGACCACTAGAAGGGAGGCGAATGCTGATGGTTCTACTTCATCAGAGAAGAATCATGTTCAAAATCAGGAAGAGCTTCGTCTTGTGCTTGAAAGTCAGGACATCCTTGTTTCTGGTGGAAGCGTCGGCGCACCGCAAGAAGAGGGGACGCAAACCTTCAATCTGTTTGCTTACATGCGAAGTCTTTCAGACGTCTTTCCACACCTACTCGTTGGGAGAGCTTTTGCAGGGCGACCGGATGAAACGTTAGATAGCAGCATTTTGCTTTCACGACCTTTCTATCTGGTAGCATCCCAGCCGACAACGTGGAAGAAAGAGACGAGCGTGGTGAAGACGGTTTTGGTGCAGCCGCAAATGCCGGAGCCCTTCTCAGATCAAGTTGTACTTGCTAAGTCCGCCTTTCTTTTCGGTGGTCATGTGTACTTCAAGCAAATGCTCGGACATCGGGATTTGGAAATGGAAGGAATATCCCAGGAAGATCAAGATGCATCTCAATGCACGGAGGACGACTCCAATCAAACTCGTAGACTGTCCGCCTGTGATAGTGCCACGACATCTCCGAGCAGGACGAGGGCCTCCCAACAGAGCACAAAAGCAACTGTCTTCGAGGACACGAAGCCGGTGGTTGCTCTCACGGAAATAGTAAAAGAGACGCGGTTTTCAGCATTAACGAAGCTCTCTGCTTTCACGTTCGGGTCAAGAGAAGCCTTTTTTCTTCACATCTTGAATCCACGCTCTGGGGAGGAAAGCGAGCGGGGCTTAGCAACTTTCGAAGGAAGAAGTCTAGAAGCGAGAAGAGCGCGTATCGTGGCTCACAAACGTCGCTTGGAGGCAGCAATTATGATTGCGGATGGAAAGCAGGACGCAAGACCAAGAACACAGGATGTGCCTGCGGAGCCAGATGAGGATATTCATTTTCCGTCTTCTCTTGGTACGTCGCTTTCGTCGTCGCCTAAAACAGATGATTCACCTGCGAATCGAGAGCGTGAGTTTCGTGAGCTGCTGTTTGAAGATCCGCTTGTTTGCTCACCTGAGTTACAGCATCACTTGCATGTCAAAAATGACGTCTCTGAACACAGCGAGTTGCGGATAGAATTCCTGCGAGACGCCACGCCGCTGGATGAATTGCTGCTGCTCGCAGTTGATAACGTTACTGTTGAAGATCAGGATCAGGAGAGGTTGCCTCTACGAGAAACAGGTCCAGGTGGTCTGCTTGCGTACGAGGTGAAATTTTGGCCGCAATCTTTACAGAAGCAATTTGTCGTGGCAATGGGAGTAGAGCAAGATGAAAACGCACATATACTACAGAGCAGTCGCGACGGTGAAATGTGTCCAACATCGCGCAGGCAAAACCTTCACCAGCTCCTTCGAAAACAGATTCACATCACCTACGTAATTCTCTTGGTCTTGCAGATGCTCGTTTGCTTGCGTGAATCCTTTGTGCAACACAATGACCTGTGGTCGCCAAATGTTCTGTTTGTTCCGAAGTACCGGAAGCTGATTGTGATCGACTGGCAGCTGGCGCAATTGCGATTCCAGAGGGGGTCCTTCATTCCTCCAGAAATCGCTGCAGTTTCGAAGATCGTCTCAGCAGGTGATAGAAGTGGACTGATGTTGTCAAGCGGCTCATCATCGGTTCGAGGAAGTGATGCGGACAACTCTGCTTCCAACCTGCTTGGAAGCTTGCACTACGAAGGGGACCTCACGAGGACACTAGATGGCCTAGATGAAGATGGAAATTATTGGGAGCAGCATGAAGATAGTGCGCTGAATCAACTTCTCGCTGACGACGATGAGGAAGATTCAGGGATGCGCACGGCCGAGCAGATGAAAGAAGGCAAGAAACAAACAACCCTGTCTACAAGTGGGCAGTTGGTACGACGGCGAGCCCTAAACTTTCTGCGTCGCCACGGATTTAGTGGTGCCGATGCCTTTCCGGACATCGTTGCGCCATATACACCCTTCACCGGACTCGGCCAGAGCCCACCAAGCGTCAGAGATGCATGGATTGAGCCTCGCAGTGATAGATTCATGTTCTCTTATCAGCTAGAGTATCTTCTTGGTAAACTACAGTCGGGCTCGGGTCGTTCGGACGGGCGGGCTCGTCTCCTCGGTATAGAGAAGAGGGAGGGACGACAGGAGCTGCAAGGGGAACAGCACTGCAACAATGATTATGACCTTCTGCAGGAAGGGGATGACTTTGCACAGGAGTTAGATAGTCTAGTTCTGGCTCTTAGAGACGAATCAGAACTACAGTCATTAGAGCAGATTGAAGGTAGGTGGCTGCATTTGCTCAGTGATCTCCTACGAAGGACTCGAAAGACATAGGGGATCACCGCACAGTCTCAACATGAGGAAATGTCTATGTCAGGACTTTTCACTACAGTTGTTACTGCTGCCCTGGAAAGGATACAGGAATCGACATGGTCTCGGTTCCCGATTCTTCAATCTTGAGTTCTAATGTGTTGCAGAACTGATGCCTGCCCGCGAAGTGTTTCCTTCATGGATAGCAGGAGAGAGACTAGACGTGAGAGAAGGCTACAAAACCATCACGACGCATCTGCTTAAATATTTATCACTTACTTGCTATTGTTTTGCCCCTCAGATTGAGGAACAATGAAGGTCATACGTGTCAATAAATGGACGAGACCAGCTAACTGCAAGAAGTTTGCATGCGGGTGTAGTGCAAGCAATCATCGAGTAGTTAAGTAGACTCGTTCGTGTGTAAGCTTAACCTTAAGATCAAGTCCAAGATGCTGCTCAGGAGCGGAAGAAACGACGCAGCGGCTTACAGCCTGGTGAATAGCGCACCAGATTATGAAGATGCAGGAGGAGGAGAGGAAAAGGCTGGAGGAGGATTCTCGTTCGCATCCAGTGCTGCGAAACTGCGAATGCGGAAGACGAGTCCCATCCTTTCTAGCGGTGCTTCCCTCGGAACTTTCGCCATCTTTCTTACTGCGCTAGCGCTAGGCCTGGTGCTTTCCGCGCAAGGAGCGTTCAGAGCCACGATCACCGCTGCAAAAGACCGACATCTCTATGAGCCGCGGAAATGCACTTTGCGGCGATCGGGGGACGGGCTCTCGTGGTGGCGTTATGCAACCGGCTATGTGAAAGTGCACATTGGAGGAAGAAGCAGTTCATCTTCTGTCGAAGAGGAAGGGGACATGAACGGAGCAGTGAAGGACACGCTATTGAGCGGGATTGCGTATCGTGGCTATTTTTTCGCAGGGTCTTCATCTTCCTCATCGCAGAACGAAGCGGAACAAAAGGCTTCTGGCTCTGTGAATACGGCTCCTCATCATGGAGATACGTTTACCTGCTATGTTAAGAAGACGAGCCTCTATCAATACCAAGATGAGCAGGTTGCTGTTGGTGGATTTCCAGGATCTTCCGTCTATGATCGTCGAGAGAGCACTGCTTCTTCCCCGGCTCTCGTAGCAACCGTTTATCGCCCTGAGATTGGCACTCACGTCGGCGTTCTTGCTGTTCTTGCTTGCGCGATTGTAACGGTCGCGGCTCTCTACCCTACCACATGCTGGCTGTTGGAACGATACAAACTTACACGATGGGCAGCACAGGAAACGAGCATCCCACCTCTCGCAAATCGCGTTTTCAAGCGCCGCGTCGCGCACTACAGTCTCGAGTTCCTATTTGCGCTGACATTGGCTCTCAAGTACGGCCTTTTCGCGTTGTCAAATCCTAATCCAGCAAGACTTGTCCAACGACTAGTAGAAGGCGACGAACAATCCGAACAACCGCATCCCGATGGGCCTGGCTTCTTTCTTGTTGCATACACTTTTCTTGTGGTCAAGGCCTTACTAGCAGTAACCTATGACGGCACGTACAGTTTGCAGTCACGATTGGCGATGCAGACATACCTCGCAACACCGATTTTGCACGTGCTGTCGTCGATGCTGTGCCCGCTACTGCTATTGGGCATGTGGCTTGCAACGGTGTATCTCGTGGGCGCCGATGGGGACTGCTGCTTCGTGCCCACACTGGCACTTGTTTTGTGGCCAGTCGCTGGTAGCTCATCCATTTCGTTGATTTCGATCTCCATGCTGGAATTCTTAATCTCTACATTCACATCACTACATCTACATCAACTTCATCTATATAAATATTGAAGACTGCTGTCTTACGTAACCTCAAGCGACACATCAAGCACCAACATGGGTTTTCAACAACATTTCACAACAGTGTGGCTATACTATTCTGCGCCCCTTGACGACTTCGTGACGTGCCTTCGCGCTCACGCTTACAGGACACAGTATTTCTCGAAAGAGCTGTATCCACGGACATCGGCCTTTTCGCGACTTCATTGGACCCTCCAGTTGCTAGTAGAAGCGTTTCTTCTTTGCGATAGGCGGAGTCTTTTCTGTCTCGCTGTCGGGTTTGCAAACTACTTTTCTAGGACTACTCTCTACGGAAACAGCACGACGAGTAGCTCTTCGTCTAGCACAGTTTCTTCAGTATCATCTTCTACTACGCCCACAGTGCAACTCTTCTGTTATTTGGCGTTGGCTGCGGTTGCTTGTGACTTTCCGCGCGGAAGGCGGTTGTTGCAGGCTTTGCTGGTTCTGCACCTCATTGGAAATGCGACCTTCATGATGAGGTTGTCCACTACAACCACTAGTACACAGTTGCCGTCTCCCACGCGTTCAGCAAGTGAAGCACCACGCCAGAGCTCAACGTCAGCTCATCAGCCCACAAGTGTCGAAGTCTCACTGCTGCAGGCGAGTCTTGTTGCCTCATTTCTACTGTTGGGGAGTACTGTGACAGTTCCTGCCTACCTTGTTCGCAAAGGCTCAAGAATGCTCGACCGACGCTTTCGTAGGATACTCAATGCTAGTGTGCCATCATCGACCAAGAATACGAATAGCAAGGACACGATAGGCTTGCTAGAGAAAAGTCGTGACCATGAGCTGAAGCCAGTCATTGGCACTATGATGAATGAAGACAACGATAAGACCAAAACCGCAAGAAACTCATCCGGAGCCGTGAACAGGAGTCGTGTGCGACGGCGCAGTAAGCAGAAGAGTCCGTTCACAGAATTTGAAGAAGCAGAAGCCCTTGCTAGTGGCGAAACCTTGCCGGAAGATGACGAAGTAGACAGTCTATCCGGATCGATGTCGTCGTCGAGCAGTGCGTGCGGTTCCAGTCGGCCTGGTACACCGGGGGAGGAGCCTGGTAGCGCGTTTAGTGAAATCGCAGATCAACGAAGTTTTGACAAAGATGACGAGAAGAAACGGGAGAGAGATACAGACACGTTGCAAGACAACGAGGTCAAAGACACGTCAAGTTCGACACAAAATTCGGGGAAGCAAGAGCAGGACAAAAAAGATGAAGGAGATGCTCAGAATCAAAAAGGACATCAAAGCCTTCTGACACTAGCTTTCAGCCTTGGACGTTTTTTGCTATTGCCTATTCTGACGAGTGCTGCTTGCTGCTGTGGCTTGCGACGTTCGTCTGTATATGGTCTGGCGGGATTACGTAAAAGTGTAGATGGTGGCTCTCCTGGTGACTTATCTTCAGACAGCGACAGCCCTTTTTCGAATCGACGACAAGCGCCAATGCTGCTTCTAGTCGTTGCGGCCCTATGGCAGCTCTTCTTCGGTCTCGACGCATCTATGTGCTTGCTCGTTGCCGCTGTGGATGCATTTTTGCACACTTTTAGAGAGTCGATTTTGAGACCGTGGATTCGTAATAGGGCTGGCGTTCTGGATGCCCTTGACAAGGACCAGCATAATCACTTTTCTCAGGCGCTAATTCAGTTGGGAGACGCAGACAGCATTACGAAATTCGACTCAGTCCATATCTACAACCTCTTTCTTCTATCAGATGATTCAGAATATGAATCGATAGTGAGAGCTTTTAGGTATAGCGAAGGATCAAGCAACCAACTAACTAATAGGTAAGGAAATCCTGTTTCAGATCGAAATGATCCAACAAGACAAGCTTTAAAGGGCCTGTTCCTTTCACACCACTTTATTCAGCGGCTTCTAATGCCAAAACAAACGCGCAGCACGGCATTGGCATTCACCGATCTGCTGCTTCGCCTTTGGGAGTAACAGACACTAGAACGGGCCGTCGTACTGCCGCACGCCTGGCAGAGGAGCGGGCTTTGATACTCGAAGCCCGAGCAGTAGACGAGGTCGGTTTGTGGCGTGGTCTTTTGTTCGGGTGTAACGATAATTACCCTATGACAACAACTGTGATGAAGCAAGGCACTTCGGTGAGAAGCACTGGGACGTCGAGCAGTAGAGGACATGTTAACAAGCAAATGAAACAAGGCAATTCAAGAAATAATTGGGTTGTGGACTTGTTGCGGTCCCAGGTTGCAGAAGATTTTCATGTTGCTCTGACGACTCGCATACTGTTTGTTTACAACATGATCGTAAGCGTGCAGCAGCTGGTTGTGATTCTGGGACCGGCTTCTAGCATGGGAGTGGTTAGTGCAAGAACTGGTGGATTTTCTTTTTCCTCCGTACCCTACGGCATCACGGCGGCACTATTGTGGAGAGTTAGTCAACACCGAGTCAGGCTTGCAGCGTCCGACGAAGACGAAGAGTGACTGTTAGAAGTTTCGAAGTGCAAAAAGAATAGCTTTTGCAGTGTCGTAGTGAGCACTAGTAGTGCACCCCTAGAAGTATTGCAAGAACGACAAATTACTATGGAGGAGTTTCTTCAGTAACCGCAATTCAAAATTTGACACCGAAATGCTTGAAGTTGATGAACGAAAACTACAACTACAACAAGAACTTTTTTCACCCGTCCTCGAAGATTTACAGGACATGCAAATACAAGTCGACGACCTCTCTATGCTATCTTCATAGTATTTTTTGATGTTGGACATCAACATCAAGAGGATTGTTTTGGCGTAAATGCCTTCGACGTGAGGTGGTGGGTGCGTCTCTAGAAGTGAAACACCCACCAGGATCAAAAAAAGTGAAAAAATCGTCAGAATTGTCACTGAGAATATATGTAGAAGTGAGTCAAGGAGAGAATGAGTACTCCGGCTGGCAATAGGTCTTCTTAAAAGGTTTCAGTAGCTGTGAATGTGAATTTCAGAAGATAAAGACACAGTCGGCCGAGCAATATGGCAGTATTTAAATTGACTTATTCGACGAGAATGACACCAAGAAAATAGACGAGAGCGTTCTTGCCGAGGACGAAGACGCAGACGAACAGGAGAAAGACTATGCTCTTGTAATAAAGGACACCAGACGAGGAGCACGCAGCAGGAGCCTCCCTTCGCAGTTTCCAGAGAAGAATTTTGAGCACTTTATCAAACAGGCGATGTTCTCTAGCAGCGACCAACGCCCACAGCTTTCCAGCGATGCGGCCTCCGAGCATAGCGGGCATAGCGGCCGCAGACATTCGCATCGGAGAAGCCGGCGGAGTCGAAGAGCATCATCGTCATCCAGGAGCCCTTCGGTTACACAGCACGCCAAGCCAGAGAAGCAAACACCAGCGGCCACGTCAGGTGGCACAGTAGACGCAATCGTAAGCAAAGAGCAAAAGCAGGACACCGCTGCAGAGGAGCTGTTCGTCACAGATAGCTTCTTTTCTTATGCAGGGTAATGCTTCTTGGAAGTGGTATTTTCAAACAAAAATGATAAGATTTCTGGATGAAACAACAAAAATACCAGAGGCCAAGGCAAGTAGAATGATAGGTAGAGGCACTTAAGTCAATCATGATCCAGCCATCTCATCTATGTAAGTATATCAGATAAGCAATTTCTTCTAATGTTCGATTTCGCATTTGGCGTATGTCTTCTTTTACGCTGGGCTGACGGGTGTAAATTGGGCTTTTCTCGGGCAATGGGTGGAAAGCCAGAAGGGTGGAGGTGAGTGGTTGCGGGTGCTCTTCATGATATGAAGCGTCGTAACTGTCCTGTTATGAAACTAGGTAGGAGGATCAAATAGAGGACAATTTCGACTCGTTCACTGTCACTGTCTATCATACATAGTCTAAGCCTTTTTTTTTTACACGACTTCTACAACTTCGTCTGGTATCGTCGGGTGCCGGCTTTGTTGATACTTACATCAACTAGTATTCCGATTGTACAAGGGCAACATCCTGCTTTCTCCATGTTCGATCGATAAAATTTCACCGTCGACCTCGTTTCTTCCGCTATTTACCACTTATTTTTGTCAAATTCAAACCCCTATTCTTTGCTCCCGATCCCACTTCAACTTTGCTGCTTGACTTCCTTCTCTTCCTGCATATCCTTCTAGTCAAGGGCACGGTGAGCCGCAACGGCTGTTTTCAATGGATCCTTTATTGCTGGATCAATGCTCCGAAGTACACGCTGTTCTACTTCGAAATGATGCCAACGCTGAAACGCGAAGGACGCACTTTCGAGAGTCCGCAGATTCTTACCTATTCCGTTGCAAACTTCGCGATTTTATACGCCTTGTTGATGCTTCGCAGCTTCAAGGAATTGCACGTGGGCCGGAGAATCACGATAGATACGATGATTTATGATTTGATAGTGATTCATCATCTTTCGCATAGTGAGGCATCCAAATCTTCGAAAAGTACAACCTGAAATGTATAAATATAATTATATAAATTTAGATTGCGGTGGTAGTGGTTTGTTCTTCTTCATTTGTCGCATACGGACATGGCCTGGCACGTGACGATGGATTTCGTCGATGTACTGCACATGTTTGACTTCGCCCAGCCAGATGAAGCGCAGATTTTGGATGAGAATTCGGGTTCCGGAGGCATCTCAGAGGAGGAGTCCGAAGCGATGCGAATCGCTGCTGGGGTCTTCATCTGTTCAGCGTTATTCTTTCATCAGCAAAGCTTTCCTGGAACGCCGTGGAGAACGAAGCAGTACAACTATCAGCGCAACTCGACCCTGATCGTAGGAGGAGGTGGTGGAGTAGGTGGCGCTAGTGCTGGGGCTCTCACACAAAACATAGGTAAGCAAGAGGCTTTAAAGGGTGAAAGCAGGAGTCCAGCGAGCAGGAAATCTTCCAGAAGGAGCATTAAGGCAGCCATTAAAAAGGAGATTGATGATGATGACGGGGATGATGAGGATCCTAGCGGTCACCGTCGTGCGAGGAAAAGCGAGCGCCGGTGGCGTAAGAGTAAGAGAGGCAAGAGGGAGAGCGCTCGTCACCGCGATAGCACTGCCCCAACAAGGATTGTGCAAGGAAAAATTGTTGGAGACCGCAAGTTTCCCGTCTCACAATCCGCGAAAACGAGTGGACGCAAAAAATCTCGTATGGACCACAGCGACGACGATAAGCCACCGTATCCTCCAACCAACATGCGTGCAAGTCGTCATTCCAAATCCATCAAAAGACAAACGAAATCGACTAGAGATAATGATGGAGCAGTTCTTGTAGTTAAAGACGATGCAAGTGGAGGTCCAGCCGCAGGGGCAGCAGCTACTGCTAGTGTCAGAAGGAATAAGTCAGATTCCAGCACACGACGGCATAGTGCTCCTTCTAGTGGTCTGCAGCAGGATGACGCCATTGCACCACAGAAAAAGGAGAGCAAGCGCGGTTCGCGCCGTGCAAGTCGAAGCAGCAGTGAGGCATCATCGCGTAGGTCTTTGCCTGGTTTGTCTGGCGCACGTGGTCGTAAGAGCAGGCACCGCAAGACCATTCGAGACGGTAAAGAAGGGAGAGAAAACGAATCCGCGCCAGACGAAGGAGATGCAGCACGACCAGCCGAAAACGCAGCAAATCAACAGCAGAATAGCCGAGGGCCAGTGCGACCATTCTTTTTTTCGACTGCAGAGCAAATGAACAAGAGACCTTTCCGCGAACAGCGGTCGCAGGTGGCTGGAATCAACGTGATGAAGGCACGCAAGCGAAGCGCACTGATCTCAATTCTATTCGTAGATCTTCCATTTTTGGTGATCAGAAGCCTGCATTACTACCTTTCACCGGAAGGGACTCGGTCCTTGGAAACAATGACGTTGAAGATTATGTCGAACGACACTAAAAGCTACATCTTAAGCTTATCCATACTGCTTCTGCTACTACAAGCACAAGCACGTGGCACAATAGAAGTTACTTAAGTTACCCATCGGATACGGATTGAGGAAGACGCTAGATTCTTCATTTATGCAATTATTCCACGACCCACTTCCCATATCTAAGTATGCTAACGTACGTTGAAAAAATCGCAATCTCATCATCTAAGAAAAACCTGGTGTGCCTGGTTCTTCAGGCAGTGGCGCTTAACTCGGTGCAGCAGGTGGAGTTGCGTGGTTCTGCCCTGATGGAATCCTTGCAGGACCAAAGTGGTGGCATCTTCCAGCAGCGAAGCAATGTGCGAGTTCTGCGACTACAGGACCAGCAATTTGCTAGTAACGCGATTTTCACAGGTGGCGGGGCGCATCTACCATTAAGGCTAAAAACCATGATGATAGAAGAAGTAACTAAATCCTAGATCAATGAATGATGCTCGTTTCTCATACTTACATATCTTCATCAATCATCTGCAGCTTGTTTCACGGACATTAAGAACGAAAGCTATACTACCACCTTTGTCGTCTAATACTAAGCGGGAGCACACGTGTCGGGAGGATATGGGCGCCTTATGCAGGGCTTCTGCAGCTTGGGTGGAACAATCATGCGCATCAATATGCCAGTTCCACCACGTCGTCCGGACAACATCAAACACCGGCTCCCCTGAGCACGACAAGAGGAGAAGGTGGCGCTGGTCGTGGGCTACCCGAAAGCGCAACTACGCCTGTCACCAGTTCGAATTATGCAAATTTAAATTCAATATTAGCTTTAGGATTACTTGCTTAATAAATAGGCTGAAAGAGAAGTAACATCGATGACACTGAAACAGAAAACAACAGCTTTGAAGATCAAAGATAGGTTTATTATCTTGACAAGGAAAACGAAAAAATAATAATAAAGGAGGTGAAGAAGACAGAGGAAGAGCTACAAACACATGATGATGATAATGATAATGATGATGCATTTGCATAGAGACAAATAGAAGATGCAACAAGACTCTCGCAGCACTTAATCTAATGGTTTGACCTAAAGGCCATGAATATCAAGATGGAGAAAGGCGGAAGCTTTATTTCGTCGCTGCCTCGTCCAAGTGCAGCGGCATCGTCGCCAGCCGAGTTGCTATCGTTAAAGACGGGAGGCGCAAGCGGGGTCGGGGAGCGCGAAAGTTCTTCCGGAGGAGGAGCAGCGTTGCAGTACATCACTTCTGGCGAGGAGGGTCACGCGGCAGGAGGTGGCTTCGACTCCTCCCGGGTGGACGAGAGGGCTTTATTACGCACACCTTCTACTCCGCAAGACGACCAGCAACTCGATAGCTCGATATCTTTGGGCTTGTCGGGCCTCGATAGTGAGAGCTCGACTGGCGGAGAATCTCTATACGACGTTCGCACTTCGGATAGTGATGACGACGAGGATAACAACACTGGAGGTAGAGGGCAGTTCTATTCTGAAGACGCGAGCGCCTTTCGAGGACTCAGGTCAAATCCAAAAGACCATGCACATCAACATTCTGACAACGAAGATCTAGGAAAAGCTTCTCCTGCAAGGGCAGGTAAAAAGACTAAGAGCAGGTATAGTCTCCAATCTGGACGTTCCAGAATGCGCCGACTGCGCAGATGCCTTTTAGAATGGTGCTTGTACTTCATCTGTTGCTGTGGGCGAGGATGGGCGCGCGCGTCAAGGTTCTGGCTCTGGCAACTATTAGTGGTCGTCTCAGCGCTCTGTGGGGGCTATATTTGTAGCGATCATTCTTACGACGAAGACCGGCTCATCATCTTCGACCAGCTCCGACTCGAAATGGAAGCAAACGCAGCCGCTTGAAACGAAGCAGGAGATACTTGCTTCTTTAGGGGCAACAAATGGAAATATCTATAGTACTTTTATTGATTCAATCTATAATTTCGTTTTCGCTTTCCTATTCGAGGTTGACGATAAAGACAGGAGACGGAGAGGGCAGAAGTATCCAAAGATCCGCATCTATTACTGCTATTCATGTTGTCGTGAGAAATATCAGGACGTAGTCGTGGTTGAACCTCAACATCCTTAACCACGTTATTCTTCATTTGAACGAGAGTGAGCAGCTCACTGATCATGGTGCAATCATTGATTCAAGATTTCGAAAATTTGATGGTAGTTTGTTGTGTACCTTTGAGAGTGCCGAGCATGAGGTTAATATAGAGAGCTTTGAATGCTTGCGTTTACGACTCGTTGGATAATCATAATGATGGGCGGAATATTGATGACCATGACGTCGGACCTCTTTACTTCTAGTATAGTGGGTGTTCGCGACGACCCGTGTCCTCCACATGCGATCCAAAACCTGAGCTTCATCTTGTTGAAATGAAAAGCGAGCCCACGGGCTCCGCTCTTCTTGAAAATTAATCATACTTTTATGTTAATAGCAGAAGCTTCTAGCTTTTACTGGAGCTGGATGTGCGTTGCAGAGCATCATCAAAGCATCATCAAATTCACAGGAGCTTGATTACGGTAGAGAGTATAGTCGTACCTATGAGGTAGAAGCTTGTTACGTTTTCTTTTTGGTTGTTCATCCCACCTTTGAAAAGCTATTTCCACACTGTCTTCCAGGCACCTCAATTTGTGTTTAGTATGTCAAAAATCCCTACGAGGAAGCGCCCCTAGGTTGTTAGAAAAATCTACTCCATCATGACGATGACTATCATGAAAATTTTCAAATGTTGATGATCATGAAACTGAAAATTATGGCTTGTCTCAGTTTTATTCTGTTGCTATGTAGTACATCTACATGAAGAACGTCACCACATCAAATGAAAAATTGTTTCTTGTTGCTTCGCTTTCGTCTTGTACTCGTGGTACCTCCGTCGAGCCTGTTTAATACACGACTTCCGATTCATCTTCATCGTACTTAGTTGATATCAGCGCTATCAAAATCAAATGAAAATTGAAAAAAATGGCAACTGAGTTGAAGAAGTTGACTGCTTTGCTCCTCGAGAGCGACCTTGGTCCCGATGCCGCTACTGTGATTCGTGACGCACGGCCCCGCGTTGAGGCTTTACGTGCGCGTGCAGTCGAAGCGAACTCTATTTACGGACCCGTGACTCGGGAGAAGATTCGGCACTTAGTGGAGTCCTGGAATCAACTTCGAGAAGCGTATAATGTCACTGATACGTCGGCGGGGCCATTGGAGGTGTGTGCCTGGGGAGCAGTTGCTGGAACGACCAGCACAGTACCTTTCGCTTCGGCAGCAGCAGCTCCCACTCCGTCTTCCTCCTCTTCATCTTCTGGAATTCGGGTTGGAAGTGGTGGAACCCCTAAGCGGCAAAAAGTAGACATGCCCCACGAGCTCTTACCCGGAGGCGGGACACGCGCAGTTTCGATTCCCGTTCCGATGTCTGCAAGTGCTGGAGTTGCCGCTGGTGCCTCTAGTTCTAGCAGCTTCAGCCCATCTGCGCGGTCTGGTGTTGATGCCATGGGTCGTACCATTGCGGCAATGGGCTCAACAGGAGGTGGATCGTCAGGTCACCTCCTTCCCGGCAGTAGCAGAGAGTCAGCAGGAGCATCTGCAGACACTCCGTCTGACGCTGAAGTGACATCGTCTGTTCCGGCGGCGCCATCTTCGTCGAGCACCAACAATCTTCTCCCCACAAGCTCTAGTAGTCACAATCCCCCTAATCCGTCGAACAAGAGAAGTACAGCAGTTTCGATAAGTAGTGCTGTCTCAAATTACCCAGCGCGTGACTCGTCGGCGTCTGGTAGTAATCCTCGTGCCTCATCAACTTCTGGTGTGTCCGCTGGCGCTCCGCCTGATACACCCGACGGTTCCGCAGCTCCCTTAACCTCGGCGACACAAGTTTTTGACCGAGTACATCGCTACGTCTTGCAGACTGGGTTGCTTACGGGTGCGCCAGACTGTCTGGAAACGTCGGCGTCATTGACCAGAATACGCTACCAGAGGCGGGGAGCGACCATAGAACTCATGTTTATCACCACTGGACCAACAGCCTTGATCTTGCGTGATGGTGTGGAGCTGATGAAAGTACAAATACCAGACAGTGGAATGCAGGAGGATACTATCAAAAAGAAGGTATTTGCTTGCTTCATTTTGGGTTCGTTTGAATTTTATGTATGTATCTGTATCAATTATATAATCATGTACTACAAGAACAACAACAACAACTAGCGAGTCTCATCAAACAAAGCGCCAATACTGAAAGAGTATGCTCTACTATTTTCTGACAAGGTGAAAATGAATTCTTCATCTCAACTACAGGCTTTCGACTGCGTGATCTATCCGCTGATCTATGGTTTGGCGCAGCCGACGTTTGACAATTTGCCGGCAGAGGTTCTAGACTACGTTCTGTCGTTTCTAGACATAAAGTCACTCGGACGCACAGAACGTGCCAGTAAGCTCGTTTACACGCAGACCACCACTGCGCCATATATGAGAAATTTCGTGTGGCAGAATGTGTTTCAGAGGATTGACGCTTACGGCAGACAGCAGCCGGACTTCGTCAATATCGATGCAGCTCAGTCAGCGGCAAGGCGGCGACTGCAATTGCCAACAGGAGCACACGCATCGCGCCCCTCTACTACTAGCTCCTATGCTGCAGCGGACGAGCAGATCACCTCTAGTACTGCTAGAGCAGGTGATACATCAGGATCAGTACGACTGACTACGATGACAGCAGATGACGAGTATCTTGTCGAAAGGAATAATGCGACCACGAGCACTGGTGCTGGTGGTGGGGACGATGCTCCTCCAGTTCCTCGCGTGTGGAAAGAAGCGTGCAGATATACTTCTCAAACCTTAGCGGGGATACGGCAGACCGCTGAAAGAGAACGGGAGGCACAACAAAGAGAACGTGATATAGAAACCGAAGTCCAGAGGCGCATGGGCGAAGATGGAAGACACATGCCACCGCCTTTTGCTCCGTTCGGTGGTGGTCGAGGCATGCCCCAAGTTCCAAGGCCAGGCATTTGGTACGATCCCGTGAACCCGTTCGACCCAAGAGGTATTTTTTTTACGAGTACTCTTTAGTAAAATGCAAAAAATGTTTGCACTAGTTTTTTCTTATCGTCATCAAAATAGTGGTCCTGGGAGGATTTTTCTCATCCATGATGGCGTAGCTACTCCTGCTCATGCGCTTCCTCTTCCTCTGTTCCCAGATACGGTCACTTCCGTTCTAATCTGTCATTCTTTATCGTCAGGTATCAATCTGCCGGAACCTGGACGTGGTCCTGTTCCAGGCAGACCTCCAGGAGTGCCTCATCCTGACTTCCCCGAGTGGAATCCTGACCTACCGAATCCCGGTTTGCCACGACCTAATCCCCTGCGAATCGATCGTCCGCCTCGAAATCCAGGAATGTTTCCCTTTGACCCGGACGCTGAGCGTGACTTACACGGTATAAATCCTGCAATTGGAGGAATTCCCGGACGTCCAGAAGGAGGAGGAGGAATTTTGGGCGATCCACGTTTCGGTGATCCTAATCAGCAATTTTTTCCCGGAGCTGGAGGCGGCTTGCCGGGAGGCGCGCCAGGGCGGCGGGGAGGTCCGCGCTTTGATCCGACCGACCCCTTTGGCGGGTTAGGTGGAAAGAAAGGAGGCGGAAAAGGCAGAGGCGGTTTTGGAGGAGGAGTCGGAGGGGGTGGCTTCGGGGGATTTAGTTTTTCGTAAACTCCTACTCCGGCTGATGAGCAGCGTTGACGAAAAATCGATCTGCAAGTAATTACAAGTACTTAGAATTACAGAACGATCATGAACAAGAACATGAAGAAGGACAATTCATCACATCGCTTTCTCGAGCCCATCACCACGACCCCCGACCCCGTCAAACACTCAATTGCCATGAGACAGATTCCCCCAATAACTCTAAGACTGAAAATGAACATCTCCAAAAAGCACTGATAAGCAGCAATGTACTGTATATATTTATAAGTAGCAAGAAAAACCGTTCATCTATTTCGCCTGAGGAGCAGTGATATTTAGATTCTTAAACAATGACAGAACTTGAACTGTAAAATACGCAAAAACACTCCATTCAATCGCAACAGATGCTCCCTTCTTCATCATACTCATCACAGTGCGCCCAAGGAGAAGAATTACCTACGTGGCCATAGGTGTCACAAGAGGGTTTTCATCTTGATGTTCATGTTCTTCCTTATTCAGGATCGGATCCAAGTCTGATATTCTCCATCATCGGTTTAGATTTTTAGCCAGTTGTTGCGGCATATGCATAAACTAAGCAACATCAAGCAGGAAGACGGAATTCGAAGTCGGTTTTTTAGCGCTCGGTCAGTCTAGATCTAAGATACTACTGCAGCTTCTGTACACGCACTCATACTATCAGTAATATCTTCCAGTGGAGTTATGTACAGATGACCGTCCAGTTGATTCTTGGGATCCACCTAACCCTATCTCCTCGGCAGTTGCCCTCTCCCCTGGCACGAGAATCAAGCAAATATTTATGATGCACGTCGTCCTACTCTATGTCTATGTCACTAGCATTTACTGATTCATTGTCGTCTTTTGCTCTGGCCTAGAGTTCTTTCATACATCGCATACGCATCTGCATCAAAATCGCCGACTGAAGGATATCTAGAACATCATTTACTAGAAAGGCGACGTTGGGTGGTGTACGGCTCAACATCGAGGTACTCGTCCAACTATCGAACCGCTTATATATTATTTCTTCGAGGGTCAAGTTTCGAGTTTGTCCCTTCATCTCCGAAGAAGGGTCACACAAGATGGAGGAGGTTGAACAACAAGAGGTCGGAGAGGCCGGACAAGAGCGCGAGGATGGCAGCTCCCTTTCTGGTAGCACTAGGAGCCATTCACCAGCTGGTAACGACAAGAATTCGCGGCGTAAACCGCGAAAGCTTCGGTCAATGGCACGCAAATCAAAGCGGCACGCTCGCGAACGTACAGACGAGAGCGAAAACTCCTCCCAGTCACTGAGCCCATCTGCAGATCTATCAGAATCAGGAGCATCGCGGAAATCGGATCACTCACGAAACAATACGAAGTTTCAAGAAATGGTCGACCTGGTCGCAGAAGTAGCTGTAGCAGAAAATCCAGCAGAAGAACATTGGGTGTTTATGATTGATGGTGGCACAGTTCATCTTGTACACGGTGACACGTGTTTTTTTCGAAGTTAGTTTTACAAAGGTTATACCTACTTACTCACTTTCAGCGGCTATAACTACCTCTAGCTCAGTAACTACTCCTCTGATAGTTCTAAATGAGACCACGACGAGCGCAAGAGGAGATTCCAATCCCAGAATTCAACGGAATTTAGGGTCGGCGACGATCCGCACAAGTTCAGCAAGTCGCTGCTTCCAAAAGGAGTCAAAAAATACGCGTTGGAAAGGACAGTACTTATATTTTTAAATATATACTAGTAAATTTTTACCGCCATAGATATCCTGAGGACTTACATCAAACTTTTATCTGCACAATTCCTCGGTTCCTTGATGTTTTATTCCTCGGCTACATCATGCGTTGATGAGAAACGAGTAAAACTTCAACAGGACTCATCAGCCATGGCGCAGAGAGTTTTTGGTCAGCGACAGAAAAAAGCCGCATCAACAGATCAAAAGCCTTTTCTGAGTGAAGAGGCAACTCCGTGGTTCTTACGTGCCCGAGAAGAAGAGGGAACTAAAAGCCGAAGGCGCATGAGCATGGTCCAGTACGAAGTCAATCGCGAACTTGTGGTAGTTTTTTACTAATGATGTTGAGATTAATAAAGAGATAGTACTAGTCGTACTACACTTGTTATATGAGATCACCAATCAGCTACTACTAATGGATGACTTGTCCCTCGTGCCGATTTTAATATCTCACAACATTCACCTGCGGAAGTCGGTAGAGTACCTTGAAAAGCTCATCTTGCAACGTCCGACAATCCGACTTGTGGCATTGCAGGAAATTATAAATCTTCTCATAGCAACAAAACAGGGAGAAATAAAGTTCAAGAAGTTCCGACTAGTGAAGCTCAAAAGTACTTCCGTCATTCCTTTTTCAACATGCGCAGCAGTGGGGATTTACCTAGTGATCCGAGGAGGCGAAGTTCTTCCACCCCCCGAGGAATGGGAAGCTTTCGAGCACGTCGTCTCAGTCAACAAGGAAAGCAAAAACATAGCGGACGAACAGGAAGCGGAAGGAATTTCCACAAACGAAATCAAGAGCGGCGAGATCTGCGACTCGGTGTTTAGGGTGGCTGATAAAGATGCAGGAATGCTGTGGACATGTGCAGTCCGAATCGGCGACACTTTCGTCCGCACTTCATACTTGAAAGATCCAAACAACTCGAAACTCGCACGAGATTACGGTTGGATCAGCGACCAAATGAGAACGATCGAAGCAAAAGTTGCGAAAATGGAAAAAGGTGCAAAAGTCGTTATATCGACTGGTGATCTGAACCTAGACGCGCGGACTCCAGGGCGCCCTCTCGAAAACGGTAGGAGGTGGTCCCGCGACGCATACAGTAGCATCTGGTTACCAAATCAGCAGCTCGACCTAAAATCAGGTGCCCGGGAAATCGTCACAGGGATCACACACTGGACTGATGCCGGCGGGACGATGTTGGATTCGCTCAAGACCAATCTTGCCTCCGCTACGGTCGAAAAGTATGCAGTAATCGCAGATGCAGCACATAGGCGAGCAAACAACGTCAACAAAGAGTACCGGGTAGTAAAGTACGACGCCACTGACGAAGCCGACCATGTAAAATTTCTTGATCATCTCATCTTAGTGTTGACAGCAGACGAGGACGCAACAGAAATTCAGAAAATGCAGGAGCAGTTCCGTCCAGGCCAACACAATCATCGAAAGAAAGCACCCGCCAAACGAGCGTACATAACGATGGAGCAGATGAAAGATCACGGAGAAGAGATACTAGGCTTATTCAACGAATGCCGCATGCCAGCAAGTCGAGCTGACCGCCACGAGGCAAGAAGGCGCGGATGTCCAATAAAAGCGGCGCAGAAGGTTGATCTCTTCCAGCTGCAGAAGCGCTTCCTTCCGACAGTAAAGATCAACAGGAACCAATTCCCTGCCAGGGACGCAGTGCTGCTTGCGACAAAAAGCCTACAAGTTCAAGCCTACACACCAGAGGGGCGACCTATTCCGATACGAGAAATGGCGAAAATGGTGAACAATGTTCTGATCCAACAAAACATTGTGAAGAGGAAGATTTTGAAAAAAAGCGAACCTGTCTCGAACGCCTTGGAGTACTTTGATGAAGAAAATTCCACGATTCATCTCCAGAACTTCCTCCAGGCGCAAGATCGGACAAAATCAATCAAAGCGCATTTGGCTGCTGGGGCACTTCAAGAAGCAGCTCAACTTGTGTCAGGCGCAGGGAGAGGTGCGCCAGTGGGGCAAGTGTCTGAAGTAGTAGTAGATGGGCAAGCTGTGACAGACAAGCGTGATCTTCTCACTTCCACAATAAATTTCCACCTAGGAAAAAGTAGCTGGATTCTCGACTCGGCGGGAATAGCCACAAACTTGCGGTGGGACAAGACAAAGATCGGGAAAGTCTATGAAGAAGTACGAAACGCGGCTTCCGAGTGCACTTACCGAATTAAACCAGCACAAGTCAAGCACGCACGGGCGAAATTGAATCAAAATCTGCAAGGCCCCTCAGGATTCAGAGCCAAGATTCTAAAGGACCTTGGCGATTGGGTGGGCCAGTACCTGGCGGATGCTTACAATGAATTGCTCGATCAACTGATGCAAAACCCTTACCATGATGTAATCAACTTCGTCTGCACGGAACTCGAACGGATTTTCATGGGAACTCTTTTACATAAGAAGAGCGTGACTCGAGAAGCAGGCGACATGCGTTTTGTGGTCAAGTCCTGCCCTTTCGTGCGAGCATTCATGTCTATCATGGACACAACATGGAGCGAACTTGCCGAGCGAAATGGCCTTTGCGGCAAAATAACAGTGAATGGGCGCGCTGACATCTCACTTTCGGTAGCTTCGCTTCTAATACGGCACAAACTGATGATGCGGGGCGATAAATGCAGTGCGGTAGTACTCTCTGCGGATGCTCGGCAGATGTTCAATCTCTTGGAAATCAGTCTGGTAGTGGGATTAATGCGCAGACTGAGGGCGCCGCCACAGATAATTGCAGCACATCTAGCATTCGGGGCTGAAAAACAGGCCCTGTTCACATTGAACCAGTTGACGTATAAGCTACCTTCGCACACTCGCTGCCTCCAAGGGCAACAAGATAGCATGATCACTGGGATACTCATCTTCGTCCCGTATCTTCGGATAATACAAAAGCTCATCCAAAAGGTCCAGAATGCTGATGGTTCGACTCAAGAGGAAGGCCTCGACTCAGCAATCAGTGATGCGATCAAAGAGGCTCAGCGACAGAAGGAAAATGGATTCGATTGGTCCAAGAAATACACAGAAGCCGAAGTTGACGAGTTTTTTCGCGATGGTGTTCGGTGCCTCAACGAAATCCACAAAACTCGGAGAGAGTCGCACGATAACGAAGAAAGCAGTAATGATTCGACGCGGGTATGCGTGGATGACACACTAGTGGCGTTCCTGTTCCAAGAACGTGACGCCGAGGCAAGACGTGTTCAGAGAATCGTAAAGGGCATCGCGACGATAAAACAGTGCATGTTCAGCGCCACTGCAGTGTTCTGCGCTACAGAAAAATGCGAATGCCTCACTCTCCCCTATGCAGATGGGACATCGGTAAGTCAGGATCATGCGCAGGAAATCCGTAGCGCTGGCGCGGTCTACGGACGCGAACCCATGCTCCGGGACCGGTTGCAGCTTTTCGGGATTCCATACCGAGACGATTTCGAAGTAGCGATGTTAGCTGCACTCAGGTCGCGCGTTTTCAACATGGAGAGACTCCTTCGCCTTTTCACGAAATCGCACCCGAATGGAACAGAGATTGAAAGTCTGCTCCTAGTTGCAAGATGGCTGAGCACATCAAAAATAATGCATCTATTACCCCTGGCTACTTTCGAGGTAACATCATACGACATCAATACCATAACGACCGCAATAGCTCGCGCAGTATGTCACGGGCTAGGACTCTCTGACGCCATGCTCTTACGAATAGAGGAGTTGTGCAAGTTAAAGCCGGCAGATTTAATCTTCTCGACAATCTTCGGATGGGTCAGCCCGATAGCGCAGAGTCGCGCTATTTTACGTCGGCAGACAATCAAGTTTGCTGCTGCCACATCATCACGCGAAGAGCTTCGACTAGTTTTCAGTCAAACCATCGACGAAAAGGAGATAGAACTTATGGATGCCGAGGCACTCCAGATATTACGAAATCGTAAGCACGTTATTGAGAAGGTTCCGAAATCTCCTCCGATCTACGGGTCGAGGCTGCCGACGCACTACATCCGTGAAAGTGCTCTGATTCTCGATCGAAAGCCGCGTGATACGTTAGCGGTCCTTGCGGCAAACGAAGTTGCGTGGGCAGTATGGCTCGATCGTGTCGCAGATATTGTATGGGTCGCGGTAAAAGACACTACGAGGACATGGCGTTTATCACACAAAATCCTACTACGGATGCCGCACGTTGCTAAATATGCTATGGCAGGCAGGTTTGGACACTCAGGACGCGCCGACAAATGCACCTGCGGGCCGCTGCAATAAACACCCTCGTGCATGCTGCACAGCTCGCGCCATCGACGCAAGTTGCTGTCTTCAACATAGTGGACAACATTCACAAACGTGCAATGATTAACACTGACCTGTCAATCGCGGCACTAACCGTGACTGTGCACCTTTTTCACTCTGCTGCTCCCAGATGGATGCAAGATCTGCCGCAGACACGGACGCACAGTGGGAATGTCGAGGCCATCACTGTGGAGCCGCAGGATGGCGTTTGGCTATGGGTGGACGAGCCTCCTCTCAAGATCAAGAAACATTGCGGGTCACTTCCGGCAGCCTTAAAATCGTGCATCGACCAAATGCGAGGTGAAAAAGTCACACCTGCCAAAATTCGGGGACAAATAAAGAAAGTCCTGGACGAGTACGAAAAAGCTGAGGAAGAGAAAGTCGAACAAAGCGCAGGAGGATTATTTCTACCACTACATGAAGAAAATAAAAAGCAAGAAAGGAAACAAATCGCAACGTTTATAGATACAATGACAGACAAAGTTAGACAAAGTAGAAACATTAAGACAACAAAATGAGACTCATACTGAAGTCATTTATCAGAAGAAATTAGACAAGAAAGAAAAATTAGACAATAAACTGAGACTCACACCGAAATCCTTCATTTAACAAATTAAAAACAACATAGGAGCAAGAAATTAAAAGTTAACCATTACAAGTTTCCGCCAAGTAGACCAAAAGAACTCCACAGACATCGACAGCTAACGAATGCGTGACACTCTAAAAAAAAAAAAAAAAAACTGACACTGCTACTGCTACTGCACTAAACACATGCAAGATACCAAATGAAAACAGCGACCCACTGTCTGCACACATGACGCAACAGAAAACGCGAGACAACGCTAGAAACCCGAGCCAACGGTAATAACACGAGAAAACGTCAGGAATCCCGAAGACAACGGCAGAAACAAGGGAAGAGTATTTTGATTTTGCATTCGTGAGAGTCCAACAGTGATCAGCTGAGCCATGCGTGAAGCTTGTTGATTCAAGGCACTCGATCGTTCGCGTAAATCGAAAGAAAATCCCATAAGAGACGAAAAATAGCCCAACAGTGATCAGCTGAGCCATTCGCGAAGCTTGCTGATTCAAGGTGCATGATCGTTCTCGACCAAAAAGATGCCATTGGCACAACAGCTGTGAAAGCAGCGCCGTCTAGGCTTGTATCCTAGGTCGCAACGAATGCCCGGACGTGCGGCCTGATATCGATTAATAAGATACCGCTCGCGTCCCGCATCGATTCGAATGCTTCGTCCCCTCGGGAAGACGTTTCATTCAGTAGAGAACTCCTCTAACCAAATTAATACGGTGCCCTTCTTCGGGAGTGAAGTACTGTATTAAATCGACCCATCGACAGTTTCGAAATACTGCTCAGGGCGAAATTCCATACACTTGTTATACATATACTTGTGCTACTTGCAGTACGTAATCGGGAATTGTTCTTTTGCAGATGAAGGGGATTGTATTTTTATAGTGATGTAGATCATCTACTTAGAAGTTCTACAAGAGATAGGAGCAGGACGTTGAGCATGAGGTAGTGAAAGAATGGGTTTTCAAAAAACCAAAACCATTTTCTCATATTCCAGGACACTCTCGGTTTAGGAATGTCTCAGCACGGTGTCGAGCTAAATGCGCTGGATGGCGAAATCAATGGGGGACTGGCGAAAATCCGAGAAGTGAGTATGGGTGGGGACCAAGTGGCTTCGCAGGAGGAAGCAGTGGAGTTCTTTAGGCAAAGACGGCCTTGCAATCCGATCATCCTGTCCGCCAAGTCTGGCGCATCAAACGCCAAGAGCACGACAAATCCAGCTGACGGAATTGCACCCCCAAATGCGAGCGGAGGTGGAGGTGGTGGAGTTTCGAGATCGGGTTCACGGGGACGAGAGGATACCACTGCTAGTGGAAACGCGACAACGCTGCTGGAAACAGCCGTTGGGGGACCAGAGTACGACCGAGGGAGGAAGATCACGCAGCCACCAAGGAGCGAGTTGACGACAGAGCGCGGCGAAAGGAATGCTTGTATGATGCAGATTGCTAACTCTATCTATACTGCTTAAATGTACTTAGTTCTACAACAACTTGTTCATAGAAGCAGTATTCGTAACTGCCTGATGAAAAACCAAAATAATTTTCTTTTGTGTTCATCCGAAAAAGAAAGCGTTGTACTATCCCTGATCCCTCCTTCATATTCCCAACAAGTGTAATCGTCGGTGAGGAAGCGCGGAAAAATTCAAGCAGTTCGGTTTCCTCTACTTTTCTAGACGTGCCTGGTGATGGCCAAAGAAGCGAGCCATCGACGAGTGCCGCGCCTGCGATGAGACGTAGAGGGAGCGCTATCGGAATACAGACTGTGAATATGCGCAGAACCATTTGTGCGTCGGACACAGGAACAAAATCCGCGAGAAGTTTTGGATCGGCCAGAAGCGCTGAGCAAATGAAAGAAGAAGAGTTATGAGCAAGTAGCAACTGGTCGATTTATATTTTATATATAATTAGAATAAGATGAACTAGATGTTCTTCTTGTTCATCAACATCAGAACATCATTCCTTTTTAGAATGATAGGCGGTGCTGTACTAAGAGCGCAGATATGAAGTAACACGCTTGATAAATACGTTCTCACTCGCCTCTACTCTTCATGTACTATGACTATCTACTTCCACAATTAAGTAGAAAGCGCCTTATTTTTGTGCATGATTGCCTTTCTAAGCCCACCGCAAGCGCGAAAGCCGCCAGCGATAGCATTTCTATCAGAAAGAGAAGAAGAAATGATGCGGATGGGTTACATGATGGAGACGTGCGGCTTCGTTTTGTGCAAAAATAAGGTAAAAACACAAGATAGATCCATAGTTACTTCTTGCTCACCACTAAGTAACTGAATGACAAAATATCAGATGGTCCCTGTAACGATATTAAATTGTCATCATCATCGTTACTTCTTTTCAATACTTGATGTTGTAGAACTTCTACGTCCTCGCTGTCAGTCGTCGTCCATCTTCGTCATTGTTGTGTCGCCTCTTACCGATGTAGTTTGCGTTTGTGCTATCGAAGCCGAACATAACTCCACGCCTTGATACCACAACAGAACGATAAGGAGGATGTCCGCAGGATGATTGTGAATCGCGGGTTGTGGATGCTCGCGCAAAAAGAGATAGAGAAGAGCCAAAGATCTCTTTTTGATCGCTTCACAGTTGCTACAGCAAAAGCCTCACGAAAGAGGTGGTTTCTGGTCAAAGCTTTCGGCCGTGCAGCAACAGGCATTGGACCACACGACTACGAAGGCGTAACGATGCTGCGACGTACATTACTACATGTTGAAGATTTTTTATGCTCAATTTGAAAGTCATAATACCTTACCCTCCTCTAGCAACCTCGGTTCTTGGTGAACGTCTTTAAATCATCACTCGTTCGTCCACGTCCACGTCCACCTTTGGGTGGATTGCTTCTTAATCACGATTCTATATGACAATGATCACAAACACCTACGCGGCTCAGGTATTCAAGCCGACCGCATCCTGCCGAAGATGGCTGAGCGGAAAGTCTGGCGCCAGGCCATGCAGGATTTCAAGCTTTTCGAGAGGAAAGTCAAGCAGCCCGACGGAAATTCACGCGTAGTGTTTCAGGTGGTCAGAGAGCCGTCTCCGAAACGGAGTGAGAAAGAGCAGCAGACGTACTTTGAGCGGATGTTCCGCGGCTTAGGTCCAGACGACGGTCTTGCGGAAGCTAGAGCGCGAGATGCTGACCGCGAAATCGTGACTGAGCCGCCTACTGCGTGTGCGCGGTATCTGTGGCAACGAAATACACACGCCGCCCAGATGGATGAGCATAAGTTTCGACCAAGAAGTGCGGACAGCACTTCTCGAGGAAGAGGTGGAGGTGCGACAACGAAGCGCCCCAGAACGGCGTCTTCAACAGAGCCAGGAAGCCGAAGCGCGTCACCTAGTGGTTCAGACGAGGAACGTTTCAGTCGTACAACTAGCGCACAAAGGACTTCTTCATCCGCAGCAAGAAGATCGTCGGATGATCACGCTGCGGAAGAGGTTCTTCGAGAAGCAACGAGGCTTGCAGAAAAAATGGCCAGTGAGCAACAGATCGATCTGGAAGGAGATGGACACGCACCAGAACCTGGAGGAAGGAACACAACGTCTAGAGGTAGAGCCACTTCATCAGGAAAGCATAGTGAGCAGTCTTCGGTGTTGCTTTTGCACGCGACAGATGCTGGGATGCGAGGTTTTATGGAGAAAGAGAAGATCGGCGCACACGATGTAGTCGAAGTTCCGTCCGGCGAAGGCGAGGGCGTTCCTGGGAAAGACCAACGCTCGGATTCTAAATCGTCTTCACGGCCAACATCGGCCCCAGCCACGCGCAGCAATAATATGCGGAAGCACGCATCGGTACCTTGGTTGGGCACTGGGCGACGGCCATCGACTTCTGCCGCTGGCAATGGGAGAAGGACAAGCGTGAGTAAAACTAGAGCAAGCGAAACGGAGGGAGACGGGAGAAGAAATACGATAAACGAAGAGGGCGGTGGCGGTGAAGAGGACGGGAGTGAACGCCCGCGGTCGCGGCGACCAAGCGCTTTCAGCAATGTCCTCTCCGAACAAGCTCAGCATGCCCAACAAAAAAGACAATTACAGCATAGTATCAGAAAATTATGAAATGGCACACATTTTCTTTCTCAATCTTGATGACCTTTTTTAACAGGAGAATTAATGAACGAAATCGAAATTGATTCTCGACTACTTAGATAATCCAGGCGGAGGCTCTTCTTGTTTCGTATTGATTCATCTAGTTCTACTTTTTCAATCATGATAGGTGAGGGAACTCAAGAATCTCTCTAAAACATCTTTCGAGCAAGAGGTTGATACAAGAGGTTCGAGAGATGACTGAGGAGATGCGCCAGCAACGTGCGGCCGACGAGCTCTTGAATTTAGCGGCTTCGCGAAGCGCAGGCTTGCATCGAACGACGAATGCGAGTCGGCGAAAGTCAGTGACCGCTCCGAAACGAAAAAGGATAACCTATACCGTATTAATGCCATATGAGTATGCACAATGATATGAATGTCTCAATCAAGATGTAACTCTCATGTTTTCTAGGCATAAAAGTCATACTGCCGTTCATGAAGAAGATACTAGTTGTTGAACTACTTCATAAAATTGTACATCGACTTCCACGACCTGTATCACATTTCAGCTTCATGCATAGGAAACAAGCATAATCGCTTTTTTGAAAAAGCAAAACACAGAATTGCACACAGAATTGCTGCTGAGAATACCTAGATACTAGTATTTTTTGCCGCCACACGGACACGAGGATGTTGTAACTGTAAATCAGGTTGATGTAGTAGTAGATTCCTTGCCCCGCCATGGAATTGGAAAACACAAACATGATTTCTGTAACCTGAGCTTTCATGATTAATTTAAATTTTTGCAGTAGGTGGACTGCGTTAGGTGGTACGTAAACAGAGGTACATCAAGAATGGAAAAATAAGCTAATAACTACATCTACTATATAGAAAAAATAACTCAATATATTGTGGCATAGTGCAAGCTATCGTGGAAGAAGCTGTGGTAATAGTCAAGGTGATTCCGAACAATACATCCGTCGATCTCAGACCAGAGTCAAACTGCTCGCTTTTGCAAAGTGGTAACCATGAACAGCCATAAAGATAACGAAGTACTATCGGCGTTGCAGCCTCGCTCGCTAGTTTTTGCTCCACTGCAGTCAGTGAATGTGCATACCCCAGAAACTTCAGGCACTTCTAGTAAAATTTTGCTGTAGCAGGATCTATCACGTAAATAAATTTTACTCATGTTCGATATTGGCAGATGATGGATGCGAAAAGATTAAGATGATAAATGCACAAAAGCAATGCAACTGGTGATCAAGAGTACACAAGAAGAACAATAAACATCATCAGGCAGAACAGAAAGGCTGACTTCTTGGGTGGTGAAGATTCCGTAAATGAAAAGCAGGCGGCGAAGATGCACAAGCAATAAATGGTTACCGCTCTCGACGATAAACGGCCAATCCGGCGGAAGGAATCCAAATTACAACTTCACCTCTCAGTTAAGAAATTTGAAAATTTTCTCAAGCAACAGAGGATAACGCATGAATTTGAATGAAAACCGAATCAGGAAAGGCGAGGATGAGAAAAGAGAAAAACGAATAGTGCCTGTCGTGTATAAGAAAATTTAGTGAAGATGAAAGGTTGATTTTTTGTACTAATATATACATAGGAAGACGTGCTGTTCTCTCCTCTTAGGGAGGGATGAGATACAACAACATAATTGAGAAGACGAGGGACGAACTGTTTACCTGAGACATTGCTTCTTCATCTTCTTGTCTTTATTCTCCGTGGAAGTAAATAGTTCTAGACTGTTACTAGAGGACGTGAAAAGGAATGACATCATAGTGCTCGCAAAGGCCTACTATTCCGTTGTAGGCAGCAACACGAGACCCTACCGTAGACCCGTGAGAAAAAAAGCGAGGAGAAACTCAACTAACGCACGAAACGATTGCGACAAGCGACTCTTCCGATGACTGACGCAGTATCGTTGCCGACTGACACGGAAAAAATCCATCAATGGGAACATGCCAGCTGCGACTATGCACTAGAATCTTACTTCGGCGAAGTTAGCAGCCGCTGACAAACGCGATTGCGCAAAAAGATCTCAATCTTTAGAAGGACGAATAGAGCCGGATGAAACATATCGTGACACGAAGCGACTAACCTGTGGAGTAGAGGTAAAAAAGGGAATTCTTGGATGAAGATCTGGCGACATACGAAAAATGCAAACAGCATCGAAATGCATTCTTGACCGCACCAATGTGTAGTCGAACGACAAACATACATCATAGGCTACAACGATAGGGACTAGTACCTGCTGCGAAAAAAGGACGACTACGCCACAACGACGAGGAATACTTCGACGACTCCCACTTCTGCTTTCATCAAAACGATCCGCAGTGACAGCCATGACATCTCCCGCCGCTCCGACGCCCGCCACGTCGTCTGTCCTTGGTCTCATCGTGCCTGGGCAACCGGTGCAGGTGAATGGACAAGTCATGAGCGATACTGAGATCCTATTTCATATACCGCAAAAAGATGTACAACACGTTGTTGTCTTCTTGACGGGCGTCACGGCTTTGCCAGACACCATGGGAGCTAGCGCATACCTGATGCTGCCAGACAATGGCTTCAAATACCTAGGACACATAAGCAATGAAAAGCCCAGCGCGATATTCAAGGTATTTTCAACAGACACGTAGACGTAGTTAGAGCTTTAATAATGTTGTTGCAAGTCAATTGACATTCACATTCATTTGAATAAACACAAATATTCAGACTTCAACATCATTGGACTCAAAAAAAACGAAATTGACTATACTGTATCAAAAACATGAATATTCATAAGGAAAGCCTCCAGAATCAAATTCCCTGTGCCTGTCTCATCGTCATTATACCACAACGTAACTACATCAACACAAACAGATTGGCAGCACTGCCGCTCCAACTCCCGCTCCGACTCCCGCTCCGTCTGCGGTCAGTGGCGTGCACGAGACTGCGATAGTGCTCGTTGATAACAGCACAAGGATTGGGATAGTGGTGGAGCCACTTCCGGCGATTCAGCAAAAAATAGTGCCAAAAGAAGCAGAGCTGAGTCAGAAGGTGAATGACTACATTATGGCATCTTACAACGTTTGTTTCATTCTCCACGACCAACAGTCCTTGGCTTCCTTCCTTTTCGCGTAGAAAATATGCCAAGTACTACTAGATGAACTAGAAGGCTCTGGTGAAGAATACAACTACTTAGTTGATCTCTAACTCCAGCGTTTTCGTGAAAGCGCTTGCAGAGAGCTGTTACAACCACATGAGTGGGTGGATTCTCACGGAACAGCAGTGGCGAGAACGCGGCGCGGCTTTGGTGCAAGAGAAGTTAGTGCCAATAGGAGCCCTCGAGCAATGGTTTGACTCCTTCACTAGAAAACTACAAAGTAACCCAAACTTCTGGAAAACATAACGATTCAGTTTAGTGATTTGGCTCTAATGATATTTTTTTGTTTGAAGAGATTGAAGATAAGATCTTGGTCTTCTTCGGTTCAAGACACGACTAAGTTTAGTTGTATCAACCATGATGCTGGACAACGACTTTTTCCAAGCATCTCCATCATGATATCGGATTGACTCGAACACGCTACCAAGCGCTTGCATGACGACAATTAATGGATGATGAGGACCCGGACAAATTGAAATTTCAGTACTACGACCACAACAATGCATGACAAATTAGGTTTGGCAAACGCAAAATGCCGAAGACGACGTCATCTCCTTCCATTCAATCCCCCCATCGATATCATCCCTTATGAGAATGAACACTTCGGATGGATTACAGAGTTCTTTGTGTAAGCGATCAATCTAATTATACGTCAGTCCATGAATATGATGGTGATGATGAACACCAAGATCCTGAAACCTTTGAGCAGGAAGATCATCAGGATACGGCTCAAGGATCGCGATAAGGCTCCAAGGTCCCAGGCAAATGGGTCCCATGAAACCGATGACGCCAATAAAATCCCTGACGCAGCTCCCCCCTAAGTTCATGCATATCCCGCACCAAAAACCTTGAGCTATTTGATTTGTATGAACCTCAAGACCTTACAGGCTTAGGGGTTTAAGCTTTTGCATTTGTATAGCATTCGGATTAGGTTCGACGACGCGGAGCAGCATAGAAATTGCTGCCTTATTGTGTTGCGTTCGTATTCTAATACTTTGTCTCGCGCCATTCGAGCCGCGTGATTCTCTAGCAAGCACAATACGTGTTTCGTGCGAAGATGATGCGTTTCGTAATTTTTTGCCTCGCTTGAAAGTTTTATGAGTCTAATCCTCGTGGAACTAGAGATACTGATAGTAAAAACTACTGCTGTGAGTGAAATTTAGTATCGTGGTCGAAGATGAGAGATGAACGCCGTCTTCAAAATAAAATAAGAGTGCTGCCAATGAATCGCATGCCAGCATTGGTTCGTTACTTAGATTGTGGTCTTGAGGGCTTGAGTGAAGAGTAGAGAGAATCTGCACCTAGACACCACTATGACAATGACACTGCTATTGCTATAACAAAATAAATATATATAATTATGAAAATGAACTTGAGGTTGATTTTTTACTTAATTTTTACGAAAATGAACTTGATGTTGATTTTTTACTTATGTACTCCCTGTTTCCTCATACCTCAAAAATTTCCCCAACCCGGTGCCTTTCTCTCTAGATTAGCGAATCCTGTTAGTAGCAATCAATGAATCATCAACGCTAATACTATGTATGAGCATTGAGGCTGTTCGATCACGTGGTGCAGACCGTCTAGTACACACCGACTTTCACTTACTCTGACGCTCGATGAAACTTTATCATCTTATCTTCTTTTTATTACCGACAGCCGGAATCATGTCAATGTGATCATTTGAACTTAAATGAATAAATCAACAGACTGACAGTGGATCATTCACTATGACTGAGTTAGCATGGCAGCTGACCTTTCGAAAAACTGATCATGTCTAGGGGTGCCGGGTAATCCCTGAAGACCAAGACGATGATTCGGAAGTAAGGCATTGTGAGTCGTGGCATACTAGGCATACTGGTGTCATGTCAATGTCCTGTAAAATCGAAGAAGTATGTGTTAATGTGCATCAACGTCGTATTATCACTATGCCTCGTCAACATTACCAGGAAAATATACGATGAACCACCTACCTGAACTCGAACTTCAACATACTAGCTTGGAGCGCCCGACAATAACCCCTCGCGCTAGGATTCTCCTCCTCCGGAAGTAACCCAGGGAACACGCAGGCAATTCTTTAACTTTAAACAGTTCCGCCGAAATTCAATCTCTAGGGTTTGAATTTCTCAAACTTCGAAGCCTTCCGCATTATTTCGCCGCTTTGGGAGGGATTAAATTCACTGGGTTTGGATTTCTCAAATCCCAAAATTTTTGACTTTAGGCCTTTTTTTTTGAAATTCAATGTCCTGGATTTGAATTTCTCAAATTTCGAAGCTTTGCCTATTATTTTGCCTCTTTGGGATTGAATTCGTTGGGTTTGGGTTTCTCAAATCCCAAAATTTTTGATTTTAGGCCTTATCTTTGAAATTCAATGTCCTGGATTTGAATTACTCAAATTTCGCGGCTTTCCTTATTATTTTGCAGCTTTGGGATTGAATTCGTTGGGTTTGGGTTTCTCAAATCCCAAAGTTTTTGATTTGAAGCATTCCCTCGGACGTTCAAGCTCCTGGGTCGTTAGTTCATGAGTTTGCGAGTAGAGTCCATGAGTTCATGAGTTTGAATCTCTCAAACTTCGAAGCTTTCCGCATTATTTCGCCCCTTTCTTGGGATTGAATTCGCCGGGTTTGAAGTTCTCAAATCCCAAAGTTTTTGATTTTCAGCGCGTTCTCTGGGTTTCAATCTCCTGGAGTCGAGTCGAATTTCTCAAATTTCGAAGCTTTCAGATTGAATTCGTGGGATGTGAATATCTCAAATCCCAAAACTTTTGACTTTAGGCGTTTTTTCTGAAATTCAATCCGCCTGGGCTTCAATTTCTCAAATTTCGAAGCTTTCCGCGTTATTTTGTCGCGTTGGGATTGAATTCGCCAGATTTGAACTTCTCAAATCCCAAAACTTTTAACTTTGGGCGTTTTTTCTGCGATTCAATTTGCTGGATTTGAATTTCTCAAATTTCGAAGCTTTCCGCGTTATTTTGTCGCTTTTGGATTAAATTCGCTGGATTTGCGTGTCTCACTCAAATCCCCAAATTTTTGATTTTAAGCATTTTTTCTGAGATTCAATTTGCTGGATCGTTGTATGTGGCCACTTTTCGATTCCTGGAATACAATACTGTCGGACCTTGTCACTTTGCTGGTCAAAAATCGCTTCAATGTTCCGACAGTAGCATTGGAAGGAACCCGAGAAGTGGGATCCCATTTTTTGCGGAGTCTACTCGTGTTGCGGTGTTTCCAATTTTTTGCTTTTGTCGGCTCAGGTCTTTCCTGATGCTGAGCACGAAAAAGCCTAGCTGCTCGGGGCGTAATAATTGTTGCGCCCCGCTGGTCTGTGATTTTTTAGTGCAGCAAATTTGTTGGCGTGTAATGATTATTACGCCCTGAAGTTATAGGAATTTTGGCAACGATTCCGACAGTAGCAAACCGACAGAATTGAAAAGTGGCCACATACAATCGTGAGTTCATGAGTTTATGGGCTGGGTTCTTGAGTTCATGGGTTCATGGGTTTGGTGGTTTTTGTGTCGGGGGTTGAGGGTTTGGGGGTTGGAGGTTGAGGGCTTCGGAGGTTGTGGGTTTGGGTGTTGGAGGTTGAGGCTTCGGAGGGGAAGTGTTTGCTGAATTTTATTGCTCTTAATATTTCAAAAAATCGCTCAGTTGCATGTTCCTGGCCATCCCTCGAATCGGTTTTTTTCGTGTTTCTTCTCTTTGTTCTTTTTTACCTCGGTCTAGCACTAGAATGAATGAGTACTCTTACTACCCTTTCGGCGTTCTCGGACTACAGAAAAAAACTACCCCATGAGAACTACCCAATGAATGATTGAATGAATGAATGAATGAATTATGAATGAGCACTCTTACTACTACCCTTAATAATACTAGTCCTCCTCGCGACAACATCTTATGGCCTTCTTAGGACATACGTTTGTCAGTCTGTTCTGGAGTAGCTAGCCAGAGAACAGGTTCCCTGTGACTCATCTCAAATTGATTAGTTTCTTCCTAACTTTCACTGGCACTTATCTCACGCTTCATCCGTTATTTCAAAAAGTGAGGGAGCTGTAATTGATTCAACAAAATGAAAGTCTTCATCCAGCACAACTGTGGTACAAGTACAACGTGGGATAGCTTGCACAGATACAACTGCAACGATATTACTTAACAACATTTTGACCTTTTTGGAAAGCTGTCGTCAGGTTTGAGCGATGGACCTTTTTTTCCGATAAGGAGTTAAGTATGTCATTCGGAGATGATGAACAAGTAGAAGCGATGCCTAGACAGGAATACATAAGTAGCGAGAGAACAGGCGTCGAGATACTACTAGGGGCTTCTGTCAGTAACTTCCTCAAAGCAAGAAAAAATTATGGGGGTCGGTACCTCTACGAATCTGTCATCAAGTGCCAGATCTAGGCCATCCACCCAAAGTAAACCCGAGAGTTGAGGGACGAGCAAAAAGTAAACCACCTCGAAACTCAGGAGAGGAGATGAACACTATCATGGTCGATGAAAACCCCCGTGTTACTAGTTCTAGTGTCTCCTCAATTTTGTAAAGGGTCATCAAACAAAGTTACCTCACAATTGCTCTACACTGTCCTGCTTAGCTTATATAGTGTTAGAGGACGTGTTTTTTTTTGGTCGTGTAACGTGCGTCAATTACGTCCGCTTTTGTCTGAAACGCACAAGTAGAAGTATCTACGACCACGTCGAAGGTGGTTTCCACTGGTATGGTCTTATGGAAGCTAGTATGTTCTGACAAGTTGTGGGAAGCAGGAAGTTATTCTACATACTATAAGTGGTGCAACTTCTTTAAATTTTCAAAGAGGACCCTCGAAAACGACGTTGATTCGCAAAAACTCCACCAAACTTTTTTCCTTACTTGTTCTTTTTGTCGGAAAACTTGATTTTCATTACTGTTCACGCCGGTCAGTCACATGCAGGATCAGTCTGGCAATCTACCGGATTCGACTACTAGTGCTTCTTCAGAGGAAGCACGATGGCGGTCGGAGGTATTGGGAAACGCAAAGCCTTCGTCGTCGATTGGAGCATCAGCTGGAGCAGCAGTCTCATCGTCATCGACCACTGCCAGACCGGATCCCATCAGCGCAGATCGCAATAGTAGCTCGGCACCAAGCGGTAGCTCAGCGTCCCGAAGTCTTCCTGGTGGAGCAGGAGTAGGTGGTGGAATAGCTGCGCCTAGCGCTGTAAGCGACGAGTTTTTCGATCCCATTGACCAAGCGCTCATAAACCGCTTGACACTTAATCCGGGGAGGCCTGGGGGTATTCATGAATGACAAATGATTATCTCTCTGTCCCCACCACTATGAGTTTGAGTATCATCTTCATCTGCTCCTTACAATTACACGTGCCTTACCCTTAACACTCTTCAGCAAATTAGCTGGGAGATCAAGAAACTGTGCTTTTCAATGAATTTCAAGTCCTGATTATCATGGTCGATCACTATTTGAATCGGCGTGCGCAAAATTCGAATCAATGAATACTAAATGATGACCTACTTTGTGCTCTTTTCCGCAGGCGGCGCCCTACCTTCGGCCACGGGCAGTACAACGAGATCACCAGAAAGAGGTGGTTGCGCGACGTCATCTGGCAGCAATGCGGGTTACCGCGCACAGGCAGGACCAGGAGCATCGACATCATCGCCTGGACCTGGAGGAGGCGCAAGATCTCCAGTCGTCGCAGCTGCAGAATCTGCTCAACTACAGCCGGATAGTCTACTTTGGGAAGACCGTTTTCAAACGCATCTGACCGCAGCAATGGAGCAACTCTTCAAGTGCGAAGAGTGCCTGACCACCTCGAGTGCAGCAGAAGAAGAGGGAGCACAGGAGGAGGCGCGACTACAAGCGCAACTTGACGCCGCCAATCAGCAAGCTGAAGTGCTGTTGAAAGAAAGGCAGGAGCTCGAGACCGAAATCCACGATTTGCAGGGTGACACAGACGCAACCGATTTCGCCATAAAGAGCACGGGAGAACTGCGAAGGCTCATTCAAACATTTGAACTTGACATGGCTAACGTACAGGCAGAGCTTGAAAGTAGGATAAAAACATAATGATCATATGGCGATCACTCTCAGCGCCATAAAAATGTTGGAGATCGCTTGTGAGATAAAGCAATGCCTCATCTTCATCATTTTGCTAGTCTCTCTGTGTGCTGGTTTCTGGTTCTCTTCCGCGCCATGCATCGATAAGGCAAGCGAAGCTGTCTCTGCTTATCTGGTAAGTATTTAAGCGGAAGCCGAAAGCCGGCATTCGTGTTTTCTTTTCAAAAGGATCTTTTTTTCAAATCATGAGAAGAAGAGTACTGGTGGTCATGTTGCCAGGTGCCCGCTTGTTCATTGTTGAAGCAAAGAAAATACTGATCCAATCCCAATGCCGTCTTCGACAGCTGACGCCCCCGCATCGCAACTTCGCGTGCGTGTAGACTCATTGTCTGGGGTTTCCGCGAACGCGATCGTATGTCTTGATACGGGTCGTGAACGGCGACAAGGTCGTACTGGGGCGGAATATGTTTTTACTGGGGGACCACAAGTGCAGCACGTGGCGGTCGAAATTTTGCAGCCCGTTGCTCGAAAAGTTTTTCCTATTGCACAGCTATTGCCGTATCAAGAAGCGAATCCACGAGAAGAAACCGGTCGTGGGGAAGGAACTGATGCCTCAGAGAAACGAGAACTGGATATTCAACACGTTGACGCTGCTGCGCCAACACCAACGGCAGAGGACTCAGAAGTCGCCAATGTTGTTGATGATGATGATGATGAATTATCCAAGACTGCGCCTGCGCTACAACCAATAGTTACACCAAAAGAAGCAGAAGGTGGAACAGAGCGGCCACCAGTCCCCAGCGAAATCGACGCGGATGCTCAAGAAGTGGATGCAACAGCAGATGCGGACGCATCAACTGCTATCGCTCCGCAAGAGGATGACGAAAGAGCAGGACTGTCATCAAGTAAGAGAAGTGTTACAATCGGGGCAGTCGTTGAAGAATTCGAGCCAATTTTAGGTCAGTCAGTCGCCTTGACTGACGACATTGCGGTTCATCTCACCTGCAGCAGTACCAGCTCGCCTTTTGCGCAGTCGTCGAAGCGCAATACAGCAGCATGTAAAAGCAAGGTCCTCGACAGTCGTCGCGCGACTCTGCAGAAGTCCCTCGCATATGTTAGAGGAGCTGACGTGCAAAAAATGTTGAAGGAAATTCTAATCGAGTTATTGCAAAAGCAGCCAGCAGACCCACGCAGCTTTCTAGCAAAGTACCTCTCCACATCAACTAGTGGCTGCACTGGTGCTTTATACTCGTCTGCGAGGAGCGCTACGTCGGCAGATAAGACTACGACTTCGCAGCTCTCGCGAACCGTCGAGACAACCTACGAAGCACAGACGACCGGAGGGGATTTCCATTCTAGCCAACGAGCTGACTTACTAGAACAAACTACCGAGGAGGCAGAGCTGCGGGAGAAGTTGTCCAGATTGCAGACAAAGATAGCTTCGCTTGAGGGAGAACTCTTCGTGAACGCAGACACTGCTGGAAAAGGTGGGACAGAGCAGGAAGCTTTTCCTTCGGAAGGAGGCGGAGACGAAGGAGCTTCTGAGCCGCCGCTTTCTCCCGGGGAATCGAGAAGAGTACTCCTTTTGGTTTTGCTTGCCTATTTTCCACGCCGCCCTACATCATAATTCTTCACCGTCATACTGGAGGCGTTTTAATTCTAGAGAACATGCGTATGCGACATGTTCCTGTTCCTCAACTTTACTCAGCGGAAGCCTGGTCCTTTAATCTCCGAGATGACTTGCGAAGACAAGAATACCGCAGCTGCAGTTCGTGATCTAGCAAAGCTCCATGAGTCATATGAGAAGACGATGCAAACTTTACTAGAGCGCAAGATGACGGGGGATGTCCTGCTTGTTGAGGATGGTACTTCATAGTCCTCCTTGAGTAGTTGTTTCTGACCTGTACATCTACATGTAAGGCACTCTTCAGAGAACGCGACTTTGTTTTGGATCGATTTGTCTTCTAAGTTAGCTCGATCATTAAGGATACTCAGCACGAAGAAACATATTTCCAAATGGACGACATAGACAACTAACGAACAGCATTTCGTAGATCTTCTATCTAAGTTGTACCACACTCCAGTGACAATAACGTGTTGTTGTAGTTGTAGCATGGGGTCTCATTAAAAGGCGCAAAAGGAAAGGTGTGGTTCGTACATAAGATATCCATGGTGCCTCCAGAAACAAGACAATCTCAGCAGGTGTGACTCCGCGCGACGGTGAAGTGGCTGCGGCAGTCGTCGATTCCGTGTACAAAACGCTGGAGACCGAGGAAATACGGAGCAATTCGCCTTCAGTTGCAAATTTGGATGATGTTGCTTCAGAACTAACCCAAACTCTCATATCTACCGGGGGACTGCTCTGCTACACAGGATGATCTTGCAAAGGACCCGGACCCTTTCGGATTCGGGGTCTAATTTTTTCAAACAGTTCTTCTTTTTTTTTACTTATAATTTTTCTATTCTGCACCAAGAAACGTAACCAAAAAATGATGATAAACATCAAAGTAAAGCTAAAGTGGGAGTAGATGAAACTAGTAGGGCGGCCTAGACCAACGGTGAGAAAAATAAAGTGAACGAAACTTCGATGTGGTGTCAGTACTTCGATGGATGCAACTTTTTGAAGCGGCTTTGCTGTTTCATCGATTCTCAGCCTTTTACAGGCGTAACCACGGTCCAAGCTGCGCCTGGCCCTGGTGTCCTCTGGTATGTAAGTTGAATCCTATTTTTTTAGTATCAAACAAACTCGAGAAAGCACTTTGCACGAGATTTTCGAATTTTCAAGTCGCAGTTGAGAATGCTAACTAGAATGACTAGCACTGTACGTAGGCAACAGCTGCTGCCTCGAGAAATGGAAAGCGGAAAAGGCACTGATGAAGTAACGTCTCAATGATGAATACTAGTTAAAATCTTTCAGAACAAGAACTCGGACCAGCTGATTTGCTAATCGAAATTCATTGGATGAAGAAATGCAGCTAATGCAGATTGAAAGGTAGGTCCTAGATTCACTCCGCGACCGAAAAACTCAAACCGTTAGAATTACTTACATGCTACATCTGAGTTTTTAGAACACACTGAAGCAACTACTTCATTAAGAGCATAGCAAAAATGGTTGCATGTGAGTCAGGATCGGGAACACGCGACGCTCGAGAAAAAGGAGCAAAAATCGTCGAAAATGACGTGGGTTCCAGCAAGCACGATTTCGAAAATGAAATCGGCGCAGGAGCAGTGGTAGAAGAGGATTTCATGACTTCTTCAGAAAGCAGGCCCAGCGAAAAACCCAGAGGCAGATGCGCTTTGCGTGAGAACGGCGTCGAAATGTCAGGCATATCAATCAATCAATCATCGAAATGCATGTCCACAAGACATGATCGCTTGTCAAATTACGCACACAGGAGATATTTTGTGGTGCCCCTCGTGAAACCAAGCCTGAAAGAAGGGGATGCTGGTCACAAATTAAATGTATAGACCGTGCAACTGCAAGTGGGAAAAACGAGAACGACGCGGCCGAGGAGGACGGAACATACTTCAGAAAGAATGTGCAGGATGAAGGGCACACCCAACCTCGACGAGGCACGGCCACTTTCCTTGTTTTTAAATCCCTATTGAGCGACTCATCTCTATGCGACAGGCTGGCACAGGGACAGGAGGTGGCGGGCTCAAATGCAGAACTAGGTGGTTTAACTGTTATAATCTCGGAACCTGGTGCTAAAGCTCAGAACCTCCATGTTGTCGCTGATTGGGACGATCGAGCTACAACAAGAAGTAACAGAAACAATCATGGCAAGATAGTCACGACTTTTTCGGCTTTGCATGATATCAGCGACTATGCACTTGGCCCGACAGTGTTTGAGCCGAAGACGCACGTGCCTCAGTGTTTTCCACCAAAACATGAGTGGCAGCGCCCTCCAGAAGGCATTCTTGCGAATTCATTGGCTGTACAGGAACGAAGCCTGACATGCGAAGAAGCTGCTACAAGCGAGAAGGATGTCGCCGCGCTTCATAGGAAAAACTTTGATCATAGAGGCGCGCCCCCATCAGCAACCGTTTCATCTGTATCGAGACGAAACGCTGAAGGAGAGCTTTCCTGGGAGAAAGAGGCGGTATGGTTTCCACTGGCTGCAGGCGACTGCGTGACGATGTATGCTACCACCTGGCATTCTGGTGGAGAAAATACTACAACTGACAGACGAAGAGTTGTGCTTTCAATTCATTTTTATTTTATGGTTCTGGAGGGTTCGAGAACCAGCACCCACGAGGAGTACATGGGAAGGGCCGAACAAAGCGGAATACGGACACAGTATGGCGCTTGTCGGATTTCAGATGACTGAAAGGAAATTGATCCACGATTCCTTTTACACACAATGAGAGTGATGCTATAGAGCAGTTTATCAGAAACTGATACCGAGTTCGAACGATTTTGCCACAAATCCTTAGCTAAAAATGCTAAGGCGCTACAAGGTAGAGGTATTGAACTTCATGATGAGAAGACCTGTGATAAGGCTCTACCTTCAGTACGAAATAGAGTAATAAAGATAAGGAGACGGCGAGCGATCGTTATTAGATATCCTACGTACGTGTGAAAGAACTACAGAGAGTCCAACTCTTAGCAACAGCTGCACAGAACAGAAAACGAAAACTGTCGCAACACATAGGAATATACATAGGACCACGAGCATATTGCACAAGCTCATGTTCTTTCAAGAAAAGGCAAACCACTATTCAAACAAAAAGTGAAGGAACTAAAGATGATCTTCAGGAGGAAACTAAAGTCTAAAGATTCATGTTACAAGTAAGCAGAAAATTGTCAAAACGAAAAGTCGTGGCCGGTCGCCCAACTACCTCCTTCTGGTACCGATGGTGGTTAGATTTAAGTTAGTTCGGTCTATTTTTATGTAACGACTTGGAATTTACTGAAGAAAGTAAGACATATTCCTCTCTGAAAGTCCTTCGCTATCGGCGCTGTTCCGCGGACTACGCACTACCCTTTCGCTGAGCCCGCCAGAATCGCATGTTCACAGGGTAGAAAACGCGCTGCATCGACGCCCTCCGAAATGGGCAGAGGGGTGCATGGTGCCGCGAACGGCGCCTTTCGCGGAGTCTATATGTCGCTTTTTCTTCCGACTTGACGCGGAGGCGGACGACCCCTGTTTAGCCCGAATCGGTGACAGATCGGCGCTCTTGTTCGTCTGCGCAGTCGCGCCGAGTTCTTCGAAACGGAATACGATAACGATAGCAAGCAGCATTCCTCGTTAACTACTACGGTTTTTGACTGCAGCCAGCGGAGGCGCAGCTCCTAAACTCGATCTCAGCCGCAATTGTCACGAGGATCGTCGCTGCCACACTATTATAAATCTCGGAGGATATCCGCGCCGTTGCACAGCACACGAGCATATTTCGAGCCTCGTAATCCGACTCCGTGCGGTTTGCTTGAAGAGCGATTTCATACTCGAGAAGCTCGCTCGGCGTCTTTCACGGGTCAGACCGCGACCGCTGCGAGAAAGCGCTTTCCGACCAGCTCGATTATAGCCGGCGGCTCCGTGTGCGACTCTAGACCGGGCGCCACTTCAATGCACAGTCGTAGTGCGAGGACTCAAAAGCCGGCAGGAACAGAATCGAAGCTGTAGAGTCTTCGGTCGTGCGCACCACGGCCGTTTTCGATACGTACAAGAGGCAAAGGAGTCGATCAAAGACACAGATTTGCACTTCTCGTCGAAGCGACCAAGAGACGGAGATCAAAAGCTCGAACGATCGAGACCAAGCGCAGATCACTCGCATAAGGGCTTGGCGGCCCAATCGGCCTCGCGCGAGGGTTTCGCATCGCAGCGTAACTGAGATCAAAACGTTTATACTAGCAACAGTAGAAGTACGACGCGGCTTTAGCGCAGAGACGAAATAAGCTTATGCTCTGTACTAGCTAGTTCTTTTAGCAGAGCAGGAAGTGCTGGCACGACCACGACCACCTCCACAGTAGTAGGGAGCTGGCAGTGCAGCTTCGGCGAAGTAGAAAAAGGAAAGCAATTCTTAGAGCAAGAACGCGGACTTCACGACCAATAAGTCGAGCAGAGAATAGCTGGGAGAGTGAGTCCGAGAACCAGAATAAGAAGTAACTAGCACGAGGCTGAGGATTGGAGTTCGAAGAAGGACAGGTACGTCAGAGGAAGGAAGAACAGAAAGACACTGAGCCGTAAGTAGAAGAGGATGCCAGAAGACGGCTATAGTCCTAGCGCGGCAGCACCGCAGAGTTTCTCTGCTCTGCCGAGCGCTGTCAATAGGTCAGGCGATCTCGGTGGGCCACAGCAGCAGCAGGGTGGCTCAGCCGCCTCTGGGGAAGTCGTTAGTCTATTCGTGCCATCAGAGCTGTGCGATAGTCGGAATGAGGATGGAAAGGCGCAGAACAGGTTACTCAAGAAATACCCGTTCGAGAAAGTGGGAAAAAATACGAAAATAGCAGTAAAACCGGGAATAATACACTTCGGTGGTTTTCAAGTGCACAAGGAACATCGGCAAGTCTTCACGCTAAGAAATGTCAGTCCGAAAGCCATACGAGTCATGGTTTTACCGCCAACGCAGGAAAAAGCTTTCAGGATAAAGTATCTCCTACACAGTCCCAGTTGCATGCATTGGCATCTTTATCATCTCAAAAACAAGGTGAGATTGACAATCTCAAAAACAATCTCACCTTGTTTTGATGTTCCACTCGCTTAAGTACCTCCTTCCTCACTGAGAAAGCACGACTTGTTTTCATGCAACTTGATGAACTTCTAGTACAGCAGACTTTTCATGTCCAAATACACGTCGTCATCAAGAAGAATCACCGAAATATCAGCTTCGAGAAGCGAGGATTGTTGGCGCCGGGGTCAGCGGAGGAAATCGAGATATTTTTTGTACCAAAGGAATGGCGGTATTATCACGACAATTTGCAGATTTTTACGGGAGAACAGGACGAGAACTTAGTCGTTCCGATACACGGTTATCCATCAGCGAATGACACAAAGTTCCCGGCCTACATAGACTTCGGGACAATAGCGCTGGCCACGTCAAAGACGAAGGTACTTTGGTCTGGTGTGCTTAATTAGACTTCCTTCCAACAAATAGTAGAAGAGGAATTATACAACTCCAGCATATTATAATAAAATATTGATATTGATATTAATGCCAAAAAGGAGGCGTTGTCTTATTCTAACTTTTCTGGAGGGTAGTCATCTCCTCAAGAGATGACAAGCAACGGCCACCGATTCTTTTCGACGATTTTCACACACAAAAATGGCAACAGCTACTTCCGCTTTCGTGCAAAATACCTGTGGAATTCGAATTCGAAATCAAGATTATCGAAAAAGATGACTCCTTCGAGATTACGCCGTTACGAGGTGTCATACCTCCGGAATCAACGACGAATGTGGCCATCACTTACCTTCCGACACAATCGAAGACGTGTATCTCAAATTTCCAACGATTGACGTTGATGTCCTCGTTGTAGCGTAGTACAACTGAGTCGAAAGTAGCTCACAACTGAAGCTGAACACACATTCGATAGGGATAGGATAAAAAAAACGCATCGGGATTGTACTAGTGCACTTGCCACGGTTTCTTCTTGTCAGCGCTTCTTTTTACCCGCCTTTTCAGCCACGATGAAGATATCACTGGAAATCGCGCAGTTTGACAGCAGGCCCGAAATCATAAATATCCTGGGGAATTGTTTGCCTGATTTGAGCAAACAAGAAGTAGTGACAGTCGGAGAGCGGGAGGTAAGCTGGTTAGACATTCCTGTTGTGTCGTTTAATGTTGTACGAGGCTACTATACGTGCTTCAGCTTTAATATCGTCACCATTGGCTTCCTTTGATCTTGATGTAATATTGTACTTGCCCAGGCCCAGCGTATCTCATAGCGTCCGATGTAGTTAAAGCGCTCACTTGTTGACGCCCACTGAACACAAATTCAGTACCGAAAAGTCCTGCGGGAACGGGCGAAAGCGCAGCTTGAAGAACGAGTAGACGTTCTTCTCGAACGAAAAAGTGACCCGTTCGTTGACAAGCCGTTCGTCAAACCGCAACCAGAAATTATGAGATGAAATTGCATGGAAAACGAAAAACACTATTCTATTCCTGATACGGAGCGAGGTATCACAACATCTATCTTGAAGTAGAATATTCATGTCTTAGCCTTTCCCCATATTGATGCAGAAGGCTCCTCTAATTTCCAGTACAAAGTGGTCTCGGACATCAAGGTTCCACTCGAGGAGGTGTACGGTCAGCACCATATTAACTTCGTGATGAATCAGACGGCGGGGAAGATGCCTCTGGCAGATCTGGCAGACTTCATCCGAGAGCAGAGGGAACAGCTGGAAGCGACACAGGCACAGGCGAAAAGTGGTGCGGAGAAAGACGAAACAGAGATGACAGCCCAAGATCGACAGGCGAAGGAACTGCGATTCGACATGCGGTTCAGGGACTTGGAAGAGTACAAAGATTATCATGTTAGTCTAAGGATGTAATCAGAAGAGTCCATTCCTTGAGAATATCACGGACGAATAGCAGCGTCGATCCCATAAGTGATTTCAATTTCTAGGTTCACGTCGAAATTGGATCTGGCGTCGATGTCTCAGAACTCGTCCAACAAGAAGAATTACACTCTTCTTCTTCTTCTTCTTCCGCTACTTCATCAGATATGACAAGAGCAAGGACCTGAAAGGAACAGAGGTATGTTTGGGTGAGGTGGTCCCGACTAATGCCGAGAAGGACGCAGTGCGAGACCGGCGGGCGGAATTGCAGGGGCGCTTGCTCAGGAAAGCTCTGACGCAGGATGTGAAGAGGTATAGCGAAGAAGCCTCGAACGACACGCGAGTGCCGCTTCCTCTAGGGTGGCGAAGCTCCGTTCCCGCATGTTGGGATGTCTACGCCAACGACACCTTTAGCGTCCGATTACAAGTCATAGACCGGTTCGTACGAGCAGGAACAAAGATGCTCATGCAGAATCGAGGAGCAAGGCGGTTGCAGAAACTGCGGGAAGCCATAGCAGACGCGGGCGTCACGGACAGGGCAAGCTGTAGAGCATGGGTCGAAGCAGAAAACAAAGCAGCAGCGGTCGCAAGTGCGCCGAAAGAGAAGAAGAAAGAGGGTACTAAGTACTTTCTTCGACAACTAGATAGGCAGGAAGTAAATCTAAATTATAGTGATCGGCGTGAACTTCAACAAGAACTCGTAGTCAAAACAGTTCTACACCTATGCATGCTCACTCGTCAGGTGAAGAGGACGATGAAGTCGAAGAGCAAGACGACGTGGCACCGCTGGAACTGGATAGGAGCGGCAAGGCGCCAACTGCTAGGGTAGTCTTGTCTGGAGAAAGGCTGCTGCTACCGACGATTTTACCAACAAGCGAGTCTGCACTAGGAGCGGACGATGAGGAGAAAATGTTCGACTTCGAACCGCTACTGAATACCGACAGAGCGAACTTTTTGCAGTTTAAGCCTCTGCCACTCATAGAAAGAGAAGACTACAAGGTGCTGTGACTTATTGTTCATTTACGAGACTTAGTTAGTAACGTAGTTGGTTTTGGCTATCATTCTACTGGCAAAGCTATTTCTTGTCCTCAATTGATCGCATAAATCTAGTCTTCTCATCATTATTGTCCATTTTTTACGTACTTTCCTTTGGTGTCGCCGCAGTTATAATGCGTGCGTAAAACAACTTAGCTCGTGATGCCAACTGTTAAACTGCGCATGAAGATCATTTGTGCACTAAGAATCACTCACACTCACTGCCGTCGACGTAGTACTAGTACTAGACTGCCTTCACATTGTTCACCTCTTCAACAACAGGTCTTCATGTATGCGCCTATGGAGATGCCACTACCTGGGTACCACATGAGGCCCACCGCAGGTCGGTATGAGCAGAGGTACGCATGTCTGGAGGAGCAATACGTGCGAGGCGTGCGGGGTCTGACCACAGATGGCGCCGAGGAGGTTCAGTTTACTATGCCCGAGGCGTGTTTACAACCACCAGAGCACGATCCACTACAATTCATTATTCCAGACACAAGCGTGCGGACCTGGGTCGGGCTGCCAACGGACTTCCATGAGTACCACTTTTTAGATTCTTGATGATCTTCGAGGTTGGTCTTTTATTACACCAGGCTACTGCTTTCCAATTCCATAGAAAGGATCTTTCCTTCATGTTACCGGCAAGGACGTGCAGCTGCAGATGATCACTTTCACATTCACCTCGTCCGTTTTGTTTTCCATCCTTTGACAGGTGCGATTTCGAGTACATGCTTGGCGTGGAAGAGGAACCTATGATTCGAGACTTCCACTACTGCTTGGAACCGCGGTTGACGTTAGATGGCATGGGTTTCGAGATGCCAAGTGCCAACTTTCCGCAATGGCATGACATCTTTAGAGAGTCAAGAAACGTTACGGATCCCTTCAGCGACATGGATCCATTTCCAGTGTCCACTGCAGAAGGCGGCGGCAAGATGGGGCCAAAAGCATGCGGCGATATCCTTGGCGAACGTACGTGCTTCTTGTTTCTCTTATCTTGCAGCACCATCATGCAAACATTTATTTGATAGAAAAATTGGATACTTATTATTATATTTATCATTTTTAGACCGGTTAGTTTTCACCTCTAGAAACTTTAGGGCTATCCCACCAAACAAATTATTTATCATGCTTAGAGTCGCCAAGGCAGTACTAGAGGATGAGGAAGAACACCTGGTGTGGCAAGCCCATTATTCATCTCTTCCCTGATCAGGTATCCGATATCTCCCTGTCGAGCGCGTGCCTGGGGACCGGGACATTCCCTCAGATACAGACTCGGATGGCCGGGACGAACAGTTTGAGATGCCAAGACCTAAAATGGAAGAATATCTCAAAAGCTGGTACCATCCCGACGTCATCGCAAGTGCGACTGAGACACACGCGAAGTTAAGACCTGCAACCAATTGCATCTATCTTCATAAGTTCCTACTACACATCATTCATTCATTCATCATCATCGTCGGAGGAAACAAGTGGGCTCATTTTTCCTCAACAACATCTAAAAGACCGTGTCGCAGAGTGGACCGATTTGCAAGAGAAGGCGGCTAAGATCGACTCCGCAGTGTTTGCGGAAAGAGAGGAGGCACGCGCGGCCCAGAAGAAGCTGAGCGACTTGCGAGAACCGCCAAGATTTCCGCTTTTGCCAGAACACGACTATGAGATCGTCGGAGACAAGCATGTCAAGGAAGCGTACTTGGAGGAGCTGCTTGAGGTCGGAAACAGAAAGCGGGCGACGAGACTGCGCGACGACCTCAGCGACTGCAACAAATACCTCGACCCTAAAGCCAAGCTCTTCTTGGGCTAGGGGTAGGCGATTGCATTTTGCATGCTGTCAGTCAGAGAGTAGATTTATGATCATGAAAATATCAATATGTCGTGTGCTTGTCGTGGTTCTAGTGTTTCGTCATCTTAACTATGTATAACTACCTTCCCAAAAACGGAAACAAGTTAGATAGAGGTATACTTCATCGTGCAAGGTGCTCTCGTTAGGCGAGACGATTTCGAAATTGTGAACTGCTTTTTTCTTCGAGCTCGATGCCAGATCTCACCGGAACGCTTGAGCACTAGTCTTTTTCTTTTTTTGTCTCACGTATTCGTATTGAAAAATCATCAAACTCATTCGGCTAATACAATTGATTATCGTGGTAATTCTTGTTTGAAAATGACATGAATGTTATGTGAAGAAGATAAATGCTTTTTTTCGTAGTCTGGAGATGGGTTTACAAGAGGATAAACTTTAACGTGTATTGTTTGCATTTCAGAATCATGTGTCCTTTTTTTATGCGAACAAGATCGCACTAGGTGGCGTGAGCATTAAGGATCTAGATTTAGTCAGTTTAGATTGTAGTAATAAAACTGCTCATGTGCCGCATTCTGCTTCTGGTGTGGATGATATTTTGTCCAAGATTTTGGCGTACTACTCATTTCGATATTTTATACCAGAACCACGCTGATGCAGTCAGCGTGTCGCTTCTCTGATTACCAGTCTACTTTTTACAGTAATTGTCCATTGACTTAAATCTAATGACAAGATTATAGTATGCTTGGTGTAAACATCAAGAATCATTGTTCTATTTCGATAGCGCGCTCTTTCTCTTTGTTTCCAGTGGACTCCCGCAGTCTTTCCGTAGTATATTCGACAGCGATGAGTGTCGTATCGCTTGTAGCGATGTTGCATAGGACCATAATCATAAAATGGATGCAATAAAAAAAGTGAATCAATAACTACGTGCCCTGTATCTATCAAAAGTGCAGCACGCAGAAGTGGTGGATGGAGTGTAATCAACCAAGAAGCAGTCCACTACAACTACAACTAGAACTACGGTGCATCCAGCACGAGTAGAGAGGGAAGATGCAAGTGCGCTCGCAGACGACCCTCAAGTGGGCGATTCCTAGGGTAGCCGCATCGTCATCAAGAAGGATAAGTAGCGAGTGAGAATGGTTGCATCTTGACATTAAAACCTGTCATTTCGATTCTGATCTTGCCGGGTGTTCATCGTAGTACTGCTGTGTTCTCAACATCTGGATCTGTGCAAGTGCAATATATGAACGCACTAAAAGTAAAAAACTGCAAGTATTAAAAACAAGCTCATAATTTATTTGAGAGCTACTTCTAGAACGAGTAGTTGTCTTAGCATTCTTAGAGGGAGTCTGATCCCAACAAGGACCGACGAGATGGAAAACTACAACATACTAGCTGTCACAATTTTCCGAACATATGACACCAGGATCATGGTCCCATTAGAAATAGAATTAGTAGTCCCGTCGCCCTAAAGAAAGTGGCATTGATGCGCTGATGTACTAACTCCCAAGGAGCGACGTGCGCATACTCATGTTCGTGCCGTAGTAGATGACGTAGAAAACTTTGATATTCGTTGTTCACAGTTCTTATCGCGAAGAACGTAGACCCAAGCACCAAAATAAATAAAAAAGTTTCTCGTGGATGCTCTCTGAATGAATGAATGAATGAATCGAATTGCTCGTTCCAAAAAAATGTCAGCCGTTGTAGTATCATTCCCATTCCCCTTTATCCGATCCTTCCTGATCGCCCTCATCGTTGTCCTTCAGGGTGATCATCTGCTTGGTATTCTTGCAGATAGCAGCACGCAAAAGCATGGACCAAGCACGACACCAGAAGGTAACATCAATGCGGAAGAAGGTCGATGGGTGTACAATTTTGCCGAGATCCGTTCCCGGTGCAAAGATCAGGCGGAGTGTCCGTTGAATGAGGTGCAGCGCCTGTTCGACAAGGAGAAGTCTCGAGCGGCGCAAGCGAATGACGGCCGCAAGCAGCAAAAGGAGGACCGATATTTCGACGACGACATCGGCGACGCAAGAATAGCTTTGGATACTGTAGTACGCGAGTTGCAGGAAATTTTCGGACCTTCGAAATCGAAAACAGCAGAGCTTGACCTACAAGAAGTGCGAGTACCAGGAAGGCAGGCGAATGTGAAGAATCCTTTGCAGCGATCACTAGTGCGTAAACTGTTCACTCCCCAGGACATTCGCTTGGTGCAGTGGAAGGCTGAGAACATTCGCGGCGTGCCCAGTTTGTTCAATGTCACTGAAGAAGGAACTTCTGCAGCATCCGGACCCTGGGCTCTGAAGTTCACTATGAAAATTCCGGAGCCGGGCTACGGACTCGAAGATGAGAAAAGTACAACCAGTAGCAGAACAGATGAAGAAGTTTCCACACCGGCTAGTACATCCTCAACTTCATCTGCAGGAAGTCCACCAGCAACAGTTTCTTCGACCAGATGGCGTCCTGTGAGCTACCGGTCTGACTACAGTAAACAGACCCGCGTGGACGGTAAGGGCCGGCCTTTGATCACTGAATGGTGGAAAGAGAAGGTTATGCATTACTACGCCGGTTTAGCGTGGAACGTGGAGGTCCGAGTAAATCGAAATTACCCATTTTCGGCACCACGCGTGGTCATCCAAAACAACATAGAGCATGCGTTTCTAGGAGGCGGCGGCCGCGAGGAACGAAACGCCCATGTTCTTCCTAAGGTACTTTTTACTCCAAGGGCCGGCTTCGTTGCGAAAGGTGTAGAAGCGAGTATCGAACCGCGAGAGAGTGCGTCAACTTTAGTACAATTTGTCACAGACGACAAGTTTACAACTTCCAAGAAGAAGAGTACTGCTAGGAGCAAGAAGTCGAAAAGCAAGTCAACAAGTAAAGGTGCAAATTCTAAGAACAGGATCAAGAAGAAACCGTTACGATCGCGAAAAATGACACTTGTTGATGCATTCCAGAGAGCATCGACCTCTAGCTCCACAGGCGTCGCAGAGAAGCCGATGAGGAAAGTATCCCAACGTTATTTCCTTGCTGACGCATTAGAAAAAACATTGTGCTTTTTCACCTACATCGATGGCGAGCTTCTTTCCTTGCCGTTTATGACTGCTGAGCGTGCTGATTCCTTACGTGGTCGTGTAAAGGAGCATGTGACACAGAACTGGTTCGAAAAACGGATCAATCTTCATACCTACCCAAGTGTTTACTCGCGTAACAAAGACTTCTTCGGCTTTTCTCATGCGGATGGAACCGACTACGTGCTACAGGAATCACAACGACTGCTCGCTGAAACTTCTACACTGGGGGTCGAATCAACCTTACCAACGTCCTCGCTCTCGACGGCGTCTGCTTCAGGTGCAGCCCCGTCAAGATCCTTAACAATATCTGCTTCTGGTGCTGCGTCATCTTCTGGAGGGAGTACTTCAAAACTTGCTCTTTTAACACAACCGCCGCAAACACAGCTGTTTCCGAAAAAGTACTTGCATCCCAAATTTCTGGAGTTCCAGGATGCCCTCTACAAGCTCTCGCCCTCCGATGTTGCTGGTCGTAAGCAGTTGATCAACGAAAAGTTTCTCGAGCAGGCTCCTGACTGTCAGAACGTGTACGCTTTCCCGCTATTCACGGATGAGTTTTGCGATCTGCTTGTGCATGAGGTTCGAGGCGTGCATGCGAGTCAGCTGAAAGTGCAGCGACCGAACAGCATGAACAATTATGGGGTCATTTTGAACGATGTCGGGTTGGAACCTCTGATGGACAGCATTCAGGAGCTTTTGAGACCCCTGGGAGAGGCGAGATTTGGAGCAGCCGGCAGCAACTGGGACGGCCACCACAGTTTCATCGTACAGTATAGTCCGGCGAAAGACACCCACCTGGACATGCACACTGATGACAGCGATGTGACGATTATTATGATTCTCACGTACAAATACAATTACAAGATGTTCCTTCCTGGTAGCGCTGCCGTGGTTGTCGGTACATTATCGACGACGTCAGATTTGGAATACAACATAGCACACATCAAAGAAACTCTTACTCAACATCATGATGATGCTGTACGTTGTGTACTAACTAGGACAATCTTCGTTGTAGTTTGATGAAGCCGGGTATCGATAATACTGGTTTGTCTTTGCTGACTCATCTCTAATGTCCACATCTCCCTTGGCATTGGTGAGTTTGCCGGAAGCGAAGTACGATTTTGCGGTAAGATGGGTGAGGCTGACCACCGAAAAAACAAGTGCGTTTGGCGGAATCGCAAGGGCATCGCCATCATGCACCTCGGGCGCCACCGTCACGGCGCTATGGACATTCTTGAGGGAGAACGCATGAACTTGATCATCTGGAACCGCGGAAGCTCTACGTATAGGGAGAGCTTCGAGTACGATTTCAACATTCACAAACGTGAGAGCGGCCCCCCAGACAAAGTGTGCGTGAGCTACACACACGATCGCGATTTTGGGCGCTTCCGCAAATATCCACTAGGACAAGAGCACATGCGAAGGCGAAAAAAGTGGTGCCCCAAACCGATGGCTGAATATGAGGGATTCAAGCCAGAAAGCTAGGGCGCCCTCGATGTTGAAGTCGCTGCTCCGCGTACGTGTGTACTTACTATGCAAATCTTCATGATGACGCGGACATTGCACTCAAGATTATCTTCAGCTATTGATGTTGTCTCGTCCGGGTTTGCTCGCAGTGACGTTCTCCTGCAAAAGTTTTTCTTCTACGACAGATGAACAAGCAGAAACCGTTGTTGTAGTATATAAATCTGGCTAGAATTTATTATAAAAATGTTTGAAGAACTAGAACAACATGAACATGGACAAATTGTAGGCAAGGAAAGCGATTCCTTTCAAACAACAGTGAAAAACTGTTGTAAAAGAAGAACATCAAGGTGCAGGATTCTACTAGGTCGTTGTGTGTCATCTGATTCTGACAGATGCTGCCCACGGTTTACGAGAGAGATCTATAATAGGAATTCGACAGCAGCTAAGTAATGACAAAATGAGTGTTAGTTTCTACTTGCATGGAGCGCCCGTCCGACAACACCCCCTCGCGCTAGGATTCCCCTCCTCCCAAAGTAGCCCGCGAAGCGCTGAGTTTGCCTGAGATTCAATCTCTTGGATTTCAATTGCTCAAATCCAAAAATTTCCGACTTTGGCGAGCTTTTCTGAAATTCACGCTCTTGGCTTTGAACTTCTCAAATCTAAAAACTTTCGACTTTGGCGAGTTTTTCTGAGATTCAATGGCTTGGGTTTGAATTCCCAAACTCCGAAAGTTTCGGCGTTTAGCAAGTTACTCTGAGACTCAACTTCTTGGATTTAATTCGTAAGCTCAATTTCTTGGGTTTGAATTATTGAAATCCCAAGACTTTTGATTTTAGCAAGTTTTTCTGAGATTCAATCTCTTGGATTTGATTCGCAAGCCCATAAGTTCTCAAATTCCTAAACTCAGAAACTCATAAATTCGTAAGTTTATAAATTTATAAACTCTTCCATTTAAATCCATAAACTCGCAAATTCAAATTCTTAAATTCAGAAACTCGTAAGTTCGTAAATTCAGAAACTCAGAAATTCAGAAATTCCTAAGTTCGTAAGTTCATGGGCTCAAATGTGAAAAAGTGAGAGTTTAGCTGGGGCTTGGAAGTGGGAGAGTGAGAGTTTGGCGGGGTCGTTGTTGTTTTTTAATTTAGCTCCTTGATGACTACTAGCTTGGCGCGTCCGATAACATCCCTCCCACTAGGATCCCCCTCCTCCCCAAAGTAAGAAACTAAGCACGGCAAAGCTTTAAGCGATGCGCGTTTTCAAATTTCGAAAATTTTCCACGTTTTGCCATCGTTTGAGGATTGAATCTCGTGCGTTTGAAGTGCTAAGATCCCAAGGCTTTTTGACTTTAAGCCCTTTCCATTCCCTGGGATTCAATTTCTTGGATTTGTTTTTCAAATTTCGAAAATATTCCACGTTTTCGCATCGTTTTGGGATGGAATTCTGCGAGTGTGAAGCGCTAAAACCCCCAAATTTTTGATTTTAAGCCCTTTCGCTGAAATTCAATGTCTTGGATTTGCATTCTTAAAATGTCGAAAATTTTCCACATTTTGCCGCCGTTTTGGGGCTGAATTCGGTGCGTTTGAAGTGCTAAAGCCCCAAAATTTTTGATTTTAAGCCCTTTCCTTGGGGTTCAATTTCTTGGCTTCGCGTTTTTCAAATTTCGAAAACTTTCCGCGTTTTTTCGTAGTTTTGGGATTGAGTTCAGCGATTGGGAAGTGTTAAGATGCCAAAGCTTTTTACTTTACGCCCTTTCCCTCAGGTTCATTCTCTTGCGTGTTCGCGTTTTTCAAATTTCAAAAATTTTTTTGCCTTTTTTCGTCGTTTTGAGATTGAGTTCCGCGAGTATGAAGGGGCAACATCCCAAAAATTTTGATTTTAAGCGCCTTCCGTGGATTTCTGTAAATTCATAAATTCGCAAGTTCTTAAATTCGCAAATTCAGAAATTCATAAATTCGCAAATTCATAAATTCGCAAATTCATAAATTCGCAAATTCGCAAATTCGTAAATTCGTAAACTCATAAGCCCCTAGATTCTTAAATTCCTAAATTCCTAAGCTCCTTCCTAAATTCATAAATTCCTAAGTAAGTTCTTAAGTTCCTTCCTAAGTTGGGCATAAGTTCATGGGTTTGGGGTTTGGAAGTGGGAGGATGAGGCTCATGGGTTTGGGGTTTGGAATTGGATGTGGGAGATTGAGAGTTTGGAGGGGTTGTCGTGTTTGGGGTTTGGAAGTGGGAGGCCAAGAGTTTGGGGGGGTTGTTGTAGATTTTTTTTTAGCTCTTTAATACTAGCTTGGAGCGCCCTATAATATCCCTCCCACTAGGATCCCCCTCCTCCCCAAAGTAAGAAACTAAGCACGGCAAAGATGTAAGCGATGTACGTTTTTCAAATTTCGAAAATTTTCCACGTTTTGCCATCGTTTGAGGATTGAATCTCTTGCGTTTGAAGTGCTCAGACCCCAAAGCTTTTCGATTTTAAGCCCTTTCGCTGAAATTCATGATTTGCATTCTTCAAATTTCGAAAATTTTCCACATTTCGCCTTCCTTTTGGGATTGGGTTTGGCTCGCTTGAAGTGCTAAGACCCCAAAACTTTTGTCTTTAAGCCCTTTCCCTGAGAGCACGCATTTGTGTGCATTTTTCAAATTTCGAAAATTTTCCACATTTTGTCGCCGTTTTGGGATTGAAGTATGTGCGTCTGAAGTGCTAAAGTCCCAAAGTTTTTGATTTATTTTAAGCCCTTTCCCTGGGCTTCAATCTCTTGGCTTCGCGTTTTTCAAATTTCGAAAATTTTCCACGTTTTTCGTCGTTTTGGGATTGAATCGCGTGAGTTTGAAGTGCTATCGCTAAGACCCCTGCCCTTGAAATTCAATTCCATGGCTTCCTGGTTTCTTGGTTTCCTGGTTTCCTGGTTAGTTTCTTGGTTTCTTGGGTTCCTGGGTTCATGGGTTTGGGGTTTGTTTGTTTTTGTGTCGGAGGTTGTGGGTTTGGGTGTTGGAGGTTGAGGTTTCGGAGGGGAAGTGTTTGCTAAGTTTTATTGCTCTTAATATTGTTCTGAGTTCTAGGCTCAGCCTCAGACTGTTTTTTATTTGCTGTAAAAAGAATCGCTGTGCTTTGGTCTTCCTCAGGCTATCTCATTATTGTTCAGTTGCCAACCCGACGTGGCTGCAAAAGTAAAGCGCTATATATAAGGAAATCTGTGAAAAGAAGAGGCAGCAGCGTCGAAATAGAAACTACAAGCTGCAATGATGTGAGAGCTGTGAGTCTGGTTCTTCACGCTGTTTAATAAAATACAAGAGAGAGTCAACATCTTCCTTTTCGCGATTTCCACACACATAGTCATAGGCTGCCTCCTACATAATATGCTTCTGTCTGTGTCGAAATTTCTGTGTTGCTTTCCCTTACGCGGTACTTAGTGTTGAGGTTCTGATAGACAGTTGCAAAGAGGACCCTAGCCCTACAGTCACTCGCGTGGTTTGGCGTCACCTCACCAGTCACTTCTAGTTTCCTAAGCAGTAGCTTGTGTGTTTAACTGGTCTTACTTTCTTAACAAACTTAGCTTGCCTTTCCTGCCCGCGGAGGTCACTTCAACGAACAGTTTCTACTGCTTTTGTTTAAGTACTTGTCCTCGCCCTCGTTGTCCAAAGCTGGGTGCTAACACCATATATCTAAAATTGTAGGCATAAGATCATCCAGATCGCTGTTCTGTGAAGGATCAGCATGAGGGTCCTGATTCAGTTCGATGCTTGTCCATGCTTCTGATTTCAATCAACTCGCTCCGCCTCGTTCCTCGTTCCTCCCATGCATTGAGATCCTCGCAACGTTCCACCAGAATCATGAACACCATCAAAGTCCCCGGCTCCCTCTCGTTCTCATCGTCATCACCATCATCATCGCCAACCTAGTCGGAGTCACAAGCCTCATCCGTATCCTAGTGGTAGCCGTGTCATCTTTCTCACCCGGACCCGCCGGCTGGTAATAGTGACCTGAGTAATTTCCCCGATTTGCATGCGTGTGGTAGTGTTTTCAGTGTGTTCACTCTAGTGGTGTAGTTAGTTGGTCGGTATCTCAGTCGGTGGACATTGCTAACAGAAACACGCAAAGCGCTCCCTAGTGGCTTCTCTTTGTTTATAGCCTTATACCCTGGCACCCTCGCGGCCGCTCTCATGGTCTGGCGTCTTAGGTTTGTTCTCTGTTGCTAAACGCGCCCGGGGTGAAAAAAAAGAGAAGAATAATAATAAAACAAGATCAACTTGAGTAAAGAACTTAGAATGAACATAGCAGAAAGGAGCTCGTTCAACGGTTGATCGTCGTCGTCTTCCTAGCATCGTTCTTTAAATTAACAAAGATCAGCTTCGGCCTCTCACTCGTACTAAGCCTCTTCTTTCATGCTATATTCCGTTCTTTCTCGTTGTCTATAACTATACCTAGTACTTCACACATTGCCCACTCGCACTCTGTGGAGTCAACGCAATTTTTGCGAGCACGTGAGTGAGTGAATGAAAGACTGAATGAATGAGGTGAGTACACGTTGCAGCAACGGGCGACAAGTGACATGTGCAATCAGACCGGCGCCGAAATTGATAGTGCAGCTTACTAGGAGGGAAAGGCTCACGTATGCCTACAGCTACGGATGACATGTGGCTTTGAGACAGCGAGCCGAAAATACAGACGCGGAAGATAGCCACAGCCGATGCGGATCGACTGAAGGCGGAAATGGATAAACTAGCCGACACGCTGGCCACACGTCCGTCGATGCGAAAAATGTTGGACAGGACGTTACAGCAGATACAGGAAGCGAAGACCTATTAGTAAAAAGCAGGTAAAAATACGTGCACAAAGAAAAAACTCAACTTGTATTATAAGATAATAAACAAGCACTCTTTACCAAAATAAAACACAGAGCAGGAAAAGCGCACAAGAAAAGGAGCAGGCTCAAGCTTAGACAAGGAAAAACAAGATCCTAAATTTTGAGCTGCAAAGTCCTCATGATTTGAGGCAAACAGAACGCTCATGGAAAAAAAAATATGAGGATGCGGTCCCTCAACCTATTGATCTGATTTCTCTGCGGGCAGAATGCATAATTCAAATGCGGACACTTCTCTGACTAGGAATGACAATCCCCCTGCGTAGTTTGGATTCACGTTTCCAAATCTACATCTGTCGTGTCCAAAAAACGCGGCTTTAATGTTTATCATCTTGGGGTCAAATATGACAACAGGTTATGATACTCATACTCGATGGATCATCTGGATCTGTTTGAGGCCTTCCGCAGGTTCCTCTCTACAAAATGCTTACGTGCGTGGACGCCGCATGTATAAGCAACAACATGAACATGAGGACACGACCTTCTAGGTAGTTTGTGTGAAATATACAAGCCATCTGGATCATCTGACAAAATATGTGATGACCCTCCTCCCATGATAGGCGACAGTGAAGTTTTTAGTTTTACCTCTTAGGAAATATGAGGCGTACTGGAAATCTAGGTTGATCATTTTTCCCTTGCTGTTCTCTTGTAGGGTTTGGCTTAGGTCCCGCGACGCCTAAAGCACATAGAAAAAAATAGCCGGCTCTTTTTCCCTCACAAATTCTAGGTTAGTCCCTGCTCCATCCAAAAATATATACCTGAAGATGATAATGCTGTCGTGTATAGCTGCGACACTAGCATTCTACGCACGATCATCGTATGTGGAGGCTATTGCGCTTTCGAGCATTCCAACCACACCGCGAAAAGTAGGAAAACCGCTTCTTATTGCAAAAACATCTTCACCACCCTTAATTGTTGAGAATAATGAAATTGAAGATGACAGCCGCGGGATTGTTCTTGCCGTGGGGGCGAGCGGAGCAGAACTCGTGCCAGAGACGGCCTTTTCTCAAATATCAATGCCTACAACTTCTACCACGGACACAATTATCGCACCATTTGTATTTTCCGACTTTCCAATTATTGTGGATTTGGCGGAGGATCACGGTGACAATTCACTAGGAGCCGGCGACTGGCGCCCAACCTTGCAACTAGCGCTGAGTTTTCTCATCGGCCACGGTGATCCTATTCCGACTAGATCCGGCGGGGGAGATGGGAGTAAAAGTCTCTTGATTGTCGCGCGTCCTGGTACTACCCCATTTAATTTTCTGAAAAAGTAGAAGATGCTCGGTATCGCCAGCTTATCAGACTCAGTAGCATATCCGCAGCGACAGCAGATTTTCGAATTATATTTTGATGTTGAATTCCAATGAATTCATTTGTTAGTTCCTAATCCTACCTCTCACTCTATCAATCTCGAGCACCAAAAATGTTTGTAGAAGTCGTGGTCGTGGCGCGCTTGTTTTCTTCTCTGCTTGTAACTATGTAGTCACTGCTCAGTGCCACTCGCTCTCCTTTGTTCTGTGGCGAGTAGGATGATTAGCGATATCCACGACTGTTCATAAAAGGCAGACAATCAACAAGCATATGGTCTAATGCATTATGTACGACTGACATACGAAAAAATTGCAAATTATGAAAGGCATAATAACCCTAAGACATATAGTTATGGATATGAACGCGCAAGATGGAAAAACAGGCATCCAGAGTTCGGTCGCAGCTGAGATTCATAACTTTATTGTGGCGAAATCCATCGACAACCAGTTGAACTTTGTGGAACCCCGCGAACTCGTCAACTTCGCTTCTTCTTCTACTGATGACATACCTGGGTATGGGGGAGAAGTTGCTAGCACAACTCCTCGCGACGATATTACTGCCTCCTCATTTGCCACCATTAGAGGACCCGAAGAAAAAATAGTCACTTCCTCGGATGAAGACGAACCTACCAGTAGTCAATTGCCTGCTAGTATTACCGGGGGCCAGGGTGAGAAAGATAATCGCCGCCCCGAAGTAGTTGCGAGAGTGGTCTGGGAGAAACGGGAAAGTACATCAATATCGAACCCTCCGAGTAATAGGATCCGGGTCTTCCTTTGCATCGTGAAAGAGCCTAACAAGAAGTACGGGGCAAACACGAAGGCCTTTTATCCCGATTGTTTACAACATGTCTCCTTGGTCAGAGAAGATTATGATCATGAGACAAGTGGAAGAGAAGTAGAGCTCGAGAATTGGCAAACATGGACAAAAGGGCGCAAGTTGTTACAGTTGAACGGAAACTCCTTCCAACATGCTGTGGACTGGAGAGGACAGCTACGTCGCTGGGTCGATCTCATGAAACAAGGTTCATCACAACTTTTTTCAGCTACAACTGACTCGTCATTCTCATCTACTATCCTTCATCATTTGTTATGACTCTCTTGTTTTGAAATGTCCTCAGAAATGTTGGCTTAAAAAGGAAGATATAATATTTATGGATTTTTATCAGGAACTCGAACTCGTCCCTCAAACTTTCCTTCATTTGACATTTTTCGATTTTTTCAACATCAACAGGAAGGAGGACTTTGCCGACAGAAGAAGCGTTACCTTACGGCATCCCAACACAAAGGATTGGCTTTGTGCTAGGAGACGAGAATCATGCGGCACAGCGTATGGAAATGGGCACATTATTTGGAACGAGGTTGCAAGAGCAATTGTCTGCCATCGGACGGAATGTACCAACGACAACGCGCGAAGTTGGCTCTTTGAAATTACAGCTGAATGCTCTGCCAAGTTTGCAGTCCCAATTGACACTGGAGAGCTACGTAGCCTATCAAGCCTGGAAAACGCAAGCGGGTGTTGAGATGGAGTCTCCAAATGCAGAGAACAAGCAGGACATCCGGATTTGCATTAGTTGGAGCAGTTTGGGAAATGGGAACACTGGCGCTCCTTGGAAAAAAATTCTTGCGCTTGTACGCGTACTTGAAGACATCGTCATCGCGTACGACGCGGATGCGCAGAAGTCACAGGAGACGAGGAAAGTGCATGTTTTGTTAGTTGTTCCCCCGGGTTCGAGGGAGCAGCAAGAGCAAATACATAACGCCCTTTTGTCCAAGGAAAGAACTCGTCCAGGCGCCAAGCAAAGACACTTATTCAATCTCGTGTTTCTAGAGGCCAGAGCGAAGATCAAGTCCGCGAAGGACGTCGTCACCGCACAAGCCTCGAATAATGGAGAAAAAGATGATACTAGTACCCATCAGGGTGGCAACATGGTTGCAGGCAATATGGTTCCTTTTTTGAAGCTGTGGCACGAAAGTAAAATCAACTTAATTCTGACGTCAACTGGACAGGCTGCGGCAACCGATGGTTTGTGGGTGAGTGGGGCCTTGAGTAAGGCAGGTTGGGGCCCAACTATTGTGATCCCGTACTTTTATGGACAGGGACACGATGCGCCAAGCAACCGAGCTATGGTCGCGAGGCAGCATACGCAAGAGCACCAGTGGGTGCTAGCGCAAATCGCGCCCTGGGATCTGTCAATTATGGCAGACGTGTTGCCTTACACTTATACCCATTCGCTCCCTGTGCTTTTGCGAGGGAAGTTTAACAGTCTATCTTCATCGTGTCCACCATCATCGCGCCTCATGGAAGTAGATAAACATGATGTTGACGGCAAGCGCAAGATGAGGGATGATCCATTTGTCATGGCGGTGAACGATTTTGCAACACGACACTTTTTAGAAGGAAGAAGTCCTCCACAGTCCTTCAAACAGCTACAATATCTCTCCGAAGAGTTCAGGGAGGAGCATATGCCAGCTGTTTTAGAACGGCTCTTTCGAATGGTCAACGAAGTGCAGCCTCGACCCCCCAAAGGAACATTGGTTACTGGCCACGCGATAAGTGGAGACGAGCCAATTCCAATGGAAAAGTCGATATACGCACAAAACTGCGAAAAAATATTCAACATTATCGGAGATCTACGCGCCGGGGACTCAAAGGGAATAACGGAGGCACGTCGACAGATTCTACGTATGTATCAATCTTCGCGGTAAATGATACATACTGATAATTACAACAGACTACTAGTGTTTAGCAACGGTAACAGTTATATAATATTGGTATCCGTACTAGCCATTTTGGCTCAAGGCTATCAATCTATACATTTTCCCCGTTTCCATGAGGTGTGCTGCAAATCTTGATTGGCTTCTTCCTTTCTATCAGGTTGCGGCTTAGGTCCAGCGGCGCCCAAAGCACTAAATAAAACAACCGGCTCGCTTTTACCTCTAGCGTGTAGCCCTTCCAACAGTATCGGTATTGAGGAAACAAATAAAGAATAGAAGACGAAGAGAGAACAATATTAGTATTGCGGAAACACGATTACGACCGTTCTCAGGCAGATCGAGCAACAACAGCGTCGGCTCCCCTAATATTGACTGATATCGGTACTACATAGGGATCAGCCTGCTACTTCTGCAGTCGTTTTCTATTTTCAACACACTAGATGCGTGGTGCAAGTGTTCTTGTCGGTGTACGGACATGCCCTTCCCCATGCAGCATGGATTGGTGTTACGTCAGTAACACTGCGTAAGTACTCAGACTACCAAGCAAAGTCTATACCAGCATGCTCGAGGAGCCTGGGGGGCGGCCGAGTGTGGCCGAAAATTACAAAAGGAGACAAAAATTGAAATATGCGACTCATTGTCGGCATCTGTTTTAAAAGATTGAAATCTGTCCACAGGAGAGGGAGCGGCAAGGATGAGGATAAATTTCAATGCGAGAGCCGTGGATTTTAAACTTTTTCTCCGAAAGGAGCCGTCCCATGCATTTCCATCTGTGAGTGTGACCAAGTCTGTTTCTGATCAAAATGATCAAATAGAAATGTCTGTCTTGTTCCGTATGGTATTTAGTATGGCGATGACCACCACGGAGCAGGTACGATTTCTGTCTAATTGTCTGCAGCTGTAAGTGTAACCTTCGTGGAGGAGTCAGGAAGCTTCATTCTAGCGTAGTGTGTGAGTCTCGATATGCACCTGAAAAAGCATCACCCAAAAATGAAATATCGATTGAGTCAAATAGGCGGAAATATTGACCTCCTTGTCCCTTCATTTCCTTTTCTACCAGGCATATTGATATTCTTTAGTCTGCAACATGCACCAACATTGAATGATGCTTGACTTTAAGGATAGCTGCTCATGAAGTCTGATGTCATATGAGCGAAGCGTAAACTTTCAATACTTGGCGCAATGTGCCTCTGAGAAATTTATTTTTCTGTCAGTACGCCAAGAACTAAGACTATGTATGAGAGTGATCAGTAGTTTGTAGTTGTAGGTCTTTATTAGCCTAGTAGTAGGACGCATCAAGAAATGCCAAGGCCACAGCCACTTTTATGAAGATTTTTCTTGAAGTCATTGTCATTCGTGAAGGCAACAATTTTCCACCTTATAGATTCGCATTCGGTAAATCAAATGTTGTAAAGCAAAATGGCTACTCCTTCTTTTGTCGTGCCTACTTCTCCGTCTGGATCTCAGTCCAAGGCTGCCCACTATGGTACGCTAGTGCCTGCGCCACCTCCAAGAGGACGTGGGGAATCGATGCAGCATATGTCCCTACGAGCACGACGTCCTCTTGGTAAAGGAAAGGATTTAGGAGTCGGAGTGGAAGTCCTACTTGAGAAGTCGCCTGGTGTCAGTTCGGCTAAACACCATCAGAATGGCAAGGGTGTTGCCCCAGAGATTTCTGCGAAAGGAAATGCTGACTCGAATCTCATTCCCTGCGTTGCTGGTCCGCAAAAAGGTGGGAAGTCCTCTTATGCCAAATCCTCGACTGTAGGCCTAGTTAGTGGGCCCGGAAAAGGCAACAAAGGTAGCGCGGGTGGCGCAAAACCCGGGGACCTTGGTGCAGCGTCGCAGTACGCGGAACAGGTCGCTGTAGTAAGTGAGACTGTAGGTCGTGCAGGCAGCAAGGGTGGAGGAATCAGCATCAAAGGCGGAAGCACTACTAAAGGCGCAATGTTGAAAGGTGGAACAACCACATCAAACACAAACGAAAAGGATGGTCGACGCGTCTCAACGCCAAATATTTGCTCCGAAGATGCGAGACAAGCAGCACTTGCTTATCAGTGTGAAATTGAGCGATATAATGCTGACGATGTGTTGGATTTCAAACACGCGGATTTTCGTCGAGGCCGCGACACCAAACCTCAAGGGGTAGCAACAACTGCCACGACGAGTGGTGTCGATGAACCTCAGTCCCCGACATTCGCGGCGCAAAGAATAGCGGAACTGCAGCTCGTGAAACCAAAGATACCGAAAGATCGCACGACCGTAGGCGAAGATATTCGGGATATTGTCTTATCCTCGGCACAAGAGGCGCATATCGTTCTGCCTAGCACTCGTTATTCGGCGAGTGCGAGTGGACCACCTGAAAGTCCTCAAGATATCAGCCCGAGGCCAAATGCGGACTCTTCACGCCCTGCGAACTCACAACAAGCAGGGACATGGACACGACAGGGAGATGCTGATTTCGTTTCTTCACTCCGCGAAAGCCCTACAAAGGCTCGATCGTCGATCTTGTGTGTTACTGTCGACCGCACATTAACGAGCAGTACTGATGCTCGTTCACCCTCTCGTAATGTAGACGTAGTCCCCCATAATCGTAATGTTATCGAAGAGACGAGGATCATGAGGAGTATGCCAGTGCAAGATCATGATGATATTCATGCTGATCATATTGTTGATCTTCATGTTGGTGATAGAATCGACGAGGATGTAAGTACAGTTTTGAATGCCACAAGCTGTACTACACCTGAAACTGTAGAAGTAGAAGCACCTCGTCGTCGTGGTCGTTCAGGAGATGGTTCGGGAGGGCAGTCGAAAACCCGTAAACGTCGAAAAAGGAATAATAGAGGCCATTCGGGTTCATCGACGTCGCGCAGTCCTGAGACTCGCCAGCTTTTGTCGACTGCTCAGGATTCTAGTACTCCTCGTCTTCTACCACAACATGATGGTTCCAATTCCATAACAAACTCTATCTCGAACAACCCTAACGTCGAAGAGCAGGACCCATCAAGTAGAACGAACTTAGCAAGTTGTGCAGAAGTTAGTGAATTATTCGAATTTCCCTCGACTAAAACGCCTTCAGTACAGGGATTCGCAAGAACTCTTGAAGGTGTAGAATATATTGCAAGTCCAAATTCCAACACACGACCAGCTCCAGGAGGCGGGATAATTAGTTATATTCCTCCGAGGCCAGGAAAAGGAACATCTTCTACTTCTAGAAGTAGTTCAAAGAATAGAAAAGCGATAACAAGACCTCCTTGTCTGCTTTTACCGGAAGGACCACGAGAAAAGACAGATCACGCGGCCCGGTTTTTGTTGGAACTAGCGAGACAATACGCACGCGACATGGCGGAAGCAGAAACGGCAGCTCCTCCACCTGAGGGCAGCGCACCATCGGCAGTGCCACAGAGTTCGAATAATCTCGACGCGAGCAGTGCTGCTGGCGATGTTCGTGATCAGGCAGAAGGTGAAGGTGGTAGCGGAACTGCAGTGGTCGTAACAGGTGAGCAAGATGGCGGAGCAGAATCGGGCGGCGGTGCAGACGGACCTGTGCCTGCTCTGAATATCCCAACAACTTCCGGGCCGTCAGTAATCACTCCGGAAGAGGCGCCTTCGGAGGCAGCCGCCCCTGAAGATGCAGTTGCAGCTAGTGGGAATGCCACTTCTTCCACTTCCGCGGCAGGCGCAGACGCACCTGCTCCAAAGACTCCTACGTCTTCAAAAAACAAGTCGGTGATGGAACTTGACGCTTCTCCGACGTCCTATATGGCGAGAGCGGACGCAGAGCGGTCAGGCATGATACCACAGAGCGGCAGTAAGAAAGCCTCAGTCAGCTTTCGTATACCAACGCCAGAACAAACACCAGTTTCAGGTCCATTGATAGTGCAACGGGCAGCGGATATGCCGCGGCCAGCTGACGAACCGAGTCTAGCGAAAGTCGTCGGGAAGAATGTGGAGTTGGTACATATTCAGAGGATGACTTTTACTTGATCATTCCAAATTAGAAGCTTCGAGTTCACGAACAAGAACTACTACAACTACTCTCCTTCTTATTTAAACCACGTTGCACTTGCGTAGTCTACGTGTTCATCTATCCAGTGTGTAAGTAGAAAACTCACTTCGTTTTCTTCAGTTTATGGGCTTCCTGATCGATCCGGTCTACGGGAAGAAGCAAGCACGAGGCAACCGGATACCTCTCTACCGAGACTGGAAAAATATAAAGGCTCTCTCTTGTGTGGATAAAAGCCTGCACATCATCATCTCGAAGCATATCTTGGTGCAGAGGACCGCACAGGTACTATTGTCCTTTCTTGATCTTGTTGAACTGATAATTTTTGGCTTTCAAGATGTGCATTTCCATGGTCTTTCTTCAATCGGAGATGTAGTCCCTCCTAATCCCACAATCTAGTGCTACTAAGAATAATCATGATCTAGAAGGACCACTACCACTCCCATGATACAGCTCCAAAAGCATCGGGCAGGTGAGAGGGATTTGCGAAATGAGTTAGGCAAATTCTGGAAGGATCAGTGGGGACGCATGCAGGAAGTCGCCGAGAAGAACCGCGAGTTGCGACTAGCTGGATGGGAGGAAGAAATGAAGGAAAGAGTTGCAGAAATGCTAAAGGAGCAAGGCATTCGCGATAGCTTGCAGGAGGTACTACTTGTTCTGAGAAGAGCATATGTCGTGGTTATATTTATAATATATATAAAAATTCTTATCTGCTTCAGCTTTATTTTTTTCTGATTTGAAAATAATGATTCGGCATCATGTTGTTTTAAGTAAGATGTAGTACTAAAAAACGGTCTTACTTAATAATTATAAAAAGACTCGTTGGACACTGGTGACGATGAAACCGACTGCAAAGTACTTTTCATCCTGAGTGGCTTCGAATATGACAAGGAGGTGGATGATCTGACTGACTGCGCGGCCGCACTACGACAGTCACGCAACCTTCACTATGTTCGTTAAAACTGTACTCAATTTCCTTTCCCGCTCTATGAAATATCAGGGTGATGAAGAACAATATGGAGACGAGGACTACAACATGATGGGTATGGAAGGCTCATCTGTTACATTTTTGACATTCCTACCGCCTGGGCCTGATGATATCAATACGCCGGTTGTAATGATGGATCAACGAGATCATGAGCAGCAGATCCAGAAAGAAGCGCCAAAAAAAAGTTTTTATGTTGATGAAGAAGACACTCTAGACCAGAGAACATCAAGGTTATTGTACGATCTTGCCGATACAGAGTTGGTTTTGGACAGCAGAAACTACAGGTCTGCAGCCGAAGACCATAATATCCTGGCGGAAGATGAAGTAGATCCCTTGCTTCTCGAGATCGAGCGACATGTAGCCCATCACGAGCTGTCAAAGGATGAAGCTATGGTAGCGATAACAGAAGCGCTTGGAGAACACGTTGGCTTCGTTTCCGACAGAATGCTTGCGGAGGAGGAACAAGCGACATACTACAAGGAAAAAACGGGAAACGAGGATCTGTTGGGCGAGGAAGAATGGTTGGACGGACATGAGGGACAACGTGAAGCAGGACAAGACCAAGGACCAAGTACATTACCTGATTTCCTGGATATAATTGCTGGAGAAGCATCAGAAGAAAGAGAAGGACAAGGCACAGCCGCTGCGAGTCATATTTTGAACATAGAATTGGCAGGAAGCAGAATTTCAATGGGGCCTAATGAAAGTTCTAATACATCACATGATGTCTCCGCGTCTGCCGAGGATACCAGGGTAGTCAGATTGCTGATCGACTTACCAAGCCATCATACACCTTGTGCAGCTCGAGACGATGAAGATGATCATACACGACAGGCTACCAAGCGCGCTGCCATTGTAGTTGTAGCCCGCGATGGATCGATCTCGATAAGCTTTCCATCCAATCATGACCAAGCACTACATAGCCATAACCAAGGACGACAAGACCAACAAGGAGAGCCCTCCGCCGCTCGTGGCTCAGCAGTGAATGCAGTAAGATCACAGCGGAGAGAGACAAGTCCTGGCACATCAAAAAACACGACGTCTCGGGTCTACCCTACTGTTCTCACTGAAGAGGAAGAGTTTCTAGCGACGTATGACAACGAAATGATTGATGCTCTTGCACCCTTTGCACCATCTCTTCATTTCCCATCCTCATCTGCCTCACAGCAAACCGATAATGCGCGATCGATAGTCAAACCAATATCCGCGGACGAAGCGCAAGCAACTCTCAAGGCTATCAACACCTTCAATCCGGATGTGATGGCGGCCTCAGCGAAACGAGAAATCGTCAACCTCAAGTCCGCGTTTGCACAGTTTTTCACCGCCTGGTACTTCTACATCCATGCAATTGTTTTCAACTTGTTTACTTACTTAAGTTTGCTGCACTCCCTTGCTCCTTGAGATCATAAGTACATGATAAGAATGTCATTGTACACTTGTAGATGATTGCTGCACTGTGGCTGTTGCAGTCGGTTCTTCAGCAACTCTACTTTCGTTTATTTGTTCACCCACACTCGTCTTCCTACTCATTACGATCTTCAGTCATCAACATCAAATCTAAATCACGACATATCTTCTAAATCTACAACAATTCTACTTACAACAGGTCGAAAGCCGCTGAAATCGCACCTATCGTGAACCAAGAAGACGATTTCCGCAAGCATGTGCTAGCCATGTCAGCAGTTCCAAAGGATTGGAGCGTCAAGGACTGGGCAAAGCAGGCTGTACACGCTGTCACAGAGAAAAACGATAATGACGTGGAGTAGGACGAGAACATCTGCATACTTAGTTGGTCGGCGTGGCCGAGGAAGTTTATCTACTGGAAGCGAGGATTTGCTATCGCTACAAGATGGAAGCACCTGCATCATGGTACAGGACGTCGAGAAGGAGTAGTAGGACGGTGTACAACCAGTACATTGGTAAAAGCTCTTGATCATGATGTCACAACTAAATCTTGATGAGAAGTACATATAAATCAAAATGCTGACCAAAACCAGTGATGTGATCATATAATTCGCCATCGCATTGTTCGTATTCCAAGCAAATATTCCAAAAATAACTTTGATGCGAGATCCAGGTGAGGGTCCAAAAAATCAAACAACATGCATTGTGAACTCGTCGGTAAAGGCAAAGATGAAGGTAGTCGCAACCGCAGAAGAAATTTGAAAGATGACCACCAAGGCTATTCGTATTCCACTTGCGGTCATGACAAACAGTCTTGATTTTGTCTTTTATCCGCACGAACTTTGATATGCATACCTATTCTCTTTCTCTTTCCGTAAGAATCGATGCTAACAGAAGATGACAAATTTGATAGAAGTGGATAAGTAAGATCAAGTAGAGGCTAAGGGGGCTGCATATTACTAGTTCGACGAATTCTTGATTTTGATGGACAGAATGGAAATCGAAATGCATCCATAGTGATGGAAACCAAGATGCATTACTCACTCTAGTATGCCCCTGCTAGTGTGTTGAGTGGGTACATCAATCAAAGACCATACATACTGCTGCTTCATAATCACACTCGCATATTTGCTTGATTTTCTCCCCGACTAGTACTATCCACGCGGATTTCCCCATTCCTACCAAACCAAGATGATAGCTCCTCCAAACACCAATTTGACTGGAGAATATAATCCCCTTCCCCTTCGACGTATTGTTAGTAGAAGAAAAATATGGTAGAACTAGAAGCACCGAGATATCTTCGAAGACGCGCTAGTATTTGCGATCTGCGTGCTGTACTAGCTGCCTGGTGTTCGAGCGACGTCAACATTGTTCATATTTGTTTTTGCGAAGAAGTCGCCAAGAAGACAGTTCAAGTTTTCATTGGTGCTGGATTGTCGTTACTGTACGCCATTGTCCTGCTGCCCTCATCGAGCCCCTCGTTCATCAATGCATCGTATTCGGTACGTCAGTTTTCTTTCACGTCGATGTAGTGAATCCAAGAAGTGGTCGCATGATATCGAGTGGAAAGATGACAGCACCACTAAAAAGTAGCTAATACGTACAACACGAAGTGAGAAGCCATACCATTGAAGAGTTTACTCACACCACATTTGAACGAACAAGAATAGCTGGTTATGAATATCCGAAACACTAAAATTCTTTAGATAGTCCTCCTCATCATGATCTCTGTCTCGTCGTCTTTGCTCGGTTTTGTTGTGAGCGAGACCCACTTTTTCGAAATTCTGGACTTGTATATGCAGCAAGACGTGGTTAGTCGTGCTACAAGAATAAGAATACTAAACCAGAAATTACCCTGTTGACCTCCACAAGATTATATGAAATTATAGCGATGAGCATGAGATGACCTCCACTATCCACTACTACTCTCCACTTCTATCCACAATAACGTCTAAGAACACGATTTACTTAATTAATCAGCCAAGGTTCGTGTCGTCATCGACGTGATCATGAATGCCTTGAATTAACTGTTGATGATCTTGTTCTTGACAGTGAGACGCGAGACCGCAGAACGCTAATTAAAAAAAGATTTGCACTACGCAGTATGCCATGTTGAGAACAACAAGAAGATGACGCTTACTTACGACGTCGTTCGCAATCGCAGATACGACGACCAGGTTTCAACACAAGAGAGGGCACGCAGCGTGTTTCAGCGTCCGTGAACGCATTAAGGGATCCTAAGATCGATTGCAGCAAAAAATGAACGAAGACGGCATCGTGGATGAAGTCGACGATACTCCTGTCGTTGACGCCAGAGGAGGCGACAGTGTCGCCAGTGATGTACTCCTGAACGGTCACAGCACTTCCGTGAGCGAAAAATTGCTGGCTGCCGCCAAAAGTTCAAATTTTATGCTATTGATGAACAAAACCGGAACCAGCAAGTCTTCGTTACTGGGCGGAGCTCCACAGCGTCCTGCCACCACTTCAAGCTCTTCTAGCAGTGCTGTGCTTTCATCCTCATCTTCCTCCGTAGCTGGCTCTAGGATAGCATCAACCTCGCGGTCCTCCGTCAGTAGAAAAAGAAACGCAGCCTCTGGTAACCAGCATGATGCGGCTAACCAAGTGGAAAATGCCGACCGGCCCAGCACTTTTCCCAAGAAAGACCAACAACTCCAAGAACCTCACCGAGTAGATAATATCAATCGCCGTGCTGGAGGAACCGACCACTCCTCCATTGAAGATCATGGCCTCCAGCGTCCAGAGCAGAAAAATAGCAGAAGCGGCAACCCGCCTCCTCCGTCGCTCGCCGAAGTCGAGGACGGAGATGCAACTTCTTCGTCCGAGGAAGATACCGAAGAGCGCGCACACCGGATTGACGTTGAGCGCTGTGTCATGGTCGAGAAGATGGGTCAAGAGTTCTTCAAGCAACAACAAAAAGTCGCGGAGCTCAGCGCCAAGATCCTGCAGAAACGAGCGACACTGTACAACTTAGACCTTGGTTGGCCTTGTTCTTGATGGCGATTTTTCTTGAGCTGTGCTTGGCACCAGAGTAAATTAGGAAATCACTAGCAAACACATCACTAAATGATGAAGACACTTTTAAAAGCAAACGAGTCTTATCAGATAACCATGGTTTTGGTTTCTCATTTCCGTTTTACCACAAGTGCCACTTTATATTTTCTTATCATGCCTACATCGTGCAATTGCAAACAGGAACGACTGGTACATCCAAACCGAAGTCCGTCGGGAACAGGAGGCGGCCAAGAGCCGCACGGCTCTTGAAGAAGTCTCAGAACGCGAGCAAAAGCTCCAGACAAAACTCAACGAATTGAAGAGCGTCATGGCCGAAACGGAGAGGAAAAGCCATGACGAGGAAGAGGTGAAATATGAATTACTACTCGAAAATGTTGATAATTATACATAGAAGACGTTTGACTTCAAGATAGAGGAGCTTTTTTTTTGAATAACGAAGCTTTAGCTGGTTGTACATGTGAAAGAGATAGACTGCTCCACTCCTCGACGTTACGACAATGGAAACGACATCAATACCTTGTCTCCACCTTTCACATTCCAACACCAGGCTTTGCGTTCGCGTCTTGACGCCATGACCGCAGAACTCACACGTAAAGAGGAAGCAGTTCGGTCTGCGGAAACGAAGTTGCGCGCTGTTGAAGCACGAAGAAGCGAGACCCGGCATGCGCGCGAATCCGCAGAAGCAAAGGAGGAAGAAGAGAAACTAGAGGCATTGCGAGCACAGATAGGTGCGGCAACGACAGAACTTGGAAGCTTACGCGCAGAAGGCGAGGCTCTGGGTTCGGCTATCCAGAAATTGCGAGAAGAAGAAGTTGAGCTGGTACTTGTTTTGCATTGGGCGGAGAAGCTTTCTAACTACTTGGATTTCCGTCGCTGTTAATATACAGTACTTAGAATAATTCCTGTTACATTTTGTTCAATTGATTGTATTTCTCCCTGTACTACTTCTGGCGTCCTCATTGAAGAAAAATGCAATTTAATGTAGAACTGAAACCAACAGCGTACCGACCAGCTCGAACAGCAAGCAGCAGTAAAGCGCCAGCGCGAGGAAGAAGCTGGGTCGTTTGAGACGTTACGCAAGGAGTGGGAAGAGAAGCTAGAAGAACAGAAGCGCGAGTTTGCTGAGCGCGAGCAAGAGTTTGCGGATGCCGCAGCCGGAATGAAGGGCGAGCATGAGAGAGCAATGGCTGAGCTAGATGCGATCCTAGCAACCATTGACGAAAAGGGCGCAGAACAGGAAAAGCTCCTGAGAGACACTGCCGAAGAGCAGGAGCGACTCGTCACGGAGGCAAGTGAGCGCATTGCAGCCGAGAAGACTGCACTCGCCAGCGAGAAAGAGCGCGCGAAAGCGCATTTGGAAACGCTAGCGGAAGAGGAACAGCAGTGTCGCGATGAGGTAGAGCGGAAGCGAGAGGAGATGGCAAAAAAACTCGAGGAAATTCGAGCGGAACTTGAACGACAGGAAGAATTGGCTTCTGCCGAGCTGAGCGCAAGACTCGAGAAACTAGAAGAGGATGAGCGAGCGGCAATAGTGACAAAGCTGAACACTGAGCATGAGTCGGTACTCTACAGAAACATAGAGATCATGATCACAGTGCGTTGATAGTAATTATGATGGCTTTAGTCGAAAACTGTACCAAATCTACTCATCTATTATGTATCATCTCTTGCTCCTACTCTCCTACTCCTTTTCGTTCTTTTGCTTGTTCTACCTATCTAGCAAAAAGTTAGAGTTCGAGGGTCTGACCAGTGACTCACCGTATCTTCTTCTACAACACGAACACTTTCAGATTGCCGCCTCGCTGGAAAGAGCGTTGCAGAAAAATCTAGCGTCCATGGAAGAGCAAATCCGCAGTCAATTAGTGGCTGAACGCGAAGCAGACATCGTTAAAGAAGTTGACATCAAAAAAGCAGCGATCGATGCTAAGCTCGCTGCGGTTCAAAAGAAGCTGGATGAGGCGGAAGCTCGCTGTGCTGATGCAGCCAAGGAGTGCGAGGACAAGCAGAAAGAGATTGACGTTGCACAGTCTCGCATCGATGCTTTGGCTGAGGCGGAGCGCGAAGCGTTGGCGGGACTGGAAGCAGAACGCGGTCGCCTTGGTGGCGAAAAGCAGGACTTCGAGCGCCAAGTGGCAGATGTGCGCGCACAAGTGCAAAAGCGGCAGGCTGACTCTGCGGAGCTCGCTGAGAAGATCAAGAAGCAAGAAGAGCTTCTGTCGACGTCTGTGGCCAATTACGCGCTCGAAGAACAAAAAGTCGCCGGGCTGAGACAACAGAGCGAGGCTTTGTCAGACACAAACAGCGCCTTGGCGGCAGCGCTCGCTCAACTGGAAGAAGAGAAGCGCATTTGGCTCCTGCGATGGGACGAAGAGCACACAAAACGCGAGGACCAGTTAGGGGCGCTCGTTGGTGAGGAAGAGGAGAAGCGCAAGGAAGTCGCAGAATACCGAGAGCTGGCGGAAGCGGAGAAGGATAAGTGGGAGAAACTACAAGAGGAAACCGCGGCGCAACTAGAAGCGAATGAGAGGATGGATGCAGAACACGAAGAGCTGACAAGGGCCTTGAGCGAGCTGCGGGAAGATACGAAGACTGCGACGACGAGACTGAAAGATCTCAAGGAGCAGGGTTCAGCCCTGAACGAGAAGATTTCCACCGAGACAGCGACGCTTGAGGAGCGTAGAGAGGATTTGGCTAACTATGAACGGAAGGCAGCGACGGCAGAAAAAGATATGGCAGGATACGAGCAACAGGTCAGTGAGAAGCTTGGCCAACTGGAGGAAGCTGAGAAACGCGTTACAGAGGCTCTACATGAGAAAGAGCGTCTTGAGGCGCGCGGCGCCGAGCTTCAGTCTCTTGTGATGCGACTGGAGGAGCGCGAAAAGGCGGCTGGACGGCACATCCAGGAACTCGAGGTCACAAAGTTGGCTGAGCAAGACGCTGTAACTGCTCTGGGTCGGCAGAAAAAGCAGCTCGAGGCGGAAATGCCGGAGCAGGAGGCACGGGCTGAGAGGCTGCTCGCTGAGATAGCAGAGCGCGAGCGGCGTTTGCGGGAAGAGATTGCGCGTGACGAGGCGGAGGCCGTGAACAAGCGCTCGAGCGTCATTCGACAACTGCACGAGGAGGAGCGCACTCTAAAAAAGGCGAACGATGCCCTGCAGCAAGAGATTTCCAACCGGAAAGTCGATCACGCAGCCATGACTTCCGCTATAGAGGAGTATCGGTCCAAGCGGAAAGAGTACGAGGAACGGAAGGAGACCTACCAGAAGGAGTACGGCGAGATGCAGCGAACCATAGACGAACTCCAAGGCAATATCGCTTCTTTAGACACCGTGCGAGGCAAGCGAAGTGACGAAATTATGTTGCTGGAGGAACGATGCAAGAAGTTCAATGCAGAAGTGCAAGCAGCCATAGAGCAGAGAGATCGCCTTCGGCGCGAAAAAACGGATATGGAACGAACACTGGCCGTCGAGAAGAAGCAACTCCAGCATGGCATCGAAGAAATCAAACAAGAACAAGAAGATTATGACCACTCACATATCACAGCATCCATGTTGCTTCGTCGTTCATTATCAAGCTGTATACTCTGCTATGCAGCGTAATAGTGGCGTCTTCATAGCCCAACGGCATGTTGATTCATTTTGATTCTGCTTCAAAACCGTAACTCTGCATCTTCGACGACTCTTCTTCCCTCATCTCTAACTCCTGGAACAGCGGAAGCTGCAGCTCGCTAGGGACAAAGCACAGGTGGAGATGGACGAGCTTCGTGTTCGTTGCCGCGAAGAGACGGCTCGTTCGCGCAGCGAGATGAGCGTGAAGGACGACGAGTTGAATATGCTGGACGAAAAGCTGAGTCAGAAGACGAAGCAACTCACGAATCTGTTTGCCGAGGAAGCTGCCGAAGAGGCACGACAGCTGAAGGCGCGCGCTGACTTGCAGGCGCGTGAAGACGTGATCCGATCGCGTCTAGGCGAGGCCGAAAAGGACTTGGCGGAGGTTTTGGCGCGCGTTGCTTCGGAAAAGACAACCTTGGCAGAGTTAAAGGCGCAAGCGAAGGAGACGCGAGACCGGCAAACCGGAGAGCTTAGGCAGCTGACGCGTCAACTGCAGGAAACGCAGACGCATTTCGACGAAACGACAACGCAACAGCGGACAGAACGTGCCCAACTCGAGGCTGACGTCGCAAGTTTGAAGAGCCAGCGAGCAAAGCTGACGTCTCTGCGGGATCAGCAGGCGGCGCGCAACGATGCGGAGGTGCAGCAAGCCAAGGACCGCTGTGCCCGAGAGCTCGAGCAGATGGAGAACGAGAAGAAACTGACACTTGAGGCTGAGCAGGCGCGACTGCGTCAGGGTCAGCAGGTCGAGCACCTGCATGATAAGCACCGTGAACGCAACAGAGACCAGGACAGAAGTAGGCATCACAGCCAGACGAGGGACATCAAAAGTGAACCTGTGGAACGAAAAGTGTTTGGTGGTGGAAATTATATGAAGCAAAGACATGCACAGGCAGAGGCGGTCAGTCCTCCTGGTGCTGCTGGTGTAGGTATCCTCGATGAAAGTGCGGCATCGCTGTCTTCCCGTGTCGAGATGCTCAAGAAGTACGGCCTCTCTGGCGAAATGCTGAATTCAGGAAAGACAGAAGCTGCAGGCGGTGCGGCTCCTCTGCGGGCAGCCCCGTCAGCGAGCATTAATACAGACGAGCAACAGAGGCGTTTTCCCTCAGCCTCATTAAACCAGGACGTTGCACAGAGTGTATCTAGTGCACTAGACGGCCAGGCTGTCGTTGCCAAGGATATGACTGCCCTTGGTGCAACCGAGAAGCTTAAGGACCAGGAGCTGATACAAGTACGAAGAGGACATGACGAGAAAAGACCAGCTGCTGGAGGTGAAAGCAAGGAAGGCCCGATTGACGTCCCAGCGGCTGGCGGCAATGCCCGATCTACGAAGTCCGTTTCTTTCAACACAGCGTCTTTTGGCGCACAGCTCCAAGTCGGCGGGAGCAGTAGTAGCACCTCGGTTCGCCCTGGTGCGGCACCTGCGTTCACAGCGGGTGTTAATATTAGAACAGCAGGTGGTACAAGTTCGACACTGCAAGAAAGTAGTGGTCAACCAGTAGAGGAGCCAGCACCAGCTGCATCAAAAGGACAACTTCTACTAGCGACGTCGCAGCCCATGGTAATACCCTCATCTTCATCGGCAGCATCACAGGTGCAGCCTTCTGGAGTCGACGACCGTCTGAAAAAAATAGAAGAGAAGAATCCGGCCGCTGCTGCTCCTGCGCCAGGAGACGACCCCGCAAATGCTTCAATGATGTCTCTGGGTTTCGGTGCAGTGTCACCAATTTTGCCTGGCCCGCCAAGCGTTCGGGGCTCTGTCGCGAATATGTCAGCGCTCGAGGGTCTCCTCGGTCATGCGGGTCTTCTTGCGCGACAGAGCATCGACGGAGGCAGTGTCCGCGAAAGCGCAATTTTCCCACCAGGTGCAGACCACAAGATTTCTTCAGGAAATGTTCGTGCCAGTAAAGGACCATACCATCAAGGACGAGAGGACTCGAACAAGAGCAGAAACGGGCGCGGGCCTCCGATAGAGGACCACCGGAAGAGCCTCTTCAACGGAAGCGAGTTTGGCGGGATTTCGATGATTGCTCCTGTTCCTGAGGACCTTGGAACGATCGATGAACTTGAAGTGCGACCATCCTTCGCTGGTGACTCCTTTCTTGGGGGGCTGCAGAATGCTCCAGCCGCTCCAGGCGATGCGAGACATGCTAAAATGTCCGTGGCTTCAATGGCGGATCCTTTGAACACAGCTGTCGTTGACAGTCCACCGGTATGCATCGATTTTGGCGCTGCAGCTGAGAACGAAGCAGGCGGACGCCACAGGGAACCTGAAGATGGAGGCAAGACGAACGACCACCAGCCCCGAAATGCTGCTGACCCTGATAATAAGACGGGCGTAGAGAACGAAGCACAAAGTAAAACTGGGCTGCTGCAAGGCTTGTTAGAAGGAGCTATGCCTGACGTGGCCAGAGCGACCAAAACGGAAGTTTCCGCCCGGCAGATCGGTCCTGCATGTTGCCATGGCTCGGTTCTTCCCACGCCAGGACCCTCGGGTGCGTTGCAAGAGGCCTCAGCGATGCTCCAAGGCACTGCTGACAATCGAGCGATGCGCACAGGGACGCTTCGGGGCACAGAGGGGGGCAGAAGTGCTACTGGTGAAAGTGCAAGTGTCAGTGGCAAGGTCGTTGGCGGAGGTGAACGTACACTCTCAGGCGCGCAGATACTGCAGCAACCGCCAAACGCACCCCAGAAAAACCCCACGAGGACAGCGGCGATACACACGGCTTCTTTGATGTTGGGCTCAGGCTCCGGGCTCAACGCGTTATCGTCGATGGCGGGAGGACGCTTTGCCAGTAGAGCGGGTCCCTTGTCGCGGTTCAAGCGGCAACAGGCTGAAGCTACGGCACACATCAACGCTTCACAATCGTTACAGCAGGATCACACCTTGGCTGCTTCTTCGAGCAGTACTGCAGGACCATCCGCAGCTACAACTAGCTCGAGTACAACATCGGCTGCAACGTTAGCTACAAAAAAAGGGCCTAATGCTACAACAACTGCCGGTGGGAGCAAGAAAAAACAGGTTACAGCAGCCCCAGCATCTTTCATCCGCGACAAGGGACGTGCCGGCAGTCCGCCACCTCTGGGAGCTCAGAAAAAAGCTGTACCCAGTGGGGTTCCTAAGACAATTGTCGAGAGTGTCGAAGATCTGCACGATCCACCTGAAGAGCCGGGAGACAAGCGCCGACGCTTATTCTCACCTGGGGGCCAGACCAAGACTGCGACGACGAGAGAAAGCAGGAAGATAACCGCAAACGCGGGAATAAAGCAGGATGCTCCGCCGGACAAGATGCTGGGTCTCGATGTTGACGCTGCTGCGAAACAGGCAGGTCGTGGGGCTTCTTCATCACCGTCTTCCTCATCTGCTGCACAACCCTCTCAAAACGTTGCAGCGAAGCCAACGTCAGAAGCAGCTTTAGTCGGGTCAGCTACCGCTGCTTTGTCTTCCGGTGCAGCTGCTTCTACCTCGTCAACGGCAGGGAAAGTAGATGCACCTGCCGAAGTAGTACCACCGGTCGTTGTTAACGCGCCGGCTGGAACAAGCGCCAAAAGTAAAGCAGAAGTACACCTCGAAGCGGCGCCGAATGTGCGGAGTGAACGGAATAACTCTAAGCGTCCGCCTGGAGGACGGGGTCGAAAAAAGGCGACGACGATGCTAGACGATGACTCACCTCCAGTTCCTATGAAAGGAAAAAGTGTACTCATTATACTTCTCAAGCAAAAATTCGCTACAATTTAGTTGATGGGAAAGAAGCTAATTTTGTGACGATCATGAGTACACTTTTTCCTGTCATAGTTCCTGATATGCTGTTGGAGGATGTCGCCTCAACGCAAAGCTCAGTGATTCGACCAGGCGGTGGCCGAAAGCAGGAGTTGTTTGGTGTAGTACCTCGCGCAGCAGGTCCGGCCCTTGGCGTGACCGGAATATCTTCGACAAAAGATGAAGATGATCAAGCACTTGCAGATCCTGCTACTGGTGCTGCTGCTGCCGCTGCTGGTAAGACTGAAGATGGAATCAAAGCACCATGTTCCTCGTCAAGCTCCGCTTCCGCTCTTTTGAAAAAGGTTCCTTCGAAATCGTCAAAAGCAGCACCAGTCGTCAGACAAGAAGACCCCTCAGTAGGAAATTTGAAGCCACTGAGCCAAGATCCTTTCGGGAGCAGCTCTTCATCGACAGGAGGAGGTGCAACGAATTTCGCTAGTTTGCTCGAAAAGAAGAAGCAAGGTGGACACGCAGATGCTTCAACGCCCGTTCTCGAAGACAAAACCGAAAGTGTCAATAGCGACAGCGAGAAGACAGCTGCAAATAAAGGTCGTATTGGGAAAGCAAATAAATTGGCTGGAGCAGCAGCAGCCGCGGCGGCTTCTCTAGGAGAAGCATCTGCCGCTTCTTCAAGCAAGAATGTTGCAGCGCCTGCAGCTGCGCCAGCGATCGGAGCTACTGGCACCCATGGCAGTCGCAAACGCGGCCGACCCCCGCCGACAAGAGATGAGTCGAACGACGAAGAGCTCGATGCGAGCAGTCGGGGACGGGAAAACCAAGCGCCTGATCATGCAGGTAAGCGCGCGAAGGCCGGATCCTCCGTGTTGACCACTGCCGCTTCCGCGTCCCAACAGCTGCGCCAGCTTCAACTGGCAGCGGAGGAAGCGCAGCAATCGGTCTTTCTTCCCGGAACACGTAGCACCGCGGGTTCAGTAAAGTGCAAGTACTCGATTGAGGATCTGCGAAAGCGCACTGTGGCAGAGATCAAAGCCATTCTAGAGACTGCAGATCTTAAAACCACCGGAAAAAAGGAGGAACTTGCGCGTAGGGTTATCGATAATGGGGACCGTTTTCCGCCGACGTTCAAGACGCCAGTGCCGAAGCGCAGTCAACGTGCCAGATAGCCCCTACCGCTACAACAGCTATAATTTGTAGTTGCTGAGGAAAAAATCATATGCACCGGTTGCTCGTCAACGTTAACTTCTAAAATGAGGAGTTATAGAGTTATCTTTATGCTATGAAGATCAAGATTGGATATTATCATCACGATGACGATTACCACCTCTTTTTTCTAATCTATCATCTTTCACGAACCAATCCTATTCCTAGGGAAACAGCAGGAGAATAAAATATGACGCACATCTTGCGTACTGAATGTGATTTACTTTTACATCACTGCTCGTATACTTTGCTAGCGCAGATTGCTCTGAGAAGTTTCAGGCTCATAGACATGTTTGGGAGAGTATAAAAAAAGGGCTCTGGTCTTCCGCGGTTCAAATCATTATTCGAACGCTGATGTGAAAGGAAATTTATCAAATTTGTCACGGGTAAATCTAAATGAATATGTAGTGGAACAAAGGAAATGGATTTAATAAAGAATGAAAAAGAAAAACTTTTTCAGAAAAATAGCAAGGGCTGTACTACTAGTCAACAAGCCATCTGATGTTGTGTTCCGGTGTGTGGTACTTTCTTTGGCAACGCTGGCTCGTTCTTCTTCTTCATCGGTCCTGCTTGATCGTATACGGAAATCTGTCTTGACCTATCGGTTCTTCTTGTCTGTATATCGGTTGTGACTCTTCCTCTTGGAAGTCCGACCCTCGTCAGGCGGGGATGCGATTTTTGATGTTCTGGATGGCTTCCCCTAACATCGCTGCCGGGTGCCTAGGGCGCAAGTGGAGCTCAGGCCCGAGTCCCTGACCGCAGCCCACAGCCCACAGCCCACAAAGTATCGAATTAGAAAACTGGTAACCGCCCTCAACACCAAAAAAATTTTCTCTCAGCTCCTAAACTCTCCTCCTCTTTGTCATTCTGTAACTAAGTCTGTTCATTTTGATCAACCGTCTACTGCAGGGTTGGTTCACTAGTTCTCGTATTCGTCGTCGTCTCGTCCATTCTTTATCATATGGGGCAACTTCCTAGCAGAATGAACATAAACATATCAATATCACAGCGAGACTTTTTGATCTTGATGCAACTCTGCAATCATGTACCACAGAGATGATATTCAGCGTTGACGTCACGACCACTGAGGAAATGAACTGACATCTTACGGAAATATAGCCTTATAAAAAAACTACAACTTTTACTTTATATTGATTTGATCATGAACATGATCGAGCAGGCTCTTGTCGGCTTGCTGGCCCAACCCAGTAAAGTCGGTGGCAGATTGTCAAAGGGCCACTTAGAGGAGGAGGATCTCCTCACGTTGAGAAAGACGGCCGCAGAAATAAGTACTAGTGCCTCGTCGTCGAGCTACGGTTCTACTTCGAGCTTCATCACCGTGCCAACATTTTTACCAAGATACCATACCAAGGGCAGGAATGCGGCAACAACGCCATTCTCATGTCCAGGCAACAGCCCTGAAATAACAGATGACATGGCGTCGTCCACGCTCTCGTTTATTTCGAAGAAGTCAAATTTGAAGATGAAGCATGAAAATTATAGAACAACGTCTTCTTTCGCCTCGTCTGACAACGATGCGGACGACAGTGGCGTCGAGGGTTTGCGTACGGATCCGACGCGGAAAAATACACAAGCTGTTTCAGCCCGAACGGGAAACGTTGTGAACGATCGGGAGCCTGCGGGCCCAGAGCAATTGAAAGAAGCTCAAGCGACGCCTTCTTTGGAAGCCGGAAACATCGAGCGCATGAACCGCATCGTAGAAGCGCTAAAGGAACAATTCCAAGTATTGTTGACGCAGCCTCACAGTATGGTTAAGGCTGTAGATAATGCATCCTTGACGGCCTCCTTGAAGCGTATGGCAGAGTATTACAGGGCGATAATCTGTCATACTTTTCAAGGATGCAGCTAGATGAATTACGGAGAGGAGCGCTAATATGGACAATAAAGGGGACGGCGGGGGGACATCCTCGTTCTCTGGCGGTTCAGGCGGCTTTTCAGGAATAACCGGAGCCGGAGGTGGAAAAGGTTCTCCATTTTCTCACACGCTGTCGATGGAGGGGATACGAGAATTGAAGAAGAAGGGAAATGAATTGGTAAAAGAAAGTGAGACGGAGTTGAAAGACGCACTGCAAAAGGTGAGCAAAGCAATCAAGGCGATGGACAAGCGCATCGGGAACTTAGATAAACAGATTGATAGATTTAGTTGAACTAACTTCGAGGTCGTTAGAATGTTGGATGAATGACCTGATTTCTGGTGGTAAAGGAAAACATGATTTCCGCACGAAGGCTTTCATTTCTCCAAGCACCTGATGTACCTGTAGCTGGACAACCATAGTCAATATCGAGTCTGCTTCTTACTAGCTTTACTCGATTTAGTGGCCGTGAGGTCGTGCTCGGCTTCCGTTTGTTCTCTGGTTGCGCAACCTTATCAGTCATTTCTCTAGCCCCTCCGATCTGTCGCGTCAATTTGTTCTACCAAGAATAAAAAGGGCTCATCCATCAATTAAGCAATACTATGACCTCTATCATGTGTAACACGGAGTCTTCGAAGGAGCCTTATTTTCAGCACGACCACGAGCACCAGAATTCCTCGGAATCGGATTCGCTCTGGTTATTTTTTGAAGTTGACCAAGAAGTAGGACCCAATACTCGAACAAGAAGACTAAGTACCATTGCTCTTGTTTCTCTCCTGGCTTACATACAACTAGCTTAGCTAGGGCAGTAATATTCAACAATCCGAAAAGAACCTTTTACATTGAGGACAAGTATGTACAACATGATAGAAAAAGAGAGAATTCCTTAGAAAGCTTTTCAATGAAGAGAGGATAAAGAAAATGACTGTGCCAAAGTCGTCTATGCTTGGTGTACCTGCTCGGCAGCAACCCGAGCGTGGATCTAACGTTTTACAGGCCGCAGGAACGATGCGCTCCTCAACGGTCAAGGGGGAGCATTCACCTCCTTCTCCGTCGATCATATCTTCACCATCTATTATGGCGAGAAAATATATACTTCATGAGTATCCTCGACTCACGACATCTTCCGAATTGTGTTCTTGTGAAAGAAAAGAGCGCCGTGCTAGAGTTGTTCGTGACGACCGTAATTGCAAGAACTACTTCTAACTTTGAGAAATCTGCGGAACAGCTAGTTCTCGGTTCCTCGTCGACAAAGAAGAGCCAGCGCGAGAGCAGAGATCGCCTTTGGCTAGGTTTGAAGCCAAGTGGTTTCCAAAGCACCTTTCGTCGCGTGGTGGAGCAAGAAAGCACGTCCTCGACATCTGGACCGAACAGTCCGGTACCTCCAGGAGCATCATCCAATTACGGAAGACAAACCGGCACTTCGGCAATGTCTATCCGAGCTGGAGGTCTCTACGGTCGGGACACGGCACAGATGAGTGGCGTCGTGATCAATAGCTCCGAGGACGAGCATGAAGCGGCTGCTCCCCCACCTGTTGCGGTATCTCATTTTGGAACACGGAAAGTTTTGTTGCTTTTCCTTTCGAATTGAATATTCTTACCACGAGGGGACTCGGGGGCGTCCTAACTCCGTACACGTAAGTAGGTACTCATGAATCTTTATAATTTCATATCAACTTTTTACTCTTACATCCTTTTTTTGGTCGTCGGCCATGATACAGGTGGCTCCCGCTCAGCCCTCCCGAGAGCGGAGTATATCCGGCAACTTCTCTCCTCGAGAACCGCCTGCGACACCACGACTCGAACAGCCATCGAGAGGAGCCTCGAAGAAGAGTGGAGGTAGCAGACTACTTGTTGGATCTGCGGCAAATCAGCGTTCTAGCAATCAGCGCCTATCTGCAGGAGGCGCAGCCGCGCCATCGTCCTCGCAAGGAGCAACATCCTCAAGTACGACAAGCACACCTCGCGGAAGTGGTAAGGTACGACAACTAATAGAAAGGGGCGCTACGCCACGGGGCTCTTCCTCGAGGACGCAGAGTCAGCGACGAGGCAGCACATTGCATGCGACGGCGTCGAGCGCCACACGGAGATCTGGAAATACGCCACCGACACCACGCAGCCCTACAACTGGTGCAGAGCGAACAAGTGCCGCTTCTCCACGACAAGTCGCTGGAGGAGGCAGATCCAGTGGTCGCTTGATGCATCAGTCCTCGTCTGTGTCGGTTTCCACCAGGTCCTCTAAGGGACAAAGTAGTTCTGCCTTGCCAAGCTCTCGCGGTACTGCTCTGGCGTCGATCCCAGAAGGAGGAAGTCTGCCTGCCGTAGACATCTCGAGTATCGATCGGCGGCGCTCGCAAACCGTGTGCCAGTCAGTCGTGCAGAAGCACATCCGCTTGTTCAACAAGAAGATCAGTGATCTGAGCAAGACGCGACATTCAGATCCTCCGGGAAGACAAGCGGACATCAAGAAGCGCGAACTTGAGGTGTCTGGAAAGTTTTTTCGGCGCGCGGTCACTGCGCCGACGTCCAAAACCTTAGGATTGTCGAAAACGAGCACGAGTTCCGCACCAGGTGGGGACTTGCGTGGAAGCAGCGCAGCTTCTCCTCGCCCCACCTGGCAAAAACCTGCGATTTCGTTGCGCCTGAGCTCTCCTGCCGATACATGTCCAATGATCGAGGAAAAGGACGACCCATCTTCTTCGCTGGAAGCCAAGCTGCCAAGACAGCCAAACGCCTCTACTGGTACTGCTGGAGAGGAGAGAAATGCGAGTAAGAAACATCAACCGAGTGAGAAGAGGAACAATAGCAGCTATCCCCCTGACGCTGCAACCGCGGGTGGAGGACAACAAAGCTCCAAGAAGGGTAAGGGTATATCTTCCGGAAACGCAGCGAAGCCCGCTGAGGTGGTCCTCAGCGCGGATCGACTCTTTCGTGCGATGGACAAAAATCAGGATGGTAAGGTTTAATTGGCTCGAATACATGGATATGGACTAATAGATTCATGCCTTGAACTTGTTGTTGTTGGCACCTCCACATGTCTCACGATTGCCAGTTACTCATTGATTGTATGTACTAAACTACAACAGTACTTCTTCTTGCAGCCGGTTACATAAAGGCAGTCGATGTGGATCCCCTCCTGCAGCATCATACTTATTCTAGATAAGTTGAGAAAGAATAGAAGGTTATTAATACATCCGCTATCGTCCAGTCATCTTGTTTTAAACAACAACATGATTCCATTATGAAGATGATAGCACCTCCAACATCGTCCAGGGCGTGTTGACGGATTCGATGTCCACGAATGGATTGTCGTTCCGCTTTGCACCCCCAACCCTGCTGCCTCCAGCTCTACAACAAGTACTGCAGCGACGACAAAAGGAGTCAGCAAGGTTGACGATGCGTCTCCTCCCCAGCCACAGTATTCAGTGATCGAGGGCTCTGCTCTGGTCGAAAGTTTGACTTCGGCGCCGAGTGGCTGTTTCGAGTCTGCTGTAGAGCTTGCGGATATGATCGACGAGCGTTTCGACACACTCGTAGCACATTCAACCACACGCGAGTTGGAAGAGGCTGCGTCGGGTCTGCAAATTGCACAGCAGATGCAACAAGGAAGTTATGGAGAGGACTCGAGGACGAAGACGAATTATGCTCATGTTTTGTAGGAATGTAGTTCATCTTATTCTACCCTTTTACCATTAGTTTTTGCTGGTTTTGTTAGTTGTTACTTCTTGTTCTGACCTCTACTGGTCGTAGCCTTCGTTACTTGTTGGTTTGTCTTGTATCTATTTCTATACGTCTTATCGGTTCCTCCCCTTTTCCGGACCCCTTGTCCCAACAGCCAAACTACTATGTTAATATATATAGTTTTAATGTATTGTTTTTGTTTAAGGTTCTTACCCGCGCGAGCTCGTCCGTGCTTTCGTTCTGGCAGGTACTACGAGTGTTGAGAGAGAGAGTGAGAGTTCGTTCTATCTTAGCCCTCAAGACCTTGCTCCTCTTCTTGAACAAAAAAACAGGGACTTCGACGGCCAGTCTCCTCCTTTATATGAATGTATTGTTTACTTTGACTACTTCCTCTGCACTTTTGTGGCCCTGCTATATCTTTTCTAGTAAATGGTTACCTCTACTTAGATAAATCTGACAAAATGGATCCTCCCGGCTTGCGGCAGCGGCATCGGGTTAATAGAGTAGTCAATCTCCCCAGTCCTCACATTTTAACTGGTGATATTTTTCGACACGCACGACTCGAAGGTTTATGATCTATGAAAACCAAAATGCCGTCTAATTCTAATCAGTTGATTCCGAGACCGGTTCCTTTCCTTCCACGGAGATTACGGCCGAGACACTAGCAGCTGGGTTAAGACGGCTAGGCCTGGAAAGTAACACTGGTTCAAGTATAGCAGATGAGTGGCTGGCGTACACATGCGGTCGCGCAGCACAAGGGTTCTCAGCTTGTTCAAGCACACTGCGACAGCTTCTTCAGGTTCATTAAACGTTACTAGTAGCTGAAGCTACTTCTACTTCAAGTTCAACTTCAAATGCCAAGCACTACTAGTACTAGACTTGAGCGCCCGGTAGGACTCCTCCCACTAGAATCCTCCACCCTCTGCACGTACTTCCCCTGCCATTGCGTGCCCCCGCTTCCCCGGCTCTTTCCCCGCGCGACAACCGTCTGGCGGAGTTGATCGGTGGAGCAGCACAAGAGTCGGGCTCTGGGCGGCCTGCGGCCATTGAAAAGAAAGGCACGCCTGGAAATGGTAGGCCCGGGAGTTTGCTGGTCTTCTGTTAGGTTTGGCATCTTTGCGGAAAGCTGAAGCGTTCAAGGTTCAAACTTTTAGAATTCGTCTAAGTACTTTGAAGAAAGTTAAACGTTTTGCGTCCAATTTTTTAAGCGTTTACTTCTCTTTAATAAAATCAAAAATTTTCGCGCTTTCAAATTTGAAGCATCAACTTAAAACTTTTCAAAATCCCAAAATTTTTAATTTTATCGGCCAGGAAATGAATTAGAATGCCAGGGTGGCGCGTTGTAGGAAGTTCGTCATGGACTCACGAGCTCGGGGGTTTGGGGAGTTCGGGAGTGTGAGTTTGAGAGTTTGGCGGGGTCGTTGTTTATTTTTTTTTTAGCTCTATGATATTTGCAAGAATGTTTTTTAACATGAACTGCAGGAGCAGAGGCTGATGAACACGTGCATCATGATAGTATATCCGTGATCCTGAAGTGACTTCACAATCGCTAGTAATGTCATCCTCTTCTGTTTGGTTATGCATCCTCGACTTGGTTTTCTCAGTCGTCCTTTTGGCAGTAGAGTGGGAGTCCACTGTCACACTTTCATAACACAATAACACAACAATGACATCACAACAAGAGGTGATGTCGTTGACGTGCAACAACAACTTTTGGGACAGGAAAGTGCATGGTAAAAATGGTATCAAACAGCCACTTGTATTCTTAACGTTCACGACGACAAAAAAACTTTCTCGTGTGGCGGGCGGGAGCAGACGCAGAGTTGCACCTGTGTTACTTATTCTTACTCCAATACCTACACCTAGTTGTAGGGAGTTTCTTGTCTACTTTGTGTTCTACACATAATCCTTGGACAGGAGGAGAGGACCACCTGGACCTGATACGGCTTTCATTCTGTTTGGTTTCTTTCAGCACGTCTTTATCGGCACGCACACACGATATGGACAAAAGGCTGAACAAGGTTGTTCACATATATAACTAGTCTTCCACAGAAGTTCAGAAGTGACGGTAACGATCCGCGCGCCGGTTCAACTCCTGTGCAAACGTTCGCTATAGAAGATCTGCACTTACTTGTGAAGGAATAGAAGATTGTTTTTGTAGACGCACTCCGTCACTATTGGGCTTTACTTTGTTTTGTGGTCGTCCATGTTAGTACAGTTTCAGATCTTTGAAGTGGCAAAAGTCAACAACAAGACGAGGTGACAAAACATATATGCCTATACACTTGGACTTGGATAGAAGAGATAGAGAATGGAGGATGAAGAATAATGCTGGACGAACCTTTTCTATCGACTAGTATTAACGCAAATCTGTATCGTGTATCACTATCATCACTGGTATGCAAGAAGTACTAGAGCAGCGACGTAAATTTCGTGAAGTAGAGTTCCAGCTGAAGATGTTAAAATCGAACTTCTTATTCAAAATAATTATAGAAAATCATGCCCCCAACATGCTCCCCAACGTGGCGTGAGCAGTCCTCTTGCAACGGGTTCAAATATTCCTCAGAACTTCAACGCAGAACTCCAAAGATAAAGCTGCTATGAATCCTTACCCTCGACTTCGAAGTTTAGAAATTAGAGAGAAGCAAACCACACATCAACAAGTCGGAGACGAGTGGAGCAACAAGATGGAAGATCAAGGTGACGCTGTCGAGTCACCACTGTGGGAAGCCTGTGCTAAGCCCCCGCTCGAGGCTATGTTAGACTCCACAAACTACGATCCGCTTGGGGGCTCTTCTGCTGCCACTGATGCACGTCATAACGACCACACAAGTCGACCTTATCGTGATAGTGTTACCGGAACACTGCCGGACAGCCTTCTGGTGTCATTTGTAAAAGCCGAGAACGAACGTTCTGCTGCTGCTGCTCAAGAACAACACGGACAGGAGGAGATGAATTGCGAGGAAGATTCTGCTTTAAATTCTGGCTCGGAGATGGATGATCCCCTTGCCGTCAGCATCATCAACCACATGCAGAACCACGACGCAACGTTGAAAGAAAACGGATTGCGTGGTAGGAGTGCTCGAGATGTTGATGGAGTTGAAAAGGAAGTCCCCAGCGGGCTTTCAGAGAAAACGCATCAAGCACACACTCGTGAAAAGCACATCTTGGAGAACCCTGATTATCCTGTAATATTGTTCAATGAGGAGCCCGAAGCTACGCTACTGGATGTGGATCAATATGCAGCGAATGCAGGGAACAATATGGCGAAGACGCAAAGTAGCGATGTTACCGGAGCTGCCATTGACGAGGTTCGAACGGACGTGCCGAAACCGAGTCAGTATGTCTCGGATTCCGATGAAGATGCAATTTCGCCATTGCTGAATTGTAGAGCAGTTGAAGATGTTATGATTAGCGCTCCACCTGCTCTTCCACCTGCTGCTGGGCTCAAAACAGGAGCTGATAATGGCGAAGGGAAGGGTGACAATGAGGATTTTCTACTTGTTGGGACCGCAACTCGAAGTTGTTCTGCTACTGGATTGGGTGTTGTAGACTGTTACTTAGATCATGGTACTACCATGACTGAAGAAGGTGCCTCTGGAGGTCATTGTGAGCTGAACGTCCACGTGGATGAGGATGATGACAAAAGGTATTCTTGCTCATCTCTGTAATTGAAATTGTTAAGTACTCGCATGATTCGATTTTTTTTGTTTTCGTCCTCTTGGTCAACTTAGGAAGTACTGCTCTGAGTATTTGTACTATGACTATCGCCCTAGCGCCGTTTTTTAATGGCTTTCTTGACGTGGTGAATGAGATTTACTTGTTCATCAATGTTTTGACTTTTGACTCGACGACTTCACCAGGGTTCATCTCTTGGACGAGCGTGCTGACGTGTTGCCCGCGGGAGCAAAACCAGTAGATCAAAATGTTGGTGTTGCAAATGCAATCGCAAGCACATCACTAGAGCAAGAGATCTTTGAAGACCGCGCGGACTCGGAGTTTGCAAGGTTCGTCGTGATTCAGGAGTCCAGGACCTGTCGAAACGCACCGCTCGCAAAAGATAAGACTGATGAAGAAAAGCTGCATGCTGAAGCAGATGATGTCGAAAATGCTGATGGAGCGAACCGAAGCGCAAAACATATTGTGAGAGACTCAAGCGATGTTGTCGTAACATCTCCGAAAGTTGAAGTGGATACGAGCCATGTACATGAACAAGACGAGGCCCTGTTCGGCAATCAAAATTACATCAAGGCTTGGGGCAAGGAAGGACTCTCGATTGATAACCTGCTCGACGAAGAACATGAAGCTCAACAAAGTGCTCTAATCAAGCAAGAATATCGACCGCAACACGCGAACTCAGATTCCGTCGAAAAGTGTGACGGGACGCCTGCTGTTGATGTCCATACAGCTTCTTCGCGTCCTGGTGACAGTGCAAAAGAAGACACTGTGACCGTCAGTGTCAACAACGAGGACCACACAATCAACGAAGCCGAACTTGCTGCTCTCCGGCAGGAGCGCGCGCAACTCTTGTCGGAAGTAGAGTCTAGCGCACTCGAACTACACAAGCTGAAAGAACACGCAATGCGGCTGGTAGATATTTGCCGCAAACTGAAGGATCCACGAGCCCGACGCTTCACTACACCGGCACCGTATTTTTGAATTTAACTTTTTCGTCTTTGTCTTCAAGTAGCCTACTTGTCTGCAACAAGGCTCAATGAAATGTTCTAGAACATTTCGCTCGTGACAGATCATGGTTGTAGACCTCCATGTCCATTAATAAGAAAAATCATCATCACGTGAGTGTTGTATTTACAGATTCTAGTACAACAACAGCTTCTTCCGGACAACCTCGTCCATCCAAAATGATCGACTCTAACTCATCTGCTGCAGGTCTCAAGTGGAGGATCAAGTAGCAGGGCTCACCGAGGTGGAAAACGCTCTTGCCTGCCTCATTGCTACAAATGATGCTTTGGGGAACGAGGACAATTTTAACAGGACTGAATCGCAATCACGTCCGGCTTCATCTGGCAGGAGGGGCTCACAAATACGAAGCAAGTGGACAGCGAAACGTACGATTCGGCTTTTTTGTCGACTTAAACATATCCTGGAGAATGCAAAATATAGATTCGAAAGTTGTTGTTATCGCCCATGCGCACTAGCCTAGACAAGAAGTACATTTGATTGAGTGGAGTTTCTCTTTCTTCTGCGTTGAAAAATAAATACGGATGCTCGACCTCTTCTATGAAGAAACTTTATCTACTGGGGTATCCACCTATTCTTCCTGCCTTTCCGAGGAAACCGCAACCGAATCCACCTCGTCTTTCCCTTCCAAAACCTAAATCCTCATTGTTCATCATTTCTCACTTCTCAGGTCGTACATCCAGTGCACAAGGGAGTAGATCGGCGTCTTTCTTGAGTTCCGCGTCGTCTGGCAAGCGGCATCAGACACCGACACAGAGCAGTCTGTTGAAAAGTAAACTGAGCCGAACAAATTCGTCAGGCGGGACAAGAACAGTTAAAGTTGTTAACAATGATACAATCCCCATCCAAGAGACAGAGCCACAGCTCCTGCATGCACGTGACCATACTGCGACGAATCACTTCGCTTGCGGAACCGGACATGATGTAATATTGGCAACAAGAAGAACTACACTGAAGATGAAAGGACATCAAGGCGCTCATGGAGAGGATCATCATGGCTTGTCAACGGAGAGCGGTAACCGTAGCAGCACGGGATCGACACACCGAACCAGCAGCACGCAGGATCCTTGTGTTGACGCCTCTTTGGAGGACAGTTCCGTGTGGACAGCTGGAGGCGCCTCGACTTCGACAAATCTTGCAAGAGGGGGTGATCGTGATCACTCCGTAGATTTTCACCTACATTCACGTCGCGGTGTCCCCGCCGAAGACATGTCACCGTTTTCTGCAGCGTCACACGCACAGAGTTGTGTCCTTGAGGACACAAAAGCTTCTGGTAGAAACAAAACCACGACGCACACAAGAAGAACGTCTTCATCAGCAATTGCTTTATTTGGTCGAAGTACAGCGGTCTCCTCGTCTGCCACCAGGCGCACGAAGATGCTTCCACCGGCACGTCGAGCATTTTTTGGTGCTACAACGAGCAGTACGTTGGAGCAAGCGCAACGACAGTTAGGCTTCCCATCTCGTCTCTTGCGAGAAGGCTCTGGGGTGGGCACTTCGAGAATAGTGTCACCAGCGTCTTCTTCACCAGCGCGAACGACGAATACAACTGGCAAAACAGGAGCAAAAGAAAATAGAGGATCACCGTCTTCGACGCGTAGTACAGATGATATTAAAACACAGCAAGAAGACCAGCACCAGCATGAGCATGCTAAGGCGAGGGAACATAATCATGATGAGCGAGCTACTGCTACGTCAACGCCACAAAAGCACGGACGAGCGTTTAGCCAGGGTTCTTCTCGTCTACAACGGCGGGATGCTGGCGTACCACGCTATTCGAATTCGATTTCTTCGGGCATCTACGGAGAACAGCAGGCTCTGCAACAACCTCCTGCTTCAACTACGTCACAACTTTCACCATCCGGGGGCCGTGTTGGAGCGGAAAAGCCAACGAATGGGGATGGGCATGAACATGAGCAAGGCTTGCTCCATACCTACTTGCCGAAACTCGATTCCGGGCATCAACATGTACTGAATGTCGAAGGACGAGAACAAGAAATGAACCAACACCAACAGGTAGGACCACTTCAAGTAGAACTCGAGTACAGAGCTCACCAGCCTCAACAGCTGCAACAGCACGAATACAACACGACCCGGACACGATTCGCGACCCCGGGCACCTCTCCGATGTCGAGTCAGGGTGACAGCTGTTCCTTTGCTGTCTCTGAGATTGCACCGGAAGAAAGTGGTCTACCGGAGATGGTGTTGGTGGCGGGTTCCGGCGATCAGCCTGAGCAGGAGTTTCTCTTCGACGACGCGCCCTCGCCCACGAGTGAAAGTTTGTTAGAGGATGCTCCTACGTCGACACGTGAAAAGATCTACAAATTCTGGAGAGCAACTTCAAAAACTGAGCCCGCGGATGAGGTAGATGTGGACGATAGCACAAAAGCAAAACAAGATGAAGTTCATGAGTCCTTAGCGCATCCAGTCTGGTCGCTGCCCTGCACCTCGTCTAAGACCGAGCAAATTCCGTCGCTTTTGGGTTCAACAGGTACGACCCAACTGAAAGTGCATCTACTTCAACAAGATCATATTAATATGAAACATGAAGTTGCTCCTGTTGTTTTTAGTGGATCGTCCGCAACGATGAATAACGACCACGATAAGCAGCCGAGCAACGTAGGACCGGTACATGTAGTAAGGTCACCGTGTGTGATTGCAACCACGGTCACGGAAGCCAACAAGCTGCCACAAGAACAAGATGCGTCGGCCACGACTCAGCGTAAGGAGCTTAGCCGAACCCGGAGCTGCGTCTTCAGCAAGCTAAAGCTACAGGAGTCTGGTACTGAAACTTCAACGAACAAAACGACAACTGCGGGGGATGGGACAACTGAAGGCAACAAGGAACAAATAATACAACAAGGTGTTAAAAAAAGTGTTGCAGATGAACCTGCTTTTTCTAGTGGTCGCTGTGGCCAAGTAGGAGACACCCTGGTCGTGGAGGAAGATAATATCGTCTATCATGGAGCATTTGGGTTTGGCACAACCACAATTGCTAGCGCGCATGTTGCTTCACAGTCAGTGGACTCGACTTCTACTTCAGATAATATCCTTGACGAGCAGGACGACGACGAGATCGGTGATAATATTGTCTACCACGACAATTTTTTCGGTGAGGAGGTTTTCACGTCTACGTCATCAACGAGTAGTTCAGACACCTCGCACAGCTCCAGCTCTACACCACCGGGGAGTCCGGTTGTGCTTCTCAAGGAAGAACAGGCAGAAGATCACAGCACGATACGGCGAAAATGTGTAGTCCAGGTTCCGAAGCTAAACCTTACGGGGGTCACTCCACTCCGTGTGGAGTCCTCCGAAGTGAACGAAGTTGGGCCGCTGAGAACGGAATCGAGACGAGACATTCATCAGGAGCATAGCGTGAGAGCGAAAGCGAATGGCGGCACGACTCGTATTGCAAATTACACCGACGTCGAGGTAGTAGCGGAGGTCGTCGGCGCTCCGGAGAAAGACTGTAATAGCGAGTTCACTGTACCAGAGAGTTCCACCAGAACAACACCAACATCAAGCGGTCGCGCTTCTAGTGTCCCGGTAGCCAATCGATCACCAAGTCGCGTACTATTTCTGCCACCACAATTGGTCGTAAGGAGTCCTATGGTCGTCAAGCGCACTATTGATAGCAATACTTCTGCAACTACATCGACCGGAACAGGAGGGGGTCATTGTCACATGATCGGAGCCTCTCGAACTGATCCAACTGCTGCAACGCTGAGACAACCGACGAAGAGTGGTACTTCGTCCTTGCAACACTCGCAGAGTACTGGCAAGATAACTTATCCGAGTACAACAACACAGCCTGAAGATGTAGTTGGTCCCCTGCAGAAGCACAGAGCGGTGCCGTGCATGAGGAGAGTTCTTGAAGAGCGCAAGAAAAGAAATTTTGCGCAATCGCAATCCACTTTGATCAGTGGAACTCAACAAGGTCAAGGTCAACACCGAGAAAAAATGAAACAAGGAGTCGTGCAATACCCGGACTCGGACATCAACATCAAAGACGACAAGAAGGTCGCCATCTTCAGTAGTAAGAATATCATGACACACAGAAGCACGACTCTCGCTCCTCAAACTCATCATGCTCATGATCATCTTCTTCGGACTCCGCAACGATCCTTCACACCTGTATTGCAATCGCCCCGCACTGCCGAGCATCTTGCTGCGGCCCGTGGCACGTCCTCGTCCAGCTTGTTTTGCTCGCCAGGTCTGCTCCTCACGCCGAGGGGCATTGCTACAGGAAGTCGTGGGAGTTCGAGCGCGTCTACAGGACGTGGCGAAATACCATCTTCAGTATCGCAGATCACGACGCCTCGGCCTCTCGTTGTAGGCAGCAATTCTACACCTGGATTGTCATCTCCTGCTCCAACAGCTGCTGTTGCTGGTCGCTACGCAACGTCCCATACGAATGCGACAGCGAGCAACCTGAGGGGCCAGAATAGAATCACTGCTTCTCGTCCTCCTTCCAATAATGCATCTCCTGCACCTCCCGGGCTAAAAACAACTCCAACTCCTTCATCATCCGGTGCAGCTGGTATTGATACCTCTTCTTCTAACATTCCGATTCTTGCCTCTAGTGCTGCGTCAGCCTCGTCCGTGCCTTCACGTTTGGTCGCGCCTTCACCTCCGGCAGGTGTAGGTCAAAATCCCCCTCATCCTCGCACAGCACCTTCAGTTTCAGGGACTACAACTTCCCTTCTTAGCGTTCCACCTTCGTGTAAATTAGGCCGAGGACCAGTTCCGCTTTCACCCAGGCTGCATGTGCTTGCAATGTCCCCGCGAGAATACTCACTGGGCTTAACGCCACCTGCTTTGGAGTTCACACCACGATTGAGCGCCGCAGCGTCTCCGGCTGTCACCGCGACCTGTAAGCTAGCAGCCAAAGGACCAGATGAACAGACGAAAGCTACGCTCCAAAATATTGAAAAAAAGTTGTCGTGCCCCATGAGAAGGGATGGAAGCAGAAAAGACATCACGACTACTTGGACCCCGACAGTCGTGAGCCAGAGAGAACCACAGAACTCCCAAATCACGGGTCGGACCGATGGAGATCCTACGACTACTAGTACTAACGAGCTCCTACGGACGACAGTTACACGAACTGTGATCGCACCTCCCTCTTCAGCGTCTCTACAAAGCGCACCACATTCCTCATCAGGTGGAAGCTTCTTCACGCGATCTTCACAGTTGCGTAATGATCCAAGTACTGGCATCCCTCTCCCTCGTCCTGGGGGAAATTCTATTTGTTCATCCTCTACCGGTACCATAGTTTGTACTCCGCCAAGTAGAGACCTTTTTCTGAGGCAGCATGTTACAGGGTCGTTGAAGATGGCAACAGGACCAGGCTCGACAGATGCGCCAGGAGTAAGACCTGCGACTGCGATCCATACTCCGGGTAGTACCACGACCATAGGTGTAGTTGGAGTGCCTCGTTCGTGCTCAGTACCGGGATTGGTCGCGACATCTCCATCTGCCCAGCTGACCGAGTCGGGGTCGTGCACGTTCCTCTCTCCGTTCCCTACCCCGCGTTTCGGCAGAGACTCGTAAGGCGACGGCCGTCCGTGGATTTTTGTACCGTAGAAGTTGTATGCTGCTGCAAATGTAAGTAGCAGCGAGTCACTTTTAGCCTGCATCAACCAAAGGTAAAGGAAGATCTTCTGATCGTCAGCGTCGATGTCGACTCTGTTCTACTTGTGGGCGTGCTACAGGCGATCATAGCTGACTTGTGGAGGAGGCGTAAGTGTGGACGAGAAGTACAACATTTGGAGAAGTGCCACTTCGTGGGTGTGCCGCGTAAAGTGAGTGAACAAGCAAATAACCATCGATTACTTTGGTGACATCCTGCATAATGGAGCAGAAGATGAAATGCGTAGTTTCCTGACGCGCTTGGAGAAAACAAGAACCAGCGCGACATACGGAGATGACAGTGAAAGAGTAGACCAAGTGAAAGAGTCTGATGCTCGTGAATGCACTACTTTATGGTAGTTTTGAAAAATTGTCGCAGAGAAAAATGAATGATATGAAAAACTTGAGCCCGAAGTTGTGCGAAGTATAGATCGCTTGTCGCGGTCCGGGAAAGCGGTCCAGGAATCTCTATCTTTGAGATTGATAAAGAGACTTCATGTTGGCCATGGGTTCGATTTAATCTTATATATAAATATGTAAAGATGATTCAGAACAGATGATCATGATATTAATCTAATAGCAGAGAGGATATTCATATTCAAGATAACTGTAAATCCTAGTTGCCGTTGCCCTCGTAGTGAATACTTTTTTCCCGCGCCACATGCTTCGCATACGCACGCTCGACATAAAATGTACAACGAGTCAGCACTCGTTTGTTGAAGCCCCTACTTTACTATATATCGGTATCCTGCCCTAGGATCGTGGTTAAGTTTTGAGACCAGTTGGTAGAATCTGGCCACCTCGGGTGGTATTTTTTTCTGCTCTGAGACTAGAAAGTCTTTGAACATCTGCCCTCCAACACTGGATTGAACCATGAGCAATATTTTGTGTGCGCAGTCGCATTTTTTGCATTGCTTATTCATATTTACGTAGTAAAAGATGTGTCACCTCTACTAGCAAATAGATACATGATAATTATATTGGAGAAAATTCAACTAAGGACTGCAAAAATCCGGACAAAGTTCAATCCTCTCGGGCATGATACGAATCCGCAGAACACTCGCCGCCTACTGCGCTCCCTTCTGGAAAACCCTCACCCAATTGCGAGCCAAGAACCTCGGGCGCCCTCCAAATCCCCGCGCCCCTCCAGAATCCCCCAGCATACATTTGCAGGCTGGTGCGGTGGACTCTGGAGGGGCGCGGGGAATCACATAAAACGAAACCAAAAGACAGAAAAACCAAGAGAGAGCAAGTTGCAAAAGTCGCTAAGCGAAGCACTTCCAGGACGAGGAGGCGACAATAGTGACCGTTTTTGTGCAGTTCTTAGTTGACTTAGCGCCATTCTAATCAGCCACCTGCAGAAGCACGAGAGGCGCAGCGAGCACGCTACACCATCGAAACTTAACAAAAAGAGGAGGCGGGACGCCCTTTGGCTCGTCTGTTGCGCTGCGGGCTGCTCCCCTGGGCAGTGCTCTCCCAACACATGCGAAAGCACTCAAGGCGAAGCACCAAGCGGGTGCATTTTGTTCACTTAATCAATTGACTCACTCACCCGAGTGGGCTGGTTCTTCAGATGCAACAACTACCAAAGCGCGCGCGGGCAAGGTAGTCAAGCTACAAACTTCGAAGCAACACAGGGGCACGCGCTTGCTTCTGTTCGGGTTGTTGTGTCAAATAGGTGACCTCGGTTGCATGTTGACTAGCTATTTCATCTATTACTTTAGAACTGGCTCGCCCAGTCGTTGGGGTTCTCTAGTAGGTTACTACTGGAGGAGTCTGCCGCGCTCTTATTAGCATGATACAAGTTCTCGAGGTCGAAAAAGTCATCATCTAGATGCAGATCCTCCTCCTCAGTATATGAATCAACAACATCGTCTTCAGACAAGAGGCGCTCGCGCTTCTTGTTGTTGTTGTTGTTGTTGTCCTCCCCGCCCTCAGGGGTAACCCCAGCGACCATACTTTTTACGAAATTATGTGCGCACAAGGGGCACAGGGACTCCGACGCCCTCGTGGTAGCGAAGGAGGGAGGGTGCTTCCACGATATGCCACCGCGGAAGCAGCGGCCCTTCTTTCCCAGGAATGCGTCGATATTTGCCCGAGTGAAATGGCGGGAATTGGTTTCCAACGTATTGTATGAGCATCCAATCAAATGTAAATGCTTGAGCATCACCGCCGTTCGCCCTTTTTGCGCACATAGAAAGTCCCTCGCGCCTTCGGTTAAGTTCAGCCAGCTAACGCCGCTGATCCCCGAGATATTCGTCGAGAAATCGTTAGCATTTAGAAATATAGCATGCTCAGATATCCCTTCAAATGGGAACTTGTCCTCTTCGATTTTCAATCGGAAGTAGAACACTTTGTTATACGGTATCCCACTCTTGCTCGGAGGCATGAATAGTCCCTCCATGGCGTTGATAATCGTGGACTTGCCAGATCCTTTCGCCCCAGAGAAACACAAGACGCGCGCCCGGTCTGGAAATTTGCCATCTAGCGCAGCCTTCAACCAAAGCCCCATCTTCTCCCTGGAGGTTTCACCATCTTCATAGACCTCTTTTTCGTCATGGAAATCTATGCCCTGGATTAACGAAGCACACAACTCTCCTGGCGTCTCACAGGTACACTCCTGCTGGCCCGCTCGCTCGTAAAAGAAGCGAAAGGAGATCCGCTCCTTCCGCAAGTTATTCGACAGGACCCGGTCATGTATTGCGGGGATTAGAGGAGGAGAACGAGCAAGGGCTTCAGAGCAAGAAAAGACCTAAGCGGACTGAAGGGAACGCCGCTGATTTTCGTTCCCCTAAGAAGTGAAACTATGAAGGACTATAGCTATACACTGCGAGCCTACTGTCCGTAATTTGTACTCCGCATTTGCTCGCTCCCCCTCCTTGGAGATCCAGCGAGACATGCGCAGGTATGGTATGGCAGCGAGGCCCTTGCCCTGGTGCTCGTCGCACTTCTGCGCGATATACGCGGAGAAGTCGCTCAGCGTAGCTAGCTGCGGATGGTTGGAAACGACAGAGTAAATGTCCTCCCGATTACAGGGGCGCCGGGCGAGACCAGAGATCTGCTTTCCCTGTTAAACTTAGACGCTGACCCCCGCCCTGGAGGTCTTATGAGGGCAGCCACCTTCGATGCCCTTTCTTGGTGGCAGCCCTCACCGAGCCTAGACCCCCCCAGCGGTAGCCTTAATCATCCAAGAGCTGATGTGGGAGCTCCATGTTTAAGAGGAGCGGCTCCAAGTCGATGATAAACTTGCCTTCGTTTGGAACCATCAAATATTTCAGAAGCCGCATGCGGTGGCTGAAAGTCCCAACATTTTCGATGACGCAGTGTCGCGCATCCATGACAATACCCTCCTCCTTCTTGAGAAATTCCCAAACATAAAAAGCAATGTCACACTCGTTCTGCTTGGAGCGGCCAGCGAATCCAAGGTAGGTGTGGTGGTGCAGTTCGTCACTCTTGTGTGGCTCCTGAAAAACCCCCAGGCTGACCTTCTTCAGAAATTCAGCCGGAGGCATCTTCGCTCTCATCTTCGTATCACGGTCATCCAAGAAGGCCTTTACCGCCCTCCTGAAGCGTGACAGAGTGTCCTCCTTCGATATTGGCGAGAGACAGCCCGGCTTGTCCGAGTGGCTCCAAGTGAAAACCACGTCCCTAGCGCAGCACCCCTGCGTGAGAATGCTGGACGTCTCATGCTTCTTAGCCCCTCCGAAGAAGCTGGCGACGGCGTCGTCGATGGTCACCTTCTTCTTCGGTGCCATGCTGGCAACCAAGCAACAAACCTACCAACAACAAAAAATGACGAACCACCTACCAAAAACAAGGGAGAAAAATGGGGACACCCATTGGCCTACAGAAGTGCGGGCAGAAAACTGGCCAGCATTCGACTTACTACGCACCCCAAGAAGAAAATATGAGCGACAGAGCCCGAAAGTCAAGAACTAAAGCCCAACCCTTCTTGAAAAACGCCACGAAATTGAATAAGTCCCTCTATTGTTTGCCGGGTTCCCGCTCGCAAGGCCATTTTTGGAAAAAAATCTGAAGACATCTTTTCAGTTTTTTCATCAAAAATGGCCTAGCGAGCGGGAACCCGGCAAACAATAGAGAGGTTTATTCAATTCCGGCGAAACCCCCGCAAACTTCCCCGCTGAAATACTTCAAAAGAGTGCGAAAAACGCCAGCAAATCGCCCCGACAATCTGCAAACACACGGCGGCGCGCGTCCTCAAAGGTCTGACCATTTAAAGGCGGCGGCGTGTCTCTCTTCCTTGTAACTAATCCCACGCGCGGCCCATCTAAGTACGTCCCTACACTCATGGAGCTGAGGAGGCTACCGGTGTGCACTCAGGCAACTACTGGAAAAAGTAGAAGCTATTACTATCTAACCTAGTTTAGACCTGCTGGCCACGCCAATGAAACTTCTTGCCCAAACGCTCTAAAAGCAGCGAATCATCTTCCCCCTCAACATCGCCCCCCGGGCTACTTCCCAGGCCCTGCTCTAAGCCTTCAGGCGCGTCAACTTCCCCCCCATCCCCTGAGGAGTCGCCATCTAGTGGCTCATCAATGAGACAAAGCAAGAACTTAGGCGAAGCGATCTCCTTCCCCTCCACATATATACAGCCACCATAGCGCGCGAACGTGTGGAACGCGGTCAAGCGTGGCACGGTAAGCGTGTGCCGCTTCTTAGGCTCTGCGCGGGGGTCCAAGACTAAACCAAAACCCGGCAAGTTGGCAGCAAGCTGCTCCAGTGGCGTGCCCGGTTCATAACATCGCAAGACCCCTTTCGCGCTAGCTATAAAAGCATCTGCGACGGATTTCCCATGTTTTTCGGCGAAAAAGTTGACAGATACGGACGAGCAAAAACCCAAGAAAGAGCCCGGGCCGTCAAATAGCATAGTGCCAACAAGTTCCAAGCAACGAAATCCCCGGGCCGTATCGCTGTAGAATGAAATAGAGTCCATATTCGGACAGAGTTCCCGCACCTTCTGCAAAGCCGTGGCCAAAAATTGCAGCGTAATGCGCCCCGTCTTCCGCATGCCTTTTGCGGTGGAAATCACTGGGATGCTCACACCAACTCCGCCGAAAAATATAACCACGCTAAGGAGCTCATGGGTAGACCCTAAGCTGAAAAATTCCGCGCTGGTTCCCCGGTTAGAAGTAAGCCGGACCCCACCAGCGAAGTCAAAAATGGCCACGACATTCGTCAAGCTGGCACAAGCCACAGCCGCGTCAAACTCCTCCCGTATGCGCGCCGCGAGTGCTTCATGCTTTTCCAGAGCTTGAAAAAGCTCCTTGTGTTGCGCTGGCACTTTCCCCGGCTTTTCACATGCCAAGGCCTCTGCCCGGATTAGTCGCTGGGAATCCAAAGAGGAAACCACCCCAGAACCCCGCAGGATATACCTCACCCGGAGGGCCTTCAGCCTCTCACAATAATCACAAAGGTCCCGGCTCTTCGGCACTCGCTTCGCAGGGCTGTGACGCATCGCAGTCGAAACAGAAACACCCGCAGCAGCTGCCACATTCGTGGCCAAAGCAGTCGCCGGGCTCGTGAATATAAACCCCCCACGACTGTCCCGGCCAACCTCCGGGCGGTTCTTCCAAGCTTCTGCAACACGCTCACGGCGGTCGACTGCTTGAGCAGATGACGCACGTCGTCGCTTGTTCGGGCTGCTGCTGTTCACGTCAGCCGGCTCATGGCGAGACACCGAGGCAAACGCGGCCCATTTTCCCCGTGAAATTGAGGGCAGCGCCCTTATGATCGTCTCTTTCTCTTCCGCCTTGGTGTCGGGCTGGTTCATGAAGTTGCACAACTCCAAGAAGATGGCGCAACCATCTGCCCCGAGAAGGGGGCAACAATCAGACGACAAGAACCCACCAGACTTCAAAACCTCCCGCAGATTCGCGGCACGCCGTCGGCGTTGCCTCTCCCCCAGGTCTGCGACACCCTCAGACACAGGACGGCCCGCGCGCGGCTCCATTTTTTTAATTGCCTGACAGTGTGCAGCACTTTTCGCTAGTAATACAAAGACAAACCACACCCATAAACAAACGCGGCACCCTTGTGCACAACGCAGCCCCTGCGCATGGATGCGGGCGGCGGCGGCGTCGGCGGGCTTTCTTCGCGACGCGTTCCCCCCTGGCTGTGCGTCCCCCCTGGCTGTGCGTCCCCCCTGGCTGTGCGGCCCTCCCTGGCTGTGCGTGAGGCAGCGGGCACCCCTGGGCGTTTACAGCAAAGCCCTGGCGCGTGCAACGACGAGCGCCCTTGCGCGGGCTGCGGCGGCGGGGGCAGGCTCTCCCTGTGTAATTACCCTACCCGGCGCGAGAGCCTAGGGGCGCCGGGCGTTCATCGAAGGGGGCACACACACACACACACACACACGCACCCAGAAAACAAAACACCAACGGGGGGCAGGCTCTCCCTAATTAATACCCCCACCCGGCGCGAGAGCCTCGGGGCGCCGGGTGGTCAAAAGTCCAACACTTAACAACATGAAAAGACCCAAGAACGAAGAACCTCGGGCGGAGTGTCTCAAACCTCTCCGATTATGGCGAAAAATTCGACCACAGACAAGTGGAGTTAGAATGGAGAAAATTCAACTAAGGACTGCAAAAATCCGGACAAAATTCAATCCTCTCGGGCATGATACGAATCCGCAGAACACTCGCCGCCTACTGCGCTCCCTTCTGGAAAACCCTCACCCAATTGCGAGCCAAGAACCTCGGGCGCCCTCCAAATCCCCGCGCCCCTCCAGAATCCCCCAGCATACATTTGCAGGCTGGTGCGGTGGACTCTGGAGGGGCGCGGGGAATCACATAAAACGAAACCAAAAGACAGAAAAACCAAGAGAGAGCAAGTTGCAAAAGTCGCTAAGCGAAGCACTTCCAGGACGAGGAGGCGACAATAATGACCGTTTTTGTGCAGTTCTTAGTTGACTTAACGCCATTATAATAGACTTACGTACGATCATGTCCTCTACGGGAAGGAGTTTGGGCTACAACGAGGAACGGATACAAAGAACAGGGCGAGATGGGGCCATAAATAATACTAGAGATTTCAGTCAGACAAGAGAAACAAGAAGCTGCGAAAACAATGAATGGTATCAGAACGCCTTGCGGATATCAGACAAGAATCAATCGTTGAAGATTTCTTTAAAACGAATGAACCTCGGAAAAAATGCTGCCTCTGCCCCTCTGTGTACTACGCCTGTAATGCTTCATCAGTTCTTGCCAGCAGTGTTTTTTGACTATCGATCTTATGTAGCTATATTATATGTATCTACATTTATATGTTCCAGGGGTGCGAAGTGAAGAGGCGCTTCCTCGTCCGTGGTCGTGAGGCGTGTATTTCTTTGCAGCGAAGAAGACAACTAAAACGACAGCACTGGTGTGTCCCGGTGTTGCTAAACTCCGTCCCGTTTGTCTCC